ATGAGAGTAAGAGATGAGAGTAAGAGATGAGAGTAAGAGATGAGAGTAAGAGATGAGAGTAAGAGATGAGAGTAAGAGATGAGAGTAAGAGATGAGAGTAAGAGATGAGAGTAAGAGATGAGAGTAAGAGATGAAAGTAAGAGATAAGAGCAAGAGATGAAGGCAGGAGATGAAGGCAGGAGATGAAGGCAGGAGATGAAGGCAGGAGATGAAGGCAGGAGATGAAGGCAGGAGATGAGAGCAAGAGATGAAGGTAGCAGATGAACATTGTGGGATATTAAACACTTAAGCGCAAGGCTTCCTACAAGGTAGAATTGGGAGTATACCTCAGAGGCTGTGCCGGTTCGATGTAGTGTAACATGTGGCTTACGATTTCGACAGCTCAGTTCCAAGGTTACATATAAGTGCATCAATCCATCGCACACAGGAGACAACAAGACCATTCATATTCCACCATTTCTTATTCATTTAAATCTCTTCCTGTCTGCATCGCATCTCCACTTGTCCGTCTGTCTGACTATCCGCGCAATACTTTCTTCCCCATGCCTCACAATCCATTCATCCATCAAGGCAAGCAAGGTCAGACGCTCAATCCAGGCAGACTTACCCTCTTCCAACTCCTTTCCGTCTTTGTTTCGATATCTATTGCTACAATTATACAAATTTCCCAAGGCTTGAGTTCCGCCCACTTCTCGCTCGCTTTCCACGAACTTCTCTCAAAGACACACACACACACACCTCGAAACGAGGTGAAAGAAAAAAAGGAAGAAGTCCCAGATCAGAGTGCCGAGGAGGTATCTTGAACGGTATAGAAGAAAGAATAGAAAAAAAAAGTATTATTTGACAAAAACACCGCAGAGATGGTTCAGAATCGAAAAAATAAAAAGAGCCAATGATGAAACGCCCTGCTCCAATTCCTCCCTTTTCCCTCACCCTAAATGAAATACGCCGACGGTGCATGCTCCTAGTGTTTTTCTCACTTCTCTCATGTATAGTGGAAAGGAGCTGAAGAGACAAGTATGGATAGTAAGGGAAATAGGATGTGCGGCATGGAGAGTTAAGGCCGTTGTGTTGGACGGCCATATGGCTACAGTAAAAGCTGAGACGAAAACGGGTATTATTGTTCAGGTTCTTCGAAACGAATTGAGAGGCTCAAGACTGGCTTGCAGGCTCGTGCTATGTAGAATCAAAGATATGGCGCACCTAATTGGACTTATCTAGCTCAATAACGCCAGCGAGGCTTGCCATCGTCCGTCCCGCCATTGCTCTTACGTGATCCTGTCGCACTTACACGGCCAGTAACATCGTTACTTGTACTTGACTTAGGAACTGGAAGGAGACTTGTACGTCTTGCCGTCGTCGAGAGTGAACTGGCTGCCCTCCGTTTGATATCGGCGGGGCCACCAAGTGCTCTGGGTGGATGGAACGAAGCCCTTCGGTTGTCTAGTACACTGGCGGATGCTTTTGACGTCAGCCGCTGTTTTGGTGCCGGTAATATCTGTGGAGAATTCTGGCTAGGAGAGGCCGCCGCAACTCGCTCTCGGAAGGAGAGCGGTGAATAAACGTTCGATTTAGATGGCGTGCTATCAGGAGCGGGAGAAGCAGACGCTCCTCGTGAAAGGGGACTTCGTAGTGGTAATCTAGACTCCCGTGACCCCGGACTAAGCGCCGAGATGGAGCGGACAGGGGTAGGAGATCTCTTTGTGTATGGGCTCGGAGTAGTGAGAGTCAGAGGTTTAAAGTTATGACCGACATCGGAGTCTCGAGTATTGGTAGATGAATTCCAACGCGGTCGATTATCCGCGACGCTCGAGGTGGACTTTTGTAGGCGACTTCCGAGGGGTGTTGCAGAGCCACTACGAACCGGGGGTGAAAGATTGGAAGAATTGGACAGCACCGAGAGCCTTGATCCTGGGGTGCGCCGTGAATGAGGAGCGAGTGTCGAACTGCTCCTCCGCGATGAAGAGGGCTGGGGGATACTGCTATTGGTGCTACCAGAGCGGCTTTTGTTCTTAGGAATAGGGGTGACAGGCTCAAGCCCGAGGCTGGACATGACGACTGATGAGGGCGGGGAGCTACCCGGGGTCTCATTACCACTACCAACTGTAGATCTGTCATTCGAAAGCATGCTTGAAATCGAGTCTCGCAGTTGTTGGTTGCGCCTATCAGCCTGTATCTCCTCCAACACGCCGTCTAGGTCTTTCATTTGGCCCTTCAGCTCCTCCCATCGGGATTGTATCTCGGCATGAAATCGTAAGATCTCACCATTGACAGTAAGCCTATCCTTAACGCCTTTATCAATGATGGAAAGGACACGTTCAATGGCTGGCCCATAATGTGTCTTCTTCGCCTCATAGTTTTCAATCTTCTTGCCCATTACAGGTGGGTTTGAAAACTGGAGACCCTGGTCGATACTTTCTCGTAGCTTCGTCATGCTACGATCTACAGACTCGACGAGTTTCTGCGCCTGTCTGCCAGCACCACGGAAGACAAGAACCCACTTGTCTTCGCCTAATTCCTTTCTCAACGAGTCTGCGTCTTTCTCGAGCTTCCTGTAGCTGGCTTCAAGTCCTTCTTTCCTCATCTCTAGCTCGTCGCATGCGGTTGGGAAAGTCTGTGACGCCCTTGCCTCGAAAACGGAGAGCCTCATAGGTAAAAAGTCCAATGAAGCTCGGAGTGGCTGCATGCGAGCAAACAGGGCGAGCAAACTCGAATCGTCCTGGGTTAATACTGGAGTACCTGGAGAGCTTGGACTGAGTGGAAACGCTGGTACACTGAAGCGGTTGTTACGGACAACAGCGGGAGGCGTTTCTTCGACAATGGTTTCAAGGTCACCGATATCAACCCCATCACCACCCGAAACGGCCATAATGGATTTATGCCGCCTTTCTTCCATTTCGAAGACAAGCCGGCTAAGATCATCCATCTCATTCTGTATGTCGCCCAGAACCATGTTCCAGAGTTCTTCCCATTCCATAGCTGTCTCCACCTGACCTTTGGCATTGTTAAGCGTTTTGCGAATCTTGGTCCAGTCACCCATGATCAATTCCATCTGCGTGACAGCCTTCTGCAGGTCATCGTTTGAAACACTAGCAATATCACTGCGACCCTGCATATCCTCAATTGCGGTGACGTAAACATTGATCAGCTCCTCAAACCTAGTGATAGCATTTTCAACCTCTTCGTAACCCTCCCTACCACCAGCCGCAGCCCACTCAACGTCATCCTCGCTGTCGAGTCCTTCTATGACCTCAGAGGCCTTGGCTATCCATTGTCGGATTTGTTCAGCAGCACCAATCAATGCTTTTGCGGCTGCCTGCGCAGTTGGTATCGCGGCAACTCTGCTAGATAGGTGTCTGGCATCGGGCAGTGATAAAGACGTCAGCTGAGCAAGTTGGTTGTGAAATGAGGCGCGGGATATCGTGTAAATGGATCCAGGCCGCTGCAGTCCGAGAGGATTGAAGTAAGAAGGGAGATTGTGCGAGAACTCGGCTGGGGCTGTACCCTCTGGCGGCGTGTCTTTCGGCAAGGGTGGAGGTGGTGGCGGATCTTGATCATCGAGCTTCGGCACACGCACATCTCGCTCAAGGTGATCGCGGCGCGTTTCTAACGTCGCCTTGGTGCCGTTGCCGTTGGTGTGATCAGGCAATATATATTTGTTAGTGTCCATTTCTAGTGGCGCAGACTTGGAGATCTCGGGAAGAAGTTGCGGCTGAGATGATAAGCTGTGGTTTTCCTGTTGGGGGGAGGTCGCAAACTTATTTTCATCGGCTTGTTTCCGAAGAGAATCACGGCTCGACCTCGACCTCAGCAGTTGCAGAGGGGCGCCTGCACCCTTCCACGGGCGGCCACGTCGCTCGACGACAAATCCCGTGGAGTTGAGTTGATGATTGAGGTCGAGGGTTCGTAACTGGTCTTCGGGAAGTCGGCCAACAGGTTCTTGTGGCGAGGGGGTAAGTGATGGGTCGGAGGAGTCCTTGGGCCCCGAACCAAAACCCAGGGCCTTGAGACGCGCTGCTAAGCCGGGACTCGGTTTCCGACGCTGGAGAGCGGTGGACTTAGCGGTCGGGGGGGTAGCTTTGTCGTTGGTCTCAGAGCAAGCAGTGCCGTCGATAGCAGTCGAGCCGTTCTGTCGCAGGGAACCGCCGAAGGAATCGAGCTGAAGGAGGTCTGATGACAGATCCGAAAAAGTCAGGATGGGCTCTGGCGGAGCACGGGCGACATGTTGTCGATCTGGCGCGGGCGCTGATGTGGGCGCTAGCAATCCCGGTTGGATTTTCTGGGCCAAAGGAGCTTGACGGCTGCTATCTTGGTCGTGATGGGCGAGAGGGGAAGGGGACGAGGAAGAATGAGAGGGAGGATGAGGCAATAGAGCCAGGGTGGTGGTGGATAGACCTGTCATTTACACTACCTCCTACTACACTACACCTCTTGCTGTGCCTGGTGTGCCTGGTATGCCTGCTATGTCTGGTGCTGGACCCAATCAATATGTAATATGTGCAGTATAGGCCGGCCGAGAGGTTAGGTGGTATAGGCGCAGTGACAGCGGCCAATCAAGTCTCAATCAAGTTGGACAGCGAACAACATCCGAGCAATCGCCTTTTCGAAAATGTGCCGGGGCCGTGCCAGTTGCCGTTGTTACCTTGTGCGCAGCGAGCAGAGCGGATGGAGCATCGTCGAAGTGAATCTTGCTTGTTCCCGGTGCCTAATTACCTAAGAAAGGTAATCGTAGAACAACTTCCAAGTTACGACGGGGGGATTGGGTGGAAGGATTGAATGAATACCTCAAAAGAACAGGCAGGTGTACTGGTGGATTATAGGGGATCCCACAGAGGCACACTCCCTATCTACGGTACCTAACCTTTGGCCAGTTGATTGCCTATTGGTAACCGCTGAGAGCCACTATTGTATCACCTAAAGTGCTCTAAAGGTTTTAATAATAACCAGGGCCAGTTAACCTCGATGATGATGATGGTGATACTGTGGGGTCCTTTAAGATGGTCTGGTTGCGTGGGGTTGGCTTTCAACTTGTTAACTCTCTCTCTCTCTCTTTTTCTTCTTCTTCTTCTTCTTCTTTTTTTTGGCCCCTTCTCTTTACCTGTTCGTTCGAACTCATTAGCTGCCCTGTTCAATTGGCTGTACAGATGTAGTAGTTCCCGTGCGCATGAGGCGCCAATGCATAATTACCTACCAATAGTGTAGGTACCCAAGCTGACCTTCGAGCAGACCTGATTGCTGTTTGGTGGGATCGATGAGCTAATAGGGGTTCTCTATTAACTCGCTGCAAATTGGTCTCCAATCCTTGTCTGGCGACTTGCCTTCTCTGGAGTAGCTCTAGAGAAGTAGACAAGTTTTACCGATAGTGGTGTACTTGTATATGTTGATCGATATTGATGGGAAATATTCAAAGGTTTTGTTTTCTTGTTCGATCAAATTCTCGATGGCGTCTGCTGCAATTGATTGAGTAAAGTCCGCTAGCTCCCTGGGGATCAAACGTGTTTCGATTTCGCGGCCTGGCGAATCCGGCTAAGTATTTATGCGACCTTCAGCCCTAGCTGTGCAAATACATGTATAAGTTGCTAAGAAACGAATAAGGGGAAATATGAGTAGGAGACTCGTTTCAGAGATTGGGGGGAAACAGATGGAGATAAAAAGAGAGTGATCGAGCACAACGAACGACCAGCCTTCTCTCGACACGATTCAACATCCCTTGTGAGGCTGGTTGGTAGTCGTTGGCTGGAAAAGAAATACTTGTCGTACAAAACTGACAGCCCTCGACACATGGTAGGCCAAATAGGCGAAGGGCGCTCTGTCGATGGCCGCAGGGCCGATGAAACATTCCCCATCGTCTGTTACCATTTGTACGAAGAGCTATCCTCTGTATACCTACACACACCATTGAACCTGCCTGCCACTACTGCGACCGACCCTCGTGGTTTGCACTCCGATGCCTGCTTTGCCTACTTGGTGATAGAGCAGCAGCCAATCGGATGCGATGCATCAAAGGGATGAACCATGCTAGGAGCGTGATGTTTGGCACTTCGCCTTGATATTGATGACGACGGAAAGCCTCCATGCAGGAGATAATATCGAATCTACATATACATATAGACTGTTGGCAATGGGACGATGGTGGCACAACAACAGCGTATTAGCCTACATATATAGTAACCTTTAGTGTTCCATTCTCATAGTAGTTAGGTGGTCTCTTGAGGTATACGGGAACACAATCAAAATCATGTAATACTGGTCGCTAACCATCTACTGTACGAGTACCTATCTCGTTGTGTCCTGATACACCATTGCAGAACAACCACATACCTACAATGGTAGGCATCATAGCAAGGGTTGGCGGGGGACATCATGGCCTTGCTTTTTGCGACCATCGGTGGCAGCTAATTGCGGGAGATCGGCATAAGAAGTAAGCTAATATACAATTTCGTCGCATCGATCATGGTCTGGCAGTCAAGTGTATTGAGAAGGCGTCAAACTTCTTTGAGGATAAGACCGTCTACCATGCACAACAACTAGGTATGGGAGAATATGATATCCATCCTCAGTCAAAGAAGTCAGCACGCTTTCAGGCTCTCATCTTTCGCGAATTGTCAATCGGTTTGTTCGAATCCAGCCGGCTTGCAATTCTGCGTGGAATAGTCGCTACTGGGGGACGCCACCTAAGCTCCGACCACTTACTAGTAACCACAACATCGATCCATCGGTCTGATGGGTTACGCGAATAATGATTTATAATGACTCAGTAACAGGCATACTCTACAGTAGGTCGGTAGATTTATATATCTATATCTAGACCCGGCACGGCAGCTGGTAGATCTGTATTGCTATGAATAGCCTACTTACTTATGGAGGTGGATACGTACAGATTTGAAAGCAGCGCTGCGTACTCGGTACTGTAAACGTTCGAGGAATGTCATCAAATCTTGTTGCCCGGACAAGTCGGCAGGCCTTAATTTACTTTGAATGCCGAGATTGTTTACTTTGTTCTGAGAGAACTGACAAAGCCCAACTCGCCAAACATGTACAAGCTCCCATCACGACAAGGAAGCAATATATAATGATAAGAGCATCATCATTACGCCTTTCAAGACCCGGGCGGTACGGCTTTTACAAGGCATTGTAACTACTACAACAAGAGCATTAACGCAACAGCTAAATGACTTCCTTTATGGTACGCGTATCGTACAAAGTCCGACGCGATCGGAACGGCAGCAAACAGCGCAACTCTGATTGGTAAGTGTGCGCACCACTTAGTGTACACTAGTAATAGGGCCCTGGCCTCTTGCCCTGACCAAAGGCATTTAGCACGTAAGCTAAGCACCTAAGAATAAATTACGGGTGCAAATCTCCAGGTCGCTGTCTCATTTCTCCGCTCGGGATCAATGATCAATGATGGAGAGATACTTACACCGCCGGTACTGAAGCACTCCTCGTTTGCTAGAATACTCACCATTGGTATACTTCAAGCAGAGGTACCTATCAGGCCAGGACAGAGACAGGACCCGGGACATGTACCTATCTCCATCTCTCTGTTGGAGATACGGTCTCTCCACCCCTCCCTCCACCTAGGTAACCTTCCACTAGCATCGAACACATGAACGAACAAGCCAGACTCAAAGGGGTAAGCCAAGGTCATGGCAATGACCCCTTATTGCTTTATTGCTCGTTGCTTATTGTCTGCAAATGCACACACGATCATTGTTTATAGGTATCTTGTGGTCTTCACAGCTTATTCTTGATTATTGTTCCCCGATTTATTATGTGTGCGAGCTTCTATCCATCTATATTAATACCTACACTAATGCTGACCTGCCTGCCTGTCCCGTGGTCTTTGCCTAACCCGACACATTTCGTTCATGTTTCAGTCTCCAAACTTTGTGTTCCTTGCATAATAGAATAAACCCTCTCGCCTTCTGAGGTTCTACCTACTCTTCTCCCACCCCCGACTAATCCACCTCTTAACCCACGTCGCATCCGAAACTCTGCCACGTTCGAAGCTGTGGAGCAGCTTCATTCTACTGCGACTTTCCTTCAAGTTCTGTTTGACAGCGTTACACCCGACTGCCGACTTTGCCAGACCTTTCTAGCATTACACCACTCCTTTCGGGTCTTCGTCCTAGACACCTAGCTCTCGATCATCTTGTGCTTGGTGGGCTTGAATACCGAGATCACTGACTGTCTCCTGCGGTAACACGACGACAAGATGGCTGCCAGTCACGACAAGCCACCCACTCTACGTTGCGACTCGCCTTCGCCCGAGTCGACTCCCATGCGCACTCGAGACTCGCGAGCGCCCATATCACGCTGCTTATCCACAGGCTCTTCCATATCGCGGGCGTCGAGCACAGATGGTTCCTACAGAGACTCTATAGGCAGCGAGCCGTACTCCCGCAAATCATCCTCGAGCTATCAGTCGCGGCGGTCTGATATTAGCTTCGCCTCCTCCCGTCAATCCAGTCTAAACTTGGAAAGGCCACCTAAGCGTCGCGGCTACTCAAGACCACAAGGCACCGATTTTGCCGCAAGTGCAAGGCACAGAGATAGCGTGCTGAGCTTGGGAAGTATATCACATCTGCAGTATTACTTTGCCCGGACAGGTCTCTTGGATGGGAAAGGTGGGCAGCTGGCTAGGAAACGGCACCCTAAAGCCACCTTGGACCTGTCATCATTGGATAGCTCTCTATTGAGCCCCAAACTTGGGCCACTGGATGGCGATTCATCATATGCTTCTATGGCTAGTAGTCCAGATCTGCCAGCGCAGAACTTCGGCGAGGAGCCTATGGTCGAGTCGCCTACTTTTGACCATGATCGTTTCGACTCAGATGAGTACGAGGAGGTGGAAGTTGACATGTTGCCACCAACAACGAGTACCTACATGCACAGAGAAAAGCCGATTGTCAAACCGCCCACGATTGAGGAGCTGAAGTCCAGTCTCACCAAAACATTGGATGACGCAGCTAAAGTTTTGAAGGAAATTGTGTCCTCCCCTACAACGGCTTCGTCGCCGCAATCTACCACCGCGTCCCCAAAGCCTGGGCCGAGCTGGTATGAGATCCAGGGTATGCAAGTACTTGATGTGATGACGCTAGCAATTCAAGCCGCCAAATTGTATTATACGGCACATGAGCACCCAGACCGTTTGGACACCATCAAGTCGGAAAAGGAGATTCGAACCGAATTGCTCTCTGTCATGGAAGTACTGAAGCATACGGCGACTAGGAATTTCGCTGGCGGGTACCGTGAGGATGAGCTGAAGGTGATGACATCGTGGATCGCTAATATTCGCGCAATGTTGCAGAAGGATGAGGAATTGGAGACGGCTGAAAAGACTGAGAGGACAAATTGGACGTGGCTGCAGGGTGACTGGACAGGTCGCGAGATCGAGCGTGAAATTGCATTTCTATCGTCCATCGATGGCGAAGCTGATCCGCTACCACCGTGGACACCCATTGATTCGGCAACAGAACTACCGACCCCATTCTTAGCAAGTCTACAGAATGGGCTCCGTCTTGTCAAGCTACACAATGCCGCTGTTAAGAAGTCGCGGCGACGCTTTGGTGCCATTGGGACATTCCATACAGATACGCAGAAGCCATATCGATGTGCTGAAAACCTGCGATATTGGATCAAAGCAGCCGAGCTGCGATGGGAGGTGGTGCTCAAAGTGGACGTGAAAGGTGTCGTATATAGTCAGCCTGAGGCCTGGAAAGACTTCGAGGCGGCTATCTGGCAGTGGTGCCGTAAAGTCAGAGAGGAGATCTCAGCTGACTGGCAGAAAAGCTAAGGCGGGCTATATAAGGCCAATACCTGCCTTCAAGGCTTTATGATCATGATAATGATAAGGTGCTGGAAGCATAGAAAGATGGATCATGTCTTACTGGGTATGAGCGAACTGAAGTATGTTCACTACATGATTCAGAGCGAGGCTGACCGGCTACATGTTATTCTTTCCCTTGTATATCTCATATTGTCATAGGCGTCATAGTAGAATATACCCAGAGCATGTGGCATGTGACTCAAGGAAAAGGAACGGTGGTACTCCATATAACGTCCTGCCCATTATTGCCCCCATTGAGCTATTAAGCACATTAAAGAACTTAACCCACCCCAGATGCGATGAATGTCTGCAGATATGGTTAGTTGTAAAGCTTGTTCATAAGAATTCAGAATGTAGTATTGTCAGATAATTGTCTGCGTCACGGTGCAGATACTGTATATGTACGGTGGTGGTAGAGAAACAATTACAGCCAGTAAGTCCCTATTTACTATTTAGTACCCATGTATCTAAAAATCGGGTCTACTAGCCTTGCAGGCACCCCAAGCTGTTCGTCATCTTTGGCACCTACTGTAGACGGACAGAGACAACATCTGTTACCAGCCTCGGAGCCTCCCGCCGTCGCCTCGCAATTAAGCTTCACCACTCTTCAATTGTTCAGCATCACCCCGAACCAACTCAGCATACTAGCCCTTCTTTCTCCCGAATTCGCCTGCATTTTCCGTATCATCCAAAACCAGCATAACACCACTTAGATCTCTAGCGAACAGTAGCAATGGCTTCCGATCAGGAAAGAGAGGGAGCCCTGCAAGCTCTCCGGTCCAAACTTATCGAGTCGCGGGAGTGGGAATCAAAGCTAAAGGCACTACGATTAGAGATCAAGGGTCTAGAGAGAGACTACAACCAGACGGAAGAGAACATAAAGGCACTCCAAAGTGTAGGCCAGATCATTGGCGAAGTCTTGAAGCAGCTGGACGATGAGAGATGTAAGCGCCGCGGCTGCTCTGTGACGGATCGATAAGACAGTGCACTGACTTACTTCCTCACTTCCACAGTCATCGTAAAAGCGTCCTCGGGCCCTAGGTACGTCGTCGGCTGTAGATCAAAGGTGGACAAGGCGAAGATGAAGCAAGGGACCCGTGTCGCCCTAGATATGACGACACTTACCATCATGCGGATGTTACCGCGCGAAGTCGACCCCCTCGTCTACAACATGTCGCTAGAGGACCCCGGCCAGGTCAGCTTTGCGGGTATCGGTGGTCTCAACGATCAGATCAGAGAGTTGCGCGAGGTTATCGAGTTGCCCTTGAAGAACCCAGAGCTATTCCTGAGAGTAGGCATCAAGCCGCCGAAAGGTGTGCTATTGTATGGTCCTCCGGGAACGGGAAAGACTCTACTAGCGAGAGCCGTCGCCAGCAGTTTAGAGACAAATTTCTTAAAGGGTATGGCCATTCCATGCTTGAAAGTTCCCCCTCAAACACGGTAACTAACATACTATCCTCGCGTACAGTGGTATCATCAGCTATTGTAGATAAGTACATTGGGGAGTCAGCGCGCTTGATCCGTGAGATGTTCGGATATGCGAAGGAGCACGAGCCCTGCATCATATTCATGGACGAGATAGATGCCATCGGTGGACGTCGGTTCTCGGAGGGTACCAGTGCCGATCGAGAAATTCAACGGACGCTCATGGAGCTCCTGAACCAACTCGACGGTTTCGATTACCTCGGCAAGACCAAGATCATCATGGCCACCAACCGGCCCGACACTCTAGACCCAGCGCTGCTACGTGCCGGACGTCTCGACCGTAAGATTGAGATCCCCTTGCCCAACGAGGTCGGCCGCCTCGAGATCCTCAAGATTCACGCCCAGAGCGTCGTGACGGAAGGCGACATCGACTTTGAAAGCGTCGTCAAGATGAGCGATGGCTTGAACGGTGCGGATCTGCGCAACGTCGTAACCGAGGCGTACGTATTTCCACTTTCTAAACCCCCATCCATGCTCGACAGCTTGCTAACCATATCCCCCTCATCCAGCGGCCTCTTCGCAATCAAGGCTTATCGCGACGCCGTCAACCAAGACGACTTCAACAAGGCCGTGCGGAAACTAGCAGAGGCCAAGAAACTGGAAGGCAAGCTCGAGTACCAGAAGCTGTGAGGACTTGGGGGGTTTAAGTTAGATAGAGAACGATAACGGGAAGTCATGAACACATAGATGGGGTTAACTACGTAGCGCCCGAGAATCTGCACGAGAGAAAAAGAGAGCTTATTGACGGACTGATCAAGGGTGATTGGAATCTGCCTCTGGTGCAACAATGTGTACTTCTATGGAACCTATATCTAGACATTACCTGCCTGTCTGTCTCTCTGTCTGTCTCCGCAGACACGGGACGAAAGAAAGTGTTCGTCGTTTACTGGCTCCGGTGAATCGGGGTACGTTTTGATGAGATCTGACTTTCCTCTGATCTGTGATTTTTTTTTTTGACGTTCGTTTATTACTTTGTGCTTACCGTGTTATGTGAAATGGAAAATGGAATGCATGTCGCTCCTAGACTGAGAGTAGGTAGGTATATAAGGTTCTACCTATCTATCGAATACCACTGTTCGTGGTTGATGTTGAACTTGTATTGACTCTTTCTTTTACGGGGTTGTATTATTTTGATATGAGGTGAGCACGTCTGTACGGACGGGGTAAACTTGTCTTGTGTTCGTGGGATGGGTGGGTAGGTAGGTAGGTAGGTAGGTAGGTAGGTAGGTAGGTAGGTAGGTGTAGGATCTTCTGCCTGTCTGTCTGTGCCTCGTTGGATGATGGATGTGGTATATACACTGAGCTGGAATATGATGCTTTGCTTCTTGTTGTTGGATTGGGTGTTTCGAGGGTTGGGGCTAATGTGTGTGTATGTAGGTGTGTGTAATGGTCCCTTCACACACAGGCTCTTCTAACTCTCTAGCGGGCGCACATGGGCGAGTAATTACCTACTTATATAAGTGTCTTGTTAGATATCGCTTACCTAGGGAAGTAGATACCAGTATTGGACAACTCAAGTAGATAAAGAAGAGTTCATTATCCCCGTATTACATCTGATTATGTCCTAAGTGCAATCTCAATATCTCCGGGTCCTGTCCGGGACCATATCAAGAATAAGTATGAGTATACACATATACATAATACCAAAGGAATAAGCGACTATATACACGCCACGTAAGTTGCAGCGGATGTAGAAACGTTAGGGCATAGTATCTATCCCACGGCATCGGTGCGGAAATCATGTTCTTCCTTCGAGACAGACCTTGATTACATCTGGAATCGACATACACCCTGCACTTACTCCTATGCTAATACCGTCGGCTAAGAATTATCAAAGAGTTAGATACTTGGTATTTCCCCCCTAGTCAGTATGTTTAGGTATCTCTTGGTTATTGGCGATTGGGTGTATACATATATATAGAAAGAATGAATGAATAAATAAATGAACAGAGAGATAGGTAAATAAATATGTAGATACCATATGAATTGGTACGGATAGGGTTACCACTTATACTCCCCGCCTCTTGCACACTCCATCTAGGTCTACATTATTATTTTTTCTGGACTGAAGTATCGGAATGTCGAGTCACCCATTGATAACCTTGTAGTTATACTCTTCACGTGAGATACCCAGCCTGCCACTGACATCAAGTAAATGCATAGACGACGCAAGCGAGAGCAGTGAGGTGCAGTATGTCTTACCTGAACCAGACAGCTTTAGATGTAAGATATATAGATACATGCACTCTAGTCACGTATCATCTAGCTCTATGTGAACCGTAGTATGTATATACATGTAGTGAAGAGCCAACAGATACACGTCGCCAGCGAGGTCATGAAATAAGCCGGAATAGAATCATTCCTGGCACGTGGGAGGCACGTTTGAAATGGGAGTCGAACTCTATAAAAATGCGGAGTTGAGCTGAGCGAGCTGAGATGCGGCTGATAAAGACTGCCTATGATCCAGACTTGAGCTCTTCTGAGAGAGAGTATGTGAGATTTCGCCTTGCCTGAATGCGCGGCTGAAGAAGCTGTGCTGGTTGACTTGTTGCTCACGAACTAGACTGATAGCTTGCAGCACGTGGGATTAAGTCAGACATAATGTATCAATGTTGCTTAGGTCTGAAGCCAAGGCTCGTAAATTCCTGTTAGAATCAATAGCTCGAGTAGTTGGCTGTTAGTCTCAGAAGGCGATGTTGATGTCGTGAGCATTCAAAACCGGTGCAAAACAGCGGGCGGGAGGAAGTGCACCAGAATGCTCACGAAGAAGCTTCCCAAATGAATTTTTCTCCAAGCCGCATGATCCAAAAGGCGGCTCGGCGGCGAAGTTGCTATTCTTGGATCAACGTCCCTCTCCGCTATGGTGGCTAGCATTGGCCGAATTGCCCTTTTCTGGCGCTACAAAGCCGGCGGACAGCTCCGCCAACAACGCTTTTGGCCGGTGGGCCTAGGGACCTTGTGGCTATGGTTTTGCCGAAAGATCCCACTTCGCTGGATGTTATAGCTCGAATACTAAATTGGCGCCAGGCACCTTGAGCTCGTGGCGGACAGAGTCATGGGTTAGGGAAAGTGTCGACACCATTACGAGGACTACTACCTAACGTGAATCGGCTATGATTCGAAGCGCGCGTGATTATAACAGCTTCCGAGTGGGTTCGCGCCTTTGTAGGTTAGTTATTGCCTTGAAGGCTTTGTAAAGAGGTTGGCGATATCTATTGAGATTCTAAACAAAGGTGACCAATCACCAGCATTAGTTGATAATGCAAGCTAGGTGGGGTAATGCGTAGAGGCGCCCTTTTTTGTTATCGGCCGAAAGCTAACTAGCAAACTGCTGGGTTCTTTGGAATGACCCGTCGACTGTGTAGGATTATTCACATGGAAGTTGGCTAAGGACTATACGTAGGCCTTAGGATTGGTGGGATGCCGAACGATTCAAGGTCTGAGGTGAGAAGCTATCGTCCTGTCTGACAAGCAACGATTAGGTTGCTGCCAACGATGGTTTCCTAGTAAGGTTAAGCTTATCGTAACAGACAGGTAAAAGGACCAATATTATAGGCTGTAGGAGGTAGTCTAATCGAAACCAGGGCATGTGTACCTGCGTATTTCATTGAATTTGAAGATAGGTAGGACAGGTATTCCATATTCCAGATATTCTCGTATGACGACATGTCGGGAATAGAGGGGACACAATACCAAACAACGGACGTTTGCCCTAATGTACTTCAGTATCCTGTACTTCAGATCCCCCTTTTTTTTCTTTGAAAATGGCGTCACTGCTCGTGTTCGCAGACTGATCTCCATGATTGTCGCACGGAATTGGTAATAGCTAAAAGCCAGCGGGTGTTTACATTCGCACATGGTCGTAGTTCCGATGAAATAGGTAGCGTACCTATGTAGTGCGAGCTGCAGTGCTTGCAGCGTAGCATTCGACCGCGCCGCGGGTGTGGGCGCCCAGAGCTGGGATCTGCTGATAGCTAGCTCGGCTAGCTCAGGCACAAAAAAAGCTGTGGCCTGCACCACGATACCAGACCATACATACCAATAACATGTAAGCCAGGCGAGCAGGCTGTACAGCCCCAAGAGCAGGGTCTGGACCCCGGTCCCAATTAGCGAGAAGCGGCGGCATCTCAAGTCTTGCTGGCCTGGCTTTGTCAGGGGTGCTACCCACAACGCCCACTGAACACGAAGAGCTGCCGGTATTGGCGATGGCGACGGCTCCAATTGCATGACATAGGATTTGCACTACGTGAAAAAACAGCCAGGTCCATTCAAGCAACGACGGTATGCCCGACCAGCCCGGCAATGGCATGTCTTTTGTCGCTGAAGGGTACTATTGATTTGGACGCTATGGAGAGGCTGTGCTCAAGTCGATATCACCCTTAGGGCTCGTATGAAGATTGCTCATCGAATTTCCCATGGTACCGGTATGCTGCTATCGTAAGTACTAGGTATCGCAATGGAAGTAGCGTATCTAGAAGCCTCGCTAGCTTGCGGCACCATCGATATTGACGATCGGTGCAATTGGCGAGCACATGAAACCATTTGGTGGTGTACGTGGCTGCGATGAAACGCATAAGCTGCCAGCTTGATGCATGTGCTAAGAGGGAGGAAATCAACTGGCTGCCCAGGACATATGTAAGTAATATACCTATAGTATATAATATCAGTATTTACGTATAACTACGTAAGTAAGCTGTTCGTCTTAATATTGACGATGCGAGGTGATGAAGATGATCGAGATCCAGAGCAAATGTTCTCCTGTAGCTGGCCTGCACATGTGTATATGTAAGTACCTACGTACCTGCTTTCCAGGCCTCCCCCTCTGTTTGTGCTCACCTCAGAGTCCCAGCTTCCACCTGGCATCCATACCTAGATACTCAAGTACCTACTACCTATGTAGAAGGGAGTAAGCGACTCGTATCCGTAGATACAGCCATAGGTACGCTACCCAGTACTTCTCTGCCATGTCGCACCTCTTGTAAGTAGCCTAGACGGCCTTATGCTTTTATCTGAATGCTAGATATCTATGCCCTACATAGTACCTTATGTACTGCAGCGCAGTTAGACACATGTACTATAAAACCCAACGGCCACGCCAAATATAACTTGGAAGTATGGTACTTGTAGAATGGGTATGGGTTGTACCTAGCAGTACCTACTTTACATACATATACATACATAATACAGTAGAGGCATACTACCGGTACATGTATGCATGTGCGATATACGACAATTGGATGCGGGTACCGTACTTGAGATATGCACTTGGCCTCAGCCTGTCGCCCGGTCCACCATGAACATTGGAGGGTTGGAGGGTTTGGATTCCCAACCCCACCTAACATCATGAAGGTACTGGGTACATACATAGGTTACTTGCAACAGCCAGTCTGGCCAGAGCAGAGGGAACAAAGAAGAAATCCCCCCCGCCGCAACGCCTTTGTTACATCTAGGTAGTAGGAGAGGGGCCGGAGGTAGTGGTGGTGGTGGTAGGTACATACGTAGTATGTAGTGTGTGCTTTCAGAGCATCTGATTTGCTTGGTGCCTCCACACCACCACCACCGTCATCAGCAAGGGCGCCGATTCACCGCGTGTTGCTCCAGCTGCCGCCGCCGCTGCTGCTGCTGCATAGCAACGCTCGCTACGCTACATTCTGATCTTCGGGTTTTCCGTCTATAATACTAGATAAAGGACCCTCAGCCCCCAGACCAGTTCTTCTAGTTTGCCTTGGTCTCATTCTCTCCTCTCTCTCTGTCTGTCTCTGTCCATCTCCTCTGTCCATCTCTCGCTCTCTCTCTCTCATACCCATCCGTTCTCCTCATCCCCATCTCCATCTCTTTCAGCTCCCCTTGCTGTGCTCCTCGAGACCATACAGAACTACTGCCAACAGTACATATAGTTTCTGTTGACTACACAGATCTCCGCTCATTCCTGGTATTCTGCATAAGAGGTACTGACTGTACATTCCCGAGAGCACAATGTGGTATGTTTGACCGACTCTTTCCCCTCCCGTGCGTGCCAACCCCCCATGTCAAGCGCTCCCGTAACTTCGTCCTCGCTCTTCACCGACTCGGGCCAGAACTTGGGGCCCTCCGCGTCTCGGCACACGGCATGGTTTGCTTGTTTGCTTGCTTGCTTGCTGGCCATTCTACAAGCCCCGACTAAATCATGCTACCGTCTCAACCACACCCCTCTTTTATCCCGCTCAAGTGACTGCAGCAATGCATTCAGCCACCGCCAATTGATCATCACCGTGCTGACTCGAGTCAACCAATTAGTGGAATTTTCGGTTACATTAATTACCTGGTCGAGAAGGACAGGAAGTTTATTCTCGACACCCTAGTCAATGGTGAGATCTGAACCCCCTCAGTGGCTGTGACCTGTGGCGTTTCGTGCCCCGCGAGCTGGATTGGAAGCTAATACCACATGCTGTTCACAGGCCTTTCCCGCCTTGAATACCGTGGCTACGATTCGGCTGGTTTAGCGGTTGATGGCGACAAGAAGAACGAGGTCCTCGCATTCAAGGAGGTTGGCAAGGTCGCCAAACTCAAGCAGCTGATCGATGAATCTAAGCCCGACCTCACCAAGATTTTTGATTCCCATGCCGGTATCGCTCACACCCGATGGGCTACTCACGGTCCCCCATCTCGGCTGAACTGCCATCCCCACCGGTAAATACATGCCAACGCTTCCATATCGCCAACGCTGACGAATCCCTGTGCTAATTTTATATTTTCTCCGTAGATCTGACCCCACCTGGGAATTCTCCGTTGTCCACAATGGTATCATCACAAACTACAAGGAATTGAAGACCTTGCTGCAGGCCAAGGGCTTCAAATTCGAAACCGAGACCGACACAGAATGTATCGCGAAGCTCGCCAAGTACATATATGACCAGCACCCACACATTGACTTTGTCGACCTAGCTAAGGCAGTTATTTCAGAGCTGGAGGGTGCCTACGGATTGTTGATCAAGTCGGTTCACTTCCCTCACGAAGTTGTTGCTGCCCGCAAGGGTTCGCCCTTAGTTATTGGCGTGAAGACACAAAAGCGTATGAAGGTCGACTTTGTCGATGTTGAGTACTCGGATGACACTGGCGCGTTGCCCGCTGAGGCTGCCTCGCAAAATGTGGCTCTTAAGAAACAGTCTGGTGGTCTCTTGACTCCCAATGCCGCTTTACTCGGTGCTCCCGACAAGTCACTGCTCCACCGCTCACAATCCCGGGCTTTCATGACCGACGATGGCATGCCTATGCCCGCTGAATTCTTCCTCTCGTCTGATCCATCTGCCATCGTGGAGCACACCAAGAAGGTCATGTACTTGGAGGACGATGACATTGCCCACATTCACGAGGGTTCATTGAACATCCACCGTCTGAAGAAGGCTGACGGTACATCCAACGTCCGCAGCATCCAGACTTTGGAGCTAGAGCTCCAAGAAATCATGAAGGGTAAATTCGACCACTTCATGCAAAAGGAGATTTTCGAGCAGCCCGAGTCAGTCGTCAACACTATGAGAGGTCGTCTTGATGTGGAGAACAAGACTGTCACCCTCGGTGGGTTGAGATCATACATTGCCACGATTCGACGCTGCCGTCGTATTATCTTCATTGCTTGTGGAACTAGTTATCACTCTTGCATGGCAGTGCGAGGCATCTTTGAGGAGCTCGCGGAGATTCCAATTGCAGTGGAACTGGCTTCCGATTTCCTTGACAGAGAGGCCCCTGTTTTCCGTGATGACACCTGCGTGTTTGTTTCGCAGTCTGGTGAGACCGCCGACTCATTGATGGCACTCCGATACTGCTTGGAGCGCGGCGCCTTGACCGTCGGCATTGTCAACGTCGTCGGCTCATCCATCTCGCTTCTTACCCACTGTGGTGTCCACGTCAATGCTGGGCCTGAAATCGGTGTTGCTTCTACTAAAGCCTACACCTCCCAGTTTGTTGCTATGGTCATGTTTGCCCTGTCTCTTAGCGAAGACCGAGCTTCCAAGATCAAGAGGCGAGAGGAGATCATTGATGGCCTGTCTAAGATCTCTGGCCAAATCAAACAAATCCTTGAGCTTGACCAGCCTATTAAGGAACTTTGCGCCAAAACCTTCAAGAACCAGAAGTCTCTGTTGCTCCTTGGCCGTGGCAGTCAGTACTCCACCGCTCTTGAGGGTGCTTTGAAGATCAAGGAGATTTCATATCTCCACTGTGAAGCTGTCATGTCCGGCGAGCTGAAGCATGGCGTTTTGGCTCTAGTTGATGAGTCGCTCCCCATCATTATGATTCTGACACGTGATGATTTGTTCAAGAAGTCATTGAATGCCTACCAACAAGGTATGAACGCCCCCTTTCCATTCAGTACGTTCGGATACTAACCAAGTTTTAGTTGCTGCTCGTGGTGGCAAGCCTATCGTCATTTGCAATCCTAATGATGAGGAGTTCCGAGCTAGCGAGGCCGAGAAGATAGAAGTCCCTAGAACTGTCGACTGTCTTCAAGGTCTTCTGAACGTTATCCCGCTTCAACTGATTGCATACTGGCTTGCTGTTATGGAGGGTTTGAACGTTGATTTCCCTCGAAATCTGGCCAAATCAGTAACTGTCGAGTAAACATCTGCATTTGTGCATTTTTAGAGCTGCGACTTCTGATTAAAGGTTGTCGACGTTCACTGCGGCGTTGGCTTCAAAAGGACTTGGTTGATGGCTGGGATGGGATAACACATAAGCGTTCTTGTTTGCCTGTGATTTACGAAAAAATTTAGACGAAGCGAATTCGTTGGTTCTGTCTCATATAGAGAGCGAGAACATACGCATACCAGATCATGTCTGGGTGGTTCACTCTGGATGCAGTACGCGGGCAGGAAGCAAACCCGAAGATGGATGACACATGTTACTAAATGATGACCTACATCACTAATAGATCGCCATGTGAAACCAATTCTGCCCCTTGGATACCAAAAAGATGATATGTACTCCTCATGTATACAGAGTCGTCTGCCAATAGCACAAAGTTTGATGCGGCGGGCATATTCTTGCATACCCCTACTAGACAGTCGAATCTGTGCACTTGCCAGTTTTCTCACTAAAACCTTCATATATACAAGCGTATAAACCGACCACTTTAGTAGTCGAAGAATTTTCTTTCTTAAAAGTGAGTACGGTTAATTCTTTTAGAGCAAGAGATATCCTCTTTCAGCAGATATGGTCAAAAACCCATGTCTGGGAGGTTTATAATTTCACAAGGCGCAGGAGCGAATGTCATGAAATGTGATGGATTATAGCGCGATGCGTATGGTTGGTAACCAACCTAGTGTTACATGACCATGTCTTAAGCTTGTAGTTTACTCTATCGCATCCTTGTCTTCATCCCATATCTAGACGTGGACTTTCGTAAAGTGAAAGGGGAGTAGGCCGATGCCGCGGTATCCTAGGTAGGTAAGTAGACCTTGATTTCCCACGAGGAAGTTCCCAGGTTGGGTCCTGTACGAGGCACAATCCCAAACGGAGTCCCGCCTATCCTGATCATGATATGCATCGTTCTAGTTATCTACACACCATTTAGACGATGATTATTGTCAGGTCTTTTACACGGTCTGTGTGCCGTATCCCTTGATACGGTCGGCGAAGGCCCAGCTCTGGTTCTCGAGTTTCTCGGTCTCACTCAGCTCGACGCCGTCTTTAGTCACGACGGCCAAGGAGTATGCATCTAGCGATCGAGCGTCGCGGTAGAAGAGGACCTTCATGCACTCCCGGACGCAGTCCACGGCCTGCTCGCGTGTGACGTTCGCCACGGCGGCCTCGTCCGGCACCAGGTTGCGCATGATGGGCTGCGCCAACATGCTGCCGAAGCCGGTGGCTAGGGAGGGTGAGGTGAAGGTGGTGCCGAGCAGGTCGGCGGCGGCGAGGAAGGGGGCGCCCGACTCGTCGAGGCCGGCGACGAGCAGGTGGTTCCACAGCGGGTCGAACTTGGACCGGCGGTGGTACATGAGCTTGGACAGGTACTTGTGCAGATTCCGCGCGTTGAGCGTCGGCTGGGCGTTCGAGGTCGTCGTCGTGCTCGTGTACGCCTCATCGATGGCGAGCTCCGTCAGGTGCCGGTCGAGGTACTGCATGTCCGATACGTCGCCGCCGAACCCGACGACCGACGAGTCGGCGAAAGTACGGAGACGCTTGACGTCTGTGAACCGGGCTAGGGAGCCGTAGGAGGCTAGAGATAGTTGTGTTAGTTTGGGGTGAGGACAGATAGTTGTATGGATATGAATATGTTGACGTACCTAGGTTATCAGCGGCGATGACGACGCCGTCCTTGAACTTCATGCCTAGTACCGAGGTTCCGGTGACGATGGGTGATTGTGTGTGTTGGTTAGGCCCGTTGTTGGGCTGCATGTATGAGGCATCATAGGCACCGTAGACATCGTCTCTGGGCTGGCAGGCTTGGATTAGCATTCGTCGTCTCGAGCTGGATGGAGGTACCCGGCAAATGGGTGGGCAGATCATGGCTGACTTACACGGCCCCAAGCATGCGGTCTGTGATCCATCTTGGTCTGAAAGAGACTGGGGTGTCTAGTGCTAGAATACGAGGAACCGTAGAGGTCAAGCGGATCGTGGGTGGTTGTGGGAGCTGTATAATCGTGATTGTGAGAGTGAGGTGAAGCTCCAGGTTGAGGTCAACCAACCCATTGCGGGAGCTTGGTTTAGGTAGGCAGGTACCTAGCGTAGGCGTAGCTGCGCGTCAGTTCTTCTGCCTTGCAACTTCAGGTTTGAATGTAACAGTACTGCTTTGTAGCTGATTGGGTACCAGCTGATTGCCAGCTGTTCTGAGCTGATGAGCATACACACTCCACATATTTCATCTACGTACCTATCATCTGCATGTAGGTAGGCTACTTGACCAATCTTGATTCTGCTTCTACACCAGATGTTGAATCCTGCAGTTTCATTTCCCAAAAAGTAAAACGAGGAGATTGGAAAAGAAACTATCTTGAAAAGCTTTTGGTTACTCAATCGAAAGAATTGCGCTTCTATCAATTCATAATGGCTGGCCTCGTAGCCTACGAGAGCAGTGATGAGGAAGAAGAGGTGAAGCCTCAACCTGCACAGCCCGCACCAGAGGTATGAGTAGACGATGAGTGTATCCTGGACTTGGTCCAACAGGTGTGAAGAACAGTACTGATTGTGGTGAGACCAGCCATTGCGGAGGACTGAAGCGGACACAGCTGACACAGACAGCATACAAGGTACGTTAATCTCAAATCCAGCACTAACTTTGAAGCTCTTCGTCCTAAACTTGGCTTTGCTAGACACTACTACAAAAGAAACTCTCAAGGGCTCACAACCTGACATAAAATTAGACGAAAAACATTCCATTTATGGGCCACAATTAGGGCCTACTTCAGGACCCAGCTTCCCACCATTGGAAGAAGACCCAACAGCTGTAGAACTACAGCTACCCCCAGGATCTCCATATACGGCGACGCGTGCGCTGTTGCGTGACCTCACGCTACCCACGGTGCCGGACATGGACATCCCACCTTCGCCGCCTGGATCACCTTCTGCAGTCACGAGCAAGAAGTTTGAGAACTTCCTTGAGCTGAAGAAGAAGGGGGTGCATTTCAACTCACGATTAGCTGACAACACATCAATGAAGAACCCAGCACTTGCGGATAAGCTCCTGGCGTTCGTCGAGCTTGATAATCGCGATCAGTATCGTACCACGCTACCTGTCGACCTCTGGGACCCGGATATGTTCCCTAGACATGCGTATAAGGAGCAACTGCGTCAAAGCCAGAGTGAAAGCGCGCAGGCGAAAGCGAGGCCAACGGGTGCACCTGTCAAGTTTGTACCATCGGAAACGTCCACAAAAGATAGTAAAACGCCTCAGCCACCGAGCACAGGGACACGGAAGACAAGATTTGACGCGTGAGGGATGGATAGACGATTGGATCCTGGACAGTATCCACCACAGTTGAAATGACATAACTAGCCTATGCTTGTCGAAGATACCCAAACAACTGATTTTTACACCTGCAGGCCTACAATCCGGGAAGGCCTACATAATCATTGCAGAATTTTTGCACTTAGCGTAAGCCGCATTCACATAAAAAAGAGCACTCAATTCAAATCAAATTCAGGTTGTCGATAGTGGTAAACATATGAAACTGCTATTTATAGACCAAAATGTTCTTCGGTCAAGGATATAAAATATTGATACAAAGAGCGTGCTTATTCCTTCATAATCATTCCCGGTCCCTTTCAGCTAACGCAAAGCAATCTTGAGAAAACAAATCGCCTGAAAACTTGTCAAGCTAACAAAAATACCTAAGCCGTGGTCCCATGCCTTCCTTGGACTCGGTCACATTCTTCCAGGAACCGGTATACGCCCTCTAACCCTTCGAATTCTTCAGAGCAATGCTCGCCTGAGCTCACAGGAGGTGGTGACATGGACTCATAGCCTTCTGGATCAGAGATGGATAGCCAGGGGTTGCCATCAAGCCCATCGAAACCCTCGAACAACTCGTATTCATTGGGAAAGCTATCCTCAGACCTGAGCGACCCGCCAGGAGATGTCAATGCCAACAACTCTGGACAACCAGTTACTTGAACATTCGGTGCATAAGGAAACCTCAATGCTAGAGGTACGCCCATCTCAGATCCGAAATTCGAATCCTCGCGGACAATTCCCCGCGTAAGACCGAGGTCGTCGCATAGAGTTTCTACTGTGTCAGCATCGACGCCAGGGAAGCGAACACGCAGGATGAAGTCTTTCTCCAGCTGAATAGGAAGGTCTCCTAGCGTCGACAGTTTCTTAATATCGGCTAGCGTCGAGGTGAGATCCTTGAGAGCCCTTGCAAAGTCTACGGACAGCACATCAAGGAAGCCTTCGGTGTTGAGAGTTGTGGCATCATGCGCTGGGGCCTTGACACCGGCAGATGGGTAGGGAAATCCACCAGCCAGAGGGCTGAGCGAGGTGATGACCGGGTTTAGGCGGAAGTCGACGTAGGAGCCCGCGACGTGGTGGGGCACCGAGGCCATTTTCCGGGAGGCCTCATCTTGCAGGGCCGATACAGCGCGGTATCGCTTCTCTCCACGATGATTCAAGCCATCGAACTGTGCCTTTTGGCCGGAAATCCAGAACGCTCGCACCGCTGCAGATACATTCTGAAAAACTTGTGCTTGCGAGGCGGGTGCATGCGAAAAGTACCGGGCCCCACCAACACGTCCCGAACCAAGACCATAGCCACCGGCTGTACGAGGAAGCGCACCTCCTGTAAGGTTCGGCCGCAAAGTGCTCGCGAAGGGAGCCCGACCAGTGATCTGAGAAACTGCTTGGCCGGTTCGGGTGTTGAGGAACTTGGATCGATTGATTTGTGGAGTTTCACCAATTCGGCCAGTGCTCATGAATCGGCGCACAGCGGCGTCGATATTCTTGTATGTGGAAGTGGTCGAGTGCCATCGTCGGCTCTTCTGCTGGCGGAGAAAGGCATTCGGATGGATGGGATGGCGAGGTTGTGATCGGACAAGGACGGGTTCGACCGCGGCGTTGACGGGCCGTGTAATGGTTGCAAGCTTGCTTCGTATAAGCTTGGTCGCTTTATAGGCGGTGCTACGAGCAAGCCGCAGGGCTAGCGGTGCCCATATGCCACCAGAGGCGACCATCGTGTTCGTATGTCGCAGTCAAAGCTGCGATTTGGGTAGAAGTCGCTGGTTGAATGGCGGTGGGAGGGAGCGCCAGTGACAAGGACCCTGAGGCTTCTTAAACCCGCCTCGGCCGACGTTGGGTGCCGCACCGTACACGTAGCTACGGTGTGGCTGTGTGCCAAGCTTTCGCCACACACCAACCACACAAGGGTCGTCCCCCACCTTCTTCCAAGCATACTCCAAGCTAGACCAATCCAAGCTTAGTGTATGTGGGACACCAACTAGACCCATCCAACCTACTATTTTTTCTCAGATCGCGAAATTTAAGCTCCTACTTTCCCTCAGCTTCATACTTTTTCATTCCAACGTCGACCCTCCGCAGATGGCATTGCCACCTTCAGCGCGAGTCGTGCTTGGACCATTCACCTTTCGGAACTTAATACTTGCTCGAACAGCATCCAAGACCCTCAATTGTAAGTCGATAATCCGTTAGATTCTACACTTCCACATCAAGATTTGCTGTGATTATCAAACAAACTTGAACAATCCAAATCTTACCACAATACCATGGGGATACCCAAATGGAATAACATGAGCAAATCACTTCCCTTGGGTCCCATCCGTCGCAGTCAAACCTGAGCCATCAGCTAACAGCGGCGACAGGTCGTTAAATAGACATCCAACCGATGTTGAACATCACACAGTTGGACGGGCGAGCTCTTGGGGGACAGCTATGTCAAATATCTAAAAGGTGAGCTTGAAACGTTTTCGCAATTCTTCACGCTTCCCCGAGGGATGATGAAAATTACGACAAACCTAGGAATTCCTCTTTCCGAATACATAATGTCGATTTGTTTTTTTAGTTTCAGCCTTGTCTGACCTCAGTCATCGCGTCTTGTTAAGACTAGCAACGCTCTGTTGTACCATTAGCTAACTGTCGCGGTTCTAGGTATGCCATAGTTCCCCATACATACAGTGCTTTCACATGAGGATACTTTGAACGAACGGGCGGACATAAACGAACCTGCGGCCCTCTCTCGTCAAAACAAGGCCGTACAACCCTTGGAGTGGAGGTCGTCGTAGACTTCTTGTTGAGACTTCGTCAGCTGATTGTGCTTCGCCATTGCCGATATACTACCTATCATCAGCTGTTCCTGTTACTAACAGCGCTTGATAGGTAAATATTTCTCGTATTTGTCTGCGTATCCAAACCCTCTAAAATGATGAGCACTATTCACACTGTTTGATCCTATCCATTGGATATGGAAATGAACATCATAACAAAATCTGATTTAATGAGGTTAGTACCAGCATATGTTGTATTCTTACAAAAGATTTTGCTAACATAACATCTAGCCTGACATATGCCATTTATACTGCGAGTTTTGCTACTCAGTATATACGATCACTGACATTCCGTCTGTGTAGGTAATATATTTCATGAGAAAGCAGTGTTTTCGGCGTTCTATTAGGGTAAGTCGATGTCTTCGTTCCATCACCTGTGTCTGGCACAGCGTGGTTTTGAGTTATGAAGAACCAGTAAAGCTGATTTATATAGCTATTCCGACGAAGTTGTATAGCACAGTTGTGGATGCGTGTCTTGTGTGTACAGGATGTTGTTTAATAAATACAATATAATACAAGATAATTTCTTCTAAGCGTAGACTATTATCAATTTGTCAAGTGTTCTTCGTATGAATGATACGGGATAAGATGGCGTTGGCACGAATTTTCGGTGCGCAGTAGTCGATGCGTAAACCTAGTTCCGTTCATACCGATCTATGCTATGCAAGTCTCTCACCTTTGGAACATTACGTCTAGTCTTACGGCTTATATTGAGGTTTTAGCCTCATTATCATCGTCACAGTATGATACTGTGAAGATACGCGTACTTGGACGATGCGGGGTCAGGTCAGATGTGCAAGCACAGCGGTTAACTAGCATCCCTCTCCTTGCTTCAAGCAGATGTCTGCTTAGTGATCATAGTGTCGATCTACGAGTCACTGATGAAAGTGAGCACCTGATTCCGCAGCATCATAATACAGGGTGTCAGAGAGGTACAAAGGCCGATCTCAGCAGCTGTCTAACCTTTAACAGCCCATCTCTAGATCGACGCGACAAAATGCGGGGTAAGCATGACAGGGCAGACAGCTCGACAGGGGAGACCCTTCAGAATGGGCGAGATGGACGACGGTCAGAGAGCATGGACGCTGCTCGACTGGGATCAATCCCCGAACAGTCCGCATTGCAAACGGCCTGTTCATTGTGGCAACGTAAGCGCCTCTCCCAGCTAGGGAGTCGAGGGAGTAGGATCCTAAGCCGAATCAGAGTTCGACGCTTGCTGACAGTAGCCCCTCATTGGTGAAGTCATCACTGGGCGTCCTTGCTCAACCACTGACGTCTCTACGAGGTACTACCATCTACTCTGATCTAGGGACTGTACGCACAGCAGCTGTCGCATGACAAGCAACACTATCTGGGGCGATCTCTGGCCTGTTTTTGTCCGGGGCGTGCTAGGCGATGCTGGCTATTGGATGGGATGGAAGGTGTGGGAGGTGCGGGCGCACTGGTTCAATGATCCAAGCACACAGTAAGAATGGGGGGAAGCTTTGGCTTTGTGTGAGCATAGGTATACAGTACTGTCTTTGGGAAGTAGGTAGGCATGGACGGCTCTTTATTAATAGAGAAGCTCTTCCCCGCTTCGAATGGCATGATTGATCATCTACTTTTCCATCCTCCATAATCGAGATTGATACTCTACTTCCTAGCTACATACCTACTCTACTGTGTGATCACTAAGTAGTCAGATTGCGACAGCAGACTACCTAGATCCGAGATATTCTGCTCTGCTCTTATCATTTGATCAAGCTTCACCAGATTTCCATTCATCTTCCCGCGATCGAGACAAGATGGATAAGTCCAAAGCACCCGCCGGCCAGGGAGTACAGCAAGACAACGCGACTGCATCACGTCGTAGAAGAGTCAGTACCTATTCTCTCTATCTCTATTTACGCCCCGTTTCCCTTTCGATGTCTCACTGCGCTTCTTCGTGTCGAATACGTCATCAAAGCAAGAACAGCTACCTCTGCAGTATTTCATGACTGCCAATCAAATCAATATCGGCACACGAGACTCAACGACACCAGGAAGTAACATGTAACTAACATACACATGAACAGAGCTCTGGTCCCTCTTACGACAGCCTCATGAACTACAAGCGCTCCAATGACCCTGGATCATCAGCCCGCCGCCAGAGTCTCCACGAGCAGAAGCCTCCGTCGGGCTTCTTCGGGGCGATGTGGCAGACGTATGCTCTCTTCCTGCTTACGATTGTAGGCAGCTCGGTTTTAGACCATTCAGGCTAACGTAGTATTAGTTACGTACGCGGTTCTGCGAAGTAATCCGATCCGAAACCTTCCGTTAGGGTAGGCGTGAGATCAACTAGCTACCTCCCTATACATTGGTATAACAAAGAGGGAGAGGAGGAAGAGACTACATAGGTGGTGAGGTGCCTATGGATCACCATTATTATAAGAAGAGATGGGTTACGATTACGATTACAGGACGTTTACTCCGTTGCTTTCCCTATGCGTATCGCGATAATAACCCAATGTAATTAAGGGTATGCTTGAAGAGAACGGATGAGTTCGGACGTTGAGGGTCTATTGTATGAACTTTTGTGTATGATTACTTGGCTCGTTCTATCAGACAGAGAAACTCAAGACTGAATTTTGCTTCATTGAGTACGACGTATGACGCTGTGCAGTCGTTTTGGGATATATTGTCATGCGGTTAATGTTTTCTATGTACCAAGGATGATTAGATACTCGGACTTCTTAGATATAATCTTCAGATACTATAGTCGTGAGCTGGGATTTGCATATAACTATTATCAGTCATAGTATTCTTACATTACTGCTTGAGCACTGAGTGCATGTAAACTGCGATGTAAAATTGTGCGACCTTAACATTGTATAATATGTTATTGTTCAGTAGATACTGTTACGTGTATATATTCTTCTAGATATGTTTGTTCCGCAACTGTGGCCAGCCCCCCAGAACGTTATATTAGCGAGTTAACACACCGATGAATCCAACGACTTATTTGATCATATATATCAACGTGAATATACCCATTCGTGTTTATCATGTTACCAAGTTATGGTTCCATCTTGATGCTCTGCTACCCCCTATCATTTCACTGAGAATACTATTAATCAACTGGATCCCCCTTGCACACCTATAAATCGTGCCATCGTAGAATCTTCCTCTTGATAACGCAAGGAGATATATTAACGAGTACCCACGCTGCTAGTTAAGGACTGTATAGATTAATCGAGAGTAGGTCTTCATAGGTTGCTCTTCTATGGGCATGGTTTTACGGAGTGAGATATTCATGGTCCATGAATGGTTAAGACGTTGGAGGTACTCAATTGTTTTCACATCATGTAGATCAAGGCACCCGTAGTGGAAGGCATGGTCCAGCTTGAATTTGCGACTACCCAGCTATCTACAAGTAGGAGTTCGAACGGCACCCCTAGCGATGGGTAAGAAGTCCCCTACCGGTTGCCCTCCGTTACCTAGTATTTTTATCCAAGTTTTTTTTAACATTTTTTTTTTGATCTGCCCGCCGTTGTCGCGAGGATACAGGACGAACAGTTAATGACCCCGGAAAATAGAATTTTTAATCGAGTCGGGGGCCTTTGAGACAGGAAAGCGGGCGAACCCGATAACCTGGCTACAGAGAGACGCGACCAGCCCAGCCCCAAGTCCGTGTTGAACAACTTAAAACATTGAAACAACAAACAAGACCTTTTCCTCTCACCATTCTTTTCCCCACGCCTCCGGGGCGGCCTTCTCACACACTACCTCACCACCCGTGTGAAAAGTGGCAGAACACTAGTCAGCGTGGGGATGGATTCTCCAGGGCCTAGTCCCTGATGCTGGCTCCGGAGCACAGTGCTTCTGCCGCGGCCAAGAGAAGGACGTGTAGATTTGAGCTCCTTGAAAACAAGGAGGCGACGCCTTCGCTCTCTGGCATATTGCTCTGACTATCGCGCTTATCTCCTTCAGAAAGAATCCAAGAAATGGCGGCCACCGCAGCTGCCCGCTAACACAATAATTGCAATTGCTTTCAAAATCTGAAAGTCCAACTGGTCCTTATTGGCTAGCCAGGAGCTGCCCGAGATGTAATGCAGATAGACTACATCTTGGTTGTGTTATACAACTCGATTGCCAATAAACAAAATTGCCCAGGTACTAAAATATATCGTTGCCCTATGAGTTATCGTGATCTCACTAGGTCAAAGTCGTTCCGCTAGGCCTTAAATACAGTAGGGTATAATAATCCATGGCTCTATTACACATGGTCGTAACGCATTAAGATCGTCGCTCAATGAGAACTTGGCGTGGCGCAAAGCCAAGCTCAGTCATCGAACCTCGAGTTGCTCGGTCGCAATTGAGGTCGCTGCATTGTATTGTCGTCTGAGCAGATCTCCGCAATCAAAGGAAATCCAAAGGGTATATCCATGTCGTTATCTCCAGGTCGAATTGGAGTCACAGGCAGTTTAGTGTCCATGCCCAGGACGTCAGCCATGAACGCCTTATCTCGTGAACTAAACCAGGGTTAGAATTTTAGACCGTGGGCTAAGAAGTTGGTATGGTGGCTATTTAATACTGACCTTGAGTGGCCGTTTTAAGTATCTAGACCGTCACAAAACGCCAGGGTCGGCTGTGAGCACGACCATGAGAGCATTACCATTCCAACCATGACTCATTGAGGTATTTCGTCACCGAGGATTATCGCCGATGTGCCACATATCTTTTGAACGCCAAAGTAGTACAATCCGTTCGGCTTGGTGGTGACGTGTTACTGTGTCAACGCCGTTCAAAGCCGAGGCATCTCACTCATACTCATTACGACTCGGACTCCTCTCAAAAGTCAAAGCGTTCGAAATCGCAAACCTGACAGGTAGGGCTGTTAGTTCATTGACGTAGTCCGGCAACGTTATAGGTACTGGGAATACTAACCGTAAATGGCATCTAAGCATACCAAACGCCCCAACCATGTGCGTATCTATGCTTTTGAATACCGAATAGACTCGGTGTCGACTCCCGAGTCCATCGAAAATGTACATGAAACCAGGAACCATTTCGTTCATGTCGTCGTTAACTTGGTCGTCCAAGTAGGCCTTTTAGCTGTCTTGCCCAGGACAAACGCCGGGTGCCTCTAACCTAGACTCCACGACCCCATAAGGCAGTTTAACGGTCATACCTAGGACCATCATGTCGGGATCTAACTCAGATTCCACGACCCACTGAGGCCTTTTATTGTCTCTGCCCAGGACCACGAAACTGCATGCCATCGTACTCTGGCGGACTGTAGCCCGGGAAGACCACGGGCTATTCCAGTATCGCGAGAAACGAGTCCGACTCGCTTGTGATTCGGGGTACGAATAGTTCGTGACAACTGCACTAAAGCGAGTTAGTTGATTTGACAAGCTATTCGCCCGTAGTTGGCCATACATACAAGCTACTTGTGGTTAAGGAGTGGACTGGTTACCTAGGTCGCCTTGAAGGTATGAGCGCGAGATCCCAGTTGGCTGCCCATTTGAAAGCATCTCGTCGAGTGTAGAGACATCGTCACTGCCAAGACGTCCATGGCCCCTTATCAAAGTTAGAAAGATCGCTCTAAGCCCTCCCTTGGCATCGCAAGAGAGGGCTTGATGAAGGCCTAACTATGGTGGCATGGTCTCGAGAACCAGCTGCCAGACCTAGTAGCGGTGATAAAGGACACTGGAGAATGATGTTTTGATGAAGCAGTTCCTTGGAGTATGCTCCTCTTATCTGCTGAAGGGAGGGGTGTCCGCCGATGAAGAATGGAAAGATGGGGAATTGGGGAACAAGGCGGGCGAGTCCGAGCTGACCTGTCGAAAGCGGGTACCTGTGTAGACCATTGGTGGAGACGCAATCTCGGAGACTCAGATTACCCGCATCCGGATTTACGAATCTACAGCATGTTCCCTGGCCCCTTGCTGTGACCACGACCACACTTCGAAAGGTTAAAACATATTGCGTTTGAAAAGTTCCGGCTATCGGGGTTTGCAGTGTTTCGTCATGAAGATATATAAGCCTGCTGGTTGGATTCTATCTCATGTTAGACTACGCTCCCAAGAGATGGCCCTATTAAATCTACCGCTATTAGACTCTAGCGCGATGAACGAGCATGCAAGGGTGCGTTGATATGAGATCTGATTATTGTATATCAGTTAATATCTCATAAACATTTTGGTTTTAAGGTAACGTTCTATCAATCCTACAAGGTTCTCAAATCAGACGATGGGCATATTCATGGCACTTAAGCTGGAGCCAAGCAGCGGCTCAACAAGTCTGTAGACCGCTTATGTAAGGCACTGGCACCTGGCAAGTTACGGAGGAGGGTTGATGACATTGCTAAAGTGAAGCTATAGCCAATAATAAGCTATGGCTGCCAAGGTCGTATGGTCCATTCGGATCGCTTCCTTATGAGCTTGGTGAATTGATCTCAACTCTACACAGTTGAACCGGTCTCTGAACTCCGAGGTCGCAATCATGTCTCGAATCAACGAGGGCTGAATAGCTTTATCTTCAATATGACTGAGACTGTCTTGGGTATGTCTGGTATCTGACCAAAGCGGGCCGACGGACGACGTATTATAAGGGCGTGCAAGAGGTAGAACCTCTCAAGAATAACACACTGGATGCACATCACCATACTCGCAGCAACCAGATGAACAGACTTTACTTCGATTTTTCCTTTGACCATTGCTCCAATTCCCTTAGGCATGCAGCTATTTACAAGTCCTTCAACTATCGGGCTTTTAGTTCCACCTTCAGCATAGGATCCTCTCTCCTCGAGTTATCGATGCAATACTCTGGACGCTTCTCAGGACGACCGTCCGCATATTTCATATCGTAACCAGTGATCATCTGGATGAGCGCAAATTTCAGAACCAAAGCCGCCAGGAAACGTCCCGGGCAGGCATGGGTGCCAGCACCCCAGTTTAGAGTTACGTCCGAAACGTATCCATAATGAAATTGATTCGGGTCGATCTTCTCGCGCAAGTCATAGAACCGGAAGGCGTCGAACTTCTCCGGTTGAGGATAAATGTTGGGGTCGTGGTGGACGGCATCCATGGCGAAGTGAAATACGGTCCCAGCCGGCAGGACAAATCCGTCTTGGAAGACATGAGACTTCTGTGCATAGCGCTGAACCGTCACTGGCGAAGATGTTAGCGGTGTGCACAGTACGGCGAATTGGCCGAGGTTCTCTTACTGAAGCCGACGGGGTTCACCCGGGTGCTCTCCTTCATGAAACTATCCAACTTTTTCATCGCCGCAACTTTTTGTAGTGTCCACTTGCCGCCGGAAGCCTTAACCTCAGCCAGAGTCTCATTGATTTCCGCGGTAATCTCGGCATGATACTCGGGATGGTCGAGCCAGTCGAACAAGATGGATTGCAACGTGCCAGCCGTTGTGTGTATGGATGTCAAAGTCAAGAATAGTTGTTGGTCGACAATGCCCTTTAGTGTCTTATCGGCCTTTCTTTTCGTCAATATCCAGAAAATGGTATCGTAGAAGCTTCGGCTGTCATTTTGACTAAGAGATTGTTGTCTTGCGTCATACAATGGCCTAATCAGATCTGTAGCCTCTTTTCGAATATCGTTCAGCTTTTGCGCCGTAGTGTTTTGATATTTAGCTAACCATCGCCAGTTCGGTGAGTATTTACTCCGAAGGCCCAAGGAAGCCTCGACGATTGCAAAGGTTGCTTCTATCGCGATTTTTTGCCACTTAGGGTTCCGGCAGAGCTCAGCGCCTACGAGCACATACGACATCATGCGCGAAACAATTGAGCAGGTGAGCTCGCCTCCGGCAACTGCCTTCGATTCATTTCCAGGGGCAATCTCCTTGAGTATTTGATCGGCCTCATCCCAGAGTCCATTTATCACATTATCTAGATGATGAAATTCGAGATTAGCTAGTTGAACCGACCCAAGGTTGCCACAGCATGGCAAAATAAAAATGGACAGACATCCTTACCTAAGTTCCTGTTGATGTCGAGTCTGGTAGCGTATGTAACAGCGTCGGTCTGGCGAGGCGAGTTGAAGTAGTTTAGAAGGAACAGCTTTTCTGAAAAGGTCTCGAAACTGTACAAGGACCTAGGAGCGCGTTTTACTTCTTCCAGATACTTTACAGGGAGGATGACCTGGTTGCCCAACTCGGCAACCGGGTTTGCAAACTGGAACGGAACGCCATATTGAAGATATTTCTCGTATCCCTGTCTCAAAAGAGAGCGCGTTTCACTTCTATATCGTTCAGGAGTATTATTCTCTTCGAACTTGAGCTCCGGAATATGCGCCAACCGTCGCTTCTTGGCGGCTAAGCTGTCGGAGAAAAAAGAAGAGTAGATAAGGGGGCCCACTATGGCCACAATGGCAACGACGACAGTGGCTGGGCTCAGCATCTTGACATGTCTTTACTGCGCGAATGCTACGTGACGATGGTTGGGGCTCGACCACGACATTTATGAGCGCGACTCTGTACCTGGCTACTCCGATGGTGCATACTACTCTACACTTTAGTCAGCTCAGTCAAGATGCTCTTGCATACAGATCTGCTGATTTAGGATACTTGTCATGCTGATCTGCAGATCGCACCGAATGCCGAATGGAACGGGAGTCCGAATAATAACGTCACACCTCTAATACCACAGAATCCCGTGACTTTGAATCCTGCTTTATGAGCCGAAGAGATTGCAAAATGAGGATATAGCTATTTGAATGAAAGAACGTGTCGCAGAGTATAGCAATGATGTCTGTTACAACAGTTCTTCCATGATCCTAAGCCCCAAGTTACCCAAGCTAGTGGAGTGAGCTTTAGTCAAGTCTAAAGTGCTAGAATACGCTATAAGAAATAACAATACTAACGTTGTATGATTATGTACTAAAAATAAAAAAAAGGCTTTTCTTTATCATAAGCTATTAGATTTGTCTAAGTTGATTTTTTTCTATTTCAGTTATTTGTTTGAACAGTTTCTGAAGTAGCAGAGTCTTGGTTGGGGGCGTGAGAAATCCTCATCGGACTCCCTTCTGGTCATCTTCGGCGTTTGCAAACAACGGGAATACCACTTAGTCAAACAATACTACTAATTTCTCGCCGGAAACCGCCTTTCGCTTTAGCATGTCAACACCTTCTAGCACTGATTCGAAGCTATTGCCCAACACCCTCAATGGGTGCGGCCTTATCTTGCCTTGGTCCAACACTGTCTGCACACTCTTGTACCACTGCACACCGAAGGCACGCATTTCAGGATCCTCATCTCTCTCATAACCGTCGCTAAGCGCGAGCCTGTGGCCTAGGAGAGCAGGGCCCATTACGAAGCCCACTTTGATCGTTTTGCGATCGAGAATGTAGTCAGGATACATCTCCAAGCAGGAATAGCGCCCCCCGGCACGGCCCATTGCCCCGTAGCAGAGCGCGATGCTTTTGGCATCGGTGAATGGGTCAAGTACATAAGAGAGGGAATTCTTCGTGTAAGACTTGATGTCTTTGGCGCAGTCTGGGTTGTTGTAGTCAAAGACCTCCTCCGCGCCGAAACTTTTGACTAGATCAAAGTTTCTGGGAGAGCATGTAGCTATGGGTATATGTCCGGCACTTTTACCCATATTCTGTTAGTAACGCACGAGATTCTTTCTGCTAGAACTTTACAGATACTCACAGTCTCACCAACTGCATCGCCATCGTCCCTACGGAGGAGCTACCTCCGTGCACGAGCACCGTCCGCGGCTTCGGCGCCGGCGCGTCCAGCATCCCCGGCAAAGCCAAAGCCTTGAACAGCGCCATAGCCAGTGTCGCCAGGCCCGTTACTCCGAGGCCGGCAGCCTCTTCGAAAGACATGCTGTCTGGCACTTTCAGTGTAAATTCGGACTCGGATACTATATAGTTGGCGAAGGCGCCCGATTCGGGCCGAACAGGATTGGAGCCGTGGACTGCCCCGCAGACTCGGTCCCCGATGCTCAAATTTGCCACCTCCGACCCGATTGCGACGATCACCCCCGAGAAATCGCAACCGTCGACCGCCCCAGGACAGGGGAATCGCTCGTGCATCTTGTAATCGCATGGGTTGATAGCAACGGCCTTCACCTGCACCAGTATTTCATCGGGTCGGACGTTCGGGAGCGGAGCATTGTCGTCGATGATGAGGCGGTGATCATTGCCCTCGACCACAGCGATACGCGTGGTCGGCAATGTCACAGCTCTTGAAATCTGCATACTGGAAGACGTTCGTGGAAGAAAAGCGATGTTCGGTTCTCTTTGGTAACTGGGGACCCTCCCTCCTCCCTCAAGTCTCCAACACCGTTTTATACATCCAAACGACACCGCCATGTTTCCTCCACCAAGTCCGATGGTTTCGGAGACTCGTTGGTGTCCTTTTTAGTTTGGCCGATACCGAACGCATAAAATGTCATGACTCCATATCAACACCATATAGCTAGGTAGCTTATTCTCGTGCTTCTGCAGTCTTCCCTCAAGCACGCATAATCTCTACTCAGCGTTACAATGTTGATGCGTCTCGTACCTTTCCTGGGTCTGCTGGGCAGCACCCTCGCTAGCAACAGCGCCTGGCCGCAATCATGGCCACCTCACTGGCGTGCGGCGAATAGCGATCTCTTTCCTGGCGACCAAGTCCCTTTGACGACCGAGGAAGGTGACGCCAGCGCCGGATGTCGGATAAGCAACCTCACAGCTTTCGAGATGGTCAAGGGTAGGAAGATCGTGGACTTCGGAACTAAGGCTATGGGTAGCCTTGAGGAGCCGAAGATTAAAACACTGAACTCTTCCGGCGGCGAGCAGTGGGAATTTGACGGAGTTTCCGAGGATGGCATGTCTTCCTTCGTCTTTGGCTTCTACCGTGATGCGAACTACGCTATTCTGGGCAGTGGAAACTTCCGCCTCTCGATCGAGTTCGCGTTTGCGGACCGTACGCGCTTTTACGAGGTATACTACCCGGAGCGATCTGTTGTCGAGACGTGCCCACAAGGAACTCGCGGTCTCTGGATCGACGAGAAGGATGGCTACAAGTTCTCTTTCTACGTCAATACCGACATGACTGAAGCTATCATTACTCTCGGCTCGGACACTGTCAAAGGCAGGGTTGCCATCCAATCAAAGGCGAAGCCCCTAACTGCAGATGGCAACGTCTGGCCTTCCGAGAACGCAACTACGGCACCGATCCCCTACTACCACTGGTCGCAACCCATTCCCGCCGGAACAGTGGACACGGATGTCGAGATCAAGGGCAAGCGTGTGCAGTGGACCGGTATGGGAGGACACGAGCGGTTCTGGTCCGCTTTCAGGTTAGTACTATCTAACGCTTTATGTGACTTAGTATTGTCTCAGTCTGCTAACCTGCTGCCTCTATACTAGCTGGTTCACTTGCATGAGTAAGCTACAAGCCGTGAGATCCATGTTGGGTCCATACGTGCTTAGCTACTTCAGCTTTACTTCCAACCTCGAACCTGACTTGACGCACCAGTCTGTTGTCCTCTTCGAGAATGGCGCTCCCATCTTCCGAAGCACTGTCGGAACTGCTTCCGAAACGGAAGACTACGCTATCGCTACCAAGACTTACGGTGGTGCCGTCACAGGTACTCTCAAAGACAAAGTTACCGGCTTCCAACTGGAGCTTGTGTCCCCTACCAAGATGCGCCACTACACTTTCTTCGTGGAGCATCTCAACCTTGGCTTTGAGTACATTCTCGGAGAGGGTGTTGGAGGCAGCGGTTTCTCTGCTCAATCGAGGGGCGGTCACGTTGGGCTGAGCCAGTACGAGGGCATCGCGCTTACCGAGGCTCTGACTTTTCCCAAGAAGTCACCCCTTTTCAAGAGCAACTATGTATAAACTGGACTGAGATTCACCTCAGCGAGTCTCCTGGAGAGAAGAGGTTGAAGATAGAGTAACGCTACTGGATTCATGAAAGTCCATGACCTTGTTTTACATCACTAGAGTAGATAAAAAGATACCATTTCCTGAATCTCAACTTGCTGCAGAGTCTCTCTAAAAGAGAGCATCATGCGCAAATGAAATACCCAAGTTAAAGTGCATAACCTTCACGCCAAACGGCGATTATGATCTTAGACGTATGACCTCATATGAAAACTGGGGTTTTCAGAGCAGTTCAGCCCTCTAAGGGGAGTTATATCCAGTGGAGTGGTGTGCCTGACTAACGGGGGCATCCGACTCCGAACCACACCGACCCTTCGGGTTGTTAGTACCGGGATTAATGCAGGTTAATGATTTCTAGGCAACATACAGGAGAGCTCACATCTGCTGATGATCGGCAATTGACCTTGAGCTAAGATACACGAAACTTGCTTCATAGCACAGAGAATTAAATACCAAGCAACCTTTATCCTGGGACAGGAAGGTGATGTGATGCCCATACCAGCTGGCCGGATGAGCAACACCAGACGCCACTGATTCCTGTCGACAGGAGCGTTCACATTTCTGTATTGTGGTAAATCTCGGCTCATGCATGACTTGCCGCTATGACTTCTATACTACTCACGTACGCTAAATGTAAAGCGGGTAGGATACTGGTACCGGCACTAATGCTCACTATATCATATGGAACACTGCTATCGTGTCAAACTGACGGGATGATGATGTAATACAGAGTTTAGCAGAGGGCCTGGCTAGTTGCTTAATTCGGTATGAATTACAGATGAGATGGAGGGTGAGCAATGATCGTGCACTTATTAGATATCCCGGGGAGTTGATGCATCTTATAAGAATATCGCTTGTAGAAACGAAATGCTCATCCGACATGAACGTGGAGCGGAACTCGACAGAGCGAATGGCTTATAGGCAATCTATCTATCACTGTCGCGACATCTGTCGTAAGCAAAGATGAAATATGTTGCCCAGATTTACGAAGTCGTCTGAGTCACCCTACCCGCGCAATCGTCCTAAATGTTCAAGTCCAATCATGATGAATTCCATTTTCTCGGTATTCATACACTGTAATTATCTCGGTTCTAAAATTTCCTATAGCTTACTTCAAATACTCTGTTTAGGACCAACACCGCAGCAACTTGTGCGAAGTCCGAACTCACTTGTTCAGATCTCCTGGAGTATGCCTATGTGCACGAAAGACAACATACGATGTAGCGCACGAATAGAGGAGAGATAACCCTAGTCATATAGATTTATGGTCCATCACACATTTTAACACCGATTTGATTTATTAGGGTTAAGGGAAGGAATAAGAATGTTCCCCCGAATAGGAATGTCGAGCTCCGACGTTGTTGTGTAGTGCCGCGGCGTGGGTCTTCGGATTCGGCGTCAAGCCACCTACGAAGCAAGGTGCGGATCCCGCCCTGCAAGCTTAAGCTGCGTGAAGCGAATGAAAAGAAAGATATTTACTAGTTAATGAATTTGTCATTAATTTACAGTTCAGTATTTGATCTATGACTTAACTCCAGCCGGCCCAGCGCACCCCATCGATACAGCTTTTGTCCCAACCACCACCGACTCATTGCAATATGTTGTCGTTCATACAGGAGAAGATTATTGAGCCGTATCTGGTAATACGCCAGAGCGTGGCGCCTCTGAAGCTGTCAAGATGGCAGCTCACAAAGCTCATGGCTCGCATGTTCGTCGAGGAACTGCCGGAGGGATTCACCTATTTTCTTCTGGCGGGTCTGGTAATGACTTTCGCTGTGGCCTACGTCTTGATCTGGAACAAGACGGTCAAGCGTGTGCCAGTACCCACTGGACTGGCGGTCGTCAAGCGAAATGATATGCACTTCTTGGACATCATCAAGGAGGGGCGAGAGCTGGTATGTACAAAATAGTATAAACCTGGTGGTGCAAGTGTTAACAGTTTGCAGTACCCCGGTGAACCCTTCTTAGCTACGAACAAGAGACATAGCTATGTCATCTTTCCACCTTCGCTTTTCGACGAGATCAAGCGTCTTCCTGAGCACACGGCATCCGCGAGGTCATTCTTCCACACCACTAATTATGGTCACTGGAGCCACATCGGCACAGAGACGCCGGAACTCATCAAATCTGTCATTGCAGATTTAACCCGTTCACTTCCTGCTCGAGTGGTCGCTCGTCAAGAAGATTGCCAAAATGCTTTTGAGGATGTGATCGGACGCAAGCGCGACTGGAAGGAATTTCCTCTCATGATGACTACATTCGAAATCGTCACACAAATCAATGCATGCTCTTTTGTTGGAAGAGAATTAGGAACTAGCAAGGGCTGGATCAAGTCCGTGATGTGGTCCCCGATCTTCATTCACGTCGCTGTTACGCTCCTCGATGCTTTACCCCTTGTCCTCCGACCGCTTTTGGCTCCCATCTACTTTTTCCCGACGCTTAAAAACCGATGGGATATGAAGCGTTTGCTCACACCGGAACTGAAGAAAGATATCAAGAACTTCTACACTGCAGATGACAAGAAGGAACACCTCAAGCCCAAGCCTGAGGGCAAGATCCCTTTTACTGGATTCCTCCTTCAACGTTATAAGTCCGCCGAAGCGAACATTAAGCAGCTCATTTCGGACTACATTCTTATCAGCTTTGACTCGACTCCATCCACAGCATCGGCACTATTCCACGCCCTATGCGAGCTAGCACTGCACCCAGAAGCCGCCGAGATCCTGCGACAGGAACTTGACGAGGTGGTCGTCGCCGGCAACCTTCCAGGTACTCACCTTCAAGAGCTTCGGAAGATGGACAGTTTCCTCCGCGAGTCCTTCCGAATGCACCCTATTAGCCTTTGTAAGTTAAATAGAGTCTAATTATGATACATTATTTATGATCTTCGAGCTAACTTGAAACTATAGTCGCCCTCCAACGTTGTCTTGAGAAGCCAGTGAAGTTCTCGGTCGGACCGACTCTCCCAGCTGGTACCATCATGGCTGTTGATGGACTTGCTATCAACCGATCCCCAGAGCTATGGCCCAACCCAGACGAGTTTGATATGTTTAGATTCTATAACTTGCGACAGAAGTCTGGCAATGAGAACAAGTACCATTTCCTCAGCACTGGCAATGACTCGCCAGGCTGGGGTGATGGAACCCAAGCCTGCCCTGGTCGCTTCTTCGCGACGAGCACGCTCAAGATCGCGCTGGCGCATTTCCTCAAGAACTACGACATTGAGATCAGGAAAGATTGCCTACCTCTGACGACTACACCCCTTTCCAACGGATCTTGGAAGCCTGATGACCAGGCTATTGCCCGAATCCGGGCTCGGTGCTGAGTGGGCCGATTGAGAATGTCGGGTTGTGGATTCATATAGATGGCTAGATGCTGCTAGATGAGTGAAGCAACATTCACCATGTGAAACAGCTGAGATTTCTAATTATGACTGCAAATTTGAACTTTAGCTAGCCAATCGTGTAAAAAGAACTTATATTGTCACAGCAATGCTGACTGCACTGTTTGTTTCACGATAAAATAGAATTCAGGCCTAGATGGCAAGCAGAGCAATGTATTTTTTTCTTTCCCCATGTCTAATGTTGCATCAAATCTCGAAATGCATTCAAAAATCTTCTCTGTATTGTGCCAGTGCGTGTAATTTGCATATGATTAACTGTGGCGGAAAAGGCCTCAAAAGCCAGCACACGCCATAATTAGTCAGTAAACCACCATGGTGCCATGGGATATTCATATTTACGAACCCGATAACTAAGCATTTGCCAAGCTGTAGAGCATGTTCGACATCGGCAGTTCCATGATAGCGCCCTGAGGAAAGCCGAGAGCGTCTAAGAATCCTAGGGGCAACGAGCTATGTTCAAGCAACACGATCAACACAACAGGGTCCCCGGATCGTCTCCGTCATGAAACACTGAGCTTCCTTCGGTCGAGACAAAGCTAGATTGGGCTTAGGTAATTGGTCCCTCATGGAAATGCCGTCAGCGATCGGCGTCCTAATTCTAAACCAAAGCGACCCCGAAGACCCATCTGCGCTCATCTGTGGCAATATGACTGCGAACGCTAGCTCGTCACCATTTCGGACTAGATATAAGACAGTCCCCGAATGGGTCCCGCCCCGATACGCAAGCCACAAGGCGGGTAATTAGACAATGGCCCCTACTCCGATTGCGATACCAGACTCAGACCTCGGAGACCGGTGGCCGGTATGTATTGGATTACTACAGCGTGTATGTTAGATGGCCCCGGCATCATTGATAGAGATGATTGATATACCTGGGACGTGAACACGGAAGAATGATGCCTTTCCTTTCCTTTCCTTTGAGCAGACCTGTCAACCACGTCCATCCATACCAGTTACTGTACTGAGTGCCCCGATATGATCTATTTTGAGCGCTTCATTGATTGAGATATTGATCAATCACTAAGAATAATACCCCCCCCATTTTGTTTCTGCTTATAGACTGTATCAAGATCCCCATTTTAACATACCATATTTATCATTATGGCACCTGTTCGCGAGCCTATCGCCATTATTGGCACTGGATGCCGATTTCCTGGCCAGTGTGATAGCCCATCTAAGTTATGGGAGCTCTTGCGAAAGCCTAGGGACCTCTTAAGGGAGATTCCTACGGAACGATTTAGCACGAAAGCCTTCTACCACCCCCAGAACCACCACCATGGCACCAGCAACGTCCAACACTCCTACCTTCTGGATGAGGACTTACGCAACTTCGACGCTCAGTTCTTCGGCATCAACCCCGTCGAAGCACACTCAGTTGATCCGCAGCAACGGTTGCTTCTAGAGACCGTTTACGAGTCCCTCGAGTCCGCCGGTCTCTCCGTAAAGGAGATGGCAGGATCTGACACCGCCGTCTACGTAGGCGTCATGAGCGCTGATTTTACCGACATGATCGGACGTGATACTGACACATTCCCAACCTACTTTGCTACGGGTACTGCAAGAAGTATTCTTAGCAACAGGCTTTCATACTTTTTCGACTGGCGTGGCCCGTCCATGACCATCGATACTGCCTGTTCATCCAGTCTCATTGCTATGCACCAAGCTGTGCAGACTCTCCGTGAAGGAGATTCATCTGTCGCTGTTGTAAGTCTTTGGTCTCGTCTTGTCCCAACGTAGACCTGAAAGCATGCAAAAGGTACTGACCATGTTTTACAGGTTGCTGGGTCCAACTTGATCCTTGGTCCCGAGCAATACATAGCTGAGAGTAAGCTGCAAATGCTTTCTCCTAGGGGCCGAAGCCGCATGTGGGATTCCGATGTGGACGGTTACGGCCGAGGTGAAGGTGTTGCAGCCATTGTTCTCAAGAAGCTTAGCCAAGCTATTGCAGACGGTGATCACATCGAGTGCCTGATCCGCGAGACAGGCACAAACCAAGACGGCAGGACGCCAGGTATTACTATGCCTAGCCCAACTGCGCAAGAAGCCTTGATCCGAGCCACATACGCCAAGGCTGGGTTGGACCTGCGCAAACGTGCTGATCGTCCCCAGTTCTTTGAGGCTCACGGAACTGGCACTCCCGCTGGTGACCCCGTAGAAGCGCGGGCGATCACTACCGCATTTTTCGGTCCGGAGACCAAATTCACTGCCAAGGATCCATTGTATGTTGGATCTATTAAGACGGTTATTGGCCATACAGAAGGAACAGCAGGTCTGGCTGCTGTTATTAAAGCGTCGCTGGCTATACAGGCTGGTGTCCTCCCTCCTAATATGCTGCTAAACAAGGTGAACCCCAAGATTGAGGAGTTCTACGGTAAGGTCCAAATCCTTTCCGAGGCCCAAAAATGGCCTAAGCTTGAAGAGGGCGGCGTGCGAAGAGTTAGTGTGAACAGTTTCGGTTTCGGTGGTGCCAACTGCCATGCCATTCTCGAAGCCTACGAGCCCCGCGTGACAATCCCCAGACAATTGTCGAACAACGTCACCTCGGTCTTCGCGCCATTTGTTTTCTCAGCAGCTACCGAAACTGCGCTCACTGCTAGACTCGAAAAGTATCGAGACTACCTCTCCAGCGGCAACGCGAGTGCCACAACAAGACTCCGAGACTTTTCATACACTCTAAGCAACCGTCGATCAGTGCACCCTTGGCGAGCTGTTGTACCGGCCACTAACGACGTTGACGACCTCATCAAGAAGATTGATGACTGCTCTGATTTCACAAACGAGACTTCCAAGTCACAAGGGAAGCCTCGTATTCTTGGTATCTTCACTGGACAGGGTGCCCAATGGCCACGGATGGGTGCTGAGTTGATTGAGAAGTCACCGGCAGCGAGCAAGATCCTTGCCCGCCTGGACCAGAGCCTCCAGTCACTTCCCTCTCGTGACCGACCAACATGGTCGCTCCGTGAGCATCTCCTCGCAAGTCCTGAGACTTCGTCTGTAGGCACAGCTTCTATCTCACAGCCTGTCTGCTCAGCCGTACAGATCATGCTTGTCGACATGCTTCGAGCTGCTGGTGTGGAGTTCTCCGCCGTAGTAGGTCACTCTTCTGGTGAGATTGGTGCAGCATACGCGGCAGGATACCTCAACGCCGAGGACGCCATTCGTGTCGCCTATTATCGTGGTCTGCACATGAAATCTCTCACCGAGAACGGAGCTATGCTTGCGGTCGGAACTTCGTACGAAGACGCTAAGGAGTTGTGTGAGCTTCCCGCCTTCGAGGGACGTGTTTGTGTAGCGGCTAGCAACTCCCCCGCTAGCGTGACCCTCTCTGGTGATGCAGATGGGATTGAGGAGATTAAGACGGTCCTCGACGAGGAGAAGAAGTTTACTCGTCTTCTCAAGGTTGACCGAGCTTACCACTCGCACCATATGCTGCCTATTTCGAAGCCATACATTGCTTCCCTGCAGCAATCCGGCATCAAACAGCTTTCGCCCTCCGGAAAGACCCGATGGGTATCCAGTGTTTTCAACTGCGACATTACGGAAGCTCCTATTTCACAAGGCCTCAAAGGTGAGTACTGGGCCCTGAACTTGACCAAACCGGTCTTATTCACTGAGGCCTTGTCGACCGTTCTTGCCAGCGGCGAAACCTATGACCTCGCCATTGAGGTTGGGCCGCACCCAGCGCTCAAGGGCCCCGCCAGCCAGACGATCGATGGATGTCTCAATGGAGAGTCCATTCCTTACACTGGCGTCTTGTCACGTGGTAAGGACGATATTGAGTCATTCTCGCTCGGTCTGGGATTCCTCTGGCGGAGCTGGGGCGAAGGGGCTGTGGACTTTGGTTCCTTCGGCCGCTTCATGAACGACGAGCCGGAGAACGCGGACGTGACACCCGCGATCTTAAAGGATCTTCCTACCTATGCATGGGACCACAACCGGAAGTTCTGGCACGAGTCTCGCACCTCCCGTGCTTTCAGGACCAATCAAGACCCGCCTCACGAGCTTCTCGGACGTCAAATCCTCGATGGTGCTCCTGACCAACTCCGTTTCCGCAATGTGCTCAAGCGCAATGAGATTGATTGGCTTGACGGTCACCAGGTCCAAAGACAGACGGTTTTCCCTTGTGCCGGCTACGTGTCTGCCTGTGTGGAGGCGGCGCTGCGTATTCGCAACGATCCCGTCCAATCTATTGAGCTCTTGGACTTCGTAGTTGGTTCCGCCATCGCCTTCAACGACGACTCGGGCATCGAAACGCTCGTCGTCCTCGATGGAATCAAGGAATCGGAAGATCAGGGAAAGAAAATCATTTCGGCCAACTTTGCCTTCTACTCTTCCTCTAACAAGGAAGTCCTTGAGATGACTAGCCATGCTAGCTCTGCCGTCCGCATTACCTATGGTGAGAGCGACCCTCTACTTCTCCCACCCAAGGTCAAGGAGTATGATGAGGATTCTATGTTGGAGATCGAGGATGATCGGTTTTACAATGTCCTTGAAGGTCTTGGATTCGGATATTCTGGTCCATTCCGTGCGCTCACCGACCTCAAGCGCAAGTTGGGCAAGGCTATCGGTCACATTCAGAACCCAGAAGCCAGCAAGCTTTTCAAGAATCCTCTGCTCATCCACCCAGCCATGCTGGACGCTGGTATCCAGTCTATCATGCTGGCATACTGCTACCCAGGAGATAGCATGATGCGCTCTATTTACCTCCCAACTGGCATTCGCCGACTAATTATCAACCCTCAGCACTGTCGCACATTTGCCGCCCAGGAGACCAAGGTTCCTTTCGATGCTTCGGCATCAGTCAGCACTTCCAGGAGTCTGTCTGGTGACGTGAGCATCTTCTCTCCTGACGGCTACGACTGCAAGGCCATTCAACTTGAGGGTCTCCAGACGCAGCCTCTGTTCCACCCTACTGAGGCGAACGATCTGAATATCTTCACTGAGCTCGTGTGGGGCATTGACCGCCCTACCAGTGAAGAAATCGTCGGCAAGGTTAATGTTCAGCAGCTTGACCCCGATCTGCTGTTCTCTCTTGAGCGGGTGGCCTACTTCTACCTGAAGGCTTTGGACAAGGAGATTCCTCGTAGCCAGCGTACAAACCTCGAATGGCACTTCGGCCGTCTTTTTGCCTACGTCGACCATGTTCTGACCAGAGCTGCCAACGGCACAAACCGCTTCTTCAAGAAGGAATGGCATAATGACACCAGAGAGGTCATTTACAAGATCCTGGACAAGTACCCTGAAAACATCGATCTGAGACTCATGCGCGCTGTGGGTGAGAATATGGCCTCCGTCGTCCGCGGTGAGACAACCATGTTGGAGCATATGCTTCCAGACAACATGCTCAACGACTTCTATGTCATTGCCCATGGTATGCCTCGCTACACTGCTTACTTGGCCTCTCTTGCCGAGCAGATCAGCCACAGATACCCTCACATGCATGTCCTAGAGATTGGTGCCGGTACGGGTGGTGCGACCAAATCGTTCCTTGGAGCGCTTGGCGACCAGTTCTCAACCTACACCTTCACCGATATCTCTGGTGGTTTCTTCGAGAAGGCCAAGGGTGTCTTCGCGTCTCAGGCCTCTAAGATGAACTTCCAGGTTCTCAACATTGAGAAGGACATCGAAGAGCAGGGCTTTGAGGAGGGGACCTACGATGTCATCATCGCCTCTTTGGTTCTCCATGCTACTCGTAACATGGAGGAGACTATGCACAACGTGCGCCGTCTGTTGAAGCCCGGTGGTTATCTGCTGCTACTTGAAATCACCGAGAATGACCAAATGCGTTTTGGTCTTCTTTTCGGTGGTCTTGAAGGTTGGTGGCTTGGTTACGACGATGGACGTGCACTGTCCCCTTGTATTGACCTTGACGAGTGGGAGACGCTCCTGAAGAAGACCGGCTTCTCAGGTATTGACTCGTCCATGCCGCACCATGATGAGTTACCTGTTCCCCTCTCAGTCGTTGTGGCCCAGGCAACAGATGACAGGGTCGAACTCTTGAAGCAGCCTTTGACGCCACAAGCTTCAACGGCAACCGTTCTGCCTCAGCTGACAATCATCGGCGGAGCTGCACTGGCAAAGAGCGTCAGCCAAATCGTCCAACCATACTCCGGCAACATCAAGCTCATTCAATCGCTGGAAGACATCGGGCCCGAGGCTCTTCCTGTTGGTGGCACTGTCCTCTGTCTTAGCGACATCGACGAGCCCGTGTTCAAGTCCATGACTCCCGACAAGTTGCGTGGATTCCAGACAATCTTCAAGCAGTCCACCAACGTCCTATGGATCACCCAGGGTGTGCGATTTGGCGACCCATACTCTCGAATGGTCGTGGGTTTTGGAAGAACTATCGTGCTGGAAATGTTGCACTTGCGCTTGCAATTCCTTGACCTCGATACTGAGGTCCCTGCTGACCCTAATGCTATTGCCGAGGGTCTGCTGCGGTTCCAGCTGGCTGCCACCTGGGAGAACGAAGGCCAAGAAACACCCCTGCTCAACTCCATTGAGCCCGAAATGTACCGCAGCAAGGAGGGTCTCTTCTATGTTCCTCGATTCAAGTTGAACAAGCGCCCCAACGATCGCTACAACTCGGGTCGCCGCGACATCACCAAGCAGATCTCCCTCAAGGAGAAGACTGCTGAGCTTATCCAGCAGGACGCGTCATGGCAACTCATTGAAGGCACCGAGGCGCCCGTGCCAACGGGCGCCGTCGAGATTGATGTCTTGTACTCAATCCGTCGGTCTGTGGAAGTGTCGCGAGGCACTTTCCTCTTCCCAGTCCTTGGTCTCAACCGAGACACCGGAGAGACCGTGGTGGCCCTCTCGCCAAAGCATTCTTCCAAGGTCACTGTTCCGCGGGCATATGTAATCCCTGCGCAGAAGTCCGCAGAGGATCTTCAGCTGTTTTATGCTGAGCTTCTTGCCCGCGCTGCTCTAAGAGACGCGTCGGCTGGAACGCTTGTCATCGTTCTGAAGCCAAGCAGAATCCTTAGCCAGGCCATGGACCGTATTGCCACAGACAAGGGGGCCAAGATTCTCTACTTTGGAGCTGAACCTGGCACCGAATGGGGCTATATCCACCCCAAGGCCACCAAGACTGAGATCGAGGCATTGCTTACCTCGAAGATCGGAACTGCTCCTCAATCTTCGGTTTTAATTCTGGACTTGGGTGCCAATAAGCCCCTCTCTGCGGGTCTTCTGGCATGTCTACCAGCCGAGACTACCCAAATCAAGTCCGGTTCATTGCTTACTTCCTCCATTGCACGTATTGCACCTGGTCAGCTAGAGCATGAAATCCGACCGATTCTTGCGGATATTAAATACTCTCTGTTGCTAGCTCAGCAAGCTAGCCAGACTCTACCCAAGACAGAAGTTGTTAGCATTGAGGACTTGACTACTAAGAACGATATCAACGAGGATGCATACGTCGTTTCTTGGCCACTGGAAGCTAGCACTGCCGTGGTTCAGGTCGAACCTATCGACTCTAGAGTCAAGTTCCAGCATGACAAGACATACTGGCTCGTTGGTCTCACTGGTGGTCTTGGTCTTTCGCTTTGCGAGTGGATGGCTAAGCAAGGCGCTCGGTACATCGTTATTACTAGCCGAAACCCTAAGGTCGATAGCCTATGGGTTGAAAAGATGAAAACCATTGGTGTAACCGTTGCTGTTATTGCCAAGTATGTACTATCCAGTCTATTCCGGTATGCAATACTGACTAACACTACTCTAGCAATATTACGGACCGAGACTCGGTCCGAGCTGTTCATAAGAAGATCACCCAGACCATGCCTCCCATCGCTGGTGTCGCTCAAGGTGCTATGGTTCTCCATGATACCGTGTTCTCTGAGCTCGACATTGAACGAGTCGAAAAGGTCACGCGGCCCAAGGTCAATGGTGCTACCTACCTGGAGGAAATTTTCCACGATGTCGATCTTGACTTCTTTGTCTTCTTCTCATCTATGGCTTGTGTCACCGGTAACCCTGGCCAGTCCGCATACGCTGCTGCCAACATGTTCATGTCGGGTTTGGCCGCTCAGCGCAGACGCAGAGGTTTCAATGCCTCTGCAGTGCACATCGGTGCCATCTTTGGTAACGGTTACGTGACTCGAGAACTGACCCTAGCACAACAGGAGTTCTTGCGTAAGGTCGGTAACATGTGGCTTTCGGAGCAGGACTTCCGACAGCTCTTTGCTGAGGCAATCTATGCTGGCCGACGTGAAAACGCAACTGGCCCAGAGCTCTCCACAGGTTTGATGATGATTGATAACAGTGACGACTCTAAGAAGAACATCACTTGGTTCTATAACCCGATGTTCCAGCACTGCATCAAGGAGAACCACGACGGTGAGCTTGTTACCGACGGCGCAAAGGGTCGCAGCGTCCCGGTTAAGACACAGCTTCTCGAAGCAATCAATCCAGCTGAAGTATATGAGATCATCCACGATGCCTTCGCTGCCAAGTTACGCTCTAGCTTGCAAATCGAAGAGAACCGAGCCATTGTTGATCTCACTGCGGATACTCTTGGTATCGACTCTCTGTTCGCCGTTGATATTCGATCGTGGTTTATCAAGGAACTTCAAATCGAGATCCCAGTTCTCAAGATTCTGGGTGGAGCGACAGTTGGTGACATTCTCGAAACTGCTCAGGGACTGTTACCTAAGGAACTGACGCCCAAGTTGGACCCGAACGACAAGGGTGAAGCTAGAAAGAAGAAGCCCACGGCTACCGTGACAAAGGAGGAACCAAAGAAGCCGGCCAAGAAGGCTCCTGCACCCAAACCAGAAGCTGCCAAGCCAAAGCCTAAGCCCGCGCCGGCGGCACAGGTGCAGAGCCCAGCCACTAACTCTGGAGACAAGTCATTGTCCAGTGAGAACATCGTGAAAGTGAACCGAAGCCTTGACGTTGCCGATATTGGAAACTCTACCATCACCTCGAACACAGGCTCAGTTGTCGATGTGTCTGGTGGTCAGTCTCATGGTTCCGTGTGGTCCCTTGATACTTCTCTGGACACTCCAGAGAGCGAATCTGTTGTCGTCAAGACGAGTCCAATTGCGTTCGGTCAAGCTCGAATCTTCTTCCTGGAGAAGTACCTCCAAGATCCGGCTTCTGCACTTAACATTACTTTGACCATCGATCTTGACGGTTCTCTTGACGTGAATCGTTTTGAGCGAGCAGTTAAACTTGTTGGACAACGCCATGAAGCATTGAGGACTCGATTTGTGACTGGCATTGACTCTACTCAAACTATGCAAGAAGTCCTTGCTGATGCTACGCTGACACTAGAAAAACGAAATATCTCGAGCGATGCCGAGGCTGAACAAATCTACCGCGAACTTCAGCAGCACCGATACAAGCTCGAGGAAGGCGAGAACATGAGAATCTTGCTCCTCGCCAAGGCCGCCAAATCATTCCGCCTTGTCATCGGTTACCACCACATCAACATGGATGGCATCAGCTTGGAAGTAGTGCTTCGCGAGCTGCAGATGGCCTATGACTCGAAGAGACTCACAAGCACGAGCAGCATTCTCCAGTACCCGGCTTTCGCTGAGCAACAGCGCCGAGAATTTGAAACTGGAAAATGGAGAGAGGAGTTGAAATTCTGGCAAAACGAGTTCAGTGCCGGTATTCCCCCCGTTCTTCCTCTTCTTCCCCTAGCGAAGACTCGTTCGCGGGCACCTCTTACGTCTTACGCAACCCACACTGCCGAATTCCGACTGGATCAGGAGGCTATCAACCGCATTCAGGCAGCCTGTGGCAGCTCGAAGGCTACACCCTTCCAGTTCCACCTTGCTGTCTTCCACACCCTTCTTTACCGTCTAGTTGATGTTGAGGATATTTGCATCGGTGTCAGCTCTGCCAACCGGACAGATGCAGCGATGATGCAAAGTGTCGGCATGTACTTGAACCTGTTGCCCCTTCTTCTCAAGGCTCAGCCCAACGAGACCTTCGCTAGCACTTTGAAACGCATTCGCAGTAAGGCCATGACTGCTTTTGCTCACTCAAAGGTTCCCTTCGATGTTATTGTCAATGAGCTTGGTGTTCCACGCGCTACCACGCACAGTCCACTATTCCAGACCTTGGTCAACTACAGACCCGGTATTGCCGAGCGACGAGACTTCTGTGACTGCAGCAGCAAGGTAGTATCGTTCGAGCAGGGCCAGGCGGCGTACGATCTTAGTCTCGACGTTATCGAGAGTCCCGGCGAGTGCCGTGTCATCGTAGCGGGTCAGTCAGCACTGTTTACGCCCGAAGATGTGGAGTTATTGAAGGATATGTACAAGAATCTGCTGGCTGCCTTCTCTCGCAACCCAGCCTCTAGGTTGACTACACCCTCACTGTACGAGCAGGATGGCGTAAAGAACGCTCTTACGATTGGACGAGGTAAGTTGGAGAGTTTGTTCCTTTGTCGACCGGAAACCACTAATGAATATTTAATAGGTCCAACCCACAACCACCAGTGGCCTGAAACCCTGGTTCACCGCATTGACAACATGGTCGAGCGATACAGCAGCAAGACTGCTGTTGTTGACGGCTATGGAACGTCCCTAACCTACAAACAGCTGGCGAAGAGAGTCAATGCCATTGCCTCTTCCATGCGCCAAATTGGGAGTGGCAACCGTGTCGGCGTCTTCGTTGACCCTACCGCCGACTGGGTCTGCTCTCTGCTCGCCGTCCTGCGCCGTGATGCAACCTATGTGCCACTCGATGCTGTGTCCGGATCTGCGCGACTTCGTGCCATTATCCAGGACAGCAAGCCAGACTTGTTGCTTGTTAGCAAATCAACAGAGGCTGATGCAATGAGCCAGTTTGCACCACTGCTAGGAGCTGACAAGATCGTCAACGTCGACAAGATCCCTGCAACGGCTGCTACCACTGTGATTAACGCGGCCAAGGCTGACTCGGTGGCCGCACTTATGTACACCAGCGGCTCAACTGGCGTTCCCAAAGGAATCGTGATGAAGCATGCTTCTTTCAGGAACAACATCGAAATAGTTACAGGTAAGATGGATTATCGTGAAGGCCAAGAAGTTACGCTTCAACAGAGCTCACTGAGCTTCGATATGTCCGTCTTCCAAACATTCATGGCTTTGTCTAATGGTGGAGCTGTTAATGTTGTGCCCAAGCACCTCCGTGCAGACCCTGTGGCCATCTCGTCTATCATTGCAACCCAGGGTATCACCTTCACAACTGCAACCCCCTCGGAGCTCATCAGCTGGGTCCGCTACGGTAAGGTCGAGGAGCTACGTAACTCGAACTGGAGAACCGCTCTCAGCGGTGGTGAACCCGTCAGGGACAGTCTCAAGGCTGCATTCCGGGACGTCAACAAGTCTGAACTACGCCTGATTGATTGCTACGGCCCGACTGAGATCACCTTCTGCTGCCACAGTAGTGAGGTAGATTACCGCTTGGAAGGTACCTCCAACGCAGGACTCGAGGTTCTACCTAACTACTCTACTTATATCGTAGATGCTAACATGAAAGCTGTTGCCGCTGGCATTCCGGGAGAAATCCTCATTGGTGGAGCTGGTGTCGTCGCTGGCTACCTGCACACTGAGCTCAACACACGCGGATTTGCCCACGACAGCTTTGCCTCTCCAGAATTCGCCAAGCAAGGCTGGACACAGCTACACCGTACAGGTGACTTTGGACGTATTAGCAAGGCTACTGGACGTCTGATACTCGAGGGACGTATTGCAGACGACACCCAAGTGAAGCTTCGAGGTCTCCGTATTGACTTACGAGAGGTGGAATCTGCCATCATTCAAGCCGCGAAGGGAAGCATTGTCGATTGCGCCGTTAGCCTTCGTCAATCTGAGAATGAGTATCTTGTGGCTTTCGCCACCACTACCTCAACTGCCGACACTGAGAACCTTCCCAAGATTGTTCACCAACTTCCCTTGCCACCATATATGCGACCGGCAGCACTAGTTCTCTTGGAGAAGATGCCTACCAACGCCTCAGGAAAGATTGATCGATCTGCTCTCAAGACCATCTCTATCGCCCAAGATAGCGAGGATGGTCACAATGCGGGTAATGAAACCCTGAGCAACACCGAGTCGCGTCTTAAGCAACTATGGGAAGCTGTGCTCTCAAAAGAGATCGTATCTCAACACCAAATCAACGCTACCTCAGATTTCTTCCATGTTGGTGGTAGCTCCATGCTTTTGATCAACTTACGGGCAGATATCCAAGATACCTTCAATGTGGAACTGTCGCTCTTCCAGCTCTTCGACGCTAGCACGCTCGGAGGCATGGCAACTGTCATCGATGGTCTCACAGGCAAGACGGTTAGTGTTGAAGTCACCGAAGGACAAAAGGAGGAGGCAAATGATGGCGAGATCGATTGGGAGAAAGAGACTGCTCTCTCACCGAACTTGAAGAATGTGCCCGTTTCTAGGCAATTCTTCACAAACCCCGAAGTCGTCATCCTCACTGGTGCTACCGGGTTCCTCGGTCAGGCTATTCTTACGCGTCTCCTGAACGACGGAATTGTCAGGAAAATCCATCTCCTTGCTGTCCGACACGAGATTCCCCTCTTTGACTCACCTAAGATTGTCGTGCACCGCGGCGACCTAGCCAAGCCACACTTCGGCCTAACTGAGAAGAAGCTTGCCGAGATCTTTGAGGAGGCTCACGCCATCATCCACAACGGCACGGACGTGTCATTCGTCAAGTCGTACCACAGCCTCAAGCCAGCTAATGTTGACGCCACCAAGGAACTCGTCCGCCTCAGTCTGCCACACCACACTTCCTTCCACTACGTCTCGACCGCCGCCGTTGCCAACTTGACCGGCCAGTCCGAGTGGGAACAGCGATCTGTCGGCGCTTACTCGCCGCCTGCCGGAGCCGACGGATACATCGCCACCAAATGGGCGTCTGAGCGGTTCTTAGAGAAGGTCAACGACCAAACCGAGCTGCCTATCTGGATCCACCGCCCATCCTCTATTACCGGCCCCGATGCGCCCGCTACAGACCTTATGGAGAACCTCCTCCAGTACTCGCGCAAGATTGCAGCCATTCCCGAAACTACCCTATGGGGAGGCTACCTCGACTTCATTTCAGTAGATAAGGCAGCGATGCAAGTTGTAGACGAGGTGTACGAAGACTACTCATGGCCCGGTCACGTCAAGTACCTGTACGAGTCTGGCGAGCAGATTGTTGCTATTTCGGACATGAAGGGAGTATTGGAGAGGGAGACTGGCTCCATTATCGAGACCGTCTCTATGGAGGAATGGGTCAGCAAGGCCGCGGAGGAGGGCCTCAACCCGCTGTTGGGAGAATATCTCAAGCGTGCTGCTAGCACTCCGCTTGTCTTCCCTAAGCTTGTGCGTCACGAAAGCTTTTTCTAAGCTATATGACTGCTTTTTCTGTCTTATTACATGGGTTTACTGGAGTTTTTGCTTTTCTTAGATTATGTCTGTTATTCACGTTAGAAATATTTTAGATCATGTCGTTAATGTTAATTACAAAATGGGGTATTATTCATCTGTCTGGCTTCTGAGTGACACATGTGCCACGATCGCGTGTAATGCGACCAAGTCAGGGCGATCTATTTCACCACCTGTGTGGTGTGAGTAAATTGTGTGCGGCACGTAAATGTCACTTGCAGCTATCTAGATGAATTAGTTACCTACCAGGACCTAGATAGGTAGGTAACTAAGCCCGCACATTCTACTCTTGGAACATTTAATCAGTGAATGTCAACTTTGGTCTCGCTTCTAAATCATTTTCAACAGCTAACATTCTATCTATTAAAGAAATGCACTTCTGTTCTGGAAGCCCTAGCCTACTAATTCCAAACTGCATTCCAGTCAATTGAACAAGCTAGTATAGGAAATACAGTCAGAAGCCACGGCATTTGGACAACAGACTGCAAGATCAACCATTTAGATATGCATGGAAGAATTAGCAAACTGACACACGGCCAAGTCTACAGTAGAGAGCTTGTCACACAGGCGTGCATCGGCGTACTAGCAGCTAAGTCAATCGATAGATCTACCTCAACCAGCTTGAGCAGGTAGTAATGCCGAAATTTTATTATGAATTCTTAGCACCCTTAAGAACTTGGAGCTTGGACTCGCCCATGACCTCTGCCTATGATGGGCACTGATACATTGGCAGTTGTTGTTACACGTGTAACCTCTGTACTAAGCTGAATATGCAGTTCGCCTTGCGCTTCGGCCGTACGAAGGAACATTGCAGGCTGTTCATGATCTTTCAAGACATGCAGGCAATATTGGGCAATATTGGAAAGTGAGGTTATACAGACTTCGCTTCTTGAAACAGACCCCAGAGACCTAGGCGGTCTGGGCTGGCAGACCAATTGTATATAGAGTCAAGTCAAGCCACCAACAGCCGAGAGAAGTTGGTTGGTCAAGGACTTATTCACCCCTAGTTGTTCATTATATTCTGAATTGCCTAGATTCCAAGCCCAGTAATCCTGCCCTTGTTATAGCTGTGGACAGATGATCACAAAGAGCTATCCTTCAAAGCTACCTATTTTATCCCTTAAGACTTTTTAGGAAAGCTTGCATGCTGAATTGCCAAGAGCAAGGCCTTGAAGCCTTCAGCTCGCCCCAATTGTCGTCGTAATTCCACCGACCGGGAACCGTCTCAACAAACAGCTGACTGCTCATGTAACTGAGGACATACCCTACTATGTTCATGCATAAGCTGCAGACAAGGTTAATGGCCGCCTTGAATCCATTCTCCTTTTCACATGAGATATAATTATGAAGATTTCGAATCTCATCCCTTTAAGGGGTTAGTATCTCTATCATCTAAACATCTCATATCCACCTACCCGTCATGGAAACATCCCCACTTGTGCAACACAGCTAAGCCAAAAATTCTGGAGGGAGGGTCTTGATTACACTTAGCTCGGCAGGGACCAGGTGTCTTAATGTCTGCTCCATCATAACGAGAGCGGGGACAGAGCGGGCAGAAAGCGGGTGGCTGCGGGTGGCTGAACTAATGTACATGTCGCTGACTGAGTAAGCGCTTCTGCAGAACAATCCTGCTTAGTTACTGGGCATGATGTCATCTCATTGTTTCCTGAAACTGTGCCTATGTATGTCGATCGCAGCATTCCCGTAGCTAGCGGAGTCGGTTACGCGGCTTGAGAAAGATGTGAGAAAAGTATGAGAAAGTGGCGGGGTACTATGTAAGCAGTAATGTACCAAGTGTATACTATAGATCAATAGCATGTCTTCTACATAGGACTAGATTTTTGAGGTTAGGTCATCTGTGTTCTCGATAATGTCATCAGTTAGTAAGGACACAGGAACTTTGTCATTATTCTACTTTTACTCTAGGCCTGCCCCTGTTGTGCCGTTAACATTAAGTATGCTGGTAGATATGTAAATATTCAGCCACTCCCGCCACGGCCACTCCCTTTTGCTCATGCTAACCAGCCGACAAGCTTCTCACTCGGACAAAACAAAGCTAACCGGAATAAGCTGTCGGCTCACTTCGACTACGAGCTGGAGTGCATCTACAGCGATCATGTAAGAGCTCCTCACACACTTAGAAAATTTCAGATTATGTAGTCAGAGCCTTATTATTAGCTCCGGCAATTCGATGCTTATGTATAAAGCCACTGACGCGGTGGCTTTGAGCAAGCTAGTTTAACAATTTCTAGGCGTTAGTAATAAAGGGTCTTGTCTATAAAACATGCCCCGAGTGACTTCCGATCAGTACTCCGAAGGGCCCCACATTCGGCCCCGATCACCGAATGCAGATCAACCACCAGTCGCTCTCGGGGTCGCCTTTGTCGGCGCAAAATTGCCCAGCTCCGTAGTATAGAGAAAAAAAATTGTAATATCAAACATAGTGGTCTACGGTAAGAGGATAGCTGAATTGAAGTTTTTTGTAAAATTTGTTTCTGTTCTCGTTTTGTCTTGTGTAGTCTCTTTTTGTTTTGTTTAGTTTCACATTTTCAAGATGCATAAGCTTTTCCCCAAGAGCGGCTTCTTCGACTTCGAGACCGTCCGTATTCTCGGTACAACAGCCTATGGCGGTGCGGACGTGGCTGAGGTCCTCGAGGCCGTGGGCCAGATCAAGCCAGATGACCCTATCTCCTGGGAGACCGCTTGGCGCAGACAAGCCAGCAGGGCATTGAAACTCGCTGAGGAAGCCCGTCAAAATGGAGACCGTGACGCTGCTCTCCGTGGGTACCTGCGCGCCTCCAACTATACTCGTGCTAGTGGTTACATGTACGTGTCCACGCCCAACGAGGACGGTGATCTAGTGCAGGACGTACGGGCGCTGCCCATCGCCGAGAAAGTCGGTACCCTTTTCCGCACCGCCATGCAGTTTATGGAGGGCGAAACCCGTGTCTTGTCCATTCCTTACCAGGACTACGTCTTGCCTGGATATTTGTATCTGCCACCCAAGAGTAGACGAATTCCGGGACGCAAGATCCCTATCCTTGTGAACACTGGAGGTGCCGACTCCTGCCAGGAGGAGTTGTTCTACCTAAACCCAGCCGCTGGTCCCGGGATGGGCTATGCCGTTTTGACCTTTGACGGCCCGGGTCAGGGCATCATGTTGAGGAAGTACGAGTTGGAGATGCGCCCTGATTGGGAAGTTGTCACTGGCTCCGTCATCGATTATCTCGAAGCGTACAGTGCAGAGCACCCTGAGCTAGATCTTGACCTAGGCTCTGTCGCCGTTTCTGGTGCGTCGATGGGAGGTTACTATGCTCTTCGAGCAGCCTCCGACGACAGGGTGAAGGCTTGTGTTTCGATTGTAAGTCTGCGATGTCGGAAAAGATCTGCCTACGTTTGTGCTTATAGCTGATCTTGGACAGGATCCCTTCTACGACATGTGGGATTTCGGTACAGCGCATGTATCTAAGCTCTTCATCTCGGCTTGGACCGGTGGAATTATCAGCTCCGGTTTTGTAGACAAACTCATGGCTGTTTTGTCTCGCTTGTCGTTCCAGCTTAAATGGGAAATTTCAGTATCTGGCACCTTTTTCGGGATATCATCGCCAGCTGAAATCCTCCTGAACATGAAGAAATACACGCTGCATGGCAATGGAGGAGAGACTAAGGATAAGAGCTTTCTAGCCAAGGTGGAGTGTCCTGTTTTGCTTTCTGGTGCCGGCAAATCGCTCTATCTAGATGTGGATAGCCACACTAAGAGATGTTATGACGCTCTCACCTCCTTAAATCCGAAGGATAAGGTTATTTGGGTGCCTGAAAGCGAGGGTCAGGGCAGTCTCCAGGCCAAGATGGGTGCTTTTGCGTTGTGTAACCAAAAGACATACAGGTTCTTGGATCAGACCTTCGGGATAAAGAGGGAGCCCCTCCAGGCCAAGCAGAATTAGACTCCATTTTCTGAGCATTTTGAAATATATACCCTATTTTTTCCATTTCATTCTAATGGTATCCACATTTGTCGTTGGTGATAGATACGTAGTGTAGCGCAAGTGCTTCTACACTGCCATTATGGGCCTAAAATCTGGTTTAGGTACACGACCACTGTAGTAACTCAGTAGGTAGTGATTGATTTCTCTAGCTGATAGAAGGAAATCGTTCCACGCGGAAAGAAAAAACATCTCATAACACCATAAATCCATGATAACTTCGAGAATTGCGTGGATTCACCAAGCTTCAACGTAAGAGCATGGTCGACTATCGGATAAATATATATAAATATATATATGTGCCAGTTGGTAATATAAATAAGTTATATAAATGAGAGGTAACACGTTTCTCACTTTATAGTTGATAGTACCATTTATAACACACCAGTAATTATGCAAAGCAAAGATATGATGTTAGGAAAGGAGGAAAGGGGTTGATTAAAAATGATTTGTGCCCCTATTTGATTTAATACAGCATCAATGCATCCTTAGGAATGGATGAAATTTTAGATATACTTAAGGACTGGTTTACAGGCGCGTCAGCTTCCTCGTGGCAGAAAGACTCTACACATACCCCTATGGGTGAAAGAGAAGAGCCTTAGTGTACCAACCCCTTGGGACACTATCATAGCCTTAGGTAAGATATCGGATCATACTGAACACTTGCTGTAACTGGACCATAGGGTCTAGACCATCTAATCTGATGATCTACTCTACCGCATGTACAAGAGAATATCATATCTGTTATTAGAAGGTGTGACTACACGTGGTGTGCCATTGCAGGACCCTCAACGGATGCAAGGCGGGAACTTGTTACCATGGACTCGGTTTGACCCGGCGGAATCCACCAGAGAACTCGGAACTCCTAGCTGCAGGCGAACCTGTTGGTCGCCGCCGATCTTAGTTGCTCGACCCAATGGTACGGATAGGCTAACAATGTATCATTCGGAGAAGGAGATCGGAGGGACCGGGGCGAGGCTAAAATGCTTAGGAGATGGAGGAGGTGAGGGGATTGCCGTAAACTCGGGTACCACATATTAATAGGACTTGGAACAAGTGATTCGTAGATCATGCATTGGTTTCTCGGTCCTGCTTCCTTCTGAGTAATATATATAAATGTGTCTCAGAATTTGTTGTCAACATAGGTAAGATGCCAGTGCGGCTCAGCCTCAGGCTGAGGCTTTTCTCGTCGTAGTATAACCTGACTCATCATTTCACAGGGGTATAAAGACCGCTGTAAAACTTCATAACCGACTGTATATGTCAAGTCTTCTATTTCATCACTCATTCCTGTTACATGAAAACCAAGGGGGACTCACATTATTGCAGGTCAAAGATTTCTACACTTAAACGAGGCCAGTGACTGAAGGAAAATATAGCACCAAGTCAAGCCTCTCCGTCATTATAGAATACCCCTCCGACACGTCCCATTATCCAGAAATCCTGTATGGAGCTATTCTTCTACATGAGCTAGGTGACATGGCGCGCGCGTGTCACCGTTAAATCATTCCCGCATGAGCTCATTTGCCTTGGGATCAAATTTATAACCCCTTAAACCCCACTGTAAGTGACAGTAATGAATAACTGTCCAAGTCACTGAAATATGAAAATGGAGGACAAAGGTTGGTATTCTATGTACTATTTATATACATGTATTCGCTAGATTCTATCGTGAGTTTTCCTTAAATTCAGCAACAACTTGTTCTGTCGCCGTCCACAAATCCTTCCCTATCTTAGGGTTATGAGCAGCTGGGTGGCCCCTGATAACCATATGGCTTCTATTAATGAATTGTCCCTTGTAGTATCTCTCTGCTGTCCGAACCTCACGAGAGACGCCCGCAAAAAGTACCGGCTTCGGGCCCATAATCTCACTGTAGCTCTTGAAATACCAAATTCCATAGAGATACCACGGCACGGCACGTCTGGTACCAGGCGTCCATACTGTTCCAGGACATACAGAAATTACCATTATAGGTACGCCCTCTTTGTCGTACCGAGCCTGTAGCTCTGAAGCCTGCAAATTTAAGGCCAGTTTGGACACGCTATACCTCCTCACACAACCCCAGAAACCATCCTCCTGGCCGCTTGGATATTTCAGGTCTCCTCCGTGGGCACTAGAGAAGTCTGGAACATACTCCTCACCATGAGAAAAGGCTGGTGCATCGGAGCTCACCTAATTCTGCGTGTGAGCTCTCTGTCTTATAACCCCACATAGAAGAAACCATATGCGAGGAAGTGTTAGTACATACCATGACGATACGGACATCAGAGCCCTTCTCCTGAGCGGCAGCTTTTAGTAATGGCTGGAATTGCTGTGTTAGAGCAAAAACGCCCACGTGACTTTGTTCCCAGTCAGCTCAACTCGTATGAAAAGCCGGGAAAATCTGTGGCTTACTTTGTCTGCATGGTGATTTGTACACCCGAATCGGCTAACTTGGTCGGCTCTGTGCCCTCGTGGGCGGCATTGTTGATCAGAAGATGAAGCTTCGATTCCTTCTTGCGAACTTCATCACTGGCTTGAAGGACACTCTTCATAGAGGCCATGTCCATCTGCACCCAGTTGACCTGCCCCTCTTTTACGCTCGGGTTCTCTCGGTAAATCTTCTCAGTGGCCGCCTCGGCCTTCTGGGACGAGCGAGCCCCAAAGTAGACTTTTGCGCCCGCCTTGGCGAGGAAGACTACGCATTGGTACCCAATCCCTGCGCTATAATGTGTCCAAGTGTTAGTTTTCGCATGGGATAGAGTTAATCATCCGTCAATAAGTAAAATTTCACTTACTTGCCGCCTGTGACGAAGGCGACACGCCCACGCAGGTCTGGCATATGCTGTCTATGGTCCCACGACGCCATTTTCGACTTTTGCAAAAATGAGGTTTCACCAATAATGAGTAAGCCCAGGCCCTACACCAGCTAATAATTCATTCTTATCAATTTAAACTGGCCAGCCGTCTTGGTCGTTGTAATTTGCCATACTCCTTTCATCGGATTCGGGGTTCGGACCATCGGGCTCGGCGTGGGCTGGCGTGCTTTGTCACGTCCTAGTGCAGAACACCAAGCCCGTATAGTATGAACACTTACATATAGAGGAGATCCTGCAGCATGTACGCGCAGACCTCACGGTCTGACTGGGTATTAATCCTGCGGATATAATACAGAGTGACGATTGTCCTATAGTTGACAACTACGGACTACGCAGTAATTGATTACTAATATTATAGTTCCATATGATGTAATGAGGAATTTTGCATGGTACCTGTGCCAAAGATGACAAGAGGTTGCACCTTTAGTGACATCTGATAGTGATAATTCCGTAGCTTGGCTGGTAGCTGACATCTATTACCGTACAGACGAACTATGTTTCCAAGGACACCTACACATATGAGAAACTTTGGTACCGTCCTGATCATCGACTCTAACTACCCAATTCAGCGTTGATTACGAGATGACAAACTCGAACCGAATATAGAAATTGGATTCACAGCGTGCTCCATAGCAAATCACAAATCCTATGGAAGAAGACTTCGATTCTAGCTCGTAACGTAAGAGGGACTTAGCACTACGACTTAACGCTAGCGTAGGTTTGTGCCGGCAGTTTAATCTGATACTCTAATTCTCTAATATCAAGTAGTGTATTATTATACGACACTGCCCCCTCCCTCCCGGCTCCGCAACTTGAAAAGTGGAATTGCGGGACATGCTCCATGTGTGCGCACACTGCTTACGCCCAATCAAACTACTATCTAATGAGAGATGGGATTTTCGACTGGATGTTTCTTGTTACGCACTTATGAAAGTGTTGCCATTCCACTTTAATAGGTCTCGGCGGAAGAGATAATCCAAGTCAGCCATGAGAGGTAATTAGATAGCCCTTCTACCTAATCTTATGTGTCAAACTCTATCTCCGTCTGTGAATGCTTCTAGCGTAGATGAATGCCATGAAGCTTATTATTCGGATCACCTCACTACCTCCCTTCTGGTACGGGCATGTCCAAGAATACTATGTGAACATTGCAAAACAGAGCTAGCTACACGCACAGCAACGTCACTGTGGCGCTGCATCGTGGCCAACCACCTTCCAACTATTATCATCACGGTTTATCAGACCCTTATTCCCTCGCCACCCTGGTGCTATATCACTAGCGATTTTGGTTGCCCTGGCAGACCCCCTGTCGCGACCCTGGCGTTTATACTCTCTACCTAGGTGAGCTAGTGTAGGAGCGGCGCGAAGGATCGGATCGACGCTTGCCCCAGCGTTTGAGGTGCAGCATACCGCCTATGCAAGCGACTATTACTATAATAGCTCGCTGGGGAGCCAAGCAAGCCAAGAATTGTCCCTGGTGCATCCCTTGTTCGTCCCTTGTTGTTAGGGCTGATCGTTGGCAAGGCCAGATAACACCCTACTTACGCAATACGTATCGACCTAGGCCCAAAATAAGAATGCATGATTTCCCGTTCAGGCAGTCGTGTAGTCTGCTGCAGAACGCATCACATACCGGCTCTAGCTATGCAGTGCATTCTCTTTTGCTCCGGCTCAAGTGCGTGAGCACAGCTGAAGGAGGAGGATCCCGAGCGGAAATTCGTAGGCAATGCAATGATTGGGTCTTACACAGAAGCACCGCAATAGTGAGGTAACGTCGTGCGCACACCTTCCCTTTGTAAGGGCAGTATTACCGAGTTATGGAGATAAGCATCGGCTTTGAAGCCAAAACAGCCAATAATTCCTGCAGGTATAATCCATGCTCTGCTTATGTACTCTAAATACCACAACTAAACTGAACTGCCGATCATAGGATCCACGAGTGTGATCCTTCTGCGTTGTAGTGCTTCTGCTCCGTAGCTCTCCTGCAGCATCCTTCAGTAGCTACCCTTGTACAGTCATCTTGCTGCAGTCATCCCCGTCATCTCATTGGCAAAATCTGTTTATCAGAGCAAACACATGTATAGTATATAAATCTTTCGAGGTTGGCCATCTTTGTAATCCTCATTGATGTTCGTCTTATGACATTTATGCTCTTGTTTGTACTTACTCCCTCGTGGTGGTATAATTTTAAATGAGCCCTCTTTCGTGGTGCATAGGACCCTGTACTATCTTCAACTCCCTGAATACCGCCACAATGCACAGGGTAAGCCCCAGACGGAGTGCCTGCGACCGTTGCAGGAGCCACAAGCTTCGATGCGTGAGGCTCGACCAAAACCCGAACGGAGCCTCTATTGCAAGCAACCCAGAGTCTCTGATGCCGTGCCAACGATGTTTGAAGGCCGGCGCTGAGTGTGTTGCTACCGCACACTTGACCGCGAAATCCACAGGAGACAACCACCCTGCACGCCATGTTTCGACCTCCTCCAGCCACTCCGCCTCACCATATCAACAACGGTCACCTGCCGCCGACCGACAACTCAACGACTTCTCTATCGAAATGCCCCCACAATCAGGCCCACAGGCGAAGAGGAAAAATAGTGGCGACCCAAGACCTAGCAAAGACGCCTCACCTCCTTGGGCCCCCACCTCGCTCCTCTCGCCACCCGCTAGTGACAAGTCCCAGAGATCAAGTCACGCTTCGTTTCTCGATATCGAAAAAGTAGGCTTAGAAAGCCGTGAATTTGGCCCAATGTCCAGCCTATTGCCCAATAATGCGGGCACATCCGCCCATATGCTACACTACGCGCCGCCGGCGGACCCAATCGTATCTTCGAACTACTTTGGCACGTCGACGAACATGGTTGTAGATCAGAATTTGCGTGAGCAGCCAATGGACTTAGCAGGGTCCAGCACAGAAGACTGCCTACACCGTCTCTCACAGCTCAGCTCAAAGCTTTTAGTAGACTTTGGTAAAAGCAACTCCTCTAACAACATGGGGGATATGATGAACTTCTTGTCACCTCCCAACAGCACGCCGACATGGCACCAGGATGGTACCAGCGGCATGACGACCAATTATCTCAGCAACACAGTCAGCAAGCTTTTCGAAAGTTTACAAGTATTCTTAGAGACCGTTGAGCACTTGCGTCCCAGCCCAGCATCGTCTGCGGCCTCAGAATGTTCATATTCGGACCACTGGGACGAACCGGAATTTGTCAGCACATCAGATGATAGCCAGATTTTCCACAACGCCATAACAGTGGATCCCATGCACGGCTCGTCAGAAACGCACACAAGCGCAGCAGACAGCGCAAGTGCCTTAGACATGCCGGCCACCATGACTATACTTACGTGCTACACCTGGCTCTTGAAGGGATATGAGATGGTTCTCTCAGGGATTGAAGAGACGCTTGCAACGCAGGGACGCCTGCATGGCTTGAAAACGCTGCCATCTATATTTCCCGGACCGGGGCTCGGGACCTTCGCATTGGAGAACAACCCAGACATGCAAATCGAGATCGTGATACACATTGGGTCGCAGATGCTGCACCGCATAGAGGGCATACTGGGAATCCACGTAGTATCAGAAGGCTGCAGCATCTCGGGCGGGCTGGCGGATAGGCGCGAGATCCTCGACACAAGCTCGGCAGCAGCGCTGCTGAACATCTGGTTTGCCAAAGGCAGCCAGGGCGAGAACAGCCCCGGCGACCCCTACGGAAGCAGAAGGATGCAGATTAACCATACGATAGACAGCATACGAAGACAATTGAGAGAGTACTGGAGAGGAAGGTAGCTTCCATATAGCATGATGACGACAGGGCTCCATAGACGCACTTACTTAGTTCAAGCACACGGGGTCTAGGCATGCATGCAGCGGCTCGCGTTCGAGCGTGCGTGCGTGCGTGCAACCCGTTAGATAGCACCTGTTTGTCACAAATGAAGCCATCTTTCAAAAAAAGAAAAGAATGCAACCCTGTATCGACGTATCTGTGCCACATTGATCCAGCCTCACACGTGTATTCTGCGCGCATTGTTGCCGGGGAGTCGGACGTGGGGTTGGGATTTGGACGGTTTTTCGACCAACGATGGCATCATGTGAAGTCGTTATTTCCAGCCGCTGTAGACCCCATACTTAGTCACGTGATGCACGATTCGGCTCCGAGGGCTCTGCGATCGTCCTTCAGCTCACGGCATGCGACCCACCCGGTACTTGCCCTAGTCATATCCTAGTTAAGCCCTAGTCAAGCCCTAGTCGAGCCCTAGCGCCCTGCACGTCGTTGAATCCGAGACGCTAGCGAGGCTAGGATGAGCATCCCCGATTCTGCCCAGCGCCTGCCCCGCCAGGTCAAACAAAGCCCGCACTCGGCGGTCGGAGTGGGCCCGCGTGCGGCTCCTCTGCTACACCCAATCGGACACGCCTCGAAGAGGTCCAGGGCCAATGTCCTACCTACATTCTGCCATATTCTGCCTATATTCTGCCTATATTCTGCCTATATTCTGCCTACTATACGGATATACGACTAGACTTATCCTCAGGCACTTGCGGCCGTCCGCTTTACGAGCTCTGCTGATAACGACGCCGAGTCCTCAGATGAGAAGGTCTTCGGGTTAATCACGGCGACCGCCAGCGCCAGCGCCATGTTCCCATGTTGCCATGTTTTACTTAAACTTGGCAACATACAGCGATCAGGCCATAGAGCCTCTCCCGCTCTTCTTTCCGTCCCTTTTTGCCTCTTCCCCCCCTTCTTCGACTTGCATGTCTACTAGTCTCTGCTACGGCCTAGGACCCTAGACAGGATGCAGTTCTTGGGTGAATTGTTCCGGTGGGGACGTGATCCCACAGTAGCGAAGGTGTCTACTGATGAGGTCTACCCCCTCTATTGGATGGACCAACTCGCTGCAGGCCGCGAGAGTGTTTTGAGCGAGACGCTTCGGTATAACCAAGTGCTAGATCCCAATAAACTCCACGATGGCTTGACCAGCCTGATCCAGCATGGCGACTGGAGAAAAATTGGAGGCCGTCTTCGACTTCGGGTGTGTATATCCCCTTCTCCTCGCCTGCCTGCCCTGACTGCTCGATCATCGCTAATTCATATCCCCATCGCAAGCCTGACGGCACTGTCGAGGTCCACGTGCCGAGAGAGTTCACAAAGGACCGTCCTGCAGTCCAATTCACTTCGAAAAACTATGATATCCCCATTGAGGACCACAAGATCGGTAGCCAACTGCCAAAGCTAGGCAAGGGCCCCAGCTTACAACCAGGTCCGAAGTCCTTCGACCAATTCAACCCTATTGAAGATGTGCCCGAGACATTGAAGGACTACATCCACTGCGACCGCCCCATCCTTAGGCTACATGTTACATCTTTCACAAATTCAACTCTTGTCACGCTCGTCTGGCCACATGTAATTGCTGGCGGTCTTGGTATAAAGGAGATCATTGGAGCCTGGTCCAAAGCCCTCCACGGCGACGAGGAAAGGCCCGCTCTACTAGGCACTCATGAAGATATTCTAAAAGATGCTGGCGCCGGTGAGGATGAGAAAATTCCATATCATCTTGAAGGGACCGAAATCAAGGGCTGGGGCTTTATCAAGCTCGTTATCAACTTGATATGGAGCGTGTTCATGCATCCGACAGTTGAATCTCGCTCCATGTGTCTGCCTCGTGAATTTGTAGCTCGACTGAGAGAAACCTGTCTGCAGGAGCTCCGTGATAGTTATGACGGACCCGACAAGCCTTTTCTCAGCGAGGGAGACGTCATAGAAGCCTGGGGTTCGAGGTTCGTGGGCCAAGCGCGTGGCGGAGAGCGATCGGGATTGATCATAACCTCTCTTGATGTCCAGAGTCGTCTGACCGCGCCCTGGCGCACCGACGGTGTATACGTGCAGAACACAGCTGGCTGTGTGTTTACTTCTATCCCCCCTGAAGACCTGCTGAGGAAACCTCTCGGCGAACTCGCCCATTTCATACGCAAGAGCATCCACACAGCAGCCACGGACGAGCAAATGCGTGCCCAGCTACGCATCTTCAGAACACTCGGCCATACGAAAAGCATACCCCTCTACGGGGACCCCAACTGCCATCTGATGAGCTGCTCCAACTGGACCAAGTTCGGGATCATCAACGCCGCCGACTTCAGCCCAGCCGTCGTGCCGAACTCGCCATCTCGGTCGGACGGTGTCGCGCCCGCCGGCAAGCCCGCCTACCTGCACTGCCAAGCCCTGGGCGAAAACAAGCTGCTCCGGAACTGCTTCAACGTCACGGGGAAGGACTGGGACGGCAACTACTGGATCACGGTATTCTTCTACCCCGAGGACTGGGCGAAGCTAGAGGCGTACATGGAGGAAACGGTCCAACGCATCAAAGACACCAAAATGCCATCCTAAACATGTAAATTTTCAAAAATAGAATAGGAATTCTACTAGTTGTATATAGTGTGGTTAGTCGATCAAGAGCTTTCCCCTGACAATTTACATAACATTTTAGTAATACCCAGGCTTAGCGCGATGACGTGTGGTACACTCGACGTTTACGCGATTAGGTAAAAGCTAAGGAATCGCGGTGAGTTTAGGTCTGCATAGAGATGAGTAAGCGTATTTAGTGACATTTTAGCTGAGAGCGCTAACGGCGGGCCGCTAATAATTCCCGAAGGGGCTAAATACTTAGAGAGAAAAAATTTAGTCTTCTATTGTTGTAATGGCTAGCCATCCCTTTCTAAAATCTGTGCAAGGGGTAAGGATGGAAGCGATTCCTATGATTATAACCATATATACCTAAAATCAACATTCTAAATTTCCAACGGAAGAGAAGCAGGTACCCAGCTGCTTTTTCCAAATTAAGCCGACGCCGTCACAGCATTGTGGTAATACAAATTGTTTGGTTGTCTCTTTCTTCAGTCCGACCCCCTTTGCTCTACAATAGGCTCTTGGGAGTGAGAAGTGCCTGAAGCTTTCGGGCGGTCTTCTAGGCCGACGTCCTCGGTCTCCTTCTGCTTGTTGAGTTCCAGGTCTTTCTCGAAAGCAATGACGAGGAACCCGAGACCCGCAAAGACAATTCCAATTTGCCAGACTCGCATGAGACTGCGCTCGTAGATGCTGATGATGACATTTCGAACGGCGTCGGGGAACGAATCCACAAACGTGCTCGACGCGGATTCGTAGGCACCTCCGCTTGATAGGGCTTGCCTCGCGCCCTCGTCGGTCAATTCTCCCAGAAGCTGGTCGATCCTGTTGTTGAAGATAGCTGCCGGAATACTGACTCCCCAAATGGTGCCTACACTGCGAATGAATGCAAAAGTACCCGTGCTGAGAGCGTTCAAGCTCTCCGGCAAAGCGGCCTGGATAGCCGTTAGGAGGTTGGGAGTCGTAACACCGATACCGAAGGCCACTATGATTTCTAGTACTACTATAACTGCAAGATGAGTGCTCCTGTTGAAAATCGTGAATAAACCGACGCCAATAGTCATGAGACCGAAACCGATAAAGTGGAGATTACGGTAACGGCCCAGTTTCGTTGTAAGCCCGCCTCCTACAAATGCTGCAAGCGCGTAGATGATGGAGAAAGGCAGAAGCATAACACCGGATCGAGTGGGCGAGACTAGCTGAGTCGACTGGAAATATAGCGGAAGGAAATAGAGCACCCAGAAGGAGACGATGGTTTGTAGGAACGTGGCAAGGTATGCCGCTGTGGAAGTCCTATTGCTGAAGAGCGACAATGGCATGACGGGGTCGGTGCAGAAGCGCGAACCTTCGTATAGAAGGAACGCAGCGTGGCCGAGGAGGCCGATGATGAGGGCCACAAGGATGCCTGGGTTTGTCCAGGTGTACCGAGTGCCTCCGTATGTAAGCGCATACAAGACTGAGGATACCGAGCCGGCAAGCAGGAAGTTGCCGATGTAATCGATCCTCTTTAGCTTGTCGAGCGTATTGCCTGGCGCGGTATGCTTGAGCTTCAAAACGAAAATCAAAAGAATGGTAGAGACACCACCGAATGGCACGTTGATGAGGAACGCCCATCGCCAGGAAACTCGATCGACGAGAATACCGCCCAGGAAGGGACCGATGACGGAACCGAGGATGATGAAGAGAAATAGTACGCCAAAGAACTGCCCACGCTCCCGCAAAGGCAACAAGTCACACATAATCAACTCGACGAGCGCTGCAAGTAACCGATGACGTTAGCGCTTTAGATTGCAGGATAGGTGACGGAGTATAGAGATTTAGCTCACTATTGATACCAGCGGCACCCAAGCCCTGAACGGTTCGACCGCCGATGAGAATGTCAACCGTCGTGGCGCCACCACAGATGCCACTACCAACGGTAAAGATGGCGACGGCGCCGATGGTAAGCCACCGCCGCCCCCAAAGATCAGCCAGCTGGCCGTAGATGGGTTGCACGGCAGCACTGAAGACGAAGTCGTGGTTAGAGGGATGGTCCGTAACACCGAAGACTAGAAGTGAGATGATGCACGTGAGCAAGACATACCTGGTCAGATAGTAGACATTGACTACCCAAATGTAGTTTTCCGATGCATCGAGAGCACGCGCAATAGACGGCAGCGCTGTAGATACAATCGAGCCTTCCAGGGCGCTCACAAAGGCTGTGAGAACGAGGCAGACGAATGTCAGCCAGAAACGAGGTCCTTTAGGTACCGGCGCCTCCTTTGCCTCGTCGGGCTCGGCTGTTGGCGAGCGGGAGTTTGGATCATGGATCGAGTCTACTGGGTCGTTAACAGAGGGTGCCTTCGATTTCATTGTTTCTGCATGGACAGCAGTGTCTGCCGTTCCCGGTGGTTGGTCCATCTTATTCCCATGCAGCAGCTATCAAGATACGGGCAGGACAGATAGATAGAGAGAAGTTTATCTAGGATCACGAGATATTGAAGCGGGAAGGGAACGAAGCGAGGTTGTCAAAAGATAAACGATAAACGATACGTGTAACGGAAACAGGGGTTAGGGTATATTTGTGGCCTCTCCAGCCTCGAAGCAGGTGCCTAGGAATAGGGGATGGCCACTACGTACATCATTGGAGTTCAATTCGCGGCGCAATAGTTTTTCGAACAGGTTATTTCAGGCCGTCAGGCAGCTAAGGTATCCTGGTACATGCCGAGGCGGCGTGGCGTGCGGGAGCAGGGCAGCGAGCAGGCCTTCGGACACGGGTCACGGTGACATGGCCCACGATCGGCATTGCAGGCGCCGAGAAGCTATCATGCGTTGTTGGCTGCACGGCACGTATAGAAGCCCACTGCACTGCCACCTGTCGAGTGGTGTACGCGTAAGTACCTAAGGCCAGTAAAGGTTCAGTGCACTGAACTGCCTGTAATTACATTACAGCGTTGTCTCCAGCAATCTTCCAGGCCACCACATTTCAATCTTGGGTCGCATCGTGTGCGTGCCCAGCCGCAATTTCTTGTCGCACTAGCCCGGACGAGGACATATCGTGCGTTTAGAGTATAGCTTCAGGCCCTTTTTAGCAAGAGATCGGCAGTGAATCTGGCACCCGATCGACGGCGGAGCGCGGATGGCTGAGAAAATCTCCGTGTCCCATTCCACGTACCACCTCACTTCGGACAACTGGAGTCGTAATCAGAGCATCACGCCCAGTGTAGATCAGATATCGACAAAACTCCTACTACATAGTAGATGTTGGCGTGCTTATTTCCGACACTGCATGTTCCATCTCGACGTGGCTGACAACAGCAGCACCTAAGTAGGCCCTGGGATTTCGCCCGCCGCGGGAAGTTGGAAATAGTCACTAGCTCGGAGGGTTACTGTGAAACACTTACGCAGCTCTGTTACAAAGTGCTTAAAGCATTACTAACTGGACCCAGTGCCTACTTACTATGTACTCCGAGTCCTTTAGGATGGGTGGATGGACGGATGGACGGCGTGCGCGCTTCAGTTCCAGGGTTTTGATGTGAAATGATGTAAATTGTTGGTCCTGCTGAGTTGCAGTGGTGGCCGATTCGGTCTTCGGGGTGGCTCCCAGGGGGCCAATCGGATTGCCTCATTCCTCTCATCACGTAACTTATGGCCCGGATATAAACAACTGTTTGCCCTCCTCTGCGACATATGTGTCCAAAATCCGAATTTCATACCGGCAATTTCACGCGATCATGACCCCAACAACATGCAATTTTGTCCAGTTTGATATTCCATGGTGCGGTCCGGTAATACGGAGCGGGGGGAGGCGGAAAGTGGTGATATCCTCAAAACCCGATACAGGTACAAGAGACAGTGGGCAAGCGACCGCTTAATGCACTGTTTCTGAGTAAAGGCAAGGGCTACTGTAAATCCACAGAGACTATTACGCATTGTGAACCAACAAAAGGTTGGGTCGCGATTTAGCTTCGGTCTACATCGTAGAAGTATCCCGTGCCACATATCTTACTCAGATATTGACTCCTGATAATCCCAAACTAGAAAAGTAGAAAACTAATATTTACTATCTGGTACAACAACACGGGTGTATAATCGTACCTACATAGGGGTTATCAGCTCAGTCCCTTGAGAGGCTCAGATAATGCAAGCGATACCTTACAAGTTCTGCCTTGAATAGACACCACACAAACATAACAATTCGTGCAACTTCTATTCGAATATTCAATAACCTCGGGGTAATCTGGACTCCTTTGTTACTACTTGGCACATAGCTTTTCCACGGAAACCCAGACAAGGATTGAATAAGTTGATCCTTCCTTACTACGATGAATAATTTGTTCATTCATGTGCAGCCACTCAAACGCAGCTACAGGCATCACACAACACTTTAAACAATCTCTAAAAGTATCTATAGTTGAAAAGCATATCATTTGTATTCATGCCCAAGGCTGTATAGTTTATCTGGGTTCAGTCTTCCTACACCTTGGCCTTACTCTATCCATTCAATAGTCTTCTCAGGCGCATACGGTTCAGTTACATAGTCACGTATACAGTAGGATCATTATAGCCACCAGCTAGGTTTCAGGGGATGAAGTAGAGTGGAGTGTGTATATGTCTAGGAAGCAGCCCAGACGAGTGACGCGAAGGGTTTTACTTCCGTTATCAGAAAGTGAAAACAATCTTTCACCACCAACAATGCAATCTTAGGATACGATCAGTCCATAGGTAAATGATGCATATCGTAAAGGGAGCGCATGCTCTATCTTTTCGTAAGGAGATGGGGCCGTCAGTCCTGAACACAGTAGACGAAATGCGCGTTAAGTACGTGTGCAATAGCGCTATTACATTGATCCTAGCCAGTCTCTTGCGCTAGCTACTTCCCTTCTCTGAAGGGCCATTTCAGGTCTGCAAGCACGGGACGGCCCGCAGGCCATACAACAAACGGGAGTGAAACACTGGACTTCCTCAGTGATCGAATCTTATGCCGTTGCAACAAACTGTTTCCTTCATGTCACAAGTAGTAAATGGCCTATGTAATGAGCTGAGGTAACAAGCTATCATTTCAAGTAGATTATGATACTATAGTTTCGATTGCGAAGAGTTATTCAAACATTGCCCCCTTTTAGCTATCGCTACGTTTCGAAACGCGTGCCTCTCAATTTGTGGGTGAGTATCGACGTATATGCAATGAGACCTATTGGCTTGGAAAGAAAGAGGACCTAAAGTTCTTCATTTCGGAGACAAATGTATCAGTGGCATTGGTAGCTACAGCCCCTGTCTATATTCGGGTAGCAGAATGTTCGGAGCACTCTAACCTAGCGCGTTGTATGTTCAGCTCGGAGCAAGCGTCACCAGACCAAAGCCTCCTCTGCCATCAGGGTCGGTAATAAACTCTTTAATAGCCTTGATCCCCTGCCCATAAAGGACGTCATCTGGTCAGTAAACCCCTATCCACCCGGTCTAATTGACCCCTATCTAGAGGAAGGGTTTATTGCTATGATGCGACTTGACAAAGCAAACGTAGCGGGAATCTGCTTCATCTTCTGGATTTTCAGGTGTCTTTCGTGTCTTCATGTAGTAATTTTTGACTCCAGCTCCGTGTCATTCTCAAGCACAGCAACCTATTCGACAGGATCAAGAGAAACACTTCTTAAGAAGACCCGATAGGTGAGATCTTGATACTACAATGAAGATGACGGCGTGTATCAGGTTCGGAGCCATCTATTGCAATATGGAAACTTATCTACACTATGTAGTCTCTCGCACGGCCATCCGCAAAGGCATGAAGAATGGCGTAGAGACCGCGGGCATTGTCGATCGTCTGTTTGAACCATACGGCATTCCGACCGTATTCGGGCCATGCATTATTTGCTGTCGCGTCACGCTGTCTGGCCAAGAGATATTCGTAATCACTCGGTGTGGGGAAAACAAGAATGCATGGGAGACTGGTCGTGGCACAAGCGAAAGTAGTTCGGGATCATTTAGGTACCAAACATAATGGAATGTAACAGCTGTTGAGACTCTTAAAGCATACATGAGCTTAGTAAAGAGATCGGAGTTTGGTCCAAGCGGTATGAAATGCACCTTGTAAATCATGGTGAGCCTACGTAGCTGGGATTGTCATGAATGGTACGTCGGTGCCTAAATCTTCTGGCCATCTAATTAACGGACACGCGGACAACCAACAAGCGGCCGATAGCGCTAAGCTAGGCAGCGTTGTTGAAGAGGAGTATTACCAAATGCTCAGTTTTCTCTAATCTACTTGATCTATATAATAGTCAGGAAATCTATGTCCGTCCTCCTTACCTCGGTAGCCCTTCATTGTTACATCACCAAAGTAGACACAACTGTCGCCATTATCGCCGCCTCCACTGCGACTACCCTTCGTTGCGATCGATTCTCCGAGCTTCATCATTTGGCATCTGAAAGGACAGCATGATGTCTGAGCTGTTGGGCCAGATCAGTCTTACTGGCAAGCCTTGCAAAACATGTCAAGAGTCCTGCAGTCTTCCACGCCTAACAACGCCATAATTTGAAAATAAGGTATTCGCACAGCTACAATATGCCTGTACTATTATTCTCCGAGACTTCGAGATAGCTTACTTACATATTTTCATTTCTAGCACACCATAGGAGCGTAAGGCTCCCTAACAATGATACGTTTTCAATAGGACCTTCCGCATGGAGTATGAGACCACTTGTTGTTGAACGAGGGATCTAGATTGTCATGTGATGACTGATCCTTCTTGAATACAGAGCATTTATGCCTTGATAAATTAAGACGCTTAACTACTAGAGCGTCCCAATCCTTAAATTCAACGATCATTAAGTCACAGGTGATTTCATGAGTGTGCGAATCGCACATAACACGACAAAGCGAGGCCAAGAGACAGATAATGAACTGAACGCTACATTATACGTATGGTAAATAGGCGGATACCTCGTAAGTAGCAGCCTACTACGTTAACACATGCGCAGCGCAAGGTGTCTCCCATCCACGTTTTCGAAGCCACGGCACGATCTACCTTTAGCATATTAGGCACGCACTCTAGAATACCAATTTTCATAGATTTATCTACCTAAGCTACTATTCTGGCAAGGTACCAGACTTCCTGCAATTAGATATACTTCCCTCAATGATACTCACTATTTCCGAATGGGGATTTAGGATACTAACAACATCTTATAAATTGAAGGAGGTTCTAAAGATGCATTAAACTTCCATACTTTCTGGATTAGAAAATGAGTAATGGCTATTTTTGATACGCCACGTATCTATCTAAGAATCGCGGTCGCAATTGAATGATGATGCAACTATTCGCTTAAGCATGGGACATGCGGCAGCTCATCAACCTCGCCGCTCGCCTATGGGATTCCACAACTCTAAAGCTCGAATAATTGAATAAAGCATCCAAACGTTTCTAGAACATTGATTGAGACATACGTAAACTTTAAGCGCCGGGACATTTGCTTCGAACAGGGGTTTTTATGTGTATGAAACGAGTGCGGCCTAAACACCAGCCCATTTAGCCCATTTCGAGGCACAAGACATGCGGCGCAGCATAACTGGTACTAACAACGGCCAGTGCCAGCCAATCAGCGACACAGATTAATAGGACTTCGCAATATTTTGTATTTGCCTATACACCTGGCAAGGCGTATTCCCTCGACTCCATGCTTTCCCCAGGCCATTTGGAGCGAGCAGCTGGGGTCATTTGATCCTACACAGGCCTCCTGTCTCGATCTTCAAGTCGTGGCCGTGAAATGGCTCTGGAAAATACCACTCATCCATCATCCTTCAAGAGGTATAAGTAGAAGTTATGCACTCTATCCGCCCCAGTAGCAGTGCAAACGCACATACTCAAACCACACCAGATAACCATTCCTTTGCATTGCTATTCCCTCTAGGCGTCCTCTAGAACATAAAGTTTTGACCATTAACTATGTCAATCGACGCCGGATCCACGAAAGGGTTGGAGGACTTTGTTGTAGCAGACATCAACGCTGTCATTTTGAAAAGGCTGCGTGAGGAGCATCTGTATCATTTCATACGTGCTAGAGATGAATTATACCGACTAGAACGCAGCGATGATTCTGAAACCATCCGCCTCCTACGTCGTCAGTCCCTTCGCATGTTGGAGAAGACATGGCGTAATATACTAGGGACCCTACGAAGTGAATTACCCAAGGGATTGGATCAACTTCTCAGCAAGCTCCAGCCAGAATTTCAAGCCATGGGAGGCTCGCCCATCCGTGGTAAAACGGCGTCGAACCCACCATCGCCATCAACCGAAGTTCCTAGACTCCTTGGAAGAGCACATGCTCCCGGCCTACAAACCATTCAGGAGTCGGGCGCAGCCGTGACTGGTGGTCCAGTTTCACCTAGGAAGCGCAAAGATTCTGCCACAATTGCTCCTGAATTTCGCGTCGTTAAAGATATTGACGAACTTAGCATTGCTACGGAAGAAGCCATGCCAATTGATCTGACTAACAAACCTACTCAGAAGAGGCCCCTGGCCCGCGAAGAGGTACAGACTACATCTCCAAAGAAGAAGGCGAGGCGAGCACCTCAGGTCAGACACCCTAAATCACTCAGTCTCGACATTGCTAACTGACCCAGATGAATCTAGGAGCCCTGGGCTCCTCTGTCCACAGACCGATTAAGACGAATATGTTTCTTCACGAGGTAAAACCGCGGGAGTGTATCTTCAGCTACGGCGACTACGCTGGATTCTACGTCCTGCGCTGCAACCAGGCTAAATGCAAGAAGGGGCTGGGCAAGGAGGAAGGCACGATATTCACATCTCATCCGTTCTCGGACGGACTTGCTCTGGAACATTTCGCCAAGGAGTGGCATGGCCTCAGCACAGAGGCCGATATATTTAGCAAATTCGCTATTCGAGGTGCGCATCCTTTCTATTCATCCACCCTGATAACCCAGTGCAATGGCTAAAACCTCGCAGTTATCGACGCAGACAGTGAGCGTAAGTCGGAATCCTGCCGAATGCATGATATTGCGTGAAGTCATTAAAGTATTTTTTTCTTAGGCAACACCGACACTATCGACAAAGCGGGTGTTCCAACATCTGATGGCAATGTATCTGGCGTGGATCAATTGCCGCCGGGCGCAGCCACCGATAGATCTAGACTAAAAGGCAAGGAGCCGGAGCGCCGGTACCCATCGCGCTCCAGCCCGAAGATGCCGGCCGCAGAGGCCTCAACGTCGGCATCGGCGGCGTATGAGAAAGAGACCTTTGTGCAATCCTTCTATCGAGCAGGGGCGCTGGAGTGGGTGGCGGAAGAGGATAAGGGGACTTCGCCTGCTCTGGGAACTGGGCGTCAAGCAGATGGGAAATGAAATCTCAGCAATCTCTTGTTTCGCAGAGGGAGGTCGCATGAGGAGTAATGGATAAAGTCGTTACACTGTTTGTATTGGGGTTTTTGTGTTCACTATATTTCGGAAATTCCTCTACGACAGGACTTGGATATCCTCCTTTAGACTTTTCCTTTGTCATGTCTTTCAATAGCTGATTTAATATGCTTCGCTCACTAATTTCATGCACTTTATCTGCGCCTAGAAAAATGGGAACGATTCACTGTTAAGATTGTAATATTGAGTATTATGGCACTCGTCGTAAAGCATTTGATATCGTGTCTATCTTGTTACCCCTATTTCAGAGTGACTGATTATTTTTATGGCCCTGGGATTTCTTAAAAGAGTACTTATTGGCTTTTAAACATGTGGTAACTGATTAATCTGAACTCACTGCCTTGAAATTATGACATGCTTCATCTCGAAATGCCATCGTGACTATCATATTGTGTGATCTCTTTTTTTCGTGTGTCTGCTAATTTTTGAGCTCTGTCAATCAGCGTGTAGCTTCCATATGGATCATGCCATTTATAACACAGTTACATGATTCCTATTATGCACTCAACTTTTCACGCCCCTTAGTGTACTATAACTCTGAGTTCGACATTCCTTCGGACTAATTATTCATATAGTTACATCAAATCCTGTTAATTGTCTAATCATCTCCTGTACAGAGTTGTAAATAGTATAATTATGAGAGAGTATGGGGTGCGTACAATGTGCTGTTTGGAGATTTATATATAGGCAGCACCTAGCTTGTTGGTTGATGTATATTTAACCAAGTATCATTTTCAGAAACATGTCGAGGTAGTTACGTAATGAGAACCCCTGTTCTGTAAGTTCCTTTCGACTGAGTATCTTCCGTTCTCTTGTTTCGCTCACCTCTGAAAGATTCCAGCAATGATCTCCTGACGCGATACTATGGTATCAAGGGAAGCGTTGACAAGACAGGACTGTTGAAGCATTGTAGATTGTGTAAAAGGAGCTTACGGGCTAATTACGGCAGTCGGCAGGGGTTTCGGTATCGCGGGGGGTTCACGATTTCCGTAGACTGGCGGTGACTTCAACGAGAACAAGGTAGGTAGCTTTCTCTTACATCAGCCGAATACTTATAACGATTCAATTGCGTTCGTTTGGAATAACTTGTTTCACAATAAAGAGAGGGTGAGTAGTTGCTTGGGAAAAGGTATTTATGTTCATCTCTAGGTGTAAGTATGGATGGCCATGGTCCTCGGATTTCCCTCTGCTCGCTTCATTATGAGGATAAGAAGTGTATCCTAGGCAGTCACTTAGTGAGTACCTATTGATGGCTGGAACGTTCGTTTCTCCTCAAGTTCGTATTGAATACGGAGCCACTATCAAACCCCTGTTCCTTATTCCCTGTTGCGGACGCTACCTTAGTTTTCTAGGCGCAGCTCGAACGGCACTCAAGCTTTGATAGGTAGATGAAAAAGCAGTATGTTGAATACCTACTCAAGAAAGCATGAACTTGAGAGTACATAAACTGGTGATCTCGTCTTGGATGCATGGAATACTTCAGCCAGTCCAGGCCGTCCAGACCAGTCTTCTGAACAGAAACACCCACCAAGAATTAGTGGGCGACTAGTGGGCCAGTACCTACAGTAGCGCACCATGCAGGGACAACAGCACGCGGAATGACGCAACTATCTCCTACTTTATAGCACTGATCCTGGTCGCCATTCAGGCACCGATTCTCCTTTTTTCAGGGTCTTATTTTCAGCTGCATTTCCATCATCTCACCTCACTCTCTCACTCTCCCCCGGCCGCCAAAGCTGCTGAGGTAGGTGTACTTACACGTAGGTATTGTCACGCCATGCAAATAATTATAGAGGATAGCGAGCTTCTGCGTTTACCTAGGTAGTGTTCAGAGCCAGATGCCACTCACCTAAATAGCACCTAGGTACCTACCTAAGGTAAGTACCTACCTAACCGGAGAGGCGGCAGGTAATGGACAATCTAGGTAGGTACTTAAGTAATTTATAGGGCTGCCTGGAGGGCTCAGCCCACTTTCACCATCGCGTCTCCCCACCGTTACCTACCTACCTACCACCAGACTGCCTACCGCCTACCTGAGCAGCAATTTTCCGAGTGTCTCAATATCAAATCCAGAACCTTACTTTCCACCCATTTTCCCAGAAATGGTGTCGCTCGACACGTAGATAGCTCAATTCCCTTTCTCATCATCATCGGCGATCCCTCCAACCGCCACGCAGGCACCGACCGATAGATAGCGCCTCACTCGATGACCATCTCCCTTGTTGGAGCCCCTCGGGGACTCCGCGTCCTGCTCCCCGCGACTTTCTTCGTGCTACTCTTTGTCCTCGCTGGCTTTTTCCACAACACTGGACGGACCAGCCAGCTCCTGCAGACCATATCGTCAAATCTACACAGCGGTGGTCAATCGCAAGACGTGGACAAGGTTCCTCCCCGTCCTACTAATACGCATCCTCCGCCCAAGTACAAACCGACCCCGACCTTCGCTGTGCCCACCGTCACCGACCCCTTCCCGCTCTTGGCCACATCGACTGATGCACCACCTGCCATCCCTCCCTATAATGTCCCAAAGCCTGGTCTCCATCGCGACTATGGCCTTTCCTATATGCCGCCTCTGTTCATCGGCTTCACCCGCCAATGGCCCATGCTCCTGCAGTGTGTCGTTGGCTACATCACCGCCGGCTGGCCGCCAGAGTCTATATATGTCGTGGAGAATACCGGTGTACAGAACTCGAACGCTGACGGGAAGCTGACGCTACAGAATCCCTTCTATCTGAATCATACCACTCTGAGCCGCCTCGGCGTCAATGTGCTGCAAACGCCCGTCCTCTTGACCTTCTCACAGCTGCAGAACTTCTTCATATCCACGGCTACTTCCCGTCAGTGGCCCTATTACTTCTACTCGCACCAAGACGTCCTAGTCATGTCGTTTGAGGACGGTCCTGATACCATTAAACGGCCCGGTGACCGCGATTGGTTCTTCTACGACGACCAGGAGAAAGCAGACATTCTGCGCCCTGCAGCCGCTGGACACAAAGGTTATAGAACCATTTATGAAAATTGTTTACGAGAGCTCAACCACACGATGGAGAACGAGAAGCGATGGGCCTTTCGCTGGTTCCAGTATGACCATCTGACTTTGGTGAACCGCGGTGCGCTCGATGCCGTTGGTGGTTGGGACAGTCTGATGCCGTATTACGGGAGTGATTGTGACATGAATGCAAGACTTGAGATGGACGGGTGGACTATGCGACATCGCCGAGTCGGCATCATAAACGACGTCTCAACCGTAATGGAAGACCTTGCTGCGTTATACAGAGACCCCGCAGTTGTCCCTCAGTTCACGGATCCCAACCCTATATCCGAGGAAGAGTTGGAGCAAATGGAACAGCCAGAAGGCGAGGCAGCTGATAAGGGTGAGCCGACTGAAGATGATGGGGCTACCGGCGAAGAAGTGAAGCCCGAGGAGCAGGCCTTGGTTAAACCTACTGAGAGTTCCATCGACAAGTCGGCGGAAACACCTGCGGCCAAGCCCGTAGAGAGGCGAGAAGCTGAAAGCTCCGAAAGCTCCAGTTTATCAGGTATCGCCCACGCTATGGATTACTTTCGTGCCCTTCTCAAGGTCGCCGATGATATGGGAGCGTACAAATATCGGAGCGATAACAATGCTCGCAATTCTTGGCAAGCTAGTCAGCATGGCGGCGTTGGCGAGCCTTATTATTACAATGCGGATGGCTTCGCTAAGTCATTCTGGATCTTGACAGAGGCTGGCCGTGAAGTATTCCGCGAGAAATGGGGTCACCGGGACTGTGATCTCGTCAAGGAAACGGCGCTTCAACTTGACGATCAATGGCGCGTGGAGAAAGACTGGGAAGATACCCCGTCAGACTCCTAGGGATGTAATGAGTTGAATGTATTAATTTTTGCATTGGGTTTGTCATGGTCGGCGTTGGCATAAACTAGAAGGTTTGGTAGGCGGGGTTTTTACGCTCCTAGTGTGAAGCTTGGAGATTTGTATAACAAAGTGTACTCTTTTGAAACTTGGGAATCGAGAGTAATTAGGTGGGCAAGAGAGAGAACAAGACAGATAATAGTAAGATACCCTATCAAGTGGAAGTGTAAGATGATAATAGATTCTTATCTATCCCTTAGGATTTTGCGTGACCGCTTGGCTGTTGCTTGTTGGCTATTGCGACTGCGCAGGGGATCCCTGGGCGTTTCTGGTGGGGTTGAGTAGGGAAGTGGTAGGTACTCAAAAGGGAATAAGTTGCAATAACATGTCTATCTGTTCTTACATTGTGCTTATACTCTTTATCTGTAACGATACGATTTTAGAAAAATAAGCCCAACAAGTGATTACTAGCAGATATCCAATATCAACAACATAATGAACCCAGAACGCGGGTATGTGGTAAGCTTGGCGTGGCTCGGTTTGGCTTACTCTAACTGTGACTAGCCCCCTTTTCAAGCAGCAGTTGGACGATTCCTTCATGATTATTTTCCTCCGCCATAGACATTGCAGTATCACCAACAGTATTTTCGAACTCAACATTGGCGCCGTGTTCAAGCAGGAGTTTCACAATCTCTTCGCGTCCTGCTTCGACAGCCCATAACAGCGCCGTTTGGTCAAAATCAGGATCTCGAGACTCTGTGTTGGCACCTTTCTTGAGTAACATCTTCACAATATTAGCTTGGTTGTTCTGTGTTGCCCATATGAGTGGAGTTCTGCGGTATTCCGTGTCTGTGCATTCTAGGTTAGCACCTCTCTCGATGAGCAGTTCCACGACCTCGGCTTTGCTGGCATTGATTGCCGACACCAATACCGTTGACCCAAAGCGCGTCCTCGACTCTATATCGGCACCTTTGTCCAATAGAAGTTTAGTAACCTCAACATGTCCGTTTTGAGCTGCCTTGGATAGTGGCGTACTGCCGTATATGTCATCCTTGGAGTCAATGCCGGCGCCTCTATCTAACAACATCTGGACAATGTCTAGATCTCCATTGCCAGCTGACAATAACAGCACCGTCCTGCCATGCTTGTCTTTAGAGTTAGGATTAGCCCCATGCTCGAGAAGCAGTCCCACAATGCTGGAGCGTCCGTCCGTCACCGCCCAATACAGTGCTGTTTGGCCATTACGAGAATCTGCGGCCTCGAGATTGACATTCTGCTTTTCAAGCAAAAGTTTAACAATAGTTTCATTTCCTTTTTGGCATGCATATGATAATGGTGTTCGGCCGGAGTTATCAGCAACGTCAGGGTTAGCTTTATTTTCGAGTAAAAGCTTGACGATAGTGTCATAGCCCTTCTTGCTTGCCCACGATAACGCCGTTTGCCCATTCATCTCATCTTTAAACTCAAGATCCGCCGCATCCTGCTCGAGCAACTGCGTAACGACCAACTCGTTCCCACAATGAGAAGATACTATGAGACTAGTCAGCGACTTTGGGACATAACCTTGCCCACCGTCGTAGTATATGCTGAACCACAATCGACAACTCTTCAGATGCGGATCACAGATTCTCAAAACTTGAGGTAGAATGTCAGCATCGTCGCGAAAACCGGCTAGAAGGAAATGTTCGTTCCAGCTTCCAGCCGAGTATCTGATGAAGGCGTGGGCGGCGAGGCGCGGATCGATCGTCACGCGCTTCTCTACAAGAATATCGGCCGAGTTGAGGGAATCAAGGTAGATTATGCAAGTTTCCGCGAGAACCCGGTGTGCGTCCCGAAGGACGATTGAATTCTGCCATTGTCTCGCCAATGGGGTGGCGATTGGCGATACCGTGCCTAAGAGGAACTCGCGCGCAGTTTGATGAATGAAATAAACCCTCTCGTGGTGGATTGAGATAAACAACCCACACCAGGATCTGAGACGTGATTTGAAGTCCGCTTCTTCCTCCAGATCAAGGTCATGGATAGATTTGAGTGTATAATCCATTTCGAGGGCAACATTCATCTCAGCAACCGTCAGCGGCCGACTTGCTGCTAGAATAATGCTCAAAGCCTTTCGAACTATAACCTCGTCTCCCTTGGACCTGTTCAGAATTTTCTCATATGCCTGATTTATGTTCTTCGGCAACGTTGCGACTGCAGAATCGACGCCTTTTCGGGTCTTTTTGAACTCTTCTTTCTCCAAGTAGTCAAATACGAGGTACACCCAAAGGTATGTCCGGTGGGAGACTTCGAGTAATCTTCCCGCTAGGTAATTCTTGATAGGGTCAGAGAGGAGCTTTCCTTTGGCGAGTTTCTCTACTCGGTGCTTGATAACCTGATTCACCTCCTGGCTGATTGTCTCTGACTCTTCTTCCCCCGGTATGCGAACGTATGGGAACTTGTCTACAAGGTACCGGAATTTCGACACTATCTGCTCGTACGGACGACTCGTAAGGAGATACTTCAGCTTGCTTGGGCTTGATTTATTCTCGGCGAATTGAGTCTCTATATTCCGCATTAGATCTTCGAATTCCACCTCAGCGCATTCATCCAAGGCATCCAGAACTATGATTATATTACCGGCCTGGGGATCTTGGACGGCATTTCGCAGAATGATCCAGAGCGAGCTTGTTGAGCCCACTAAGCCTCTCCCATCTATGTCGAATTGCTTCACAGCGTGTTTGATAAGATGCGGTTTTAGATAGAGCAGCTGATGGAGGAGGGCGCAAAGTGCTTGACGGCAGGTGTTTTGGGCTTGGTCCTTGAAGAAAAAGTAGCAAATAGTTGAGGAACGCGGCAATACAGAGTCAATGAGATGTTTGGCCAAAACAGTCTTCCCACATCCAGGATCAGCGGAAACGAGGAGTGATCCTGAGTCTTGCTTCAACCATTCTTGAAAATACTCATGCTTCAGAAACCACTCGCAGGTGCCATCTACTCGAGCTTCTACCCGGTCTTTGTACCACTCATATGTTGCGTCTTCGCTGGAATCAGTGAGTCGAAACAGTTGAAGACACTTATTCTCTCTGTCGGAGAACTTCTGCTGCACCTCGGCTTCCTGTATCTGGAGAGATCGCTGTGCAACTCCCAATTGCTCTGTTGCCACGCGGACCTGATCTTCAGAGACAGACAGTAATTGTCGCATGTATTCGAGTGATGCCGCGCTCTTTGTATTGACAGACTCTAGCTCTTGTCTCGCCGCGAACTGGTTAATTTGCATCAGGCTTCTGTCGACAGTAGCCTCGAACTCCTTGATGTTGCGAATCATCTTTTCCCAATCCGCCGTTTGAATGGCATCACTGGCGTAACGTCTGACGCGGCTCTTATAGAACCGCAGAACACTTTTAAGCTGGAACTCGAGGATGTGTTGATAAAGTTGTATGATGTGCTTGTTCGCTTCCGCCATTAACGCAGGAGAGGCCTCAGAGCTTTTGCCGAGATGTCGCACCAGAGGCTCAAACGCGGTGTAGTACTGCATGCGAGTAGTCACGTAGGTGAACCCGTCGCGATTGGCTTCATCGGCAACCGTGGGGTTCGTGAGAAGTGGGAGAATGATGCTGACACCGGCCCACACGATGGATGCTTCTGGTGATTGTTTGACAGCCTCACCGATCCAATCCTTCGCCCACAACACTAATCTCGCGGCTTGATCGATCTGGTTCGATAGATTAAATTCATGGCCGGCGATAGTGTACTTTGTTTTCTTCTCGTCTGCTCGTTGTAAGCCAGCTGTAATTAGAGCCCCTAGTCGGGCTTGCTGAGATTGTCTGTCGGCGTTGTTGCTCGGAGTGTCCGATAACACACCCTTCTGTGCCTCTTCCGTGAGCAACTCCTCGTAGTCCTCTACCAATTTCGTGTCATAGCTTCTAAGAGCATCGTATGCCCGGTCCCAAAGGGACTGAGCAACAGGAGGCCCTTCATGACTGATAGCTGCAGATTGTGCCTCTTGTGTGCGGCTACTTTCGCCTTCAGGTGGGCGCTTCTTGCCTACAAGTTTCCTCAGTCGACGCATCGCTATGTATTGGCTTGGAACAGATCAATGAGCCCCAAAGTCAGGAAGCGGATAGTGCCTTAAAACAATGCTGTGATCCCATGCAGTCGTGTAGACGTGTGCAAGCCTGTCTAAGCCTCGAGTGGCATTGCAATAATTTCCACAAGGTACTCATTGAGATGATTAGGCTGAGACCAGCCCGGCGCAGCTTCATCATCAGGGGTCGAAAGGTGATGATTGGTTCGGACAAGGGTGGCGTGGCTGCAGAGTGGCAGTAATGTGACGGGACGGACCAACATACATATACTGAAGTAGGTAAGGAGGTGCCAGGTCATCTTATATATTTCCTAGTTGAGCTACCTTGGCAAGGTGATGATGAGACTTACAAGAAGAGAATAACAGAAGATGAGTTGTTGATGTTTGTAGTTGTCCATTAAGGCGTGAAAAAGGTATGACCAACCAGCGGACGACTTCTACATATATCACTTGATGCGGATAGCTATCTGTTTGTCTATACACTCCTTCAACATACCATACTGCAAGTTAGCAATGAAATCAATAGCTGAAGCTCGGCTCTTCTGTCACATTAGATTGACTGCCCATGAAGTTGCAGGCATCAGAGATCTAGACGCCACGTGGCAAGTTCCTGATGAGACAGATACTACACAACCGACTACTGATCTTGCGCTAGGATCAGGGTATAGCGCGACAATAGCTCTTTGAGATACTATTATAGACTCATAAGGAAATACTTAGGTAACAACTCACATAGGTACTTCCTACATGATGCTGTACTGTTGGTAGGAGGGATCAGGACCCCTGAAACTAATTTCTCGTCAGTGGCGTATAGATAAGTTGTGGCTTCAGAGTTGAGACAGCACCGCCACAAATTACCCCGCGGTACCTACTAGGTACCCTTAGGGAAGAGCTTGTTTCACAGCTCTGTCACAGGTACGTACCCCTCCGAGGCAGGCACTGCCCCACCATCCATCCCACTTGTTGTCATCGCAGCTTTTTTTTTGAGTCAACATCCGTTCCCTCAGCATCTACGAACCAATCCGACTCGATCTCTGCATCGATCGATTCGACTGTCGACGCCTTCTTTCTTGTCTATTTGCTTGTTTCATTACGCGACCGACAAGATGGCTACAGCAGACCAAACGGCCGCCACCAAGGCTGTTCCCAAGCTGGAAAACGTACGAGGACCGCGCCCCCTTACCCGCTCTTCCTCTACCTCTTGACGTGGCTAGTCATCGGGCTAGCAGACCGATACGGCGATACGTCCTGGAGAAAGAAAGGCCGAGAATACTTAGAGTAACATCGACTGATGCCTTCTCTTATTAGACCGAGAAGCGTGACACCTTGATCGCCGACGAGCTGAGGTTTCAGGCAGAATGGGAAGCCAAGAAGCTCTTCGAGACAAATGCTCCGGCTGCCGGTGAACCGAAGCCTCCCAAGTACTTTGCGACGATGGCCTATCCATGGTATGTATATCACTGTTCGCGAGACCCGGTTTTGGTAGAAATATGTATTGTCTGTCAGAGCTAACTGTTCTCACAGTACGTCGACCCGCAACCCTGTAACATGGCCACCATTACCTGTGTACAACATACCGAAGACGATAAGAAACTAGGCTAACATGCCTTGTTATCCTAGACATGAATGGAACGCTTCATGCCGGTCACGCGTTTACCCTCTCAAAGCTAGAGTTTATGGTTGGATGGGCTAGGATGCAAGGCCAGAAAGTTCTCTTTCCCCAAGGATACCATTGTGGTATGTATCCAAAACCTACTGTGCCGGTTACACGATCTGGAGGTCTTTGAGGAAGATATGTTGCCTTCCAGAGCTAACTACTATTCTAGTATGTGGACTTCTGACAACAAAATGTGGCCACCATGCCTTAGAGAATAAGAGGACGTAGGTGACATAGAACTTGGCTAACAATTGTCAGACCGGTATGCCCATCAAGGCTGCTGCAGACAAACTGAAACGTGAGGTTGAGATGTTCGGCCAGAACTTCGAAAACGTCCCCTCTGCCGAGTTAGAGCAATTGTCTCTCGCTGCCGCGGATCCTAGCGAAGTAACAAAGACCGACATCAGCAAATTTAGTGGCAGTAAGAGTAAGGCCGCGGCCAAGACTGGAAAGGCCAAATATCAGTTTGAGGTTCGCTAACTTGAAGGACGAGCTATTATTTGGTCGTTTGCTAACACAAGGAAAGATCATGCTGTCTCTGGGTTTTCCTGTGACCGAAATTCATAAGTTCGCGGACGCTGGTTATTGGTTGCATGTTTTTCCTCAGCTTTGCGAATCAGATCTCAGACGATTTGGTGCCCGCGTAGACTGGCGCAGATCATTTGTGACGACAGACGCGAACCCTTTCTACGACTCGTTTATACGATGGCAAATGAACAAGCTAAAGGCGCTTAACAAGATCAAATTTGGGAAACGCTTCACCGTATATTCACCCAAGGATGGTCAAGCAGTCAGTTCCCTGGAATCATTTCTCCCTTGTACTTCGGCTTGCTCTGGACTTTATGTTCTCACTCGTTCTGATTATTACTGACTTCAAAGTTCTAGTGTCTTGATCACGATCGGAGTGCTGGCGAGGGAATAACCGTCCAAGAATACGTTGCATTAAAACTCAGGACCCTCGATTGGTGTGATAAGGCTAAGGAGATTATTGGCGACAAGATCCCTTCGGATGCAGACGTGTACTTCATTCCCGCTACTCTCCGCCCCGAGACCATGTACGGACAGGTAAGCATATTAACTGATCGCCTTTCCTTCTGCCCCTGTCGGATAGAATTCCCTAAGCTTTTCTTACTCTTTTATACTATTTCTAACTATATACGAGTAGACATGTTGCTTCGTCGGGCCGACTGTTGACTACGGTATCTTTCGGATATCCAAAGAAGGACATAAGGATGAGTACTTCTTCTGCAGTGAGCGCTCCGCTCGAAACATGGCATTCCAGGGGATCTCTTCACCGTGGGGTGAGTATCATCAGGTGGTAGGCCTTAAAGGTTCAGATGTCATAGGCACTCTGGTACACGCGCCCTTATCGGTTCATGAGAAAGTCAGAATACTGCCAATGGCCACTGTCAAACCAACTAAGGGAACCGGAGTCGTCACTTGCGTTCCTTCTGACAGCCCTGATGATTATGCCACCACTCTAGAGCTCAAGAAAAAGCCCGAGTTCTACGGGATCCAGAAAGAATGGTTACCAGAGGACATTCTACCCATCATTAAAACACCATCTTCAGATTTGATAGCGAAGCATCTGTACGAGACTATGAAGATCAATTCACCAAAAGACCAGAAGCTGGCTGAGGCAAAAGATATCGCCTATAAAGAGGGATTCTATTCCGGCGTCATGGTATTCGGTGAGTTTGCTGGCAAGACCGTTATAGAGGCCAAGCCATTGGTGAAGGCACAGTTGCTGGAGTCTGGACTGGCCTTCAACTACGGTGAGCCAGATGGACTCGTCATCAGTAGATCCGGCGATGAATGCGTCGCGGCATACCTAGACCAATGGTTCTGGACTTATGGCACTGCTGAAAATGGAGGTGATCAACAGTGGTTTGAGGATGCTTTCAACTGCATTGAATCAGACTATACTCGAACTTTCTCCGAAGAAGGCAAAAACTTTATGAAACGCGCATTGCTCTGGTTGGCACAGTGGGCTTGTACCCGGTCTTATGGATTGGGCACTAAGCTACCCTGGGATGACACTCAGCTTGTAGAGTCGTTGTCAGACTCAACGATATATATGGCCTATTACACCGTATGCCATTTCTTGCACAGCGATATCTACGGCAAAGTTCCCGGTTTATCATCCAAGCCTATCTCTCCCTCCCAGATGACCGAGGGTGTCTGGAACTATATCTTCGCCACCGCCGACGACGTGGATAGTGACATACCTCGTTCTGACCTTGACGCCATGAGAAATGAATTCACATATTTCTATCCTTTGGATGTCAGAATCTCTGGAAAGGACTTGATAACCAATCACTTGTTGTTCTTCCTCTACCATCATGTCGCTATTTTCGACAAGCCGTTTTGGCCAAAAGGAATAAGGGCAAATGTATGTTACCCTTGCAGTCCCCTTTTCGCTACTTCCACCTTTCCGCTTATTCGAGGCCCTCTTTGAGATATCGTTTGCCTGTTGAGTGATAAGCATGCCTCAAGAATATACACAACTCCTCGACCATCTCCCGCGTTTCCCTGAAATATCAATTACTGACTACAGCAAATTATAGGGTCATTTGATGCTCAATGGAGAGAAAATGTCAAAAAGTACAGGAAACTTCCTAACTTTAAGAGACGCTATGGAAAAATACGGCTCGGACGCTACAAGAATGTGAGTATTAAGGGCCCATTACTGCTACTCATTTGCGGCTCTTCAAGTGGACCTATGCATTTAGCGGACTTGGGTTTCAATAGCTCCTGTCCTGACAAATTTGTTGCATCATATCACAAAACATGAGAGAAAAGGAGACCCCCCTCACTGACTTATGGTGTTATTAAAGATCTCTAGCGGACGGTGGTGATGGAATTGAGGACGCCAACCTCGAAGAAGCCGTTTGCAACGCTACGATTCTAAGAATTTACGAGCTTCGGAAATGGTTACAAGAGGTCAACAGCGATACTGGACTAAGAACTGGGAAGTATGAAATATGGGAACAGCTGTTCGACAATGAACTTAACATTCTCGTTTCACAAACTCGGTCACATTATGAGGCTACCTCATTCAAGCTTGCCCTCAAGTCGGGCTTTTATGATTTCATCGCAGCTCGAGACTGGTACCGTGACATCACTAAGGCTGTGGGAATCTCTATGCACCATGATATCGTGAGGCGATACACCGAGCTTCAAGCTCTACTTCTTGCTCCAATGCAAGTTACCCCCTACTTTTACTCTTCTGAAGTTATATCATGCTAACAAATAGCAGAGCTCCCCATTTCTGCGAGTTTATCTGGAGAGATGTGCTTAAGCACGAATCTAGTATTCACAACGCATTGTTCCCTGAAGTGCCACCAGCTGATGCTTCACTGTCGGCAATATTCAGCTATGTGCGAAGCGTCACATCAAATATTACAGCTGCTGAGGGTCTTCAAATGAAAAAGGTTTGATTCATGCGGCATGTTTGGGAAAGTAGCATGTGCTAACTCAATTACAGCTTTCCAAAGGCAAAACCACAAGCTATGATCCGAAGGAGCCCAAGCGACTGATAATCTCCGTCGCCAAATCTTATCCTGAATGGCAAGAAAAGACTATTGACCTGTTGGCTAAGCAGTACGAAAGCACTGGGGCTGTCGACGTCAAGGAACTGACAAAACAGATTGACAAGAAGGACATGAAGAAGGTGATGCCATTCGTCCAGGCCCTCAAGAAGCGTATAGATTCGGGTGAGAAGGCGGAAGATGTTTTCTCGCGTCGTTTGCCTTTTGATGAAGCAGAGACACTACAAGCTATGGTTCCGAGCTTGATGCAAACGATCCCAAAGCTCGAGGCTGTGGAAATCGCGATGGTCGAAGGTGAAAGTGAAGGGAAGGCGGCAACACCTGGGACTCCTGTCTTCACCTTTGAGAACATTAAATAGATGTAGCCCAAACTTTGCGATAAATGAATCTATCAGCAGGAACACACAAGCCTAGTCAGTGTGCCTGAAGACTCTAAGCAAGTCTTTTTAAGACTAAAGTGCATCTAGTACTTAATGTGTCTCATGGGGCCAATGGTGATTGGGCTAGGCGGCAGCTTAAAGGTCTAGACATATAATTACCACCCTTCCTGTTCATAGTGATAACAATGCTGACAAATTCTATTGGCAATCTTCTATTGCTAGCATGCGCCACCAACGATCGCTGAAATAGATCGGAGGGGAACATGAGCTTCTGGGGTGGGGGGCCAGTTGACCCTGAAAAAGGAGGCTCTGCCATATAGTTGGTTATGATGGGCTATGAATCGGGCGTCGGATAACGCCAGCCACCTACTTCATAACAAGGCTCCCACTTCACCACCCCTCTCTCCCAAACATTTACCATGCATAATAAAGCAAAAGGCGCGTACTCCGTTGAATGTGGTGCTACTCTGCCGCCCCAATAACGCCTTGGCACTGGAACCTATTAGGTATAAAGACTGGCGTGGAATGGTTATAACAAGTGTTAATATTGGCCACCGGTCTGGTATTTTCAAGTTTCCATTACACTAATTGAGAATGAGTCGTAGACATTGATATCATTTAAAATTAACCCTTTTAGGCGATTAGGATCCGACCGAAGTGTAAGGCGAACTGTATGTTTAGCTAGTACAACTTGTACGCGTGTAGCAGAGCATTTCAACACCATTTAGCCGTAAACTAGAAGAGGGAATTAGTATATAGTAAATTACATGACGTTACGTCGAAAAGTGCCTATGCCGTTGACGCTATGCATTATCACCTCGGCGACATGGCAGAAGCCGAGTAAAGGGCCAATATGGACCTTAAACTCTACAACGCTAAAACTTTCATAGACATTGGTTCCACCAGACTCTTGAAAGGGCAGAGCGGACCAATTGGCCTCACAAACCTCTTTGTCGGGCTCCATACCATCTCTCCAGAGTCATTCAGCTACAAGGAAAGAAGAAGAAGCCAAAGGTGGATGAAAACAGGATAAGAGAAGCGGGGTTAATGGAGGCGAGGGGCAAGGAAACACTCCAAAGACTATTAAATTGCTATTTACCTGAATATCTCAGCAAGGTAGATGGCGAGTTAGCTCAATTTGATCACCTCCAGGCAACCTTTCGGGGTAGATGGACAGGTAGAACACTTTTGAGTTGCATTCCCATAATGGTAGGAGGAACCGGCTGACTGTCTAATCGCAGCGGTGTGTATACACTGAACGCGGAAGTAAAAGACTCGCGACATAACTATGTATCAGTATTAATGTTTGTTCATTAGGATTTCAATTTCATATTTCCCCTAAAACTCCTTACTGATTTTTTTTGGCATCGTAGAGATAATCTCAGCTCATGATATCATGACATCCCTGAACGTGAACGACCTCATCAATCGTTATAGCCATCATTTGTGAGAACTCTATTCCTTTCCAGTGGAAATAGGCCTAAAGTCACCGAAAATCTCCCTAGGGATATTCTCATCTTGACCAACGGCTTTAGCAAAGTCAGCCAACCACGCCCATCTCGTTTTCTGCACCCAACCTTTCTCCATGAAAGAGTTTGCTGTCTTGGGGAAGAGATCAACTGTCTTTTGAATCCCTGCATCGTGTGCGGCGATAATGAAAACGTTTTCATGAGCGTCAATTTCTTGGAGCTTCTTGATCGTCTCTAGCATCGTAGGGACATCTAGGTGATAACTCCATGACTTCCGGCTTGGCTCATAAAAGGGGGCTTCCTTGCCATCAAGGAGGAGCTTATGGAAGATCTCCCCGGGACATGGCGCAGGAGAGGCTACGTCAAATGGATTGGGGGATATAGAGTCTGGGAGCGGATGCCAGTGGTGGGGACGTAGTTCACCGCCGTGATGTACAGCGTCGCCGCCCAGCAGGATGAAACTGTCTGGATTACTCGTGACTCGAGCAAGAGCAGAGATGTGGCCGACACAATGCCCCGGTGCGTCAAGAAGATAAAAGGATCCGTCTTCGAAGTAATCAATAGCAGTGAGCCCGCCGATCTTGAGGCTTGAATTTTCGAAATCCAGTTCTTGCACCTCGTGGCCTGCGACGTCAGACTCGTTGAAGTGGGCCGCTGGGTTGGTGGGATAGCCGGGGAACACGGCCTTCTTGGTGCCGGGTCCGACAATGATTTTTGTACCTTGCTCAAGCGTCGAGACATCGCCGATATGATCAAAATGCGTGTGGGACCATATCACGCCTTCGATGTTCGTCGTGTCCACGCCATGCTTGTCCAGGACCGTTCTGACGTCTGTTGGCACAACTGGCGTTGCTCCAGTGCCGAGTAAAAATTCAAGGAATTGCTTCGGCCAATTCTTCCAGTCCTTCTTCATCGCAAGATCGAAAAGTAGAGACCGATGTTTGGAAGGATGTTGAACCAGGAATGCAAAGCACGGTCCGCCTAGCCATTCATGTCCCGGGATGTTCGGCTCTAATAAGGAGCTGGCCGGCAATCCTGCAAAGGTCGCACCTGTGTCTATGATCGATACGTTGACGATCGATGTTGAAGGGGGAATATTGAGATCGACGGGTGCTGCCATGGTGTACATTGATTGAGCGATATTGATAGAGACGGGTGAGTGATTGTTCACTGGATGATTAGCTTGAGGGGAGTAGCGGTTTCATATATATACTCGAACTTTCGGTCGCATTGCCCATGTTGCGAACGGCATCTTCCGGTCATATATCTATGTCATCAGTCCAGGTAAATGACATAGGTATAAGATACAAGTCACCCCCCCTTTAGTGATAATGGCTCTCGGGAAAGACGTGACGTGGAAAGTAACTGTAGGTGGTAATCTCCACATCACACGCCAGTGCGCCAATACTGGCTGCGCTAACAGCAAGACTCCGATGCTCACGCACTTCAACTACTTTCTAGATAATAGCAAGACACATTTGGGTTTGAATTTCTTTCCGATGTACGGCGCTATTGTGGCTCTCATGTAAGGACCTTTGTGCTCACTTAACTCCAAAGTAATTACTCAACGAAATAGTGCGCCGTTCCCGGGGAAATGATACTGACATCATGCATTCTAGACTCTAATGATTGATGGCGCATCGCTGTGTTACTGATGCTTTAAGGGAGGCGTTTGTGAACGATGTGATGGCCGGTATCACCGCATCGCAAGTGGGGATGATGCACTGGGGATACGTGGGTATCGGTTCACAGATGCCCCCGTGGACATGCTTCCCCTCTTGGTTCCCCTCTTGACTCCCCTCTTGATATGAACTGATTGTTCGAGTTCAGTAATCAACATGGCCAATTGCAATTCACCTGCTCCAAATCACCTTGTCACATAACGAATCACTATTTGTAAGCTGACTCCAGCCAAGTTTATGATAAGCCGGAATTGGGTACACTATGTTCGTAGGTAGTAGACATTCTGATCATCAAACCTTAAATATAGAGATAACACGAAGAATATTTCGGATGTATTGGCTTTATCGCCGAATCATGGAAGATGAAATTCTCCGTTCAACTCTCAGGCTAAGGAATGTAACAGTACACAAAAAAATACGGTAAGCTTCGTCAATCAAAAGATATTCATATTTATGCAATAGTAATGTACATATTACTGATGCGTGTCTGGTTTGCATTTGGCGACCCAGGAGCAAAATAGAGGGTTTGATATCATGTGTAATTACAGGGATGGGCTTGTCAAAGCACCAACCGGTGGTGTAGACCAGTTTGACAAACTGATACGCAAGGGACCATCATGAGGTATCAATTCGGTATATTGAAGCTAAATGATAGGCTGATATTGAATGACTCAACGAGACTATGAAAATCAGTTTTGAAATTTGTAACGCCGCAGTTATGTACTACCCGCTTCCAGTTTCAGCTCCTTGCCCCTTGATATGAAAATTCGGCGTGTCTCTTCATTCCTTGCCTGCGGATAACTCTGCTGGAAGACTCTGCATCTCGTGAGCTACAAACGATGCATCCTGCGATGCAGCCTTCACTTGATCAGAATGATTTTCTTGAGTTCCAGGTTGGTTGGTTGTTCCATTTCCGTGCTTCTGCATCGAACGATGGATCAGAATTAAAGAAATTAAGATAACTACGAGACCAGCCGGCCCAACGCCAACTCCAATTCCAACTTTGACGCTTGTACTGAGCCCGTGGGGGTTGGGACTGGTTGTTGAAGTCTCACTAGCGATTCCGATCGGGTTGGATGTAGTGCTCATCGTGAACAATGATGTGGCAGAAAACTGAGCTGACAAGACCGTATGTGTCGAATGAGGTTGAGAATCAGACCTTTCGGATATATTGAAGAAATATGAAGCGATAGACACAGGGTCAACGTCAACGTCGTCTTCAGATGTTGAAGTGAGCCATAGGAAGAACATGTTAGAAGCAGACAGGTCAAATTGGTAAAGCTGGACCTGCCAGTCAAATTATGTTACCGCGCCATCTTCGGTACCTTATCAAGCAATTCAGTCAGCAGCCCGTTCAAAGTAAACATGTGTATGATTTCCAGAACTCACTGAAAATGCTGGGGCCTCGAGTCGCAGCATTTTGTCCGCGAGTCTGTTGCCACAATTTGATTTCATAGCTGGGGTAAATAGTCGTAAACTTGATCGTCTGCGTGGATCCCAAAGAATAAACTGGATTTTTTGAGTAATCGTGAGTTCCCTCGACCGCATCGGGAGGATTGAAGAATTGTCCTGCATAATGTTTAGCAACGACCGATACGAACGGCATCAACGTGAGCGACTGGAGTAATTTCATCCATTGTAGCGCGTTATCGCATATTGCTGAAATGAATCAGCTCAGAACAATAATTTAAATGGTTTTTCACATCAATCTAAAAAGTCTTCTCCTTTTTCTACAAGCTCATAAGCTATATCACAATTGTGTTGTTTGCCCTTCTGAATAGAGGAAAAGACAGGGGTAAGACGGACCCCTGTATGTCTCTGTTAGCAAGCAAGCAAATTAGCATTCATTCGCCATTGTAGTAATTTTGCCCCTAATTTGCTCCCCAGTCCTCTATGAATCTAGTGATGCCATTGGCCCAATATGAAAATTGTTAGTTCTGCCATTACACCTTGCATACCAACAATTAGTGATTGTTTCATGTTGGCTGAAATGTTTATCTACTTCAATTAAGTTGCGATGTGGCTCATAACAAGAGAAAGAAAGTCGTGATACTGGTTTCTTCATCCAGTGCTAAGTATATTAATTATCCTTTCGTTCGTTTCGTTCCTACCTGTATAATTAGTAATAACATATACTACATTGTCTGACCTTTCACGCAGCGCCAATGATACGCCGGCCTTCGTCCCCGGTTCTTCTAGTTGTGGGAACTGTCCTTACACTACTGTTCATTTGGCGTTGGGCATACATCCCCAGCGGCCTACATGTGGGCGCAAGTAGGCAGACACGGTTTTCGAGGGTGCACACCCAAGACATCTATAATAGAACGCTAGGGGTATGTATCAGAATGATCTCTTGTAGCTTTTCTCAGTCTGTTATGACCCAGCTGACTGAAATATTTTGCAGTTCGAGAAGATATTTGTCGTGAGCTTACCCTCACGAACCGATCGTCGCGATGGCATGAGCCTCGTGGCTGCGCTTAGCGATATCGATTTTGAGTTTATTGATGGCGTGGATGGTGCCTCTATACCTGACAAGGCTTTGCCGGAATATTCCGCTATCGGCCGCCTTGATAATCCGAGTATTGGTGCTTGGCGTGGTCATCTCAATGCTATTCAAGAGTGAGTACTATTTAACCAAATTTCTTTAGATTCCCCACGAGACTCAAGCCTTCCCTTGCAGGATCGTGCGACGAAACTTGTCTTCGGCTTTAATTCTTGAAGATAACGCAGATTGGGATGTGAGGCTACGCGACCAACTACACAACTTTGCCTTATCTTCGCATGCCCTGACCCAGCCACTGGCTGATGCGATCAGCTCTATATACGCCGACTTCACCTATCCTCGGAATCCCGAGACAACATTGACCTCTACACCTGATTTAGCATTTGAGAATCTTCCGGTAACCATACTACCCCAGAGCTCTCCTTACGGGGATGAATGGGATGTTCTCTGGCTCGGCCATTGTGGGATGCATTTCCCCTTCACCAGTGGCCAAACGATACCGAAGGGACGAGTTGTGCAAACAGATAAGGTTAGCACTGATGGGATAGTTCATTGTAATGAACTACACATATCGTACATTGGAAGCAAGTATTGACCACTCCGCATATCTAGACAGTACCTCAGCAGCAACATCTCTGGACAGTGTCCGACACCAATGATTTGAAATATCAATACCCAAATCACACAAGGGTAACTCACCGTAAGCGCTCATATCTAACAAGTACAGCCTAACTTACTTGACAATACTATGCTTACTCGTGAGAATTTGAAGATGCCCAAGATGGCATCTGCTCTTTAGGCTACGCTATCAATAGACGGTCAGCTCGGCAGCTTCTCTACGAAGCTGGCCTGAAACGTGTCACTGCCGCATTTGATATCATGCTGAGGTGGTTTTGCGAAGGAACTGGTACTCCAAACCGGGGATATCACAACTGTTTAACTACTCAGCCATCTCTTTTTCAGATCCACCTGCCAGAGGGTCCTAAGAAGCACAACAGCGATATCTCGGACCATGGGGAAGGTCACCAAGAAAAGAAGACAGAAGTGATAAGATGGAGCGTAAAGATGAATGCAGAGGTGCTAATAAACGAGGGAACGGACTTTGTAGATCAGTACCCCGATGTCGATTGATTTCTTTGCTATTAAGATTTGTATCATTATCATTTCTTATTCATCCTATGTATGACACCGTTGTTGAATGAAATTAACTGTGTTGAGACCTTAGGTTCGCTTATGGCTTTTATCTAGAGTGTTATCTTAGCGCCGAGATCATCCCTATGTGCTGAACAATAATTAAAGGGAGAAAGAATGAAGAACCTTGTGACATGAATGTAGTAATCATTGCATTCAATCTGCTTTAGGCCTTAAATTCATGCAGACTGCTAGTTACGCTGAAAGCTAATTTGACAGATTGCCAGAGTTTTTCTATGAGAGTTAAATGCAGGAAAAGAACATCTATTGCCGGCATTTGTCACCGAACCTAAAGTTTCGTATATAGTAAGGGTGCAAATACTAGTGAGGTACTTGGCTTCTTCCAGTGTTATATGGTTATTCACTTTTGGCTCATCTTCTCTCTAATCTGTCATACACAACATAATAAAATCATAATTGAAACAACTGATCAGACGTGATGTTTCGTTTCTTTGTAATTATCGCGCATCTGAAGATGCACTCTCTAACCCTGACCTTAGATCTAGCTCGAAATCTATATTTTTGAGACTTAGACTGCTGTGGTGAAATTGCAACGTAACCCTCAATTATGGAGACTCTCAATACCTTGATTTGGGTCTCGATAGTCAAATGACGGGTCAGCAATAGCTTCCTAGATATCAGGTACTAGTCCTTCTGCCTAAGCATGAGCCTAATACTTTCCATCGTCTGTTTCACCATCGCAGTTCTCTCACGACGATAGTCTTGTGGGTTTCCGATTTCCTTTTGTTTGAACATAAAGTCTAAAATGGCGGATGCGTATGAAGTGTCCAATATCCCACGCCTCTGTGAGGGGCAATCAGATGTGATCTTTGGTGACTCGGATATCACATTGATGCCTAGTGTCTCCTCAATCCTCGTGAGCATCTTGCAATTGAGATTTATGAGTATATCCATTTGTAGATCTTGGTGTTCGTTGAGATAAAATCCACCAATGTGCAATTCCGGTAGATTAAGAAGTACAAATTGCCCAGGCTGCTTTTCATGTGTAAGCAGGGATTGATAGATCCTATAGAAAATTGTTTCATAGGTCTGTAGGAGCATTGTGTAGCAGGTAAGGATTATGAGCGTCATCGGCATGTAGACACGTGTTTCATTCAGGGACGAGTTCAAAAGTCCCATCATGTTGCCAGTAGGCTGTGTGGTGGAATCTTGAGTAATTGTACCGGCTTGGCGATCCGAATGGAAATGAGGATGCTCATTTTCCTCGCGGTACTCTGAATATGAACTTTCAGATCCCTCATAGAAGTAATGTTCTGGCCTTAGGCCTTGGAGAAACTCTAGGAATATTTGTGAGCTCTCTAACACGCTCCCGATCGGACCTTTAGGTCCTATCGACTCGCTTCCATTGCTCAGGCCGAATGGTTTCTTTTAGTGCATTACGACTAGTTTTGGAAGAATGTTTAAAAGATGACTATAGGCACTTGTTCCAACATTACCGCCATAGGAAATTGGTCCATTATCTTAACTAACTTTACGTATCGAAGATCAATCTAAAAACCCGCACCCAGTCCATGATGCTTGCTTTGTGATAATTAGTAGGAACAATTGAGGATGTTTCCATTCCCTGACATACTGCTACTACATCAACTCACCAGCTACTGGCCATCCCTAGCTAAGAGGGATAGGGCTATCATGGTTAGCAAACATCGTGTATCGGTACGTACCAAGCTCGTCGTGCAGTGGTATAGGTCTCTAAATTTCTTGATAAGGTCATTGCGCTACCTCTGAATCTTATATCTCTATTATATATTGTGATGACAGCGTTCTGTATACTCTACAAGACTGAAAAGTAACCGGTTTCGTCGCTTTCTTCCAGGGATAAATACCAGTGGGTAACTGGGTTCTATATACCTAATATCCCTTACTTCGTGGATACCAAGGAAGCGCTAGCTAGCAAACCTTGACAAGCCAGTCACCTGGTTGTTCGTAAATAAAATTGTAGCCATGCCTTGAATGAGTCCACGCCGCGACCTTTTTCTTTCTCATTTCCCCCCAAAGTTTCCCAGTTTGAGAACGGCCAACCTCATATAGCGTACAGGTAAAACCACGTCCTACCTCATGTTTACCTACTTGCTAACATTATTTACCAAGGCTTTCCTTACTATTGAAAGCAGAAAAATATATCACACATTTCAACATCTGTTTAACTCCTTCAGAACACGTAGCAAGAAAAGATGCCAGGAGGTATCTTAGCCATCAAGCGATACCCGGGTGGTACCGAAAAAGAAATATCGAAAGTGGCAGATTGGCTGAGGGGCTCCGAGGCTCTATATTCTGAACCCACAGACACAGCGCCCATGTATTGCACCAACAAACAACGGTTGGATCGCGTGTCTGATAATCTTTTGGAGATGTTCATTAGCGCGATGTCGGTATGGTTGATCGTTCATAAATTTTCAATTTTCTATTTCTACTTATTGATTGAACGGAATTCTGTATTATTCTCGTCGTTCTCGTAAACTTGGCTAACTCTGGAGGTTCGATCCTGTCCTGATTTTGTAGTTTCCGCCGCATGAGACCATCATCGGCGCTATCCGTTTCGAAGAACACTTTCGGATCGTAATTCCAAAGGGATGGCAAGCAGACCTCATCCCTGTACATAGGGATGGAGAGGTCAAGGTTGTTGATCAAGCGTTTCTCGATCAAACGGATGTTGGTCAAACGGATGTTGGTCAAACGGATGTTGGTCAAACGGATGTTGGTCAAACGGATGTTGGTCAAACGGATGTTGGTCAAACGGATATTGGTCAAACGGATGTTGGTCAAACGGATGTTGGTCAAACGGATGTTGATCAAGCGTTTCTCGATCAAACGGATGTTGGTCAAACGGATATTGGTGAAAAGATCGACTCGGAGCATTATGCTCGATTGGGTAGCGACGCCAATGTAAAGATATTGGGCAGCTTTTTTGGCTTACTATTTATGTACCGCTTCGGCAGGGAGGGACAGCTAAGCCTTGGACAACGCATTAGTGGCTTTTTAGGGAGGGTATTTCATCAATGATGAAAAAAGGTCTGATGTTTTGTTGTGAAACTGTTCTATGGAGAGACAGCTTCAACTAGACACTCTTAGTCAATAATCTGTCATAATTCGAATATTATGTGAGCACGGGGAGATAGCTAGTTAGGTTATCCTTCTTCATTCAATGTTACCACGCGTATTTTATCGGTGGATATATCTAACCATATGGTAAATTCGGGAATGTAGACGGCATGCACCTTGGTCGATTATTTCGGGGGTAAAGTATATTTACTAAGGGAATTGGTAATCCGATGAAGCGTATTTGAATTTTGTTGAAAGAGCTAACCGATCAACCAATTCCGTGTTCCAATAAGTAAAGGCGCCATTAGAATTCAGGCTCAAGTATCCATTCCGAAATTCCAGAACCTGGTAACCCAGGTTCTCGGGTGGCTGGTTAAGCCCGCTACATGCTAAGCGTTTATATATCGTATTTTACATTAGGGACACAGGCCTAATTCTGGACATGAGTGCGACAACAGCTAGATCGATATATGCTCGTTGAAAAACGTTATTGCGGAATACCTTTCCAGTCTTCCAGAACATATGCTTAATCCATAGAGACTGTGACTATCCTGTATTACACCTTCTCGTGGAGGTGCGGAGTCAATGGAAGCCAGCGCCACATACAGAAGCGATCAGTAGAGTTGTATTCAGATGACCTGAGGTCTGAGTTCAGACCTATGAGGCTATCCCAGGAGATCTTCCTATTTATAGACGATCTCCGTAATAAGGTTCTACCGCTCCGTATTCACTTCTCCGTGACACATCCCAGCACAGGAAAGGCGACAAGCTGATCAGAATTTGAGAAATTTGAGCTGAAATTCTGCCTGTCAGCATATGTGACGTAAATTAGAGATGAATATTATCAGATTCGACTGCGAAGTTGTCAAGAGCATTCCGTCGGTCAGAGATGAGAATCATTTCAACAAGTCCCCTACAGGAATAGTTAACCATCGCGTTATTCTGCGCTGGGTTCGCGGCATATGCGCCCACCAGATATCTCACCGAGTCGTGTATGTTTCTTTTAACTTATTTATTTATATACTTATAAGTGTACCACCTTACATATTCTACTCATTAAGCGCACTCCCAAGCCTCTGTACTCCCGTAAGATTATGTTATGTAGAATGACTCTTAGGGAAGCTTGTTGTTTTACCAAGATCTCTAACGCAATCTCTCTATAGGCTGAACTATAGTTATCAATGAATGAAATTCGACCCCTAGGGTATGTAACTCGCGACTGGTCTTAATTTGAAAGGCCGATATATATGAATCACCCCAATAATCAGCTGAAGTTATTTATTGTCCGTGTACAAAAATAACGGTGTAGTATATTCAGTATTCTATGCAAGGCGAATCATGAGAAAAATCTATCTGAGTGACGAAAAACGATCACACTTTCCAACCCTACTAGCACCCATATTCCTGAAATCCAATATTGATAGTAGATACTAGCACCTAGACAGCTGAAGGGTTGATATATCTGTCGGTAGAACGGCTCCAGATCTCATTGCCTGACATTTGGTACTCAATCCGTTTCAAATACTCCCTCAGCTCCGGAGTATCCTTTTTGGCAAGTGCTTCTTGCACCAGCCATTCCTGCTCAACTTCCCATTCGCGAGCTAGCTGGTAGAGCACTCGCTTCGCCGAGTCAACTGAAATGTTAGACTCTTCAGCTAGAATCTGAACTGCACTGCACAGAGCTCCACCCTCTTCATGTAATGTGTTAGCTGCATGCACTTCCTTCTCGTAGCTCCAAATATCGTTTACTACGGCCATGTGCCTGCCACAGTTTCTGTCGACTGGCTCTGCGATGGCGAGGTCTTCGGGAGAAAGATGAATTGCGCCAGTGAATCGAATAAGACCACTCAGAACACTACAGATTGAAAATTAGGATATGACTAATATTTGATCAAGAAGATTAGAGATAATTACCCTTTGCCGACATCAGTCTCTCGGTACTCAAGATACTCGCCGAAACTCATCTTCTTAAGTCGTCGCGGGTCGGTTTGGGACTCTAGAAATAGATAGACCGGCATAAGCATCTCGTCGGCTAGTTTCTTATCGCATGCTCTCAGGTCTTGCCACAAGTCGTAAGAGATCCACTCGAAAGGAACGTTGCGGTCAGGCTGGATATCGCCGCGGAAAAGTGAAAACGCCTTCTTGTTGTATGCCTTGCCCTCCTCAAGAGACAGGTGCTCCAAAACATCGTCCATTAAGAAAAGGAGGGTTATAAGGCGGCATGCGAGAACTAGACGGTCATCGAGAGACTTGCAAACATAGAAACAAGTTACGCGAGTCATTCCATCGCCCTCGAACCGTTTGCGGAACTTGGGGCTTGGGAACTCCCAGTGCTCGAGAAAGAAATCGTTCACTTCTCTAATGGTTTTCTCAGTGAGAGGATGACACATAGCAGTCAAGCCACTTGCAGGAATCTGTCGTTTGATGAAAGGTGCGAGGTTTTTGGGACGAACCACGGGGGCTGTCACAGGTCGAGCTGCTTCCACCATGAGAGACATCGTGTAAGGGGTTGGTATGAGATTGAGAGTCGTTTAGCGAGATAGATTGTGAATTGTATGTAAGAACTACTTTGTTCAATTATACTGGACCCTCTTTTCGATGTCGGGGATCATAAGTCGAATCTCTTACTTATGAAGGCACTCCAACAATGCTGACATAACCCTACGCGTAGTAGCTTGCTAGCCTGTTTGGATGCGAGATTCTTTCCAGATGAGGAAGTCGCCGTTTTTGTCTTAGCGGTGTTCCTCAGCATCCTTCTTCTCTGTGCTTAGAAAGTAGCCTTTTAGATATCAGGAATTGACCGAGTCGGTTGTGTCGCTATCCACGCCTGCCCGCCCGGGCTCCCTCCTAAGGAAGTATCCGTGCAATTAGTTATGACAGGTCGCTTGTTTCAGGATTTTGGCACACTTCTCTTTCAGGTGTGATCTCGGAACAGCGACTCGTGTAGGTGCACAAGGGATAGATGCTCTTGGTCCGTTAACATATCATTGTGCGATTAGGTCACATTAAAGCGCAGACAATACTTGCTCCATGCTACATAGGGCAGCGAGCCCCTTTCCTCCTAAATTCGTGTCTTTGCTACGAACAGGCCGTCAAGATGTCACTCAATTACACATCACAAATTACAGGAGATTCACTGGGAGCGAGCATATCGATTGTCTCGACCCCGTATGCTATAAGTTTCATTACTGTCATTCTCGGTCTAGCTTGGGTGTCATGGACGCAATGGTGGAGGAAGCCAAAACTCATTCCCGGTATTCACGTGGTCGGAGGTGATAGCCGGCGAGAAATCATGGCAAGTCGCGAAAGGTTCAGAGTTGCCTCTAGACAGATGGTACTCAGTGGATATGAAGAGACTGGGGGAAAAGACTTCTATTATGTACCATCTCGCGCAGGTGAACGTCTCGTCAGTAAGTTGCTCTCCATATTTCATTTGACCACCATATTTGAACTTTGTCGTTTGTAATCTTAGAATTAGAATATGATCGAGTGGCTGGTGGCTTTGTGCCGTGAACTGATTGACGGCTATAGTGCCAACCCATTTCATAGAGGAGCTCAAATCGGCTGCGATACAAGCAGTCGACTTCACCGGCATTATGATAGATCTCATGGAAGGGCGGTACACTGGCCTAGTTGACAGGAGCAGATTGACCCCAGATACGCTGAAGTTAGGAGTATCCCCAGTAAGTTATCTACCTGCCCTAATGACTGATTCAGTCCTCATCTCCAGGAAAAGAGGATCGCCGTCATACTAGCTGAGGCTTAGCGGCGTAAAGAGCATCCGTTTACTCGAAAGCACCTGCTTGAATGACAATTTCGAGTCATCCCCGTTAGGAAACCAGAACCGTCAGCTGACAGACACATAGAAATTGGGATCTATGTTGCCAGATATCCAAGAGGAAATTGAAGCCGCCTTTCATGACTTGTTCCCTTCTTGCGATGACTGGACTGAGATTGAAATTTTACCCCTTTTCGCGACCATCGTAGGTCGAGCTACATCTCGTATGATGGGAGGCAAGACTTTGAGCAGAGATTCCGAATGGATCAACACAGCAGTCAACTTTACCCATTGCTCCGTTAATGGAGCTCAGAAAATCAAATCTCTCCCGTCCCTCATCAGGCCGATACTGGCACCCTGGATCAAAGAGATTAGAAAAGATGTAAACGGGGCCTACCGGACCAGCGAGCTCTATGCGAAAAAGATTATAGAGCAGCGTTTAAAAGATGGCGAATGGCCTGACGACCTTATAACTCTACTTTACGACAGAGCTAAGCCCAAAGAAAAAGAGTACAAGTTTATGGCCAAGATGCTACTCCAGACAGCTTTTGCTTCTATACATACGAGTACAGCTGCAATGCTTCATTTCATCATGGACCTCTGCGAACATCCGGAGTATATCGACATACTTCGTGACGAGTACAGGGAGTTGATGGATGATAAAGGATACATTGTTCCAGGAGGCATGCTTCGGTTGTCTAAGCTAGACAGCTGTATGAAAGAATCGCAAAGACATTGGCCGGGGACAATTCGTACGTCACTGCTAATGATATAATAGCTGGCATTTGGTAAAACAGAAAGCTAAGAAAGTGAGCAGTTACCTTTGAGAGAATTATGCACAAAGATAGAACCCTATCCAATGGCATGACAGTCCCCGCTGGGCATCGTATCGCAGTTTGTAACGCCGGTGTCAACATGGATCCAAATATCTTCCCAGAACCAGTCAGTTTCCTCCTTGAACCTTGTCATTACTTCCTACTCGTCAAATGGGCCGAATATTTGCTTTCTTCGGCCTTTACTAATTTTAGTCTGTGAACAGGAGAAATTTGACGGACTGCGTTTCCATAGACAACGCCAACAGGATCCCTCTGTTGCAGGGAAGACCCAGTTTGTATCATGTAATCAAACAAGTCTGAATTTTGGTTATGGGAGGCATGCATGCCCTGGGTAAGTTTCCATTTGTCCCGGTTTTACCTATTTCTACAAAAGTTAGAAGCCGCGCTAACACATAAACAGCCGCTTTTTTCTCGCTGATGAATATAAAATCATCATTGTTCGTCTATTGGAAAACTACGAGTTCAAATATCCTGAGGGAAAAGGCAGACCCCCAACACTTGAATGGGAGACGCAGTATGTCGTCAATCCCGCAGCGAAAGTGATGTTCAGGAAACTGAAGACTGCTTGAGTCCCGTGACACTTGGATCACTCGGCCCGAGGGAGGCAGACGCGACATTTTGTCTATCGGTTATTGTCTTCGTCACCGCGGGGAGCATTGCATACGTAACCCTGTATACCAACTGCTCGCTACGCGGTAATTTTCCGACATAGCCGTTGATGCTTGATGTAGTAGCCTAAAGATCTCTATTTGGTCTGGATCTGATTCTTTATCTACACATAGATTATTACCTATAGGCACTACATGTTATAAATCTCCTAATGGGGGAAAAGTAAGACTCTTATTGTTGCGCAACAATCGGAAACTTTGATCGTGTAAGAGTATTCAAACTCCCTTCTCTTGTACACTCTCTTAGACTATTTGCCTATTACGGGTTATAATCTAACATTACGCCTTGTCCCATTGGGTTATCTATATATTCGTATCAAGTAACGAAGGCTCAGTCGTGCTCCCGGATTGGCCCTCTTCAATCGCTACCTCGTATTAAAAAAACACATATTATAAATACAGTCTATGAAGATATGGGCACTTGAACTTGGCTCATGCAAGATTCGTCTCGGATCTAGGGCTCCGTAAGCCATATTTCAGCTTCAATGCATTTGGTGAGGACTTCTGTCATGGGCGAACTTCAGCTACATACAAGAGCCTAGGTTGGTATCTAGTGCAAGCGCTAAGAGCTCCTGGATTCTGCAGCCCAAACCCACTGGTGGTAAGTGGCTCAGTAGTGGGAATGCCATGCAGTCACTCAACCACATTTCTACGATAATCTGTCGTGCGCGCGAATGTGATATGGGGCTTTCGCCCACATGATAAAATGCTTCGACTCCTTTTCCCAGTCCATATCTTTCTCGACCAACTCAACGTCGTATTTAAATAGGATCTTGCTTAGCACTAAAGACATTTGCATGTAGGCAAAGCTAGAGACATGTGGCATTAGTGACAAGACTAAGAGGATGGGAATTAATATATCTGACCTTCTTCCGATGCAAGCTCTGAATCCAAGAGAAAAAGGTTGGCTAGCCTCTTTGACGTCTTTAGAGTCAGGATCGATCCATCTCTCGGGCTGGAACGTATCTGGGTCTTGAAAATACTCCGGGTTGTGCGAGGCTACCCATGTGCAAGTATAAATTTCGCTCTGTTGACGCAGTCATGCGTTACTCATTTAGAACATCTTCAATGAAAGAAAATCTAAGGATACACGACGGTACTCACCCCTTTCGGTACCCAATGCCCGTCAACTTGCAGGCCGGGCGAAATTCGTGGAAAACCATGTGCTCCTGACGGATGATGACGCAGTGCTTCATTAATGACAGCTTGCAAGTACGGTAACTGCTGGGCCGTCACCGCATCTATCTCATCATACGAACTGTACCGTTGGCGAATCTCTTCAGTGAGCTTTTTTGTTACTCTTGGGTCCTTGAGAAGGTAGAACATCGCTGCGCTGAGTGTTGTCGCAGTTGTCTCTCCACCAGCAATTATCAGTGTCGATGCATGAGCTGTCATCTCTTCTAGAGGAACTTGGCCACTTTTCACCTTCTCTGCGATGTTCGTAAAGAAATCCTGTCGAGTAGCTGTGCTTGCAAGGCGCCTATGCTACGTTAGTCATCATATTCCTTGTGGTAGATTCGGAAGAATCATGCTTCTCCTTACTTTGCCACCTTGTCCCTAGAATACTGAGTATGCTTTCTCCTTATTGACATAAGTAGCGAGGGTAATAACCACTTGGAAAATACCGAGAGAATCTGGAAACGACGAAGATTATCCATGAGAACAATCTCACGGACATGTTCCAGGATCATATCTATCCAAAAGTGAGGTTTTCCGGAAGCGATGCATCCAAATGTTTCCCCAAAAGCCATCTCTCCAAACAGGTCAAAACTGCTCATATTGAACCACTCAACCATGTTGATGCCGTTAGGTAAACGCTGGCTTTCGGGTCCAATCTTGGAGACAAAAGCATTAATACAGCGATGCATGATATCTTCTTGGGCAGCTAATGCTTTTGGAGAAAATGCGGCCAGTAGATTTCTCTTCTTCCGACTTTGAACTTTGGGGTCTCTCTCGGTACCAATACATCCCGTCTTGAAACCATTGCCGAAGATGTCGTAGAATTCACTCTTGATGCACTGCTCTCCGCCGGGAGGTGGAAAGCCATAAATATCCTTATCTAGAGTATCAAGCCATGTTAGTATTATCCCGGACGTATACTTAGAATCGCACACAGGTCATGGCGATGACTTTTCTTGATCGAAGCTTCACATACTGTGACAGCAGTCAGCTCTGGACGGTAGAAGATATTTCTACCAATACCGTGTCTCGCAACAGGCACGGTAATGATTTCACTGACCATGATTGAACGGTGCAAAAACTGAGCTCGTTCGGAGACACACGTACGACATTGCCATATTTTTCGTGCTGTTTCCGCAATATTTCATGATGCCGACCGGTAAGTGTCATCCACATCCGCCATAGCTATTGGATTAGCTTAAACATGTTTTTCAGGCAGAATATCGAATATCCTGTTCTTACCAAGGTGCTACGGGCGAGAAAGGGCCCGGGAAATTTGGCAAGTGGGTGAAAATAAAGGTTCCATATCACATTTCCGAGGTGATAGGCAATCATAGAGGTGCCAAGAATGGCTAGCCAGTGCCCCTCGAAACTGGTTGTGAATTCCATCACGAGTCGGCTTTCAAGTAATCTTTGTAGCAGTGAGAATCAATTGAAATTAGATAATTAGATGTTTTGCTAGCTTAGAGAAAATATGAAGTAATAAGCCTAACATGAAGCCTCATTCGAGGTGGTGACGCAACCGAGGATCCAAGGAAGACAGATGGGCAGAGCGATAAGTGCTAGGAACCGAATGATATGCGACCGACCAGGTAAACAATTGAAAAAAAAAAAAAAAAAAAAAAAAAAAAAAAGCGAATAGGATGGCCTGAATCGTGTGTTGTAATTATTTTCCGTAATTATGGCTCACCACGCTTGCTTCCACTTCAGCACTCAGCCCACCGGGCAATTCCCAAACGGGGAACTGCCGGGAGACTACCGGAAGGCCGAGACAACCCTCCCAAAGTTGACGTATTCTGCCACTCCTGGATATCTGACAGACAGAAATGACGCAGACGTATTAGCGAATAACATTCTCTTCGAGGTTGTTGCTTTTGATCGACTTCTGCATCACAAACGAGGAAGTTATCATCGAACTCCCTGAGTCTCGCACTTTGAATCCAGCACAATGTTGGATAACATCTTCTCTAACTCCCTCGCAATGGCAGGTCGGACTAGTTCGTTTATTATTGCTGTACTGGTTATAGCTCTTGTAAGACCCGCTCTTTCATTTTTCACGTGGGCTCACAATTATCCTTGCCTCTGTTGCTATACTGACTTCGACATGACTGGAAGCTCGTTCGGATAGCGTATAGCATTGTCTATAATGCCTATTTCCATCCCCTCAGTAAATATCCGGGCCCGAGATTTGCTGCCTGGACCGATGTAAGCTTCGCGAATCCTCTCTTATCAAAAGAAGGCCTTGCGTTACTAATGAGAGAATCAGATTCCCCATTGTTGGTGGTTCCTCGGTGGGCGGCAACCTTACAAGTTCCTTGAACTTCATGAAAAATATGGTGCGGTTCATATAGTGAGACCTAGGTTGATAGAATTGGCCTTATTGACTTTGATATTAGGGCCCGTCGTGCGTACGGCTCCCAATGAGCTCTCGTTTAATAGCTCCCAGTCGTTCAAGGACATCTATGGCCTTCGACAGGGACACAAGGTCTTCATAAAGGGCGAGTTCTACGCCGGTGGCACTTTTGCCGCTCGAGGTGTTAGCTCAATCATCAGCGAGCGTGACCCAACCCAACATGGCCATATGCGACGACTCCTGGCACATGCATTTTCTCTGACGTCTTTGAAAGAGCAGGAGGAGCTCATAATAGAAACCATAGACCGTTTCATCGAACTTGTCAAGAGTAAAGCATGTGTACAGGGGGAAGTATTTGATATCTCTAAGGGTTATGAGAGAATGGCTTTCGACATCATTGGGGATTTAGCATTCGGACAAAAGTTTGGGGCACTTGAATCTGGTAGGTTTAGCCCTTAAGATTCCGGGCTTTGAGTCTGAGTACACATTTCATTTCATCAGCTGATCCCTCTAGATGAGACTCACCCCTGGATTGCAACTCTCTTAGGCGCCTTGACAAAGGGTGCAATGGCGGATACCTTTAAGCGTTTCCCAAATGTCGCGAAGGTCATCGGTTTCTTAGCACAGAGGCAACTGGCAAAACTATACAAAGATACAGCAGATAATGAACAGATGGCGATTGATCTCGTCGAAAAGTGTGTAACCCCAAGACCCCGCGAAACTACGTGATCTGACCAGGACTCAGGCGTATCAATACTGATACAAACCGAAAGGATTTTATGACGAGGATATTGGAGCAGCGTAATAATGAGCGGCATAAGGTATCTGACCTACAACTTAGTGCCCACGCATGGGATTTTGTAACAGCAGGTTCGGAAACTACATCAACGGCACTCTCGTGTTGCACTTATTACATCCTCCGCAACCCCGAAATCTTAGAAAATATAACTCGTGAGGTTCGTGGTGCTTTTACAGAGAGCAGCCAGATCAATGATGCGTCGACGAAAGACTTGACATATCTGAATGCCGTCTGCCTTGAAGCCATGCGCATTTACCCCCCACTACCCCTGGGCGTTCCCCGCATCGTCCCTGAGGGTGGTGACACTGTTGATGGCCACTTCTTGCCTGCCGGGGTAAGTAATTAGTCTCAAACGATGAATGGCGGATATTCCACTAATACATTGCCTAATTAGATTACCGTTGCGACCAACCCAATGGCTGCCAGCCTAGACGCACGGAATTTTAAAGATCCATTATGCTTTAAGCCAGAGAGGTGGCTAGATAGCGAGGCTTCTACTGAAAACCGAGATAACCTCGAAGCTAGCCAGCCTTTTTTGCTAGGTGCTAGAGGGTGTTTGGGGAAAAGGTCAGTGTCATCTATATCCAGTGCTTCGTCGAGAAATGTACTAAATCTCGCAGCTTGGGGTGGATGGAAATGCGAACAACACTTGCCAAGGTTCTATGGACTTTTGATCTGGTCTTAGTAGACAAGGAGCTGGATTGGCTTAGGGACAGCCGCATGAGTACCCTTTGGAAGAAACCGCCTTTGAAGATTCGTGCATCGCTTGCTCAATGAGCGCTTGCGTCGCTTGCAACTTTCATAAACCCGACAGAGTTAAGCATCATAGAGGAAGAAGAGAGGGAGCAGCGGATTTCAGCAAGATAGTTTTCAAAATACAAGTTCTAGTATCATTATTACTCACTCATCATAATCTGCGAAGTTCTCTTTGTATGCGGCAAAGCCCGTGCTCTCGTTCCTAAATGATGAACAATGGATATGTAGGTGCCGAGTTGGTCTGAATCAGGTGCTTGAATCGCACAACTGATAGATGATTCCCGTAGTGCGTGCATCATTGCAAGACTACCTTAGAATAAGCTACCTAGCAAATTTATGATGATCCTGAAGTGCTTGGGTAATTTCTCCTTATTGCCCTTTCATAATTTCCTTCTTTTTGTTCCGATTTCTCCCCATTCGTTCACCGCCCTGGTTGTTAGGGGGCATAAGCACTGCCTCCCTACCTACTTACCGAATTCAGTACTGACCGATTATCGGTATTTCTCTCCGCGCACAGGGGAGCAGGTTATATACAAGAACTAATTCACCTCTTACTTCTATGACTGACGAATCATCATCCTCCCTAACAATTAATCCTCCTTTCTATCGTACCATTGCATAGACGACATTTGACATCATGACATCCCTTAAAATTGACGAATCAGCAATCCCTGATCTTACAGGCAAGGTTGCCGTCGTAACAGGTACTTGAAATTGTTGTCTAATGATGAAACCTTACTAATAACATTCTTTTTTTTTTTTGACTAGGCGGCGCATCTGGCATTGGCCTCGAAGCAGTCAAACTGATGCTCAGGAAGGGCGCTGTTGTCCATATCCTGGACAGGTACGAGCCAGCTGATGAAGTTGGCAACTGGCGTGAATGGCCAAACACACACTTTCACACATGCAACGTGACCAACTGGCCCCAGCTGCGCGATGTCATGACATCTCTTGGCCCCTTCCACATGGCCTTTGCTAATGCTGGCCTGGCCGAGAAATTCGACTATTTTGCAGACGAGTTTGATTCGGAAGGGAAGCTGCAGTTACCGGATAATTCTCTCTTGAACGTGAACCTCTGGGGTGTTCTATACACCGTCAAACTCGCCTGGAGCCTCATGCGGCGTCATAGCATCCACGGGTCTATCGTCATCACCGCAAGTACTACTGGGTATGCCCCTGAGGCAGCGTTACCTGTCTATTCTGCTGGGAAGTTCGCCCTCGTTGGCCTCGTGCGCTCACTTCGACATAATACCGTCATGGATCACATCACAATCAATGCCGTAGCACCGGCTGGAACGCTCACTCCATTGATAGCAGACCAAGTAGCACCTCTCAAGGAACTAGGGGTCATCTTTGGCAAGCCAGAGGTAGCCGGTCTTGCACTGGTTTATTCAGCGACGGCGATGCAGGACCGACGCGTGGAACCTTACGGCCGTGATCGGGAGGCAGATATCTGGAAGACTGAGCGTTGGAATGGGAGAATTATTTATGTGTTAGGTGATACATTCACAGAGTTGGAAGAACCGACAGCAGATTTGAGGCCGTTTTGGTTCGGCAAGGAAAATCATAGGCTTACACGGTCTCAACAAGCCGCAACTGATATTAGACAGGGAATTGAACAACCTAGAATGTAGATTGTAGACCTCCATAGATTGAATAGAAAACAAGAGAAGAGCGAATTGGGACTATGCACACTCCCAAACTCATTTCGCGCTCATTGCTTCCTCCGACCTTCGGTAATGATTCCCCTACCTAGTATTATCCCTTCGATGACTACATAGGTAGTGTGCGCAGCTACTAGTAACCTCTGCGGTGACTTCCAAAACGGTAAACCTCCCTCCTAGCTCTACATAACTCCTGTACTAGACACAAGCCGCAACCAAGCAGCATGATCTCCCCTTCAAGGTACCGATTGATCTTCGAGAACAGAATTAGTACGTCATGTTGTTTAGTCAGAAAGCGATAGCGGCTGCTGCCTGCAATGCGCTGCAGAGTGTTTTACCGGGCCAGATTATTTGGCCCGGTAGTGAGGAGTATTCCATCACGTCAATTAAATGTTAGTGATCTTTTCCATATTTGGAGATAAATCTAATCAATTCATCACTAGCTATTTGGTCCACCTCCTGTCATTTGAACCCGGAGTGTGTGTTTGAGCCACTGAATACGGGTGATCTGAGTACAGGTATAAAAGTCATCAAAGAGCACGGGGCGAAGTTCGCTGTAAAAGGGGGTGGGCACATGCCAAACCCAGGTGCCCAGTCGGTTGACGAGGGCGTGATGATTTCAATGTCCAAGTTTAACGGCAAATCGCTTAGCGAAGACAAATCCATCGCCAATATCGGTGCTGGTCAGCTGTGGGCTGAGGTCTACAACTGGCTAGCGCAGTATGGTCTCGCAGTCAACGGAGGCCGGTATCCAACAGTTGGAACGGCAGGTGTCCTCCTGGTTAGTTTCCTGGAAACTTGTATCTCCCTCATTTGCAGCTTTTCACCACATTGATCTCACATGCTCCCGAAGCATGAGATGAACCATTGCTCTACCTGGAAATTACTGACTCCAACGTATAAACAGGGGGGTGGTATGGGCTACTTCTCTGGTGCACGCGGGTGGTCCATTGACGACGTTGTCGGTTGGGAAGTCGTGTTGGCTGACGGCAGTATTGTCGAGGTGACCACCGACCCCGATAGTCTCTACTCTGATCTAGCATGGGCTTTAAGGGGCGGACACAATAATCTAGGCGTCGTTACCAGGTTCTCTATGAGAACTTTTGGGGTTACTAGCGCATACGGTGGCTTGGCAGTTTATAACAGTGGAGCTGAAGAGGGTTTTTACAACGCTCTTGTCAGCTATATGAGACCTGGTGGGGGCTCTGATGATCCGAAATCAGCCATAAATGCCGTTTCTACATTGACACTTGTTGATGGTAGCTGGTCGTATGGCTTCTTTAACGTTTACATGCATGCAGGTGAAGACCCTAGTCCCCGATCCTTTGAGAATTTCACAGCTATCCCAAAGGAGCACGTCACTCTTGATGCCACAGAACTTCACCAAAGCTGGACCTCCATCCCAAACAGCATGGTTGCGGTGGGAGCCCATGGTTCAAGGCAATTATTCTGGGCTATCACCCTGAAGGCAGATCGTCAATCAATTGCTATAGCAAACCGCACATTCTACTCAGGTGCTTTTGCTGATCTCGGAGGTGTCGAGGGTCTTTCACTGGTAGTGTCTTACCAGTCCTTAACCTCCGTATGGCTCCAAAAGTCCAAGGAAAAAGGTGGCAACCTTATGGGTCTTGATCCAGAGAGGGACGGAGGAAGCTTCGGTACGTCTCTTCATCTTGCATTGTACATTTTATATTTGATGTACTCACACGAATGCGTAGCAACCATCTTGATTTCAACTTGGAGCAGAGAGGAAGATGACGAAGCCATCCTTGCATTTACGCGTAAAGCTTCAGGGATTATAGAGGCAGAGACCAAGAAACTTGGTCTATTCAACCCCTTCATATATCTCAACGATGCTGCTAAAGACCAAAAGCCATTTGAACGCTATGCCGGAGGTACAAACCTACCGCGACTGAGAGACATACAGGTGAAATATGATCCCGACGGATTTATCAGGAATTATCTTCAACATGGGTTTGACTTCGGATTAGGAGAGGCAGGACAACACAGCGAGCTATAACTGATTCACGGTTTCGAGAGCACTGGGAGAATAGATCAATTTTAGATAGTGATGTGAGACATAAAGGCTTCAAAATTTACATCGTGTCCTTTCTTATAAGATTACATATCAGAATATTTATTGCTAGTGAATATAGGAGGCTTCATCGCAAGAATTATCTGCAACATCTTCAACGCGTTTGTGGTTTGCTATAGATGGCCATTCATCTCGGTTCAGGAATCTCGCTAGCGGTCACCTTCATCCTACTTGGAATGATTGGTTAGGGGTATTAGGTACTAGGCAACCCTCTGATATACCACCTACCTCGTTCTGTCAATGATCCTTACCAAATTGGAGGGTATTAGTATTACCTTGTAATTATGTCATCTGCATGATAATTCGCAGAAACAATTAGGGGCCAACGCCTCGTATCTAAGCATCAAAATTTTACACGAGCTCAAACTATGAAAATCTTTGCTTTGGAGATTCTTGAGGACCGGTAAGCGAATAGAGGACAATTTCATATTCGTATATAAATGTTTCTGACTAGCTGCATGTAAGCAAGCCATAGACAAAGTCACAATGCGTGGGATGATATTATAGGTAGTTCTAGGCATTGATATCAGTAGCAAGGCTGATATAGAAACCTGTGAATTGATTATCAATTTCAACCACAAGTGGAGTTCCACTACAGAAGTTTCTCAGAAAGGTCGATTTCACTCGATCTATTCAAAGATGTTTCAAAGTTATCCACAGAGCAAGGAATTACCAACCTACAGATTAATACGCAAGATCTGCCAGAATTGTTATGGTTGGTGAGACAGCCCTGCAGAGAAGCCGAGGGACATTGGGAGACGAAAACAAGAAGAGAGCTAATATAGTGAAATGCGAATGAAGAAGAAGGAAGAAGAAGGCTAGATAAGACTGCCTTAGAGAGTCATTGTTACACGCGTACAAGCTGTATTAGCTGAACATGCAGTTCGCCTTGCACCTCGGTGCACGAAAGGTCATTGCAGGCTGTTCATGATCATTCAAAGACATGCAGGCAATATTGGAAAGTGAGGTTATACAGACTTCGCTTCTTGAAACAGACCTTAGAGACCCAGGTGGTCTGGGCTGGCAGACCACTTATATATAGCGTCAAGTCAAGTTACCAACAATCGAGAAGAAGTTAGTTAATCAGAGACTTATGCAACCCTAGTTAATCATCATATTGTGAATAGCATCAAGTTCCAAGCCCAGATCTCTACCCTTATTATAGTCATGAGGGCTGCCCCCTCTAGCTGACGGTGTCACTTAACCAATATTTAAAGATAATAAGCTAATAAATAGGTAGGTTAAAGCAATCGTTACCATAGTATAATTTAAACGAGTAAAACAGGTACAAAAGTACCCTAAACACGCGCCCTGTTGTTTATGCCCCTGTTGTTTTTGATCATGTTGCCAAGCAACTAATCCGCACTATGGATCATAGGCCTAGCGAGCTTGGGCTACCACGCTAACCTCTAAGGACAAAAATTCACTATGTAATGTCTTCGCTATTCTGATTCCATTATAGTCTACACATAGTCGTCCATATGAGTGGGGGGTTTATGGATTAAATGCTGTGCATGATGCAGATAGAATCTTACGTACGGCAGGACTAACTTCTTCCTAATGTGGCAATGATTAGAGGTCGAGTTTTACGAAGTAGTATTTAAAATGGCCAGCTGCCCTTTGACTTCTTGTTGGTTACCTCTCGCGGCTTTCGAACAGTCTGTAAATAAGGATTACAGGAATAATTCTAGCATAGAAAATGCTACTACGACCAACGAAATGGTCTCTACTCGGCGCCTCAGCTGCATACGCTGCGGGGGCACAAGGCTTTGGGGCCCATCGTCCTGCCATTCGTGAGTCGTCCCACCATTGCGTACATACGCGGAGGGCGGAGTGAATAGACGACTGACGCAGCTCCTCAGATGCAGCAGCGTACGAGGTCATCGAGAACAGTGCTCTTTTCGACTTTGAGAAGATCCAGTTGACTGACAAGGTTCTCGCCCATCTCACCGATCTACACCGTCTTAGGGATGTCGCGCTTTTTTCCTTCGATGGAGACACACCTGATAATACACGTTCTACTCACAACAACACTTCTTTTCCTAAGTGCAAATTGTTGCCGGGTGACCTCACGTATCCCAGTCAAGAGGATTGGATAAGTTTGGATGCTCTTAGCGACGGTGCATTGATTAAAACGGTTCCTATCGGCGCTGTCTGCTACGAGGGGGAGGTTTATGATTCACGCAAATGCCAGTTTCTCCTCGATAACTGGAATGTCTCGGACACCCAGTAAGTTGCATCTATTCAGAGGTGAGTTGCGCAAGCTCAGGTATATCCACTGACTACATCTTCTCTTGGAAGCGTTGGTGACCCATCTTCGGTCATGTCGCCCATATTCGTGGGCCAGACCTGTATGCCGCAGGACGCTGTCGTACCTGGCAATAGCAGCTGCACGCTGGGGGGCTTTCCATCGTATTCGCTCAACGTGACCACTGTGGCCCAGATCCAACTTGCAGTCAACTTTGCTCGCAATCAGAACCTTCGACTCGTCATTCGCAACACGGGACATGATTTCCTAGGAAAGAATACCGGCGAGGGAGCTTTATCGATTTGGACCCATCATTTGAACGACATCAAGGTCATCCATCATTATAAGTCTGCCGCAGGACGCTACAGCGGTCCAGCTTTCAAGCTGGGCGCTGGTGTGATGGTGTACGAGCTCTATGACGCCGCAGAGCGTGAGGGATACACAGCTGTCGGAGGGGAGTGTCGCGTAAGTGGGCTTGCTCTCTGTTCATATTGGCACTGGACGTTAGAAACTGACTGGGCCTCTATCCCTAGACCGTTGGTGTGACAGGTGGCTATCTCGCCGGCGGGGGTCACTCTCCTATGACATCGATCTATGGGCTCGGCTCCGACCAGGTTAGTTCTCTGGAGTTATACCTTTACCTTTTGCGCAGCTTTCGGACCTCATTACTCCTACATACTCCCGAAGCATGAGCTGAACCCCTTCTCTATCCGGCAATTACTGACTCCATCGTGTGTAATAGGTCCTCAGTGTCGAGATGATCACCCCCGACGGCCGTTTCATCACAGCTGATGAGACGCAAAATACCGAGTTGTTCTGGGCTGTCCGCGGCGGCGGAGCTGCTACTTGGGGCGTGGTCACCTCGATGACTGTCAAGGTACATCCGAAGACACTCGTGTCAGGAATGGAATGGGACACGACAACGGTGGCCATGAACATCACTGACGATGTCTTCTGGAAGGCCATCGAGGCGTACTGGACACGTTATCCTGATTTCTCATTAGCCAAGTCTTATGGGTACTGTCGCATGTCGCCGCTACCTGGAGGTACTGGGGGTTACGCCTGGCGCGCCAAGCCGTTCATGGTGCCTGGCATGGCGCTCGCCGACTTTAAGCAGCTCGTCGAGCCGTTGCTGAGCGAGTGGGCGGCGCTCGGTGTCGACCCGAACATCACCTTCTTCGAACACGATAGTCTCTACGGCGCATGGAGCCAACACTTCCCAACCTCCGTCGTGGGAAGCCGATATGGTCGCACAGCATCGCGACTCCTGCCACGGCGCAATTGGGAGGACACAGGACTGCTCCGCGACACGATAGCCACAGTGCGTGGGCTAGTTGAGGACGAAGGGGCGTTCCTCGTGCATTACAACATCAATGCGGACGCGCCACCCGACGCGGCCGACAGTGCGGTGAACCCGGCGTGGCGTGATGTGATCATGTTCAACATCATCGGGCTCACATGGGACGAGGATACGCCCACGCACGAGGTCGCTGCTATCCACGAGAGGCTCACGAATGACCTCGCCCAGCGTCTTAAAGACATCAGCCCCGGTGCGGGTGGCTACCTTAACGAGGGTGATGTGATGGATCCCGAGTGGGCTGATTCCTTCTACGGCGCCAACTACGAGCGCCTCCTTCAGATTAAGAAGAGGGTAGATCCCAATGGCTTATTCTGGGCACCCACTGCGGTTGGCAGTGAGGACTGGATTGTAACCGGCCAAGAGCCATATATAACAACCCAGTTCGGCCGCCTTTGCCGTAAGTAAACGATGGGCTAGAAAAAGTCCAGCAATCGAAGCTGGCATGTATTAACGCGATGGCTTCGTCTAGCTCGCCTTTCTACAGCAGCCCTTGCTGAATGGAAAACCTTTTCAAGGTCTTTGGCTAGAGCCTGACGCCCTAAGTGTCAGAGGTGGGTATCCCAGAATGAATACTCAGCTGTTCGTGACGAAGTAGGTAGGCAGAAGGGTGTGCATAGGGGCCAATAGTCATTGATTCCTGAACCTCTCAACTCTCAAAGGGGTGGGCAACCCCCTATACATAACTAGAAGATCTACTATAGCAAACCTTAGGGTCCTTGCAACGATACACTCTAAGACTAAGGGTATGTTTTGAGCTGGCCGGGGGTCGAACCGGAAGAGGATCGCTTTCAGAAACGCGTCGTCGAATATAGAGAACGGTAGGTTCAAATTTGCGATATAACCAGCAGCTGAAGAATGGACCAAAGTTGCCTGGGCTTTCTAATCTAGTCTGTCGCTTTGTTTATTCTGCTGCCACTTAGAGGTTTAAAATAGTTCAAGGTGTTTCTTGATTATTAGAGTCTTTAGGGAGGGAGTGCTCCTTGAGAGGATGCCTTATAGGCGATGCTGTCGATTATATAGCGAAGAACTGGGGCTCATTGTATCATGCGCAGGCCCTATAGGATCAAACAGCGTTCTTGATGCTGTTAATTGTATTTAGCTCCGCAACAGTCCTCGTATGCTTTAATCCAGCTGCCTATAACAACCCTAAAAGCGCTTTCTATCAAAATATGACTTAAGGACGAAATGTTGGTTTCTACCCATAATTGCTGGAATGTTACAGATGCTTTGGAAACTTATATATAGAAGTAATAAAATTTGCTGCTTTAGCCTACTTGATAAAGCTGAAAGCTTTAGGATGTAACGGAGTGAAGGTTTTAGGAGTAAGACTATATTGATAAGATTGGAAGTTGCATATTACGGTAGAGAGCTAACAGAAGCGTATGGAATATCGTGCCTAGTATAATATCAAGAAACTACGCAACAGTGGCAAGAGCAGGAAATTTCCAGCCATATTACCAATAGGGGTAGTACTCTACTCCTTGTTGCCTGGTAGGCCAGTCTGAATACAGGTGTCTAACATAGGTTATTCCTAGATTCTAGGTCCTCTTGACTAGGATTCGTCAGAAATATGCAGTGCTACGATGGTGAATTGATTAATTGTATTGTCTGCCTCTGTTGCGCATCCCAAGCCTGTCCTAGAGAGCTATATTGTTGGGAAATCTTTCCTCAGCTTTAACCACCTTCGCTACAACCAACTGCACCTAATTTGTAAAGATTCAAAAACATACCATAGTATTATTAGTATGTTTATAAGTTGAATTATGTACCTGTTCCAGATCAGTAGTCAAACAACTAGTGTAAAGGTCATGTGACCGTTTGTGCCTAATGGGCAGATACAGTATAGGAGGCTACAATTTGGGATGCTATGATATCCAACTCTGGCGGTTTCTATCCCAATGCTTCAGCATTTATATGCACAATCATAATGTATAAGAATCTTGTCTAAAAGTCGGCAGGGGATTTCGCCACATGTGATGACCTTATAGATCAGAAATAATATTCTCTATATAGTAGAAATTATCTGTCTGGATATCCTAGACCCGTTACGCAACATGAAGTATATACATCGTAATCACTGCTGAAACTGGGTTGCCGGATTAGTGATTAAATCTAATCTCGCGAAGTAAATCAAAATTGCCCTCGCGCATGATTCTGTGACCACCCCCTTCTCCTTCACTCCTTCAACGGTTGATGTCAAGTATTATACAAGTGCTGTGATCCCTTTAGTACGAATCGGACTGCTATGGGCCGCCTATGGGGTATGCAGCAAGACTTGTTTTGTTAGGGATCTACCGAGGGCATTCAGACTCCCTCCTGACTATATATTATCTAACTCTTTATTCTCTCCCAGTCCTAACACAGTGTGTCTTTTCTATACCACAGGCCTGATCTCTCTGAAGCTTTTTAAAACATGGAGCCAGGACATACTCTACACTACTGGGGCGCTGATGAACTTCCGCGTAATTCAATCGTCTGTTGCCTGCCAAAAAAACGGGATTCCTGACATTAAAGACACCTTTCTCCTTCAAACTTGTCAGCTCGCACGACTTTGCCTTATCTTGGCTCCTGGAGTGGTATTACCCCGCTCCTTTCAACCACGAAATGCCCCGTGTTGGAAGTTGACACAATTGCCATGTACTTTGAGGTGGACCTTGAGATAGCATTTGTAATCTAGAGTACTTTCTTGTTCCATTACAAGCCTGGAACATCGCGAAGTGGATATGAAAAGCTCCGCAGTTCTGCTGTATACTTAATTACACACACCTGGCTCGGCCCTATCTTCCCATAGGGCTTGCTCAACCCGACCAATGCACAGAGCGCGTGAGCCCAAATGGCACTGAATGAGCCCGCGAGTACCTCTGGGTCTCTCTGGGTACCCACAGGTCAACCCTATCTTTCCGTCATACGTTCTAGGCCAACCAAGGCGTTTTGTGTATAGACCGTCACGTAGATCGTAAGCACAGATGATCTAGGGTTGTTGTACCAAGACTCCTGGTGACTAGTAATGTACCCCCGTCCCGGGAGAACCCATGACACCCTCGGACGTTACCACGCCGCACCGGCTAGACAGGGGTCCTTCCTCGGGCGCTATTGCAGAGCCCCCGGGAGTGAGATAAAATACCCGTTTCGGAAACGAGTACGGCATACGTCTATCAGAGTTAACCATCGGGTGTCTCCCCCACCTAGGCGTAAATGTCAGATAGCCAGTCAGTGCCGCATATGAGTAACACGTTCACAACAATTGATAATGAGCACAGGCACAATAATGGCCCGAATTGCACTTCCGTTCTCCCGGGATCTCACGATACGACCATACGATGATTTTCTTTACTATGGAGATTATGAGAATCCCACACAAGATGCCAGGTTAATTCGAATTAGCTCACTTGGTTCCGAACATATGTTCAGATGCACAGCCAAGCTCTATACGATCGGTGGGGCCCGTTTGGAACTTTTTCTTTATCAGCTGGTTTTACGTGAGCATACCTAGATCTTACACAAGCAGTAGAGCAACAATCCCAACACTGCTAGCAGGACGCGGACCACAGTCATCAGTCCTGCCCCGGATTGGTCTTAGCCCCCCTACTCGCGCACATTGCGATTCCAACTGGGCGGGCCCGGGTACAGCAATACCACTTTACCAATTTCGGTGCGAAGATCGTTCCAAACCCACGGCCGGTGAACCAACGGTGGTTTTCCTTTGGCACCTAATCGTCCTATATAGTGGGTGATGAGTTCTTGGCACCAACGTGGAATTCAAAACACTATGTACGAACCGAAGCCGCATACCTAACCCTTTACGTGAACGGTTCTTTTACTTTTTTGAGGTATGTGGCCTTACTGGACCTTCATGTAGGTGCCTAGTCACACACGTACTACCATACCTGACCCTTACACACTCATGCATACATTCGAACGCCTACCTACCTTTCAACGTGCTAAACCCCCAATAAAAATAGATTATTACGCGCTAGCCTTGGTTATTAGCGCTTTGACAGCATTGGTTACAGCCCGTACACCAGGAACAGCCATCCCAAACGTACAAGATACGTAAGTCTTAAGAGGGATGGACACGGAATCGCCACCTAACGCGCTCAGAGAAGTAAGAAAAAATATGGCCCTATAGCCGATAGGGTGTATACATATGCCATGGTAATCGATCAAGCCATGCTATCTGATCCTGGTATCGGGTCATGGTGGATGCCGTATCAGGTATGTATCGCGTCATCCGCCGAGTATAGAATAGTCCGTTCTCCACGCCGCCTACGCCACCCACGCGCCGGTAAGCCGCAGGGCAGGGGCTCTGCGGGAGTATTAGACAACACGAGTTGATTGGCGGCTGTATGGGAACCTGTATCTAAATACATGGTTATGGATCCTGCTCTCACGGTCATCACTAAGCGAGAATGTATATGGACTTCGTGGTCAATCTAGATCTAACTGGCATTCCACCAACCCGAACGCTGAGGACTAACAGCCAGGACTATTTTCTAGTATGAGCATGCCCGTGGGAGCTACATCAGTTAGTTTGATATCACGAACAAGGGTGGCCACGTATCAGTGAAGAAGGGCGCCGCCATCCTGCAGTGAGAGCTAGTTGATAGTGGAGTAAGCAGAGATATATAGACACAGTCACTGCTCCAGCTTGACATCCTTTCTTTAGAGCACTTTGGGCAGTATAACCTCTTCTCAAGAATGTTCAGCAGCTGGAAACTAGATAGTAAAGGAGAGCCTGTGGAAAGGCCCCAGGTATTTGATCCGGTCACTGCAAGGACAATCGTGCCGCACGCCTGTTCACATTGTCGAGCGAAGAAAGTCAAGTGTAGCGGGGAAAAGGATGGCTGTCATCGGTGCCGCGCTTTCTCCCGCGTTTGTGAATACATTCCAGCAAACAAGAAAGGGCCCGGATCTCGAAACTCGGCACCATCATCGGCCTCCTCTTCTTCTTCATCCTCTTCGTCATCGTCTTCATCATCATCATCATCGTCATCATTATCATCTTCATCTTCTAGTTCTTCCCCTTCCGTTACAAACACTCCCGCCTTCTCCACGGACATATTGCCTCCTCTCAAGTCTGCACAAAACTACGTTGATGTGCTGTCACCATTGACAGAATCTCTCAGTGACCCTGTCACCTTTATATGGGATGTTGTGGGGAGCAATGATGCCCTCGAAGGGCGAGACATGGTTATGGGCATCGGGTCAGGCGGTTTCTTCGACTTTTTACAGTCAGATCTGATGACCTTAGTTCCTACGGGTTCCCCATCTGAAGTTTTGGAGCCTTTGAACACGTCGACTCAGGGTACACCTTTCTCTTTTCCATCTAGGATGGCAGAACTAGATCACTATGTCGACGAATTAACACCCGCGCCAGGTGACATCGTTGACGACGGGAAAGCCGTCAAAGGTTCGGTGATAGGATCGTCCTCATCGTCTGTCTCACCCTCGTGTAGATGCCTAAATCGGTTGATGTTATTGATGGAAGAAGTCGACTCACTCGCAGATTCGGGCATCGAGACATTAGACCTGGCTCTAGCGACACACAAAGACGCGTTACGCCAGGGTAATGAGATGTTGGAGTGTACATCTTGCGTGTTGCACATTGAGAACATGATGATGCTCACTTTCTTAGCACATATGTTAGCCCGTTTGTGCAAGCATGTGGCGAGGGCGATGGATAAGAATACCTCATCGCCTTCTGGTCTCCCGCCGCTAGTTGGCCTAGACAATCAAGGGGTTCTCTTTGGGGGTTACACAGTCAGTTGCCGTGAGGAGTACAATGAACTTTTGAGGATTCTCTTGAATCGAAACGCGCGCGGTCTGTTGAAATTTCTTACGCACCTGAGGGTTATCTCAAGAACATTCGAATCGGAATCGATGATCAGACGGCTAGCGGCAACCGAGCTATTATTGAGCACTTTTGTTTGTGAGGCGAGTGTTGGATAAGACATACCAACAGCATTTTGCGTGTACAGTGTAAAGCGGGCTATATCAACAAAATCAGTGTTCAAATATAGAGATTCGTTCACCAAAACATAGTACAACATTTGACAACTATGCACTGTGTTATACAATCTACATTTACTACACCCTTGGAGTATCTGCGTAGATTAGCTAATCGTAATGTACACTAATGTAGAGACTGTCGGTACTCACACATAGGAGCCGAAGGCAGATGTACCCGTCGCTTTGCCTAAAACAACTAAGCCTCCCGCCATCGACAGGTATCCATTAAACACCCCTGAAATAAATGTAGCAAAAAATACCCGAAAGCCGTCTTGGCAACGATCACGACAGACCTGCATGTCAACTTGTTTGGCAATGACCGAACCTAGCTCTGAGATTGCTGATGATGATGCATGGGCTGTGACGTGTCCACTGTCTGACTTTCACTTTTCCTTTTCGGAGACGATCCTAAGGTACGAACTTCAGGTCAGCCCTAGCAGACCCTAGGAATGCCACTGATATTACTCAGTTACTGAAATCACAAGGTACGTGAGGACAAGCCCCAGCTGAAGACAGTCTAGTGCTTGTGGGTCTACTGTCTCGATCTTTGCGTTCAGCTTACCTAGTTCAACAGAGTTTCATGAATAGACATGGAGTCATCCCAGTCGAATGGTATCTCCTACCTTGTACACGTCGTGCACGGTCGATCATACTCTAAGTACACCCTCATACTAGTAATCTACCAAGTCCACTAAGTATGCTAATTAGCTCTCGAAACATGCAGAATAAGGGTGCTGGTTGCCATGATTGCTTAACAATCAGTCGACATAGCACTCAAGTAGTTCAACTTATGACATACTCTGCATCGGCTATTTTTTCGGGCGGTTGCAAAAGGTGCCGAAGACGTAAAGTCGGCTCAATACGGCCCCGCATTTAATAATAATATCGTCGCATTGGTTGCTACGTTAAGGGTCCGTCTGTATATGCGCTTCTGTATGCCAGACATATTGGGCGCGTTCTAAGGTAAGGGTAGAAGAGGTCAATACTATATCGTGGAAACGGCGATATCTCAACTCGGTTGCCCGATGCCAAACTACGATTTACTTGCCTAATAGTGATAGTTAGCACGATTATAACAATGAAAACCCCAGGTAATTGTAGTGATTGCTCGTTTGGCGCATAGAGCATTGGACAATTTCCTGCGCTGTCTTTAGTAGACCCTCCTTTTGTATGACAAGATGCAAGTCTTAATTATTTTTCTAGGCGCTTCGCTCGCGTTCTCATATTACATTGTGAGATCCCTGCGCTATCGCCAGCGTCTTGCTCTACCTCCAGGTCCGAAAGGGCTTCCTATTCTTGGAAACTTAAATGACTTGCCCAAGGGGGACGGAATGGAATGTCATCACTGGCTAAAGCATAAGGAAAAATACGGTGCGTAATGATTTGCTATTTCATGGGGTTTGTCCTTGCCTGGGACGATAAGTTAACTGGTACAGGTCCCATTAGCTCCATTACAGTGATGGGCCAACCGATAATCATACTTAACGATGCAGACATGACCTTCGAACTATTTGAGAAGCGGTCTATCAAGTATTCATCGAGACCGAGACAGTTAGTAGCTGGTGAGATGTATGTTGTGAAAATCGACAACCATCCATTCTTTGCATCGTCGAAAAGAGTACCACGCTCTAACAAACGTTGCAGAATTGGGTGGAAGAACACCCCTGGAGGCAGTGCTCCAAATGCTCGGTGGCGAACAATCCGTAAGAATTTGAACCGAATAATTGGGACAAAGGCCTCTGCGGCGCAATTCTATGCGCTACAGGAGACTGAAATAGCCCATTTCCTCCTGAATGTGTATAGAACGCCTTCAGCGCTCATGGACCACATTCAAAGGTACTATTCCTATATGTCGGATAGAGCGTTTCGTTTCATTAGCTGATCATCGAGAATCAAAGACAAGCGGGAACAGCCATCTTGAAGATGGCGTACGGCTACGTTGCCGAGCCGCAAGGGAAAGATTACCTAATTCACATTGTTAGTGAAGCGATGGAGAATTTTGTTCATGCTGCAGTTCCAGGGGCATTCATGGCTGACATTTTCCCATGGAGTACGTGTGCGCTTGTGTTAATAGTTTATCTTGTTACTGATGTGTAGTAGTGAGATTCATCCCTGAATGGATGCCTGGCGGGGGCTGGAAGAAGATCGCTCACCAATGGCAAGCTGAGCTTTCCGAAGTGACGGAGAAGCCATATGCCTTCACAAAGTATCAAATGTCACGAGGCGAGCATGAGAATTCGTTCTTGTCACGACTGTTAGAGGCTGGAGAAGAAGGGGAGGAAGAGAAACACACAAATAAATTCTCAGCAATGTCGCTGTACACAGCAGGGGTAGATTCGGTGAGCTCAGTCCCAGCTTAGTATTCTCACAGGGAGCGACCTAACCTATCCATAGACGATATCGGCGTTAGAAGCCTTTTATCTAGCGATGACGATATTTCCGGAGGTTCAACGAGCTGCACAAGAGGAGATTGATCGAGTTATAGGGAGTAATCGACTTCCGACAATGGCTGACCGGGAGAATCTCCCATACGTTGAGGCATTAGTCAAGGAAGTCTATCGTTGGCATCCGATTGCTCCTATGGGTATCCCTCATACTACCACCGATGATGACATTTACGAAGGTTATCTCATTCCCAAAGGATCTACAATCTTTGCCAATGTCTGGTGAGTGCACAGCAATGAATAATCTGGAATAGTTGTCTTCTTACAATGAATCTAGGCATTTCACACACGACCCAAAAGTGCACCCAGATCCGATGACATTTAAGCCTGATCGTTTTCTCGCAACGAACGGGCACGAACCGGAGAGGGATCCTCATCTCTTCGTTTGGGGATTCGGCCGTCGCGTTTGCCCCGGTCGCATTCTCGCTGATAATTTCATTTGGCTAACCATTGCCCAATCGATTTCAGTTTATACTGTCTGTCAGGTCGTGAAAGACGGAGTACCGATCGTGCCGTCGATTACGTTTCAACCGGGCGTGGCTAGTAGGCCGGCGAAGTTTGCAACTTCAATTAAACTAAGGTCCCCTCAACATGAGGAGTTGATACGCTCGCTTGAAAGCGAATATCCTTGGCAGGACAGTCATAGCAAGGTCCTCGAAAGTATGGCTTAAGTAACAGGATCTGTATCTAACTAGTTAGGTAGTACTACAGCCTGGAATAGGCCTAGTCTTCTCAAAAATATCATTGCTTCTGTGTCAGAATACAGCCATCAGTTACCTAGTAGCGCAATAAGTGTGACTGAGGAAATAGTATACTTATAAAGGTGCAAAATAGAAGTAACTCGGTTGTCTTCAGGTAAGTCAAATCTGAGTTATAGTGTACGTATATTATCACGCGCGTCGTGTGCGGTGTATTAGGCAGTGGTTAGTGTGTCTACGTAAGTAGTACTAGTTACTCGAGAGGACTTGGCGGGCGAGTTTGTGAACGCTCAGCTGTGTCAGCAATGCTCTTCACTACCCCAGCTAATTTCTCAGCTCTACGCCTGGGACCTATCCATCTTTCTAACAGCATTGCATTGTCACCAGGCTGTAAACATCACCCGTAGATAAATACACCTAGCCCCGAAACATTGACAACGTTGGGCTAAGCGCTTTCTTTCCCTTGAGAATTCGACACCTATCTTGTTGTCACACTCCACAGCTTGCCGGGGCGTTACATGGTGCATAGCGGACAACTTGTTAGCTCGTCATCTTGCTGCTACGAGTCTGTCAACATCATGACTTCGGTGACTTCAAGTTCAAACTCCAAATCACCTAGATTTCGTCTATCTTGCGACCGGTGTCTTCATGACAAAGTCCGGTGTAGCCGCGACAAGCCATCGTGCCGACACTGTAACCACAGAGGTCTCGACTGCTTGTACAGCCCTTTCCGGCCCATTGGCCGGCCCAGAAAGCACGTCAGTGAGGCGACTCCAATACATCACGAACGCAGTTCCGAAGACGACGATGTTAGCTCTCCATCTCTGTTCAGAAATACACTATCACCTAGCAGTGAGTACGGTGGAAATACACGCAACATTCAGTCACTAACCCCGGTCAGACTCTCTTGGAACTTCGTCGGCTGCTACTACTGTAGATGGTTCTTTCTACGAGCTTGGAACGAGCGTCGCCTCACTATCTCAGCTGTTGCGATCGACAAAACAAGACAGCGGTGACCTACTTCGTTCAGCGGTAGACGTCTGGGTTCACTCGCATAAGCAAACTCCGGGTGACAAGCCTCCAGATCCTCAACAACGAAGCACGCCAGAAGTACTAGAGGTCAACTACCCGATTACACCCCAATCACGGATTTCACAGGAGATTCATGATGAGGGTAACTGCTATACGGCAATACTCCAGCGCTCTGCCAAGCTTGAAAAGAAACTATCTGAAGCCCCGTCATCACTGCCACCGATAGATCTGGTGCTCGAGGCGGAGTCCGACTTTTCCGCGCTCCAGCATAGCATATCCAAATGTGCTGGCCACCACCCACCTTCCACTAATCAGCCCATAGATTCATGTCTGGCTACAGATCAGCCGATTGTTATCGGTCTCGCGCTTCTCGCGGAACGAGTTATTGGCATGCTGGAGGGCGTCGTGCGCCTAGCCGCTCGCTCGGCTCAGATTATGGACAGGGCCAACGACGCGCTCTGGTCAGCACAAGAAGAACCAGGCATCTCGGCCCGGCGGCTTCAGCGCTCGGTACGCAACACATGGGCCAAGGGATGCGTAACGCTGGAGATGGAAGTTGATCGGAATCTATGTCTTGGAACTTACGTGGTTCAAGGCCAGGCCAAGTCTGCCGCCATGCGTCGGATTCTGAGGGTGAGGGTTCAGAGAATGCTTCACGCCCTAGGATCCCTGCATGCAATGGCGCAGACGAAGCGTGCAGGAGCAAATACAAGGGATCATCGACCATCTGCAAGTCCGCTGGACTGGGGAGGCTCGAGTCTGGTGTTGGGAGATATGGGAGATCTTTTGTTAGGGGATCTAAAGAGGCGCATGGAATCCGTCCAAGGCGCAATGTTACTATTTTAATGCAAGGAGATAGTAGAACTAGAGATTTCCATTGGAGTCTGCCACGGATACGACCAGGATCATGCATATAGCCTGCAGACCCAAGGCATAAGCTGATGTCAAGACGTGACTTCAGTATGAGACTCGTTTGTATTCAGGTCATTCTTATCTATATCGTAACCATCCTATCTACACTGGCGAGCGTTACAAACAGCCTCGTCATGAGACTCTTGATATCGCTATCTTTGAGTGGATGCAGGCTCGGGCTTTGGTTCTGGGCCTCCTCTGCTATATCCTGTAACATTGCAGCAAGTCTGACTATGGACGCTTTCAGGCACTCCTGCACGACAATGGCACTCTCCGAGGACTCAAGCTCTAGATTTCCAATCGTCGCCCTCTGCGACTGCTGGGATTCCGACGTGGACGCCGCAACGACGGCCAACTCGTGCCCTCGCAGAACCAACCCGATCGCGTCCACCATGGAACTTAACGTGTGAGGCTTGAGGTGCGATTCGTTATTCGGGCATCCGTTGAGCGTACCCCAGTGCTGTACCAAGTCGAATGCTATGGTAAGCGTTGCAGATAGGAACGAGCTCATTGGTGCACCGACATTAGCGCCCTGGGCGACGTTGAGCCCTGTCAAAGGCGTTATCGACGGCACAGGTGGCGACATCGCCCGCTGTGGCGACGAGACGAGGGGGTCATGAGAAGAAACCTGGGCGTAATGCTGACAGAGGTTGGCGATCCGCAAAATCTCACGTTCGCAATCGCACGAGCTTGATGACGACAATGTCCTCTCCGACGAGGTCCCTCCAGTTGGTGTCCCTTGCATTATCAAACACTGGTCAGCGGCGGCGGCCAGGGTAATATCTACCGCCCGGTGATTAAACATGCCGGGGGGTAAGTGGGGATAGCATGAGCCGGTTGCAGGAGTTAAAAGTCGGGTTTGAGGGATGCAAGAGACTTTTTCCTAGAAGAGAAGTCTCCAGCGTTGTGAAAGAGCTTGGATTTGCATCGGGTCGTTTAACTCACTCGGATGCTCGCATGTCGGAGGGATCGGGTCCTTTTATCCATAACGCGTGGTTTGACTCAAGTCTAGGATGCCAATGATGACTGCATAAGTGTCAGCCCTGGAACCACCCAACGCTGTCTGCAGGGGTCGGCTTGTTTTAGACAACGAAAAGACCCGAGGACCCATGCATCAGAAGACAAGAAATCTACATAATAAAAGAACCACCCGCGAAGTGCCCGGGATGACAAAAGCGCCCGACAGTCGTCCTAAACCAAAATGACCCGATTCCTACTTACACAGTTAGAATTGGTTGAGGAAAAGAAGCACCCGAAAGCTCCCAGAATGAACGGCACACTCCTTTCGGGTCGTTTTCTATTGACCCCGATAGAAGAGAATCCATGATTGTTAATCAACGTGCTTCGTGTAATTTGCGCGTTGGGCCAATGACAGAGACAGAGACATATCGTCATTGCGCGATTGAGCAACATAAATCTACTATTCAAGCTCTTCCAAAATCCCGTCGATATCGAGACAAGCTCTAATAGATGAACAAAGCATCGTGCCCTCAGTTGTACTTATCGCAGGAATTCGGTCAGGAATCAGATTCTTCATAGTCGTCACGATGGCGGAGCAGTCACCCGATTCCTCGTCTGTCGAAAAGGTGCGCGACGAGCCGCTCGATAAGCCGCAGCCCGAGCTACAAACGTCGAGCAGCGCCATTGTCTACCCGTCAGCCTGGAGACAGATTATTATCGTAATTGGTCTTCTTTCCGGTGTCTTCCTCGTAAGCTCCCATTGCGACTTTCGCCTCCTCGTTCACATAAGACAGATTCTAACAGCAAGCTTCGTTACCTCTAGGCTGGTCTGGACGTTGTAAGTGACCCCGGAAACATCACGGCGTTGATCTCGATGATGTCGGCTTCTAACCTCGTTGGGACTCGTACAGAGTATCATCTCTACGGCCATTCCAGCAATCACGAATGAGTTCAATTCCCTTGCAGACGCAGGCTGGTATGGCAGCGCCTTCTTTCTTGCGGATGCCGCGTTCCAGTCCAGCTGGGCCAAGGCCTACAAATACTTTGATATTAAATGGGTTTTCATCTCGACCGTGATATTCTTCGAAATTGGTTGCCTCGTCGCTGCTTTGGCGCCCAACAGTCCGGCTTTGATTGTCGGAAGAGTCATTCAAGGTGGTGGCGCGGCGGGCATCATTCTAGGATGTTACTCGATCGCCAACTTTGTGAGTCCTGCGGACAAGGTGCCTCTCATTATAGGAATGATAGGTATGTCATGAAATGTCTATATGGGCGTACAGCAGGCTTGTGTTGTTGCGCGAAGTCTAGAGGTCAGGAGTGAGGGCATCCAGACTCCTTCTGACTATCTACTATCTATTGCTCTGTTCTCATCCTAATATTTTAACAGGTACTACGTTTTCGATCGCAAGTGTGATAGGACCCGTTATCGGAGGTGTTTTTACGTCGGATGTCTCATGGCGCTGGTAAGTTTTTCCTTCCTTGTAACTTCCTTCAATCCATAGGGATTCTGGGGGCAGAGCTATCTTGAACATTCCGAACATTAGCTAATTTTGAATATCAGGTGTTTCTGGGTTAACCTTCCTGTAAGCATATGAAAGGCTGCTCGTGTAACATGTCGTCTAACAACTGCTTCTACTTAGATCGGTGCAGTGCCTTTGGGTTTAATTCTGCTATTTTTCAAGACCCCAGCACAAGCAAAGTTATCTACAAAGACTTCTGCCAAAGAGATAGCCGCTAGCTTTGACCTCATTGGAGCTACCCTTTTCATCGCGGCGTTGATTACCTTCATCTTAGCAACTACGTTCGGAGGAGTCACCCATGCCTGGAATTCATCCACAGTTATCGGCCTTCTAGTAGGCTGGATATTGTTGTCTATTGTCTTTGTCGTCAACGAATTCTGGCAAGGTGAAAGAGCACTCATCGTCGTGCGTGTGATGAAGAACAGAGATATGTGGGTGAACTGTCTCTACCTTTTCAGGTAAGTCCTTCTACTCTCTACAGCTTCGTAGCTATCTGCTCATTATGATCACAGTCTGTACGGAGCATACTTCTCGATTGTATACAATCTCCCTACTTACTTCCAAGCTACCGCTGGTCTCTCGCCTAAAGACAGTGGAATTCGGACGATCCCGATTATTGGTGCAACGTGTTGGTCTTTCCCCTTTCCACGGACTAAGAAGTAGTTTACTAACTATACGTAGCAATCTTTAGCTTCGCTGGATCCGTAGCCGTTGGAAAGTACGGGAAATACTCTCTATTCATGCTTGTATTTACCGCTATCACGGTCGTTTCAGGCGGATTGATCTACACTTTTGATGTGGACACTAGCCTGGGAAAGCAGATCGGCTATCAGATCTTGCTCGGTGTTGGTGTCGGGCCTGTCATCCAGATCCCGCCCATCGTAGCTGGTATTGTCAATAAGAATGCAGATAAAGCGCTCGGCCTAGGCTCTGTACTTGGTAAGTTTTGATCGTTGAGAGTATTCAAGCCATCTTCGAAGTCCTTGACTAACGACGGGTAGTCACACAATTCGGCGCTGCTTCCTTGGTCATATCAGCTGCGTCCGCCATTACGAATAACTTGCTGCTAAAGAATATCCCCATCTACGCACCCGGCGTGGACCCGGAACAGGTGTTGGGAGTAGGGCCCTACGAACTTCATAACTACTTTGAAGGTGACGCCCTGCACGGGGTGAGGAAGGCGTACGTATCCGGTCTCCGGGGCGCATGGGCCTTAGCCATTGCTTTGTGGGGAGTTTCATTCTTCACGGTTTTCCTCGCAAAGTGGCCAGGACACATGACCCCCGCACAAGAAGACCCAGTCTCGGACGAGCAGAGTGACACGAAGGAGAATGTTTTACCGGCCACGGCGTGAACAGATGAAGCATCTGCAAGGCAAAACTCGTATGGGGCATTGGCAGGGAGGAGTAGAGCAGAGGTCGGCCGGAATATAATTTGGTTGGGTTTATTCGCATACATGCATAAAAAATTAGAGCTTATACATTATAATTCAAACTAGAGTTTACATGTCATGTACCTTGGGTAGTCTTAGTAGGTAGATAGTGGCCAAGTCCTCTGTATTGCTAAACGCCTATCTGCCGTACTCTGTCCATCTTTTAAGACATAGATGTCTGATATACCGGTAACTGCAGAGACAGTTTCGTTGACTTGTTTCACCTTTCTTGGTTGAATCCTTGCGATGGTAATCACTAATCTGGTACAAAGATCAGGCAGAAAGAGCCTAAACTCAGCCACATCAGTAAGTAATGGACTGAAATGGACAAATAAATATAGCGCTATGCCTAATACGTTCTGATCGTGTACATAGTATGTACCTAGGTAAGTACTTATATAGTATAGTTATACCTATGTATATTATAATATGTACTTACAGTGAAACCCTGGTACCTAACCCAGGTTCTCGGGTCGGCACGCACCTAGCTTCAATGGCTACTAGTGGTTAAGTCCTCTCTCTCTGTAATTATGTACTGTACCTCCTCTGTGCTTCTTCTTCTTCTAAGACACACAATATGTACCATTCTGGCCATGAGTGCGACCACGGCCAAAAAGCCAACAACCAACAGATCTGATCTGTCCGAAAGTAGACGAACTCTATTCAAACAGAACCATGTAGAACGCAGTCGAGAGCTTATAAGTAGAATGGCTCTCTTTCCAATCTAGCCATGTGCTGCACTATCACCACAGCCATTCTCTCTTCATTCAATTCACAGATTACTACATATCGTGCATCCGCGTGTGCGCTTCGTGTCTATGACTGTAATCAGAAGCTAGCAGCATCAAAATGACACCTCAACCCCTCACAGCCCCAACCGCATTCCTCTATTTCCCCAGACTGCCCACCGAGCTCCGTCTGAATATCTGGGAAGAGACCTGGCCAGAGCCCCGCATTCTCGAGCTTACGCTCAGCGAATTCGACGACGACAACGACGACGGCGACGACGACGACAGCGACTCCAGCGCGGGCTGGCATCTCAACTATAATGAAAAGATATCGATTCGCCCGACATGCCGGGTATCCACGTGGATCGAGAAGTTCCGGGTGGATAACGACATCATTAGTTGTCGCGATATCAACGACGAAAAGCCCATCGAGACCTACCACCATGCAGTGGCCCTGTCCGTGTGCCACGAGGCCCGCATCCACACCCTCCGCCACGCGGTGAAAGTACCGCACCCAACCCTTCCGCGCCGTTCATTCTTCTTTCATCCTGCTGTCGATATTCTCTGGCTTAGTGAGGACGCTGTCGACCAGCTTGAGTGGCCGCACTCCTTCGAGTCGTGTGGCGGACTGCTAGCGTCTATCTCGCGAGTACTAATCGAGGAGACAAATATGGATGAGCAGCACCTGTTCGACTTCTTCGCTGCGATGCCGGGTCTCAGGGAAGTTATTGTCATCCTAAATGTCGAAGGCTCGTCGGATGAGGAAGATGCGGAAGGGGCGATGGAGGGTGTAGAAGGAGCTATATCGGATCCTGACACTCCTGCTGTGCTCTCTGTGGCCCCGTGTATCCAAGATCTATACGAAAACGCTCGCTTACAGCATATGTCGCGAATGGATAATGAGTCCCCGGCGCGTCAAATGTGGGTAATGAATCTGCTGGATCCAAGAAATCTCTCGAGCTTGCGACAATCGATGAGCTCAAACTGCTTTTCCCGACGTGGGTAATACACTAATTATGTACTTATAATGATGCGGGGAATTTGTTTTCCTGCTCTTGACAAAGGAGTAGAAACGGGATGCTTAGAAACCGAAAAGATGATGGGAAACCCCGTTGGCAAACTTCATAAACTACTTAATTTAAATGCTACTTAAATTTGGATTATATCCAGCCGTACTCATCCGCTACCTACCCCGTTGAATGCTACTTCAACTTCGCAGCGTAGGGATATCATTATAGGCAATATTTCATTGAAACGGATCAATAGATAACTTGTTGCCATTGGCTTCAACTACATTTTCGGCGGTCTAAGGGCAATCAACTTGGAATACTAGAAGTCCGAGGCCATGTTATTCGGAACATTTTCGATGGCCCGAAACTGGCTTGTCGGATCTGCTTATGTCTTCTTCTATGTTACATATATGGGCCCTAAATTGGTTGTTTCCTTATGGGGTGACCTTTGAGTACAGATCTCAGGTCATTTCAGGTTTGTAGTCATTATTGCGCAATGTAACACGCTCGCTATTCTACGAATTCCATATAAAGAGTCAGCCATCCCAAGATCTTTTCTCCTCTAGATGTAGAAAGGCCAATACAATGAGCGATCACGGAGCATTTACGAACACACTAATACCTTTCTAGGAATATAAGAGTAACTCAGAAGCGGCGCCACATCCTGTTTTTATACGCCAATAGATGGATCTACAAGGTTTATACACTGCCAACTATAACAGTTTTGCCGCTAACACCTAGGTCATGATCCTAGAACTATAGACAAAGAAACTCGCTATACATAGCCTTAATCTAGGTACGAAAACCTCGAAACTTTCATACAACAACGATTATCATGCAGCACCCCAAGGGTTCTATAACAAGGGCAGACAACTGGGATTGGAACTTGATGCTATTCAGATTACAATGATCAACTAGGGCTGCATGAGTGAGTCCTTGACCAACCAGCTCCTTCTCGGCTGTTGGTGGCTTGACTCGACGCTATGTTCAACTGGTCTACCAGCCCAGACCGCCTAGGTCTCGGGGTCTGTTTCAAGAAGCGAAGTCCGTATAACCTCACTTTCCAATATTGCCTGCATGTCTCTGAATGATCATGAACAGCCTGCAATGGCCTTTCGTACGGCCGAGATGCAAGGCGAACTGTATGTTCAGCTAGTACAGCTCGTACGTGTGTAACAGGTTGCAATTGCCATAATCGGAGTTAAAGATTTGGAAGTGACGCCCCCAGCTACCTATTGATGATGTTGTCATTGAGTCGAAATGGATGCGTACTTCTGATTTGTTACGTAGCCTTGAACGTCTAGAATGGTAGAACTAGTCATAATAAAGATAAAGCTAAAGACAAAGGAAGCTAGTGATTGCATTAACATGTTATTCTCTTGACTTGAATAGTTTAGGTTTTTATTCATTTTATAAAGCTATTTGAATGGGGTGCCTCTTCTTCTCCTATTTCAGGGCCCGGTTAGGATTTAATAAATACTAGCCTCTATCTGGAGTTACGAGTCTAAGAACTTTTTGAAAGAAGCATCTAGGGCACAATAAAAAGTGTCACTAGCCATATATGTCTTACGTTGGGTCAGTGTCGCATCTAACTCTGCAATTAGAGCGCCAATAAGCGAGATATGTACATTCGCCTCTCTTTGAACCGGCTTGTCAGTACTGGGTGTGTAAGTCGAAGGAGGCTTTTTGGTCACTTTGTTAGTAACCTCAACATGAATGCAAATAACGCGTATAAATAGCGACTCGATTTCTGAGTGGGTTGGGAGCCATAAGGACTGATACCGCCGCGGTGTAAGTTCACGATATACACTGAGTAGGTTTCTCAGCTCGAGATCTAGACTCTCGAGGCGCTTGACTGTTTCTCTGTTATCAGTCCTAACCTTTTGACGTCTAGTGCTGCTTGAATGTTCAGCCTTATCTGCTGAGCGCTTTATCAATCGTCGTTCTCGATCATAAGACTTCCTCTTCACCGGATCGGTGAGAATAGTACGTGCATCCATAACTTTGACGAATTGTTCGTGGTTGTGTTGCTCGCGAACTTTCCGCTCTGCCTCCGTTTCAACACTGGGGGCCGTCGATACGTTCGCTTTGTCTGGATGCAGCTTTAGAGATAGGTCCTTGAAAGCCCGTTCGATTGAAGGCTCATCCGCATCACTGGGAACACCGAGTACTTCGTACAGATCAACTGAAGACATGATGTAGTTGTCTAATTTCTAGGCTTGAGAGCTCATTGTGCTGACAAGCGTTCGCTCGGCTTATATCCCCGAAAGAAACCATCTCAACAAAGCTATTGTAGTGAAAACCGCTGTTCTGAGCTCTGACAGTTACAAAGACTCTTTGAAACTACAACGTCAAGCTTGGAGTGTAACACACCCTGCGTAAAGCATCATATCATACAAGCGATGAGTTCATTGGCACTTCTTGAATTAAGGATGCAAAATGTGACTTCACTACTGAATCTCAATCTCAATCACAACCTATCATTTTTCACTGCTTAAAATTGGTTAGAAGAGAAGCTAACGCATCCAAACATATGAATGGCATTAGATTCTTGGCGTAGCACGGCCTGGGTTCTGGATTAAGTGTTATATGAATAGCTAAACAACGACAACTTTCCTGCTTCTATCTCTAGCGATGTCACATTTACACATAAAACCGGCTGCATTTAATATCAAATTCTCGGTTTACAACAAGCTCTACCACGGATCGCAGCTGCCAACGATGCAGACAGAATGGTTTATTCCAAGGCCCACGCTCCATCAGCTGCATGCCAAGCCCCAGCTACGAGCACCAAATCCGGATTCAAGATCTGCATCACGCGACGAATGTTCACATCAATCAGGTAATAAAACTGGCGGTGATAGATTCGGCGGACGGAATACATCAACTGCTTGTTCTCTCCAGGTATATAAGGCATTACCATTTCCTAATGTCAAACCACGGCAGCATGAACTGAAGTGCGTCCAAGCATCTCATCATGAAGCTCGCAACAATCGCCATTGCCTATTTCGGAGCCACGTGGGCGTTGCCGGCGCAAGTTGAGGCCCAGGCAGAGACCAAGGCAAATGGGCTGGGCTACATTGCTTGCAGTAACGCCCTCATTTTTAGTGCCCCTTACTGTTGTGATAACAGAGGTCCTCTTGGCACTGTGTCGGAGTAAGCTTCTGTCCCTTTAACATTTCTTACGAGCTATGTTTTCTTTGTCTTTCTTTCTTCTTATTTAAGAGATACTCGACGTGTATGAGAGCTAACGTTAGATATCAATAGTTGCACACCACGTAAGCGCGCCTTGTGGATATATATTCCTACGACGCTGAATAATGACTGAAGTAATTACTGACTAGTTTGCCCAGCGCTACTGCCCATTAGTGACGACGCTTTCGAGGGCCAATGCGGATTATTCCAGAAGTCTGCCGTATGCTGCGTACCTCTTCTCAATGTGAGTCCACTGCAGCAGCCACTCATTTTCTAGAGGTAGTACTAATTGCTACAATGGCGCAGCTTCTGCCACCAGTTCTCTGCATCCCCCTACCAAGGCTCCTCGTTTCAACGCAGTTGAATGGGGCAGGACTGAATATAACTGAAGGACATGAGTGATCTATGTAGCTTGAGTACAAACACCTAGCGGATGGTGCAGGATCATGCAACATACTCTAGACTATGATTAATGACCATAACATATATTTAAGCTTATATTTCACCGTTCACTCGTTGCTCTGATTTGAGTGGCGCAGGGTGCACTAATAGGCATGTCTTTCTAAGATATTGGACTTCTGAGCTTTCTTCACGATAACCCCTAATACTTCTAGCGATGCTTGAGGAAGAAGTCTAGTGAAGCCAGTCCAAGTATTTATCTAATCGTAATCTTAAGTAATATCTAGTTCTCAACATACGCGTCATGAACATGTTGCTTTCTAATAGTCACACACCGCGGAGTTCAAGGTGCACCATTTAGTCATATACGTTTAGTATGGAACACCATGGCTTTGGATTTTTGGTTCTCTATGACGACCTTTGGCTTAGATGACTCTCACACATACCGTAGGTGTCGTTACCTATTGGCCCTTGCATATGCCAACTCTTCAAGTAGTACCTCACTGATTGCGCAAAGCCAGCCTTCAAGAAGTACGATGTATTATTAGCATTATGCACAGTGGTAGCCAAGAATCCACACAGGCGTTATTTACCACAGCTGAACGCGCCACCACCAACGGTATTTCACACCGGTCGGATTGTAGCACCCGAAGTAAATCTTCGTGCAGAGCACACCGCTCGTATATGATCTTCACGGCGTTCTTTTGAATCGGCCAGACAAGCCTGATGTCGGACCTAGACGTGTCTCTTAGCTACATCTCGACTGTAGGAGGTTGGTGGTGGAGCATTATTCAGCTTGAAATACTTTTGAGGCGAAGTTTTGACGAGCCTAGGCCAAAACATCACAGCTACCCGGCAACACAACGCCATCCGGGTGCGAGAAATATGATCCCGCGACCGCGATGTCATCAAGAATGTAGGGTAGTGTAATGAAGAAATCATGCCACGATGCGTTGGCTTGGATCCAGAACTAGGCCGGGGGGCGGTTGCGCAAGGCCTCACAGCGCCATGTCATATCTATTGCTCCCGGTCAATTCATAGCTCTAAAGAAACTGTATCAGCCCATCATGTAGATGTTGCGACATATTTATATAAGATCGTGGAAGTAGAGCATCTGCCCTAGCTAACCCCAGAACATCGCACCTGAATAACTATTTCCTCAATCCTTCATTTAGTCATTCCGCCAGCATGAAATTCGCACTCCCTTTCCTTCTTGCACTCGCTCCAGGCGCTGCTATGGCCGCCCCGAAGGGCGCTCCCAAGAAGCTGGAGGCACGAAGCGGAGGCTTCTACGAATCCTGCCCGGAGAACAACCTATACTACTCTACCCTCAATTCGAAGTGTAAAGGTACATGGACCAGTATCGACCTCAATCATGTCATTGGGAACCGCCAAGGCAATCTGGTTTGGAGGTAAAGTTCCCTTCTCTATTAACACCATTAAAAGATTTAACAGCTAAGGGCGCGCTCTAACCTTCGATCAAACTTTCAGTGCTGGTTTCTTTTACAGCTGTGGCAACATCTCCAAACCGGGGACGCAGTGTAGTCTGCAGTACGATAATCTCAGTTGTTATTGTAGCGCCTCTGATGGCACTGTCTACTGGACTTCAATCAGTCTGAGTAAGTTATTTCCTATTGAGCATTCTAGCGTTGGACTGGCAATACATACTTACGTACGTTCTGCGATGACAGATACACATCTTGCCTACGAGAATGGGAAGCTTTTCTACAACTAAGACCGGTATCGAAAGTCGAGGCCATCCGTGAAGTCCCCACACGTGAGCTCACGTTCGCGGACGCGGAACTTGGAAGGCGGGTAACACGTTATCTGATAGATCATAATGGTTACAGTGTCACAGGGGTCACAGCCACTTTGGATTTGGTCCAATAGGTGCAGCCAACCCAAATGCGAGTGTGTACATCTCTTGGGTTTCTTCAATGTTAGCTTAGTACATTCCATTTTCTACTATGTACGTCATGAATTATCGAACAAGCCTCGATTATACCTCGCCTATGATTTGGTGATGCCTTGATTATCGCTTAGCTGCTCAATTAGTATCCGATCATTATATCTTAGTTATAACTGGGATTGTACACAAGTAATACTTCTGCAACCGAAATCTTGACTCTGTATCGAGCTAACACTAGAGACTTAACAATAGGTAGATGTACAGAAAAGAAGCTACGCACCCAAATTGAACAGGGCCCTGGTTCCGATTTCATCATTACTTTCTTTAAAATTCAACCCAAACTCAAGGCTTGTAGTGATCCAACACGATTCTCTCTTCAGGAATGGGAGTGGCCTCACTTCCCCAAGCCATGATGATAGTGTCCTTTTCCTGATTATTCGCGAAAGCATTCCTTGACAATAGGACAGCTCGGCCACCGCGCTCCAATATCTCCTGATGGTAAGATTCCAGAGCACTCTGAGCTCCGTTAGGGTAGCTGTCTCCAAAGCCTTCGATCACTTTGCCAAGATTGAGCGCATCACGGATTGCGTGCATTCCTCCCTCGCCTCGAACTATCAGAGCTATCAGCTTGAGGCATTATGCATCGTGTGGTCATAACCTAGACTTACATGGAGTCATGGGATGAGCGGCATCACCAACCACTGCTACCCTCCCCGTGCTAGGGAGTGACGGAATGACCGCGTCACGAAATATTGGCATTCCTGACACTACCCCTTCAGCCGATGTTAACAATAAGATCTCTCGAAACTTGGGATCGAGTGCTTCAGTTATTTTGAGCACGTAGTCAAGTTTTGCCGAATTTGAGGTTTGCTGAAGCCAGTGGTCTGGTTGATGAGCAGCCTCATCGTCCCAGCAAACATACCAGTAGTAATCCCCAGAAAAGTCTTCATTGACCTTGTTCAAACCAACGAACATGACGAAATTGAAATCCTTGGAGATCATGCCATAGGCGCTGTGACCTAAAGACAGCTGGTGCTCCATCGCTTCGCCTGAGAGTGTCGCCTCTCCCCAGACACAAGCCACTTTAATTGGGTTGAGAACTTCCGAGTTAGGTCGCCCAAGCATATACTCTCGTACTACACACGTCAGTATTCCCTTTTAGATCAGGTTATATCGTGGAGTTCTTCATATATCAGGTAGATATCCCTCACCTTTACTGTTCACTCCATCAGCACCTACTAACATATCACCTGAAGCGCTGGTCCCATCCTCAAAGTGTACGATTACCCCATCTGCCTCCTCTTTGACGCTTCGCAGCTTCTTCCCAAACTGGACTGGAATACTAGTGGCGAGCCATTTACGAAAGAGTAAGCGATTCAGTCGTAGACATGGTGTCTCGGGTGTATTTTGGACACCGACGGCTTGCCCTTCTCGGCCATAGAAACGTATCTGAGGTTCCAGTTTCAGGGGCAATAAGTGATCTGCAGACTCGCGTAAAGGTGGCATATCCGAGGGAAAGGCCGTTGTTAAGTCTTCGGTAATGCTAACCTTTTTGTTAGCTCTTCTCACATGTGGAAAGCAAGAAAGTAGCCAGCTTACGAGTGCACGCCAATGGCATAGCCATGACGGGTGACGAGGTCTTTGTCACTGTCAAAAATCTCAAATGAGACGCCCTGTTTTCGCAAGCACTGCGCAAGTGAGAGCCCAGCTAACCCGGCGCCGACGATCAGGACATGAGGCTTCTTGCTGTTGGGAGCCATGGTGCCAGTGTATATAGATAAGCTATGGAAATCGAACCCCTCGCCAGTGCTAATACCATGATTTCAAAGAACCTGTTCACATTTCTTACTTATATACTTTGTATCATGCCTCTAAGGACGCTCGGACGTAAGCTCGGCTCTCCGCCCCTTTACTCAAACCGGGTTTAACTAGGATCTCGCTTTACCTTGGCGGACCGCGGGGTATCGCGCCGCCGTCTCGGTGCTCGCTTAAATTACGCGGCCTTACGTAGTTCCTACTTTCCCGGGAGCATCAATCGCGATCGGAAGAATATATCTCCCAACTATTCATCTCATATCACCTCTTAGATCCTGATGGTGGTTAGCAGCGGTATACTAGAAATGATTACTCCTATTGGGCTTTCATATTGACCTTACAATCTTCATTCTCGTATACATCGCCTAGCCAAGCGGTACGTAACACTCGATGACGACATTTCCATCGGTAACCGTACAGTGAACATTATTCCTACTCAATGAAACTAGTGCAACTGGATATCCTGCACACGTTGCAATCCCTTCCTAACCGCCTCGCCCTTCATGACTCCATCCACAATACATGAGCCCAGAATGGTATATCCTCCAATCGGCCTTTGCCGAAGAACACAAGGCATACTCGCGCCCAAGAGAATGACAACCCGATCTCCCGTCCTGGTGTTACGGGGAAACCATCCGATATTTCCTTCATCCGTACATCCCAATCTCATATTGGCTCTCAAATTCTTCTGAATAGTTCTACAGTCTTCCTCGAGCGCTTCTCGGTCTCCCGGCGAGAGAGGGGTGCTGCTCTTCATGGAGAAGTAGGCCACAAGCCGTTTGTCATCGACCTTGAAACATTGGGCGTCACAGCAGTTGAGCCACTGCAGAAGTGACGGGGCTTGTTCTATGATGGTCTCCTTTTTGTGTAGCAGCGTATGGAGTAGAGTGTAAAGATGTGTCCCTGCCCTCCTATGTTTCATCCTTGGCACCGACGACCGAGTCATGTCGATGAGAAGCCAACACAGGGTTCTCATCGTCGTCGCAGGCTCAAGCCCGAAGAAGAGTCTTTCATTCTTAGGGTTCCGCTTCCATGACCTCGGTCGGAGAAGCTCCGTTCTCGGCAAACCGCTGTCCCTGGCTTCCTCCAGAGTAGGTGAGCAGTCCACAATATTGCCGATAAAGAACCCTTTGGCTATGATTTCATTCCCAAACACCCTGAGCGATGGAGTTTGATTGCCAGAGGCGCGGTAAGGACCATAATTTGTATACGTAAGCAAGCTTGGTCGACCTAGACGGTGATGTGAAACTCTGTACCAGTGCCAATACCTTGAGTCAAACCAGTTAGGGTACCATGTTTCGATTCCGTGTGCTTTCGATATCACAACATCCAAGTTCCCAGTTGCGCGTATCAGTCTGATGGTCATATCCCTACTAATATTCTCCAAAGGCAGGGTATAACTAGGCGAAGGTACCAAATAAGCGCCGTCGTGAGTGAGCCCAAGAAGAGCAAAGACACGATCTCGAATGAACTGTGCCTTAGCCAAGTAGCATAGCCCAAGAGCTTCGATCAGGGACAGAGGTTTCAAAGCCAGCTGGGAACTCCTAATCTTGTAGACGCATCTGATGTGATTCAACACTTTCTCCCTCTTTCCGCGGATATAGTTGCTTAGACAGGAAAATGTTTGTAGAAGTTGGCCCAAGTCGAATGCTTGCCTTCCCCAGACAATAGTGAGGCGGGGGTTCATCGAAATCTCTTGGATGATCCATGCACGTCGCCAGTAGGAATTGTCAAGTAATAGAAATAGCGCGGTTTCCTCGGCAGCAGATAATTCCATTACACTTCGCACTGCAGCAGACCTCGTCGAGATCGTTTGGTAAATGCTGCTGCGGTGTTGTATTTCTCGGTCGGTGCTCTTGTTTCTTGTCGACTTTCTCTTCCGCCGGGCATCTCTCTTAGCTTCGATGCGGTCTTTTTCATTTCGCTTTGATGCATCGGCGCGCCTAGTGATACGGTGGACAGCATCCGCTAAGGCTTGCTGCCACGCGCGGCCTGGGCCACGGAGGTAGGATATAACCTGCGAGGCAGATCGATAGATCGCCCCTATCCGTAGGACCTGTTGGCTGCGCTCTTCGTCGTCATATCGGTTAATACAGAGGTCATCGGCCCAAACTCTGTAATACCCTCTGCGGCGTAACTCGTCAAGGGCTTTGTATAAGTTGAAAGTAATGGGAACCAGGTTGCCAGACAGCACTATTCGCTTAAGCTCATTATGGTCACCCCAGCAATATGAGAGCGCAACGAAATCATTATCGAGATTGAATAAGGAGACGTATTCTAGGTGGCACCGGATGCGATTATCTTCCGACGATGGAGGTTCGATAATGAGTATTCGAATTTCATTTCTGGTAGCGCTCAAAGGCTGGTAGCTTATAGCTCTATCCGGAGAGACGCCAAAAGCTGACACATCTGTCATAGTCGGGTATATATCGTGACTTCGTATACAGCATAAGCGACATCATGGGAAATTAAATTTTGTCGTGGACTTGAGAACGTGCAAAGTAGAATAGATTAGAGGGCAACACTTCACTGAGTTTGCCACGAGCCGAGTCGAAACTATACGTTCCACGTGGCGGGCTGTCGAGGGTAGCATCGCAGAGGCACAGTGGGAGCCGATGAATGCACAGATAGTAGCAGAATCCGGTACAGGCGTCTACTACAGAACTGCGCAGCTATATCCGAGTTATAAAAGTGTTAGGATTCGTTGTAAAATCTTTTGGGGGAGATAATCCGGTGCCGTTTAACAGCTAAGACGAGAACTTATAAGAGCTCTGCGCAGTCGCTGATTTGTTGACCAACGATTGCCGAGGATAGCAACTAGGTGCTCTCCATACGATCCCGTTAACTACAACAACTTGTTACAGCATCAACAAGCATCTACAATCAGCCCTGGAACTCATTAAATGGAATAGCATTATTATAGACTCAGTATCTTTCGAGTCTGAGGAATTTACCTCAGCTGCTGCTATGTTAACCAACCTGCTCCCTTTAATCTACCGCGATGCTATGTCTTGATGATGTTCGCTGCAACCAAAATAGCATCCGCGGTTTTTTTCACATACTCAGCCGCGAGCGAAACGTTACCAGCTAGAAACGCCTCGGTGATACCGGGGAAAGTAGTCGGTGCATACCCTGTTTGAAGCAAGTCAGACATCTCTCTCCATTTACACACAGAGAACAGAACTGCAAAATGAAAACACGCTACGAACCAGTGTCAAGTCCAGGGGCAAAGATGAGGTTTTGATAGAACTCTCTATTCGGTAGTCCGCCTTGTGAGACGAATCCGCGCTGGAAATCCCGTTTCTTGTGATTTACTAGGATGGTGAGGTCGGGGTCTTGGGTTGCTACCGCTTGCTGCTCGAGGGCCGTGATGTCCCGTGACCCTGCTGCGAATTCGTCGAGCGCGCTTCGGAGCGATGATATGTCGAGGGTGTTTGATGTCGAATTAATAGTGGACAGCAGATCGTCGTAGTACGTCTCCATTTGCGTCACCCAGTTGGACACGTTGAGGGGGAGTGACTCGGCAGTGGCAAGATTGTAGGCCAACAGAGTTAGGTACTAAAACATCTCATGTTATCAGAGACTCCTACGCCATTTAATAGGTCGCCGCTCTACATACCTTCGTCATATACTTGTGAGCCAGGAACCCCGGATCACCAAAGTTGCTCATCCAATGATATGAATCGTAGTTGCTGTGGTAATGATAGACGGGGTCATCGGAACCGCCATTGGCACCCATATCAATCTGGTGATGGTTTAGCTAGCCGTTATGTACACAACTACATGGGAAGTACTCACAGAACCGATGCCTTTGTGCACGAAAGCGGTATAATCGCTGCCACTACCGAGCACTCCTACAGAGCCTCCCGCACTAGAACAACCTGGTCAGCAATTCGTGCAGAGGTATTCACGGGTTCGGGAAGATCTGAGATCCTAGAGCCTAGATGTGGCAGTGGCAAAAAGTTGTACGCTGAAATCCGAAGATATAGAAGTTCTAGACAGTACTTACTATTCAAGCCATGCATCGTACATAGTTCTATTAGTGTCCATCCAAGGTACTTTCTTCATCACATCGGTCGAAATCTGATGGAGCTCCGGAGTAGCTGAGATACTATCATCGATCGAGTCAATAATCACCGGCCAACAAGAAGGCTCCCCCTAAGAATCACTCACTAGGGCCATGCACCTGATGCCCCTACATCGATATTAAGATACGAGACGGCGGTGTCCGTGAGCCATGGGATGTACTCTTCAACCCATTCCGTGGAACCGACAAGCCCGTACTCCTCCGCATCCCAAGAACACAGCACAATATTCCTTTTCGGCCGCCATCCCTGAGCAAGCAGCTTACCAAACGCTCTAGACAACTCGACGATGATCGCCGTTCCGCTATTCGGATCGGCGCCGCCTCCGATGATCCACGCATCCCTATGGTTACCAATAACGACAGTTTCGTCCGGGTTTGTCCCGTTGATGATGCCGATGGTATCCCAAATATCTGTGTATGCGTCTTCCATGAGATTACTCATGCTGATGGTGGCTCCGGGAGCCGGGCCCGTGCTATAAGAGACATTAAGCGCGCCAACCCATCTCGTGCGGTTCACTGCCTCTCCATCGACGCCATGACCATCAAGCGCAGCTAATATCGGGATAGCATCCACATAGGAGACAGGGATAGAAGGAATCATAGGCTTCACCGCCCGGGTATCTGCACGCGGGGAATCCTTTCTCGAGGGATAGCCCGGCGTAGTCGGATCTCCCGGATATATCGACAAATACTGCACACTACCCCGTTGCACAGAAGTAGGATTCCGCGCGGGACCATCCGGATACGCCGCGTATCCATTAGCTTCGGTGATGTTCCCATCATCACCCGTGTCAGTGAAGAGGATCGCACCAATCATGCCATTTTCCTGCGCGTTCTTGACCTTGAGCCCGCGAAACGGGCCGCCGTAACGAGAAACGGCAATCTTCCCCTCAAGGGGCACACCCAGCTCCTTTAATCGGGCAAAGTCATCCTGCTGTCCCCTTCCGACGTAGACGAACTCGGCCTCGGCGCTACCGCTCGCTGAATACCCGTGGAAGGTGGGCACGCGATTGGGATAGCTCGTTGTCTCGTCGGCATCTAAGACTGCCTCCTCGAGAAGGGGCTGAAATATACTGCCGTTGGGGTACGTAAGACTGAGTGACTTGTTGACAGGATAATTCAAGTAAACGTTATAAGAAACCACGCTTGCGTTCCACCCATTCTCGCTAAACCTGTCGGCTGTCCATTCAGCCATTGTCATGTTTTTGCCCGCCACATGATAGCCGTGAGTGTAGTAGCTGCATTTAGGAGTGTCACGTTAATACTTGCAAGTTGAGCAACAGAAAGGGAGTTTGGGAGGCGGTAAGAGGGACTCGGGCATAGGCTTTTAAACCCAACCCCTTGCTCTTCAGACACGCCCGATGAGAAAATAAGAAGCTCCGGAGCACTAACTAAGACCATTCCGAGATACTGATATTCGATACAGAATCGACAAGAATTTTCTCCTCCGGGCTTAAAGGTGCCAGCGGAGTCGCTTGTCTCTTCGTGAGTTCCGAAGGTTGAAAGTGGCGTTCACGCACACAGGCTTGGCACAGAGTAACCAACGCTGCAGATAGCAGCTGAACTCGTATATTCCACACCATTATTAAACAATAAACTTCCCGGTCTCGCGTCTTTCGTGAGGTGTGTCAAACTATCGAATAAAACGAGATCGCCAAGCTGCTTTACTTTTATACATCAATAAGTACGGCTTGGCGGGGCGATGAGTTCCAACGGAACATGATTGCCCCAAGCTACCTACTACTACCCCAAGAATTCCCCCCTCTGGTCATGCAAAATGACAACAACGACGAGGGAAACACGATGTCGTATTAGGAGAATCAACGACTATCAATTGGACCATCGGTAAGTCGGTCTGATGTGTATTGAAGTGACCTTCCTGATCGAGTGCGATGCTACGATAAAAGGCTGACTTGCAGATCCCACTGACGTATGATAGCGAAAAACGTCGTCGAGCAAAGTTCCATGGGGGCGCATTTCATGGCAACAGACCCCGAGCGAGGTCGGCCGGCCCCCACCCTCACAGCAAGCATAGGCTGAGACATAGTAGGCAAATAGGTGCAATAAAAATACAGTTTCCACTATCTACTTCGTAGGTAGATACCAAAGAGTCGATGACGTGAGCGGAGAGAACAAAGACGCGGCTTTGGTATCATACGTTTGTCTATGAAGCCCTGTACGGAACTAGGCAGCGATGACCCTGGCAGATAATTATCCTTTGATGAGACTTTCGCAACCTACAACCCCTCATTCTCCCCGCGTTGGGGACAATGAGCGCGGGGAACCTGGCTTTCATCACATATTTTTTCTACTATCTGCCAAGTGTAAGAACGTGGTAAAGATAAAGATAAACATCGTATTACTAATCTCTCCGGGCGACAGTCGCCGGAGTAATCTAGAGCAAATAAAGTACACAAAAACAATCGCTAGTAGGGCAAGTTATGCCGCTTCTCAAAAATGAAGTAACTCGTTAATCAATGTCCCACTAATCGTCAGTCGTCCTCTGGAATGGGTTCTGGTGCAGGTTTCCGTCTATAGGTGCCATGAATGGTATAATCCTTCTTAGGCCCCGTCACCGAGTATCCAAGCTTCCACTCCCAAAGATTCACAGCGTGGAAAAAGAACTCGTAGTGCACATTGTACCAATCCTCTACGCAAAGATGTTTAGCCTTGGCGCGCCAGGCCTCATCTTTACCACAGGCGGGCTCTCGCTTGTCTTTTCCATCTCCTGTTGGCACCCCTACGGCATCGCTGTCTGGGACTAGGGAAGGAGGCGGGATGAAGTCAATTTCGTGGAACAGGTAATCGGCGCGTGCCGAGTCGTCAGTTCGTGCAAACCAAACGCTTATTTTGTCGCTGTCCTCATCATATCGCCAGATATAACGCCGCGTAGCTCGGAACCGCAAGTTAGTGCCTGCTGCGGTGAACTCACCGTCCTCGATGTACAAGTACTCAAGCCCCATGTCAGGAGGATCTACAGGACTGTCAGACTCTCCTGCAGGTTGAGATGTTGAGAACTTGTGCTCTCGTCCATCCGCCGTGCCGTTTCGCAGCAAGAATTTTGCTGTGCCAATGAACCGCCCGGAGGGGTGGCTGGACAAGGTAGAAATGAGATCACGCTCAAGAATCCACTCGCCCAAGAGCGATCGGAAAGTAGCAGCTGCAATAAATTTACCCCCCTTAATACCTGCAATCGCAGTGTTATATGTGGACTTGAGATTTTCTGCAGCCTGTGCATATTGAGCCTCCGAAGCCCCGTGGCTTATGTATCGTGCTGGTGTTAAAATGTCCATAGGGCGGCCGTTGGCGAGGGGTGGCGTAGTCCCTATTGGTGCGGAGATGGGTATGTCCAGTGCGTGCGCGAATTCCTGCATTAGGTATCCATAATCACCCATTGGAAATTGAGAGCATCTTGGATCATTGCGAAGTGCTACTGTACGCTGTATGCTATTATCGACGCGAAGCGCAGCCACAAGTGAAGGGGTAAGTGTGTCAAGTGTATTGCCAGCGTGCTCTTCGAAGAGACGCGTGACAAAACGGGCTTGCATTTCCATAACACCCCAGTAAGGTGATCGATAGAAACCAACAAACCCGAGAGTTGGGAAAGATGGATGATATGTCTCATGGAAAGCTAACGCTAAGGGGAGACCAGGATGAGCTGGAGAGTAGAGAAGTGCCTCTTTAATGTCGTCGTCAAGGAATGATATCGAGGGGGATGAATCATAACCCGTCGCAACGACAACTGCGGCAATATTATCCAATGACTTTTCGTCTCCCCCCTTTTTGCAGCCTTTCGATGATATCACAGCTGTATCTCCTGTGACGTTCAACAATCGACCTTTGTGAAGCTTGATAAGCCCAGATCGCACAAAATCCATATAGTGGGTGCTTATTGCAAGAAATGGTGGCTGATCGAGTAGTTCCCCATCAATCTTGGTTTCTTGGGAAAATATAGATTGGTCTGTGCCTAACACAGATCGGTGTATCGAATTGGATTTGCGCGCGGCTTCAACAGTGATGTGTCCTTGAGTATCCTCTAAAATAGGAGGACGCAAAGCTAGGTTATAAGACGGCAAATCACAAGGCAGGAAAGGAGGCGCTGGGGTGTCGGGCTAATTCCCGAGTCAGCAACAACTTGCAACAAAGGAAGCATCGTGGAATTTGTGACCTACCTTGACAGAAGTGTAGAGAGGAACTGTCCATGCTGGGCGCTGTGACACATGGTGTATCGTGAAACGCTCTGCGTTCGGAATTGCTTTTGACCCAGGCGAATGAACAAGAGAGGACAAATGAGTTGCAATAGTGCCAGCAATCTCAACCCCGGACATCTGTCCACCGACGATGAGGATTTTATCACTGGTATCCTTGGCTTTTGATAGGAGACTCTCTACATCTCGGTATTTGCTGCTGTGAATGATTGGCACCTCACCCTGGTTTGAGATGCCCTTGGGCCATAGCGGTTCTCCAAAGAAGCCCGTGGCCACGACCAGATAGTCAAAAATGCTGGTCTCAGCGCCCTTATCGGAAATTGTTCGTACCTCCCATTTACCCCCATCTTGATATTCTGCCTTCACTACCTTGTGACCTAGTCTTACATCTGCGCCTCCATACACTTTTGAATATCGCTCCAGGTAACGACCGATTTGCCATGCTTTGGGGAACTCCGGGTCAGAGTCCTTCCAGGCAAGGTCACTGAACTGAACCGTGTGCTTGCTCTGATTGGCTACCATCAACGGGTGGACAAGGCCGGCACCGTCACCCTTGTGCGCGGGCCACAAGCCTCCAATCCGAGGTTGTGAGTCAAATATGGTGACGTTGAATGACGCTGGCGCAGCATCATGTAAAAGTGTCTTGGCCGCTACCAGGCCAGATGGTCCAGCACCTGTATCTGTCAGTTGAGAGTTTCAGGTACCGTCCAACAAATACCGGTTACTTACCGACGATGCAGACACGTTTTGTCATGGCTCGATGGTGGCTTTGCTAACACGAAGGGGGATAACTGCTGTTGCTGCTTGTCCATCACCGAGGAGGACCGTTGCCTCTAGTAGATGCCTACGTAATAATGGAGGGAATCCGATTGAACGATAAGCGTAACACCCCGCTTTTTTACACCACACTCTTTCAACGCAGCTTGTCAGGGCATTGTGTAGACTGGTTTAGATTGAACTATGTAGATGGGAGGATTTCTAATACGCTATGGTTTGCGGTAGGTACCTAGGTAGGTACATTATGTGTCCCGCTGCTTACTGCCTCACACGGCTACGACAAGATTCAAGAACCAATTTATGAATTTGATAGCAGGTACGGTGGGAGTGGCTATATTACCCCTCACAGTGGATTCCTTCAGTAACTAGAACTTCTACTCAACAACATCAAATATAACCCTTGGCAATCCATACAGTTATCAAATTAATCGTTAGGAAAACCGCGATTTTTCCCAAAATGAGATTTAACTGCTAGGACTCTCTAATAATAGAATCGGCATTAGATAACCCTAGGTACCCCTCCCCCTCCCTCTCTATTGCGGCACAAAAGCTTGAAGATACTAGGTAGGTACTTACCTAGACTCACCCTACAACATTAATCATATTTTTAAGAACATAGCAAGAAACCGGAGACATAAGCCGCAATCACGATAAACCATGAATACTACCAATCATACCTTTATTAGTTACCAGATGCTTCATACCAGGGTTGGGGATGACTAAATGCCTACGGAGTGCCAATGCGACCGGCCCAAAGAGTGGAGTAATAGGTATCTCTGAGGCGGGAGACATCACTACCATCACTACCATTACTGAACTTATGTCTATCAATAATTCACGATATGACAAAAGCGCACATGCTCAGGCAGTATTGGCGACAAGAGATCATTATCTTGATAAAAAATGTAGAATTCCCAAGCCCGAAGGAAATCTATCCGGGTATCAAACCAGACCGAAGTCAGCTCTACAAAAAACAGATGGCAATTCGTCCACGCCGTAAAAGGTCCACCGCGGTCCAGTCTAGGTGATAGGTATTTAAATCATGCGTTCTATTCCTAGACAAAGCCAGTCTCCCTACTCTGTCAAGCCGCATAGATCTAGGTTCCCTTAACAAAAGAGGCAGGGAGTCTGGTTTGATCTAGGGTGGGGTATGCAGGTATTATGTGCGTTGATTAGTCGTTGAATGTATAGTGTGTATGTATTAGTGTTCTGAAGCGACTGTCAAATATCGTAAACGGGGTTCAGGTCGTCGAGTTTACGCTGATCCGGGCGTAGGCCGCGAGCGTTGGGCAACAACTTCACGCGCATAAAACTCAACAAGCATCGTAGCGTAAGCTTCTAAGTCTTCAACGGGCACGCATAAACGGAAATCGTTAAGGAGGAGGAATTGAAGTTCCAGATGGTTGAGCTCAGCAAGAGGTAAACCACCAACCTGGGTTTTTCAGTCAGACATGTTGAGTCCAAGAACAGCATTCAACGGAAACATACCTTTGCGTATCGAGAGTTTGTATAAAATACGTCCGAAAAGAACTTGCTCGCGCACGTAACTCCCGCGATTATTAACCGATGAATATTGAAGCTGTCGACAACAAAGTACGTCGCTGGAGAAGCACCTAGCTCTGACCTGGTGCCACCCTCCTTTTCGTCATGATCATCATCCACGAGATCCTGGTCTATCCTATCACTAACAGTATCCCTCATTTCGGTATCCGAATTCCTAGGAGAGGCGGCCGTAGAAGCTTGAGGTTGTTGCTTTTGTTGCTTTTGACTTTGTCGTCTCGATTCCTCTGCTTCCATCACCAGGTTATTCACTCTCTCCGTCATTCGGTCAAAATAGACGAGCAAACTTAAAAAGACTTCATAAGTCGTAGGACAATATTTATGAATTCTGCTCAAATAGCTCAAAATCGTGATTGCAGGAACATTCTTGCCGTGGAAAGCCAATACGGAGCTGCTAAGAGGACTCATCAGAGATCCATCGTTATTATGATTCGCGGCGGTCTGTTGGTGTGTCGCGTTTCTATGCAATGCGTCATGTTGTAGGTCGTTGGTCGTCGTAATTTTAGTTAAAAGTGCGGCAACCATTTCTATAATGTCTCCAATAGGCATACCGCTGATCTCATACTTCATAGCTTGAAGGGGTGGGTCATTCAAAATACCAGGGCCATTGCCGCCATTCATAAGGTCTGCTCTCGCGAGACTCTGTATATGAGCTAGGTCGCGAACAACTATTGTGTGACCTTGCTGGGGCGCAGAGGCATTGTACGCTGGAGACGTTGCAGTGGGAGAACTCGAAGTGTTGGATTCGGGAGATGGTTGTTGATGTGTTTGCATGGTAGATGAAGCGACGCCCGGCGCAGCATGGTGTACATTAGTTGCCATATAGTTGGCAAATGTGTCAGAGTCCTGAGCTGCTTCACGTCCAGAAGGAGGATTTGACGATGAAGAGTCGGGTGGGGAAGGAAACCGTGAGCTTCCGTCGCTAGGTGGTACCTGGCTTTGCTGGGCGCTGGCTTCAGTTGTCGAGTCCCAAGGTCGCTTTGATGGTGTTGCGCTGGACGTTGAAGATCGGGAGTAAGCTGGAGGGGGTGGCGACCGAGTCTTGTGTGACTGCGCCTCACGCGGCCGAGCGTTGTATTCAGATCGGTAAGAATCACGGGCGTGAGAATGCTCGTGCTGTAGTCCTGATGATGCTATCATATTGTGGAACCTTGAATGATCCGCGACGAAGTCCTTAACAACAGCCGCCATATCATAAGTTTTGAAATGACAAGTACAGTAACGTAGATTATAAAACCTGTGAGACTTCACGAGAAGATTAGTACCAAGCTCAGTCTCACGTTATTTCTAGAATAGAATCAGTGAATAGTACAGGCCCAAGTCCGAGTTAGGCAATCGGACAAGGTAAACCCCACGTGTGGGAGGGAAAGCAAACATGACAGGTCGCTTCATTGCGCAAGCTAACTGGGCTAACGCTGGGTAGTGTTTCACATCAATTGCCTCAGCGACAATGATACTTGGGCGTGCGCTACTGTTACGGTTGGAAGTTGACGAGCAAGTCCTTCCTCCTTGTGCTAACAGAAGGGTATAAACCGATGAAAGTGACAAGAGCGGGCAGTTCGCTAATGTTCAGTGGGCAGACGGTCGTCACGACGACGCGGCCACATTTCAAAGAAATCACGAGAAGCCAGCATTTTCAGTTGCACCCATCTTTTTGGGAAGGACGGGTCCCGCAGAATCGGGAGCAACACGTCAGATGAGACGGGAAGTGCGGGTACGATCGATGACGGTGGTAATCATTTAAGGGATTGAATGTGAACAATGCTTACCAGTGGCAGAGGTATAATTAATATGCTGATGATAATGGTGTTGGCACCTGCAGATGCGCCTTTCCTAGCCAGGAACTGACAGAAACAGTCGGTATCGGTGAGTGTCAGATGGATCCAATCTACTATTTCAAGATGGAACTCGAAGACGGCGCAGTGACAGCAAAGTCAGTTGCGAAGAGAGGGACTTCCGTGGGCGCGCGCGACGTCGGCAGTCAGGCACAGCAGAAGCGGTGGGATAGATGGCGGCCTATCTGGCAATCGGACCCTGCCAATATTCCAGGTCTTGGGTGCCGATTGCTTGACGGGTGAGGGATGAGGGATGACAACACAGCACGGGCGGGGGTGTCGACACGAAAAAATGCGCGCGACTCGCCGTGCCAGACGACGACGACGACGACGACGGTGGCGGCGACGAAGACGAAGACGACGAAGGGTGTGATGTCGTGCTGGCCGGGAGAAATGATGTGGCTCCGACGAAAGGGCTTGGGTTGAAAAAGCAGGACCGAGGGTTTGGGGAGAAAAGATGAGTAGAGGGACGGACAGCGACGGCGACAGCGACAACAGTGGTAAGGTTTAGAGTTGGCTGGTTGTCGGGTGGTGCTAGCAGCCTGAACGTGCTAATGGGAAGAGTTTAGCAGGGGTGCGGATGCCTGAAGTACGCTAAGGCAGTCCCCTGTCAATAACGCGTACGTCAGGTCGATAGGTACCTGCCCACCTAACGTTCTAGGCTTCAAGCGTGGGCTGTGTGTACCTGATGTAGGGAGGTAGGTACTTCAGATATGTATTGGGAGTGCCTTGGGTAGCAAGTACCTACTATACCAAAAGGCCGTGTAGTGTATGCAGATGCTTGAAAAACCGTGGCGATGTCAAACCAACATGCAACACGACAGCACCAGGGACGAAAAAGCAGCAGGAGAACGAGGTAGAATGAGGGCTCCGATGGCAGAATAGAAAAAGTCTACTATGTAAGTATGTAAGTATGTAATGATGTCTTGTCCACAGGCTGATGCGGTTTAGGCTGGCTGGCGAGTCGCAGATATGACATAAATCGAAAGGGATGGACCCAGATAAGTGAATCTATCGGCGGCAAAACGACGTAGTAGTGTACCAAGATCGCTCCTCTCTCCGTTCGCGCTGTTTTTCTCGGTCTGCCTTGCTTCTCATCGGGCCTCGCATATGGCCATCCTTATCGTAGTTATCCTAGTCGTCAAAAAGAAACAAACAAGAAACAATAACATAAGTAAGACGATGGCCGCAATAACCAATTCGACACTCCAACAGAGACGACAACTAGAAATGACTACAACCAGGCCAAGAGGGGGAAAAGAAAGAGAAGACGAAAAGCTGAACCTAGGCTCCGATGCTGGGGGCCGTCCCATTCAAGTATGCCTACCTCCTTACCTTACATACTATGTATAACAACAGATAGCGAATTGTTGGAGGGGCCAAAAGGGGGGAGGAGGCAGAGGAGGAGGAGGGACGGAAAACTTGATAGCCCCCCGTTGACGTGTTCGGGGGCCACTGATGAGCAGGAGTCTTGATTCAAGTTGATTTCCTTCCCCATCGAATCATAGCCTATCGGGAAAAAGTCTAGACGCAGTCCAGACAACCAACTATGGCACTAGGCACTCTGACAGATCGCCAGACCAGAGTGCTTATCCCAGCGTCGCAAAGTCCACTTCGGGCTGCGAGTGCCCGCACGTGTTTTTGCGATGGCCTATGAGACGTTGTACATGTAAGCTGACGACGCTCCCCCCGGTACAGGAGCTACACTAGGCAAGGAGGAACAGCGTTCTACTCTAAGTAATAACCACTACCTACATGCTGGTTCAGCTGCCTGCCAACCAGATATGCCGCTCAGTTATGGAGCGGAATGCATTCGACCATCTTGCCGTGAAATCAGAGCTACCGAATCTCATCTCCCTCATGGTTCACGGTCCTACTCATGGCGTGTGTGATTGGGCTACTTTTTCTAACAAAGATTAGTTAGATAGTTGGTATTGCTATTTGTGACTTTCTCGGCCCCTGTACCTTACATCATCGGTGCAACTCCCACAACCAACCGGTTGATAACTACGGCACACTAACTAGCGGTGACCCTATAAATACACAAATTGATGAATTAAAGAGGTAGGCTACAACAAAGTAGGTAAGTAACTAACACCAAGATGCACAACATACACTGCAAGGTAGTTTCGAGTGTTCAAAGAACCCGTCCTTTTGCCCTTATGAGGTTGTCGTTTTACTACACGTGTGCTGGGAACTGTGCATAGGATGCTGATTACCAATGTATTAAACCAACCTCTCTTGCTCTTTTTATCAAGCATTTTAGGAAATATGGCCCTAGTTGAAACAAGCCAGACTTGATCAATCGGCATACAGCCGACCTCCCACAGTAGCGAGATATCGTATATTTAACACTATAAACCACATTCCTTTTACATAATTTCGACCGTTCTATGCGGGATTAGAGAACCAACTCGCTTTAATTCTTCGTAACCCCCAGCTGAAGGTTCGTTGGGCTGAGAACACCTAGCAGTCTCTAACCTACAAACAGTAATAATACGTAAGGACCCTAGGTTACTGATTCACACTAAGCAGTTACTACAAATGCATCGTGAGTTGATCTTCCGAGCCGGAGTCCAAGTTAAAAAGCTTCAGGGTAATTATGGAGCGGAAAAAACACACCAGAAGCGCCCAGCCGGCAAACTAGTAGATTACGCACACAGTAGAATATACCTGCGCAGTCGTCCGAGTGGGTTGGCTCTACACTGCTTTTCGCTAGTTAGCCCCGTTCTTGAGGCTCTGATCTATCCACATTCACGACTCAAGTCCCCCCTTCTCTCGAGCAGATCAGGGTTCTCTGCAAGAAATCCCTCCCCTACCTACCTATTCAGGGTTTCGGCAATTCTCGAGCCGAGAGTGGTTTAGATGCAACATGTGAAAAGCAGGCCTCCGTCGAAACGTCGAGAGCAGTCATATCAACTTGATAGTAGCGTCTGACTTACCCAACATCTAGGTAATATTACACCAACATAGGTACTTACTTACTTACTTACTTGTTACCCTCCGCATGATGGTGAGAGTATAATCGTGGGCATGAATAAGCATTCCAAACCACATCGTCAGGCAACGTGCCGAACCCGACCACGCGGCAGTAGTCTACCTCAGAAACATGGGCGTCCTGTCACCTACCTGCAGTGTGACGCTTCCTCGTCGCGAGGTCTCCCTCCCAAGCCCCAGTGGTCTGAAAACAGCGACAACAGCCTTGGCGCTTTTCCCAGAGCTCTGGTACCGGCAGTCGTGTAAGTCAGTGATGTAGTGTACCTATGATTGGCCGTACCCACCAGATATAAGTTTTAGGATACCTACTTAGACCGTTATACCAGCCGCCAGCTTCTGCCATCCCGTGGTTTGGCCACCTGCTATTTCCGAATGCGATTGACGTACCTATTCATTACCTGCAGATCTTCGATATACATGGACGTCCAGGGTGCTGACGGCGAAGTTACAAACAAAGCCGAGGAGTTTTCCCCAAGCCTTACTTATGTCCGAGCCCTCGGTATATCTCTCTCCGTACAGAAAAAAAGACCTAAAAAATAGAAAAATAAAATAAAAATAAAATGCCGCATCGCATCGCGCGGTTAGGTCTCTAAAAATGCTGATTGGATCATGGCCGATTGCACAATCTGCTTGCTGAAAGATAGGCGAAGTATGATTGCAGCTCACCGCCTGATGGTTTGCGTATGCAGCCAAGACGTGAAGCTGCGGAAAAGGTGCAAGTAAAAGGAGGCGAAAGAGAGCCGTGGCGCACCTTCAAAACACGCTTATGTTCCAGTCTGCACTGACTTGATCGCGGGAATAAGAGAATTGATAGGTCTGGCAGCCCTCAGCGCGGCAACTTATAGTCGTTCGATATGTAAGGCTATCTTTGGGTGAATGCAGAGCACCAAGAGCAAATTGCAGCAAGTTCATGAGAGCAGGTCGGAACTTTGTATTTTATAGATAGCATGATACGTCATTAGTGACGAGCCATCATCTAGCAATATTCCTTGCATTTGTCCCTCGTACCCCTTTCTTGTTCCGCTCCTAATGCCGCACTTTATAGTCCTCATCCGGCAAGTATAGGTGACGGTCGGCGCCGTTCTTCGTGAGAACTACCATGCGAATAACACCACCTGAGCTGCCGTCCCACTTGATGGCTTCGCGCAAAGCGCCCTTGACAAAGTTGACAGCATCCTGTTCCTCCATGCCTTCTTTCCAATGGGCATCACAGTAACCATAAATATATGTTGATCCTGAACCACCGATTGCGTATGATTGCTTGTGCAATGAGCCACCTAAGGGGATCGAATAGATCTGGCCACCGTGCCGACCATCCCAACCGGCAATGATGAGACCAGCACTACGAAGTCATGACCGTGAGCAAATTACAAACTTCTAAAGTTGGTGTAGAGTGGTATTTCCTACCTTAGTTGATCCTTGTTGGAGTAGCAGATCTCCTGGAATATGGCCGCAGCCGTTTGTGTTGTGGGTGGTTTGCCGTTTTGCATCGCGAATAGGCCTAGTTGATATTGAACGATATCGGCAACAGCTTGGGTGTCGGCGGCCGATCCGGATCGGCAGCACCAGATAGTATCGTGTACTCGTGTGAGTTTGTCGGTAACTCGGTTCGCAATGTACGCTCCGGTAGTGGTTCTAGAATCGGCACCTGTAGGTGGAGGGGTGAGCAATGAAGCCTAGAGGTAGTGGATAGTTTGGCTGCAAGGCATACCCAAAATAACACCGTCCTTGAATGTTACAGCCATACTATCTTCTGTCAGCTCCTGATATTGGGATTATCGCTGATTTGCCTCTGGGCTGGATGATGCATACATCGAAGTACCTAGGCTTGAATGATGTCAGTGACATGAGCTTTGTGAGCGAGAGCATTATTATGAGCTTACTTGACCTCGCCCTTCTTCAACCTGTCCATATCAACATGGATGCCATCTAATCATGCCGTTGTCAGTCCAATCGTAGGCAAGGGAGCTCCGAGTAACTCGAATCGCCCATACCTTCGTTCAGGACACCTGTCGTGGTGAACTCCATCTTCTATGATGTGACACGGTGTGTCCGTAAGAAATCTCTAGATGAGCGTTGAGAATCTGAGGATCGTATTCGCTTGTGAAGGCGGTTCGTCGAGTTATTACGATTTGTTGTAGCTCTATGAAGAGCTTCGAGTTGCTAGATAATGGATTGCATCAGGTGCAGGCAAGCTCAGGCAGCTCAAGACGCGCAGCCTCACGCAGCCAGCTTGGAACCCGCCAATGCGTTGCTTGGCGGCCGAAGCCACCCCACCAGACCGGCAAGTCACGTGGTCCATGCACTCAATGAGGTACTTACCTATGTACCTCCCTAGTAGCCTCATCAAATTCTGAATTCTTGAGACCTTCTAGAACATAGTTGGGCGGGAAAGGGGACAAAAACGACTCATCGAACTTAGACATGTGAAGAGGGCTACGTCACATTAAGGAGGACAGGACCAAGTTCTTTCAAAAACTCCCCTCCTTTTCCCCAAAGAGTTGGAGGATAAATACATAAGTATGGTAGGTATCTATTTTATATACACATTATGTTCCGCCAAAAAGAAGGCCTGGCTTAATATACAATGAGTAGTCAAAACTCCATGCGCCTTTTCACAAAATATGCGTATGTGCTGTCAAAAAGTTCAATATTCAAGGAGATTATCCGTCTTGTATCGCTCTTCGACTGGGCTTATTCCTTCGTGGCTAACTCTGGTTGTTCCGCCCCGGCCCCAGCCCCGGCCTCGCCGGCTACCTTCTTTTCATCGCCGCATCCACAGTCGTAGAAGTCGCCGATGTTATTGCAGTCAAACAGAGGTTTCTTTAGCCTTTCGTTGACCTGGTTGTGCACATGGCAGGCCCAGCCGGCCGCGGCATTGCGTGAGCCAATCTGAGGAGGGAATTTTTTGAGCAGCTGCCGGAAATGACTAGCGCAATCGCCACAGGGATATAATCGAGCGAACAGTTTGATGTAGGTTTTGAGGGCAAGTGAGTCTTCTTCGGTTGGTTTCTCGGGAAAGCGGGCCATCATCGTATGAAAGAGTTTCCAGCTCGCGCGACCAAGCTCAGCCCTAATCGCAAAAACAAGTCAGTAAACAGAAAATCAGAGTATTGATGGTCGATAAAGAAAAGTATGCAGTAGCAGTGGAAGAATGGAGCAGACATACTTGATGGTCGCATTCTCGAGCTTTGGCGCTATCGATTCTCCCTCCAGAATGTTGCCTGACAGAGCAGCAAAAGCTGTATCTCCTTCGGACGTGCTGTCTTTTGCAAGGCTTGTATCAGGCGCAGGCTTTGGTACGCTGCTTATGCTACCGAGATTGGAGGTACTGAAAGATAATAAAAGGAAACCGGCCACCACGATGGTGATGAGGATGGTGATATGGCGCGCCATTGTATAAAGCAATGGGGATAGATTTGGGGATAGTAGAGCAATGCGAGTCTTTCGTGATGGAGCGCACTGCAGTGGCGTATGAGCGACGACTCGTAGACTCTTACTGGTGGCGAATAGAATCGAGCGACAGCGGATGATAAATAAATGGCAGAATCATCACGGAAGCAACATGATCGGCGGGCGGCGTGAACGGGATAGAATAGGTAGACGCAGACTAAGTAGATCAAACACGGTCGAGACACTCGAACGATGGTCGGGCTTGGATGAGTCCACTGGCTTTATTAATAAACCCACTGAGCAGGCGACGCTAGAGTGAACCTAGGCTGAAATAGGGTTGTGGATTATGTCTATTACTGTTTTACGACAGCCGGACCCTTGTAATACAGGGTCTACTGGCCTAAGCAAGGGACGAACCACGGGGCCGGCAAGTGCCGTAAGGTAACGGCAAGGCGAGTTGCCTAAAACTAAGTCTTCAGCTATTGAAATTGATACTAAATTCGGAAATTTAGGAGATTACACTGATAGACAAGAGGTGAGTAGCGGCATTTACCTACTGCAAGATAAATGCACAGAATGGGATACCTAGGGAGGGGGGAAAAAATACGGACTATTTTACTAGCAGTCTAAATGGCTACTTACCGTAGGTAGGTACCTATATACTTAGTGGACATTCCACTGTAGTCGCACCACAAGTCTACCTAGGTACCATACCCCAGCTTCTTTAACTCTTCCACCTAGGTATATCGTAAACCTTCACAAATCGTATCCAACACACCTATATCCAGACATTACACTTTCATTTCTACTTCTATTCTATTGTAGAGACCAACGATGGTACTTGACAGCCTTCAGAATGGGCAGGTTAGACTATTACGAAACATTTACGCAATTGTTGCAGGAGCCGAGAGGTGTCATGGGAATAACGAAGACGACCACCAATGTGTCTCTAGCTCTTCAGGAAGACACTTCCTTTGATATTTGACCGCTACCTTGTAAGTGCTGTCTTCTGACATGGCCATTTCGGTAGAACCTACCTCAGGACGGGCCGCGCGTTCCGTGATAGTGCCCTTGAACAAGACCTGACCAAGACTCTAACCACCAACGGCGGACCTGACTTACCTAACCTAACCTAACGACGTGGATGTAAATACGTCATTAGCGCGCATTGTCGAAGCAGGTGGTAGAATCCAAGTTCTTATTTAAAAGCATGCCAATACAACATCTACATCTCCTAAAACCTCATATTTCATCCCTCATTCCTAAGAGACCCTAAGAGACCCTAAGATACCCTAGAAATCACCTCGTTCATTGATTTATCGACGATTTACGAGCATAGACAAGTATCGTAAACGCCTCGCTTACACATCCTAGATACAAAATGCCAAACTCATTACAAATTGCCTTACAAAACAACACAACCTCTGACCAGGTGTTTGCCTATGTCACGGGAATTGCGCTACAGCATGATGGACAACGCTGTATACTCAAAGCCGATGGCAAAGGGTTATATTTCCCGCAGAGCCCGCCTGAGATACTCTCCCCTCTCACTGAGGACTGCGCAATCTCGCTCGGTCAGCCCGGGAATACAGTGACGATTGAAATTCCACAGATGGCAGGCGGGCGTATATGGGTGTCACGGGACAGCAAGCTCACATTCCTGTTAAACCCAGGCCCAGCCCTTGTCGAGCCCAGCGTGCTCAATCCGAGCGACCCCAATGCGTCAGTAGATTTCGGTTTCTGCGAGTTCACCCTCAATGATGCCCAGCTCTACGCAAACATCAGCTATGTAGACTTTGTCCCACGGCTCCCCATAGCCCTGAACCTTAAGACGGAGAATGGGCTAGATCAGAATGTGGCCGGCACGGCAGCCGACGCCTTAGACCAGATGGCGGAAGCACTGCGCAAGCAAGCAGGGAAGGACAGCCGGCCTTGGGATAAGCTCATTGTCTTGAAGGATGAAAAGCCCCTGCGCATTCTCAACGCAACACACGGTAATGCCGTCGGCGCCAGCTTCGAGGGCTACTTTGAACCCTATGTGGAAGAGGTATGGGCACGATTAACGCAACACCCTAAGGTTAAGGTCAACACACAAGCGGCGCCAGGAATTCTTCACGCCAAAGTAAAAAACGACAAGCTTCATGTAGGCGACGAGGAATTCGGCAAGCCCAGCACCGCTGATATCCTAGGCTGCAATAGCGGGCCGTTCACTACCGGTCCATCAGCCACGCGCAATGCGATCATCCCTCGTCTGGCAGCTGCATTTGTAAGGACCGCGTTCCTAGAGTCGGACAACCACCCATCTCATCCAGAGACCTTCTACCGTCGGGATCCGACGAATCACTATGCACGGCTTGTTCACGAGCATAACCTGGACAAAAAGGGATACGCGTTTGCGTATGACGATGTGCAACCAGATGATGGAGACGACCAGTCAGGCAAGGTGAACGCGGGGGATCCGGTGCTGTTCACTGTGACAGTTGGCGGCCCTCGCTAAGTGATCTATTTGTTTGTGAAGTTCACATTCTATCTATACTTTTTAATCATTCCATTCTAGATACTAATAGATAATAATAGACATATGATGATAAACATTTCTACGTATCACACGTGCAACCCCGGTCCCTAGTTAAGCCTATAACCTGTTCGTCAAGATGAAAATCCTCCAATCACGGCGGCAGCCCAAAGTAGAACTATGAACGTTCCAACCTCCATTGAGAATTATAGCCGATACGGGTTGATTCAGGGCACAGGCCTTTACCAACTCACTTAAGTACAGATTAACACATATCGTTACGTTGTAGTAGGGGTGTATTATATCCTATAGCTATTGGTATCTCCCAGTAGTCGACTAACCACAATATGAACCAAGAATACCCAGGGTAAGAAGCAAGGCAAGCCGCCCTCCCAAGCCGTCAATGCAGTTTACCCATCAAGCTCCTAAGAACCATTCCAACAAGACCAGCATCATTATGCCAACCCCCCAGGGCAGTACTTCGTTTCCAAATAGCGATAACTCAGATTCATCGCTCAAGAACGCTTAGCCGCTGGGATTGCCGTTGAACGCGAGTTTGTTCACGGTGCTGCTGGGGACGCCGCTGAGAGCGCCAGAGGTGCCGATGGAGGCAATATAGGAGCAGAGGGTCTGAGGGGCCTTGAAGCCCTCGAGGGCCAACAGGTAGGCGCCGAGACCGGCGATGTGGGGGGAGGCCATGGATGTGCCGGAGATGGTGTTCTACATGCCGATTTCAAGCATTAGTGCCTATGGATCTGAGATAGAGTTGTGCGAGGAAGAAGAAAATCCGGAAAAAAAAAAAAAAATTGGGTACTCACAGTGCCACCGCTGTTCCAGGTCGACAGGACATCCTGGCCGGGAGCGAAGACGTCGACGACAGAGCCGTAGTTGGAGAAGGAGGCGCGCGCGTCGGACGATGTCGTGGCCCCGACAGTGCACACCTGGGACTCGCCGGCGGGCGAGGTCGAGGCGGCGTCGGTGTTGCTGTTTCCGGCTGCGACGGCAAGGAAGACGTTAGCGGCGATCATGGCGCGGGCGGCCGAGTTGATGGCCGTCGAGGAGCTGCCGCCCAGCGACATATTGGCGACGGCGCCGGCGGGACAGCTCCGGGTGGCGACGTCCGAGGTCACGAAGTTCATGCCCGCCACGACGCCCGAGGTCGTGCCGGATCCGCCTGCGTTCAGCACCTTGACGGCGTACAGCTTCGTGGCCTTCGCCACACCGTATGTCTTGGAGCCCACGGTGCCGGCGACATGGGTGCCGTGGCCGTTGCCGTCTGAGTTGGAGCTGTCTGCGAAATTGGCCAGCCAGGTGGCGCGGCCCTCGAATTCCTATCACAGTGCTGTTAGCGCGGACGGTTAATCATGAGGAGTTGAGGAGCTGCGTACTGAGTGTGCGGTGTAGATGCCGGTGTCAACGATGTAAGAACAGGTTCCACTGCCGGCAGAGCTGTCGTAGACGTAGCCAGTCGCAGTCCGGCTCTTGTGGGAGATGCGGGCCAAGCCCCAGGTTGAGCCAGATTGCGTAACGTACGCGTTGATGCTCACGATGGAGTCCTGTTCGATGAATTCGACCTATAAAGCCCCCCTTGGTTAAAGAATGTCAAGACGGCAACTGGTTCTTGTCAAGCTTACATCAGGGTGGTTCTGCAGAGTCTCGACCTCCTCAGCTGTGAGGGCACTCGCGAAGCCCTTGAAGCCAGGGGCGGTATAGATGTGGTCGGGCTCGGCGGCCATGGAGGAGTGGAGGGTGCGGAGAGAGTCTGCCACGGCATTGTCGTACATCTTGACGATATACTTGCCCTCAATCAAGTTGCTGCCGGTGCTACGCGGGACATGGAGAGGCGCGGGCGTAGCGCGCTTGGAGGGGGCCGCGAGGGCCAAGGGGAACAAGGCGAGGAGCAGAGAGAAGCGCATAATGACGGCTTTGGAGAACTATGGGCCAAGTTTACAGATGTTGGAAAGGAGAGACTTCACGAGTGTGTCCTGCTAGAGCAAGATTCTACCATTCGTAACGACGACATCGTAGCTATTTATCGACACGGAAAGGGGCTCACTTCGCAATTACTTCTCTTCTATGGAGCGCCGTGGGTTCCCTAGTCTTCTCGTTGACCTTCCAGACAAGGAAGCTCGCAATATCTGCCCATCGAGAGTCTCGTTTGTCCCGCAAGGTACTGGCGATGCTACTCGAAGTTGCAGCCTGTCTGATGCTGTTCGTTAGATAGAGACGACGTGCAGCCGCGCAGACAGTCTTATCTACGACCCCGGTTCGAGGAGAGCCTTGTTGCCCGCACCACATTGCTCGATATCGGCCAATACACATGCATGAACCCCTGACTCCCCCTCGTCTGCCGCGGGATCGCATCGATTATTGGCGATGACATCTTCGGATGACTTGAGCGCCAAGCTCTTGGTACCGGTGGGGCGCTCTGATGAAGACTGCAGTTATTGGCTCGAGCTGTCCAGGAGAAGAAGCATCTGGGAGTTCGTCGTCTTCTGTCGTTGTGAGCGAAAGATAGGCATATGTTGTTAGCTTCCTATTGTGAGGTGTAACATGCTTGGCGCGCTGAATGTCTTATATCACGTCGCATCTGCTAGCAATGGAGCTTGTTATATTGCGGTTGCGCTCGTCAGCGTTGCCAGCAGATGGTCTGGTGTCTCGTGGTGTCTACATTGACGATCGCCTTCCTGATCAAGTAATTATTACCCGACTTAAATAGCGGCAAGAGCCGACGGCGTAAGGGCCTTACCAAATGATCAGTCAAGCTTTGGAGAGTTCATCTATATATAGTGGCCCGCCTTCGATTACCTGGTATCCGGATGACTAAGGCTGGGTATTGCATCATTTACGTTGCACTATCGTGTGCGCTTGGACATGTAATCTATGGACGGACGGGTCTACGGTAACGACAAGCTTCTGCGGAAATTTTCTAGTTGTCGCGTAGCTCTTGGGGATATGTAGGCAACGTAAGATCTGCCATATTACATGCGCCGCCTGTTGGCGTGGTCTTCATTTATTCACTGCATTCACATGATGATATCAAGTAAGCCAGGTCCGATACAGGGACTAGTACTCTTCCTAACTCACGCATTATACGAGACCTATAGCCAAGTAATGTAGGTAATAGGAGGATTGCCAAGCAATACATAGTACCCCATTCGATATGAAGCGTCAAGAAGAGGGACCTCATTCATACGTAACCTGCTTTTCTTACTACTAGTGCGCTACGTAGGGTCACAACTTGCAATGGCAGCGTTGTAGTCAGGTAAGTGATATATTGTTGCATCATTCTGTCACGCTATCCGAAGCTTGAGAGAAAACAATATACCGTCTAATGTTGAGTTATGTCGTTTTTAAATGGCCTGTGGTGCGTGTTGCCAACCCCCTTCGCAGTTGCAGTCGTCGTCTAGACCTACATCACTCCACTTAGCCAAGTGATAAACTCCATATGGTATCAGACAAGAAAGTAGGGTATTTCTTAGGTCGAAGCTTGTTTGATGTAGGCTCGCTCTGCGGCCACGCGCTTTGTTGCTACTCCAATGTACCATCGCGTCTCTTGTGGGCGCCCAACCTGGTCCGGATGCCACCAGATCCACCTGACATAGCAATACGTCCAGATAGGTATGTTGACATAGTGACCAGCGTTACTCGATAAGATGCCGGATAGCCGCTGCCAGGAAAGCCAGAATTCTGTCTCCTCATTGCGATATTTCACGTGTGAGATTGAGCAATGCTAGGTACTTACATGCAGTTGCGACGTTGCGTTGTCGGCCGAATGAACTACGTTGTAGCTCCGCGTTGAGGGCGAGGTTTGTTACCTACTCACGTTACCTATGTGGTGCTTACCTGGATGTTCGTTATATGTATGTGCTGTCGATCGAATCTGACAGCACGTGCCATTGCCTACCAATTGAGCAAGTAGCAGCATGGGTCAAGCTTCCCGATGGCGGCACATACCATCAATTTTAGATGTTGACTGAATAGAGATAAAGTGTATGATGTGGATGGTAATGTAAACCTATTCTCAGTATAGGAAACAACGGCTTGATGATATACGCTAAACTCACACCAGTCTCGCCTCATAACAATGTATAGATGAATTCAGAAAAGTGCATCTAATTACGTCGCGCTGAGGTATGTACTCGAAGGCGCAAGGGTCCTGCCTATTTGAGACTGCCGTGAGAACAGTCGGTAGTCGCTTGGGAGGCGGGTAGAAAGGCATTGGGCCCCCAATGTAACCAACATTGTCGTAGTTTTGCACCTCCTCAGCTGAGGTTGTAGCGGTAACTTAGAAGCATCTTCTCTACTATGTTCAATGAACATGACACTGAAGTCTCCGACAAATGGGCTGAAGAAAATTAGAGGAGCTAACCTACATGATCATAAAGAATAATGCTTCAATGATGTTTAACTACGAGGTTATCGCTTTCACAGTAAGTCTTTAATGTTGAATCTATGTCCGCAGGTAAAGGTGTTGAGGCCTGGGTAATCGGTGAAGTTACAAGGGCGGTAGGTAGGTGGGAGAGAGGGGGTCCAATATCATACATAGGTGCTAAGCTGACGTGTGTCCAGCAGTAGGTATCCATCGGCATATACTCCGACCCGTACGATAGATGTACCGGCAGGCAAGTAGGCCTAGATAATTGACCTAGACTTTGCATGAGACAGGATTATGATAGACTTAGAGTGGCTGAAGAGTAGCCGGGCTCACCAAAGGTCTGAGCAATTGGATCACGACTTTGCACAATGTCCCGTTTTACCTTTTAGACATGCGGGAAATCTTCACCGTGAAGGTACCATCCCATATCTATTTATACCACAGTCTCCTATAAAAGGATAGCTCTCATATTCCGATTTCCAATCTATTAGAAACAAAACACTAGCGATGTAAGCAGCCTGAAAGCCAGATGAGAACATGAAGACCTAGCTACCTCCGCCCTCGCGATTGTCTCCTCCTCTACTAAAAAAAATCATTCCACAACTAATACATTTAGACCTTCGCGAAAAAGTTCCTATTAGTGCGGAAACGGACAAGCTCAATAAAACCCGCAGCACCGAGGGCCAAAGACCCAGCATAAAACATAGCCGGACGGTAAGCCTGGAAGCCGGCACCTTGTCCACCGTAGGCATCGAGCAAGTATCCTGCAATAGGGGCTCCCTGGGCACATGTGTGAGTGGTGTCTCTCCAAACTCGAGCCAATTTGCTGCTTACCAAAAGATATCCACCACTCCAGCTTGTTACGATCATACCCATGGCAACTGTGACTCTAGCCGACCCGAAACAGTTTCCCACCACTGTTGGCATAGTGGAAAAGAATCCACCATTCGCCATTCCGTTCACGACGCTAAAGACCGCCAGCGGAGCTAGAGACGTAGACACTGGCCAGACGGCAAGCATGCTGATGGCTGCTAAGCTGAGCGCGAGGAACAGGGCGTTAAGGGGGCCGATCTTGTCACACAGGAGACCGCTCAAGATTCTTCCCACTGCTGATGCAAAGTTGAAACCTGCTAACAGGCCAGCACCTGTCGCAGAACTCAGGCCAATAGCATTGGCGAAGAGGGGGATGAAGAACGGAGGGACAAGCAGAGGAAAGGTCCCTATAGCACCACCAATAAAGACGAAAACGAAACTGGGGTTTTTGAATAGACGCCTTGAAGACTGTCAGCGGATGAACATTGTGGCAGACACCGAGCACAAAATACCATTCAACAAACCCACCATTACGAATGGGGGTTCTTTCTTTTATGAACCAAGCAGCCGGTAGCCCCGTGGCGATCGTACTAAGGCCGAGAGTTCGAAACGCCCAAGCAGGGCCAGCAGCTCGGATTAGAGGGTCAAGTGCCAAGCTGAGAACGGCGCCGCCAAAGCCACCGCCAGCAAAGACAACGCCGTTAGCCAGACCACGCTTCTTGCTGAAGTATTGCGCCGACCCGGTTGAGGTAACCTAGAGCTAAGTTAGCACTACCGCCATCGCCTCAAGCAGTGGCCATCCGAAATAAGAGGACTTACTATGAACGTGAGTCTGCAGCAAAGTTAGTGTAAGTACGAAGGAGCCCATATCGATCTTTACTACTTACCCAAATCCCAGTCCCAACAATACACCTTCCGTGATGAAAAGGCCAGGGACGCTGTTCACAGCGAAGCCCGCCAAGATCTCAGCAAGTCCGATGAGAAAGATGCCCAACATGCCGGTATACCGAACGCCGATCATGCGCATAATGCGCGAGTTCAGAATCGCTACGGCGGCGAGCAAAGTGGGACCGAGCGCCCCGACGAAGGACAGAACCGCCGGCGTCGAAAGGCCGTCTTCCACCAAGTAGCCCTGGATGACTCCCCAGCTGTAACTAGTGCCGATAGTCCACCACGACAGCACGGCGCAAGACGCTACGACGACCCAACCATAGCCGCCATCAGGCACGTCAGAATCGGCCAAGCGAGATGCCTCCAGCACAGGATCGACCGTACTCGAGCTGTCGCTCTTCGGCGCTTCGATAGGCTCACGCTGCAACACCGTGGTAAGCGGTCCCAGCTCAATGGCCGTCGTCGTCGAAGTCGCGGTTGCCATCGCGAAGGTGTCAAAGAATGTCGCTCAGGCTCTCGCGAGCAAGATGGGAATTTTTCGAGACTTCGAGGGGTCCAGATATAGATGAGTTCGTCGGGCACCGGTCCGATCCGATGATATTGCTCTCTCCTTATCTCTGAAATTCCCAAAAACATTGGGTCGCTACCTAACACCAGCCGAGGGCTGATAAGCTGACAATACGTAACTTGATCCCAGGTGAAATTAACCCACTTAAAGGGCGCGCGACGACAAGCCCGTCAGCTCGCGGGCTTTTAGCTCCTAAACCTAAACCTTGCTCTTAGAGCGGCGACCAACATGGGTAAAGTGGCCATGCTTATTAAATGAAAAGCCCCTCATCGTTTTTTTTTTTTTTCCCTTTATTATTGCGGTCACCTTTATCCGCTTAGAAATCCTCGCTTCTTTTAGGTAGCGTAGGACTTGAAGATTGTTGGGCTTGAAAGGGGATATCAAGCTATTTTTCGTAGCTCAGGGGAACTGGGGACGCAGTTTCATTACGTAATCCGTAGCATTGTACCTACGTAGGTTTCACCTGGCACTCAAAGAGTCTGACCTTGCAGCATTTCAAGCCCCTCCCAACGCAAAACCCTGAGCTAAATATAAACTAACTAAACCCATTTGTGATCAACCTTTAACATTGAGATGGCCGATAGATGCTGGCAACATGACAGCAGGTACCGTACCAAAACTTGCTGTACCCAGTAAACACTTAGACGAAAGTTGATACAATTTCAACATAGGTACGTGTTCAAATATCTAAAGTTCTTGAATATTTAAGGACTTAAACGCACAACTTGTAATAAACAGTTAGTTACTTATCGATTAAGTGATAATTAATCACTGTTTACATGTTAGAAAAAGTGTAGATGTTTAGAAAGAACAAGTACTTGAACGATAGTCATGCTAGCATTTACTGAACTGGGCGGGGGCCGGTCCTGAAGGGTACCTATTAGGCCGCCGAGAATCGCCCGACTTCGGGATCAATTGACGTCTGCACTTGCGCCGGTAGCACGACATGAGCAACAACATACTGCGTATAAAGCAGCGCAGAAGCATTCATCTACACCCAGAGACGCCGGAAGCATCAATAAAAACAAGGTCAAAGGCGCATAGTGCAAGTTGTGATTCAGAATCACTACAAGATGACAGAGGCCGAAGTCGCTCGCTGTCAGGGTCACCCCGGTCTTGATATTAAGCATAGTTGAAGCGTCCAGTTGATGATATTATGATACATCGTGATTCATCAACTCATTCTAAGCAAGGCGAAGTACACTGAATAATAGGAGCAAAAGCCAGGAGAGAAGGTGAAAAACGAGGCCAAAAGATCAACCGTGTCATAGGCTTCTAGATGTACTAATCTGACCCGTGGCGATTGCGCCGACCAGAGACCCGGGATAGGTAAGGATAACATGCTTAGCCATGGGACAACGAGGCTACTTATTCCTCCTTTTTCCTAGCGAAAAGCGCGAGAATCTTCTTCTTCTCACATGCAGCAGCGACGTCAAGCGGCGTCTGCTTGTTCTCGTCATCCATCATCGGATCTAAACCCCTATTCATCAGCTCCAGGAAAGTCTTGGTGGTTTTCCTGGCCGCTAGATGGAGCAACCCGCGGCCAGCGTCGTCACGAGTGGTAAAGTCGGCCCCAGACGCTTCCCACAGTGCCCTCGCCTCTGCCTTCGCGTTAGAGACATTGGGTGGTTCCCAGCTATCACCTTCGTCGCTGTCGAACTCATCGGATTCGGAATACTCGGGATCAAAATTATCGGAATTGGAAGAATAATAAGAGAAGAGTGGCGTCTCCCCTCGGATATTCCGGCTGTTGATGTTGCAACCACGGCCCAGCATGTCTTGGAACAGTTGACGGAATTCAGCATTGCGGAGCCTACCGGCTATGATATGTAAAGTAGAGTTGCCGTCACCGTCGGTAAGAAGGGGATCGGCGCCTGACTGAAGCAAAAGCGTCACAACTTTCATGAATTTTGGTCTCATGGTTGCGAAATGGAGTGCGAGATGTAGGGGGGTGTTTCCTAGCTTATCCTTTTGGTTTACGAGACTTGGGTATTTACTGGCCATGTACGATAGTGAATCATCGTAGGAGTGGTCCTCGGGGCGCCAGGTTTGAATGGTGTCATCAAACATAAGATGTAAGGCGTTCCGGCCTTGATCATCCCTCGCCAATGGATCCGCTCCCCTGGACAGAAGGTATTTTAGGATGGATTGGCCAGCCATTGGCGGATCTTCAACGGAGGATGGCGGGATCTTTATCAAGGTATCGGGACCACTAAAGCTACTGCATGCAGACAGTAGGAGCGTCCTCCCTTTCGGATCACGGCGGTCGATATCAAGATTTGTCAACTTTAGGAATGGCTCTACTATACGACTATGCTCCACAAGGTCATGTAGTATGGTAGACTGCACGTACCCTCTCGGTATATGCGATTCGTTAGAGTCCCAGACAGTGACCGACCCTCCTATTCCCTCAACATTTTTGCTAACTGTTGCGCGTTGTAAGCACGTAGCAAATGGGTCAGCCCCGTATTCTAGAAGCGTCTCCGTCATCTTCGCTCGAACCTCTTTCAAGACAGACTCCTTCTCTGTGCGTAGACTATTATAATATTCAGAGCTATTCATCTTTGCTGTATAGTGTAATGCAAAGAGCTGTTCCTCAGCAGCACGGTTCTGATGCTTCGACGAATGCTTGACTTCAGGACGGCGAGTATTTGGATCCACACCAGCTGATAGGACCACTCGTAGTGCTTCATGATTGTTGCCATCGATAGCTGCAAATAGTGCGTGAGAGTCAGCCCTGGCGCCGCTCTTGACCAAAAGCTGAACCATCTGTGCGTCTTCTCCAGCGCAGGAAATACAGGACCGCCCTTCTGCATCAATTGCGTTGACATCAGCACCAGCATTAACTAAAGCTCGGACGATGTCTTCGCAAAATATGCTCTGAGAGTTTAACGCAACATGCAATGGTGTCTGACCAAGGTGGTTTCGGATATTCAAGTCAGCCGACCGCTTGATAAAGTAGGGAACCGCCAGGGCAGCATGCCACCACTGGTCACCCTTTGCAACCGAGAGTAGCGGGCCATCCATAGGTTTCCCGCCACCTTCGCCATGCAGCCGATTCATGTCGACGCCGCAGCCTTCCACGAGAAATCGGACCATTTCCATATTCGGTAAATCATGTCGAACAGCAGCGAGAAGGTATGATGAGTTTTCGAACCGATCAGACTTGGTTTGGCTCCCAGAAGTCATGCTTAGCTGAGAGCTGCACGCTTCTTTGTCTGAGTCCTTCAATTCGGGATACAGATCATCAACGATTCCCTTCGCCAAAGAGACAAACCCCTGGCGCGCTAGGAATTTAAAATTGCTGCTTCCTGGTATATCTTGCTGGAAGAAATCTGCTCCTGCTCGAGCTAGTTCCCTCACTGCACCGTATTCGCGGCGCATCATTAGAGTCTGGAACAAGTCATTATTGCCTTTTCCGTTCACAATTCCCTTGAATTCAGTTAGGGATTGACGAGTAACTTCTTCAACTCGGCGTCTTTGGTGAAGAGCATAGTTGTCTTCTGTGGGTTTCTGCTCTTTCGCTTTTGCATACTCATTTTGCAGTGATCTGACAGTAGCCAGGCATCCCACAGTGTAGTCTCTATGGCTGCGAAAGGCTCCATTTATAAGGTAATTTTGCTGAATCTCTCTGTTCGGATCATACTGCATGTTCTTCTCAAGTATCATTTCCAGTATTTCATCGATCCTCGTGTTTTGGTTAGGCAATCCTGGCCGTGGGCCGGGTGCTCTCCTGCTGGAAGAGGTGGCAGGACGAGAAGTATCATTCAATAGCAAGCCTCCAGCATCCAAATCCTCGCCATACGGATAATCTTTCTCCCATAAGGACTGCTCCTGCTCAAACTGAAGACAAGCCCCAATGAGACTGTCAGCATCCACATTGGCGCCAGCGCCAAGTAGGAGGACAACAGTTTCAGGCCTCCCGGAGCGACAGGCATAATGCAAAGGCGTCCATCCGAGTTCATAGTTATTGACGGAATTAGTGGCTTCCTGCGCATCTATAACCCCGGGCGAGAACTGAAACTCATTGTCATGGTACCAGCTTGCTCTCGGTATGAATGGCGTTGCCTTGTCACAATTTTCTCCCGCAGGGACCGTCTCTTTCATCTGCCTGCGGTAAAGCGCGTCAAGAAGGATTCCAACGATGTTGCTTTCCCTAGATTGGGTAGCAAGATGCAACGGTGTTCGGCCCTCCAGTGTCGTCAATGTCGGATTTGCCCCGGCATCTAGTAACTTTTGAACATACGAGCCGGAATTTGTGCACGCCAGGTGCAATGGCGTGATACCGGCGTTGTCAACAACATCTACAGACATCGCTCCAGAAGATTTCATCTTTTGGATGACGAAATCGATAGCAAGCATCCTCGAAGATCTGTATACGTGGAGCCGTGAACTTGAACAGCATAGAATATGTAAAGGCGTACGACCATTATAGTTTCGTTGGCTTAGGCTCAAGCCCAGCGATAAGAGGTGCTTCCATAATTCAATGATTGCATGTGCGTAGTACTCGTCGTGATTTTCCCGTCGCTTGGCTAGTTCATGGAGAAGGTTGTTACCATGATTGTCAACAGCGCTTGAGTTGAGTCCACGGGCCAAAAGGAACTCAAAGAAATTTGCGTCTATATCTCGTGCAAATTGAAGATCCCTCCGGAGAGTCTGTCTCTTGATTGCTTCGTGTAGAAGAGTACGACCTTGAAAATCACTTACAGCAAGTGACGCTCCTTTCCCCATGAGTAGTTCGACAAATTTCAAAGACTCTCGCCACTGATCTGCGATTGCGCGGTATAAAACAGTTGATCCTTGCGTATCCTTCGCGTTGATATCAACGCCGGCAGAAAGCAACATGTCCATGGTCTGTTCCAGTGCCTTGAGATTGTGGGAGATGCCGTGCAACGGTAGGTCGCCTGACAAGTTTCTATAGTTGGGATCCGCACCCAGGTCCAACACCTCCCGAAGATGCTTTGTTATATCATCTCTACACCTTACGAGATGGTGTATGATATTGTTGCCCTTATTATCGACAACTGAGCAATCAGGCCGAAATTCTAAGAGTCGATCTAAATTTTCCGATGTACTAAACACTCCTATCAGGCAACTCAACAGAGGCGTTTGCCCTTCTTTATTCCTCTGGTTGATATTCGCGCCGCCCAAGCTGACTAGGAGACCTATAACTTCATTGTTCTTAGTTTTGTGTAAGGGTGTAGCACCGTCAGATGATGTTTCGTTGACGTCAACGCCAGCATCGATAAGCAGTCGCGTCAAGACTGGGCTGTTTATTGCCCAATGGAGGGCGTTGGAGCCGTCCCCATGACGTTGGTGAACATCAATTCCAGAATTCACCAGCTGTGAAAAGATCGTCTCTAGGGCATCGTCATCTGAATCATACCGCTTTGTGGCGGTGCAGAGATTGTAGAGTGGACTGCGATAGTAACCGGATCGCCATGTTCTAGCCTGAGCAGATTCGTTGGAGTTGGGATTAGCACCAGCTTCTAAGAGAGCCGAAACACAATCCGCATTTCTAGAGCTACATGCTAGAGCCAAGAGTGTATGCCCACGGTCTTCCCCCTTCACGGCGACTTCGGCATGTTGCAAAATCCTTCGAACATTCGCAGATTTCCCCATCTCGGTCGCCCATTGCAGGGCGCGATGAACAACATCAGGATCTGAGATGGAAGACATGAAGACGTCAACAGTCTCGACATGGCCATATTGGCATGCATACTAATATAGAAAGCAATCAGCTAAAATAGACCACCATAGACAATTCAAGGCATCATACCATGAGCGGGGTCTGTCCAATGGTGCTTGGGGAGTTTCCACAGTGTCTACCAGGAGTATCTCGGGTCTTCCCTGTCATGGGGCTCACACCACATTGTAGGAGTGTCTTGGCAACCTCAGCATGATTTGCCATTGCAGCCTTATGAAGTGGCTTGTAACCATCGTGATTATCGTCTTGATCGGGATTGGCCCCTGCTTGGGCAAGTAAGCCTACTGCACCAGCATGACCAGATGATGCAGCCCACCAGAGTGGTGTTCTTCCTCGCTTGTCCTGGCAATTGGCGTCTATATCTCCTCCTTTCAAGAGCTCCTGTATATAACTATCAAGGCCGAACGATGCCGCTACATGTAGCTGCGTGAGGCCGCTAAAAGAGCCAGCACTTCTGGGCCAACCTAGGACTAACCACGCATTCAGACGTGCTGTGTCATTGAAGAGTCGTTGGAGAGCCTCATTCACCTTCTCTTGATTGTACCCAGCAAGACTAGACTTAGTAACGTGGACATGCCAGTTCGATACTGCATACTCGATAAAAGGGTACTTTAGTCGCAACTCAGCCCTCCCACGCAATACATCAGTGTCGTGTCCTGTGATGCAAGGTAGGGATTCCGGATTGGCCAAGTGTTCGGAAAGCTGTCTTTTGGACACGATGTTTTGCAAAGCATATTCTAAGTAGGATAAACAAGCCAGTGCAAGAGTGTTGTGTGTAGTTCCAGGCTTTAGGGTAGGGTAGTCCACACTGGTGTCTGGCCGGTTGCTGCCCGTTAGATACTCCGTGAATGAATGATGAACAACGCAGACTGTTTCGTCCAATAGAATCTCTAGGAGTGGACCACATGCAGTCCTGACCATTTCTTTTGTTGTTTTCAACTTTATTTCAGTCTGTGAGAGGTAGGTAAACTCCAGCATTTCAGCAACCTCCAGGAGTCGGAGGGGACGGGAGGCATGAGTGGCACATTGGAGGATCAGCCTCTGTAGATCAGGGGGGATGCCAGATCTGAGAGAATGTACTCTAAGTAAGTTTGTGTACATGTCGTTAAGATCTTGAGGGAGAGCGGTCAGAACATCTCCAATGTTAGCGCCGGGTTTGAGAAAGGCGTCCATTGCAAGCCTAGCGTACAAGAAGAGTCCGTTCGCTCGGCCAGGGACGGCATCCATTATAAGTTTCCTATCAGAATCCGTGATCGACGTAAGGCTGAGCTTTTGTTGCACGTAAGTGGAGATATCTTTATCAACAGCATCCTCATCCAAGCGGATTTGAAGCATTTCTGTCTTGCGGAGCACAGCTTCAAGCCTCGCAATAGGGCGACTCGTCATGAGAACCTTAATTTTCCCTGGCTTCCATAGGCCTAATTCCGCCAGGGTCCGGAGAAATTCGTCATTACCCTGGTCCATCTCACTATTTGAATGTGTAGGTGAGCATTGGCGCGAAAAGTAGGGAGTTTAGCTAGGTCTTATGAGAGGCGGAGGGCCGGAAATGATAAGGGAGTGTAGAATGCATACTCAAGAGCGTCAACAACGCAGTAGGCGTTGTTTGATAAGCCGCCCAAAGCGAGGCGTAAGTCCCTCCAAAGCTCGCTCATTGATAAAGTGTCAAGCGACCGGCGCTTCTCCACATATTCATTCAGGCAGCGTTGAAGAGGAGGGCTATACAATAAGACTTGGTCAAGCCAATCGCGCAGTAATGCTGTGCGCATGCTCTCATCAGTAATCTTCATACAGAAACGCCTTTAACAAAGGCCACCAAGGAAAGGAGGGAGTCATTGCCCAGGCGCAGGGGATGCGTTCCCTGATGACATACCAGTGGGTTCATGATTGGCATCGATTATTTGACGAAAGAAGAAATAAAGGACCGGAGTGCCAGGGTGCTGCGCGGCAAGGTCGTGGATCAGTTGGGCAGCGATAACAGATTTGCCCGAGCCAGGAATGCCCTTCACCCACAGGGTGCCTAGCTGCTGGCTTCGAAGCCATTCCCGGTACGTCGTGCTTGAGGTGAGCCATACGCCAGTTCCAGCAGCATGTGAAGCCAGGTGCTTTTGATACTCCCCGAAACGATCATCATAGGCGGTGGGCTGCAGCCAGGTACGAATTTTGGCGATGGCATCTGCAGACATAGGTAGGATGTTGTCCGGGTTGAAGTCGCTGACATCGTCTCTATCGATAAGCACTGCATCGCCGCTGGTGTCTGAGGCGCTATCAGTCGACATGGTGCAGTTATTCACACACAGCAAGGGATTACGGGGGAGACTTTCACACGTCAAGAGAAGAATACTGGCATAGAAATGAGGGGAGGAATTTAGATCTTGATACCAGCAGCATTTCAATTTATGTAGGTGTTGATTTGGGGGCGGTGGTGGTAGTTGGCTGCATCCTGATCGCTGCCTGCTCAGCTACGCCGCGCGACTACATGAATATGGTCCGCATTGTCTCACACAGCTACAGCAACGCGCTGTTTGCTTGATACCTGCAGTGATTTATGAACTAAATTTCTCAAATCGAGTGACGGAATAGGGGAAATTTACCTTGGAAGAGGAAGGTCCTCGTTCATCAACAAACCGCGCGTTATATATATCAATAACAGCAAGAAGCGGTCCTTCAATCGTGCCGCATGTTTAGAAGTTTCGAATCAGCCACATGGTTACATTCACAGATACAAGTAGATCACGCCACAATGAGTCAGCAGGCATCTCAAACCAAATCATCATATCATGCTGACTTCATTATTCTTTCTATAACATAACCAGGTTCCTGGCTAGGTATCTCTACTATTTCCTACATACTTCTCACGGAACCGATTAGAAGTGCAATACTAAACCATCGCGTTATCCAAAAGATAGAAACGATGTTACTAGGTTGAGGCTCTGCATGCATACACTTAACTATGGTATGGTGACAATACTGCTCCAAAATCTTATGCGGGCCGTACCTTGCGTACATTGATTATCCGCCGCAACTTAAACTGACTTCTGAGTTTAAGTTTAAGCCTTAATTATAGATGGAATCTAACCCAATTATATATCTCCTCTGGTCATATAACAAGGGCAGATTGAACTGGGCTTGGAACTGAGGATTCTGATTACAATGATCAACTAGGGCTGCATTAGTCCTTGACCAACCAACTCCTTCTCGGCTGTTGGTGGCTTGAGGAGACTCTATATACAAATGATCTGCCAGCCCAGACCGCCTGGGTCTCTAGGGTCTATTTCAAGAAGCGAAGTCTGTATAACCTCACTTTCCAATATTGCCCAATATTGCCTGCAATGGTCCTTCGTACGGCCGAAGTGCAAGGCGAACTGCATTCTTCAACCGGTACAGAGGTTACACGTGTAACAGGTCACGGTACCCTAACTTCTAGATAGCTGGTTTAAGATCACAGCTCTTGTTTTGGAAACTGTACGATGAATCACTCTTGGATGATTTATTAAGCGGCAATACTTACACCAAAGTGCCGCTTTATCATTATTTTTCTTTGTCCCCTTTCTTCCCCTCCATTTTCTGTTACTTTACTTGTGCCAATGGAAGGGAACTATTACTATCTGTAACCGAGTTCTAACTCTAGGTATGTTTATATTGCAAGTCTTTTATGCTCCTGTTTTTCAACGACAACTTATGGGATCCCCCATCCTACACTTAAAAGATTTAAGTGCAGGCTGGGCATGTTACACAGTAGCTCCATAATGAAGCTCCTTCACATGGTTAGCGAGCAATATACAAGATGTAATATTTCTTTTAGGATCATGCCTCACCACGGAAGCCTTCAGAATGACGAAGTGAACGTTTAAATGAATGGAGTAACCCGTTCTTACATGAACTTGCGTTGGGCTTCATTAGTGTATACAAATTTCCCTCTTATTCTACTACTTAAAAACCATATCAGCATACGTTACACGCGTATAAGCTGAATATGCGGTTCGCCTTGCACTTCGGCTATATGAAGGGTCATTACAAGTTATTGATGATCTTCAAAGATATGCAGGCAATATTGGGGAATAGTGGAAAGTGAGGTTATACAGACTTCACTTCTTGAAACAAGCCCTTGAGGCCTAGGCGGTCTGGGTTGGCAGACCAGTTGTATATAGAGTTGAGTCAAGCCACTTAGGCCAAGATGGAATTAGTTGGTCAAGGACTCATACAGCCCTAGCTGATCATTATATTATGAATAGCATCAATTTCCGAGCTCGGATCTCTGCCCCTTGTTATACTAGCATATACAAATTTCCTCTTATTCTACAACTTCAAGCTATGTCAGCTTTTCGCTATATTCCAATTATCTATCTAAACATTACGTCATACTCCATGTGTAAGTCAAGTTTCTGTGTCCTTTTGCTCCTTCTCTTCCTTTCCCCTTACCCCTCCCTTCTCATCATCTAGTCATTCCTGCCTTCTCATCACCACCAGCTCGACCATACTTTCTTACCATTCTCGCGAACCATGGGAACGAACCATAACACTAGCGGTCACACCGCCTGAACTCTACGTCCCGTGGTTATTATAGGGTTTATAGCTCATCGTACAGATTTCTAACTGCTCCCGATTAGGTCGAGGGTTTGAATCCATCCCACTTGAAGGTGCATCGCTGCGTTGCGAAGAATCTCCTATTTCACGCTTCCCTCGTCCCTTCCCCTTTTCTTGGTTGGGGGTCTGGTCCCTCCTTTAAATCCAAACTCCATCAGCACTGCCACCAATTTGACAGTGCCCGATCCCAGCATCGAGTCCCTAATTCCCATACAACCCCCTGAAACCAGTGGCATATCAGGCAGAAGCATTAATACCTAGGTACCGATTAACCGAATGCATTCCCCGCAACATTAGAACATGGGTACTGTAGCAACACCTTATACTCATCGATTTGAAGGATATAAAGGGACGGGGCGCAAGGTCCACATTGAAGAGATTCTGAAGTTTGAGAAACAACGGGCAAAACACGAACATGCCTTTGGATACCACAATAATTGAATGCAGCACCTGAAGTTGACACTATTCAGGAGAGAATGATTTATCATGATAACCAAGGTTCATACTGTCCCTGATCAGCCGTGGTGGTTAAACCTAGCTCGATTTACACTTAGAAAGACCTTGCTAACATCTGAAGTCTACTACTACCTAGGTATGTTTTAAATACGATCCAAAAGTTTGCTCATCATACACAGTACATTCTTTCATTTCCACTTAACACATCTTTGCCTTAACAAAGACAAGATTTTGGAATAGGGTACCAGCAGAAGATGCGATGGACTAGTTTGGCGCTGGGCGCAGATATAGTAGACTATTGCATTAAATATAGCCCTGTTTCTTTCCCTAGGAGCTGTATAGCTCCTGTCTGATTAACTCAATTTACCCAACTCCTAGCTTTACAGATTATGAAAATTCAGAGATCGTTATAATTGAGGTATTAGTATTTGTAGGCTTATGTAAGAATTTACAGGTCAGAACAGGCTTTTACCTGGTTGGGTTAAGCATATCACCCCATGGCTTGGCACGTCAACGCAGCATTGACAACAACAATGGGCCTGTAATGGGTACTTTGCGATCTCTAGCAGACCCCTACAAATACGACGTATCGAAGTAGGTACGCATAGACGTAATTACCTACATCACGACAACATGCATGGTGGAAACGTCGATCAAAGGGCTATCCTTACATGAACGCCATGGCGATCCGCCTTTTTGTCTCTTCCTCGAAGTTCACGGCTATTTATAAAGGAGTAAGAAGTATTACTTAAGTATAATGAATGTTTCAAGGTCGCTAAAATGGAGACGCACATGTCTAAGTACCTAAGTAAGTCAACAGCGGTTATGTTAGTATAGATAGGTATGATTGGGGTTTCTCGTGTTTGATCCACCCCCAACGGCTAGAGCTGCTACTAACGGACGCTATGTACAGCACGTTGCACACTTCGTACAGATATCGTCAGATTGCTGAAGAACTTGATGCGCGATCTTGAGTCTCGCGGTAGGGTCGGGTCGGGGAGGCTGTGCATCAATACCTACCTAAGTACCTACCTAAGTAGGGAGATGCCCACGCTAGTCCAGGTACCACTCGGTCTCAGCTTGCACTGCCTCACGGCCACTCCAATTTCTTCATCGTATAAGTAATTATACCCAATCAAAGCCTTGCCACAACTGGCTGCATTTTTCAGGACGTATTGGGTAGGTAGGTAGGTGAGTAAGCGCTGTGTTTACTGTAAGTAGACGAAGACAGCTTTCAAAAGCATTCGGTCTGAATTATCGCCACGACGGACTGATGGAGAGACACAGCTACAGTTTCCCTGTCGTGGTACCTAGACTCCATCTCCCTTCATCATTGCTTTGAATTCCTTCAGTAGTGTTTGGTCTTACCTATTACCTACTTACTTACCTATGTACCTAGGACTTGTGTGGCAATCGAGAACATGCCTACTTCCTCGAGGAGTAAGGACTGAAGGGAATTATCGCCATGTTTTGGTGGATGTTTATGCCCGAAGATCTGGAGAGCAAAGGGCTGGCAAGGGGGATTCCCTGATAAATCGTTAATTCTGGTGCCTAGTTGAACAGGCCATTCTGTGCTAGATTTTATTAGCACACTAGTACCGTAATACGTCGGTGCTGCCAAAGAAGGCTAACCCACGTACTAAATACCTCGTTCCCGCCCTAAGTAAGTAAGTAGGCGAGGTAGGGCCCAGGCCAACCCAACCCCAATAAGGGCTCCATACAAGCTTATACTACCTAGGTAGGTTACAAGCCCGTGGAAGCCCGTAACTGTACCCGCCCATCCCATCTGACTGGATTTGGAAGCGCTGACGTTGCTATGCTGCTATGCTGCTTCTGATGCTGCTGATGCTGATACTGCTGCGGGATGCGGTCACTAGACCAGATACAGAGACATTCCCTCCATGATTGACTGACTGTATACTAGGGAATCCCATCCCGCTTCTCCCGGCCGGGCCCTTCTGACATCAAACCACCGCATCCCTTTCTGCTTTGCGTCCTGCTTTGCTTCTTGCTTTGCTTCCTTGCAGACCACACCACCACCCCCCATCCCTCCCATAATAATGCCATAGGGCAGCTTCCATTCGCTTCTCCTACATTTCCTGCCGTGGCAGACCATCATCCGGACTATACTAATAGTAATCTCTACCTGTCGGCCCTGCCTTCAACGCGACAAGTCAGCTTCCCGCCGTATCCGTCGCTCGGTCCGCTGCTCGATCCGCTTTACCTCACCCTGTGCCTCACGCCGCGCGCCGTACGTCGTCGCCGTTAATGCTTCTCGAGGGATAGGTCAATGGTGCGCTTCACGACGGCATCGGTTGCTGTGTACGAGGCCGAAAACTGTATCGACTCGGCTCTTACTTATAGCGTCGCTCTTCATCACGCCTAATCTACCCTCAACATGACCTCTTCCGCTGCGTCGATAAGGGCGCTGCTCTTCAACTTCTTCTGCCTCTTCGCTCTTGTTCTGCCCGCCACAGCCGAACGGAAACTGGAAACCGACTCTCTTAACGCTTGCCAGGCAAACTCGGGCTTCACAGCCAGCTTGTTCAATCTTCGTTACATCCCCAGTGAGAATAGCATTCATGTCAACATCAGTGCTGTCTCCACCATCGAGGCCAACGTGAAATTCGATGTCACCATCTCTGCCTATGGCTATCAGTTCTATTCCCTCATCCTCGATCCTTGTGAATTCGACCTGGCTGGCTTTTGTCCCATGGTATCCGGTAACCTAGACGACCCGTTCAGCATCAACAACATCGACCCCAAAACCGCTAGCCTCGTGCCTGGAATTGCCTACACCTTCCCCGATATCGATGCGAAGGTGCGGGTGTACATCAATGCGACGAGCGGTCCCATGGCAGGCCAGAGTGTTGCATGTCTAGAGGCCACGGTATCAAATGGTCAGACTGTTGATCTAATTGGAGTTAAGTGGGCGTCCGCCGTCGTCGCTGGTCTTGCCCTTGCGTCATCCGCCCTTCTCTCCGGCCTGGGCCACTCGAACGCTGCATCCCATGTTGCCGCCACGGCCTTGGCCCTCACGAGCTACTTTCAATCTCAGGCTATGGTTGGTCTTGTCGGTATTCCGCTACCTCCAGTTGTTCAATCGTGGACCCAAGACTTTCAGTGGAGTTTGGGCATTGTCAATGTTGGTTTCTGTAAGTTTTGCGCACCTTGAATCATGATACCGCAGAGTATAGCCTGTCTTATCCCTTATGCATAAAGTCTATTTGGCTAGTCTCAAATGAGAGAAGGTTATTTTCCTGTCTTGTACACAACTAACATGCATGGTTAGTACAAGACATCTTTACCTGGTATCAACGTTCGACAGGGGGTACGGCCGCGAGAATCATTGATACTTTGGCTACTGTATCCGTCCAAGTCCAGAAACGATCTGAGCCTCTGGTCGCACCAGCCATGAGCTTATTCAACCGTGCAGAGGCAATTATGCCACGCTCTTTGCCGAGTCACGTCTCAAGTCTGGCGAAGCGTGGTAATGTCAAAACCGATTATGGTTCATACATCGTCTATGGCATCCAGCGCGTTGCTTTTAGAGCTGGTATCGAGACTACAAACCTCTTCCTCACGGGTATTGTTTCTTTCTACGTGGTCATGGTCTTCGCTGCAATCCTAGTTGCCCTCTTCAAGGGATTGTGTGAGCTGGCTGCCAAGGCGCGATGGATGAAGGGCGACACATTTTTAGATTTCCGCAACGGATGGCGTAAGTCTCTAATCTGGTTTGACGAATTTAGGTTTGGAAGAAGTTACTAACAATTGATATCCAGTTACTGTGCTTAAAGGCATTCTCTTTCGTATCACCCTGATCGGATATGCCCCGGTGACCATACTTTCTTTGTGGGAGTTTACTCAGCGAGACTCTGCCGCCGAAGTAGTTTTGGCAGTGTTCTTTCTCATATACGTAAATTTTGGCTTAGGTTGGGCCTCGTATAAATTAATCCGGATTGCTCATCGCTCGGTTCAACTTCACAGAAACCCTGCATATATTCTCTTCTCGGATCCCCAGACCCTGAACAAATGGGGTGAGTCTCAAATTCTCTTCTGTCTCAAAACTCATCCATCTATGCAGTCACTGACCAGTAGCTAGGTTTTCTCTATATCCAATTCCGTGCTTCTGCGTACTACTTCATCGTGCCAGTACTTGGCTATACTATTCTGAAATCATTCTTCATTGCTTTTGCTCAGAATGCCGGCACTGTCCAAGCAGTTGCACTGCTCCTCATCGAGGCGGGCGCTCTTATAGCTGCCGCTGTTTTGCGACCGTGGATGGACAAGAAGATCAACTCTTTCAATATCGCCATTTGCGCTGTAAATTTTGTTAACGCCGTCTTCCTATTGATCTTCACAAAGGTCTTCGATCAACCACCCATCGTCACTGGTGTTATAGGCGTGGTTCTTTGGATTCTCAATGCTGCGACTACCCTGATCTTACTCCTTGTGCTAATCATTTCTACTGCTATCGTCTTCTTCACTGATAATCCCGATGGCCGATACAAATTTATGGGTGACGACCGAACTTCGTTTATGAAGTCTCAGAGCCAGTTATCACCGAATGGTGAGCTCGATGCACTAGCAATGACGGCTCGTGGCGATAAAATGGGAGGCTATGGATCTGGATTGGATGACAACGAGTCTCTCAAGCCGCCGTCATTCCATCACCCGCCGCGCTCGCGTCCTCAGTCTGTAAATCGCACCGTACCATCGTCAGCAGCAACTGCCTCTAGTACGAGCACAGTGCAAAACGACCGTACTCGCTATTCTGCTGATCAACACCCCTCATTTGCGCCAACCAATGGCGAGATTCCACGAACAGCCAGCCCTTCCATTCACTCTATCTCCCAAGCGCAAAATGCTAGCCCTTGGCAACGAGGCGCCGGGTACGAGCACTAAAAAGCGCTCCAAATAGTCATATCTATCCTTTTCCCTCACGAGCAATCGTTCATTCACGAGCAGCGAGTATTCTTGAATAGTTATTTTCAGCATGTTTCGATATCCTATTCTGTTGGTAAACTTCGAGACAAATTTAGGTTGGCGACCACCATGTCTCTTGATGACACTTAAGGGGCATAGCAAAATGTATATTTGTGAGATAATCGCGACATAGGACCTCTATCGGGCGAGGTTGGGCGGAGGCGGATCTTTGGAGTTGTAGGCGTTATGACGTGCGATCTGGTAGCATTTTCATCACTCTTTAGAATATTGTTTTCTTATCCAATCTGAAATCAACACCATGCCAACGGACATTTGTGAATTGCCTGACGTATTCCGTAATATTCATCGCTGGCCGAAAATCTCATGTCATCCAAATCAGCTGACCCACCTGGGCGTCTCGTCCATCCCCGCTTCTTCACTAGATAGTTCAAGATCTCCAGGCTTACGGAGCGACAAACTCTGGCGAGACACTTTTCTGGCCGCTCATACCGCCCAGCTAACATGCAGCAGCCATGGCAGGACCCTCTGCTTGTGCGGACTGCACAGCATCTAGAGGCTCTGCCTTTTGAGATAACCGGACAGATTCTTGAAGACCTACAGCTCGTCCAAATCCTAGATCTCTTCTCTTGCGGTGGACAACGTCTGCGTGAAGCGATCCAGTATCTTTCGCACTGGCAACACCTTTTGAGAGATGAAACAGAAGAAGTAGAGTACCTCTGGCGCTCGCTTAACCAATTAGCATGGACTCAATACCGTTCCTCTTGGGCTCGAGTAAATGGCCATGAGTTTGAGACATGGTTGTCAGAGGCTGGGCTCAGGTATAGAGCGACCACAAATGTAGCCTCAACAAAGGTTTAGACTAATACCCTACCAAAACTGATACTTGCGATGTTACTAATAAACCTCTCCCCAGAGTTACATCATTTCAGCTTTGCATAGACATCTACAGAATTCTTTCTTCACTTTGATCGGTCTTGAACACTACAGGGGTCGATGGGTGTCGACGCCGGAACTCAAGGCTGCCATCCACTATGTGCCGGATAAGAGCAAACTTGCCAAATGGGCTGGAAAAGGTATCACAACAGGTCACGATGTACTATCCTCTCTCATTGCGATATCTTTGACCTCAAAATTTAACTGGTATCAGGCACTAGAGGACTTATTCGCAACAAATATCGCTCGCGGATTCCAAAACGACAAACATAGCCTAGACATGAGTGAAATTCTTTCAGACTTGAAAGGCGCGTATTTAGAGCTCTTTCGAAGACAGTCAGATGAACTTGAAACATTGGCCGATTTGTATGAACGCTTCCCACGTTTCCTCAAGGTTGCCAACGCGCCAGAAAAACCAACTAGTGAGGCACATGTTTTGACTAGGCTTCGGCTTGATGCAAGACGCAATCAAAGGATTCCAAGATGGCATTTCAAAAAAGAACACGCACATGCGGACCAGAATCTGACGCTGCAACACACCCCATGTCGATTTAGATATCCGTACACAACACTTGTTCCCTTTGACTGGTGCCTGCGTTTACTCAAAGTAGTGGTCAGCAAGAGTAAATTACTCGACGTTGAACAAAAGCTTCCTTCACACCTTGAACCACATTATAAAAGGGCTATCGATGGCATCGACTATATATATTGCCCGACGCCTAGAAGGTTCTTAAAACGCACATGTGATAGCCCGCCCGAAAGTGCAACATTCGTTCAATACCCATTCTCCAATGGAGTTCTGCCGAAGCCCAATGCTGAACTCGATTGGCTCGAATCGTTCGTCACCATCATAGAATGGATGACGAAAGAGTTCCCCGATATCACCAATTCCGTCGCCTCAACTCAGCTGTCCATCTTGCGCCGCAGATGCCTAGTGGACCCCAGCGATTACCGCCTCTTCATTGAGCATGAATCACCTCGCATTATATCTCGTCAGTTACATGCTGATTTAAAGGTATGCCGCGTTCAGCAGCTATCAAAATTACCGAGCCTTCTTGCTCTCTATATGCCCCCCTGGCCCACCCCGAAGGCAGTCGAAGTAGCGCAACATCTTATGCCATACCGGGGTTGCGACCAAGACTTATTGCAACTCCTTTACGAATCTAAGATATCGGAAATCCGCCAGTTTCTGAAAGGAGCACCGCAACGCAAAACACCAGAAGACGGGGGATTTCTTGTTTCCGACGAAATTGACTGGAGTGAGACTGACAAAGACATCAGGAAACCACAGGGGGTTTCGAAAGCGGAACGTCAAGACCAAACGTCGCAATCCCGGCCGCAAGTGAGTGAACGGGATTTAGTTACTACGGCAAATACGCTGCGGCAGTTATTCAGTGAGAAGTCAATATCTAGTAACGAGACAGGGGCTGTTGTTCTCGCACATATTCTAGCGCAAATAGAAGATTCTATGAGCGGAGAAAATGGGCAGGATGTCATTTCCTGGGGAAAAAGCGTCCAGACCTACGTAGCGTCTCACGGGAAACCAAAGACACAGCCTCACTGTTACATATGTGGTCAACAACTCCTCAAGCCTCACCGGACGATCTCATCAATGTGCGGTCCATGCGGCGACTTCAATCTCGCGGGATCGCAACTTTCCTTGCCACCGCGACTCTCTCTAGCAGGTAAGATCGCAGCTGTGACAGGCGCAAGAGTGAATCTCGGGTACCACACCGCACTACGACTTCTACGCTGCGGTGCAAAGGTCATAGCGTCTACCCGCTACCCGCACGACGCGCTCCAGCGCTACCAGGCCGAGAAAGACTCGGAAGGGTGGATGGACAGGCTGCTGATCGTCGGTGCTGATTTCCGGTCTGCGAAAGACGCTTTCGAACTCGCGCGGGAAATCCGCCAGATCGTGCAGCGATGGGGCGGCACCCTGCACATCCTCATCAACAACGCCGCGCAGACCCTCACTGACAGCGTCGAGAAGGAGGACTCATCCGTGCGCAACGAAGAGAGATTGAAAAGCACCACCGCCCGCTCCCTCCTCCTCCCTCAGACATCATACGTGCCTAAGATCCGAGCCGGAATCAACGCACGCATCGAGGGCTCCTCGTCGCCGCAACAGCTAGAGATAAACGAGGAGGCGCGCACGCTAGGATCCTCATGGGTGCAGTCCTTGCCGCAGATCCCGTACGAAGACGTGATATCCGCACACTCGGTCAACGCCTTCGTGCCGCTGATCCTGACCCGGGAGCTCCTCCCGATCATGTCCGACCCCGACGGCGAGGCCCGGGGTTACGTCGTCAATGTCTCGTCGCGCGAGGGCGTCTTCGAGCGGTCGGCGCGCGCCGCGAAGAGAGGCCGACACGTCCACACCAACATGTCCAAGGCCGCGCTCAACATGATCGCCGAGACCGAGGCCGTAGAAGCGTGGAGGACCGCGCGCGTCGCCATGAATACCGTCGATCCGGGATATATGAGCGCTTCGCCTGAGTTTGACGCCGTGTTTGCTGGCGTGATGCCTATTGGGTGGGAAGATGGTGCGGGGAGGGGTGAGTAAAGTTATCTCTTCCAATCCTTATCGCTCTCTTTCGTTTCGTGCTGACGTTTGATATGAAGTACTCTGGCCCATTGCCGTCGGCGAGCTCGAGAAGGCTGGCGAAGAGGGCTGCCGCGCGGTCTGGGGACGGTTTCTCAAGCACTATGGCGCCTCGAGGGTTAATCTCCAGCAGGGAATGCTGTGAATGGGGATGAGGGATATTTGGCATGTCATCATACTACGGTAGGGCACTTCGCTTTTCACAGATGTTAGAGCTTGTTCTTAGATCAATGCATTGATTTATACACATGCTCGACACAGTGCCGGCAGCTACAAACCCGCCAAAGTCTCCTATCCTACACTGTTTTTGATGCGTGCACGTCTTCCGATTCGCAAGTCGCCATCTAGTGCTCCCTTGAGGACTTGTGCTCGAACTTCTTGCCCGGCATGCTGTCTGTTTTCTCCTGCTTTTTCCTGAGCATCTCGGCCTCCTCAGCCTGGATCTCAGCGTCCTGCTGGGCGCCTCGGGACGGCTTGTTGCCATGCATGGTGGCCTGCGATTGCTACATCAGTATACTCCTTTCGTATCCCATCATGAAGCATGATAAGCTCTTTTCTGTAGGTTACGTACGTGGTATAGCGGATCTGTTTTGTATCGCTCGTTTATTTGGGCTTGGGTCTAGATGATATTGGTCAATCGATATGGATTCCGCCAGATATGAATAACGTAAAGATCGTACATCTTCGCTAAGCATGTCGTTCATTCCTCTGTTTTGGTCCTCTAATTCGCGTTTTGTTAGTTTCAAGTATTTGAGACATGATGAACTCTAGATCAGGGACCTACTTCGCATGTATCCCTCAACATTCTGTAAGTGGTGTCTCTGCTCGCCGCGAATAGCTTCCCGAGAATAGTTGTGTTCGTCACCGTCCTCATAGATCGAGGCAGTTCCTGTATTAGGTCCCGACATGGTAAATTTAGGTATATATAGCAATTATAGTATCAAGTAGTAGTAGGTTTATGTGCTGTATATTTAGTCAATCAGTCTTCCTATCGAATATCAACCCCTAGGTAGTATTTATATATAAGTCTCGACCTTTACACCGTATCACCGCGTCATATCAATACGGCTTGACGTCTATTTTTCGGAACCTTTACACCTTAATCCTTACCATAGCTCTACCACAGCCGATAGATGCCATGTGCGACGTTTGACTACCTAGAGAGGGGGTTCGATGATGTCATTATGAAGCTCCAAAGTGACATGCATCTCCGCGCCCGCACCAACGCTCTTGACCAGAGTTATATTTGCTCAACTCTCTAGATAGCCATGTCGCGTCATTGAATGGCGATCCTCATCCCAGAATGACATTTTTCAAAACTATCTCGGCCGTTCTTTTGGTCGGCGTTTATGTCTATTTCGCTGCGACTCAATACTGGATCGTGTCTACCCGACCGCCTGTGCGCACAGAGGTCCATGGAGGTGGTATCGAGATACCGTCATTTGGCTTGGGGACTTGGCTCTCCGATGAAGATAAAGTCGCCCATGCTGTAGAATTTGCGCTGAAGTCGGGCTACAATCATGTTGACGCAGCATTGATATACAGTCTGTCTGCTCCAGAACTTCATATACATAAGATATGCGAAGTTGACGAATTACAGAAAATGAAAAAGAGACCGGAAAAGGGATACTGGCAGCGAACTTGCCCCGCAACAAGCTCTGGGTGACAAGCAAACTGTGGAATGCAGATCATCGACCAAAGGAGGCGACCATCGCCGTCCAGAAATCTGTGAAAGACCTCGGCGTGGGTTACTTGGACCTCTATCTCATGCACTGGCCGGTCGCGTTCGTGCCTGGCGAAGGCACGAAGGTAGATGAAAGCACCACGATCGTCGACACCTGGCGGGCAATGGAGAACATTGCGCGCTCCAACCTGACTAGGAAGATTGGCATCTCGAACTTCTCCAAGCGCGATGTTGAGACGATTTTGGAAATCTGCCAGATCTGTCCGTACGCACATGAGTTCGAGACTCATCCCTATCTTCAGCAGCAAGATTTCGTCGACTGGCACAAGGAGATTGGGGTCACAGTGATTGCGTACTCACCCCTAGCTAACACGAACCCAGTGTATAAAGATAAACAGAAGCTAGATCCAATTTTGAAGGACCCCTTATGGATCGACCTGGCGGAGAAGAAAAACGGTACAGTCGCGCAGACGGTTCTGGCGTGGGGTCTTCAGCGTGATACGGTCGTCATTCCGAAGAGCGTGCAAGAGAAGCATATCCTTGAGAATTTGGGCGCTTTGGATATCAAGTTCACTGAGGAAGAGATGCTCGAGATTGCTATACATGATAAGAAGACGAGGATGAATGATCCGGGAAGAGGCTGGGGCGTCAAGCTTTTTGCTGATTTAGATGATCCGACGCAGTTGGATGGTGATGAGTATGAGCTTTAAGTGCATAATGACCGTTCGCGGATTCTTCGGACGTGGGTATATGGCTCCAATTTGAAAGACAATACAGGATGCTATCAGAGAGGTTAACAATGCAAGGTGTCTTCTCATACTAATGCAGGAAGTCTCCATTACCAAATTTTCTGCTACTAATTGAATAATTTTCCGATCGCTAGGAAAGCTCCCTATTACGTGTGATACCAGACTACTATTGCAGCCTATGATGGTTCTTCCTTGTATCTAGCAGGCCGCAAATTACCGACCACCATTCGCCTAGACCAACAATCTAGGCTAAATATGCACTCACCATATCGACCTTCGATCTCCCAAGTTAGAGATCTGGTCTCGAATTAATCTTCATATTACTCTGTCTCGGCGTTCTTGGGCGCTCCAATAGGGATGGCCATACCCTCTCCGGTGAAAGTGGCAGGGAAGCATTCGCAACACTACCAAAAACTTGGACACCCTCGCCTCAGCACCTAGCTATATTCATCCGCGCTGCATCCAGATGCGAGACACATACATATTGAATCAAGTACCCCTCATGGAGCTCACTGGTACTGCTTGTGCATCTGTTTCGCCTAGTCTATAGACGAATCTCCCAAAGTCTCAGTCAGCATCGAAATTCCGCAAGATCGAGAACATCAACGATCAAGGTCAAAGCTATTCAACCAACGATTTGAAGATGTATGCCTCTTCGACCCTTACTACCATCATGGCGCTCGTTACGGCTGCCCTTGCGACAACCGGCCCATGCAGTATAAGCGAGCCAGACTACACCTGCGAGCCTGTGATGGATGCTAGCGCTTGCTACAACGCCATAATCCTGGGCTGGGAGGGTGCCAGCAAGAACCCGGCTGACATCTTCAAGTGTGTGGATCCTCCGGAGCTTGTAAGTTACTTTTTAATTGCTTGGTATGGACTTGTGGTCTACGAAGGCAGCCGTACGTGGCGTGTATAGTAATCAAGATGAATCCAAGAGGTGGTATTCTTGAAGTGACAGATCTCTGAAAACTGGGGGACCATCCCTTCGAAATCCCTTAGGCTTACGGATATGTTGAACAGATGTGCGCTTGTTACGGCTGCACTGACGGTTTAGACGAACTCGTCAACAAGAACAACTTATGTCCATACAATGGCACCTCGTTATTGTGAGATATACGTGAGGCTTGGACGGGCACGGACGACCTCTCCATTTCATAGAGGTTGTGGTCGATCGGATATGAGCTCTATGTTTCGAGGAAAACTAAGTCAAAGTTTTGACTGCTGCGAGTACTTACAACTCAAGGGATTGATAAATCGGAATCTCGGACTTTTCACGTTCAATGTCATATCGCATCAGACCGTTGGAAATCAAAGGAGATGCTTGAGATTATATCGTAGAGGCATCAAATTAATACAAAAATAAGGACAACAGCAAGTGAGACCATAGCAGCCAGTCTGCTATTTCTTCTCAATTTCGTAGCCGCGCTCGTAGTCCCTCTCACAGACGTGCCAGCTAGTTTCCGTGTCACGAAATCGAACGCGTCTTGGCCGTAGACACTAGCATAACTCTGATGCGTTGCGCTACTATTCCCTTTGGCGCAGTACAAGTCCGCCTCGTCGCAGTACGAGCGAATGATGCCTTGGAAAGCAGGGCATTGATACCCTGATGGACGGGCAGCAAACTGGGTTTACCAAGTCAGTCAGTATAGACATACACAATATTGCTTACATACGCCTCCCGCAGTAGCGTTGCCGACATTTCCCACTCTCCCTGGGACATTGCGCGGGCTTCCCATGAGTATGATCGCTGCTACCATTCTGCTGACACCGGCCGATACACTCTCTCTGGTTGTGTTCAGCGAGAAACCGTCTGGGCCGCCACAGAAAGCGTCATCTACGATTTGCGCACCCTAGGTGTAATGATAAGTGGAAGAAGTCAGATATATAATCAGTCTTGCTGCATGTGGAATTGAACTGACTTGAGAGTAACCTATGACTATTAATGTAGCATTTGGACACTGCTGAAAGTAAGAGTTGGCCTGGGCCGCCACTGCACGAATCCCCGCAGCAACACTTCCGCCATACATATTTCCTCCCGCAGCAGGATATACGATGGACTCCGCCGAGGCATCGGGATATGCGCGTTGAATTGATTCTATTACACGGCCAGTCGTGCCGAAGCCTGGCGGCGCTGTTGTCTCGCGGGCGCCGAAAATGTGCAGTTCAGAGCAGCTTGCACGGTTACCAAGGCGAAGGCTGGCCTTCACCGTGGCTACCATAAACATCGAGAGAAAGGACATGAGCTTCATCATTACTTGACTGGAGTTGGATCTGGACTTGAATAGCTAAGGGCCACAATTTCAAGTCCCCCTCGCTCGCTTTTGTAGCCATATTATCCACACTTCCAAGTTATGATCTTTGGGAGGCATGAAAGGGGGGATCTGCCGACAGTGATCATCAAGCGCGAAAATCAGGGGATTGTGCTACGTCAGAGCGCACCTATTGCAAGAAGACTTAATTGCCTTTTGTAAGGAAAACAAATAAGCTGAATGGTTTTTGTCTTGTAACCAGTTTCGAGTCCGCATGGCGGATGAGCGCCTACGGGTAGATCATGTCACGGGACGGGAACGTCGGCTTTTGAAACATGGGGTACGGGTGATTTCCAAGTGCCGACAGCATCAATGATGCACAGGCTGAGATCAAGAACGAATGGCATAATTACCGTGCTCGACCGTTAGGATCTAATCAGAGGGTTAGGTTCGATGCTTACGAGACATTACAAGTGGTTGTGCGAAATATGCAGGAATGTTAGAAGAGGGTAGGAATAGGGATATCCAATCGTGCATGTATGGGTTCTTCGACAAATGATCGTCTGATTTACGGCGGTCAAAGCCCATGCTCATGTCTGAGATTGGAGAATAATTAAAGAACAGATGAATAACAAGTAATTACTAGTATTGATAATCGAAGCCAGCTATAACTTCAGTGTTGAAAATACACAGTGGAGATGGCCAAATTTTCATATTCGGAGACTATAGAATAGTTTTCCGTTGATGTTCTGCCGGCCGATTCGATTGGCACCAGAGAATGAGCTGTGCATATGGCAGTGAACGACTCTACGAGGCTAACGGCGACGTTTACCGCTCCTACAGATGTGTTGTTGGCTATTGCCTACGTATGTATAGATAAGGATACCCATATCGTGGTTATCTCCTATACAAGGCACTTCCTATTCTTAATCATGAGCAAATCTTTTCTTTAAGTAATATTTCGGTAGATCCTCTAGGGAATCCTGATAATATCACTGGCGGAAGCAGATGATGAACTACACGATAATGTGTAAGTGCGCCTGCGTCCACCTCGCGACACGACGGAGTTGTTCTAGGTCGAAATCCCCAGGAGAGGCGGAAGGGCAGGCCTATTAAGGACCTGCTCTTGCTGATACGGTGTAAGTGAAGCAAAATTAGCTAGGTCCATTGTGAAAGATATCAAGTGTCCTTGAAGGACGTTGTTATCGAGGGGAGAAAGGAGGCGAGGGACTTATCCGGAAAGCAGCTCTCGACAGTTGGGCACACCAATATGTAGAGCGTGAAAACCCGATGCCTAGGTAGATAGGTTATAGAGGAAGTTGGAGAGCAACGGCAGGCTCCTTGACGATCATATACAAATTGACGGATTGAAACCAAGAACCTCCGACCAAAAGCCTTAAAGAGATGAGGTTACAACGGGCTGTGCAAATTCTGAGAACCAGGGACGCATTGCAGAAAGCTTGCGATCGACAATGCAGCATGTCCTATACTGTGTGGTTGCACGGGTATGAGGTAGCCAGCCTCTCAACCGACTGAGCCTACATACCGTATTGATGTATACCTACAATGTTCGTATTTGACCATGATGAGTCGGCAGACTTCTTCATACTAACTGTCCAATATCTGGCATTGCATTCGATGACTCGCCCGCCCCCCAAAGTCCCCAAATCAGATTAGAGACTCGTCTCTTCCGATATCACGGTGTTCTGGTGGTTCCGGCTGGAATGGGGTCAGCTGCAGAATCGATTGTAGGGCTACTCCGACTTTCTGGTGGGGTAGTAATTGCGCTGGGGCCAAAACTGATGGTTGACTGTCCAATGTGCACCTAGAGTTCTGACGTTAAGAATACTGCGACGTGGAGAACCGGGTGAGCTGGGAAATATGTAGAATACAAGACATTAGAGCTAGAGATAGCCTAGAAAATCTAGTATATGTGTTGAGAGTAGACACTAGCAATCCAGTCACCATGGGGTTTAGGATATGTTACCGAGATTAAAGTGTAATATGGGAATTCACTGGGGATCTGACTCTACCGTTGGCCTGACTTCAATCATTTCTTCCCGAGGTGAGGATACCAATCCGTCCGCAGCCACTCTGAAAAGCATATGAACTTATGCTTAGAGAACTGTGGTGAGCTCAGTATATCTCATCCTAGCTACCGATCTTACCATTTCAAGGCTGTATTGGTAAACGTCGGATTCGAGTCACTCCAGCTTGTCGGACTGCGGCCTACTAAACCCGGTGTGCCCCCATTGCACCAAATCGGCCTTGCTGACTGCTCTACTGATCAATCTCATTAGTGAGTAGATATATATATTTACATATGCACTTACATATTTGTAGTTGAATGCAATGATGTATTACCTCTCCTACGACCTTGCAAGAGTTGTGTTGGTAGACACTCGCGCTGGCGCCCGCCACGCTCTGCGCCGGTCTGTTCTCCGTCTTCAGATCAAGGGCTATGGTAAGTCCTATTATGTGGCTGTACGCTGCTTACACTCGTAAATGCGAGTGTAGGTGGTGTTTCATCAAACCTTAGCAGTAAAACGGTTATATACAGTATATAACAAGTTTGGCTAAAAAGACGTGTGCTTCTCAGCGGGCATCTCTACCAACTTACCTATCGTGAAGTGTCGAACCAGTAACAGCTGGCACTCAGCTGGCGCGACACGATGGTCCACTAGCTGATTCTTCGTTGTAGGTAGGTACTTCAAACTCTACTGACATGCACTTCAGAATATCAACTGCGACCAAAAATTAACGAGATACGCCGCCTTGCTCATACATTCAAGAATCGGATACTATATAAATGACTATAATCGCCCAATATGGCGAATCTGACTCCAGCGAACCTGCACCTCCGGTAGAGTCAGACCACGGAGACGTGCTGTGTCGAGCTAAGGAGCTGCAAGCCGAGGTTGAGCAGTTTGCTGCACATCTCTGCAATGTCTACCGAGGATATTTTCAGGAATTTCCTCAAAATATGCATATTTCATTCTATCACGATGTATTGTCTGAGGTTCAAAACTTGGAGAATGACATCAACTCTGAAGATCCTTTCTCTGCACACCGCATATCCTCCTCCAACCTTCCTTACCTTCATGCCGTATGGAGTACTGCAAAGAGCTCCAAGAATATTGTCAAATTGAGACACCCCGTATTCAGTGGGCCCTTCAAACGCCGTATTTTGGCACCTGGAATTCGAATCAAAGATATTCTGAGCCAGGGTGGATCTGAGCCCAAGCGAAATCAAAACGGTCGCTCTACTCGCATCGACGTTATTTGTGATGGAGGGTTGTTGTGGTACAAGGTCTCGACCATCACGAATAGGAGACTGCTGTTTGATATGGCGAAAGAGTCCATATATTGCGGAGATAGCGACGATAGTGACTCGAGTAGTGACACATCCCAGGATTTTTCTGATGTTCCACTAGTGAAGATGGCTAGGACCTTGAAGACGATAGCTCAAGGGCACCAGATCCGCAATACTACTCCAACTATATGTCTCGTCTTGCCACGAATACAAGAAGGAGAGTATGTTGAAGTCGATAAAATAGTTAAGTTCTGCCGGGACATGGATGTCAATGTTTCTTGTGGCGATAAGTTGCCTGTTTCATTGCCCCTTTCAGATGACTTGCTTCATGAAATGGTGCCAAGTCCGAAGAGAAATATCACTTCGGAACTCAATATCGACACCTCAGTTCTCGTGGCGCTTACATCCGATATCTCCCACCTTCGAGTGACGCCGCAGTCGTGGTTTGGGCAATCTCAGAAAGACCACATTGACCTAGAAGCACACGATCCCCTCACACCGCAGCTTTGTTCACTTTTAGGTAATCACCAACTAGTATGCACGAAGGAAGCGGCGGCTTCTCTCGCCCGGATTGTACACACTATGGGAACTGTTACGGAGAATGCCCGAGCTCACCTCCTACTGACACCCGATGACACCAAAACCCGGGAACAGCGGCTTGAAGAATTCCGTGCGTTGTCAATCCACGCCAGCAGTATGCCATCATGCTTGCAGCTACCGATCCGAGTTTTGGATTCCGATACCAATCTTGATCAAGATGTTTACCAGATTCAATCAGATGCCTTAATTCAGGAGAAGCTCAATTCTTTGGCCCAGCCAGGAAGATCAGTCTTCTCATCTGGATGGGCCAAGGGTCTCACGACAATTACATGCAATGTTTGTAAGTGGGTTTGTTGTTGATATTGCCCTTCTGTCTCTGATACTTTTCACCTGCATTATCAAGAAGTCGCGTACACCCCACGACGGGCTAGTTACTAATTCCTCGATACAGTGGCAGTGAAGCAGCTTGAAAAGAATTTGGAAGAACTCCCAAGCTTAGATATATCGCAATGGCCCTCGATTTGGGCGTTCTCCTCATCTCGACCTCTTGTCGGTGTACGCAAGGGGAGCAGTGAACAGCGTATACGTAAACATATCGGAGATTGCCGTGCCACTTGTATCTGTGGTCTCGATGAGTTCAAGAAAGGCCAAGTTTCTCAATTGGCATGCTGAGTTCTACATTGTCTAATTTTGAACCATTGATTGCGGCCAAGCGTGTCCAACTCTAATACTCTACCAATTCAAACCCAATACACCCTTCGACATTTTCTCGTCTCTCAGACAATTGTCAAACTTATGCCTGACCTCAAGCACAGTCTCGAGGTGGGCAAGTGCAAGTGGTTGTTGCTCGAATCGTGCCATCGTACAGGCCGTGTGGAATGCATTCGCGATTTCTCGCCCGTTGAGTTCGGTAGCAGCTAGTTGATTTGCTGCTTCTTGGGCCTTGATAACCGATTGTTGAGCAGGGACTGTGCCGAGATATCGCAGCCAAATCTGGCGGCGCACATCGATCTCAGGAGGTGCGTATCCCAGTGCGAGATGGATTCGTGACTTCATCGCCTTATCAAACGTGCTCACTCGGTTCGTCGTAAGGAAGACAATGCCACTGAAGTACTCTAATTCCTTAAGAAACGCTTTAGGAGGAGGTTAGTCTCTGTTTGCATACCACATGCATGAAAAGAAACCCCCAAAACGAGGAAGGCAACGCAAACTTACTCGCGACTAATGCATTTCGATCGGTGTTATTATCTTTCCGCTCCTCTAGGAATACATCCGCTTCATCAAGCAGTACAATTCCTTTCCAGATAGTGGCATATTGAAGGACCCTTTTGAGTTCTTTCTCGAATTGCATTGAGCCGGAAATCATACTATACGACCGTCATATTAGTACGACGAGGGGGCGAATGTCTTTGTAATGGCTCACCTAGACGCTTGGTTAAGCTCTCCTATCGATGTAGCAAATAGGGCTTTCTGGGAAGCTTCGGCGGCCACTTCAGCAGTGAGTGTCTTACCTGAGCCTGGAGTACCATGTAACAGGATTACAAGTCCCTTGCCCTTCTGCTGCGCTTGGTCTCGAGGATTATCCGGGTATTCATGGGATGTGACTAAAGATCGAAGGAGCCGTTTCTCCTTCTCCGGAAGAACGAGCGTGTCCCAGGTATTTGGGATCCAATCTGCATCATGGATGTTCTGAACCAGGAGACGAACCCATCGCTTTTGACTAGGAGCATATCCCACCGTGTATGGAGGACAGAGCCATGGCCGAGGTTCAGCAAGCTTGACCTTGATGTGACTCATTCGTTGCTCCTCTCCGAAGGTCTTGCGGTCCAATATAACTCGCCCTGTCTCCTTATACGGCAGCCAGACACCACGGAACTTGCAATCACTTGGGTCGTAGTAGTCGAACGGAGGTGGCTTGAGCCACTCGGCCAAGCCGTCATATCTCACAGTGGAACGGTCCTTCAGAGCCAAAAATTTCTCTCCCCTAGCTTTTAGGCGGCGTTCGAGAGAATCCCCGGCTGACGCGAACTTACGCGGATATATCGCTAGCCCTGTGATCGCCACGGGGGCTCCTTGGGGGAATATAAGGCGCTGGAACAGCTTCCTGACTGATGGAGCGTCGCCTACGGTAGTCCCGTTGTCATCCGTATAAACAGCATGGATTTCCAAATAGGGGCCATCGTCGGGAGTCTCTTCATATACTGCTTTCTTGCATACGAGAAGCCATGGCTCACCCATGAACTCTTGGTACAGGATGTCGCCCGGTCGATAGATGAACCAGGCATTGTCAAACGAGATTTGGCCTTTCTGAATCATCTTCAGCGCGTGATTGTGGTCTGAACCAAGCTCACGTTCCATGAACTCGAAGAGAAGATCCACGTGCTTGCGTCCGTCTGTGTCACACAGAGCCTTGCGATATTCATCCAACTCATCCCAGTAGTGCACCAACATGGTGAATGGCGCTTCGAGTTGCAGGGACGAAGTGAAATCAGACACCACGGGATCATAGGAGCGGATGACATCTCGAAATGCCTTCAGGATGTGTGGAGAATTGACTGTCAGGGTGGTCTTCTTCGAAGAACCTTCCCTAAAAGACCTCTTGATCACCAAAGCATAGGTGCTATCATCGCTATGCTTGGTATATTCGGCAAAGGGTTCAGGGATATGCTCGGACATAGGAACGCCATCTTTTATAGTCTCATGGTAGGCTTTGAATTCGCACTTGCTCCCAGTAGGCTGGGATGCAAGAGGACCGTTTGACAAGGCTTTGGGCATGGTGAGAGAAGTGATGAGTATGCTGTGAGTGTGCTGAGAGAAGAAGCTTGCTTTTCAAAGGCCATCGTGGAACAACAGGTCGGAGTAGCCATTTTATATCCGTCGAGAATGGCTTGCCCGCCGTAAGACCAAGCAACGATCCTGTGAAACTTGAGTACATTGAGTGACGTCCCTTGCCTGGTCAGACCTGGTGAGCCCATATTCTCGAACTCGACAATTCGCCCACGCCTCATACCCAGCTTCTAGGAATTAGAAGGATGACACTAGGGTAGGGCATGGGTAGGACATGGGTCAGGCAAGGGTATTGGTTAGGGGTGCTGGCGTGAGATAAGTTAATTGGTCTATTTGTCCCGCTACCATCTCACTGTCCCGCTCCTTGTCCAGACCCTTGCCTCAAGGTGGGTAACTACTCGGTAAAGTGTAGTAACGTCTCCAGCTCTAACGAATGACAAACGCCCACATCCATGAAGACGCTAGGCCCAGGAAGTGAGGCTGCATCGCTCAGAGCTCGGAATATAGTGCGCTTCGGTAATCTGTCGCAGGTGATGCTTGTGATGGACTTTCGAACATGAAAATATTACTATCGAGACAACGCAAGCATCGGCAGATTTACCATACAATCTATGCTTGGAAATGGCCGGACATGTCCGTAGGATGAGCTTCGACGTTAGGGCCGTGCAGGGCGGTTGTACACGGATAGTATCACTACGTACTATAAAACACACACTCTCAGAAACACGTCACAACCTACCTAAAAGACTAGGCTACCTTTGTCATCTCTAAACCAAGAACCCCACGAGTTAACGCAGTCCGACTGAAACCCCCACTAGGCAAAGAAGTGGGCTAATCATCTGCTTATAACTAGAAGGAGACTCGAAAGACAACGAGTGCTCCAGGGTAGGTGATGATAGTCGGGGGAACATGTGGGGTTCCAGGCAGACAAGCAGTCCGTATGTACTTCTGGACTACGGATCCCCATACTTCCTTCCCATACCTACATACCTATCAGCTCTCATAAAAAAAAAGGATGCATTATGCTGCGGCGGGGGCGGGGGCGCAGACAAGCTGTGCCGAGTACTTACATGTAGGCAATCAGTCCGCCTGCTTTATATATAGTTGTTGTACTCACATGTAGAGCCTCCAGTATGTGACAAATCTGTCGCATTGCAGGCAGTCATATCTCCTATTGTACTATAGCTTGCAATACAGCAGTAGCTTTGTGCCGCTGCCCTGCTCGCGACGTTTGCACCGGAGGAGAATGTTCCTGTTCTCGTTGGCCGTTGCTTAGCAGAATACCCTATCACGTTAGAGAGATTGCCTACGGAGTCATCATGACTAGTTTCGTCTTACCAATATGGCATAACAGGTGTGAACCTTCTGAAAGAAATAAGCATACCCGTGATTTCGAGTGAGGCTTGATCAGGTATATGAAGTCTCATCAATCGTCTAGGTGGGAAAGCTCCTGAAGCCGTAGCTCTTGGAATCCACTCCTGTTGCTTGACCTTCTCCCTAGACTGGTGAGCCCTCTTTACTATAAGTCCTTTAATGACTGAAAATCATCCAGTTAGCCATTCAAGTAAAGATAGTGTCTAGGTGTATAAGCATATTATTGCCAAAGCCGCCCAAATATAATTTTGTATATAATTACAACATCAAAATCAATGTAAATAATAAGCCCATTCGCCACATATATCTATTTATCACTTCCACGAGAAATCGTGTTGAACTCTATCCTCACAATCACAGTCTTTCGCCCTCGGATCGCGCATCCAATAATTTGGTATACCATGCAGTGTGTGCTTCTTATCTGAGTCCTAATTATATATATTTACATCATGGCGTGTCCGTCGATGCCGAGGACCTTGCCGTTCATCCAGCCACCATCATTCGAGGCCAGGAAGCAGACAACACGAGCAATATCGATAGGCAGTCCGACACGGTGCAAGGGAGACCAAGTACAGGCGTACTAGTAATACATTAGCAACTTCAAGACAGAATAGAGAACGGAAGATGTGGAATTTACCTCGTCAACCTCCTCATCTGATAGGCTCATGCCATTGGGGATATACTCGCGGCAGACGGCGTGGTACATGTCCGTCTTGATGCCGCCAGGCGCAATACAGTTAACCGTGATCTTCTTGTCGCCGAAATCAATGGCCATGCACCGGACAAAGGTCTCGATGGCGCCCTTGGAACCTGAGTAGACGGCGTGCGCGGGGACGCCCTTGGCCTGGCCCGTGATGGAGCCCATCATGATGAGGCGGCCGCCGATCTCGAGGTGCTTGTAGGCCTCGCGGGCGACGAAGAACTGGCCGCGCGTGTTGGTGGCGAAGACGCGGTCAAACTCCTCCTCGGTGACATCCTTGACATGCCCGAAGGAGACGACGCCACTGTTGGAGCACACGATGTGCAGCTTGCCGAAGATCTTGATGGCCTCTTCGAACAGGGCGACGATCTCGGATACCTTGGACACGTTGGCGCGCACCGACGCCGCGTCGCTGCCGCTCTTCTTGATGGCCTGCACCACCTCCTCGGCCGACTCCTTGCTGTTGGCGTAGTTGACGATGACCTTGGCACCGCGACGGCCTAGCTCTAGGGCCATCTCCCGGCCGATACCACGACCTAAGAATAGGTGTTAGTGAGGTAGGATTTAGGGCTCGGTAATCGGTTGTTTGGGGTTGTTGTGCGAACAGGTGATTGGTCCGACCCCAGGAGAGCGAGACATCCGGACATGTAGATGGGGTTTGCCGGACAACCACACTTGACCTTAATGGAGATGGAGGGGTTTGTTCCCGGTGTTTGGAACCGAATGAAACGTCGATGAACTACTTACCAGCGCCAGTTACAAGTGCTACCTTTCCCTCCAAAGACGCGGATGCCAGACCCAGAGGGCCAGGGATCGCGTCGTACTTTGTAACAGTGCCAGGCATTTTGACTGTTTGTTTGGAGTACAAGTTGTGATGTCGTAAAGAATGAGTCGGTGATAGAATGAGCGTGACAAGGTGACCAATATCACTTCCAAGAGCACAACTGGAGCAAGCTGCTATGAAGATGAAGACTGTTTATTATATCTCGCCCGAAGGGCAAGCTGATTTGTATATAAAGCACCCACCTGCGCAGCCAAGGGAGGAACCCTTCGCCCTCGTGATGTCTGACGGACCCTGTTGGAGAGACACCGAGCCGGACATCAGGGAAGGATCCTCGTTACTCTGTGGCATTGTCTAGATTTAGGTTCTGTCTCTCCATTGAAAGTTCTGTCTTGTCCGGACTTTGCTTCACTGGCGAGCTGACCTTGGTGGTCCGGCGGACAGGGGGCGTGGCTGTCCGAAGCTGCGGGCCGAGAGGCTGGCTCAGATTAGCACTTTCTGCAGAGAATTGATCGCTGCGAGGACATCATTTGCTGCTGCAGAGATCCGCTGTGGCACAAGTGCGGCATGCGACCTCGACTAGAGATGTTAGTTGTGTCCGGTGCTTGGCCATTTGACGATCCAGACTCGGTGCCGAGTGAATTAATATTCATCGCGGTGGTGTTGGTAGGCGATTCAAGTTGGTGCTTCATTTAACGTGCACTATCTACATGCGATGTGGTGTCTTGGATTGATTGCAACGGCGATAGGAACTTATATCATTCAGTCGGTTTGAAATTTAGATCGCAACAGAATGCCATGCGACATTTGCGGTGCATTGCCAACCTCGTATCCGGCATGGCGATTCATCTTCGGGCGACGGCACGCGCGCCTAGGGATTACACGAAGGTCTCGCAGCTGAGAACCCAGCCTTTCTCTCACCACAGCTCCGTCTTCGTCAGCATCGTGAAGACCGGCGAACTCACCATACCCCGTCGCTGAGCCCGCCATCATGTTTAGCGACACACGCACAGAAAACTGTACGACGTGAAAGCAGCAGTGGCTTATGAATGCCTTTCTTGCGTGATCTGTAGAACCAACGACTCCGGTAACCTGTGAACAAAAGGCTGATGAAAGTTCCGCCTAGCTTCGCCGGCTAGGTAGACTTACCTATTCCATGTGGTGTGAATCAACTTGAAAGATGATTGGCTGGCGATAGCTATCCCGCGGGCGATGCAGGGGAAAGCTGAACAACCCACGCCTGCAGATATCCTTGCTCCGGTTGGAATATGTATATGAACATTTTCGGCATCATGTAAGCCCTAATTAAACCTCTAAGGGATGCTTCAGTTTGGCCCCATGCCCTGTCCGTCTAATTTGCGAAGGAATACTTATCTATGAGTGAATCGAGGACTAAAGATCCCAGAGCCGTGTCATCCGTACGCAGCATAGTCTAAAGACACTGGGTCGTTGCGAGAACCGCCGGGAAGCTCTCGGTTGGATAGCTTTGGCGATCTCATGTACGATGGTATTTCTCATGCGACTTATTTATGCGGTAGGTACACAATCGATAGGCGAAGATGGTGTCTGGCTACTGTTCACGACACCATGTCCAAAATCTTGTAGATGAGGCGTCAACTACAGTGAAGAAGTCGGCTTCTACTAATGTTAATAGGACGTCTAAGAAACACGTCGATAATGAACTTAGAAGTTTAAAGAGCGTGTTTGTATTATATGAGTAGTTGGATAGTAGCAAGTGGTATTATGATATATTAGTCATGACCCCTTGAGTTGCTCTGATGACAAGAAAGGGCTGCAATTGACGGAAATCAAGAGTTGGCAAGCAGCAGACTCATAAAGATAGTCTTTTCAAATTAATTCATGTATGGGAAGTTGATATTGCTTCTTGACGCTGTATAACGTTAATCTCTATTATTCTGACGTAGTCTCTATTCATTCACTGCTACAGCTGTTTTACCCCAATATTATATGCTATTCATCATATCATCATGGGCTGAGCCTCTCTAGAACCCATTCGTCACTCCCACCCGGAGTAGAGTCCTTCTTTGTGTAGACGAATCGGTCATGCAACCTGCTCTGGCGACCCTGCCAGAACTCGACCGACTCTGGCACGATCCTCAAGCCACCCCAGAATTCCGGAATAGGTATATGTTCCTGTCCCTCGAACCTCTCTTCAACCTCCTTCACCCAGCCCTCAAGTTCTTCCCTACCGTCATCACCGCCCTCAGCCGTGCCAGTACTAGCACCAGGCGTCAAGACTTGGCTCTGCCGACTCGCCCAGGCCCCGATCCTGCTCTCACGCACCCGCGTATCGAAATACTTCTGGCTATCCTCGCGCGAGAGCCTCGTGGCGGGCCCTTCGACACGGACCTGTCGCTCGAGCTCCTCCCACCAGAAGGTCAGGCTAGCCCAGGGATTGGAGGCGAGATCGCGCGCCTTGCGGCTCGTGCCGAAGTTGCTGTAGATCACGAAGCCCTCGGCGTCAAGCTCCTTGAGATACACCATGCGCGAAGACACTCGGCCTGACGGCAGCGACGCCGTCGCGAGACAGCATGTCTCCGGGTGTGCTACGCGACCTGATTGCTGAGCTGTTGCGAACCAGGCGTGGAACTGCCGGACTGGTGACGTCGCGTCGAGATCGGCGCGCGTGAGAGCTGCTTTTGTGAACTGGTCTGCTTGACCGTGGGCTTCTTTCCCCGCCGGTGCGACTATCTTGTGTGATTAGTATATGTATATAGCGAATATGTGATGTATATATGAAAGGGGTGAGAGGGTGTGTGTGGTGTTATGTAGTCGGACCGCTCCGTGTCGGGGCTATCCATCCATCCAGCCATTCATGACTGACTGACTTGATTTGACTGAGAGGTGCTTACAGATGTATTTCGCACTGCCCCCGCTCGCGGAATGCAGTGCCATCCTACCTGACGATCTTATAAGTTTCGAGATGGAGGGATGCATGAAACTTAGAATTCGTCTCTGCCTTTTTATTTGTTTAAGGGAGAGGCAGTGGTACTAACTTATATGAAGTGCCGAGTGGTACGAGTGGTGACTAATGGATGTGGAGCTGCAATTGGCTCATCGCAGGAAGCACACGATCACGAGACCCGAGAAGATGGGTTGCTTTTGTTCGAGTACTTTCTTCTATTTGTTTATAGTCTATATCTATGTTGTTTTACTTGTCAAAGAAAAATTAACTTCATTGGTTCAAGACATTACCATTATTGGCTACTGTCTACTTACGTATACTTACACGAAGTCCTGAACTCCTGCCTCAGGAAGCCCCCGCGCTGCCCCTAAGGTCGCTTGCGAGTCTCGCTAGGTAGCTACATAATACCTATAGGAAGGTATGATCAAATGAGCTCGAGAGCGAAATGTTTCTGCCTGGGTACTGAGATGTACGGGTCGCCGCAATTTGGAGATTTCTACCTGTTCAATTTAATATGACATGTAAATACCTCCTAGGTATTGTAGGGGAGTAATTGAAACATGAGAGCCCCACGTTACATAAGTACAGTAGGATCAATTCCAAAGCTGGGACCTGGATAAGGTGTCAGTCGATGTTTTTTTATAGTGGGGTGAGGGGCCGATCGTTTTTTATCGTTTATCAGCCGCATGCCCCCTCTATCGGATCTGATAACATTTTACCCGTCAATAACCTTGAAGAGTAGCCATTTTCACTTACAAGAAGACTCATTGCACACCCGACTAGGGGAACATTCTTATCCTACAGTGATTGTTCTTCTTCAGACCTTCTAATGTCTTCCGAAACCGATAAAAAGGCGACTATCGCCAGCTTGCGCGAGTCGCTCTGTTCTGAGTCGACCCCGCTGCCCATCCGCTTCCGCGCCCTTTTCTCTCTCAAGCACCTGGCAAAGCATGAAGCCGGGGAGGATGCAGTAGCCGCCATCGACGCTATCGCCGCCGCCTTCGCCTCGCCATCTGCCCTCCTTAAACATGAGCTTGCTTATTGTCTCGGCCAGTCCTCCCACCCCGCTGCTATCACGCCGCTCCGAAACGTCTTGGCGGATCTACAAGAAGACCCCATGTGCAGGCATGAGGCCGCTGAAGCGCTGGGCGCGCTCGGAGACGCGAGTAATCTAGACATACTGCGCCGGTTTCGGGATCGCGAGGGAGAGGATGTTGTTATTACAGAGACATGCGAGATTGCCATCGACAGGATAGAGTGGGAGAACTCAGAGCAACGAAAACAAGAGAAGTTGCGCAAGAGGTCTGCATTTCTTATTCAAGGGTAAGACTGTGTTTGTGCTTTCTAGGCTGACGGATATATCTTCAGTGACTTTGCCTCCATCGACCCCGCGCCCCCAATGCCCGAATCAACCCAGACTGTCGACGAACTGGAAAAGACGTTGATGGACACAAATGCGCCCCTCTTCCTCCGATACCGTGCCATGTTCGCCCTTCGCGACCTTGCCTCGCCGCCTGACCTACCGACCGCCGTTCCTGCCGTGCTCGCTCTGGCCAAGGGCTTCGCAGACTCGTCTGCCCTCTTCCGACACGAAATTGCCTTCGTCTTTGGACAACTCTCCCATCCCGCATCTATACCATCCCTCACGGCTGCGCTGAGCAACCTGGAAGAGGTCAGTATGGTTCGACACGAAGCAGCGGAGGCGCTGGGTAGTCTCGGCGACGAGGAAGGCGTTGAGGAAACCTTGAAGCGGTTCTTGTATGATAAGGAGAAGGTGGTTCGAGAAAGCGTTATCGTAGCACTGGATATGGCCGACTTTGAACAGTCACATCAAACTGAATATGCGCTGATTCCCGAGGCGCCAAAGGTAGCGGCATAGGGTCCTAGGCGTCTTCCAATAGCATATGTTTGGCGTTTGGCAATGGGACGGTAAAAGTGGGTTTTCTCAAGAGGCGCACTCGATATAACTTGGTAGATTCATTTTCATACTTATAGCATGTCGCGTGATGCATTAGTTGTCAATCTTCCATCTGCAGCATGGGTTAGCGATCCGAATCCCATGAACGATCGGGGAGGGACAGGGCCGTACCTATTGCCACAGTCGCAGTTGTAAAATATAGTACTTCCTTCGTCGGCACCGCGCAGCTGCACGGCCGAGAATCTGACTTCAGTTCGCCCACACTTGTCACATGTTACGTTCGCAAAAGCTTCGGTGTTGATCTTATGCTTCTCGACTGTCTGGACTATAGAGAGCTTCTGCCGTAACAACGAGGGGAAGTCGGAGGGTTTGCTCTTAGTTACAGTTGTCTTCGACGCCGTATCTAGAATCCAGCATTAGCTGTCTCCCCCCCATTCGGTCGAAGGAACTCCGAATTCAATCGGATATATATCACTAACCTTTGTTGTCAGTGCCACAGCAATCGCAGTGCAAGATGTTTTTGACGTTTCCCTTTGACACGGGTAGAAGATTGCCGCAGTCTGAGCAGAAAATCAGAGACCCAATGGTCGCCATATTTTCATCAACTGTATTCCCAGAGCACAGGAGGATATCGTCCAAGGTAGCAGTTTAATGCAAGAAGAAATGGCCTTGTCAGCTCATGAAGCGCAATGAGTGTATATTATAACTAGCAGGCTTGACGATGTGCAGACGCGGAAAAAAAATACTAGCCAATCAATCCCTACCTCCTACTGTAGGCGCCCTAAGGCGCCTTAAGGCACCTACAGTAAGGACCCCGGGGCTCCACTTGCAGTGTACCTCCAGGCCCCTTGCATCCCTCTGAAGTCATATCAGCAGCCTATCGATAAGCACCATTAGTAGGCGTTAGCGTGCAAAGCAGCTCCGAGAGAGAGAGAGAGGCGGCGGCGGCGCAGCTACCTAATCCAATAGGAACGGCGTTTGAAGCCTTCAGGCGCGGCGCGAGAGATGAACGTACTTTGTAGAGCTTGACTGTACCTGAACCATACTTCGTGGTCCAGCTCAAGCTCATGTTGAGCCAATCCCTGGCCGAACCAACCTAGCATCACATGAAGATCAGTTTCCCGCCCGTCTTCAACCGACGAGAACACAGCCTAACCGCCTGTATTCCACGTGGCACGGTCGAAATCATTCCGTTACGTGCCACCCGCGACCCTTCGAGCTAGCTCTGATTGCTCTCTTCTCGGCCAAAGACGACCCAACAACGCCTCGACGCATCGCGATACATCTCTCGCTTCCCCCTTCGCTGTGCACTCGCCCGCCCTTACCTCGCCTTGGCACACAGCCATCGCGATGACAGCGTGGAGCTGGAAAGTGAAAGAGCACAGGTGAAGAGGAATGCACGGCGCGCGATCTCACGATGGCGCACAACCAGCCCTATTACCAGAACGGTGTATTGCCGAACACTGAACAACAGTTCTCTGGCCCGCCATCACAGCAATCACACAATCGCACACGACCTTTCTCTCTGGATGAAGCCTTGCCGTATACGCCCTTTACCTCCGTATTTCCATTTGACTCAGGCAAGTGCGGCCTCTTGCTCTTGGACATGCTCTCCTTCCGAAATCTACATCTCGTGCCTGCCGCATTCGACAAATACTCCTTCCGCTCTCCTCTCGTGACCCAATGTTCACCCGCCCAGGCTCTTTCACTGACACACAACCCCCTCCCACTCTACTTTCCCATCCTTCTAGAATGTGCAAGCCGCAGTGGTGCAGCTCCAAGACTAACCCACATCCTCTTATCCAGATATTCTGAGCAATCCAACTATTGGCACAGGCTCTTTTGCACCATCGCTTGCTAGCTTTATTTCAAGGGACGATTACGATGCGCTAAACCACGAGGCCGGAAACTCCAATCAGTCGAAACGTCTAGACGGTAGTCTCGAATATGTGCAGAATCTACTGAAGCCCGAAAAAATCACCAAATAGTATGTTCGCACATCGTGAGACTTTAGCTGCTTCTCTAATACCAGATAGCGAGTTCAAGACAGCACCCAAAACCACGTCAACATCCCACGATCCTGGAAAGAGGATCACGGACGGCATCTCCCCATTTGCCAAATTGGTGTTTGATAACACGTCAGTTGTTTTCGGACACCCCTCTCCTGATCCATCCTCCAGCTCCCCCACCAATGGGCTGTCGATGGCGCCAATGATGACGAAGAAATCGCCGCATCAACGCAAGCCGGACACGCCAAAGGTGGTTAAATATAATCCAGCTAGCACTAATACTCAGGCTGTCGCACATAACAAGTCCCGGATCGAGATTCATTTACCTAGCTCAAGACAACGAGATGCAGCCTCAGCTATGCTTACACCACAAGCTGTCCCCCAACCAGTAGCGCAGACTCAACCTCAAACTGTTTCACTCGCCGATCTCATGGTTAAACCGCAGGTTTCTCCTGTTCCAGTGCCTCGCATAGAACAAGGCTTAGTAATAACCCCGGTGCCTGTCATCCCACAAACACCCAAGGTTACCATACCACCACCAAACCCGCCATGTGTTGAGAAGGTTATTAAACAGGAGATACCTCAACCCCAACCACGCGTAGAATCACCGGCTCGAGTCTCACCATCATCAGCTTTGTCCTCACAGCGGCAGGGCGAGTTACGGATTGAACTGCCAAAAGCCACTTTTAATAGAGAGGAATTTGCTGTTGTGCCAGATTCGCCTGACGCCCCAACCGGTTTATCTAGCAGGAGAGAGGACGGGGCGATCGAAGATTCCTTGGAAAATGACTTGAATCAACGCGAGAGAGCCAATATTCTCTTTACAGAATTAAGAAGGTGTTTTCAGGAAATTTTCGAGGCTGAGGGTCAGCTCTCCATCCAACAAATTCATTCATCACCATACATATACCGAACAGCAGATCAAGAACTTACTATGACCTCGTATGCCCATGACAAGGCTCAAAGACTACTCAAAAGGGCTATAGATATGGGCTGTTTTGGTCAGATTCCCTCTGATCCTCTCATTCGACTGCAAAATCTTAGTGAAGGGTCTCTAAAAAACGCCGACTCACTTGAGTTTAAAATCAACGAAGAGTGGGGTGAAACCGATGTCAACTTATGGGTGCAACAGATACCGGATATTGAGAGGGGGTTGAAGGCTGCGCGGACCGCTTTAAGAATCATGTGTGGTGGCCGTGAAGAGAAACAGCTTTACTCCGAAGACCTCATTCAACTCAGTCTCGATCTTTTCAGAAATGTCATGGAGGGTATCATTGTGCCCATTGCTGAAGTGCGAAGCACAGGTCCCACTACTGTTTTATTTCGCAGCTTGATCGCCCATAAGAAGACCATTATGACATTGTTTGCTTGCAGCCAAAAGCTCTTCGCACTGATGTCCGATCTTATCACAAGTATAGAGCTCTCCGAGACCGTTGTCAATACTTTGGAGTTTCTCTCATCCCACTTGATGTTTGTGGAGAATGCATACACCGAAAAGGACTCAGTAGTAGGTGTTTCCAAGTTTGATGGGCTGCGCCTAGTAGCCATGCATATGCTCTCTCAGATCTTTTTGACGAATCCCTCTCAGCGAGAGGGGATCCTTAGTGAGATCTTGACTTCATTAGAAAAGCTTCCTGTTGGTAAACAAAAAGCCAGACAGTTCAAGCTCACCAGTGGCGGGAGTATACAGCCTATCTCGGCTCTTATTATGCGGTTGATCCAAGCTAGTGCCGGTAAAGTAGATGATGGCAAAGACGAAACACGATCGCAATTCATGCAATCCATACAGGAGAATGCGGTGCCATCAACCCAGAAGGCCAATAAAAAGACTCAGTATACCATCCGAACGGAGGATCATGCTGCTGCTGAAGACGACGTTGCAGTCCAAGAGCTCCAAATTTTGTCAAGTAACTTGCTCGATGGAGCGGGTCGCTATGCTAACTACGTCGTCAACTTCATTGTGAAACGGGCATTAAAGTCTACGAAGACTGGGGATACACCGTACCGCAATCTTCTTGACCTTTTTGTAGAAGATTTTACCACATGCTTGGACTCTCCAGACTGGCCCGCCGCCGAGCTTCTTCTCCAACTAACCATGCGTTTGATGTTCAGCCAGATAGATGCTGAAAAGAACGCAGCACCAGCTCGAAACATGGCACTCGAGCTGTTGGGAGTAATGGCTGCATCAATCTCAAAATTGCGGTCTCACGTTCGCAAAATTGCTAGCAGTTTTGAGGGAAGCGACTCTGATGAGCTCGGTAGGTGGCTCGCCGATCTTAGTCTGTCAGTTCTAGAGGGCCACAACTCGGTTGATAAAGCACTTAAATGGGATGGCCCATATCGTATCGTAATCGAGTTTCTCCAAGGCCGAATGAACGAGGATGAGCACCTCTACAGTGCTATTTCGTACCTGGTGACAAATTGGGCTTCACAGATTGAGTCCGGGTATAGAATGGTCCCGGATGATGATGACGAAGATCGACATGCAGAATTTGGCCGAACGGCATATCGCTTACGGAACATGATCGAGGACTCAAAGTGGTTGGCAAGAGAGTGGAGATTTAAGTCTGTTGCCCCTAGTCACGCCCGATTATCACATGCAATTCTATTGCTGCGATCAAATTTCTGCATGGCGTTTAGAGGTATTTTGAACTTGCTTATGGGATCTATGACCACGGACCAGGCGACCGTGCGCAGCCGAAGTCTGAAGAGTGTCAATCAAGTTCTGGAGACTGATCCCACAATTCTTGATGGAGACAGTGCCTTCGTTGAGCTTATTTTACAGTGCTCTAATGATTCTTCACCCCAAGTCCGCGACTCAGCCCTTGGCTTAATTGGAAAGTGTATAAGCATGCGCCCAAGACTTGAAGAGAGAATGACCCCTACAGTCATCGAGCGTTTCGTTGATACCGGCGTTGGTGTACGGAAAAGGGCGATGAAACTTGCCAAGGACATTTATCTCGGAAATGAGAACAAAGCTGTCCGAAGTACCATTGCTAACGGCCTGCTGTATCGAATGCAGGATCCAGACGATGGCGTTCGCGAACTAGCCAGGCAAATGATTGAAGAAATATGGATATCGCCATTCTACAAAGAGGATGATTCCCTATCGTTCAAGCAATCACTCACGGATCACGTTGCCCTGATGGTCCAGACAACCAAGCAAGGTAGCACAGCATCCATCCTGGACAAGGTACTTCAGACGATTTTGTCTCCTGAATCCAAGATGTGCGAAGCCAACAGGCGAGTTTGCACTAAACTCGTAGCAAACATGTTTGACCTTGTGGACAATCCTGAATCGGACGACTCCTCTATACCGTCAGGAAAGGATGCTTTACAGGTCTTGATGATTTTCGCAAAGGCGGACCCGAAACTATTCACGTTCGAGCAAATAAGTCTTCTCAAACCATACATTGCCAGTGTTGCCAGTGTCAGTACAACCGACGACTTAGCTGTGTCGAGAGCAGTTGTAGTTATCTATCGGAGAGTGCTACCTCAGGTCTCTAGCATACACTCGCAATTTCTTACCGAAATTCGATCTCTTCTCATGCCTGCAACAGCTAAAGCTGTCAGAACACTTCTGGACGATGTAATAGCCTGCATATGGATTATTAGCGGTCTGCTTCATTCAACTGAGCACATTACTCGCCTTATCTCTTCGAGTCTTGCTGGTATCCAGAAACTCCGTGGAGTATTAGTCAAAGGGCTAGACGAGAAGATGACCAGGGCTTTCGACCGTTACTCACTCATTGTCGGAATGGGTGGCAAACATTGCCAGCTTGACGACCATGCGGACCTCTTCAAAAGTAAATTCCCGAACTGGAAAGGTGATTCGGTATCCAAACTTATGGTGGATGTAATCTGTCCCTTCGCTCATTCCTCGCAGCCGGTTAATATAAGAAAGCCTGCACTAGATGCCATTGGCCTAATCTGCCAGTCTAATCCCAGAAACTTTGTCAAAGAGAATGTTATCTCGGTGTTCGAACAGGTCTTCAAGGAAGAAATCGTGACTTTAGAGTCGATGATACTACGCTCTTTCAAAGAATTTCTCATCACCGAGGAGCAGAGGTCAAACCAGTCAAACCCCGGTGCTTCGAAAGAGAAAAAGGACCTCAAGGTTATGGGTAGCACAAGTTTTGATGATGTGGCTAGCGCTACGACCCAACGATTCCTCACGGCTATAACGAGAATCGCTTTAGCAACGCAAGACGATCACGCTTTTCTCGCAGTGGAGATTCTCGCAAGCATTAATCGGCAAGGTTTAGTGCATCCCAAAGAAACAGGTGTGACACTTATCACTTTAGAAACTTGTCCAGTTACCAGAATATCGGAGATGGCCTACCGTGAACATAGAGCTCTACATGAAAAATATGAAAGTGTACTTGAGCGAGAGTATGCCAAGGCCGTCCAGTCAGCGTTCCAATACCAACGAGATGTAGTCCAGGATTGTCGAGGCGCAACAGAGGCACCTTTCACCTCAAAACTCCACTCGCTTATTGGGATCCTAAAAATAAGTAAATCCAAAAACCGTGTCAGGTTTCTGGAAAAGCTTGTCGGTCAGTTGGAGTTTGAACCTTCCACGCTCGATGTAAATCAACCAATGCCATCACATGTGGCGTACTCCCGATTTCTGCTTGAGAATATCGCCTTCTTCGAGTACGTCAGTGTAGGCGATCTTCAGGCTGTGGTTTCGGCTCTCGAGAAACTAGTGACGAGTACCGGCGCCGGCATTGCCCAAACAATGGAATCCGAGATATTCCAAGTGCGCATGGACCAAGCTCAGGTTACACATCAACATGGAGAAGCCGAGGCACCAGCCGCAATCTTAAGGGTCCCGGACTCTATCAGCTCGCAACGGCTTCGGCAGTTAACAGCATGTTCTATGGTAATTTCAGCCGTGTGGGAGGTTCGAACCTTTCTTCGCCGGTTGTACGGCGTCAACTCAAGTCGTCGTGAAACTAAGACGAAAGGCCCTCCCAAAGATCTTACAAAACCCCCTGTAAAGGTCCAAGGTATTACAGGCGACAAGTTTTGGGAGGATATGACTTTTACTATGACTGCTCTCGAAACACCGGAGCGTATGATACAGCAATGTAGAACATTCGTCGACCTCTTGAACGTTGATAGCGAGGTTAAAATTGGAGAAGCAGATGATGACGATCTCGACGCAGAGGGTGACGCACAGACACCCGAAGCAGAAGATGACGACGATGAGGCTACACCCGATGGTCGTGGTCGCAAACGAAAGGCAGCAGGCACTCCTGGAGGCCGAAAAAAGCGGGCGCGTAGTAATTCGCGACCACGAGGTCGAGGGCGGCCCAAGAAGCATCAAAATACGGGTGCTATAGAAGATGATGATTTCTAAGCTTAACTTTTCAACATGGAATGAACTTGTTAATGATGGCTTTTCGTCAAGAGCGCCCAGCGGGAACAATAGACGTCAGGCACTATAAAGGAGTTCAAGGCGAGTACAATCATATTCAAGAGCTGGTCACACATTATGGCGTCTATTGGGGTTGGCATATGCGTGCTTAGGTTTTTTTTGCATCATTGCTCCAAGCGCAGGAGTTGGGCTGCCATGGCATAAGTCGGCAATGGAGCCGATAAAATCCTGCTATTTATTGCTTTCAAAGCTCGATGATACCTTTTCATATTTGCTTTACATAGTGTAGGTTCAATGCATGATGCATTACCTAGCCCTAGTAGGTTGGGACACTACTTACGCTCTTAAGATAGAGTCACATAGCTCATCTTGGCAATGCGATATACTGCCGTGTACAATTCAAGATTTGTTCAAAACCTTCAACTTTCCCATTGTCACTCATAATTATTTCCTGGTTGAAATCTGATGATTGTTCTCCTATGTTGCTACTAGTCTTAAGTTCGTGGGTTCATCCTCCAGCGAAAGTCAGCCCAGAAGATCTACGCTAGTATTGGTGACTAGGGAGATAAGGTGAAGCGCACCTAATCACGGCCGTTTAGCAGATCAATACACCCACTTCATGCCATATGCCATGCTATGGTCATTGGATCTCTCTCGAGTATAGGTGGTTGCTGCTTGGATTCATTGCTCCTATATCGTTTAGAACTCGAATAACCAGTTTGCGATATGATAGGGATTGGTCTAATGCACTGTTTGACAGAGGATCGTTCCTTTAAGCACTTTTTCCTTTCCGTTTAGGTATGTAGTAGGTAGGTAGGTAGCGCGACTAGTGTCTATGTTGGATGATTGGGGGATTTCATGCTCGTTGAGAGACGAGACAGTAGTAGTTTGTAGAGGGTATGGATCAGATAGCCAACGCGAGTCTCGTTGTATCGTGAGGCTGGTCGTTTACTTGCATGTTCTATTACCATGGGCGCTGGGAATTCGTGGTGAAGTGTGTCAGTGGTTATAGATGTATCTTTTGCATTGGAATGCCCCCCCCGCTGAAATGAGAAGGACAGCGGTGATTGCTTGCGTGCGTGTATGTGAATTTTCAACTCGGAGAAGAGGTCTGGTGTTACTGGCTCTGCTGGAGATGTGGTTTCCATGTACATTCCTTACTTTCAGTTCATAGTTTGGCTATGCATTTCCCCATTACGCAACGGACATTCTCAGAAACGACTCTCCAGTCCCGGTTTTCGAAGCTATATCATAACTCCGTGAAAGAAGAATGCCGGCGGAGGGTGTATACCATGCCCGAGACGTCCCATAACGCTCATTAGTCTCAAGACTAACAATAGACGATAACTCATTCGTCCTCTCAGATAAAGCCGTTCTCTTTCGACTCGCATGCAGCACCATGCCGCAGGCAGAACAGAATCGTGGTGGCGCCACTGCTTTTTTAGCCCTCGCGAAGAGAGCTATACCAACACTACATGCCAATCAATGTTGTGATCTTACTACTAATGCTATTTGGTTTCGTGCATGACTGAGGGTGGGCGACGGACAATTTTCATTCGTGTATACGGTTACACTACATCTCTCTTGCAGGAGGCTTCGAGGAGAAAGTTCTGAAATCGGCGGCGACCCACCCCAGCACTGCTTTTTTAGCCCTCGCGAGGAGAGCTATACCAAGACCATCTTAACTTAAGGTTTTCCAAGATCTACCAAAATACGAGCTAATCAACTTTCTTCAACATAACTTGTGTGAAAAGTCCATAGCCAACATAGCCCGCTATCTCCAGATATTCTTCCGCGGGCCCGAAAACCCTACGGATACCGAGTCGATGTAATAGAGCCACAACCAGTCCCTGCGTCGAGTAGCGAGTTACTCAGGCTCCATATCAAAAAGGCAACTTAACTACGAGCTTCTGAGAGTCACACGGAGCATGTCCAACCGGAGGCGCGAATCGTCCGCCGGGACACAACTAGGGACTGATTTGCAATGAGTCAATATCATCCGTGTGTTCCCGTGGCTCTATATTCGCAGCACTATCCAGACTAGATACGCAAAAAGAACGATGACTGGGAAGTCTGTCTCTACAGGCGGAAGCTTGTGGGGATTTCCTATTCAAAGGGACTGCGAGGGATAATGGGACTTGCGGAAGTGTCTTTGATGTAAATCGTATGAGGAAAGAAGTCGGAATAACGGAATATGGCAGGTATCGCTGGGACGCTTGACACTACATGCTACAGAGTATGCTATGACGCGTCGCGGATCAGGGGCGTCGAATTTGAAGACGGCAAGTGGGGGTTCGGCGTCGACGACTACCATCGTCGAGGCAATATCATAGATTACAATACCGCTGGGAGCCTGGCCTGACCTGTCATGACTAGCTTTGGATACAAAGGACAACACGCGGCGTCTCCGGTCTGTGTGAACGTAGTGGATGCTGTCGCAACGATCACGGTATCGAATTACGGGCCAAGCGGCGACGGCGGCAATTCGCCCGATGTCAACTGGGCGGATTATGAGCCGTCATTTTAGTATGTAAGATGATAACCTGCCACTTCCCCCTCCCACTTCCCGTCTAGCTTATAGCCTGAGTATTATGCCGAGAAGACCTTTCTCTCGCGACTTAAGATCAGTGGAGGGACATCGAGTTCATGGCGTTACTATCGTCTTGATCCTCATACTTGATCTCCTCAAAGCCGAAGTCCGAGTCAGAACAGTCTAGATCGCTCAGATTATCACACTCTGAGCCACCAGCAGTCCAATCGAAATCTTCATCAATGTGAAGAGCTCCGCGTGCCCTTGGAACATCACTGTCCACGTCCATATTCGAGGTAAGGATGGGATGTTGGGGTGCGGCGAGCGAAAGACCGGTGGTGGCGGTAGTTAACGCGGTATACTCGGCGTTATCGTGACCAGTGTTAATAGCCTGTGAGCGAGTAGCCTGTACTGAAAACCCTTCCGTCATAGTAACTGTGTCAACACCGGTGTAAATCGTGGTGGCATCGTCGAGGGTCGACGATCTAGCATCGGGAATGGACTCTCCGGTGATGAAAACAGGGCCTGGTTCGATTGGGAAGCCATACACTGCATTGGGGATTTCCTCCTGGTAAACTCCCCCTGTTCCATCATCCAAGCCGCCGGCCCATAGCGGGAGGAACTTGAACTCTTCATCAGACAGACCAAATATCAAAGGGCCGGTTTTCTCTATATTTACTTCAAGCAGAGGCCACGCCCACTGGACGTTGAGCTTGTTGATTGCAGTAGCAAACTCTTGAGCGGGAAAGGGATACTTGGAGGTAATGGCGCTCCACCTAGGATGAGTCGGGGTACTATAGGAATTAATCAATTCCCAGAAGTAGGTTGTGAGTACCCATTGGGCTGGAAGTAAATTCGTATAGATATCCTGTGCCGGAGCTCTCATATCTTCCGATACGTATCGGGCCCGATTCAGGTCTTGACGCAATAGTACTACGCCATTATCGTCGTCCGGAATTGCGGTAGCCGCCTCCACAGCTTGGCGCATCCAGGCACGGAGCTCTTTGGGAAGAACTGGCCATGACTTGATTTTGAGGAATTTAGCTTCGGACCGGAGCCCAGTCAACAAATCCTTTGCTCTCTGTATTAATTTTTGTGCAGCATGTTCAACGCAGGTTTCCTGCTCATCGGCAAGACTTCCTAGTGGGCGTTGGAATATCGACATCTTTCGTCTGTTGAAAGTTCCCGCCATCTTGTCGAAGGGGATCTCGATGGCTCTCTCTACTACTATGACCCGAAAGGCCATACGAGCAATAGCTGGTAGTTCCAATACCCACTACATTGGTCGTGATCAGTATACCTTGAGTAGCTGTGCGTGGATCGATAAGGACCTGTTTGGGTATGGGGCAAAGGCTTCAGAATGGATAATGAAGAATGTCTTACTTACAGCTATCTTGAAAGCATCTTCAGCATTAATTTCAACAAAGTTTTGGTTCGGCTCAGCCATCAACCACGTTAAAACGTGATCTTCCTGTTGAGCGAGTATTAGTCACATACCAGTGTAAAGCTTTAGAATGTACATACCACAACTTTAACACAGTCGAACTGTCTAGCAACCATGGTCATAGTGAATGCTCGCGAAGCGGAGTTTAAGACAAGGTCTTTGTAGCTTATAGCCAAAAGCAAGCGGATAATAGCAGCTCGATGGCGAATTGAGCAGTAGTCCAAGATCTTTCTAAACCGTGGGTATTGCAGCTTGTTGAGCTCTATTGATCCCTCTATCTGCCGTGCCATCTCTCGGTTTTCTTCGTCTGCAATAAGCGCTTCAATGTGATAAGGGCAGTTGTCATCATGTCCACCCACGAGGGACTTGGAAACCGTCAAGACGTATTGAGATTTCCACCAGTCTATTACCCCATTAGACAGTGATAGTTCTGCGACCTTCGAAGCTGATTCATCGCCTTCGGTCTGCGGTGTTAGATCTAAGACATAGCGATACATTGCATAATCGCCATTGAGAAGACGTCTTGTTTGTGCCTGCACCTTTGGAGAGAGCAAGTTTGCGAAGACTGATGACCCGGTGGCAAGCAGCTGCCCAGATTCCACGAGGAACTCCTTGTTAGTCCACTACGAGTTGGTTAGCTTATTGAGACGATATACCAGTATATGTAGATGGAGAGTGTCATGGCGTGAACACAGGTAAAGAGGCGAAGATATAGCTACTACCTTGTGGCCGCTGCAGTCAACAAAGTCTCCAGGCGGGAACCTAACTATGACCAGTGTATCCCCTGACGTATTGGCAACACAGAGGGTCTGTAGACTCTGATAACCCCTTTCATCTCGTTCAAGCCATGGGCGTTCGTTTGTCTCAATCTGAAGTTGGTGTTGCAGTCTGCTGATCGCAATGTCCAGAGGGCTTTTTTTGGTCTCCTCGGTTGGAGATGGTAGCCCAGACATTGTACACGAGATAATGCTCCTCTCCTGCGAGCGAAGGTGTATTGGGGCTCAGTGGTTGATACGATGTAGCAGGAGTGAGGAGAGGTGGAAGAAGAGAGGGAAAAGAGAAAGACGATGATACGAGGATAAGATATATATATATGATGATTGAGGCAGTCTTTAAGTTTAGGTTGCTTGATTGAACAATGAAGATTGAAGCTGTGCTGTAGGCTGCTGACACAAATGGAATGTGGAAGTGGCAGCCTGATGCATCCTGCCGCGGGGCGATGTGCTGATCCCGCCCATCCCCTGTCCTGGCCTGTCCTGGCCCCATAACCATACCCAAGAGGCCGAGCCCTGGCGGGAGGCATCGTGTAGGTTGCCTAGGACTTTGTGATACCCCTATATTCAGTTTCTACCCAGGTAAGCATCAATATCTTAGATAGGACTCAGATAAGCATGCCTTTTTGATGGCCAGCACCTAGGTACCTACATATACGTACACTCACACTCTAACTCTAAAGCTCGATACTTATGGTGGGGTCCAGCTAACTACTAGGTACATACCTAAGGTACATATATTCGGGTATCTACAACAACATGATGCACAATGCCAGCTGTCCTTACTTGTACATACTAGAATATTACCTCTATACTATCAACTACAGATTCTGTACATAACTAGGTAGTGAAAGTGTGCTAAACCTTGTAGAAAATCAACAAAGAATCATATATGAGTCCATCTATATTGTCAGGACATGCGTTAAAAACTTGTCAATCAACAACTATAACACCTGGTAGGAAACATTACACACATTGGAACACTCGCTCAGTCTCTTGGGAGCTGCATAATTCCCTACATATCTTGGATTCTGAGCTGCTCCAAACGGAACTTTATTGTCGGGTTTATTTGGCTCCGCTGCGTTGGTACCGCCCTTTTTTTCAGCCCTACAGGTGGGGTAGCAATGTCTCAAACACCGAGCCACAATGACTCAACAGCGAACAATCCTTGACCAATGTTCCCGCCTGAGGTATGAAAGGGATCTTTCAAATCATCAGCAACACTGCCATAGCACCTGATAGATAGACAGCCATACATGAATAGGGTAGCCTTGAAGACCCCCAAGTGAGTGATTGTAACCGCAAACTATCGATAAGAGAAGGCGCATGAACAGGCTGCTGTGTGACGTGATGTCTGAGGCCCCAGCTAAACGTCAAATGAGTAACATATGCGCCTGCTACTGGGTCTCGCTCGCATAGCAGTACATCTCGATCTTTCTCTATTATTCATCACGGCAGAGACTCTCCATAGTAACTATGCAGATTGAGCTGAACAAAGCATTCTTGGTCGGATGCTAGGCAGATAGGACAGCTGTTACTTATCTCATTTTTACCTAATCTAGTGGAGACTTCTGAAGTCAACCCCGCTTCAGTTTAAGAGCACCTATCCTAGTTAGTCTGGCCTCGCTAACGCTTCCCCGGATTCCCGGATCCCCAGATTTGTGGTAATCGGCCAGTACATACATACGTGGTCTCGTCTCCAACATGGGCATTCATCTCTGATAAGTTGTCTAGGTTGTCTAAGCACAGACAGTAGCAGTATTGTTGCTAGATATCCAATCATGTTATAACTATGCGCGTTGATAAGGCAGGCAGACATAAGTGTCTGGGCTCTGCAGCGTTGGCGTCAAGGTCGCGTGCCCCTTTGATCGATCTGAGCGGTGTGCGGCCCATTCACACTACCGTACTTACATATCCTACCCTCACTCAGTACTTACTCTAGTCTAGATGGTGGCGATCCCAGACATTTCCTAGCGCATGTGTGACATAACACCGGGCAAAAGGGATTCAATCACCTAACCTTTCGACTGCTAGCTTAAGAACTGAGCTGAGCTTTCTTCGCGTGTCTTTCCGATATATAAATCCCTGCTTCCCCATTCCTGCCGCATTGGGCCTTACCTCACCTGATGTGATCTGATCTCATCTGATCTCATCCAAAAGTCGATCGAGGAATCAAACCTGTCGATTAAAGTTTCTCTCTGCTGCTATTACGTGCCCTGCGTCTCCTCTTACGTCTATCAATATCATATCTATCGTATTCATGTAATACTTTTTTTTTTTTTTGAACTCCAAGGGCCTTAGCTTCAAATCCCGAACGCACAGCTCCAAAGTCAGTGATCTCAGCCAACAGCGTTCCCGCGAATTCGCACCTGGTACTCTAAGCCTCGCGGTTCAATTTTCTTCCCAGACTCACGCAAGATGAATCATAACCAAACTACTGGACTATCTAACACCGGGCGAATGCTGTAAGAAGCTTTCCATTCCTGATTATCTTGATCCCAGCTCCAGTTCGAAGCCTTCAAGATAAGTGGTTTAGAGGCCTTCACACACCTTCTCATGCCTCTCAACATCCTTCACTTCCGTATTCCCTAAAAAAAAAACAAGATGACGAATAGTAATCTAACGTCCGTAACCCTTAGCCGCCAGCGCCCTCTCATCGTAGCCGGTCTCGTAGCCACGAGTATCGCCGCTGCCGTCCAATACAAGCGAATGGCCATCGCCCGCAACGAGCGAGCGCAGCGCAATGGCGTAGAGGGAAATTACTACGTCAGCGTTGACCGGAGCGGAGGAGGAATATAAAGTCTACCCATACATTGATTCCCAATGCTTAAATTCATCGGATGACCCTAATGATTCAGACGCTACAATGACCGGTCAGTCGCTATCATGCAACATAGAGAAGATCGGAGAGCAACACTATATTATACTACACCGAAGACTTGGTAATCGGGAAAAGGAAAGATAAACAAGACAAGGGGGGAGGGGAATAATGGGATAATCGAGCCATGGCTTGTATATATATATTCAGAATGAGAAAAAACACCATGATCCTACCTATCCTCATCCCTTACTCTACTCTACAACACCTTTCGCTTCCACTATGTCTAAGAGGTGCTACGAAACACAGTCGCGAATGCCTTCAGTACTGCCGCGAACTCTACATAATGCGCCGTCTCTAGTTGATCCGTGAACATCGATATCCACTAAGCGATGACCATACACCTACCTAGGCAAGCTGTGTAGAGATACCTATATCTAGTTATCCTTAGGTACTCTATGCAACCTTGGATAGACCAAGACGAAGTGGCCGAGTTGGTACGGTCTAGCGAAGCATAACAGCATTACACAGCGATGAACATATTTATCCTGCAGCGCTAGGCACGGGGGGTTCGATTCCCTCGTTGGCCAAACTATTTTTTTCCCTTCTTTTCTTAATCTTTACCCCTCTTCTCTTTTGGCCAATTCTAGAAACCTTACCTACCTACCTATTTACTACCTACTTACTACCTACTTTATACAGATAGTACTATCGATGAGTGGCCTTCTAGCTCTGGCCGTGTATTAAGGAAGTGAGTCAGCATCCAAACATATAAACACACCCAATACCTCAAGTAGTCGAATGTGACGTTGTATTTCGTGTATTACGCACCTGGTTTACTACGATGCTTGCCCGGGACAAGTTGAATGAAGAATATGGTAGAAAGGGTGGCAGGTCACCTTATCTATAAACAGCAGATCTAGCAATCACAACAAGAAACATCCACACATAGAGGCAACATAGTAAGAACAGGAATGAATCTCAATAATAATTATCAGCCCTGAACCCGCCCCCGGCTCCGACTCCAACCACCCGATATGACATTCCATACATCGTACATATCAATCTTACACTACCTAAACTGCAAGGGGCGGTGCAGCGAACAAGTCTCCCCTGACGTCCCGTTATACCGCCATGGAGTAAGAAAGCCATGCAATAACCACACCGAACAAGTTCAACCGGGCCCCCTTTTCCCTGCTGCGCATTGGCCTGAATAAACACGGGAACCGATGAGTGCTAGTGTCATGTGCTGTGCTGTGAACCAGTAATGACCAAACAACCCTCCCAAACGCCGATGGATGCATAACCGCTCCCTCAATGATAAGATGACAACAAGGTCGGTCAAGACCCAATCAGCCCTTTCGGACACCACCTCCGAGTAGAAAGTATCGGGGTGTAACTAACTCATAACGAGCTTCCCCGTCTCGGGATCCTCCTTGCTGGTCGATCTTCACTCTCTGTATCGTCCTGCCTCATAATCTCCTTGCCTTTGCCTTTCGTTCTCCGTTCCTGGTGCATGGTGTCGCCTCTCATCCCCACTCTTTCTTCTTTGGCGCTCTTGGGACGATAGTCCCTGTGCCCACGAGATTTTCTCGAGTGCCTGCTGTGCGATGATAGGTTCACGTTTGTCTCACGCGAGTCGGAAACTAAGCCCTGCTCACTGTTCTCATCCTCAGAGTTCTGGGCCGTTGGGACGACGGAGCGCATGAGCTGCACTTCTCGAGCTACATCGGCAAAGCTTTCTTCCAGCGTCTTCATACGTGCGAGCACTAGTTTGCTCATACGATTCGCGTTCTCACGTTCCCTTTCTACGGAGCTGGTCCTCTGTAAGCCCCGTATCTGGCCGGTGGCCATCGCCATCTGTGTCGCGAATGATGCGGGCACTGCCCCGAGCTCGTTCTTACTGTCTGCAAGGAGTCCCGTGTTATCCGAGACGATGGAGGGCGATAGCTTCCGCTGGTGCCGTCTCGGATCCATGTTGAATAATGTACCCCGGCTGAGCGTGGATTTGGGAATGGGCCGGGGTCGTGCTGTATTTTCTGACACATACTGTGTTGCTCGTCGAGGTGAGCGTGTACCTGGAGTTGCAGATTGCTCATTTGCCGTATTCAGCCGACTCGCTTTTGGACGGGACCGTGGTCCGGCTGGCTCCTCTGATATTGATGATGGACTAGGCCCATGACGACTTGCGTCCTGAGGGTTATATAGTATGGTATTGGTAGATAGTGTGCGGTTGTGCAGACCTTGACGTCGAATAGTTCCGCTCACGCCCGGTGATTTGGTGTGGGGGGGTTCAGCAGAGGAAAGAAATATGGATGCGCGACGCGAGGCCATGGGAGTAGTGAAGTAATCCTCCTCTTGATCAGCATGTGACATGCTTTCTTGGCGGCTTTCGCCGGCCACCTCATCCTCGTCTTCGTCGTTAGTAATGAGTTCATCATCGCCATCGGCATCAGTGTCTTTACGCTCTTGCTCCGCTTGAGCATCAAGTCTTCCAACTCTTGACATAGGGAAGTCTTTGTTCGACATAAGCTCAGCGGGGTCGCTCGCAGCAGAACGCACATCAGAAAGGATGCGAATCCGCCGTGGTAGCTCTCGACTCGTGCTCATACGTCGAAGTGAGTGACTATGACGACTTTCGATAGTGGGCCAGCGTGATAAAGTCTCACCAATTTCGTCATTCTGGTCCATCCAGTTGCGAATTGCTGTTTGAGTCTTTCTTCTCTCCTGTCTTCTCTGAGTGCGTATTGTGTTGGCGTCCGGTTGTCGTCGGAAGACTTCATCTAAAGCCCGATCCTTTTGGAAGCCCGCAATTGACTCCTCACGAGTCCTGATATTTGGGCTGAAGAAACCACCCCTGCTAGTTGGGTCCGCGATAGAGAAAGCACGGCCTCTTTTGCGCCCTGAGCCCTCGACTAAGTCTGTAGGTTCGTATATCGATGATGCAAGATAATACTTCTCATATACGAATATAAGGAACAGAATCGGCCAATGTGTCAACTTGATGACCATTCTGTTGAGTAGGACGAATTGCCGGATTGGCATGACATAGCGTAAAGGAATGAGGACCCAGGCAAGTATATTGGCAGGAGCAATGTATGAAAACAATGCATCGTTCTTGACCATCGAGATCGTATTAATCGCGAACAGGAATCTGCTCATCGTCAACCAGTGAGTGACGGACAGCGAACGGAGAATACTTACTGGTGCTCTTCTTTGGCATTGGACGCGATGGCAGTGAAGGAGTTCGTAAGAACTGTGATCAAGATCGTCCTGTAGGTGCGTTAGGCTCCCATCACAGACAACAAGGTACGGGGATAGCATACGCGATAAGGAAGTGAGCAATGACCAGAAACATGACCAAAAGTAGCCGTTCAACAAAGGTATACTTGGGCCATCTGATTCCAAGGTTAGCGAAAGCCCATCGACACGCTCCAAGACTCTACTTACACATCCCACGCAGCAGGCGTAAACCCCATTAGTATCTGAAAGATCTTGTAAGCTACATCGACGGCATCGTCATCATTTTTTGAAAGCGTGAAGAAAACGAAGAACCCGGAGCAGCTAATCAAGATCACGACAAATAGGGCCAGTAGATCTTCTGCCATGAATCGAAAAGCAATCAACAGCTGGGAGAAATAAGGGTAGTGGTCTAGAACACTGAATATGCGAGGAAAAAGAAGGATGGCGTTCACTGCGAGCACTTCATATGCCATTTCATTCCATCGTATAGAGCCAACCAGGAACACGCCGCAGAGGCGCATTCCGTAGTAGATGATCAAGAACAATAGGATCCCAAGGTCTACAATATTCCAGTAGCTCATGATATAGAGAGAGAACCCCTGTTCGTTAAACCCGACAACCTCGTCTAGCATGAACCCGGCAGACCAGAACCAGAATACTAACTCTAGAGAAGTGATTGCACTCGAGCGGTGTACCAGGACCGAGAGAAACAAACAGATCATGACAAACAGTGAACATGTTGACAAGAAGTAGCGGTATCGAGGGACGCGCAGGCGAGATAACTTTAGGGGTGAAGCGTTGCGCGGGTCGTATAGGGCTACGGTTCGTCGGAGAGGAATTGCATGCATTGGGAGCTGAGCAGTTTGTTCTTTGAAGGATTGATGCCCTAGTAACGGAGTTCGAGCATCAGGATCACCCCTGTTCTGATTCGATGATGCAGGGGTCCGGTGGAGGTTATCGTGCGAAGAGTAGAAGGTGATAGCGCCGTTCCAGATAGCCTCGAGCTGTTGAACGACGAGTGGGTGTGAAACAAAATGCTTGGCAGAAGCGCGGATAGCGACTTCAAGGGTCGATGATCTAGCAAACTGCGTTCTTCCTCTACCCTCAGGGACCCTTCCATTCTGCATCGGAGGCGTGCGAGGGCAGCCTTGCAGGGGATCGAAATCGTAAGAAAGCGCATCAATGAGTTCTCTTGTACTATACTCTTTCAACAGTTTCAGAGCAAGAAGTTCGCAGACTTTGGCCCTTGTGGTGCTAACGCCGGCATTACCAGGATATAGCTGACCCTCCTTGCCAAATTGGAGGCAATTTGCCATTAGCGCATAGAGGGTTGCCCGACTAAAATGTTGTGTCCGAATTTGCTGTTGCATTGGCTTGACCAAAAATTGTGAGACCTGCGGAGAGCGCAGTTGTTCCCAGGATAGCGATGTTTCGGTTCTTGTCTGAACAATTATTCGAATCGCATGGACAACATGGTAGACTGGTAGGGCATCTTCTCTCTTGGTTAATAATCGTGTCTTTCTGGTGGACATATATCGTTCGTATACATACCTAGGTGACTAGCCGAAAATAGGGGTATCGCAGGATTGGAATTTCGCCTAAAGTCGCCTTGGTCGACGAATCGTATAGAAGGGTGGTTGGGATCGTGATTGAGATCGAAGTCGTCTCCATTGTCTTCATCGTCGTCATCTTCGCCTTCGCTGAAGTCGGCGGTGGCATGTCGTTCTTCGAGGTACTGGCGGCTCGCTGGGCCAGGGGATGGGGATGGGGGATTGGGGTCGAAGAGATGCGAATCGGCGCGACGAACTGCAGCAGACCTAGGTCGCAAAATGGAAGAGAACATGTCCTTCACTGTCGGTACCATGACGACGAGCACGGCGACGCTCGAGCGAGGTCGTGTCGCGTCCAAGCCAAAGCCAAAGCCAAAACCAAAACCAGAACCAGGGTAGGATGGGGGGACAAACCAATCCTAGCCCCTACCACCTCACGCGACGCTGGAAGGAGGTTAAAGCGGCATAGATGGAGAGGTGACTATGAACTGCGGGTAGGTTATCAGTCCCAAAGAATAGTCATGGACAATGAGAAGAGGGGTTGTTTATGTAGACGAGTACTGGTTTTCCGTTGTGGTAGACGTAGATCTACAACGAGGGTTGGGCGCGGCGAGCGAACAATGTCATCTTGTATACCGGTAGACGCCCAGGTACTAGCAGCTTACAATACCTACTTTCATATCTAGCAGACAGACAGATCGGTCTTACACTACCCCGACTAGTGTAGACGGAGGTGCAGATATCCAGCAAGGATCGCTTGACAGGATTGTTTGATTGAATGTACCCATTGACGGGACCGGTTGATGCGATGGGAAACTAGGTCGAGTCGAACACGCATCGATGGATTAATTACCTTGTAATTTACCTTGCCCAAGCAGTACCCCAGGTGGTCTGAGAGGCCTGGGAGGTCTGGGAGGTCTGGGAGATCGGAGATGGGGGTGGACTTGGGACAGACTGATAAGAAGAAGCCCACATCCAGCCTAGTCGCAGCGTGTTGCCCGCGCTTGGTGAAGCTGCACTAGGGCCAAGGTGGTTTGGATTGGCATCGAGGACGGCATGAGCGACATGAATGGGATGTCACAAGGTCAAAGTTGGCTGAAACACCAAGCACGCAACGCACACACGCACATACACACACATTTCGTGCTTACATAGGTAGGTAGGTAGGTGATAACCTGCTGTAATAGGATAGTCTAGATAGGTATCTAAAAGAGGAACATGAGAGGCCTGGACAAAACTACTGCCCCACATCCCCAGATAACAACAGCTGAACCTTCATTTATACAACAAAGCCACATACCATCAGGATTCAGAGAAGAGAATAGCCAATCTTCCGGCAATACCTCGAAAACATTCTTTGTCTTTGCCTACCTACATATGTATGTATGTAGGTACTTAGATCACCAGTCGTGGATTGTACCTACTATATACATAAGGCAGCCTTTCCTTCTCTCGACTTACTACTACTATGTAATCTTGTAGAACGACGGGTTACAGACGATTCAACATACAATAACCTAATGACTGTCTCTCTGCAGATTTCACACCGCTCGCCTCTCATCTTTCGTTCCCGTCCGTCCTACCAGCTGCTATCATGGTGTTGCTCTGTCCCACGATTGGTCGAGGCGGACGGCAATCGTATCGTCCTGCACACCTTAACGTCGCATTTCGCACATGACCACCATCCAAAATCGGATGAGGAAAGGCTCGTTGATCGCAACTGGGCCGCATGATTGCACTGCATCCCATCTTCGACCTTGGACCCTGCTCTGGTCGTATATATCCGGTCGTATGTTCTAGCACGCAAACAACTCCACAACAGACGGTCCATGCCACGCATTCAAAGCATTTGCACAATGCCTTTTCCCAGTACCGTTCCCCCCCCCCCCCAGTCGACGCTATACCGCCTGCAGTAGGCCGTTTTTTATACTACCTGCAGCTTGTGGCTGTCCAACATGCATGCATACTGCATACGCTAGAGACAAGCTCACGATCCCCATCTTGGAACAGGTAGGCAGGCAATTATAACAATAGAAGAACACGCCATGTGGTGGGCTCGTCCCTCTCTCACGGACGCAGTTTGCGTGTCACGACAAACGTCCAACGGCACGATCTTGCCTGTTGGTATATAACCCCTCCCAGACCCTCCGTTATGTGTATATGTGATGTATATGTGATGTCGGCTATCTTGTACTATCCACAGCCGAATGGGAAAATTAGCACTACCTAGTCGTCACTAGGTAAAGATTGAATGCTTGAGCACCGTCCCCCCCAGATTTTTACACCGCTCCTTGCATCGCCGGCAATTCCCAGATTACCAGGCCAGCTATCTAGTGGTGGGTGCGCGTGGTCATTTTGGCGCCGATAGCGCAAGGACCTCATAGAGTCTCGATGAGGTACTGTATATGCACGAGATACGATCGATGCACAGGCCCGGTTGCTATTCCTTATTTTGCCATCTTTATCGTGCTCTCTATATGGATGGTAGCGTAGTTGAAGCTTATTTTCAGCTTTTTTTTCCCATCGACAATACCTATGACTACCTAGATAGGTGACCTAGATTGCTTAATCAAATGCTTACTCCATAACCGCAACTTACACAAATTACCTTGATAATTCAACCAGTTGGTTTTTAAGGCAGATGGCTTTGCCCGGGAGACATGATATTTCTGGACATCAGGTAGCCACATCACCAAGCCACATAGGTACTACACGATGGTTCACATTACTACTAGGTAGGTAGGTAGGTAGTATAGACAATGATATTTCTGCATTCGTGCAATGATTGCTACCTATGAGTTTCGGAGAATATCCCACTACCTAAGTAAGAACTTGTCAGTTGGAATAAGAACGCTGATCATCTTCCAGCCACGTTTCAACATAGATACAATATGTCGTATTTCAGGTTACCGGTACTGCACCTATCCAGATGAACAGCTCGAGTTCGTCGGAATAAGAAAAAACCTGCTCCCCTGAGGCTCTCTAAACGCCTTTCCGCCCTATCATTTTACACGTTCTTGTGACACAACTGCCGCCTTTATTTCTGTAGCAAGGGATATAATAACGAAGCTATGTACCAATCAGCTGGATTAATTTTACAAGACCTCAGTCTCGGATGGTTTTCTGTGGGCAGCACAAATCATTACCTACATTTAATGAGTTTTAGGTCAGCGAAAGGCAAACCCCTCGGATGTGTCTGAGGAGGTAAGGACACACTCTCTGTATGTAAGCTAGTCCCGTGTGCTTCTCACTTAGACATACTTGTAAGGCTAACCTACCTCATATTGACTTACGAAGTAAGTACTTAGAAGGGGGGTATATCTAGATGTGTACGAAGTAAGCATACATATATGCAGTGTAAATGTAGAGGCAAGATGAGACATGTCAGCGCTGTGATTGACCTGACCTGTCAGTCGCTATAGTGATATCTGTCTTGGGATTCTATCTTGGGCAGACTTGGGTCAGTCGAGGCGTATGATCGGCTGAAGATCAGCACCTATTACGAAGATGATTGAGCGATGGATATGCCTGCTTATATGTACAATGACACCGATACGGAACCGGTAGATGGGACAGAATGGGAGCCATTGACGAGTAGCATTGGACTTGGACTGAACCCGACGAAGATCGGCTGCAAGGCCAGTCGCCTTTGTGCTTCAGTGGCTCGAGTGGCTCTGCAGTGGCCCTGCAGTGGCCAAGAAATGCATGCTAGACCGGCACCCGATTGGCCGACTCGACAGTGGACCCCTGGCTCGCCCACTGAAGACCCCTCCATCCAGCCAGCCCCTCCAATGGGACAGCCCCGCATAGAGACGGCTTCTGTGCTAGCTTGACGTAGGAGCTACTTTGTGCAAAAAAAAAAAAAAAAAGTTGTTGGCGGTTTCGGTCTGAATTTTTCTTTTCTTTTCCTTCTTCTATTCTGCTGTAGGCAGGACCATCTTCCTTCACCTTATATACCTCTTGGAAGAAGAGCACTTACCATTGTTCTACGTCCAATCCAGCTGGTACCATTATGATCAATTGAGTGGTGAGCAGAGCCTTGCAGTGCCACCCCACGTACCAGAGGGCGAGCTGCCCGTTGTTTCTCACCTTTGCTTTCGCCCATAATCACCATCATTTATCGATCGGTTCCTCTTCATAATAGCTCGGTTAGGCCGTCCCATACCGCGTTGTATCAGTTCTAGACAACAGACAGCAGATCCTAGACAGCACAATGGAGCCCGTACACTACCCGCCCTCGACGGCGCGGTTAATCGACGCCGACGATGACAGCCTCATGTGCCTCGACCTCGAGGACCAGTCTTCCTACCAGGGCTATAGTTTCGGTGCTAAGAAGAGCATCGCTGGTGAATTGGTCTTCCAGACTGGCATGGTCGGCTACCCAGAGTCCATAACAGACCCTTCCTACCGCGGCCAAATCCTTGTCATCACCTTTCCCCTGGTGGGAAACTATGGTGTGCCCTCCCGAGAGACCATGGATGAGCTGTTGCGCGACCGCCCTGCTCACTTCGAATCCTCCGAGATACATATTGCAGGTCTCGTTGTATCTTCGTACGCCGGAGAGGACTACTCGCACTTTCTAGCGACTTCCTCCCTCGGAACATGGCTCAAAGAACAAGGTGTGCCGGCCATGTATGGTGTTGACACTAGAGCCCTGACAGAGCGAATTCGCCAGGAAGGTAGCATGCTTGGTCGTATGCTCCTTCAGAAACAGCAATTGACAAATGGGTCTGATGCTGTTAACGGAGACGAAACTAGTCTGTTGACCGGCAAAAATTGGAGACCATACTTCGAGGCTGTTGACTGGGTCAACCCTAATACGAAGAATCTGGTAGCTGAGGGTGAGTGGTCTTTGAGAAAAGACATTCCTGTATGCCAGCTAATAATCCATAGTCTCTATCAAAAAGGTCCAGCTTTACCAACCAACTCCTGAAACTGCACTTAAGCATCCCTCTGGGCGCACTCTTCGTGTGCTCTGCCTCGACGTCGGTATGAAGAATAATCAACTACGATGCTTCCTGAATAGGGGTGTTGAAGTCAAGGTCTGTCCTTGGGATTATGATTTCTCTCACGAGAAAGACTACGATGGTCTGTTCATATCCAACGGTCCCGGTGACCCTGCAGTCTTGCGCGAGACTACTGTTAGGAATATCGCCGAGACGTTAAAGCTTAATCGTACGCCCGTGTTCGGTATTTGTCTTGGTCACCAGCTGCTCGCCCAGGCTGCCGGAGCCAGTACCGAGAAGATGAAGTTCGGTAACCGTGGGCACAACATTCCTTGCACGAGTATGATCACGGGCAAGTGTCACATTACTTCACAGAATCACGGTTTCGCCGTCAGTGCCCCAACCCTTCCCGAAAACGAGTGGAAAGAGCTATTTGTAAACGCCAACGACGGTAGCAACGAGGGTATCATGCACATCAGCAAGCCCTACTTCAGTGTGCAATTTCATCCTGAGAGCACGCCTGGCCCTCGCGATACGGAGTACCTATTCGATGTGTTCATAAGCACAATTGTCAACTGCGCACAGAACTCTGAGCTTCTTAGCTCGCCTGTAAGCTTCCCTGGTGGTACTTACGAAGAGAACGAGAAGCTCCACCCTCGAGTTCACGTCAAGAAGGTACTTGTCCTTGGTAGTGGCGGCCTGAGCATTGGCCAGGCTGGAGAGTTTGACTATTCCGGTAGTCAAGCCATCAAAGCTTTGAAAGAAGAAGGCATCTATACCGTCCTCATCAACCCAAACATTGCAACAATTCAAACCTCCAAAGGTCTCGCCGACAAGGTATACTTCCTGCCAGTAACAGCTGATTTCGTGCGCAAAGTTATCATCCACGAACGGCCGGACGCCATTTACGTTACCTTTGGCGGTCAGACAGCTTTGCAAGTAGGTATTCAACTTAAAGATGAGTTCGAGGGGCTCGGAGTTCAAGTCCTTGGTACTCCTATTGACACCATAATCACAACGGAAGACCGGGAGCTTTTTGCCCGGAGTATGGACTCCATTGGCGAGAAATGTGCTAAGTCTGCCTCCGCTAGTAGCGTGGACGAGGCTATGCGTGTTGTCAAAGACATTGGTTTCCCTGTTATCGTCAGAGCTGCGTATGCACTGGGTGGACTGGGAAGTGGCTTTGCGAATAACGAAGCTGAGCTTCTCGATCTCTGCAATAAAGCTCTAGCTGTCAGCCCACAAGTTCTTATCGAGAGGAGTATGAAGGGTTGGAAAGAAATCGAATACGAAGTCGTCCGAGATGCTCAGGATAACTGCATCACGGTCTGTAACATGGAAAATTTCGATCCGCTCGGTATTCACACGGGTGACTCTATCGTCGTTGCCCCGTCCCAGACTCTCTCTGATGAAGATTATAATATGTTGCGAACAACAGCTGTCAACGTCATTCGTCACCTTGGAGTGGTTGGAGAATGCAACATTCAATACGCTCTAAACCCTTTCTCTCGCGAGTACTGCATCATCGAGGTCAACGCCCGTCTATCACGTTCATCTGCGTTAGCCTCGAAAGCTACAGGCTATCCTCTAGCATTCATTGCAGCAAAGCTTGGTCTTGGCATCCCGTTGAAGGACATCAAGAATGCAGTCACGAAAGTCACATGTGCCTGCTTCGAGCCTTCACTAGACTACGTTGTTGTTAAGATGCCCCGATGGGATCTTAAGAAATTTGTCCGAGTCTCCACCCAGCTTGGTTCCTCAATGAAGAGTGTAGGTGAAGTTATGAGTATCGGAAGAACTTTTGAAGAGGCGATCCAGAAAGCAATTCGGGCAATCGATTTTCACAATCTAGGATTTGGAGAGACCAAAGCCCTTATGTCCATCGACGACGAATTGCAAACACCGTCTGATCAACGTTTGTTCGCTATTGCCAATGCTATGCATGCCGGCTATTCAGTGGACAGAATCTGGGAGTTAACCAAGATTGATAAGTGGTTCCTCCACAAGCTGATGGGCCTGAATAACTTTGGTAAATTGATGACAAGCTACAACACTGCACAAATCTCTAAGCGCCCAGACCTTCTGCTTCAAGGCAAAAGACTTGGCTTTAGTGACCGTCAATTAGCTAAGTTCTGGGATTCCAACGAGCTAGCTGTTAGACGCATGAGATACGAGGCTGGCATTACACCATTCGTTAAGCAGATCGATACGGTGGCTGCCGAGTTTCCTGCATACACTAACTACCTCTATCTCACTTACAATGCATCAGAACATGACATCAGCTTCAACGATCATGGTGTAATGGTCCTGGGCTCAGGTGTCTACCGAATTGGATCGTCTGTCGAGTTTGATTGGTGTTCCGTGCGCGCTATCCGCACTCTGCGTGAATCTGGCTTCAAGACTATCATGGTTAACTACAACCCCGAGACTGTCAGCACTGACTATGATGAAGCCGATCGCTTGTACTTCGAGAACATCAGCCTGGAAACTATTCTTGACATCTACCAGATGGAATCGGCAAGCGGAGTGCTCGGTGCCATGGGTGGCCAGACTCCGAACAACATCGCTCTACCTCTGCTACGTGCCGGTATTAAGGTTCTCGGAACGTCACCAGAGATGATTGACCGCGCCGAAAACCGATACAAGTTCTCACGCATGCTTGACGAGATTGGTGTCGATCAGCCAACCTGGAAGGAGCTCACCAGTTTCGAGGATGCTAAGGCATTCTGTCAGAAGGTTTCATACCCTGTACTGGTTCGGCCGTCATATGTCCTGTCTGGTGCAGCCATGAACACAGTTTACTCGGAAGCAGATCTTGAGTTGTATCTTCAGCAAGCCGCTGATGTCTCTCGAGAACACCCAGTCGTCATTACCAAATACATTGAAAATGCCAAGGAGATTGAGATGGATGCTGTAGCCAAAGATGGTACCGTTGTAGGGCACTTCATTTCGGAACATGTCGAGAACGCTGGTGTACACTCGGGCGATGCGACTCTCATCTTACCGCCGCAAGATCTTGAAGAGACAACTATCAAACGTATCGAGGAGGCCACAAGAAAAATTGGCGCCAAACTCAACGTTACGGGCCCTTTCAATATTCAGTTCATCGCCAAGGATAACGACATTAAGGTCATCGAATGCAACGTTCGAGCATCTCGTTCGTTCCCTTTTGTGTCAAAGGTCATGGGAGTTGATCTCATTGAAATGGCGACCAAGGCAATTATGGGGGTGCCTTTCACAGAATACCCGCCAACGAACCTCTCTCCTGGCTCTGTAGGAGTTAAGGTTCCGCAATTCAGTTTCTCTAGACTTTCTGGCGCAGATCCTGTTCTTGGCGTGGAAATGGCCTCTACTGGTGAAGTCGCTTGTTTCGGAAGAGATAAGTATGAGGCGTATCTTAAGGCATTGATGTCGACTGGTTTTAAGATCCCAAAGAGCAACATCCTTTTGTCAATCGGTTCATACAGGGACAAGAAAGAGATGCTGCCTTCTGTGGAAAGGCTTCAGAAGCTCGGTTACAAGCTTTACGCCACCGCTGGTACGGCTGATTTCTATCAGGACCATGGTATTCCCGTCCAATTCTTGGAAGCACTCGGGAAGGAGACTGATGACCAGAGGTCTGAGTTCTCTTTGACGCAGCACTTGTCAAACAACATGATCAACCTCTACATCAACCTACCATCCAATAACAAGTATCGTCGACCGGCAAACTACATGAGCAGAGGGTACCAGACACGCCGAATGGCTGTGGACTATCAGATTCCCCTGGTGACGAATGTTAAGAACGCTAAGATCCTGATTGAAGCGATCGCTAGACACTTCGATTTGGAAGTCGCCAATCGTGACTATCAGACCAGCCATCGCTCAATCGTTCTCCCAGGTCTGATCAATATCGCTGCTTTCGTACCGGGTATTGTATCTCCAGATAGCCACGATCTGCAGGCAGTCACAAAGGCCTCTATTGCCTCCGGCTTTAGCATGGTTCGTGTCATGCCTATGGGGTTGGATGGATCCATTACCGATGCCAGGACGCTCAAGCTTGCCCAGCTCAACAGCAAACGTGGAGGCTACTGTGACTACAACTTCTCTATCTCGGCAACTTCTGAAAATGCCAACCAGATTAGTCAGGTTACTGGTGAAGTTGGGTCACTCTTCATCCCATTCAACCATCTCTCAGACAATATTAGCAAAGTCGCTGCTGTCACTGCCCATTTCGATTCGTGGCCTACACATAAACCGATAGTCACTGATGCAAAGACAACTGATCTTGCATCCATTCTCTTGCTTGCAAGTCTTCACAATCGGCGTATCCACGTCACTAGTGTGACTTCAAGAGATGATATCCGACTCATCTCTCTTAGCAAGCAGAAGGGTTTGAGTGTTACCTGCGATGTCTCAATCTATTCTCTGTACCTGTCACGCAAGGACTACCCAGACTGCCAGTTTCTTCCTGAGTTGAGTGACCAAGAGGCTTTATGGGAACACTTGGCTACTATTGATGTGTTCTCAATCGGTAGCGTCCCATTCCAGTTGGCACGTGCCTTGCACCCTGATGACCAGACCTTCAAGCCAGATCCTGCTGTTGGTATCGCTGAAGCTCTTCCACTGCTTCTCACATCCGTTGTCGACGGCAAGTTAACTATCGACGATATCAAAGCGCGACTATATGATAACCCCAAACGAATCTTCGAGCTTCATGAACAAGTGGGCGCATCAGTCGAAGTTGAGTTGGAACGCACATACACGGTGCCAAAATCTGCTTCATGGTCTCCGTTTGCTGGAAAGGTTATGCGTGGAGCAGTACAACGAGTTACTTTCGCCGAGAAGACAGTATGTCTCGATGGAGGCGTTCTTCCATTGTCGCCGCTCGGCAAGGACATGTCTACACACAACAGCCTGCCTGCACCCTCATCACCGGCTCTGGTGTCCACACCTCAGGTAGCTCCGTTCCCTGTAGATGCTCTCAGCCCTCGACAGCCATCGCAGCTCAGTAAAGGAGCACGCCTGTATGACGGTGAATTTGATTCTCTGCGGCCTGCTGCCAAACTTGCGACTCCCGCCGATGAGTTCAGTCTTCCAGGGCCGGCACGTTCACCGCTCGTGAACTCACTCCATAACCTTTTGTCACGGCCATCTATTTTCAAGAACGCACACGTCCTTTCCGTGAAGGATTACTCCAGATCCGATCTTCATCTTCTCTTCACGGTAGCCCAGGAGATGCGTCTAGGTGTGGACCGAGAAGGTGTGCTCGACACGCTCCGTGGTCGTGTGCTATGCTCTCTGTTCTACGAACCTTCAACACGTACGTCCGCCTCATTCGATGCTGCCATGCAACGTCTAGGTGGTAGAACAGTTGTTATCGCCACCTCACAGTCATCGATACAGAAGGGAGAATCATTGCAAGATACTCTAAGAACCCTTGAGTGCTACGGTGACGCTGTTGTGCTTCGTCACCCCGAAGAAAGCTCGGTCGAAGTTGCCAAGAGATATAGCAAGGTCCCTATAATCAATGGGGGCAATGGAAGCGCAGAACACCCTACCCAGGCCTTCCTCGATTTGTTCACTATCCGGGAAGAACTGGGTACCGTCAAGGGCTTGACCATCACCTTTGTTGGAGACCTCTTATACGGACGAACTGTTCATTCGTTGGTCTACTTGCTCCGACACTATCAAGTGTCAGTGCAGCTTGTCTCGCCTAAGTCGCTTTCCCTTCCGGGCGATGTTCGCCAGGTCCTCAAAGAGTCAGGCCAGTTACTATGCGAGTCGGAGGATCTCAGCCCTGAAATTCTCGCCAGGAGCGACGTGCTGTACTGCACGCGCATTCAAAAGGAGCGCTTCCCGAGTGTCGAAGAATACGAGAAGGTCAAGAATGTGTACCGCATTGACAACGCTACCCTGAAGCATGCTAAGCAGCACACAAGAGTGTTGCACCCGCTTCCCAGGAACGAGGAGGTGGCGGAGGAAGTGGATTTCGACAATAGAGCGGCGTATTTCAGACAGGTAAGCACCGTTACGACAGCTTTTGCCAGGAATGATCCAGGTCATAGACTAACGATTTCGCAGATGAGATATGGACTTTACTGCCGCATGGCTTTGTTGGCATTAGTGATGTCTTAACATAAAACAGTTTTGCTTAGTGACGTGTCCTTCACTACCTTCGGACTTACAAACTATCGACATTCTTTTCTTTCATCTTCTCTTCATCATCGGGTATTAGTATGGGCAGGGTGTAAAAAAAGAAAAGTATTAGAAACGTGTTTGAACTAGATAGGAACACCTGTCACAAGATACATGAAAGGCTCAGGCCGCTTATGAGTGAATGATTTTAAAGCACATAAGTGCATTCTGGGGGGCGTTAACTGAGCGGCGTATGGTTTGATATCGGGACGTATGTATATGATGTTTTACACGTTTATGTTATACGTGTTTTTGTTTTTGTATGTATGTTATCTGTATATGTATATAGCGTACGTTGTGTATATTTTGTATATAGTGTGTATGTATATGTATTGTATAATTATATTTAATAATTATTCACCTAAATCGGTTTTCTCTTCTTGCTATTCCTTTAATTTCTTGACTCTTTGTGAATTTATCTACACATCAAACACATCAACCTGATATATCATTAATGACGGCGATCCCCAAGTGCAGGGATCATACCTATCTCCACGACAGAATGGATGGTGGGTGGTGGCGGGGTTGTGTGGGGAGCTCTACGCCACAAGTAGAGCTATGCTAGCTTGACCATAGTGATAGTAAGTATATTTATACGCATATTAATCCCAAGCCCAACCTCTTCTCAAAGTCCTCTCAATATTGTATCTAGGTTTGCTCAAACTTGGCTACAGGAAAGGCCATAATTGAGGTCTACATAGATACTTTGATCATTCCTTGTATCGAAAGCCAGACGAACTAGTGACGTCATCGCTATCGGCCAATTTAGCTCGCGCATTCCCCCGGAGTTGGACGCGGGAAAGGAGGGGCTACCTAGCCTAGACTTGTCGAGAAGTCGTATGAATCATCGCCAGGAACCGACTTGGAGGAAGGCTTTCCAGGATACAGACATAGCCAGTAACGCCCTCGATCCAGAAAAACGTGGGAGACTCTCAAGTCGGAGAACAGCTGAGGTAGAAACGCCAATTTACCTGCTAGGTTAAGCGGACTGCGTTTGGAAGAGCAATCTACACCTACCAGTCAGTCCAAAGAGGAGAGAAGAGAAATCGAATGCGCCGCGCGACAAACATCCTCTGTCTCGCAAGTCATCTACAACCGCATCGCATACAATCCATATCAACAGCAACGACAACCACGCCCTCACCACCAACAATAGGGAAAATGTCCGCATCACCACCGCCATCCGCGGCAGCGCCCTGGCGCAGCCTCTTCCTCTCGCATCTGGAGGGCATGGACTCGGCCGAGTTCACGTTGAGCACGCTGCGTCGCGCCTCCTCCTCCTCCTCCTCCTCTTCTTCGGCTGGCGGACGTCGCTCGTCGATCCTCGCTGCGCCCTTGTACGTCCCGCGGGCCCGCACGTGCATATGTCGGGGCCTATGGGCGCATTTGCCCATCAACCCGAAGAACGAGGCCGAGTTGAACCCGGAGGGTGTCTGGGAGAGCGAGTTGATTACCTTTACGACGGATGTTCGGATGGATAAAATGGAGGAGCTTGTAAGCATCGAACTACCAGTTGCGCCTCTCGCGTTCTCGTCTCTGCTTTTCGTCTTAATATTGTACACAGACTATGTTAAGGATTACTTGAGTTCCAGTGGCATTCGTTTCTTTACCAGGTATCGAATTCACATGATCACGACAAGCTAACGCAAGCATCTGCAGTGGGAGAACGGGCTCGACTTCGACCTACGAACAGGTGGGAGACGAGGCACGGACCCAGGCTCGCCGACAACAGGCAAGGTCGGCGAGGAGCTCTGGGAAGACAGCCTGGCGAGAATGAAGGGGAAGAGAAGCAGCTCGGACGAAAACGCCGCCAAGTCCTCGAAAGAGCGGAAACTGAAGGGCTCCGGAGGCGGCGGGACAGTCGAGGCCGTGTTCTGGGCCCGCGAGCCCGGCGTCCAGTGGCGCGTGCGCGGCCGCGCGTACGTCCTGGCCCCGGACATCGAGACGTCCCCCGAGGGCCGCGAGGTCGTGTCCGCGCTGAAGAGCCGCATGCGCAAACAGAGCCAGAGCCAGAGCGAAGAAGAGTCGCAATGGAGCTTCGCGCGCGAAATCACGGCGCATTTCGGCAATCTCAGCCCCGCGATGCGCGGCACCTTCCGCAACCCGCCGCCGGGCAGGCCCGTCCATTTACCTGTCGAGGACAAGGGGCTGGGGCTGGGGCAGAAGGTCGCGGATCTGGAGGACGCTGTTGCCAGGGCGAATTTCCGCGTCGTGGTCATCGTCCCGGAGGAGTTGGATCAGGCGGATCTGAGCGATCCGGAGAATCCGAAGAGATGGATACATACGTATGTCGGGGCGGGGGATAAAGGGAAGGGGGGCTGGGAGACTGTTGAGGTTTGGCCTTGATTTCGACGATGAAGAGAGCATGTCTAGTGCGGAGTGGAGTGAATATTGCTATGAGATTGATGTCGAGGAATGAAGAGCAGTATCTCTGACGATTGGTCTTGGAGTACTGATGCGAGGTTGGTCTTTCGGACTGTGAGACTCTCACTTCTTATCTGTATCATATTTCCACTTATTCAAAAGAGGCGTATTTCACTTCTACCACATCTTTTCTATGAAACATGAGTGAGTGAGTGGGTGTTCTCTCGAAGCTGAACCCGCTAGACCTCACAATCTTAACATCTATATAAAATCATATGTATTTGAAGAAGGCAATCTATTTTACCCAGCTTTTACAGGCCTAACTATTTGACGAATACTTACGAAAATCATTAGATTATAGCCTCCTATCTACAAGCCGTAGGCGCAGGCAGCTTTCGAACTGAGAAGTCAATACACGGAATACAGCATTGTACTTGACAAGCACACAAATCGACGCATCGACGACATGGTGAGGTCGTGGGTTGTTAGAAGAACGATCGATGTCGTACTTACATGTGGAGATCCACACATGTCTTCTCCTAAGTAAATATCACGCCCGAGAAATGAAAGCGAGTGAAACATACGATGGAAAAGGTATTAAGATTGAATGCGACCCAAGCATAACTACCGAGGTAATTGAACTTTCTACATTCGTCCTGCAAAGCGAATAGGTAGTCGTCTCATCTCGCCCATTCCTCTCTCACGTGCTCTACTTACAGTATGTCTGTTGTAGAGCATTGTGTCTCAAAACTTGGTGTATTTCCTTTTTTGGTCTTGTAAGTCTTTTTTGTTTCTCTCTTCTAGTTATTCTATTTTTACTTTTATTTTATTTTTTTGGGATTAGTAAAATGAAAATCCTATTCGTCGCCGCATATCTACGAGTAATATACGTGAGGAAAGCACATCATGCGATTGGTGTTCCTTCCCTTCCTTCCTAGTCGTTTTTGTTCGGGATTTGAACCGATAGGTGATTCGATGCGAAATTACGTTTTTGTTTTTTTTTGGGGTGTTAGTTACTTAGATACCTACATGTAGATGGGCACATGACGCCGAGGCTGTTAGTGTCAGGAATACCTAGGTACCTACCTAGGCAGGCTGGTGTAATGTTTGTGATTATGGGGTGTTAGGTGACGCATTGTGCGAGGAAGGGATTTGCTTTGAGTCTCATTTCGTTATGCGGTGTTAGTGCCATGTTGCTAGTGTTGCTACGATGACATTTCATCTAGGACTTGCTGAGATGTCAGGAGGTGTGTTTTGATTGTAGGTATTTGATAGTGGGTAGGTGGTATATACTGTAGAGAAGGTGTGACGATGCCGGACATCGCGAGAGTCTGCCATGGGTCCAACCAGGAGTACTGTATCATCACGTCTCCGGCACTATTGGAAACCACACGAGAGAAATCTGCCCTCACTTGAAGCTCAGCGGATACTACATGAACCTCCTATCGCCGATCTATAAGCACGCCGTAGGTTGCAGATGACATACCTATAGTAGGTATGGCACTGGAACTTTTGTAACAAAAATGCTACCTGATGTATCCCCCATCTCGCCCTCTATCCTACACAGTGTTGTGTACTTAAGTTGAGCATGTATCATCCGCAAACCTACCCTTATCCACCTACAGGCCTCACACGTGCTCAGCCGCACCGGGGAGGGGACCCTGTAAGATATTTCCCACACACTGATCTTCCCTCTGGTCTGACGTTGTTTCTAGAATGTGTCACGGCTGTCACAGTATTATCGCTGATGGGACCTGCTGACCTGGCCCGTTACCAGGCACATACATATCTACTACTACCCAATGAAGGCGAGGAGTAACTCTCTGTTTCCTTCTCTCAGGGCATTACTACCTGTAAGCAGAAAGTTGTGTCAATGAAACGTCCTCAGGTATGGGATAAATTGTTCGGCTCTGGGGGCTGGAGTGTGTATCGTAACGCGGTGTATTGCAGCACGCAAAACCAAGCAAACTCTCACACTTTCTACATGTACTGTTCGGTAAGTAAGTATGTATACGGTAGTGGCATGATATCGCGTGGCAGATTCCCGTGGTGGCCCGCCGAGAGCTGACGTGAAAGTTTCCTCTCTCTCTGTGTGTGTGGGTGCACCGCACACCGGGGGGAGAAAGGCTGTTGGTGTACGGGATACTACTCGCATACCTACTCGTATATCATGCGGATTTCGCTGAATGGACCAACATAACCATGCAATGCTCATTACATGTAATAATGCGCTACGGATAGACCCTTGCAGTTGTCCTACCCGTGATGCCCGCCTCCTCTCGGTAGCTCCGGCAGTGGTTGATTCTACCATGTCAACAACACGCAAGTACTGAATTCTCGAAGCTTTCCCCCTTGGATTGCGTGTTCTCTATCTTGGAGTCCATGGCTGCATGGGTCTCTACTGTGGAGGCAGGCATGTACAGAAGCATTTTACTTAAGTACACGAATGTATTTCGACTCGTGTTCAATGGTGTCAGCCTTGTAGAATCCATTTCCAGGATTTTTCTCTCGTAAAATACTTGCCATGCTGCAATAGTAAAGGCATGTTATAGGCCTAGCTGACCTTCTGTTACAGTAGGCAGTGTGCAAGAAAGGGTGTGCGTGCGTGCGTGGATGCAAAACCTTTGATGCTTCCAAGAAGTCTTCCATTCCTCTTTCGATACTCACACTAACCACCTCATGGCTGTTGCCAAGAAATTATTAGGGCGGGTTTTGATGTGTGTCGATCTTCTCCCCCTCTCTCCCCTCCCAGTCCCCTCTCACCTACATACTCTAATACATGGCAAATGCCGGTCAGTGCAGCACAAGCTCGTAGTGTACATTACAAAAGTCCAAAGTGGATTTTGTTCGCCATTTCCGCTTGGTGTAGAATTCGCGTGGAACTTTTTCTTTCGCAGCGAGTTTTGCTTACCTTCTAAAGCCGAGGTGAGGGGGTTGGCTTTACTGTGTACCTACTTCGTAATTGTGGACGGTTAAACCAGCTGCGACGTTCATGGAGTTGTACACTGGATACAAGCTAGGTTGAATAAATAGAATATGGAGGTCACTATGTTACTCTTGTCAATGCAGTGCGATTTGGATACATGCTCTTGAATGAACGCTTGGGCATACCAGACGCTCAGCACAAGCCTCGACAGCCTTCTGTACTGAAGAGGGGAGTCGAAGTTTTGAAACAGGGCTCGTATGGGAAACACTACACGTGGTATATATTTCATGAGCATTATAACATATTAAAATTAATCAATACCCAGGGTATTTCGGTTAATGGCTAACCATCTGCCGTTTTGAGTAGGTAGGTGTGGTAGGTGTTGCACGAGGTGTTGCTATTTTCAGAATGCTTGGTATTGGTCTCTCCACCTCTTTTTTTTTATTATTATCTCGGGCGCGAATGTGAGAGCCGAAGGGTCGAAGAGACCAAGTAGTTGATTACGTGATTCATGCTTCGAGGAGCTTGATCCTCCTATCGTTGACGCTCGGTGTTTGGGATGGCATGTTCTCAAGGACGTTGTACGTTAGCAGTGACACGTTGGAAACGACAATGCCTACTCTTCCTAACCAACATTAGAAGGTTAGCTGTTCATTTTGTTAGTTCTATGGATACGCTGATCGTCGGCGTCGGCTTTAAGACGCCGCCTCCGGGAATGATCGGCAGAACATCTGTGCATTTTGGATCGAGGTGTGCGTGTGTTGTTTCAATTTTGCATCGTAGAAAATATGCTTCCAACCCTAGACTCTGCCTAGACCATTCCTAATGATGCGATTTAGGTGGGAGGTGAGTTTGGGCTAGGTACCTGAGCGGCCGTGGCTTGACGGGTTGGCTGACCACCGTCATCCACCAAATGAATCTCATGCGAATTTCCCCTCTTCCTTCCGAAGGATCCTTTCAAGACCTGGGGAAATAGGAAACGGAGCACATCTAACGGCCACACCGTTTTGTCCTCCCACGTGGCATGGCTCTAGCTTTCAATTCCGTCTTTGAGTGGACATGTTCCTGGTCTTACAGTAGGTATCATCCTTGGAACTGCTTACGGGATCCCTACATAGTGTCTCAACTAGACGGTAATTGGCAAATGGTCCCTGGCAATGCGCGAAGCCGAAGGGAACTCTTAAAAGCTCCCGCGCGTAGCCACAAATGGACTCTAGAAGGCGAGGGAACGAAGAGCACGGAGAAAGTTGTTGGTATGAGTTCTGGCGGTGAGCTAGGTACTCCGCATTGATGAATCAATGATCGTCTCGGCCCATGTTGTCGTAGACGTTATATGCGCCTGTGTATGCATGGTCTGCATGCGTCATGCACGGTTTTCCATGCCTATCTGCACTCAAAGAGTCGAAGGACTACAGCTAACAGCAGGTTATTCCATATACACTCGAGAGACAATGCTCGCCTTACTTGTTCCGGTGTAATGCGAAGTGGACAAGAGTGCCGAAAGAAGGAGTGGTTCGATCCAGGTTCATCCGCTCCGGTCGACTTCGGCAATCTAGATGGCGGTGGATCATGAGACGTTGCGGACCAGCCTCTGAGAGCCGCAGCCGAAGGAGACATTGGCGCAGTTGAGAAGATGAAGCCATAGGTTCGAGATCCATACGAGCATTCGCGCTAGTTGCTAGGCCACGGCATATTTCATGCCTTATCATAATGTTCCCGGACTTCATTGGCCGCTGGGGGCAGGGCGATGCATGTGTACATCTGGTGTAATATATGCTCTCCTGACAAGTCGAGCGTGTCTACTGAGGCAAAGGTGACTTGGATATTCAAATTGCAGCCAACAGATACATACCGGAACATGCGCATCCCCGCTTCGTTGTCCTCTCACTTTGGATAGAGAGACCTACTCCAACTCCGCTCCATTCGATGCGAGGGATGGGGAAGGATGCACAATCTCGACGCTATTGCCTGCAAACGCAGGAAGATACCACTGTGATACCTAGAGCAACGCACATATAACAACACGTAGAGCTGAGGTCATGTTCGCGAAGTCTGAGCCGCCAAGAATGGCCTGTCATAAGTAGTCGTCTACTACACATTTAGTAATAACTTAGCATACACACAAGAGGCGTCGGACAAGCGGGCCTTTCCGCCTAGCCGTACGCCACTAACGGGATCCTACAAATAGATTCTAGGACGGAGGACGGGCTGTCATCACGCTCTATTAACTAATTACTAAGAGAGTCCGACCTATCCTACACTAAGGACCATAGTGTACTGTAGTAGGTCTTTGGCCAAAAGCCGTTGGCGAAATGGTCTCATCGCGGGCTGAATACGATCTATCATAAAAAGACGTGGCAGTCTCTCGACGATTTCTGATAAGTGCTTCTGTAAGATCAGCAGTTGATCACCAACAATAGCGGAATCGCCTCGCTTGCAAGCAATCGGCACCGGATCTTTCTTTGACACCGCCTGGTTTTTTTTTGGTTTTGTTTTGTCTTTCCTTCCATCGACCTAATTCCGATGCGCCCGTGCCAAGTCATCACCAACAAACCTGCAACTCAGGCCAAGCTCAGGCGATCTCGTGCATAAGGGCGAAAAGACATATTTAGTAAGACTACTGTAAGAAACGGTCGCGCGCATTCGCGAGAAGAGCACGGGCAACTAAAACTATCGGTGAGCGTCTGAAATGGCCGAGCAGGACTTCGCGAAACGCGGGGTCCTAGTTGGCTGAGGAGCAATAGCGAAGGAAGTCTCTCCTGTTGTGCACGACCATCATGATTCTTGTCGCGCAATCCATTGAATGTAGGGATATTGACACTTAACACCCGTGCGACACAATACCTATGGCGCTGTCGGACTACCTAAGATCGTGACGTAGTGTAGTCGTAGTGGGCTGGCAGGTGAGGAATTAATTCTGTATTAATGGCCAGGTTTAGTTTTCCCATACCACTGTACCAAAGCGTCGAGAATTGTTCCGAGGATCTATCTGGTTGGAAGATCTGGAGGCTCGGTTGCTGAAAGAAGTATCGGCGGACTTTTTGCGCATCCCAGGGGGACACGGGCGGGAGTGCCTACGAAATACCTACCAGAACCTACCAACCGCGATCGTGCATATCTGCCAATGCGACAATAGAGTGCCATCATGACTTGTCCCCCCATTGACCATTCAGAATACTCGAAAAGGGATGCGGCGGTTAGCCAACTAGGCAGCTTGCTCGTTATTCTGCTCCCTTTACGGGTTGGTGGGCAGGTGGGCGGTAGGTCTTGGCCCTGGGATCGGTTACACTACCTACGTACTCCGTACCTACTACGAAGTATGAAAGCTGCAATGAAACATACGGCGGACAGCCAGTGATCCGAGCCTCGTTTCCTTCCCATGACAGCAGACAGTCGCCAATGGGGGGGCCCTGTTTCTTCAGACCGCCAAGGTATGAGGCCAAGAATTGACAAGGCCATCCACAGCCACATCATGATGGCGCCGAGACGACTCGGCCGACGCGGTTAAGAAACGATCAGACCATATTGGGCCTTGGGACGGGCTATAAGCAGTTAGGGTATGTTGGCAGACGACAGATTGCGCGAAATCGTCAATACTATGGAAGAACGTATCTGAACATACTATCTAGGAAGTATGGGCGGAAGAAGCGCCGTTTTGTACAGGGCAATCGTTGCGATACATACATTACAATACCTACATCACATACCTAGTATGGTCAACATCCATGGACGGTAGGTATTAACAGCTAACTGCATTACTAGAACGGGAAATAACAGCGAAGTCTGTGTGACCGATGTGCAATTACGCCGTAGCAGTGTAGGTACATCATATACATCTACGATCTATCTAGCTACATACATATACATTGTATGCATACTCTAGAGTAAGTAGGTAGTAAACTGTTGGTGAGAATATGCACGTCTGATTTTTTCTCTGCTCGTATCAATATGCAGCGACATATGATCGATTCTAGGCCATGCGTACCTAACAGTCAGAGGTAGGTACCTACCTAGACACGTAAAATCTGAGATACCTAGCTAACGCTACAAAAAAAAACTTGGAATCACTAATTCACTCACTCATTTCGAATGGCTCGGTGGATGTCCAACGCTAAAATAACTACCGAAGTAAGGTTATGTATGTATGCCGTGCTTTAAGAGGAGTAAGTAGGAGGAGGAGGAGCAGGAGGAAGGGAGGAGAAGAAAGGCGTTAGAGAGAAAAGAGTTGCCGGCGGCAAACATACACGTTGTTCGTACATGCTTATATGTAAGGTTACCTAGGTACTTAGGTATCTACTAATACTTAGTAGAGTGAATAAGTAATCAGCAGCAGGGCACTTTATGCGAGGAGAAGATCTCTCTCTACAGTAGGCATAGCAGCACCAGCCCATCTTTTTGATTTGATAAAAGGAATGTATCATCTGGTGGACAGACAGACAGACAGACAGACAAGACAAGACAAGACAGTACCGGTAGTGTACACTACACTACACTACTTCTGATCGAAGCGGATCCAAAGCGTGAAAATCCCCATCTTTTCAGATCCCTACATAAGTAGTACATGTGGGTTGTTCAAAGCATTGCATTGTAGCTACTTGGATGTTTTAAATGAGCTCTTACTACGTGTACCTACCTATACACAGTAAAGCAGGTCGTTGAACATTGTTTGTGTCTTACCAATGATGATGATGACTACGTGCCGCGGGACTGTTACCCAGGGGAGAAAGAGCAATATCCGAGGTAGGTACAACATATGACAGACGATGATTGATAGATAATGGGTGATGTATGTACGTAGACCAACAGGAAAAGCCGTTGCCAATTACACGTGCAAATGCTACTACTATAGGTAGGTAGGTAGGTAGGTACTCCTCGGGGCCATGTTGTGCAGCTTGGGAATCGCTATCTGGTGCAAGGATCTCTCTAAGTATGCAGGACTTGTGTAAGTAATATGCAGAATGTAGATATCTGTCATCCATCTGTGGGGACGGGGTTTTCTTTCTAAACCTCACGAGTGGCAGGACGTGACATCGCTTTTGATTTAGATACCTTACGAAGTAAGTAGAGGGATTATATCACTCAACTCATTTCTTTCTTCAGCCTGTGTTTACTTACATCGAAGGCAGGTTCTTCAAGCCTGGGTCAGATTCTGGGGTAAGGTTCAGTATTGACCAGCATCGCTGCTCCTGGCGGCTCCTACGTTGAAGGCTGGGTAGAGACGGTAGATATCATTGGTTCCTATCGAATTCCTACCTAGCATTCAGGATTTGGGGGGGTATGGTATGTATGATATGATGAGTTAGTTGCACCTTTTGCCGCTTCAGGAAACACTTGTGTGTGTGTCTGTAGGTAGTGAACGTTGTACTTTGTCACATTGCCCTCTGCGAGGCCCGTCCGTGAGGCCGTCCGTGAGGTGCGCGCCACTCGAGTAGATTGTGAGTACTAAGTAAGTAGGTATGTAGATTGGTCGGCCTGGTCGGCGATCAAACCGGCCAGAAAACGACAATAGACGGAATGCCACTCACTCTCGCTCTCAGGGACCAGTCCGCTAGTTACTGTGTAGGTACTTTCAGCAGGCGAGCAGGTGAGGCAGGTAATCAAGCCAAGCACCCCCCCAAGCGGAACCTGACAAGGATATCTCCTTGTCTGAGGTCGATCAATCGCCGCCAATCGTATAAAGTACGCGGGTACATACATGGATAGACGATGCCCAACTGGAGACTAGCTGTGGACAAAAGGTCGCACAATTGGACGCACAACTCAGGGAACCTACAGTACCGAGAGCGTTACTTCGAATTGTGTTGTAGGATACCTAATAAATAAGATATCGCTGCTACGATTTCCTTTCTGCGGCGGCAGCCTGTCCTTCTCGTCCCGCATTTACATGGAAAAGGGGATCAGTGTACCTGTCTGTAGTGGTGGGGCTTGGTAGAGTGTCCCTATAATAGTATGGTGGTTCTTAGATAATCAGGTAGCTTACAGTCTTCGCACTGGCGCTTTGAATGGGAGTTATAAGGGATTCAATACGATGAGATATCAGTATATGGGCAGTAGGTATATCAGTACAAGGTTAGATGAAGTGCAGAAAACTCTCACCGTTTTTTTTTTCTTTCTCTTTATTTTCATTTATTCCGTTGCTTGTCTCTCCTCTCTCTACCTCCATCTTCTTTGTCCCTTCTTCTAAGTACAGAGTAGGTACTTATTATGGCACTGCACTACTGTACACTACCCTCTAGGTACACTACGCTACAGCACGCCACAGCACTCTAATTACTTACCAACCTTCGTAACTTGGCGGAAGTCCATTCTGTGCCTAGCGTAAGCCCATGTCTGGCCCATGCACCAACACCCACCCCCTGTCGTCTCTCTCTCTCTCCGTGTCCATCTCCGCTCAATGCCCAGTCCGTTATCCAACTGCCTACCTACCTACAGCGAGATACTTACCTAGGTACCTACCTATGTAGTACCTACTACTCTAAGTACCTACAGTATGTACCTTGCTTAGGCATACCGGTAGGTGGTATTAGCAGGTACCGTACTGTACGGTACGCTAAGTACTCCACCACCGAGCGGTAAGTAATGGTACCTGGCCCGCTACTTACAGTGCGGTTCCTACACTACCCGTTCCGTAGTGTACCCTATCGTCCGCCGACCATCCATCCTTCCCATAATCCATCTCTATCTCTATCTCCATCTCCATCTCCATCGTCTTGTCTTCCTCCTACACCCCCAGTTGCAGTTCTCCTCATCTTGTCGTTGTTGCTGTTGTCGCGCGCCAATTCTCTTGCGTCAATCGGCTTCAACATCTCTCCTAGCATCAACTGCTTCTCCCCAGTCGCCCTAAATCTACCCCTACTTACGTGTAGGTCCTCCGTTGCCATTCGTTGTGTTACGCTTCCTTTGCCTCGGTTGTTGGCATTGCCGTCTCACACATTTGATCCCTCAGCTAATCGTTGGGCAGCTTCAGCAAATATCCCGCCTGTGCCTCTTGGATCGCGCCTTTGAGATCAACAACTACGCAGCCTACAGCAATAGGCTATCCTGATGAGTTCCTCTTAGGGACAGGTCGATGCACCGTCGAATGTGATCCTCTCGACGACTGCTCCTTGACTGTCTAACCCGCGGCCTACCCAGATGCCGAGAAGTCCATAATTCTCGACTTCCTTTGCCCTCCCTCCCAATCTAACTCCGCGCGCTTCGAATATTGCTAGCCAGATGTTGGCGTAGTCTCGAAACCATCGCTCTTCAACTTTTCCAACCCTATTCAAAAAGATATTCTCTTCGAATTAGTCTGATTCTCGGTCAAAAATGGCGACAACCGATCCTTTGGATAGCGTCATAGTAAACGCACCAGACTGGGTGAAGCGCTTGGAAGAACTTAGCGGTCAGATAGAACAGCGGCAACGGGACTTGGCTAAATTTTCTGGAGCTGAGGCACCCTCATCGTCTGCTCGGTCCATTCGCAATCGCGGTTCTACAGAATCTCTCAAGCCAAAAGATGATGGGCCATCATTACCAACTCCTGACCCAGATCCGACAACAGATCAAATGCCAAAGCCCATAATTACCGCGCTTCCTCCTCAGACCCCAAGTGGCAATGCTCGACCCAATGGTCCACAGCCACCATCAACGCCTGCTAGCGACCCGTGGACCGGCTCCTCGCTTGTTAGACATACCAATGAACTAGTAGCCACTGCTCAAAGACGCGCCCGTGCAACTGTTCGCAAACGACAAAAGACGGATTCAATGATGAGCGGTGAAGCAGCAACGCCTAAGTATAGGTCACGAAGGATGGTAATGGTTTACTATGACAGCTACGTACAATCTTTCTTCGAAGAACTCGTTAAATTCGTTTCTGCGCAGCGGAACCTCATGCGCAAGGCCAAGATGGCCGCCAAAGTCGCTCACATCAGACGCCTTGCCGAGCTTGAAATGCCTGAGGAAGATGAGGATGACGAAGGGGGTGAATTAAAACCTGGAAATGGTCTGATTGCTGCACGTCCCACTCCACCTGCTCCCAATCCTAGGCCAGGTGGTCCGGAAGAGATGAAACTACAGTACTTCAGCACGCGCTCGTACGGAGGCGCTTTAAGAAGCCCGGGCTTAGGCTTAATTCCTGGGAGGGGTATGCGAACCAGTGCTTTAAATGGTGGACTCGGCGCTTTCAACGAGAAGGGTGACATCTGGGATGAACTAGACAAGGGGCTTGAATTCGTTCAAGGGTTATGTGAGCGTGGGGCACACCAATTTCTCCGAGATGGCGATTGTAATGAGGAGATTGAGAAGATCAAGACCCGCTTGGTGAAGGTGAAGGAGTTGGCCGTCAATGAGAAAGAGCGGGTAGTCGCTGAGAAAACCAAGGATGAAGAGAAAACCGAGCCAAAGAACGAGACGAAAAACGAACCCAAAATCGAGGCCCGGCCCGAAATTAGAAGCCAGGGGATAATTGAGCCTGACCCCAATCCGATACCTGAATCTACACCTGAGATAATTGAACATCACGTTGAGTTGGTCCCTGACGTCTCCCGGGAAGCAGCACCTGAGATGGATGCCGCCAGGCCTCGGGTGTTCCGGCCGTCAACTATGCGGAGGGATATCGGTGCGTCAAATCCCAGCAAATTTCCAGCTCGAGAGGGCCTATTAGAGATCGACGAAGGAATCGACGTAGACATGGACGATTTCAAACCAGTCTACAGATCGACAAGACTGATGAGACGCCCTGTTTAGGAGACCAATAACGACCACGGGATTACCTCGAAAACCACACTCTATACATATATCAACACTGCACATATACCATTTCTGCTGTCTATCGAAACACATTGTAACGGAGTTCTATATCGAATCTGATGAGCAACTATATCATCCTCTGTTCAAAATATCCAAGGAACAATATAATGAGGTACAATACCACGATCAGCTAATCGCACTCCACCTCTTAGAGCGTTGGGCAATTTCAATTTTGGAAAACTTGAGAGACCAGGAAAAGTACATTTTTGGCATATTTTTGCATTAGCTTGGTGCGGTGGTCAAATCCAGTCAAGAGACTGGGAATCCCACGGCGGACATGACGGAGGACAGTTGCATATATATCATCAAGGCGTTGGGGAGGGGATATTCATAACTTACGACATGACGGCACAAAATACCGTCCACGGGCGGCTTCATCATCTTCAGATTTTGTTTCATACCATTTTAGCTCTGCATATCAGTCAGTCAGGTCTTTTAGGATCTAGCCCAGTAGCCCTTATCGAATTTAGCGATCATGGTTGTATAATCTCATAGCCCCATCATATAACGGCTGAAAGGGACGAGTTTGTCCGGAAATATCCGAAACTACCTTTGCATGGTTTTTGATAAATCATCGCTTGCACGAGTTATTGTGTAGGTAGTATAGTCACAATTTAAGTACTTTAATCATCACATTTTTTTATAGAGAATTTCGTCGTTTGAACCTGGGATTTTATTAAATAGTATGCATGCGATCTGTATGCGCGCTGAAACGACGCGTTATGAGCTACCTAGTGGAATTATAGCGGTATAGTATCCATTGTCTTGATAAGCCAAGGATGTTCAACGCCAACTTTAGGCGAAAAAGATATACATGGACGACGGTATACTATTATTATTATGGACATATATGTACCGGTATATGGTGAATCTCGCCTATTCTTTCTGAAGGCACCGGGGAGGGAGGGGGGTATATACCGTGGTGAAGGTATTACGAGTTATCGTTTGTTTCTATGACGCGTAATTCCTAATGCTTTCATTATATTCCTTCCTTCCCTCCTTCCTTGCCTACGACCTGTTTCGTTTTCGTAGTTTTTTTTCATGCTTGATTTGCCCGCTTCGCTGTTTCGGGATCTCGCCTTTTTCGCCTATGGAGCCGAGGCTGGGGGGGGGGATGAGTGAATGAAAGAATGATGACGATGAGGGGGGTTGTTGGGGGTTCTTGTTTTGTTGGTTCGCGACCCCTCCTTCCTGCATTCCTGCATTCTTGCATTGATGTGTTGGGGAAGAGTAGGAGGGAGGTGAGGAGGTGCGCTTCATCAGTCTTTGATGAAGGTTAGTAGGTATGATTGTTTTTATTTTTATTTACTTTACTGTGTTGTTTGTATGTGTTGTGTGTATATTTTAGATGTAATAGAGCTAGCATCCAATATCTGTAGCGAAATGTGGCTGTGGCTGCGGTTGCGGCAGCGCGGATGCATGTCGTGGGATGCATGAGTATCATCCGGAGTGGATTAGGTTCTGTTATCCTTTCTTCGGAGCTGCTTCGGTAAGGGGCGTGTAGTGTAGATAACGGAATGAAATGCCGTGGTCTGCGTAAGTGACTGTTTCTTTAAATGTGGATTTCCAATCCTACGGGGAAGGGCGGCATAGAGGTCAATATGAAGCTAGGTAGCTACTTTTGGCGGTGCAAAACTACATTGGGGGCTTGGAGGTGGCTTCATTTTGGATATGACCAGACCTAGTGAGACAGGTCAAGGACGTAGAACAGCATGAACCTATGAAAACACTCTGGGCTTAGCAGCACATATCTAGGATACAGCGTCTTGATATATCCCTTATTCCCTGCGTCGTGCTATGTAAGCAGTTGTCGCCTAAGCGGATAGTATAGTGCATATCTTTCTCGGAACAACTTCGACAAGCAAGCAAAGGCCGTCAGAACAATGATATCCTCGCTGCTATGGTGCTCTTCGTCGTATTGGAAGATGGGAACGCCGTCATCACACTTAAACTAGCCCAGGGCGTCGAGACTAAGCAGCTATGAAATTGCCTGACCTTGACCAATTTTGCATGCGTTCCCCTAGTATGTACATCTCCCCCATCTCTTACAAATCTTTGTGAAACTACATCTTTTTTGTCTACGTGGAAATCCGCATATTCATTATCCCCGTCCTCTTGGAAGCGAATTGGGCATGGTTGACATTTGGTATCCCAACGCACGCTCCTGCATCCAGACTTCAGCCAGGAGTCTTGCCTTTGCGACCGTCTGAGCGCACAGCCTGTGGGATAGCATAGTCCAGGCAGCGTCGTGAAACTACCGACCACTCATCCCCTTAGCTTTATGGCTTGTTCTCGGAGTCTTACAGCTTAAGATCGTATTCTATGTAGATCTCCAGGCTGGGTGGGTATGCGTGGCGATCACGCGGCATTCAGGATTGGGATCTTTCACTTCCCATTGGAGAACATTGATATGATTTCGAGGTAAACAGATTAGTATTCCTAATTTTGTCCTTCTTAAATCGCTCTGCCTCGTCATGGTCTATCCTGCTTTATCAGGGTCGCGTTGTATTGCTTACATGCTGGTTGCTGTATAGCTTGTCAACGACAACCTGTTGCAGGTGATTGGGTATATCAATGTGTAATTTCCATTTGCCTTCCTTACAAGGAGGATAGGAGGGCGTACGATACACTGCTCTCAAATTTGTAGCTTGACAGGCGGTGATTGAACATAGACTCTTTTCCGCCATCTACTGGGTACCACAGTCGAGTCTCCTCGCTCAAAGAAACTCGCTCAGAACCGAGACTCTAGTTCGAGCAGCTTCAGAGCCGTATCCCCCGTTACCCATAATTTTCATAATTTGGATCATGCGTGCTGTTGTTCATTAGCCACGGTGCTTCTGAGCTATAAACGAGAGTAGACTTGCCTATATCCGCTTTGGCCTTCGCGAAGAGCGGGTCCCGCGTCATGAGATCGGCCGTAGAAGGATCTCGCGTCGCTTCCCGTAGCACACCACCTATACACAGGGCCTCGAGGAATGCCCTGTGGTTGAAGACCCACCATACCCGTGCCTCGGTGTCAAACAGCGTGAAGAGGACGAAGAAAGTGGTTATAGCCTCGTGGGCCGCCTCGAGCGTGCCGCGGATGTTGACAGGTACATCGGGGCTCTCGGAGGCATGGACGAGCATAAGGTTGTGGTAGTAGTTGGAGCTGAGGAAAAGCGCCTGCCGCACTACGCGCTTGTTGTTATTGGCGAGCTGTGCGATCGTGTCTGGGTCCCAGGAGCGGAAGATGTCCGGAAACGACCGGTACACGGAGCGGAAGTCGGCCACAAGTTTAGACTTTTGCCGCTGAGTAGAGCAGATGGGCATGTCAAGCGATCGTGGGCTGCATATCGTTTCCTGCACCAGGTTTGCTAACATCCACGAACCCTTGATATAAGCTGTGTCAATGGGGTCCGCATGGCTCATGTGGCCCGATTGCTCGGCGAAATCGTCTATCCTCACATCGGTATGTGTGGCGCTTGGGGGTAGAGAGAGAAGCACAGTCAAGAAAGTGTCTTGGAGCAAAACTGCCTGCCATAGCTTTCGCCGCTGCTGCTTCTCGAACGGTGACGCAGTCGGTGTCACTGTCAACCAGCCAATTAGCTGCTTTTTCAACGTCGAACCTTGTTCTTCATTTAGGGAGCTTTTGCACATACCGATGTTAGGGTCCCTGTGTAGGCCCATAGCGTACGCTTGGCGCATGAGTATACCTGCATAGGCCCAGCCGTCTGATACATGGCTATCGTTGATTAGGAAGTAGCAGAGCAATACCATGGCTTGGACCGAGTGGATAGAGGCAGTGCTGAGGTACGAGCTCATACGCAACGCCTGGTTGGCAGCTGAGGCGTAGAACTCAGCGGTCTGTTTTCGATCCTGGGGATTCGTACTCGAGACGAATTGTGTTCCTAATGCGAGCATGACGAAAACTAGTGATACAAATGATGCGTTGTTTTGTCCTGAGTCTTTCAGAATCCAGAATTGCTCATACTCGGCATAGAAAGTCTGGCTATGTATCATCGGGTAGACAGGGTCAACACACTCAAAGTACTGGCTCAGCAGTATGTCGGCTTGGAGCTTCTCGGGGAGGACCCCAATCACCTCGGGGAGACCACCCTCACAGGTCCAGTAATTGGCGAAGGGGTGTTCTGAGCCTATCCCAAAGACATTGAAAGCTGTGGGGTGCGAGAAAGGGATGTTAGAGAGTAGGCCGGCTGACGATGCAACGGATGCACGTGTCGCCATGTTTCCGTTCATGATACCCCGGTCTGCTATATTTGGCGCCGGCGTCTTTATCCCGCTGGCCGACAGCCTTTTCTTAGGAGGTTTTGTCATCCGCCGACCGTTGGTAGCAGATCGCGACGTCTCCCTATTTAAAGTCGATGTTAGACTAGATTTGCCCACATCGAAGACATGAGAATGATCTCGGGCTCGCAGGTAAAGGGGATTCGACTCACTCTAGGAGGTTTGCGACATGTGCATAGCGACATTCTGTCTGCCGTTTTATACCTGGTACACGAGATGTCAGCAAATTCTCCGATCGAAGCGCAGATGCATGAGCAACCTGGTGACTTACATGCCAAGCAATGTGGTCTGCCTCTGTCACACTATATCCCAGTCGACCGTTAATACGTCTTTTCATGAGCATCAATGGGGCCAATCAGGGTCATGAGGGTTCAGGCCAAAGGATCGTTCCACAAGGCGAGCGCCACCATTCCGCCGCCAGTCCCAATCATTACATTACCAAATACACATACCGCCAACCATGTCTCCCAATTGCGCGATTAAACCCTTTGAAAGGAGGAAAGCTTTCGCGAGCTATTGGCGCTTGCATCAGTACCACGTCGTACTGACGCAATACACCCCACCAGTCCTCCGGAACAAAGAATGATGTGCAAGAGGTTGCTTGAAGCCCAACTTTGAAGCTGATTGTGTGGCATAACCCGTTTGGCGGTCGATGTTGGAGAAGGCTTAAAAAAAGAGGGAAAAAGCCAAGAAAACAATTGAAAAAGTGAGATGTGTAATTAATTAATTAAGTACTTACTTTTGTCTTGCGCTCGACACACTCGTAACAAGAGAGCGTTGGTTTGTTGCGTTTCTGCTTCTTTTTCAGGGGCTCCGATAATGAGGGGCCGGCGGCAGCGCTGCTGCCAGTGCTAATCTCGTCTTCCGGGTCCGATTTGTGCAGGTAGAACGGCTGATGGTGACCTGAATCGGGCGAGGCGTAAATGGAATTGGTGGAATCGGGACTTAAAATGGCTGGAGGCGAATGGATCACCGAAGGTCCGATGGCGCCTTGGCCGCTGCTGTACGACAACGGCGGCGGGAAATGGGAGCTCGACATGCGCGATTGCGGTTCTGTGCTGCCGTGGGTCGTCGATCTCCTGTGCCCAGCTGCAGCAGCTGAACAAAAGCCGGCCGGGGGGGAATAAGGCTGAAAGGAGGCGGGTATCGTTTGGCTCACTACCTCACTAGACTGCCTAGCTCGAGCAACGGGTGCGGAGTGAAGAGGCGCGATGGTGAAGCAAAAGTCTTGGCCGGGCCGGGAATAACGGACAAGCGGTTGCGAAATGCTGGTCGCTCGTACGAATCGGGGGTGCGAAGGATGGAGATGGATGGGTATAAAAGCGTTCGGGGGCGGGAGAGGGGAAGAGCCAAGACGGCCGTCGCGTTTGGGGAAAAATGGAGATGCAGGAGTAGATATAAACTACGACGAGGCGAGTAAGACTATCAAGGGACTCGATGCTACCTAAGTACTCTTTTATTCTAAGTCGTATCTGGCGTCTGTGTGCCGTAGTCCTGCGTAGACCGGCGCCCTCGCGTTCGCTCTCGCTCTCTCCCTTTGCCGTGTTCAAGTCCTCGTCCTGTCTGCAGGATCAATCTAGCCAGTGAAGGAGAATGCGAATGGGAGTGGGAGACAGAGAGAGGGAGGGGTGTGCCGGCGAGCGGGCGAGAAGGGGGAAAATATGATGAAAATCGAGAAACGCCCACGACAGCATTGACAATCACTAATCAGGTACGGTACTTGCCTCGCAGCAGTTATTATACCTAGTCTCGGGTGCCTACGATAGCCGACTACAATGTCAGGCATCCTGACATCGAGGAGGTAACTGGCACGGTATGACTGCGTAGTAGTAGTCGACTAAAGTGGCCCGCGGCCAGAAAATAGTGGGATCGTGTGGGTTTCCCGTGATATGCCTGCATGGAATCATGGGATGGGATGGGATGGATGTAATGTAGGCAGGCATGTACAATAGGTTTCGGTGTATATATATATGTACGTCGTAATAACAACAGCGATAACATCTCATCTGCTAACTCCATCGAGCATCTCACCAATGTCCATACAAGCGTGCTCTGGTACGATCAGACGCGAGTTTCTTCTGTGGACAGGTACTAGGATAATCTACACTAAGAACAGGAGGGAAGAATCCGCCAACCGAGCAGTCTAGTGCTGAACTCCTGTTTCAACGTCGCAGAAGTAGGTACATCCCCGAGTGCTTCAAACCCATGGATGGTCTGGCAGAGGTCTGGCAGAGGCCTGGCTGTGTGAATCTGTATTCCATATAACCCTCGCTGGATTCCATATTATAAAATCACTGCGTACTGTACTGTACTATAGGTAGGTAGCTGCTACGTGGGGAGCAACTGAGTGGTAAGACATGGTAGGATTGAATAGCCAGTTGACGTAATAGAGTTGTGTAGTCACAACTCAAGCCTTTGCATTAGAAGTACGAGGTTGAAAAGGGGGGTGTGATGTCGCCGGCGGCAACAGGGGGGCGTGGATGGTCTGCACTGCAGTTCCAACGTTGTGTGACCAGAGTTCCCACGGAATCATCTATCTCCGATATTCTCTCTCCTTTATCTCCGACTCTAGTATATACTTGCCTCTAGTTGTCGATGTCCGTGGCCGCCGTGATCGTTGGTTGAGTCCATATCCATGTACTCAGAATCAGCTATCACAGCTTCTGGATCCATACCGTGGGCATCACGACTGTCACGAGTGTTACTTCCGAATTGAGACGCAAGCGAGATTCAAAACATGTCGTCTCACCGAAAACATGTAAGGTATACACACAGACTTGCGTGGCTTGGGAAGCACCATACCATGATAATATGTCGATATGACAGAGCTAGGTAACTGAATAAGCATACCGACCTACGTATGCCTCCTCTTACATGATGGCATGGGAGATCGATCCCGCATCGAAGTGATAGAACAATTGCTATCTGCAGTCAGAATCGCTGAGCTTCTCTCCTTGTCACTAACTAAGATTACCGAGGATGGCTTAGTAAACACCACCTGCGAATCACGAGCTCCCAGCCATCGGAGAAGGGCGCTATTCCCCCTGTCAGCATATGCAACTATTTGTCCCCCAGCTGAGGATCCTGAGATGGCGTCAGCGCCGCGATGTCGCGGCCTTCGGACCGGGCTTTGCTTGTCTTGCTCTCGCCTCAAACGTTCCGGGCTCGGAGCGTGCCCAAAGGCCACCCTGCCGCAATTCCGCGACCAATGCTAACTTAGCTGGTAACTAGCTTGCGAACAGGCTGCTTGGACGGTGGAAATTCGTCGACAGCGCAAGCCACGGCTTACCGGGGTGGGCAGTTCGTTGAAGCTTGGTTGGTTCTCTTACATACATACATACCTACCCAATCATCAAACCCCCGAGAACTCCGCGTCAACGCCCTCCTGCAACGCGCAAACTATTACTCAGCTCAGATGTGCATATCTCCAACGCCCTATTGTCGGTGTCGATTTAAACAGCTCCCCAACCCTGATTTGGAGACAGTCAGCTCTTCTCAACTTAAGAGGGTATAGTCGGTTGGCTGACTAATCATTATCAAGCAGACATGATAAGATCATCGTATTAAAGAGTCAAGCGAGAAGCTACTAATAAAGCATCATGCAGCCTGACCCGCGAAGCACTGCCCTTTCACCGGTTGATAAGTATCAGATCCTAAATTTGTCTCGCCCGTCAGCTGTTCCTGGTTTTCCTCCATGGGGTTGAATGCCGAGTTCCGGCACACTTCCCTTGCGCTCAAACCACTCTTGCATGTTTTGTCATCTCGCTCCATACCGGTCGGAGTTAGCAGTGTGCATCGTCAACGGTATAAGCAGATGTTGCGTGAAGATTCCTGGCCACTCCAATGCGTGCACCGGAATAGGACAATGACTTGATGGCCCTGATGGTTAGGTCTCACTTTCACATCTGACGCAACTTGTGATGTCCACCTCACCCAGAAATTGTCAAAACTTGCTGATGGGCGTCCTCGAATAGGCTGCTTCTTACGATCCTGAAATGCAGAATTTTGGAGAAATATGATGTCCTATATTCGATGTTCCACAAGTCTGACCACCCAGCCCACGGGGGTTCGGTATGTGCGATCAGGCGACGGAGAGGACGCGAGCCGAGAGCCGGGTCATTCACGAAAGCTTGCGACGAAGTCATCACCGTCTTTCTTTTTCCAGGATTCAAGGACTATCTCGAGTCCATGGAGTTTCATAGCCTATTAGGCATACCGGGATAGACCCGGCTTTCTATCAATAATATACCACGGAGTTCCGCCAGGATTTTCGCAATCCCGTTGCCAGCACGATCTAGGGTGATCGGCATAGCCGATTAGGAGAGACCACTCCCGATGGCATTCAAATACAATGTGTTAAGTCGATAGGAACCATGGCAATTAAAGGATCATGCAATGAATGCATTGGAGGATCGGATTGCTGAGACCATCACACAGCCCTATGGTATATGAATAGACCTATAACAAGACATTTGATAAGGTTAAGATGAACCATACTCCGGCGCACTACTCTGAATATCTAGTAGTGGGTGTAGAAGAAAGCCTTCGAAATGGCTATCTAACTCATACTCAAATTTCTAATATCTACTTTCACAGTCATACATTCATATTCTCAACAGGAATCAAAAACTCTACCTCGAGATCATAATGTACTTATAATACTACTCTTCCTAAAAATGGCTTCTGTCAAGATATATATGATCAGCAGGTACTTCGCTTTCAGAAGAAGCAGTACGACACACTTGAGCAGCACTACTCCATAAATAAATCATACTGAATGATATCAATATAAACATTTGTCATAGAACTCTCACAAGTTATAGCGGCCCGATACTGAACCAGGCCTTTTGCGCCTGATTGCTACTCCTACCAAAGGTTCAAAGGGAGCTATTAAAAGATATTGATGGCCAACAAAGGAGACATGAAAGAGGATGTTGACTTAAGATGAGTACATCTTTCGTGAGTACACATCGCGCGTCTGCGTGGTGCCATCTCCCATAGTAGCAGGAGATGGTAAAAGCTTGACTATTTGCATGTCTTTGAATCCAGCTACTGTACGAGATACGCAGGTGTGTCGCTTATAAGCACACGCACATGGTTTAATAGCAAGCTCTGCAAAACTTAGGAATATTGTAATTGTCGTGGTAGTCGCGATAGCTAACATTACAGCAACGCGTACTATTATACAGTTCTCAATCAGAGTTTCCCCAAGGGCTAGCGTAACTAGTATGGCAGTCTTGATGTATAATATAGACTCTTTGCTGATGCTAATGAATAATAATTTTGCTAAGAGCAGCCGTCTAGAGCCAGTCCCTCGAAAGCTGCACTTTCTTACTTCAGTCTGTACTTTTCGGGGTAATCGCGATATGAAATATCAAAGAGTTACCTCCCCTTCCAGGACTGATCTCACCGACATGCCTGTTCGTGAATATGCTTTCACCGTCATCGCTTCTCAGATTCCAACACACAGCACAGGAAGTCGCGCCCAGTGACAGAAATATGAGCCTGTACGTGTTTATCTATTCCATGCCCTTCTGCCCTCATTGTCTTTTCTCTCTTTTTGTATTCTCTATTATCAGTGATATGTTTTTCGCAGCACCTACGTGGCCTGTCTTTTCCCTTTCATGAAAACTCCAATTCAGTACACACTTTCGGAATACCATGTCTCGTATTTGCTTGATCCTTGACTGACCTCGCTCTTTAGTCTTGGGGCTCAACGAGGCATAATCATAAGCTGTCTCCCGAAGTTTGGAAGTTAAAAGTCGTATCATCAGATAGGTGGCACAATTGGTATAATGATGCAAGTAGCAAGTAAGCAATTATTGTGTTAGATTTATTATGTACGATAAGTCAATAACAAGCACTGAGGCTAGAGAATGAGATCTGATTCCTCCAATGACTCAACTGTCCCTTGTTGAAAGAACCAAGGGCCTCAGTGAAGCTGAAACAGGTGTGAAAAACAAAGGCGGCATGGGTGCGGTCATGAGTAAAGGGGCTTTCACTCTTGTATGTTACGAATTGACATACAAGTCAAACAAAGGGTTCGGTTGGGCTTACACGATTGCTAATAGCTAGCTGATAGTCAGTGCCTTGATTGTGTAGCTCTTAATCTATCTGCATATTGTATTGTGAGCACGCGGCCAGCTAAGAGACCACAATACGATATTTGGATAAACAGCGCTAGCCAGGTGGTGCCTTACATAAACAGGCGCCTCGAGACGAGTCCAGATGGCTCGGTCTAACCCCAATGAATCCCATATTCTTACTCAGTGTTTATCATTATCAAACAGTCAAATAACCGAACATGATAAAGCCCATGAATTGTTTATGGGCATAAAGTGAGCATGGCATGGGAACTCTCGCGCCGGTTTCGGACATTGAAGCTTATAGGGCTGGAAACTGGAACCTCAATTAATATTCACCATTCGTGTACATAGATCTGTCGATGGCGCATGCGAAATTGATTCGAACTATTTCACAATCCTTTATTATTCCATGATAAGGATATACCTAAGTGTTTCTAAAGTTGGTGCAACACCCATAGATGCTGAAGGCAGCATGTTACTGGTAATATCTGCCTGCATGATCTCCAAATGTTGCATTTACCCTAGGATGGACAGTAAGGAATCCTAGTATAAGAGATTATGGCTCTAAAGACTTTTCATCATTCACGCTTTCAAAGGATATGTTAGCTGATTACATTTGCGCCATCCCTGCTCAAGCCTTGTAAAAAGCCCTCGCGGGCTTGGTAACAATAGTCTCCTGATCACGATACATTGTTCGAGGGCCTGTGACACACTAGGAACTACATATTTCCCCAACATAAAAGTGGCTATATTACACTCACATGATGACCATTATCCTTATACATGTAATTGTATAGTGTTAAGCTTGTGTATGAGTCATACAGCAATTCCACTTTCGTTGAATCCCCTAGTCTCTTCGAGTCAGGAATGCTGTAAGTTTACAGCTGCCTTGTCACTTGGGCTGGAACAAAGAATTAGTTTAACCAGCATGGGTTGAAACTGGCTAACAATGAAATAGTTTCTGATACAATAGGTATGTCGCCAAACACCCCGAGAATTCACGAATAACTCGCCATCACCTAGTCCTCTCCTAGCCACTAATATCTTCTACTCAACGCTGGCGCACAGCCGACTGAACAATTATGTTTAACATTGGGAGTTTCAAAACAAGTTCTTTATCTTCAAACACATGACTTGTTTATCAACAAGTTTCAACAAGGCTATCATTGTCGCAAAAATCCATTAGATATAAATGAAGACCTATTCTTCCCAGAATGGTTCGTTTTGTTGTCGATCACACCACCTTCAAGGTAAGTGACCTACACAAACAATCCTCTACTATCAACAATTACGCTCACCACAAAAGACAGCAACGGACCATTCACTAAGCCTAGGATGCCTACTTCAAACCATCGTACAAATAACACCAGGGGTAGGTTCACTGAACACATTAATCAGCCTCGGCAGAGATTAGCATCGTTTTCCCGAATGGACCTCGAGTCAGGGACAGTAAGATTCGCTTCCCCACCCAAGAAACCACTGAGTCTTGAGCGAGTAAAAACAACAATTCAAGACCTGGTAAGGAAGCTGACACCTGATAACCGCGAGGAGAAGGCGCGGGACAAGATCATCAGAAACATCGACAGGGCGATCGCGCAGAGGCGAGAGCAAGAGAGAAGGGAGCGAAGCATCTCACAACTCCGCCGACAGGCCATCGAGAACAGAAGCATTGACTGGGACTCGCTGTACCGGCTGGCGGCGGCCGAACACGTTTACCTCAACCCACGTCCTCACCGCAACGACCGGTTCCACGGCGACGACTACCACCTTGCGACTGGGCTCGTTGCACGCGTTTCAGGCCGGCTGCATGACGACAAGTACATTTTCCTAGGGAGAAACGGCCACTTGTTCATTGGCCGACATAACCTGGGCCGAGGGGCCGAACAGATTCCCTTCAGGGCGGAGTTCGAGTACCGCCAATATCGAGAAATTGCGCGTGCGTACTATCAACTCTGTGACTCGTTCCCGGCCGCAGGGATGCCAACTCACCGGTAAGTTCCCACAATGAGTTTACATACTAGGTTGAGTCGGGGCTCTTACCCTGAACTTGCAATTCTCTATACCAACAATTACTAACACTTTTGTTTTTTTCTTTAGGGCTTTTGTTTCGCTTGTTTCAAGCGCATATGGAAGGATTTCTTGTTTAACAAGGTGTTAATGGCGTTTTACAGCACTTGCGCTATCAATCTCATATTAACAAAAGAAAAGACAGAAGGGACGAGGTAGAAATAAATAAAGTAATTAACAACCCAAATACCTAGCATTTACTAGAGAATCCAGCAACTTTTAACATACCACATTATTTAAAATTTCAAGTTTTACAGGCCCGTATATGACGTCCACCACAATTTAGATGAAAATCTTAAATACAAAAAACCTCTTCTTGATGCGTAATAAACCTGAATACGTAGCTCGCTAGAGCGATGACCTATCACTTTTGTCGGTATTTGTGAAACGCTTTCTTTGTTCTACATCTCAGCTGATGATGCTAAGACAGACCAGGTTGCCTAAATCCAGTTAAAAAGGCTGGATGGAATACACTTTACAAGGGTACGCCCATAGCTATCTATCATCATACATAGATTCAAGTACCATCTCGCTTATGCGCCCTCACCGCTGCATTTAACTACTTCATGCCGAGCACTAGCTTTACAAACCTCCAAAATGTGCATGTTTCCTAGGTCTTATATAAAAATGGACATATGTGATTAGTCACGCTTGGTTCCTGTATTACATGTATATTTCACTTTTCACATTATTCTAATGCTACGCTATAAAGTCGTGGCAAATGATAATGCGTATGAGTACTTCTGTCATATCTCGTGTGGTAATTAAACTCGCATTAAGGTCGAAGACACAGCCCGCCCCCCAAACCGGGAGTTTGTTTCCCTTGTACTACTGATTCCTCATCTATGAGATATGCAACGCGTTCATTTCGCAACGGCTCCTCTAGGCCGTTCATCGGCACATCATCGGTTTATTCGCGAGCGTCTAACACTAAGAGAGTTGGGGACATCCATACTCAGTAGTGGCAAGTCTGTCATCGTCCAGCACCACTACTGAATGTCAACGCGGTTTTGCAGAGCCAGGTGAATAGAAGCCATTGTTGTATCACACCAGTTCATATCATGCCACAATCCAATCCCTCATTAAGAAGCATATCTGGGTTTCCCCGGCTCTCTATGTCGGAAACCCTCCTTTTTCGCACCAACTTCATTGCTATCACACTCAATAAGACTGGACGCCGAGGAATCACCTTCCGCTGAATCGGTCTCTAATCCAATTCAAAGGCCCGGAACCTGATGAGCCTCGATTATCACGGCCTCGTTCAGTATGATTGACCCCTCTGCTTGACGGTGAAGGACTTCTAACCCTTGGTGAGCGCTGGGCTGAGGAGTTCTGAGATGGAGGGGAATATGAATCCCGATGACGCAGATATGGTCGATCTTGGGAAGAAGCAGCTACGCCGCGAATGGAATCAAGCCTCTCTTCTCGCCTTTGCTGCAAATGAGTCCTACGTCTTTCTGCGGGCGTGGGCCTAGACGATGAGGGATCGGTAGGCCGTGTCGAATTCTGTGAGCTAGTCGCTTCGTTGGGGGGCTTACCAGCAGCAGCGCCATCAATAGCTGCCCGACAGACTGGGCATGAATTATGCTGCTTTAACCACAAGCTAGCACACTCTTCATGAAACCAGTGTCTGCAAGGAAGTACTACGACTTCGTCTCCCACTTTTACCTCGTCGATACAGATTGTACATTCACCCTTCAGTTCGGGTCCTAGCATTGCTTCATCTAACTTTTTCTTCGGTAGCGACGCAATAGCATTTTCAGTCGCCGGGGGTGGAGCATTCGATTGAGGATTAGCTTCCATCAAATTGGTGATAATTCGGTCCAATGCCTCCTGGGAGTAGACGGCGTCGCCATGGATTGCGCCAGGGTTTACGATTGAAGCTAGAAGCTGATTTAAAGCAGTTCCAATATCCATCGGGCGACCGGCGGCGTCTCCATCATTGCCCTGTTGGTTGGAATCCCTAGCGGATGCATCACCACGATCCATGGGCTGGAAGGCGGGACCTGAGGACAGGATTTCACTAAAGATCCTGCAACTTTCGTTAGTACTAAAAAACACCCCAAGCCTACAACAGAGGCCTTTCTCTTTGGCATGGTTATCTACCTTTGGAAAGGGTCATCGGCACCAAATGGAGATCTCGGTCCTGTTTGACCTTGAGGTCTTCGAGCACTTGTACCAGTCGTAATGGTGAAGCTGCTTACGCCGCCACTATACCCTGGACCGCGAAATGTCCGGTATGTGAATTGAGGGCCATTCTGATTCTCGTTAAACAGAGTTTCTGGTCCTGAGCGGCCCACCATGCCGGGACCACTAATCTCATCAATCATCTCGGTGAATCTACGGATTATGTCATCACTACTTCCAGGACGGACTCGCGATCTGCGACTGTAGGCCGACGTCTCAGGAGAGCGATGGATAGTGCGTTGACCAAATAGACCACCTGGCCCATGGAAGTGGTGCTCTTCGATATTACTTTCTTCCGGGTCTGAATCAGAGTCATGATGGTGGTGATGGTGGTGATGATGTAAATGGAAACGTTGGTCTGATTCCGAGTCAGCCGATCCGTCGTCTCCTCGAGGGTCGGATTCGGGGGTGACCTGGGACATTGTTAGCAAGAATCATGTATGACCCGGTGTTGTGGTACGCACAATCTCTATGAACTCTCGGCCGCAAACGGGGCAAGCGAAATCGCCAGGGTGTTCATCGCGATACCACTCATGCCGGCAGATGTGGCAAAAGACTATCTCTCGCCCCTCAGCTGGTTCGAGATGCTGGGCCCGAGACGCCATTCGGCCCTGCCTGGATTGATTGTAAGCGGCGAGGGCGGTGAGGCCGAGGCCGAGTGTTAGGCCAGCTGTTCGAAGCGCTCGAAAAGCCACCGTGACGACGAGAATCCCAAGGCTATATTCGGTATGTCACTGGGATGGGAGGGGCCGGTTCGAAGGATCGCAATGGGCGGTATTGGGTCAGAGTTAGGTTCCGATACTGCCGATGAACTTGACTAGCTACTTGGAAAGTGGGAATCTGTTGAGTGCGAGCCGAGCCGTTACGGCAGAAGAATGTTCTAGACTGTTTGTGACGTTGCGTGGGGTCGCGGTTGGCGTGGAAGGGCAGACAAGGCTGACTGTACTGGAGGAGGGGTACTATGTAGGTACCTGAATGAGCCCTCGCAGGACTTGCGATGATTCTGGCTAGGTAATAATTATCTATTTGCAAATCTGGTCAGCGGGCGCGATATACATGTATTGGCTGGCAACATGATGCAGACAGGCGTGGCGCATGATAATGCAGGGCCAGGCGGAAAGGGACGCGAGGGTCCAAACACAGGACCAAGACGACCTTTGGTTCCGGATGATATGGTTGGCTCGACTGGTGGAATCATGCAAGGTAGACTACCGTTTGAGACTGTTGTCTTTGTCCCACGTCTCAAGATGGGTGATAGGTGATAGGTGTATAGTATGGTGATGGAATGCCATGATTTAGGACTCTCTTGTAGGTGGGGGAGTTTTTAGACTTACAGTATGCGCAAAAAGGTCTCACCCGGGGCCTAGGAAGTCGCAGACTGGAGGAATTGAATTGGTACTTCGTAGAGCTGAACGGACGAGCTGAGTGGGCAGCCTACACGGTCACAGAAGCGGTCAGAGAGAGTGCTGGTGTGACAGAGCAGGTACTTCGACGCGGGTCTCTGGCTCTCCTACGTAGTAAGTGTCTATCCTACTAGTCGACGAGGTCGCTTTTGCAGAAGGCGATGAGTTGAGCACAATATGAGACCTTGTGTCGTTTGGGATACTGTATGGCAGATATTACCTAGGTTAGATAAATAGATGCCTAGGTCCAGCTCAGGTCCAGCTCTGGCCCAGCCTGAGCGGAACAGTAGATAGATAGGCGCGATAGCCGAAATGAAGAACAGCACGAGAGTCACGGTTACATACAATCAGTAAAAGCAACAGGTTAGTATGATTTCTTCCTGATGCGTATTCCAGGTCGAGTTTATCAGTCAGTGCCTTTTTGGAGATATTACGCAGAGCTCAGGGGAGGCTAAGAACGGATGAAGTCAGCGCGGTTCTATTGAAGCTAGAGTAGAGTAGAGCGGCTAGCACCGATCGCACTGAGGGGTGTGCTATTCTTAAAGCGCTGTCGGTGCGCGTATAGACTGGAATCCACTTGCCAACATCATCCAAACAGATGGGTGTAGAAAGGTATTTTTCAAACTTAGGGAGGGTAGATTGCAAGCAGATTGCAAGTAGACTAGAAGTGGCTGGTAGGGTCGAGGCAGAATCCTGTCAAAGATGCAACAAACATTGTCATTGCAGGAAGATGAGATATACACCCTTTGACTAGGTACCTACTCAGGTAGCCTACGTGAGTATTAAGGTATGTAGGTAGGTAGGCTCTTTCTTTCGTCATCTTGCAAGCCGCGGGGCAGATGGAAGGGCGAAGCCCACGCTACAAACTATGTACAGCCTCCCGTTACCAGGTATGATGTATTGTGCCGCCACGGGTGGCTAATTTGCTCCCCGATCAAGTACAGAGTCGGCGCAGTGTTTGGACATAATTATTATCATTACCTATATGCTACACAAACCTATCCACGTAGCATAGGTAGCCATGTGTGTTTGATGATTTCAGGTCCTAAAGTCGTGATTCGCCGGTGGACTAAACGGAACCCCGCGCCCAGCCACGGCCGTCAGACATTGGCACCTGTTGAAAGCGTTCTCGTACAGGCAGTTATCACGTTCCAAAGATTGGGGGGAAAAAAGTGCACAGGTACCAAGGGAGCATAGGATATTATGTATATAGATGCGATAAGGGGAGAACGTCACTAAATATACCAACCGTTTGAACGCCCAAGCCAAATGCAACCACCCACGCTCGACTATACAAGCCTCGTTCTGCTGTCGTTTTCCAAATCACCGTCTCTTGCCCCGGAAAAGAATGCCACCAACTACACCCGCGGCAATGGCCACGCCACTTATGATCGCTACACCCATCAGCCCTTCTTTCGTAACCTTGTCGTCAATCAGCCGACGCAAGTCCGAGGCCTGCAAATTCGCCGGCTCTTTCTCGAGGAGTAGATCGTTGTAACGTCTCGCCTCGCCGTAGTTGCCCAGCTTGTAATTGCCTAAAGCAAGGTAGTAGAGGCATTCGCGACGACGCTCTGGCGCTACTCGAAATATTTCGGATAGTAGGCGTACCCCCGTCTGCTGGTTGTTTCTAGAATTTGATTTTACAAGACCCTGTGCTCGTAGACCAAGTCAGCGCGTGTATGTTGGCTTGACACGATATAATCATGTCGGCTGAGGCGGGGATACGTACCCATGCATAGTTGAACTTGGTCTGTACGCCCACCATATCACCTTCTTTCTCGTATTGTGCTCGAAGAACTTGTAGCTCCTCTTCCCTCAGCGGACTAGCGTAACGGTCAGTCAATGTTCGTAGATTAGGGTCGCAAATGGGGCTCACGTTTCCGCATCGACGGCGTCTGTAATTTTAGGATATATATTAGCAAATATAATAGCTTGGGGATTTCATGGCAGAGTATGCGTACGTGGTAGCGCAGTCATCTTTGAGTTGAAGTGTCTCGGCTCGTGATCAAAAGGTTAGGCAGCCTCTGCGCCGCAGTCTTTCGTAGGCGCTGCTGGACCGGAGCGCTAATATAGAGACGGTATGGTTAGGAATAGCTGTAGCTTGAGATTCACTCGTTTATAAGGTAGGTAAGAGTTGGTGTAGCGGATATGAATTGGTCTGAATGAAGTCAGAAGCTAAAGTGCACACATGCCTGATGAACCAGCTTGACCCTCGCCTACCCGAGGAGGTGGAGGCAACAGCAGGGCTAAGTACCTGTGCACGCTAACCAGGTACGTAGCTACATATGTACAGTACCTAGCGAGCCTAGCGAGCCTACTATGTAGCGAGCCTGGGTAGGTGGGATGAAGCACTGGCGATAACGGTCATCTGCAATGACGCAGATGTGGGCCCCTGGCTTCCGAGTCCAGTAAGTACTTAGGTACCTCCCTACCGTGGACAATTCTAGATGATAATAATCACCCCTGGTGATTTACCGAGCTTGTTGTTTTCCCAATTACCGCTTTTGGTCTAGAGTGGTCTCTCTCAAAGAATCGCAATCGGTGGCGTATTCTTTAGTTAGATGCCAAATCGAAAACAAATAACTACTACAACATATAACAGATTCACAACCATAATCACTTCGCTTCATTACACTGAATTAAATTGCTTCCGAAATCCTGCCACAATGCTGCTCGACGAGGCTCCGTCCAAGGTACGCGACTTGCGCATCCCCCAAATTGATTACTATCTCACCGGACCAAGCACTAACCGACCGATTGCGCAGCTCATTAACCATGCTATCAACAACTTCAACACAGCGCCCGACAAGCAAGCCATCTCGAGAATACAAAGCAACATATCTTCGCTGGAGCAGGAGCGCGAGAAGCGTCTTCGCGAAGCCGAGGCGGCGCTAAAGAGTACGTATTGAGCGAGACAAACAGGAAACACGACATTGCCATTTCAAGAGGAACAAAAAGACGCACAAGAAAAGGTTCCTAGCTAATAGAATGGAACAGAACTATCGCGACAGCTGAACACGCATCAGAACCAGTACGAAGAGCTGACATCAGCGCACTCGTCCTCGGCACACGCAAGCGAGATCGCGCGGCTCGACACGCAGAAGTTCCGCATCGCAAAGGCCACGTCGGACCTAGAGATGGAGACGGAGCGCCTGTCGTCGCAGGCGGCGGACCTCGCGGCGCGGCTGCAGGAGCTCGAGCTGCAGGGCGTCGAGGGCATGGCGGACGAGGCGGCGAAGCGGCGCGACCCCGTCGACGACGAGGTGCTCCTGCGGCTCAGCGTGTACCGCAGCCTCGGCATCGACGTCGAGCGCGACGACAAGGACGGCGAGTTCTGCAAGGCGATTGTGCGCAACGATCGCAAGGGCGACGTGCACGTCGTCAACATCGACAAGAAGTTCTCTCGCTTCTTCTACGCCAACTATTTCTGGCAGACTATTTAAATAAACGCTTGCATGAGGTGATTATGAGGCAGATGGTGTGTGGCTTGGGACGCCTGTTTTGAGTTGGATGACGAGGAAATGCATGAGAGAAGTGTCTGGATGATTCATATTTGGAAGGGATGGCGCATGGCGTTGGGATACCAGGGGTTATTACTGGATGAATTGGTCAACTATGCACAGTGATTATTTCTATGACTGGGCGTGCTGAAGAGATTGAATTGGATTTATTACATTCATCGCATTTGAAAGCGTTGGACCAGGCCAGCGAGCTTGTGATAAATGTTCAACGCCTTCAACTCCTTAACGCTACATTTTTGCTGGCTCTCCCCGAATTATCCGAAATGTCTATATAACAGGAGGAAATGCAAATCCATCTGCAACGGTGGTATCAATTTTACCATCGAGTCTCCATTTTCCCTGCCTCTCAATGCGGAGGAGGATTTCGCGAAAGCCACATATTCATTCTATCTTGAATGTGAAACTACACCGACTAGCTCTTTATCCTCTCCACATTCTTTGCGTTGTGTTAGGAAAAGTAGTCCTCTTGATCAGCTTTGGTAAACTCTGGACATATTTTGATCGTTGGTGTTCTCGAGCTCGATCGGCTCGGCGTCGAAGATCGCCTTGAGTGCTCTGGGCTGTGAGATCTGGTCATAGATTCCGGTCTCGACATGATGCCTGGACCGTTGTGACCAGACAATACGGCGCCTCCACTTTGGGATCTATAATGGTGACGCCGATAGGGACTCTCTAGGCGCGAGTTGAGGATATACCATTGTTGTTCCTCGGGATTGTCCGTGTCGTTGCTGTCCAGTCGCCATCCACCAACGCCTTCGAAATCCCTCTCTAGCCCAATACTTGGGGCAATTGCGGAAAATCCTTCAGTGCCTGACGGTGCTGAGGCAAGCAATCCGCTGCTTCCACGGCGATTCACACGTTGGCGATGTCTAGTATTAACGACTGCCTGAGGAGGGACGAGTGTTGAAGTTGTTGTCGAAGCTCCGGGTGTTAGAACAGGAGTTCTTTGCGACTGTAAACAGCGAAAGTTAATATCGTTTCCCGCTTAGAGGCTTCCTATTCCTACTTACAGTGATGTAGCGGGTGTGTGTGGCATGGCCGATTAAAATGTATCGTAATGTCTCTAGACCGACGTCGAAATAGACGAGAAACAGTCTTAAGAAGAGGACAAGGAAAGCAACAATGGTAGTAACGCCAGCACAGAGCGCAAGGGGCAATGCGACGAGGAAGACGAAGGGGAAGACGAAGAACTTGAGGGGGTTGAAAAAGAGCATCGAAATTGACAGCATTGGGCTAATTGATGGTTATAGGTTCAATAGCTTGTCGCTTGGGCAAAGAGCCAATTGAGTCGTCTTACATGGTCATTTGCAGCTGAAATTCGATGCGCGAGTGTCGTGTCCAGGCGCAGTTGGTTTCAGTCGCCGACAACAAGATGGACTGTGAGTAGCAGATGGAATTTGTGTTAGAGCGAGACGTGATGGAGAGATAGAAATAGGTCTTAGGTATTCTAGCACGATACAAAGAGATAGATCAAGGTCTCGTAAAGCGGTATGTAAGCACATGAGTTGGAGCTACCCTAGCGAAGTCAAAGCACTCGATCGAATGGATGGTTGCAACGAGACTGTATCACATGCTAAATCTTGCCAGTCCATTTAAGTACGGTAAGTTATCACTCACGCTATTATCATGCGATATGCATCGTGTTGGTTTGGAGAAATGTAGCATGTTTCTGCCTCGAAAAAAGGAAAAAAAAGAAGATTGAATACCTTCGCCTAAGTATCTTTGTGACCATCTTGAGAGGTTGACCATCAGGTATTTAGCCACCGGTTGTCTACAAATCTCTTTTTGAGGGTTGCGATGGCTGGCATCCTAGTGCAAATCGTCGTTCCTGTACTTCTGTACATATGTAGGTGGGGTTGGCGGGGCTTTTGGTAAGATCCTCCAGGAGGATGAGATGTACTGTATACTAAGGTTAGGTAAGCCTGTGACTCAATGTTGAAATCTGCCTGAATATTCGCGAAACATCTTGGGCTGATTATCCCTCTATCTACGTGCATGGCCGCTGTATATATGTTCATGACACTCAATCGTGAAAGTAACACGATTCCTCGGCCGTCTCTCCGAATAAACGAATAGGAAGAAGTCCGAAATACCCCGCTGCCTTCGTTGGTGACGGCTCTGACGTCAAGAAAAGTCTCCATAATCTCCCAAGCCTCTCGCTGAAACCTTCATTCTCTTATTCCAGCCTCGAGACCTCGGGTCATTTTTGGTACAGAAAAGTTTACTAGCAGTGCTTGGAGCGGAGAATCAACTGTCAAACCACAAGTTTCGAGATCTAGCAATTGTGTTCTTTCCTGTCCCATTTACGCCCATCAATTTTACCATAACGTAACCTTTGCGTTTGACAAAAGTCAAATGAGAGTTTCCATCTCACTACATTCACCCTACACACAGTTCCACTCCTCCGGGTTCATCAAAACTACCCCTTCGAGTTTAGCCTGGTTCTCCCTACCTTTAGTAACGTCACTGATATAAGAACCGGTTTTACACCTGCTTATAATGTGCATCCAACATTCCGAAGATGGTGGTGAGCCAGCTTTGCTGCAAACCTCAGATGGAAATGAGACTCAAGATGCCTCTGAGGAGCCGTTTCCCTGGGATGTTGGGGTTTTCGATGCCCACTGTCACCCAACAGACACAATGTCATCGATAGGGTCTATAACTTCGATGAAAGCACGTGCCTTGACTGCCATGGCCACACGGGCTCAAGACCAGGACCTTGTTTACGAGGTGGCATCCAGCCATGGTGTGCATGATGGTAAGACGTTATCGGCCGAGCCCCTTGCACCTACAGATCAAAATCGTATAGTCCCCTCCTTCGGCTGGCACCCCTGGTTTTCTTACCAACTATACGACGATACAGTACCAAATCCGACGTATGATGGTACACCAGCTGGGAAAACGGCACACTATGACCAAGTTTTAGCTCCTAAACCGTCGTCTAAAGATGACTCGTTCAGCAGTGGGCTTGGTGAGCCACGGCCGCTGTCCGAATATCTCGAGGAGACTCGGAAACGCCTAGAGAAATTCCCCCTTGCTCTGGTGGGCGAAATTGGCATCGATAAAGCTTTTCGTCTCCCAACGACCTGGACGTCAGCCGAAGAGGCCAAGCGAGAAGAAGGTCTGACCCCTGGTGGCCGCGAAGGTCGCCGTCTTAGTCCCTACCGCGTGCAACTAACGCACCAAGCGGCTATCCTCCGGGCCCAGCTTGAGCTAGCAGGACGTATGGACCGTCCAGTCAGCGTCCACGGGGTTCAAGCTCATGGTGTGCTATACGACACAATAGCAAGCTGTTGGAAAGGCCACGAAAAGGAAGTCTTATCCCGCAGACAAAAACGTCAGATCGCTACTGGTGCAGAAGACTTTTCGGATGACACAGATGAGGATAGCGATGATGACGACGTGCCCAATAGGAAAGACATACCCTCAATCCCAGCTAGACACGGTAGCAAAGAAAATGGACCGGCCAATTTCCCACGTCGGATATGTCTTCATTCATACAGCGGCCATGTTGAACAACTCAAGATGTACATACACCCCAGCGTGCCCGCCAAAGTGTACTTTTCGTTTTCCGTGGCTATCAACTGGGGAGCTGGTGGGAACGAGAAAACCGAAGAAGCCATCCGGGCTGTTCCGGATGATCGACTGCTTGTTGAAAGTGACTTGCACATAGCCGGCGAGAAGATGGATAGCCAACTGGAGGAAGTATGTAGAAGGATCTGCCGGATAAAAGGATGGGATCTTCGAGAGGGAGTGGAAAGATTAGGGCGCAATTGGCGGGCATTCGTGCTTGGATAAAGACATCTGTTTCTTCACGCAGCGTATCAAGTGAGATATATTAAGACTTTCCCCTCCCTTCTCGAATTGAAAGTGAAGACCATGATGAACTCTGCCATCACTCGACTATCCGAGTCTATCTATTGGGTGAGATATGATATAGGTGCTATTTGAATCGATATCTAGAATGGGTGGAATTACGTCTTGATCAATGTATGTAGGTAGGTTATCTCCATGTAGGCTCAGAAACATAGAGGGAAATATATACACCTATGGACTTGGCTCGAGTATACTCATTGAGTACGTACTTGACAGCTCGAGTTAATTTAACAATAGACTCGACCGCCTATGTATAAACCTCTCTATCTATAAAATGCCACGCGTTGTATTGAGCTTCCCACTCTGAGGTAGTAGCAATGATTTGGCGGGTTGGGACCACTCCACCTTACCGGCCCCCTAAGATACCTCTAACGGGACCTGCCGGGGCCTACCGATGCGCTGAAGGGTCTACTGGCTTTTTTCTGCTGTCGTTCGCCTCAAGGAACCCCGCCACATCGGCCGTTGGTGCTTGGTTCAGGATCCTCTCGCATATCATCATCCATCCATCTGTCTACCCGTTCGTCATTTCAGTCCACTCCCAAACCTTCAGGCTGCCGCGTTCATTCACACACCCACCACCCTGCCCAACAGATACCTACCTGGACAGGCCGTCATAGACCATTACAACGGTACAGTACAGGACGCACATTGCTGCCTACTCAGGCACCCGAGAGCTAGGCTTCTGAGTTGCAACTTGCAAGGGACACAAGCTTCGCGTCACATTTTCTCCGCTAGGGGGGCTTTCCCGCATATGCCATTGTCCCACCCAAGCGTATCCCATCTACTCTCATCCTTGTGCTGCTACCACTTGCTTTGCTTTGCTTTCCAAGGTTGGCCTTTGCCTTGCCTTGCCTCGCCTCGTCTTGCCGCCTGTCTCTCTGTGTAACGCTGCCGGTCACCGGCATCCAGTCTTCATTTCACCCACCTGCTTCATCTGATCCTTCTTCTACTCATCTGCTTACCTATCTATTACTGTACTGTAGTATTTACTACAGAAGGTACATGGTAGCGAGGTAGTTGTTGGGTTTTGAGATTCACGGCGTACCTATCCTTATCCTAATCTAAAGAAGGGCGCCTGTCGAGAGCTTTTTGAGTGTTGAACCAGAAGTAAACAACCAAAGTGGTTTAGGCTCGCCTGAAAAAAACGCCTTGTTTTGATATTCACATCCGTACCTCTCTCTATTCGGATAGACTATTATCTTACCTATCTACGGTAAGAAAGGCTTAAGGATCTATACGTCCATCTTCTAGCAACTGCGCCTGGTGTTAGCTCTTCACAGCACCCTATTATTTTCGTATAAGTTGTTCTACGCTATTTGAGCTTTATATCGTTGCCATAGTACTCCCACTATCTGGGCTTCATCTGTCCTCTTCGCGGAAGAAAAGAAGATTGGGAACGTGCGTATCCGAGTCTACGCAGCTTGTATCTGCCGTTGTTACTGCACTATATACGGCCCGGTCGATTGTCGTCAATCCTTGGCCTGGCGTGCTGACTGGCTGCTTCTGCACGCTTGGTGTGCCACCACCACACGCATCCTGTTGTCGAGGTTGTCTGCTCGCTGCTGAGCTTCGTTGGCTGTCCTTCGACGCTCCGCGCATCTCAGCATTTTGATCGTCGTACCCCCCTGTCTCTTAGGATCGCACACCCCCACAACGCGCAACACAGAGCGCACGCACGCACGCACGCACGCAACCTAACTGTATCTACCTGCCCGCTACGGACTTTCGTCTCGTCTGCCTGCCCTAGCGGAACAAATCTAACAACAGGTCCGATCTTAACGAGTCCCGTCACAGATCCCCAGATTTGCCTGCCCTCGCGCGTTCACGCCCACGTCACGCCCACGCCCTCCGCCCTCCGCCCACGCTTGCCCAGCCCTGCCAGCTGTGTGCTAGCTTTTGCGACAGCCTGTCGTGAGCCATGTACGCCGGCAACTATGGGTATCCCAATAATCCTGCTGGCTCACCACAATACAATGGCGCCCCACCCCCGGGCTCCCAGCAGAACTCTGCCATGCAGCCTGGGACGGCTTCCAACCAGATGATGTATAATGCTCAGCAGTTTCCCATGGGCGCCCAGCCTGGTACTGCCTTCCCCGGCAATCCTAATATGATGGCTGGTGTAGCTCCTCCCGGTATGATGCAGAACACCGGCATGCCGCACATGGCCAATGCCAATGGCCAAAGTAAGCTCGATACCCTTCCGTCACGGCTTTGTTTCACATCGCGTTCTATAATTTCCCTGTCTCTCTGTATCTGCGTGCGTGATGTTTTCCTCCGGCTTCTTCTCCCGCGCAAGGCGGCTCCCGGCATGGTTGAGCTGGAACAAGGTGTCGTGATACGACGCCACAGCTAACCCAACTGATCGTTGTTCTTGTCGCTCCCTCGGCACCAGCTGATCCTAGCTCTTTCCTGTACTGAGGATTGTTATTTCTTTTATCTTCTATCCAGGTTATCAATGCTCTTGCTGATGTGTGATTGATGAGTAGTGCCTAATTTTCAACCTCCGTACTCGAACTCCGCCTACGGCGCTGGCGTCCCAAGCTCCGTCCCACCTCAAATGAATATGCCTCCCAATTACGCGATGGGGACTGGCATGCCCATGGCCGGTTTCCCTATGCAGCAAGGCATGAATCCGCAACAGCAGCAGCAAATGATGCAGCGTATGCAAGTGTCTCAGCCCAACCCCAATATGTCAACGCCTACACCTCAACGGAACTTCCAAGGCCAACCTCCACAAGGAACACCGACTCCAGGCAACGGACAACCTCTGCAGCAGCCTCAGTTTCCTGGGCCGCCAAATGTACAAGGACCGCATCACGGGCAGCCAGTAAACAATACCCCACAGCAGCAGCAACACCAACACCAACCAATGCCTCCATCGCAAACACCAGTGCAAACACCGACCTCGAACAATATCCAGACACCCCAGACACCAACCTTTCCTCCTCATGCCCAAGGTGGGGGTCCCAATGGCATGTCATCAGCGTCCACCCCTTTAAGCCCTGGGGCGGACCCTAAGGATAAAGAGCGGGTGGGTGTGATTTTGGAAATCAACAATGAACTACTACTCGAAGCTGTGCAGATTCAAAGTACTCAGCACATCATTAAGAAGGAACGTGCGGCTATGAACGGTACCGAGGGCCACGTAATAGATGGGGATAAGAAGTCTGCGGAAGAGGAGCAGCTTGCACAGGATTACATTCAGTAAGTGGTATCGCTCATTGTCTCGTTGACCTGTCGCTGATGAACGAAACCAGTTGTATGCGTAGACTTCAAACAAATCTGGCGTATTTGGCAGGTCTTGCCGATAAGGAAAGAAAGCCTACCCAGCCATCTCAACAGTTTCCTGCATACCTGAAACCACCACCATTGAACGCGAGTATCAAGCTGAGGCAGGTCCAAACTCAGGAAGGTGGCGAAGTCAAGACAGATATGATAGATCGAGAGGAGACGATAAAATATATTGGGGAGCTATATAAGAAGCTTCAAGCTCTTTTTCCTGAAATGGACCCAAACAAAGAGCCGGGCGCTCGGCCGACAGCTCAAGCGATCAACTCGACACAGTCTGGCTCCCAAACGCCAGGTCAAGCCAGTCCAGTTCCAGGAAAGCAGTCGACACCAATCATGACAACTTCTGCACCACCACAGCTTATGAATACTGGTGTACCTGCTCCATAAGATCTTTGCAATGGGTGTATCAAAATGACTTGTCTTTGATGCCTGAGGTGTTTGTCTGTATAAGAAAAGTATAATTTCGACATCTCTTAGCGGATCTGAAAAAAAAAAAATACCGGGTTCGCCCTGAGCGACAGTTGCTCCCCTTGTATAAAGACTGTGGTGGTGGTCTGCAAAGATCGGTATATGAGTGACGTTTTTGGACTTTACCCCAGGCGTTATTGGAGTTATTTTGCCTGGGAGACGGGGAGGTTTTCTGTAGACACAAAATATATATTCGACTGGCGCGTTGCAATAGGTAATACCCAAAGACTTGCCATTGGGCGAATGTTAGTGTCTATCATTGTACCTGATCGATCACCTGGAACTTCTGACACTGGGCAATCGTAACTACAACTGTGCGTCTATGTATCGACTAGTTAATACCTCTCTCTACAGACTACTCCCAGCTACACATAGTTACACTGAAGCTGGTGCCTATCAAGTAATACATTCGCTCTAGTCACTGGGTAGCTAATAATCATGTAACAGCGTCTCGTGAGCGTTGGTAATACCTAGTCTTATCGAGGGTCACTCTTCGCCGCAAGGAAATAGCAGACTGGAAGAAATACCAAGGAATAGCATTGAAATAAAGAGACACCGCATTTAGATCTAGACATGTCTATCTAATATCTGTCATGTACATGCATGCATATTATACCTACTTGTCAGTCAATGCTAAGAGTAATCCTGAATTTATGGGTTATGCGCCATCGTTGCCGCGTCGATCCCATTGGACAGAGAAGATTCGACGTTTCCTACCAAGTTGGGCGCGCACGCGGGGAGGCTCAAAATTGGCCTCTGGGCCAATGAGAGTTGGCTTGCTTGGTGGAGGTGCGTGCTGCTGCGCGGGTTCTGCAGCGCACTACTCCTGTACTACTCTTAGACAGGTACAGTAGGAGGTAGGTACAGTAGTTGAGGAGTAGTTGAGGTAGTGTAGTTTCTTGGTGTTGGTGCGGTGTAGCGTTGTTTCTGATTTGCACCTGCATTGGAGATGTATGTAGGTACCTTCCCAAGTACCCAAGCTATAGTAGGTATAGTAGGTATTGTCTTAGTAGTATCGAGTGCCGTGGATAGATAGGCGTTCTAGTCGGAAATATGTCAGCGAAAAAGGCGGTCTATTAAGATCATATCCATCAGGTCAATAAAATAAAAAGAGAGCCTGTTCTCCGCAGTGTTGTCGACATATAGCATGCAACATAAAGTAAGGGATCAAATCACGCGGGCCGGACATAGTACAAGGTTAGTTTTATTAGACGACGCGCGCTAGTCTTCGGTAGGTATTGCCAGTTGCCAAGAACAGCAAGTGGGCCGGCAAACCCCCTGTCCCGCTCTCCTGTCTGGCCTGGCTGGCGTCCACCGCATTGCGAAGTCGAATAAGGGTCTCCATCCATCCTGTCGCTGTCGTCTCCCTCGGCCCTCATCAAACAGACCAGCGCGTACTGTTTCTACTTGCCTACTGTTAGGCTAGGTAGTCTGTCTGTCGTCTGTACACTAAGAGGGGGGCCAGGTTGCCCGTTTTCTCTCTCCTTTACCACGTACTTGCCTATGCTTTATTGCATCAAACAACTCTCCTTTTGTCCCGTGTTTGTGTCGAGTGTCTTGTGTCGTTGTTTGGTAGCACTAGTTTACCTCTCACTCGTTCATTTATTCAGTCATTCATTCATTGGCTCACTCCAAAATCGACAATCTCGACCTCTTACTAGGACCACGTTCCTTTGAGCCAGGGCCCAACTCCTGAACCGCTCATTATTCTTCTACACTCCACAGACCACATAGGTACCTCTCCCAGGCTTCCCCTCAGATTGTCGGGATCCAGGCAAACTTCCCTGGCTTTCATATAACCTGTACACTCGACCCGCTTGGCCGTTGTATATATTGTCTTATCAGGAACTCACAGTCCACATATGAAACAAAGGGAGCTGCCGACTGGTTGTCTTGATTGTCTTGCCCTTGTATAGCCATCGCGCGTTATAGGCGCCGCATTTTGCGCTAGCAACAGTAAGTAGGTGAGACCTTCGACTCTGAACCCCTGGATTGAACCCACATCTACACCATCCTGCTTCCCCTGTCCCTACGCTCAGCACAGCACCTTGGAAGCTCGAAGCTCAAGCTCGATCACCTCGAGACTGAAAGATTCTCGACTGCACACCACTAATTAACACGGTCTAATTATTTGTGCAGTACTGAACATCTAATTCCTACCACGATATACCGACCCTATATCCGATGCTACAAGCTCTCTGGAAGCTAGCTGTTGGTTTGGAGGAAGCCGTTTGAGATCCAGCAAGACCCGAGGGAGCTAGTTGGCATTCTTCACATCGGGATCCAGCATTCCAGCCAGTTGTCCCGACCACCCCCACCATTACCTGCTTGCCTATCCCTCGCCATGGATCAGAGCCCCGAGCAGCACGGCGAAAATGAATCTCTATCGAATATCAGCTCACCTGCGATGGAAACCAACATGTCGAAGTCACCGATCGACATCAAGATGCCTGGTCACGACTCGATGGTGACAGTCCGCCTATCCGAGCCTCCATCTCTGTCCGTAAACACCGATCTTCCTGTAGGTGTCATGCCCTCGAGGAGGAGCATCCTTGGACCAGAATGCACGCCCACCAGTGCCGTGACCTTATGCGAGAGCGAGGGAACTCTAGACGGAGCCAAAGAGGATACCGAACCGGAAACAGGTATCGAGACTCCAACGACGACTCAGGATGAACGGAAAAGCAGCAGCGATAGCATAGCACAAGAAAAATCACCTCAGGATGACGATATTATGGAAGAGTCTGATACGGAGGAAGTTAATTGGGAAGCACTGCAGAAGACAGAAAGCGAACAAGTCAAAGAACAAGATGATAACGTACGTATTCCTACGTGCCGCGAAGATACATATGACTACTGACATGAAAATTCCCTTACAGTCTACAGCGATGCTCCTCGCAAGACTTGAGCAAGAAAACAACATGCTCGCTACGAATCCCAAGAGCGTCAAAGTAAAAGTGGTAGAACAACTATCCGTCCGCCGGCCACGGCCACCTTCCATGGCCCAGCTGCGGGAAATGGTTAATGGCCCTACACCCACGGCATTGCGATACTCTGTTCTCCCGCCACCGCCCATGACAGATCTCGAATTTTACATGGCGCTAGTGAAGGATTATCAACAAACAGCTGCCCGTTTACCCACACTGTTGTCTAACAAGATCCGGAAGGGTGTACCACCACCACTTCGAGGCGTCGTATGGCAAAGCATGGCTAGTGCTAGAGATACGCTCCTATTAGAACAATTCGACAGGCTTAGTGGCGAATCGAGTCCTTACGAAGGCATCATCGGCAAAGACCTGGGTAGAAGCTTCCCGGGTGTCGATATGTTCCGAGATCCGGATGGAGATGGACAGCGGATGCTGGGACGCGTGCTGAAGTGTTTCTCTCTTTACGACCACAAGATCGGGTACTGCCAAGGGCTGGCTTTTCTAGTTGGTCCTTTGCTGATGCACATGCCTGACAACCAGGCCTTCTGTGTTTTGGTTCGGTATGTTAAACCCCACTCACTTCCTAATATGTCACCACCATCGTACTATGGGTATCCGTTTGAAACACGAAGCTAACCAAAATCCGATGGCAGGTTAATGGAGCATTACGATATGCGATCTTGCTTCTTGCCAGATTTGTCCGGCCTGCATGTCCGAATATATCAGTTCCGTGAACTTCTGCGCCAAGATCTACCCGCTTTATCGTCCCATTTGGACGATCTCCAGGTCGATCCAGCCTACGTTTCACAATGGTTCCTATCCTTTTTCGCCGTAACGTGCCCGCTACCTATGCTGTTTCGCATCTACGATGTCGTCTTTGCCGAGGGTGCGTCGGAGACTATCATGCGAGTGGCCCTGTCACTCATGCGGAAGAACCAGGGCCGCATTTTAGCTTGTACCGAGCTTGAAGATGTAATGCAGCTTCTTCTCTCCCGGGGATTGTGGGATTGTTATCATTACAATGCAGACGAATTTGTCGACGACTTTGTCAGCCTATCTACTGTGGTATCAAGAGAGAAATTAGCACAGCTTGAACAGCGGTATAGAGAGGAAAAGATCGCCAGCGCCAATGCGGCTAGAACGGCCGATGTTACCACAGCAGCCTCCCGCTTTTTGGGCCGCCTTTGGACAACGAGCACCTCGCCTAGATCTGGGACTTTATCACCCGGGTTCCCCGCTCCCCTGCGGCCATTGAGCATGCTGCGACGAAGCACATCAAAACAGAGTTTGGCGTCAACGTTGAATTCGATGGAAGCTAGCTCTGCTAGCGTTTTGAGCTCAGCATCGACAGACGCGACGACCATCTCTCGAGATTCGTCCAACGCCGATGATACTTCCATCCGCGAGTCAACACCCGTTGCGTCAAAACCTCAAGCATACCATCATGCGGGCGACAAAAACCTACACTCTCAGATCGAAGATCTACTGACTGCACTCAGCGAGCTGCAGCGGAATCACTCGCTACTCGCGACACAACTACAAAAGGAAAGAGAAGAACGAGAAGAGGATGGGAAGACGGTGAAGTCGTTGCTGGCCAAACTCAAAGCACAATCCAACACTGGGGAAGACATCGCGATCTTCAACAGTGAAGACGAGGAGGCTAATAATGAGGAAGAGGCTGGAGAAGGTCGTCTCTCACAGCTCGTCAGCGCCGTCGAAGATCGTTTTGATACCGAGAAGGGTCATAATCGGAATTCATCGTCAATGCAAACTAAATCGCAACTTCGCGACGAATTGGCGAGGACAAAGGAGCATCTCACTATCGAGATGTCCAAATCGCAAGAGTACAACCGTCGGATTGAGGAGCTCAACCAAGAAGCCAGTACGCTTCGAGAGCAGCTTCGAGAAAGCCACGCCCATGTTCGTAATGTGCATCAGGACAAGCAACGACTTGAGAGACAAGTCCACTCTCTTCGAGTCAGAGCTTCGGCGGAGACGCCAAATACGACGGTGGACACGGGCGGGTGGTTTTCTAATACAAGCTTCTCGACGGGCAACGCAAGCACTACGAGCAACAACGGTGGCCTGCGCGAGTTGAAGCTTGGACGCAGCAAGTCAACGCCCAACACGCAGGCGACGTTCGCCAAGCGCACATCATCTCTAGGTGTACGGCCGTCGATGGAGGCGCAATCGCCGACCGATTACGATGCACTTGTTGCAGATTTGGTGCAGGCCAAGACGGCCGAAGCAGTGGCCCGGCAAGAGGCAGATGAGTACAAGCAGAAGCTTGAGACCCTGCGGAAAGCCTGCGGGCTCACTCCCGGCGAAACGCCAGGGTCATCGACGGCAGGCGCGTCAGCCCCAGGCGTTATGGGATTATTTGCATTATCGAGAACGGAGACTAGCAGTAGTGTTAAGAGCGCACCTGCGCCGGTCTCATCGACGACCACCTCTAACACAGGGTCCGGAGGTTTCTGGGGCTGGAGAAGGTGACCTTGGCATAATTTGATGCCTCACTATGTAGAGAGGCGCTGGAGCAAGCAGAGCGGGTATCTGGTAGAGAGCATGCAACATTGTTGTTGTCGGGAATAATAAATAGAGGAAGCAAGCATGGCACAAGCTCACGGCGGGGCTTGCGTAGAGCGAATATGTACAAAAGATGGGAATGACGCTCAGGCCTAATTCTAGATAGAGGGCGTTCCCGACGAGGGGAGTGAAGAGTGAAGAAAGAGGCAGAACTAGCTTTGGAAAGCAGAGAGAGCCATTGCTTTTGCTCGCTGTCTACAGATTCTCATCCCCATAGCTAAGACAGATAGAACTAGTTACCTATGATATCCAAAATGCACACCCACATAACACTCGCACACGGATAATATGTCTTTCGATGCCATGCCAAGAAGTGGATTCGTGTCTACCTGGTATTCTTACATTTCAAGCAGCTACCTAGTCCAAACCTTTTAACTTGTGATGAATGTTTAGCTGCATGAGAGGCTGTAAATGAAATACATGTGATCACAAATGGCGTATTTGGGATTGAGATGATTTGACCATTCTGATGCTAGGATAGTATCCATATATGTACGTGAATCGAGTTGTACAGTAGATGCAATAGGTATCTTCGAATATGGCTATAACATTTCTTACCTAATCTAGGTAGCATAGATAATAGATACCAGTACCTTGTCGGGGGGAATCCTTCATGTCATGCGTCATTCTGGATTCGGTGGGGGCGGGCGTTCGTTCGCATGCGCCAGAAGCATGCAGTGGGTACATATTCACATGCAATCTTGGCAGAGCCTCTTACACGTACAGTGAAGTGACGCCATCTTGCCAATCTCGCGATACTGTGTGTGTGTGTGTGATACCTGAGTCTGACCTGAGGCAGTCAGTCAGTCAGGTCATTCCCTTCCTTTTCTAGCACAGTGATGAATGTGTCATTCAAAGTTGGGAGAATAGGTAGGTAGGTAGGTTTCCTTTCCGTGTAACTACCTATCTTTATCTCTTTATACTCTACTACTGTATGTATGTATGAGATTGCGCCGAAGAAGTGGGAAGATGGTATGAGCTGATATTTGTGTCGTGATGAAACGCTACTAATTCGTTATCAGGGTCAAATCAGCCCAGCGAGTTAGGGAGCAGCCTATGATGAACAGGGAGGGGCGGAGCTTTGGAGCTTTGGGAGCTGCAGTAGCCCCTGCCGCTGAAGATGTACTATGCATGTACCTAGGCATCTCCGGAGACAGTCCGCCAAAGTTGCCAGATAGACAACAAGGTAGGTAATATCGCACGTGAGCGGCCATTTCATGGTAGCCCGTGTATGTACTTAGGTTAGGTGCCTACTCTAGTGTAATCGTCATTCCCTCCCGCCCTCTTCGCGGTGGCTTAGAGTACTTACTTAGAGTACTTACGTGCTTGGGTAGCAGCCACGCGATAGGTAGCAGCTGGACAGACCCGGGCACTCACGGTGGTTGTGTCATAGCACCAACACCAAGCTCCAGCGGGGGGGCCACATCCCTAGGCACGCTGTAAATAGGCATCTTGGCCCACTGTAGCTTTGGGTAGCTAGTCGCTTTTGGTAAGGTACGCAATCTAGGCCGTCATTGTGTACGGTATTACATTCATGCTTCACGGGGGGAAAAAATAAAATAAAATAAAATAAAACAAAATATCCTGGGTATGGATCAATTTCTCTCCTACAATCTCAACCCTGCCTAGAACAACACCATCAGAAGACCCGATCTCTGCTTGACTCTCGACCTAAACAACTTGACTAAGTCGAAGGGTGAAAAATCACGAAAGCAGAAAGAAAGGGTACGTCAGATCTCTCCCCCAACCCTCCCCTCCATCCTTATCTCGCGGGAACAAGCTTCATAGTAGTGCCGTGTCCCTTGCCGTGTCCGTCTGTCCATCTTCGATGCACATTTCCTTCGAGAACACTCCAGTAACCTTTCTCTATTCTTCTACTGGACACACGCTCACCTTCAGCTACCAAGACAGCAGTTCCCTGTATCATCTCGACCATACTATCAGAGTTGTCTACAACCTATCTCTTGACCTGCATCAACCACCGAGCTTATCATGGCTACCAACTCGTCCGCCAACGGCGGCTACTCCGTTGATACCCTAAAGGGCAGTAAGGTCAGTGCTTCAGTATATGTTATATTATGCCTATGTTACCTATACGTATGCTACTACATAGGCAGCGTGACAACCCATTCTGTTTACTTGCACAGCCCGACATCAATTCGATGTCGCCCTCTGTGCCCCGCTATGTGCAAGACTTTTGTTAGGCTAATCTAACCTGTATCATTGCAGTGTTTCAAACGAAAGGAGCTTGTAACCTCTACTTAGACTCTTCACCACTCCCTTCTTCACTACAGCTGCAGCAGCGTCCCCACTACGTAACGCAGTCAGACAAACAGCCAGACATCCCTATCATATAGCTAGAGAGCGCGCGCTCCCGTTCCCTAGCTAGCCTGTGCGACGTCGTCACGAAACTGACATTTGCCCATCATAGACGCCCAAGCTGCCTACGATCAGATTGCCAACGGTATGGTCCCCTCTAGTGAATTGGAGATGCTCATCCGTACTCTATCCATGCGCCCTCTGTTCCTCCGAGTCTCTGTTAACTCATCATTTCCGAACAGGCCCCGTTGCCACAAACATGAAGGACCAGACTGCTAAGACCGGTGCCGAGTTCTCCAACCTTGCTGACTCTCGTCGCACCCCATCAAAACCAGCTGCCACCGGTCAACCTCTAACACATTACCACTCTTTCTTCTCCGAGCTGCTATCATGGAAGAATCCTCGTAAGCATCAACTGCCTGTGTGATTAGTTGTATTCCAGTGAGCGCTAACCGAACCTTGATGATAGGAGCATCAGGTATTGCCTACGCTAGCATCGTTGCTGTGATCTTTGCCGCTCGATACCTCGACATCATTCGATACTTCTTCAAGGCTACATGGGTGACCTTAGGTTTCACCGTGCTCGCTGAAGTTCTCGGAAAGGCCGTTCTCGGCAATGGCCTTGCGTCTCAGATACGACCCCGCAAGTACTACACTCTCTCTCGTGAGACTCTTGATGCCGCGATTGGTGATGTTCATGAGCTTGTCAACTTCTTCGTCATCGAGGCTCAACGCATTTTTTTCGCTGAGAACGTTTCCGCTTCAGTTGCTGTAAGCCATACTTTCACCATCTTCAACTTTCTGCATCGACGCTAATGGATTTGGGATAGGCCGCAGCTGGAGCTTTGATCTCCTACTACCTAGTCAAGATTGTCCCCTACTGGGGTCTTGCCCTGCTTGGAACCACTGTTCTGTTCCTGGCTCCCCTCGTATACACCAGCAACCAAGAGCTCATCGACCACTATGTGCAGGAAGGTTCCGACATGTTGAACAGCCAAACCGAGCAACTACGCCAGGTCGCCAGCAAGCATACTTCGCAGGCCACTGAGATTACCAAGCAATACATGGGCGACTACACCGCCAAGGCTCAATCGATGCTTCACCGTGGCGGCTCCGCTTCTCCCGAGCCTGTCTCCAAGCCTGCTCCTCAGTCTAACATTAAGGAGACGGACTTCCCCGATGCTCCTAAGCAGGGTTTCAAGTCCGAAGAGCTCGGAGTCAAAGGCGTCGAGGAGCCTTTGGTCGCTTAATTCGGCTCCTGGACAAATGGCAATCGCCTCCGACCAGTGTACAGACTCCATCTACTACGCTACGCCCCTTTCCTGTGGCCGGATTGTTTGACACAAGTTGACGAAAATTTGGTGAGAGACGAGGCATGACTATATTCAGGTGAATGATTAGAACTGAAGTCGCTTGAGATGTTCTCTTTTTGCTAGGTGGCAGTGGGGGTAACTTCCCAACCCTACATCTCGAGAGGAATTGTCTTTGGTTGAACCTATATGGCGGTTCGTGGCGCGTTCAGTGCTAGGGAGTTTTGAGGCCCCCAAGTGTATGTATGACACGGGCTTTGGGGATGACGACATGTACGGAGCCCATTCCTTCAACGGGAAGGGTGAAACATGGGAAATATGTGGCGAGACTCGCGACACGGCAATTGCGGAATACGGGACACATAATCACGGTGAGGACGGTGTTACGGTGCATGATCACAAGTTCTCCTGATCTGGGAGGGGTTTTCCATTAATTATTTCCTCTGTAATTCGGCGAAGTGTAGCTCTTACGTTTATGAATCTTCCTCAAAAACATCCCCGCTTACACAGACGTGACTGTTGGTGATTTGACACTCGTGAACGAAAGGTTTGCTAAGTCTCGAGGGTTTCTGGTCGATACTCACCGCGAATTTCTGTCTTGCAACTAGATTTCATGCCTTTAGGTAAACTATGCATACATACACCTATTTACGACTTGATACTCTAGGACTATCTGTTATGTTCTATTGATTGAATGGTAGCGATACCAAAGCTCAGGCTACTCGTTAAGTCTTTGGTGGGCATTCGTCTGGTTGATTGGGTAGGTAGGGAGGGAGGTAGGAAGCGAGGGGAGCGAGGGTGATGGATGGGATGGAAGTGTATTTTGGGAATATTGTGTGAGTTGTATATGTGAATTGTGTAGGTGAGTGTCTTGTATCCGGAAATTTTGATAGATAGGGATGGAAAGATGAAGGTGAACATGAACATGTGGAGGTCTGTGTTATTATGAGATGATCAGGTTAGACTAGGATATATGTTTTGCTTAACGGTGAGGTTCTTTTCTGTTGCGTCTTTATAAGGTTGAGAGTTGAGGGTTGCAGGGATGAAGTGATGATATGAGAGAATGAAGTAAATGGTTTATGCTCGCTCTCATGCGGACGTCTGTGAAGAGAAGAATCAGGGAGAATTTCCTTTCCTTTCCCTTCCTTTTCTTTTCTTTTCTTCCCCTTCTTTAGGATATGGAGAGGTTTCTTTAGTCCACTCGCGTTTATTATTTGTCCTCGGACTAGAGAAGGGTGAAAGGGAGGGAACGGGAGATGACTGTTGTACATCGTAGTGTGATACAGCTATTGACAACATTGACGATTGTTAACTACACCATGGTTATGGCTAAGTGCACATACGAGATGGGGGGTGGTGAGATCGTTAAAGGGGGTAAGATGGTTGAGATATAGATGGCGTTTTAGATATGAGGTTTCATAAATGTTGTGAATTTGAGGATTAATAGACAAAACGAAGCGGCAATATCATGAATACCGTGTTAAACGTTTCCATTCCGAGGCAGCGCTCGATGACTTACGAGACACGGCGGCTCTAGGTATGCGAGTGAGAGTAGTCATTCATTGATAGGATTTGGAGGCGGTCTTAACGATGGATTCGATAGTTTGAGTTTTACAAGGAGAAGTCTGACTTTGATCGGTCAGAGAAAACTGCCGCGAAACGAAGTAGAGAAACCTGTGTCAGTTGCGACTGAGGTCCGGATATTTGATCACCATAAACCTCGCAACGATGGCTTGAGAGTTTATTTGATAAATTATTGTTGGTAGCCTGCTGTCACGGCTTCTCGTTCGTCTTAAATAATTATTGTTCAGATCATATAACCAACCTTACATGTTGTACGATAATCCTACCAGCCATATCCACAACCCTGACATATAACTTCCCTCTTTTGCTCTTTACTGTCAGTACTCAGAGACTTCGATGCTGTCTCACACATCTTATTCAATGAAAAGTTTCTAACTTTTCCAACCTACTGATCTTAGCAACTCAACGCTGCAGTCGTGAAAAGATATCCCTGCAGTTAAGGTATAACTATAACCTATATAGCATTCTCATGAATCTTGGTGCGTTATTAAGGAAGCCTCAAGGATGGAGGTTTGAGCAGCCGTAAGTGTACTTTTTCCTCCTCTTGTAAATATGGATGACTAAGTATATACGCCGAACTACGGCGCCGTGGACATTGCTGACAAACAGGCACGAGAAACGAAGTGTCTACTTGTGTTCGACGATATCAGATCATGACTTGGGCCGAGGTGTCTAATTACGGCATATGAAGCACCTCACCGTTCCCCATCGTCCAAGCTGGTCGGGGTTTAATAGCTGTAGGCCGAGTCTGTGAGACGTTAGATGAGTGCCTCAACCGTTCATCGATGACCCCAAGCGCACAAGAATTTGAGATCGAGTGTCTGTTGGAGACATCCGTCACAAAGCAACACTGCCTATATTAGATCTGATAATAGGAGCATAACCGCGAAACTTAGTAGTTAATGCTGCGATTGATCCGCTGAGCCGCCGCATCCCGGTACAACGACTATTTGCAGTCAGCCACCGAGGCTCGCCTTGATGAGAGCTCTGGGGGAAGAGGCCGGGGAAATTGTCAGGACCATATGAGCTCGAGTGTCACAGAGGCCTGAAAAATTAGTGTTTTAAATCAAGCGGCTCCTGGTATCCGTTCGGATAGTTGCCGAGGCGACGGGGAAATCTATTCGGCCTTGTAAGGCCGATAACGCTGTCTCTCGTGTGTCAACAATGACATTCTTGTTGGCATAGTGAAGTGGCGTCGGCTCGTTGTGAACGAAGAGGCACGGTCCTTATTGAGATGTCTGGTAACTGCGGAGAATTGCCGTAACTAAACTCTGTATAGAAGATCAAGCTTCCGCCCCTTCGCTGCTGAGGTATAGGAGCTTGGTGCCTCCTACACCCCTCTCACAACAGTTCATCCTCTTATGTCGTAAATGTTAGGCTAATCCCGCAAAGCTATTAACTCCTTCTCGGCTTTCCCGTCTATGGAAGGAAGGTAGAAAGTTCCGGTTAGATGATGAGCATGTTTCGTACTGGAGTGGTTTACGAGACGTGGTTTATCTATAGATCTGGATCTAGTTATGGTCGCCGAGCTGCCGTGGTGTTCTTCTAGGCGCTCAGATATTCACGCTTTTAAGTCATCTCAGTAGCCCCAGCTTAGAATAAAGAGGACACTAGGCTGAGTTCCTGTATAATAGGAATGTGAAGGCAAGGGGTGGCAAATTTAGTGTGGCATGAGAAAGAAGGCGGTGGGAGACCCTGAAGCCGCCGCGCCACCGCGAGGAGTTAATAGACGCCCTCATACCGAGTCTAAAAATTTACATGTAATATTGCAAATCCTGCACCAATCAGCAATAGGGGTTATTCAACATAAAGTACATAGTAACCATGTGTAACGGAGTAGGACAAAACAGACACAATCTATACCCTGTCCGTATTCACGGCAAATGTACCTCCGTGATAGCATGTAGCTACCCACTGAAATTGATGTATGCTGGGAAGAGGCCATGGCCCGAAATGTCTCACAGCTCAAAGAGGTAAGCCAGAAAGTGCCTGACCTACCTTATCTACAATGACAGGTGGTCCCATGATTGGCCAGAGGTGAAAGTTTGCATGTGGTGTCTCAGTGTCGATTCGATCGTTGTTGTGCGCGGGATACGTGCATTTGCCTCGATCAAAGGGAGGTTGAGGTAGCACCCTGTACCCGCCAAAGCAAGAGCAAACCATCCTCATAAGGCGCGTACATCGTCAATGCTGCCGACTCGTCTCCTCTGATGTTGATGTGTTACTGAGAAGTGGCAACAACTGACTTACTCTTTCGGTCTCGCAAGTATGCGTGTCTACTGTGTGGAGGGTACAAAAAGTCAGGAGACAAACGGGCTGGTTCGACGAGCCCCTCCTGGCGAGTACAATGAGCAGAATAATGAAAAAGGATCATGCAAAAGTGTGAGATGCTATGTTGGCTAGGTAGACACTGGCCTTGTTGCCATAGCTAATGGATAGCATGTATTCTAATTCCGTATTCTTTCACACTCTCAATGATATATCACCTCCGTTCATATTCAGTTCTCGAACTCCTCATTGCTTGGCCGAATCCTTATGAAGCAAGCAAGAAAGATACAGCTCTTGCTACTGATCCCTGGCTGTCTGTAATGTAGCAAGTATCTCTCATGATAGCTCGTCCTACTCGGAACACATGGCCCTCTCTAGACTCTCTGTCGCCCGTCACGAGGTCACAATTCTCCGTTGTCAGTACTCGTGTGACAACCAACGCTACTGCCACCATCGTGGCTGCTCTGACTAGAAGCGATGGCTCCTGAGATAATGAGACATTTATATTTCCGAGGTCATTATGTACATCAACTGCGTATTTCGCCGTTACACCACAACCGTCGACGACGCCAAACATCCTACGGTATCCTCACTCTTATGTTCTTGAGCCTGTCCAAAGGGATACTACCAACAACCAATCGGATATCTTCTATTGCTAACTTGAGGCTTGCTTAATTCATATCATCTGCGCTTGTTCAAGAGACATACTAGACTAGGTGCTAATACTCTAGCTGCTCTGGGCCGCCCATAATGCCCTCTAGATACTCTTTAACACTTCCTCGTACATGCCTGCCATATTAGCTGCTGCTAGGATAATCCTTCTATTCTCCCGTCTAATAGAACTCGTGGGGCAACCGGCTCCCCAGCTCACGCCACTGGCCACGGTAAAGAATTGGCTTGGATTGCTGCTATCATCGCACGCGAGCCAATACGCCTAGTCTCAATAGTTCTACTTTGACCCTTTGCTCTCTTGGAGGGTGGTATGCACGGCTTTCTCGTCCCGTGCTTGAGTCTTGTGTCATGTGAGTATCTCGCTCTCCACTTGCCAAGTCCCTTTCTGGTAATTAAGGAGCTTGTAGTGCAATAACTGTCTAGTGCTGCCTCCTCTCGCACATCGGCCTGCTGCAGCGCTCGATATGCTGGGCGACGCGGCATGCTGAGAGACATTCCCAGGGAATGAATGACTCGAGGACCTTCCTGCGTCCGTAACCTACTCGCAAGGTGGTACATTGGGCTCACATTCGTGCTCCGAGAGCAAACAACAGTCCCTCTGGGGTTACTCTCGATGACAGTTATAGACTTTTTGTGGGATACTCAATAACTTGATACTTGAATACATTTATCAAGATGCTAATACAATTATCGTTTGGTATGATTACAGCATAAGACTATTCACTTGCTCTATTAGCAGCCTGTTGGATGCCTTGCTCTAGTTAGTACATAATTATCTGTCTCAGTTGGGCTCGGTGCTGGCATCACTAGAGTGCTAGTGACGCGTTGGCGTATTGGTCGTCAAGAGCGTGATGATTTCCTCTTTGCTCGAAGGTGGGAGTGACTTCGCGTCTGCTTTCCCCTGGCGCCTGTTTTTTCCCCTTCCAACGCATCAGACCATCTTCTGGAGCAAAAAGGACAATAGATGTATGAGGTTATAACTACATCTCCCGTGCAAGTAATATCAAGCTATAGTACATTGTAGATGGATACAGCTTCGACCATCGGGAGTTTTTGTCGAGTTGTGGATTCTATAGAGAAGTATTGCTCTGTGGACGTCAGCTTAGCACAGAGTCCTCTCAACCGGCACCATGACTTGCCTTCGCAGCGGTCAGGCCTAAGGCTCAATGGCGGCTTTTTGCGTTTTTGTCTCTAGGAGATACAGGTGGTGGATATGTCACTGCTACATGTTACAGTCACTGATTCCTATCCAAGCCTCTCCCATTTAGAGTGGCAGCTATGGATACACGTGTGTCGAGTCAGGCAATCTTTGCCTGGGATCTATCTACATACCACGTCCATGTTCTTTGTTCTCCCCTGCTAATGATACTAACTAGGCTAGACATTAGGACGGTACAATATGCAGCTTGCCGATGTGTTAGTCTCTGTCAACAGTCTTCTATGCCTCCCAAACAATCCCCGTCCCTGTTTGGGCCTGCCACTACAGACGGAGTATTTGCTGTACCAAACTCATTTGCTCTCTCTCCTGCTGGTTCCGCTATGTCATGCGGTTACCTGCGATCGCCCTTTTGGGGCTGGGCTACGCCTGGGTGAATCCTAATGAAACCTGCCTAACCTCGATGTTGTCCTGAGTTCCACGTATGCACTTGTACACCTAGAATCTCGTCAGCAATGATACAGAGTCGAAGATCACGTTTGGTGGCTCTTGTAATTATGTTGAGCCTGCACGACTTGTCAAGGCCTTGCGATATCCGCTAGTATCCTCTGGCATTGTCTATCATCGGACCTCACTGCTTTCGCCCTAGGTAAACAGCAGTGATTCCTAGTAGCCTGGGCTTCACCGATACCTATCACTTCGTGGCTTAGAACTCGGTCATCCCAAGAGGCGGTGGGCGTGCACAAACGGCTATCTCTACTCTCACAGGTCGATTCCAAGACATCGTTGACAAAGAACTCCGTGCCGAATACACAGGTCTATACCGCCGTATCGGACACCGCTCGGCGTTTTGCAGCCACAGCTGCATGGCTGGGCGGAGTAAGGGAAAGAAAGCAATCTCGGTCTGCTTGTCCCAATATCGGCTCTCCGTGTTGCGAGGGAATATTTCAAACTTACCTGTTTGTCAGGCTCAAGGAGAGTTGCAAACCTTCTTTCCTATATTATCTATCAGTACGGATGCCGTCCCGAGCCATCAGCCTTTTGCCTCTCAGTTGCGTCTCTCCATCGTAGTAAAAGCCAATCCAGAGTATACCTGCAGGCGCAACGCACCTGGTTGCGAGACACACACTCCACCCCATAACAACTCACCGCTATGCTCTCTCTGTCGTCTCTTCTCAACCCTGCACCTCCAGGGTCCTCCAACGATGATGAGTTCTTTCCCAGTCCAATATTCTCATCTCCCACGGACTCATGTGCTGAAGAGTCTCTGTTTCCCAATCGGTCAACGATGCCCAAGCACAAGATGCCCAAGGACGCGGCAGTCTTCACGAAGGGCAAGCCGAAAGGGGCCATAAACTTCCACCCGCACGAGGATTTAGATGAAGCTTCACTTCGCCGCACCCGATTATTTCAAGTCTATCCACTGGGAAAGATTCGGGAGTTTTCACGGCATATTCCATACAACAGCGGTAAGAAGGACTTTTTTGACAAGACTGGACGAGAAAGCTTTGAAGGTATACATAACCCCGGACCACCTGGAATTTACGAATTATTGGTTCTTTCACTAATTTGCTCCCTATAGTTTTTCAATACGTTTTCAAAGTCCCGGGGGACGATACCGAGTACACGGTGATGTGGGACTACAACGTTGGGCTCGTTCGTATGACACCGTTCTTTAAATGCTGTAAATATCCAAAGGTAAGCAGAATATCAACATGGCCCTAGCAAGATTTGGAATTTCCAGGAGAAGTATAACTGACAACCATAGACAACACCTGCCAAGATGTTGAACTCGAATCCTGGTCTCAAAGAGATAACTCATAGCATCACAGGGGGTTCGATTATGGCTCAAGGTATGTTTGCCTGGCTTGTTTCTCGGCTGCGGACAAAGACGAGAAACTTAAAATTGACTATTATGCTCAAGGTTACTGGATGCCTTATCAATGCGCGAGGGCTGTCTGCGCAACCTTTTGCCACAACATATCAGGGGCACTTATCCCTATATTCGGGCCAGATTTCCCGGCTCTTTGTACGCAAGTCGATGCACCAGAGTATAGCCGCATGGTTATAGATCCGGCGATAGTGATGCAGTCTACTCGAGAAGCCGAATACTACCGTCATCTTTACAGCAATACAACAAATGTAGGTTCGGCATCGAAGAATGACAACGGGAACCGACCAAGCCCTAAGCGTGACCTTCGCGTTCATCGCCCATACTACGATGGCGGCGAGAGGCAACAACATCGGCACCGTGTCCGAAAGCCAGGCATTTCGACGCCGAGAAGTGATAACAGCACCTATACAACAGATACCGAAGGCGAGATCTCGCCTATTGTGGAACGCACAAGCTTGGTCAGCGATCTACCTCACTACCAGCACCCGCGCTCCCTGCATTCACCAACAACCGCTCTAATTCCGTCACTACGAGAAAGTCACGCCGGTAGCAGTAGTAGTGGTTGGACACCAGCAAACATACTTCATGCGCCAACCCATCTCCGTCAGTCTAGCGAATACCAAGCCAGCGGTCCTAATCCTTGGTTGAGTGCAATCCCTCGTTTCACGACCGCATCTCATATCCAGACCGTAACTTATCCGAGTGCAAACGCATCACGAAGTACCCGTTTCCAGCCCTATCCTGGCACGCAACCTTCTAGTCAACCGCAGCCTCATCCACAGACATATCATCATCACACGAACACCGCGCGCGGACAACTTCCATCACCCTTAGACATACCTCCCAAGCTCAACACTACCTCGCCGTCTTCGCGAACAAAGCGCCCTGCGTCACAGATAGAAGATCACAGAGACCACAGACACGATGCAAGCCAAAGCCAAGTGGTACAACACTACCGCACCAACAAGTCGAGTCACGTTGAGAATCGATCAATACGTGTGACAGAAGATGACAAAGCAACAGGTGCAGACAAGAAGGCAGCGCTGCTGCTGATGAATCTCAGCGTGCGCGAGTCTTCTAGCTGGCAAGCTGGGAGGAAGCCGCAGAACGCTAATGAGGGTGGCAGGTTCGAGGTTGATAGCAGATACGCTGGAGACGATGGGAGATACCAAGATAAAGCTCATTATACGGAGAAGGATTCTGGCAATGCCCGGGGTTCTCGCTATAATGGTGGTGCGGCCAAGGTCGGCAGTGATGGAATCTCGAACACGGAGGTGGTGCCGCGGACTAAACGATTGCGGTCTAACTCTATGTAGTGAGTGAGCTGGGGCTGTCCCAGCAGGTCAATGATACCCTCTCGTCTCATAGGAAGAGAGGAGTCAACCTTGTTGAGATTTACGTTGTAGCCCAACTCACCCCGAACCAGTGAGTAAGTGGCAAGAATAGAGGTATGTTTGAAGGCCTGGAATGGGCCGGGATGACAAGGCGTATGCATGGAAACGAGGATTTTGACGCGCACATTGACGAGATTAGAAGGTTATGACAAAAGCTCCATTTTCTGTATTTTTTATGACTGATTCCCCTCGTCCAGATAGAATTGCATATTGGTTACTAGTATTAATTAGACACGATATTGAACACTCACTATGAAGGGTATGAATGACTCATCGTGGCGGTGCGTCGGCCTCACGGGTTTAACCGTTCCTGACCCATCTACCTGATAGCCGCCGAGAATTTGTTTCACCATCGGCGTGTTAATTCAAATATAATCTCTTGTTACAACCCAGCAAAGGTGGTTGGCCAACTCAGCCTTTGAGATATGCACATAGCTGTAAAGTTCTTCGTGTTCGGTTACCCCGCGCTGTGCCTTTTTAAAGTCCTAACAACTGCATTAGTCGGACTTAACGTGGAGCTATAATACATTTCTTATCTGGCTCGCATTTTATATTCGCCACTTTCTTAACTAGTACCATGGCATCAAACGTAGAGAGAATCAAAGTCGAGAGAGGTAGTGCCTCCTAGAGCCAGTCCTTCTCGTATTGCAAATTGAACTGACCAAATTTCCAGACGAAGAGGAGTTGACAACACAGGAGCAAAAAGCAATTGTTTTGCTCCCCGCAGAGAAACTTCTGCGCGAGTTTCTGCTCGAATGTGCTCAGCATTTTCCGGGCCTCGAGATTTGGATCACGGGTGGCTGGGTTCGAGACCGCTTGCTTGGCATCCCTTCGTCGGACCTCGACTTAGCACTCAGCAAGGTGACAGGGAGAGAATTCGGCAAATTTCTCGAGAGGTTCTCCGCTGAGCCGGAGATTGAATCCAAGTACCGTATGAAGGCTGATGAATTGGGCATCCCTGATTGCAAGTTCACCCGGTTTCACGTGATGGAAAGAAATGCCGAGATGTCTAAAAAACTCGAGACAGCCGGTGGAAACCTATTCGGGTTGGAGGTTGACCTAGTGAATCTTAGAAAAGAGGTGTACGACAGCCAGAGCCGGACTCCAGATATGGAGTTTGGCACTCCCGAGGAAGATGCATTCCGTCGCGATGCTACTGTCAATGCCATGTTCTTTAATCTAGAGAAGCAGGAGGTTGTAGACCTCACGGGTAGAGGGCTTCAAGATCTAGCTGCGAGGATCATGAGGACGCCTCTGGATCCACGCCAGACCTTCATGGACGATCCACTGCGGGTGCTGCGACTCATTCGGGTTGGTAGTAAACTCGGCTTTGGCCTACACCCGGAGGTTACTCGATATATGAAGGAAGACGAGATACGGCGAGCACTGGACACAATGATCACGCGTGATAGGATCAACATTGAACTGTTCAAAATGATAAGGGATGCAAACGCAGCGGTTGCCTTTAAGCATATTTTCGAATCTAATCTTTACACGCCCGTCTTCCTCCGCCTTGATTCATCCCTACTAGACACCTTAGAAACCGAATTCCCTATTCTAGGATTATCCGCGTCGCCGCCATGGCCAATAACGTGGCCACGGGCTTATAGACTCCTTGCCCACCTCTTGAAAGATAGCAGTACTATGGGGAAGATGGTTCAGTCTGAGGAGAACGTCGATCATGTCTGGGTTATGGCTGCTTATGCACCGATTGCTGGGCTCCGGCAAAATTTGCTCGGACAGGCGATCCAGGAGGCGACGACTGCCCTCAGACTCCCTGCCAAGATTTCTAAAGTCCTTGAGAGCGCGCTCAGGAACTTCGATTCCATTCTGGAGATTCTGGACACCACTACAACACAATCGGCAAAGACTCTTTCACGAAGCCTTGTTGGCATGGCTATTCGCTCCTGGGGCGCGACTTGGAGCACGCAAGTGACGTACGTTATGCTAGCCCAGGTGGTGTACGCACCGCAAACCTCGACAAAATCAGTGCCTTCCGCGTACGATTCCTCAATGGACGAGTTTCTCACAGGACCACTTCTCAAGCGATTTTCTGCGTTTGCCGATTTTGTGGTGGATCAAGACTTGCGCGATGCTCACCTCCAACGCCCATTATTGAATGGCAATGAGATCCAAATACTTTTTGGTCTGCAGAAAGGGGGAAAGTATCTCAAAAGCGCGCTTGACGGACTGATGGCGTGGCAGCTCGAACATGTCACTGGTCAGGTCGAAGATGCGAAGGCTTGGCTCCTTTCGCAGCAGGAGAGATTTGACATTCCTTCTTAAAGCATCAAGCCAAACTGAACATTACAACACGCTTACTATGCACCCACATGGTTCCTCACGAAGGCGGAGAGCACTGAAGCTAACCAGACTAACTGAATTCTTCCTCCTATTCAGATTCAATAACACGAGAATAGATGTTGTATTGTGTGACCTTATTGTACGATAATACATAACGTCGGACCAGCTCTGGCGGTCACTTTTTCGATTCTATGTAGATGTTCTTATTGCACCACAATAAGATATGGCGATAAGACGCCGGGTACCAGAGGCGTGGCATTTATGGAAGCGTACATTAGTTAAGCTGCTCTTCAAGGGGCTCAGCCGTGAAAGTGACTTGGACTTTGCCCAGAAGACCGACTATACAGCTATCCCTAGTGGAGTAGGGAGCGAGTAAATCTTTATAGGTATAATCATAATAATGTCACGATTACGACCCTCGTGATCCTACGGTTATAGACAAAGAAAATGGTTGTACATAGCACCAAGGAGCTACTGTATTTAGCTCATACCACTCTCTATGAATGACTCACCCTGTCCGACTAGTCGAAAAGCGAGCTTGTGGTGATACAGCAGGTTCGGTGCTACAGTCCGATTGATGCTTACATCAGACGGGTAATAGATTGAGCACCGCGGAAAAGCTCTACGCATCTGGATAACCGAATTCTGGAAAGGGAGTCAGCTGCGTGAAGAAAGGTTGAAGAGGGCGTAGAGGCAAAGCTCATCAATTAGTTATTATTGTCTTGTCATGTGTTCTTCTATCCGTCCTATCTCGGGTTCTCACCATCTGTACTACGTAACAACACGAATTAGTTCTGCCAAGACCTTATGTTCTGATACCAGCTGACAGGGTGTTTTTTTTAAGCTAAGTCTATTATTAGATCAGTTCACACAACCACTTCACACCTTGGACGCCAGTAAATGATATTTAGGTCTCATGAGTATCATGAATCCGCTACCTCTATTAATGGCATAATTATCAGAATCAGTAATTCAAAATACTAGAGCGTACTCAGTGTCGTAAGGTATATAGACTGGCTGATCCAGGAGGTTACAGCTAGAGACAAATATAAGGAGAAATGATTTCCGCTTCGGATGTGTCATAATCGAGGGCTATTGAAAAGAGACATCGTCTATATAGCCATAGCCCACGTACGGAGGTCTTCTAGAAGCCTCGTACAATAATGATCGTCATACAGCTCCCCTGTGCTTGTAGTCCTAATAGGATATCAATGAATCAACGACGACTGCCTTTAAAAGCGTAAGCTGCAGAATTTAGGTAGTTCCATTGAAAATCAGGTGATACGAGCTGTGACAATAGTCGGGATATTGATCATTGAAGTGTTGTAGTTATAGGGATTAGTCAGCGTTGGACTAGTGAGAATCTCGCAAAAGGAACTAAAGGGACACACGCGTTCGCCTTTTCTTTAAATTAATTGAAAACTCAATCCGTTTCATTATTTGATCCGTTCTTTACGCAGTAGTTAAGATGTTTCGAAGTGTTTATTGAACTGTAGTATTTATGTATCTTATTAGAATGGATGACCGAAGCAAGATGGATTACACCCATCCTTTTCATCACAAGAATGGAACGGTGTGATGGCAACGTAGTGCAATCAGTTAGGAGTCAGCTGAGGCTTACGCTAACATTGATTTGTCTGATACTACCGTGATACCTAGTGTCACGGAATGACATAAGGAGTGCAGTACTATACCACTACGCCACCAAAAGGTAACGACGAGTTATCAAGTCGAAGGCTTGACGTCTCTACACTCACTATATAGTACTATACTGTGACAGTACCCCTTACTTTAAATGCAATCGACCCGATTGTATATAAAGAAGTGCATATCCAAAGGCAATGCATATAGTTAATACCTAAAAACCCCCGCAGTGGTTTTCCAATTACGTAAACGAGCTAAGTTCTCCACCTTCGAAGACTACGCCAAGGGTTGTTCATGCGAAGGGTCCCCAATCCCTCCACGAATAGAATATAGCTGCCCAATCGTGGAATCGAACACGTAACTGTATGACTTGATAAACTGTCACGGAATAACATAAGGAGTGCAGTACTATGCCACTACGCCACCAAAAGGTAACGACGAGTTATCAAGTCGAAGGCTTGACGTCTCTGCACTCACTATATAGTACTGTACTGTGACACCTAGCTACATATAACAAGAGGTGATGGCAGGGTTAAAATTGAAGCTACTCGCGATACAAGAATCCGCTGCAGCTGCTCTAGTTCTTGGCCATCCGGTTGTCGGCTTCGGTGTTTACATGACTCTATGTAATAATATAAGACCGCCTTTTTATATCTCCAAAGCCCGAGAGTGTCTCAGTTCAGCGAAGGTCTGTGTAACCTCATATTGTCGTATGTCTCATTTAGGGGTATTTTGTTAGGCCGTACGTGTGTGTGACATTACAATGCTACAAAGTGATCTCGTACCTACTCCTCGCATGCCTGCACCAATGCTATGGCACTCCTCATACTGTACGAGGATATAATAATAACTCATCTCCAAGATCCTGAATATAGATGATACAATTTATTCCCAAAATACCCGAACAGGCCATCTTCTGATAAAGGCAGCTAGGATGAGCGCTACAGCGGCGAAAGTGAAAGCCCTCGTTTTCGACCTTGGGGGAGTCTTACTCAACTGGGATCGCAACAAAGCGAGCACACTGTCGTCGGGTCAATTTTTAAATATCATGAATTCGACTGCATGGCATGATTTGGATCGAGGACATATCTCTCTGGAACTTGCTTGCATAGTGAGTTGATGTTAAATTCATTGGGTTTCGAAAGGCTAATGTGGGTTTTCAGGAATTTAGTAAGATACTTAGCCTCAATGCGAGGATCATTGTGAAGTCACTTGAAGAGGCACAGCTATCTCTGACAGTGAATACGTCCCTGGTCCAAACAATACACGAACTCCAAGCCTCTAACATGAACCTGAAGTTTTATGTCATGTCGAACATCTCAAAAGTGTGTACAAATAGCGTTATCAAGTCTCTTCTAACCATATGTCTAAATTGTGAACAGGAGCATTTTCAGATCGTTCGAGGGCTTAACTTGCCATGGGATGTATTTGAATTGGCCTTCGCATCCGGGGTTGAAGGCATGCGCAAACCGGACCTGTGCTCTTTTGAATATCTAGTCAAGAAGAGTGGCTTCACCCCGGACCAGATGCTCATGATTGATGATACTGTTGAGAATATCTGCGCCGCGAGGTCTATTGGCATGCACGGCATGCTAGTTGACAATCAATTTGTCCGATCTGGAGGCGCATTGAAGAATATGTTCCTGGACCCCGGGTCACGAGCCATGGCGTTCCTCAGGTCGCGCGCCGGGAAACATCATTGCACGGTCGAAGGTCATGGTGACGTTGTTTTGAAAGACAACTTTGCCCAGCTTTTAATTTGGGAGCTAACAGGCGATGCAAATGTTGTTTATCTCAGATGGCCATCTGGCAAAGTCACCGGACATCGAGGTAACGCATCGCGTGAAGTGAATGGTATCTCACTTGATAGGAAGGACATCAAAAATGGCCTTTGGAATTACTTTTCAGAAGCTCCTGTACTAACGACTGTAGAATTCCCACCTGATGCTGACACAACCTCCACGGCTTACTTATCGCTGCCTTCTGAGTACCTTGACGATGTTGCAGATGCCAATATTGTATTGCATGCAATGGCGGAAAACGTTGATCGTGATGGTATTATGCAAACCTATTTCACTAATGAGCGGCCGCGCACCACGCCTGAAGTCTGTTGCAACATCCTGAGAATGTTTCACAAATTTGGTCGCGCTTCCGATCCCCGTATTGTCAAAACTGAGCGTTGGGTGGTCGATTGTTTGAGAAACAGAGCATGTCTCGACGGCAATCGCCACTATTCTACATCTGAGACGTTCTTATATTTCGTGTCTCGTTTGTATGCCATTTGTTCGACACCGCTCAAGGCAGAGTTGGAAATTATTCAAAATGAGCTCGAGAACCGACTCAACATGCCTATCAACCCACTTGGTCTGGCATTTCGTCTCGCTGCTTGCCAGTTCGCTGGTATTGAGCCCGCTCTTTACCAGCGGGACTTAGAGCGCCTACTGTCATTACAGGAAGAAGACGGTGGATGGCCGGCGGGTCACTTCTGTTGCATGGGTCGAACAGGTGCTCGCATCGGAAACCGGGGTCTGACCACAGCACTCGCTCTTAAGATCATCAAACATGAGAAAGAGAAAGCGAGGTGATTATGTATAAATGTGCTAAGTTGACATGGATACGTATATTCGTGTAAGGAGGATAATTACAGAATGTTGTCAGTTAATTGTCTTGAATTCTATATGTGAAGAAGGATATCCCAACTCGGGTGTGTTATATGTGCGGGAATTCCTCCAAGCGATAGCAAGGGTCTCAGAATCCGCTTCCATTAATTATATCTACGAACTAGGGCACAAGACAGTGGTAATAGGAGCTGAGAACAAAGTAACTGGAAATATACAGTAAGGTGATGCAGTGCGATGAATTAGCTAACCGTGGCTATAGGACTTCGGGATCACCTTGTACAACAAATATAGACTGGGGTAGCTATGCTTGTGTTTAGACAGCGTCAATTTCGTAGGCTGAGCTGAGACCAATTCAATTATCAAAGTCTACGATATCACGAGCCCTTTTCCGCAGCCCTCTTCCGCTTGAAATCCTCAATCCACGTGGCAGCTTGTGCCTTAGGCAAAACAAATATCCGAACAACCTCATCCACGACCTCGACCTTGCCCCCAGCCAACGCCTTCAACAGCGGGACCTTCTTACCCAGCTTAATCATGCCTCCCGTAACGGTCTCCATGTAACACTCGACGCCGGCAAGCGTGTACACACCTTCGCGATCCCACGGGAGCGGGAATACGTAACCGAGATGATCGGCCAGAGAATCCGTCTCGTTGAACGCCTTGATGAAATCCGACTCTAGGTGTACCGGATACAGCAGCACAGTCGGGAAAGCAAGATGACTCGCGGGGTCGTCCGGGTCCGGCACGAGTTTGATTCCCGCGTCCTCCATCTCAGGGGGTTGCGCCGTGGTGCGCGTACGGATCTCGCGTGCCTTCAGCGCTGCCTTAATGAGCATCTCTCGTCTTTTCTGCTTAGCCACCCTCTCGGCCTCGCGGCGCGCCTGCACACCCGTCTCCTCTGCTTTCTTGACGATGTCGCGGGCGACGGCTTTCAAGGGGTTATTCGACGGGTCGAGCGTTAACCCCCGGGCGCATGCGTCATCTGCTTCGGCGATGCGTCCGACGGCTAGGAAGGCCCGTGCCCCCCGATAATACGCTTTGATGTTGTTTGGGTTCAGGCGTAGCGCGGCGGACGCATCGAGCCAGCACGAGCGGTAATTCTTGAGCTCGAGGTGACACGCTGCGCGGTTGACGTACAGAGACTCAAGGGTTGCCCTTTCTTTCTGGATTTCTTCCTCACTTGTTTCTTTATTCTCTTTTTCATCACTGGTTTCCTCACCCTTTTCCTTAGACATTTCTTTCGAAGACACCCGCGACGCTGGATTCTCCGCCGCCTGTTTCCGTTTGCGCTCCTCCGCGGCGAGTATCAATACTCCCTTGGTGTAGAACTCCTTTGCATCTGCCCAGCGCTTCGCCTTGAAACACTCGTTCCCTTGTTCCTTGAACTCTGACGCGTTCTCTAACGGTGTACCCTCATATGCTAGGGCCTTGAGGGCTTCTGTCTCATCATTTTCTTCTAGCTCTGTCATGAAGAAGGGGCTTTTCTTAAGCTCCGCGACTACCTCGTCGACGGTCTTTTTCCCCGTCATGGCGCGACCTGGCGAGAGCTCGGGGAACATGGCCGTTGTTAACGGCGCGGATGCACTACCATCTTGCGACTCTTCTATCGATGTCGCGGCAGGTATTGATGTTGATGTTTCAGACTGAGGCTGTGATTGCTCGATCTTGAGGCGCTCTGCGACCTCGTCGCTAATCTTTTGTATATGCATCGAACCTCGACTGTAATCTGAGCAGCGATTTTAAAGTCCGGGTTCTCAAAGACTTAGGTCTCCTGTTCGACCTCTCAGTTTCAAGTGATGTAGCTTCAACTCGATGTACTAACAGAATGGACGGCCCTGTTACCATTCACATGATGGTGGGACACAAATTCGCGAAAAGAGAGTTGGTGGGGGCGGGGCTCGACGTCAGAGCATCCTTATAAGCACTATTATGGGCGTAAAGCATATAAGTCTTCATTATGACCTACCAGGTCGAGACAAGGAGAATTCGGTCAAGATAAAAAAGCAAACACAAGACAATTCTAGCTGCTAACTTCTCATATCTTGTTCCATGTTGAACTTGTATGCTTCGTAGTTCGATTATGCGTCTATAAGTTCATACTGACGACCGAGGCCTGTTAGTCTATCTAATTCAGCATTTAAATCTAAGAGACAACCGCACTGGCCGCGACCTCCTTTTTCTCTTCGTCTTTGGGTACTGAAACGCCATGACCATTCACCTCAGCAAGAGTGTTCTCAAGCGATTCCAAGAATCTCGTGACCTCAGCCTCGGTCCCGACCGTGATTCGCAGACATCCAAAGCAGCCGTGCTCCTTGCCCCTGAAACGCACTACCACGCCTCTATTTTCAGCCAACCTCTCGTATACAGCAAGTGCCACGGTGTTATCAGGCTGTCCATCTTTATTCAACAGCTCGTAGAGTAAAAAGTTACTCTCGACGCCACCTCGTAGACGTCCAACCCCCTTGATCTTAGGTAGTTCGCGAATCAAGCGCTCCCGCTGCGAGACGATCTTCTCCCTGTTTGCGCGCATGACCGCTAACCCATCTGGCGAAAACGCGTAGATAGCTAGTGCACTCGTGGGACTGGGGATATTGTACGGCGCCTTCATGCTATTAAGAAGCCGTGCGATGGGTTCAGACGTGAAGACAGACCCGAGGCGGATTCCCGCCATGCCAAAGCCCTTGGACGACGTTTGCATCACTGCGAGATTGGGCCATTCGGAGACCCACTCGGCGAGCGATGCGTTCTCGGGCGAAAAGTCGACATACGCCTCGTCGACGACAACTACGCCATTCCACGTCGGGTGTTCGAGGATTTGCTGTATACCGCTCTTGGCGAGCGGAGCTCCCGTGGGATTTCCCGGTGAACACAGGTATACTAATTTGATGTTTGGCTCATTTGATAGCGTTTCTTTTATCTTGGCGACGTCGAGCTCGAACGTTGGCGCGGGCAGGAGGGGTACTTTCACGAGACCCACGTCATTCACCTGTGCTGATACAGAGTACATGCCATAGGTAGGCGGACAGACCAGGATCTTGTCACGGCCAGGCGCACAGAAACACCGCATGAGGCTATCAATAGCCTCATCGCTCCCAACGCCGACGAACAAGTTGTCAGGTGTGATGTTCTTGTCTGTGTGGTAGTGAGTGTTTCTTAAGTTGCAGAGTAATTGCTTTAGCTCCCTCTGGTGCGGATCTGGGTATCTGTGCAGGCCCAGGAAGTCAATCTCAGGTCCTGATGACTTGTTGGCTGATGACGTTGAGACGGCGGCGGCTGTCAAAGAGGGACCGTAAGCATTCTCGTTTGCATCTAACAAGATATTCGTTCCATCATCCTTGTAGTCACTAGGTTGAGTCAGCGGTGAGATAGTTATCATGAACAATCCTGGGTACCCTACTCTCTCGCACAGCGATATGGCTCGAGCGCCAAGATGTTAGACCTTGCACAGGTCTCTAGGTTGAACACACCCATCGTGAGCTGATGTAACCAAGCAGGATCGTCCTTGGGCGTTTTGTATTTTTGCGATTGGCTTTTCTCTTCGTCTTCCGTTATTCGAGAAAGGGAATACTAAATTATATACTTCAAACACGACCTTTGAAGAATCTTGAGTCAGAGGTCGCACAAGTAGGTGCTTTAGTGAGTCCGTCACGGTGGAGCTCCGATCGGAGCTCCCACATGCATCTCTGCACAAAACACGAGACTTCAATTGACGCATAAGGCTTCCTAGCTTTTAGATACATATTTGCAGCTAAGCAGCATATGCGTACAATGAAACAACCCAGCGTCAATTGGTTCAAAGACTCGGAGCTGGCAGACGTACAACTACGATTCAAAAAAGCTCATCGTTTATCAGATGTGGACAAGATAGCTCAGTCATGTAGTGGTTAAGAAGCCTTCAGGCTAATGACTTTTCGGTCATTGTAACATGGTTGCCACACGAGCCACATGGCCATCTCAAACACGTCCTCACGCGTAACACATTATCGGTGTTAGACTAGATGATGATCTAGATATGATTAGAGGGAAATGTCGCAAGGCTTACCAATCGTAACCTTGAATACCAATAAACTATGTGTATATCATGGAGCTAAGTACAAGGATTGTGTAATGAAGTAGCAACTGGAGTTTAATGGATCGCTCGATAACGTAATTCACAAACAACTGGTTGGACCATGATTCAGCAAGTAAACGAAATTATGATGCTCATCGATATAGACGCAGAGTTCTATCTTAATGTATGTAATTCTTGTAATTGACCAGGTCCTCCATGTTTAGCTTTTACAACATTACGCTGCTGAGAGGCATGCACAGCCCGAAGCAGATATGAGCTGGATTGAGATAATATTCAGAAACCAGGCTCTCAGGCAGTCACCTCTAGGCTCTCTGAAATTTACATATATAGGTACTGAAACATGATAAATCATTTCTTTTTGAAATTACTGAATTTGGTGAGTCATTTCAGACTAACATCTAGGACCACTGCGCCACCTTGATGTACATATTACGGACTCCGGAAAGCGGCTATAATGCTACGCTACTACCACGCTGTCAGATGCCACATTCAAATGGGCATCTTAATTCTGCCTACATGTAAAGACACTCTCAGGGTTAAGATCATCTCTGGATGATACTCATATGGTCTTCTAACCAATAATTACTTTCCCAAGATTGGTAGGACCGGCTACTACTAACTCTTATTCCATTTGCTACTAACATGATAGTTGCCGGCTGAAGGAACCTATGTACAAATTTGCCTGCACATCTGTCATGAACCAAGTACGGTAGGATTTTCGTTATTGCGCAAAGTCCATACTGATAGTCTGATATACAGAGACAAACGAGAGTTGGCAGCCTTAATGTAAGCCAAGTAAAACACCCCTGTCACCTACCCCGCCTGACCATTGCATAGCCCTCAGCTACTCATATGTGACCCTCGGTCTTCTACATGGCACTGCTTGCTGGGCTCCTAGGATCAAGGCTTAAATCTGGATAATAGAATTGGGGTTTCCTGTTTATTTATTTTCATCCTTTGTTGTCACCGATTACCTCATTGACCAAATTGCGTCCCCAATGTTAGATGATGGACGGCGAGACGACGCCCGCCGCAAAGAACTATTGGCATGGTTCAGAGTGCTCGGGTCCTATGATCGAGTTTGAAGAGCATGGGCTGAACTGCGAAATCAAAGATACTTGTCACTTATCATCGCAATGCAGGCTTGTTCCAATTTGCGTAGCCTGCGGCCGGAAGCCACCATTGCATGATATTATTTCTGAGAACAAAAGTTCCAGTAACATTGCCATTCAACCGCGAGACAAACCTTTTGGGGAGTTGAATTTGCACTGGCCATCTGAGAGTCTGTACCACAATTCAACCAGTTTTCCCACTCCCGAAAAGTTTACGTACCCGCAGACTCTCTCTCACGTCTATCCCACTATTTTACGGCCAGACCAATTCAGACAAGCCTGTTTATCACCGACGGATGGTGAAAACTTTAGACGCGCCCCGTCAACTGCGGCAGAACCAGAAGAGTTTCCTGTTCATCTAACGCTTGAAACGTATGAGCAAGATAACTGCCCAGAATATGAAGCCTTTTCATATACATGGGAAGGCGAGCATTTAGATCGGGACAATGAAACAGACCTAGGCTATCCAATCTATATTGGCCCATCATGGGACGTCCTCATACAGACCAAAAATTGTTGCGATTTGCTACGTTTCGCTAGGCTCCCTGACGTCACTAGACGTGTATGGGTAGATGCAATATGCATTAATCAAGGCAACATGGAAGAAAGGGCCCAACAAGTTGCCAAAATGGGGCGAATTTACAGAGAGAGTTTGAGAGTGGTGGTATATCTAGGCCCAGACGTGGCCATGAAGCCAAAACACCGTTTTCCTAGACGTCACCCCCTAGACGAATTTGCAAGTGGTGAAGTTCGCCCTATGGACTCAAATGGCTTGATCATGGATCTCAATCTAGAGAAGCTTTTCAAGAGACGATACTTTACTAGACTATGGGTGATCCAGGAACTGATCACCTCCTCCAAGACAATCATTCGCATTGGTGACACTGACTTCCTAGTGGATTCAATCATCACGGAGAGACTAAAGAAGACAGAGGAGTGGAGTTCGGCAATGACAAGTGCGCCATGGTTCCAATATGTGGCACGGCAGACCTTTGGAGAAAATCCCTGCGACGCTTTGGCACTCGTATCAAACTCTAACTGTTCTGATTCGCGTGACCGTCTATTCGGTATATTGTCGTTGATCAGCCGTCGAAAGACTGCAAGTCAAGGACTTCAAGCCAACTATTCCATATCAAGTCAACATCTCTGGATTGGATTTTTTGCCCATTGCCTGCTTCGACTGGAAATATTATGGTTTCTGGAATACGCCGTAGGATCTCATAGGTCACCTAGGGACCAGGAATTAGAAGCATGGATTCCGTCATGGATGCCAGATTGGACGTCACCGCTTACATGGCAACGCTTCAAGTATACCCGGAGATTCTATAGTGACGTGGCGTCCGAAACACTTTACTCGCTGTTGAAAGTTGACCCAAATCGTGATTTTCGTCGATTTCGACAAGACTTCCTGACTCTGACTCGACTTGCCCCTGTATATGGGGGCGAATCTCGAATGTATTGGAATCAAGGAATAACAGTAGATTCAGAAACAGGAACGCTGAAAGATATACGAGCCATTCACCTCCTTCGCATCCCTTCAATACCGAGGCTTCAGACGCGTTTTGGAGTCTATGAAGTATATGAGATCGACTTGCATAGTGTGAATTGGCATACTAAACAGGAGGACAAAGACTTGCGAAATCACCAGCAGTGCCTATACATAGTTAGCACGAAGCCTCTCGTCAAAGAAGTTCTGCCCTTACACGATCACTTGTACGCACTGCATCCAGAAAACATAAACGGGAGTCTAGAGTTCCTTATTTTGCGGGACACTAAGGGTCCTCTACCATTTTCAAAACCCCGAGTAAGGCCAGGATACTTCGAGATTGCAGATCACGAGACCTTCACTCTTGTCGCGACCGTACCATACGCATATTTCGGCTTCGATCCCGAGATGTGCAAAGCCTTTAAAATTCAGATGACGATACCGGCCGTGGCCGAACTGTCCCTTGATCAGTTACCACGACTACTGACTGTCCGCCAATTAATCGATGACATACGTACCTTCTTAAATCAGAAGGTTGACTACGATTTTGATCTTTATCCTTCGAATAAAGGCAAAATTTCCAGGGAACTAGAGTCTCTTAATGAGTATTTCTTCAGAGAGGGCTTGGACGTTAAGCACCATGAAAAGACTAGGCCGCTTGACTGGAACCAGATATTCCCGCGGAGTAGGAACTCAGACCTATTACCGGTATATTGGGAATTAGCAAATCAAATCCTGAATCCGAAGGCCCTTTCGGATGAGAAGCTCGCGACATCCTGCATAAGGTCAGTCCATCCTGACTTTCAGCCGGTAATCCGGAATGGTTACGTAGAATATTCGTTTGGGCCCCGTGATTATGGACGTTTCGGGATAATGTACTGTAACATACGTGCCTTCGTAATGTACAAGAACGTCAAAACTGGGGTCTACCAGCCTGAGTGGGAATGGAGCCGCAAGCACCTGGCCTGGACGAAATTCAGCAAGCGCAGCCCAGGAGTCGTGCTGTGGCCATGGCACGAGGAGACGTTCTACATAAGAGCACCCCTGAGCCACGTACTGTCAGCAATCAGGTGTGGTGTTCAGACCTGTGGTATGGCCAGGTGTGTCGCATGGCTACGTGACATATTCAAGACAGATGACTTGGAAGAGCTACGAGAACGATTAGCGCAGCCTCGAGACGAGTTGGATAACCTCAAAGTAGAGAAGCGGGACTTTGCGATAGATGGCGATGTACGCATTATCAATATCCGTTAATTCAACATGATTTAAGCAAATAGTAGCCTGCATTACCCAGTATTATTATATTCAAACCCAGTCGCGACCTGCCAAAGTTGATAAAGCACGGAGTTAAAATGAGATCATACAATTACCAGTTCTGATAGCAGACTGCTGTACGCCCTGATATACAAATCCAACCAGCAAAGAGATCGTGTACAGCAATGCCACAGACAGGCCAACCTGCATCCGCACAGATACTAGTCTCGGAATAATCAAGGACCTGGTAACAAGAGCACCTGCCCATTCTCGACTCTACAAGACACAGCGGAACATGGAACGGGGACAGGGAGGTGATAGGCCAAGCAGGCTACAGACGTCCTTGATAAATCTATTACTTTGTAAAGCTCTTTTACTACATCCAACTACCTATTGCTTGTCTATCTTTCCAGTGTAATACTTCACATACCTAGATATTAAAAAAAACGACTGAATCCCTTGTCCAGAACCCATATTGAATCATCCCCCGCTTCCCTCCTCAAACGCTGAATATCATGACGGAAGTAAGTAACGACATCAGAATCCGGGTATAACTGACCCCAGTGACATGTGCAACGGACTCTGGCCCCTGCGTATCCGATGCGGACTCGGTAGGTGCCGTATCCACGTCTTTTACCACGGTCACCGTACTCGGCGGACTGGCTAACGTTATCGTGGTATCTGCAGTGTCGGTAGTTTCAGAAGGCTCTATAGGCTCTATAGGCTCTATAGGCTCCATGGGCTCCATGGGCGTCGTGGGCTCTGGAGGTGCCGTTGTTTCAGTCGTGCTGGGCGGAGGTATAACTATCGGCTCTTTGTCTTTGAGATGTTTGATCTCGCCGAATTTCAGAGGCCGCGGCGCGTCAAAGGCAAGCAGTGCCTGAACTGTTTCGAGAGCAGTCATCTGCTGGCCGAGCCCTGTATTCCCATCGTATCCTCCGACATACCTATCCAGGACTACAGTTAGCATGACTCGGAAGCTGGAGACGATTGTGGAAGTGGAAAGGAGCATTGGGGCGTTGAAAGAGTTCGTGAGTCCGTACCATTTCTGCCCACAGGAAGTACCGCTGTCTCCGCCGGAGCACGCCTTTCCTGCTGCTATCGCAGATGCACGGAGTAGTTCCTGGACGTCATCGCGAGTCGAAGGCATCAACTGGGCTGTTGCGGCCATGAAGCGAGACACTAATTATGTCATTCAAAGTCAGTCACCAATTTTCGGACTATGGTCTGCAAGAACAGCTGGACAGATCTCAAAAGTGCTTACGATAGCCCTTGAAGGATTTCATATCCGTGTTGCATGTGTCAACCAGCTCGCACGCATGCTCGTACATGATGTCCGTAGCGTTGTCAAAGGGGGTGAAGTAGGACCGAGAAGCCTGCAGCAAGCCATCTGCCCGGTCGCCCCATTTCTGGTCTCCGTTCTTGTAGTCGAAGAGTACTGCTGCGCCATACATATAAATGCCTTGTGAATAGGAGAAGGTTAAAGGATTAGTGTCCTTGCAATCGGCCTTCGAGCTAGCGCCGTCGAACACATTGAAATCCTTATCGATGAAGCCAACATTCTCAGACCAGTCCCAGATCTTCTCTGCCCATTGGAAGTATTTATCGTCGTTAGTTGCTCGTGCCAGTCGTGCAGATACTTGGAATAATCCGCCGTTGGATACTGCGTTCTTGTAGTCGATGCCGTTCGGGTTGCCGTCGAATATTTGCCAGTGTAAGCCGCCGCCGCAAGTTGTTTCGTCCCATCTGGAGATCATCGTATTCCATATGTTCTCAGCCACCGTTATCCAAGGCGGTAGAGAGTCGTCAGGTTGGGGCCAGTTGCGCTCAGCGGCTTCTAGTATGGTAAAGGCCCAAAAGGCTTGATCGTCATTACCTTCGGAGCCGAAATAGCGCGGATTCATAAGATTGAAATCGGGAGCGAGTACTTGGCTTTGCAGTGCCTGTGTTATCACATCGTCATAGCTAGAATCGCCTGTATAGTGCGAATAGTCGAGCATCGCTCCCCAACATGCACCAGCTTGCCACCAGTCTGATGTATATAAAGTCAACAAGATTGAGTTTTAGTCACGGGGAATATGAAGCCGTACAATGCGGTTGGGGAAATATCGCGAGAGTCTGCACATGATAATCAGTCTTCTGAAGGTTATTCATCTTAAGAGGTTTAAATTGCAACATACTTCTGGGGTATTTGTGATGTTTCCAGAGTAGTATTTCATGGTTTCAAATGCGATTGTACTCGCCATCGACTTGATGGACTCTGCATAGCAATTAGATTTCAAATTTACCTAATGAAAGGAAGGTAGGCCTCGAATTGACAAACCAGGATTGTTGATATCCAGATCCGCCGGGGCGGCAGAAGCTGCGCCTAGCACGGCGCCAATCAGTAAGCCCCTGAACATAGTAAAGGAGGACTTTTATGCAAGAATAGAATAAACCGATCAACGGATTCAAAAGTCGGTTAGAGAGGAAACGTGATTCGAAGTTTGTTAGTAGAAGCGAATAGAGAAAGAAAAAAATGAAGATAGGTGAAAAGAATTTGGAAACTTCATCATTAGTCGACCGCGACTACTACGTTAAACATTCTGGGGAAGCTACGAAGTGGGAAAGTTGGTTCGGCGTGCGTACAATTTAATAGACGTAACAAAGGAGGAAGAGTGAAAATACCGTCATCGAATTGCCAGGGGCGAGGGGAAACGGTAAGTTACGAGAATGAACTCAAGATGAATAGCATAGAAAGAAGGAGAAGCGCTCTTTTTCCCATTGATACTTTCGTGCGCAAGACAAGGCTTTATTGACGTATACATGAACCTAGGGCCTAGGAAAATGCTAACTGGTGCCTTCTATTGGCGATACCATGGAACTTGGTTAGGAGGGAACTTGGATGAGCTGAAGGAGCGGGCTCCTGGACAGGTATTTTGGGTTTGACTAAGCAGGTATATATAGGATCAAGACCGGAATGTCTTCACAGTGGACATTAGGGCAAACGTTGATTTCTCTGGGGAAAAAAACTCGATATACTACCTGCCTAAGGTAAGCAGCAATATCTGCATATCCTTTGAATCATCAAGCACCTCGTCATACTATCGCACTCTGTGGGAAATGATACCGCTAGACGTGCGCAGTCTAACGGTTCTTTCTACTCTCCACCTGAGCGACACATACTCACAGCCACGGCTCGCACCTTGCTAATTTCTTTTTCCCGGGTCTGAATGGCTTCGTGATTGAGGATAGCACATGAATTGAGATAAGAGAATTGCAGAAAGGGATGCCATGCCGGCTTAAAGATGCAGGTTCGCAATCAGGTAGGTAATATACCTAGGGTCGCTAAGGTTACTTGCAGTTAGCGATATATAGCGCGCTTAGCAGCGCCAGTCAGGGCAAACCGCCCCTATATGTGCCTACGTAGATAACTGCACAGGGCGGGTTACAGGGGATCCTACCGCGGGCCGTAACGCAGGTACTTACTTACCGCTTGTCTTTGTATGAGCGTCTGTGAAAATAGCACGGCCAGTGGTTTCCTCGAGGCTACAGAGTGACAACCTGCCAAAAAGGCATATATTTGCCGAGGAATCCGGTCTGAATGTGACCCTTGTGGTAAACGACCTCTACTCTCTAGAAATGACATAAATATAATCTACTATATGACAGCAAAGTGGCGTCAGTTGTGCACCTTATATCCCGCGGTATCTCAGGTATGCGCTTTTGTGAGAGCAAGATAATTGGACTGCGAGTAAATTGATCAGACCGGCCATATCTCAGTAGAAGTAGCAGGCTGTATAGCAGCGTGGACTTTACAAGGTCAAAACTAGGATTAATACTCGCTGTTATTATTCATTATATGCAGACTACTGGTACAAGACATGATTCCACGTGTTCCTACATCCTGGCCCGGTCGCGTTCGAGGTCAATTTCAGCCAATTTAACGAACCGCGTGCGGAAGACGACCTTGTGCCCCAAGTATAAAACAGCGAATAAGATGAGACTGATATACGCCGCAAAGAAATCGCTAGTACTCCACTTGATAAAGACAGTAAACCCATTCGTGAGAGTAATCAACACGCAGAAAAAGAGGCCGTAGATGGTTAGCCAGGGCTGGAATGGTGCTTTGAAGGCGAGGGTATCTCGGGATATGCCGCGCGATCGTAGGGCTCGCACTAAAAGTAACTGTTAGATATCATGATGCTTGGTAACGATAAGGTGCAATTGTAGGGAACGGGGCGAAAAGTATAGTTTGGATAGCTGTAAATGACTGGGTAACATACTGAATACAAGGTGACAAATGCTGATGGCGCACCAGCTGATGAATCCAGCTATACCTACAATATTCAACAACCAGTCGAATACGTCGCTGCCTCTAGAGGACAGGTTGAGGAAAGCGAGTAGGCCGATGATGCCTGAGAAAAGAACAGCGTAATGCGGCGTACCAAAGCGGTTGGTCTGCGCCAAGAAAGCCGGCGCATGTCCATCTCTAGCCAAGGCGACCATAATCCGACTACTCGAGTACACGTTGGAATTGGCAGCGGACAGCACAGCTGTGAGGAGGACGGCGTTGATTATATGGGGGAGGACAGGTACGCCAGCTAGTTTCGCAGCAATGACGAGAGGGGACGCCGAGGCGTCGCTGGCGTTGCTGAGCAGATTTGGGTTGTCGGAGGGCACTGTGATGCCAATGAAGAAAATAGTAGCGATGAAAAGTGTGAAAACACCCCAGAAGGTCCATCTGATAGCCGAAGGTACCGTTTTCGATGGATTAGATGTCTCACCTGCACCGACGCCCACCAGCTCGGTGCCCTGGTACGAGAACCCTGCCGTGACAAGGACAGACCAGAATCCAACAAACTTGCCGCTGTTTCCGGAGACGATGTATTCGGCAAAAGGGCCCGGGTGTACCCAGGCATCAAACCCGAGGTAGCCGTGTTGACCGGCGCCGGCGTCGATAGCAATAGCGAAGATGATGAAGCCGATGACGGTGATGACCTTGATGGACACGAAGTATGACTCGAGCTCTCCGAACCAGCGGACGGGCAGCAAGTTACAAGCCACGAAGACGACCCAGAAGATGGCGATGAAGATACCGACGCTCAGAGTTTTGTCCCAATACTGAATAACGAGACCCGAGCCGACGAGCTCGAGCGCGAAAGTCGACGCCCAGCTAAACCAGTAGATCCAACCCGAGGCAAAACCGAGTGAGGGGTCTACGAAGCGTGATGCGTATGCCGTGAATGAACCCGCGACGGGCATGAAGGTAGCCATCTCGCCCAGGCTTACCATAATCGAGTATACGATGGTACCGACGAAGAGAAAGGCAATCAAACACCCGACCGGGCCCGTGGTGGCCAGCGCATTTCCACTTCCGAGGAACTACATCATGTTAGAATAATGACAGTAGGAATGAATACCAATGATGATAGTTTGGCACCTACAAGTCCTGTGCCGATGGTTCCTCCTATCGCGATGAACTGGAGGTGCCATTTGTTCAAGCCGCGCTGTAGGCCCTCCTCGCCGGCCTCGAGGTCCTTCTGCGAGCCATCGAGCGATGTTGCAGCCACATCTGTGTCTACGGCCTTCTTCTCAGATTCGAAAGGCGATGTTCCCATGGCCCTGTTCGGGGCTTCCCCAACTACAGTCGGTGAATCCATGCCTAGAGAGTTACTTGCACGCACAAGTACAGGTCGTGACTGGTGTATTAGGGCGAGCGAGTTTGAAAAGTAACCCTTGACACATAGAAATCAAAATAGAGAGCGGTGGTGAGAGAGTGGGAGAAGTGACCCGGGATATAATGTGACTCTGACCCGCCGAAAGTTTCGCGCCGCGCGATCAGATGTGGATGGAGTCACGATACTTCGACCCGTTGACTCCATCCGAAGTGAAAATTTTCGGCCGGGAATACCGCCATCATGACAACAGTGGTACATAGGTAGTAAAGAGAAACACTAGGTTAGACCGCGCAGGTACCTCGCGAAAAGTAAAATGTGCGATGACATGTTGGTGGAGTGGTATTTTTTAATCATGGTTTGCATCGGCATTGGAAGCTTGGTTGAGGTTAGGTTCGAGAACTCCCCACCAAAGAAAAAAAAAAAGAGTTTTTGTCGCCTTCGCGCCCCTGTTCGAGGCTCGTTCGAGGCTTCCTCGGGGGGGCCAGTTCCCGTAGCCACGTTAAGCGGCTCGTCCCTGCCCAATCATGGCGCACGCTTGACTAATAGAATTGCCTTTTCAGGTAGCATCTTCCCGAATAGTCGGTATACATGGGCAAGCCTAGGTAGTAGCTAGCCATTTAGTCCAGGTCCGGCCTAGATAGGTACACACTTAGTACTGAATGCAATCAATACCCTGATCTATTTGATGTTAATCATAGTATTATTCATCGGAGGTATTTATTCCCTCAGAGTGTCATATGATGGGCTGATGCTTGGGTAGGCGTCGAGACGACTCGTCCTAACGTGTGTTCTAGAGATCATAGCGTTTCGGGAGACCGATTCGAGAAGGTCGGATCCGGCCTAGGAAACCGACTACATTTATTTACTTACTCATGGCGTCCTAGGTGATCCCCTGTGGCTTCTACATGTAATGCAATGTGCAAGTGTATATTTTACGACAACCTTCTTTCCTTAGGTATCGCGTTATTATTCCGGACCGCCGATGCTTGATCTATGTATGCCCGGCAGGAGCCAGGGAGAGGTGATTTTCCCGCCATTGATCGATACGCGCTGTATCTGACAGGAAACAAGGACCTTCCTAGACACAGGGGATATGGGGTCCAAATCGATGGAATTCTTCACTACATAGTATATGCCGCACAGGGTCTACTAATTGAATTGTTCCCCGAACCAAACAGACTAAGCATAAATAGATCTTCGTATTTACAGAGGCTATCTAGATAACTGCTCCAGTTCCGACGACGCATTTCGTTATGTCTTCAGTGTGTTGACTGCCTTCATATACCCGTATCCGCGGATGCTTTGTTGCATATGCTGTGTTCAACGTTCTATTACGAATATGTAAGACATACGAGCAATAATCTTCGGAGAGTGAGGCTATTCTGTCTTCACTTCTATGAGACATGTTGATTGGCCCTGACAGCTATAGCAGACTATTGTGTACAGCTTCACTAATTGTCCAGTCGCCGGCTATTGTGATATTAGCTCAACTGATGAATGCGATAGAGCCGTGCACATCTGCGAGTGAGCAAGCTTAATATCTTGACGACTGTCTTGATACTGCTATATGTAATTATGCCTGCCTCGGTGCTCTGAAGCTACCCCTGTTACACTTAACACTTTAGGTATCGCCAATTCCACGACCCGCCGTTTCCCCGACGTGTTCGAGTCATCTGAGTATCCAGCGACATCTTGCAACATGAAAAACTCCATTTGCCCATAGTGGAGAGGTATAGCCCGCTGCTAGGGGTGCGAGAATTCCTTAGCCTACCGAGGGCAAAGTCTTGTCGTTATGTTAGCCTTATAACCACCTATGTCTTCCGCGACCGTCGCAATGTCTCGAGAGGGCTTGTCGTCGTTGAGACAACGTGTGTGATAAAACATACCCTGGTGAACGATCTTCAGTATAAGTATGGTGTATGATCAGCCTCTTGTTAATTTCCAATCTCGCCTGAACCTCTCCAAGTGCAGATGCATCTAGATACACAAGTTTCGTCGTCGCTTTCCACGCAGCCAACGACTGTGCAATCGGCCTTGTCTTGGCAGAATTGGTCGGTTTTGGAACCGCCGCACGAGAGATGGTAGCGTATCGGTATCTTGTATCTTGAACGCAGTGTCTCTTCGCTGTACTTGTTGTTGCATTTGATGGGCGGGATTGATGCTGCAGCTAGGGTGAGGAAAAGAGTCGATAAGAGTGCGAAAACCTAGCGGGGAACAATTGCTCGGTTAGTGATGCGGAGCAGAAGAGGTGCATCCCACGGAGATCTAATCCTAAGGGTATTCGTTCTCCATGATGTCGATGAATCGCCTTACCTGCATGGTGATTGCCCACTTTCCAATGAAGATTCGCCGCTCGAAAGGACTAAGGGACATTCCGAGCATGAGTGTCTTCTCTCTATGAATATTGAAGCTTAATTCAAAAAAGTCTCGATATTACCGATGAGCTGGGCTACAGTATTTACAAAGTGCAATAAGGAATGAGACGAAATGTGCATTAATATCTAGGAGTCGTCATAAAAGAGTAAACTGCAGTCACCCAAATTGAAGGTGCTACCAAGCACCAAAGAGGGTAAGAACTCGATCCTGGGTCAAAGAGAGCTTTCCCGTATGGCGCCCAGTCGCCATACAAGATCTGACAGAGTGCTAATTGCTGTTGATTGTGGAGCTTGAAAAGCGAAATCACTTAGATGATCACCGTTTGCTTGGGCCCTTGGGGCTTCTCACCGCCTACGTGAAACTTCGCCTTTGATCTTCCTCTAAGCGTCACCATGCTGCTCAAGAATCCCCGTAGTATGATTTTGGACGCCTTATACTAGCTAATACATCGCCGTAGCCGCTACCGTTCCTTAGCAATTCCGCTTTCAGAAGTAGCCTGGATGGCATTTTCGCTGTTGATGCCCGTCCAAATACCTAGCTTCCTCATTTCGGACTGAATATATAAGCACTGATCTAGATTCATCGAACCCGCTCGTCAGCATCATCAGGCATGGCGCGGCAACGGCGCTCTCAGCTTTCAAACAGCATCTCTCGAACTACTTAGAGATACAATTGGGCAACTGCTTCACCATTGTCGCCGACATCCTGGCAACTGGTGTCATCAGATTCGCCAATGGGGTAAAGATAAGTTATAACATAATTACGATTTTGATAACTAACACATCTAAACCTTTCACAATCCACCATTTCAAATGCACACATTGAAGTGTCGGTATGGAAGCACCCAGGGATGGTGATTCTGGTACCCGAAATTGCAGCCCCTATACTTTGATTTTATATACATCAACCAAATAGACCTTAATCTGAGGCGACATGTATTTCCTCTGATATTTCATCTAAAGTTCTCACGACACAGATCGTTACCTATATCATGTATGACCCTCTAAGCATATACACATAAAACTCCATGAAACATATCTATATACAACGTATCGTCAAAACAACGCTATGCGTAGCCCATCTTCGCTTCTCGTGTGGCATACATCACTACTTGTGATTTTGAACCGTGTTGATCATTCGGACTTCATTTCTACATGAGAGTTTGCCCAGAAGTGGCTGAGATCGCCGAATGGTAGCTTCAGTGGCATGTGCATCTCAGCAGCCATCATGGAGAAACACGCATACCATCCCAAGAATCCGTCCACGAACAACAGTGATGCTCCGGCCTTCGATATGTTAGTCTCTATGAAAAACGACGTGTCGGGATTGAACTTACCTTCTGGCAGACCATAGCACCCGCATAATCGCCATAGGATACCTTGAAGTCTACAAATAGCGTTAGCGATCGCCTAATTTCCTAGAACAAGAGAGATAACAGGAGAATAACGTACATGCGGCACCCAATACCCAAGCACCAATGCTAACTATGAAAAATAGCGATGCAAACACGAGATTGATCCTGAGCGTGAAGATGAAGAAGGTGAACAGAGCAAATCCCCTATATTACGGTACATTAGCAGGTGTCTACGAAGTAGGACGCACTGATACCTACCAAACGATCAGGTACAATGCAACCGCGGCATTGTATCCTTGTGAAGAGAGACCAGTTGGATCTGCAGAGGCTTATGTTATTATATAGGCAAACGAGAAGAACTAAAGAATTATAGGGGCAAACAACGGCATTTTCTGGCGATGGACTTCAGGATACTTGCCGTTGGGAGTTGCAAAGGGCGACCCGAGCTCAAGCGTAGGGAGATTGAGCAAGCCGAACGACAGCCAGAAGACCGTGAACAGACCCATAACCATCACTGTATCGACAGGTTAGCTTGTCTACTCGCAAGCATTTCAAAAGAGCGTCAAGGAGCTCAACGTACTTGGGAAAAAGTTGCCCATGATCCACTCAAAGATCATGGCGACGAACAACAAAACAGGACCGGTAAAGAGGAAAATGCCGACGACGGGGGACAGCCCGCTGGACCCGCCGAATCCCACTGGTATTGCGCTCTATGTCAGCTACTGGCCCGAAGAGTCCAGAGACAGTTATGCGAGTGGCACATACGCAGAATCATGGAGAAGGTAAAGGTCGATATAACGAAACCAACGAAGCCAAGTGGCGTCGGGTTAGCGAAACGTCGAACATTATTGTCAGCGTGCGGGGCCTTGGGTGTCAGATAGAGCTGGCATAGTCGTGTTAGCAAGTACGATTTGACTGGGACTTCCAATGAGAGCGCAAATACCTTTTCGAACAACTCGGACGGCATGGACACGGTGGTCTGGTCCCTCCCGAAGCCCTTCTCGACATCGCGGTCACCCGTTTGGCAAGGCGTGAGGGTGTGAGTTGAAGAAGAGCCGTAATTGGGCTCCGCTACGGAGATTCCATGGTGGTAGTTCGACATGTTGGAATTCGCCAGGTTTCGCTAGTAGATCACGGCGCCAGTTTCTTGAGACGCAAGGGCAGTCGTTTGCTATCAAGGGGCAGTGGATGAACCCTACATATATTTCATGACACGAGACATATTTCCATTCCTGCTATTGCCCTCCCGCGATATATTGAACAGTGTTCCTCTATTTTTAACGCGCAGTCGGAGTGTGCAGCGGCTCTGGCGATTATTACTATCACGCTGACAGCACCTGTCAGCCGCCAATTCGAATCAGCACCGTTGACTCTACACCCTCTACGCAATCCTTGGTCGTCGAAATTCCAAAAGGTGACTGGGCGATGTTTCACCTTGCAGCCACGCTGACGCGGGAGCTGCGACACGCGGATCGCCATGTGGTCAAGCACCCATCTCTGTAAGTCTGGTCAGGAATTGAACATCTGGTTGGTCAATCGGTCCCTGCGACTCGACTTCGATTTGGAAGAGGCAGTAGGCCGGGGATCCTTCGATGCATCCATCGGTACTTGTGCAGAAGCACAGCCCATCGGATTGCCGCGGGCTTACTGTTGCTCGGCATTTGTGGGCCGGTAGCAAGACGGAGGCCCGGCGACTGCGAAGTATTGACTGCAGACCCGGCGCACACGTCGCATCGCCCGAATGATCATTATGCATATACCTAGCGTATAAGAATCAGAACGGAACTTCCACGTTACGCCAACCTATGATCCCCGTGAACCTCAACAGTCCGCCACTGGACTACAGCGTAACAGTTGTTCGAACTCATGTTCTTGGCGGTTGTTGCCGGTGGGGTTGCCAAGGTAGGACGCAGGATTACCAGCTGACTGTTGTCAGACCCGACCAGAAATATCAGCTCCTGCTCAACTACAACTTCCTAGAAAACCAAAAGTCGAGGATACCAAGACTTTGGAGGAATGCGTACGGATTCAAACAGGTTGTCGACCAAATACGCCGGAGGGGATCACGAGGGGATGTCCACGCTATGTATACTAACCTTCTCCATCGGCTCTAGGGCGACCCCGCAGATCTCAATCGTTAGTCCTGACCACGCAAGAGCCAGGCGGGCTTGCCAGAAGAACCCTTGCCATGAGGGGTAGATGGGAACTCTTCTCGACAATATCGCTCTAATTGAAACAATGGCATCGATCCATATCCGATCGGATGTTCCAAGGTCGGCTATCTGTTTATAGCGTTGCCAGGCCTTGAGAAATGCAGAGAAGTTTGCGACAACGCCAAAAGTGACCCCGTTAAGCAAGATTGCTATGTCGCCTCAATCCGGTATGTCGTAGCACTGTTCACATGCGAAGACGGCGCATCGTTCATCTCGAAAATCTCTATGATCAGCCATATCACGTCAGGGCTGCGACCGCTACTGCAATCGCATCGCAGAAGGCAAGTTGAACTTGGAGACAGAAGTGCCGTATAGCCCAAATGATGAGGAAGTAACACCATTGGCCCTTCTACTGATTCAACTTAGCCAATTTGACAGGGTCGTGGGAGTTGATGTTGGGACAATGACGTTTTGTCAACCGACTCAGGCGTTGATATTGAAGGCCTGGAAGGCAAAATCCATGCCCGTGGAATCAGAGGTGGAATCATCCCTTCCAACAACACGCGTCCTATTAATAACCCCAGAGTGATTGGTTGGATAGGTATACGTACTGAAAGGCCCTTGGGTGGCTGTGTCATCAAACATTTCTGATGTTGAATCGCCCTAGACATTTCCCTCGTGCCAAGAGACTAATTCTCGAGCAAAAAAAGTATATAAAGCATTGAACAGAGCCAATCTGGTTAATTTTGATGGATACAACATTTAATAAGGGTAGCGCAGCATTGATCTATATAAGACTGAAGATGCAACCGTTAGTCACTGTCGTTGGATGGATTGAAATCAACCGACGCAATTCGTTGCACCGCCACACCATGCGCCACAGTTATCTGCTTCTATTAAAGGTGATTGTTCGAACAATCTGTATAGACATATTTGCCAAACGCATTTAATCGAGCATAGTATTGCCTCAATGGAGTCGTGATCTCTTTACCCTTGGGCCCAACCAACAAGATTTCATGGGGTGAGGGTCTCCGCCTAGGGCTAGCATAGTAGAGGTGTGAGAGCTGCAACAACGGGTTACTATATTGATACTTCTTGTTGCACGAGGGTATATGAAGCTTTCGTGACTCGGGTTATTTACAACGAATCTACTTGTCTGTGACCCTAGGATCGTGACAGTGGCCCTCGGTCGCAATAGTGACAAGAGGGCTTCCAATTTCGGATGCCCAGAACCTCCAGTCCTGGAGGCTTCATACTAACGCTTCAACATTTGTAGGACATTCTGTAGTAATAAACAATTGAGATGAATGAAGAATATATGAATGAGAGAATGACTGGAGTGTATAGTGCAGCTGAAGATTGCCATTATCTTCGACATCGAATAGATCGAGAGTTATTCGGTTTTCGCGGGGCCGTACATGAGTGTTAACCTCATAGCTACCGAGGAAATGGTAATCTCAAGTTACCTTGACGAAGTTACCGGGGGTTAGGAGCTCGTTTGTAAGACCAAATTCGCAAGCCGGTATTCTCAGACCAAGTGGCAAAGTAGTCACCAGCTGGGCTTGAAGCTACAATTTGGAATGGTGCTTTATGCCCACGTAGAATAAGTTGAGGCTGGCCGGTATGGACATCCCAGAATGTTACTCCGCCCCCCTTAGAGCAGGAGAGCAACCATTGAGTGTCCGGAGTAAATCCAAAGCTAAGAACTTCATCCTATAATACTGGTCAGGAAAATAGTACCTTGCGCTGGGAAGACCTTTGGCTCTTCATTGAAGGTTCTGAGCTTACTGTATGAAGAAAGGTCCTGGTACAATGACAGAGTTTAGTTCCTTGGCCAGTACTTCCTGGCTTATCTGAGATCTCCCACAGCTTAACAGTTTTATCCTTGCTGCAACTGGCAAAACCTCCGATAGGGAGGAATGCAATGTCATTGATATATTCTTCGTGTTCGAAGTGCTTTTCGAGTAAGTCATTTTGGATATCCCAGAGCTGTATTCCATTCCAAGTATTACCTATAACCATATGTCTTGTATCTGGAGAAATTGAAAGCGACTTGATGTTGTTGTTTGTGTCGATTTCCCGAATTTTTGTGAAAGTGCTCATATTCCACAGCTGCACAATGCCATCTGCAGCTCCACAAGCAATGGTCAGACCATCTTGAAAAAACTCAAGTGAGTTGATGAACTTTCCAGGATGTAACACACAGTGAAGGCCCTCGGCGGCATAATCCCAGACCTATTGCAGTTAGCACTGGTCATCAAACGGGCGAGAACTTACATAAATTGACCTGTCATTCCCACCACCAGCTATGTAACTTCCATCTGGAGTGAAACAAACACAACGGATAAGAGGTTTGTATTCCACATCATCAAACGTGGGAGAAAATATAGTAGAGAGCGCCCCTTCGATTACATTAAATACCATGACACAGCCGATGAATCCAGCTGCCAAGGATTTTCCATCGGGGCTGAATTGAATACTCGTAAATTGACTGCCCAGATCCAGATCCCTGTGCACTAATTCAATCCCAAGAACTCGCGGGCTTCCAGGGTTGTAAAACACCGACCAGTCGCCCCGCACCTTCTTGCAGGCATCCGGCATGTCCTGGAGATTATGAATGCTTGGTAGTGAAATTACCGAGCGTAATACATCAATAATATCGTCGTGCCCCAGCCGATGCATATGAGCAAGAAATCCCCAACTAACAGATTCAAGCTGTCTTTGTTGCAAAAGATACTGCACAACAGGAAAATGGCCTCTAACACAAGCCCATTTCAGTGGTGTCATTGGACCGTGACCAAATTCGAGGGCTTTTTGGATGTGCTGATCAACTTGAATTCTTCCTGTCTCAACCAGCAGCTTGACAATGTCTAAATGACCGTATTCGCATGCCTCAGAGAACGGTTCTTCCATGGGAAGATTGCTCTCGTCCGGCTTACAGGTGCTTTGTCTGATAAGCAGCTCCACTAGGTGAAGATTGCCAGTCACTACTGCTCCCTGTAACGCCGTGCGTCCCAGATAATCAACAGGGTTGACGTCAGCGCCTTTCTCGAGTAATAGCTTGCAAATATCGAAGTGGCCAGCTCCTACCGCGAAAATTAGGCTTGTGCCTCCTCCGTAACCTGTCCTGTGATAGTTAACATCGGCACCTCTCTCAATTAGTAGTTTGCAAAGCTCAAGGTGGCCGTGTTTTGCTGCCAATTGAAGGGGTGTATCTCCATCGGATGCATTCCTCTGATTCCGGACTTTGTTCACATTCCTTCCGGATTCCAATAATCTCACAACCGCAGCTAAATCGTTCAGCTCAATAGCCTTCCAGAAATCAGGCTTTTTTGTGATCGTTTTGGGAAACACTATTGGATCATCGGCTGGCTCGGGATGATGTATTCTCTCGTGCCGGCACAGTTTCGCTTCTGTGTCGAATCCCAATCTATATGCAAAGCAAGACTCTAAAGCGCAGCGAAACGGAAGATCGTGGCGGTTTGTGTGTTGTTTTCGATCTTCGACGTTTTCGAATCCAGACGCGAAATACTCGCACCATGGCTTAGTACATTTATAAGATACTGTTTTTCCATGGAGATTGATCAGGACGGATTCTTCTTCCTCTTGAAGTGTCTGGCAATCAATTAACTCCATCGTGTTCCGAAGCGTGGTTGTTCGCAGCTCGATCGTAAAATATGCATTTCTCTCGCGAGCGTCTTCGGGAAGTTGTTTGAGAATACTAGTAATCTTTTCGTAGCTGCTCGTGCCCTGATATACTGGCATTTTTGATTGAAGTCCGTATGCTTCGAATAGTCGTTGGCTACTCTCTATTACTTCTGTTAGTTGGTCTGAGGATAAGGTGTCCATACACTGCCGCAGATGTTCGAACCAATACTGGGCGGCGTAGTCCTGAAAAGAGTAGTATCCTGTTACTGTGTGCATGATGATATCTTCTTCCTTGATCCCAGCCGAAAACGGCCTCGATGTGAGATATGTCGAACAGAAAATGGATATTTGCGTATGCGCGCTGGCGATGTCAATCCAGTTTCGCTGAAAAAGGTACCTTCAAAGCTTAGCCAAATTTCCTCAAACTAATTAACTGATAGATACGAAGTCTTACTCCCGAGCAGTCTCATGGACAATCTTGATGATATCTTCAGGATCCCCTTTCTTGTTCGCCGCATGATGTACGTCGACGAGAGACCCGCATAATTCCTTGCATGTGACTCTAAGTCTTCTTTCCTCGTAATCGACATCTTCTTTGACGGGGTCGATGCAGAAGAGAGCTTGGATCTCGCGCCATCGGAGAAGGCGTCTAGCACAGGTGATCCAACCTAGAATTTTAATGGCATCCTCACGCTCCGCCATAGACGACCTTTGAAATATCCTCACAGCCACCCTTTCATACCTGTAGCAGAATTAGTCGCCTAAATCTCGAAGTCTAGTTAGATATATACTTGGATACTAACGCCTCCTGGATCCCCTCAGGAAAATTGCCCGGTTCAATCTCTTTCCTTAACCCAGACAACTTCGTTTGATTCAATAGGTTCCCTAGCACTACACGCGCGTATAGGAACATACCTCCCAACCTATTAGTAATTACACAATCTCTCAGAGCATATAAAATTACCTTGTGCTTGATTTGTCACCCGCTGGGCTATGTCCTCTTCCATGCTTGCCGAGATATCGAACTTCTCACGGATGCGCTTGCAGAAATTCCGACAATATTGGCGAATGTCTTCATTGTGACGGGGTGTCTCTAGTGAGATTGTGGGCTGTTCTGCAAGAAGCTTATCTAAAGTGCCACTAAAATTCCCAGAGTTAAATACCGCACTCTGGTGCGAGACTTATGTGTCGTAATGAAACGAGTAGGTGCCCAGATGTAACTACGATCTAGTAACGTGCCTGCCATGGTGGTGGGGGAGGAGAGAGGGAGGAGGGGAAGATAAAAAATGAGTATAACAGATACTAACTCCCGTTGGCCGCAAAATAAAACACGCAATCTAGCATTAGCGCCCTGAAGCTTTCCATTCGTAAGCAACAGAAACCAGTTTATCGATTTCTCTGCTTCAGTCGGGGCACATTCGTCCAACCCGTCAAGCACAATGTAGGAGATTGGATAACTCTCTAGTGCAGTCTTAACCAGCATCTGCAGCTTGCTAGTAGATCGTAAATTTACACCTTCGACGGAAGATACCTCCTTAAAGATGTGATCACACATGGTAGGGTCGCGATCAATGATTTGCTTTAGTATTGCTCGGAGAAGACTGTTGTGAGACTCTTTGGTCGGTTGCTTTTGCTTGAAGTAAAAATAAGCGATGCAAGGCTTGTTTCCTTCAGTATACTTGCCATCTAGTAGTTTCGCGATGACCGCGGATATAAGCGTGGTTTTTCCTGTAATTATATCCTGATTAGAATGTTGTCGATGGTGCTACTGGATTGGCGACGAACCTGCTCCGGGTATTCCGTTGACATATATAACACGGTGTCCAGCCACATCACCCTTCACCCAGTTGCTGAATTTTGGGTCCTCAAATATCCACATCCCTGAGTTGCTTCCCAGTCTGTCCTCTGTGGATATTTCCTGGTCAATCCAGTAATCCGGGGCTTCCAGCTTTTCTCGGATGGAAGCCACATTTTGCTTATGTTTTTCAGCAACCTCTTGGGCCGCTCGCTGTTTCTGCTGGGCATTTAAATCTGATAGGTCGTCACGAAGCTTTTGAATCTCGAAGAGGGTTGCCGATCCTTTCTCACTTTCTAGCAATTCGCGTCGCTTCGATAGACTTTGTAGAATTGGCCCGAATTGGCTGTGGAAGGTTTTCCAAGCCGAATGAAATAGGACCTTCCACTCTGTACAATTTATGACTTGTTAAAGCGAAATAGAGAGTCGTTTAGGGTTAGGGTGGCAGGGAAAGGGGGGAGGAAAAGAACAGGGAAGAACGTACTAGGCCTCTTAAAGACTTCTAGCGCCGCCTGATTAAAAGCCAAGATGTCCGAATAATAATCTTCAAGAACAGTCGCAAGAGGAGAATGTTTCTCGAAGACCGCTTGGTAGCGGATAAGACCAGGGATTGCACTCCCAATCTGACAATATGCGTCGAGCAACTTATCAAAAGACTCCGTATAAGTGCTTGCAATCTAACAAGTTCCAGTAAGTTCAAAGAAGCTATGAGAGAGAGTCCGTTCCAGATACTCACGACAAGTAGAAACTTGATTGGCCCCTATCGAATAGGATTAGTGATTGCTTGTGCTGCTTTCGAGTTGCGGAGTCACTCACCCAAACGAAACATACAAACTCGTTCGCGTTCACAAACAATTCAATTACCTTCCCAAATTGCTCCATAGCTTCAATGAAGCTCGCGAGTCGCCGCATATTTCGGAGCTTTCCTTCTCGTCCGTGCGTTGTCTGAATTTCTCGACAGACATCGTGTACGTCTTGTAAAGTGCAGACAGAAAATTGGTTGATAAGGCTTGGATGGAGGTTGTCTTTGAAACGTTTCAGTGCCTGCTGAAAGGCGTCGGGCCTTGGACCTGTCATCGTGAGTTGACTTTAAACAAGCATTGTTAACAACACCGAAGACTTATCGACGCAGTGACATCCAAGAGTTGAACGTCAGCTGTTTTAATAGTTGAAAAATCGACCGGGGAATTTGAGGGGAAAGGTAAGTTTAGGGAGCAGCGTGGTTACAGTAGTGGCTGACAGCGAGGCATTCTCACTGGGCGATGTGAGGTTGCGGAGGCTTGGTTCACAGCCACACTGCATCTATGGTATGTCTGCCTTACCAACGCGCGGAGAGCTGTCAGAATAGGGGTACGCGTAACTATATTATGCCATATTGGGCGTGAGCTAAGGAAGCTCCGACAGTTTCCCCTGTGGAATTTCCGGAAAATTGTGCTTAATCAGGTAAAGTCCATGTGACACAACAACGACGCGTTGTGAATATAATCTCAGTGAATGCGGTACATAATATATCCTTATCGACTGGCTCGCCTAATCTGACAGGAGCTGCCGATACCCTTGCAAATAACTCAGCGACCAGCACGACCAGCTACGGGACTTTAAATTTGGGTATTCTAGCCCCAAGATCCTTTCCTCCACCCAACAACAAAAAAGTCAGACAAATCCCGCGAACAGCATATACTCGCCAACCGCAGTTCTGCGATGCGTAATATATTCACTAGGTTAGATCTGCAAGTCACAGTCCCTAATATTTCAAATGGACGGATATAATCTGGAAAGGTAAGCAATAATTGCATTGAATTTCCGGTTTCACATTTTGTTCTCATTGTCGCTGATGCTGAGGGTTTTGATTGCACTATAGGAGCGAACGGACTGATTTCGAAATTTGCTATGGCACAGTAAGGCTCGTTATCTTATAAATTAGTAACATTCCGTCTCACCCTGTGACTTTAGTTATATGATGCCGCAGCAAAGATTTTGGGCAAAGTCACACTCTCTAATTATGATGCTCTTAGCAATGACGCGGAGTTTGTATGCTTCCGTGTTTTACAGAAAATGGGCATCCACGTACTCTTGTCAGAGAACGGGGATGACTTGGCAGTCTTAGACACTCGGATCTCCTCACAACTGAGTTCTATTAGCGAATTTCCAATGTTGAGGCTTGAAGCTGTTGTTAAGTCCAACATCTTTCACAAACGTCAGCGACGAGCTAAATACGTGTCGCTATCATTCCCCATATTACTCAATATATTCGGCTCGCGAAGGGCTGCAGATGATGTGGCTTCCCAATTATCGCAAGTGTCCGCATATCTCCAACATCCTCAGTCACCACTGGAGCCGGGGGTAGTGTATCATAATCCCCAGTTTCTCTCACTCCCTGGCGAGAACTGGGATATGGGGGAACTTATTGGTACAGGCAATATCCCCAATTTGGCACACGAAGAAAAGATATCAGAAGTCGTTGGGAGGATCCTGGAGTCGTTGACACAAACAAATACAGCTGAAGACGAGAAGCTAGAGCTGAAGCTGAATGTGGGGCTTGCATCCAAGCTTAAATTGTGAGTATCTAAGGATAAAATGCATATAGCATGGAATTGTTGGGCTGAGACACACCAGGCACCAAGAAAACGGCTTGCGGTTTATTCTGCAGCGGGAAGAAGAAGCATTCGGAAAGCGGATTTCTTCGTGGTTAAGCAAAGCCGTTAATCTTCAGTACGTAAATCTAGTCGCGCAGCATGAAGTTTGTACTTGCTAACTGAGAATACTCTTAGGTCTGAGGTTCCACTACCTCTCTCCTTCGGAGGCTTGATTGCCGATGTAATGGGACTTGGCAAAACACTCACGATGCTGGCGGCTATCTTACAGTCTATGCCCATAGCAGAGAATTTCAGCAACTTCTATGAGATGTCTGGAAATGATCGCTTGCAGCAGATAAGAACAAAGGCAACTTTAGTGGTAGTATCATCCATTCGTAAGTCAGGCTGGCGGTACATACGATCACAATCTAATTATCTGTGTGTAGAGGTCCTTGACAGTTGGGTATCAGAGATACAAGCGTAAACACCAATAATCACCTATTCCCACTCAACCACTAATTCTGATAGTCACTTCTATCCCGAAGCTCTAAGCTGGATTCGCTTCCACGGCCAAGGCCGTCCCAGGGAACCCGATGCTATGAGATCAGTGAGCATAGTATTGACCACTTATGCAACTTTGGTGGCAGATGCAAATGGCTGCCGTACTCTATATCAGCTGGAGTGGTATCGAGTAGTACTTGATGAAGGTATACACGTCTGCCTATCTCCTCATCTGCCATTGATCAGAGTCAATCAAAGCTGATAGTATCCAGCTCATTGGATTCGAAACTCAGGCTCCAAACAGTTTAAGGCGGCAGCAAGCCTCGATTGTAGTAGGAGGTGGTGTCTCACAGGGACACCCATTCAAAACAAGCTAGATGATCTAGTATCTCTAGCCCAGTTTCTCAGACTACCGCCTCTGTCAACTAAACCCGATTTCCAGAAACACGTCTTGGGTCCGCTTTCACAGGGTGGACCGAATTTTGCAAAGCCTCTTCAAGGCTATCTCGAGTCTTACTGTTTGCGGCGAAGCGAGAAGTGTTTAACCCTGCTCCCTACTCTACAAGAAGAAGTAAAGATTCAGTTCTCATCCGAGGAACGCGCTATTTACAATCGCATACTGGCAGATACAAAAAAGCAAATTGATTCTCTTATCAGCAAAAGAGATAGCCGTAGCTGCAGCAAGCTGTTTTCGGCGATGCTAAAAATGCGTATGCGCTGCAACTTTGGCACATTTATATCGTATACGGTTGGAGTGAGTTCTCTGGGGCAGCTACATTCAGAAGACGGATGTGAACGATGCTCGCTGAAAGACGAAGATACCTTCATGCTTCTGGGCAATTACTCCTTCTGTCCAGACTGTAGGAGACCATTGTATCAGTCTAGTCCCCTCCCGGAGTCCTTCGAAAACTACGAAAGCGATTCAAATGACAACGGTCTTAATGCAAGAGGGGTCGACGATAGGGATATTACGGCTGTGTCGCCGCGGACACCACAGCCTGGATTCTCGACAAAGCTGAGTACGGTAGCTCAAAACGTCGCACGCGCCGGACCTACGTCTAAACAGTGAGTACGCAGTCACTGCCAATAGCGGCCTTGCATTAATATAGCTAGCATTATATTCTCCAGCTGGACCTCCACATTGGACCTCCTTTCCCGTCTACTCAACCAATTAGGAATCCCATCTTGTCGGGTTGAAGGGAGGACAAGCTATTCGGAGAGATCAAAGAACCTCGGGACCTTCAAGGACGATCCTCAGGTACCAGTATTGCTTATGTCGATCGGTACGGGCGCTGTTGGGTATATATTTCCGGCAATATTATCACATCTTGAAGTCTATGAACACTTACATGAGTCTAGCTTGAATCTTACGGTCGCCAACAACGTGCATCTTGTTGAGCCTCAGTGGAATCCAGCTATTGAAGAGCAAGCTGTCGCACGAGCCCTACGAATGGGACAAACTCGACAAGTCACAATATTTCGATACGTAGTGCAAGACACGGTGGAACAGGTAGTCATCGCACTTGACTGTATACCCCAATGATACTGGCTTCATCTAACTGCCTTTAGAACATTATAAATCTCCAGAAAAGAAAGACACGACTTGCAAAGTTCACTTTCGATACAGGTGAATCGCTGTCAGGGGCTTTTGACGTAAGGCGCTGATAACCATTATGATTTCGTACCATTATCTAACAGAAATGCAGGATCTCAAGTCTGTCCTAGGTGCGAATGGTGTGTGACAATGCGCACATAGTGTCAAGGTAGCTATTGTGATTGTATTGAAGTTATAGAGCGGCGTGGTGCCCAAGCGGAATTCACTATGGACTGAACAGACCATAGCATATGTGCCTGTTCACAGTCTGCATTACAACCTATGTAATTTTACAAGGCTGACTACGGCTCAAGACATATGTGCCACTGCAATTGAAGACAGCTTTGCATGATTGGATCCTGGTAATATGGACGAAGCAGAACCCAACTCTCACCTCCCGAGGATAGATGGCTGTCAGTGAGAACTTTAGATATATTAGCGGCCTAAAGAAAACCGCATGCCGCTTCTAAGTTAATAGGCGCATCGTTCACAGTTAATGTAATACACACTCATTTATTCAAGTAACTGTATATTAACCTCGCCCATCAGAATAGGCTTGCCATGTCATTTCTCTTGCCGGTGTCACAATACTGCCCTATCATGACCCTGTGTAGATGATTTGTTATTGCACAAGGAGGGAAGTTCTAGTTCCCATCCCCTATTCTAATGTTTAGGTTTATATACAGTATTCCTTGGTCTGTGCTGTATTCCGGAGATTAGGCTTCGTTAATTCCGTGACAGCCGGGTCAGCTTTCTAGTATACCAGTAAGTCAGGTTTAAGCAGCAGGAGACCAGAAGAACAGCATTACTTAAATAGCATTTATCAGTTTCCCATGGCAATAATAGCCCATTCATTGGACAATGTACGATCAGGAAGGATCTTGTGCTATCCTATAATCTTCAAGGCCTCCTTATCAACCAGATATAGGACTTGGCTATATTATAGTCTTGCCGCTTTAAGTATCTAAGTTGGGTATAGTCTATACCTCGGAGGTTGACGTTGAAGAATTGACATGATACTTGGGCAGAGTGGGTCCGACAAGAAATGCAACACATGCCATTTACCACCAAAAACTCTACTACTTCAACCAGCTGTAAAAAATTAAAATAAAATTCATAAAAATATAAAGAATATAACGCTATAATCAGAATTACTTTAAGTTTCTTTTATATAAATTTTATAATTTTTCCACTTCTTAAAAGCTATTTAATTAATTATAAAGTTAAATACTTTATTATATTATAGTTCTTTATTTTATTGCCCTATAACTTGGTTAAAAAAGATCGTTAAAATATAAAACTTAAATGATATGTTTTTCAATATATATTCTACTACATTGTTAATTCTTAGAATTTTCCTATTTTATTTGGCTGTATGGCTGGCTTTAGAAACTGTAGAGATTTGGTGAGAAAAAGCGCTAAATGGCATGTGTTGCATTTCTTGGTGGACCTACTCTGCTTGGGGTAGTACTTTTTACCGAGATTCCACTCAGCCTTACATGCTTCTGCTGCGCGTATCGCTAGGCAAACCAGACAACAGGATGCTGGTGCAAGTCTGAGACACGGTCCAGCATGAAGTGGTGAATTATGCGGTACCTATGCCATGTATTCTCGTTGGCTCCGGGAGGCACATGCCAAGAACTTCGGCTGAGCCATTTGAGAAAAGACTCGTTGTTGGGCGTACCGCTTACAGCCCCCAATAATACAACTTCGTAGTTTATGTTAGTACAGGAGTTGCAGTAGCTGGCGGGCCAGCGCCGAATCAAGGCGTATGCTCGGACACAGTCCCAATAAATTCACCTGTTAATTCGACAGTGACTATTCCAGTGCCTTGCACTGTGGGGAGCATACTATGTATGATCGGGACAATGTGGGTAAGTCCCATGCATTCATCCTTGCGCCACCCAACGGCATCCTTGATCCTATGTACCGTAATACTAGCACCCTCGGCAGGTCTGACGAGAAAGCTAGACTATCATTGTGACGACATCGTTCAGAAGATCCCAGATCCTCCCCATGCTCTAGCTCTGTTGCATCTAAATACGTCTCACGTTATGTTATGAGGCAGTGAGCTCCGGCTCAACGATGAGCCCGAGTTCTGTTGGATGCACGTTACACTGGCTGAGCGTTGTAAAATGAAGTCCCACGTATCTGTCATTATGGTTTAAAGTGTCTCTAAGTTTCCTCTTCGTCATGTTCCTCGTGGCTAGGTAGATTATCCTTTTATTGGTATACTTATCCTGAGCCCCTTGCCACAGTCTCCGGATATACTACAACCATTGCACTGACCATACTGCACAATTCACCACCGTACGAACCGTGCCCTTCCCACGTCGCTCCTTAGAGGTACTCGGAGTCGACTATTTTGGTTATTCTCCGGCCTTATCAAAATGCGATATACAGCATTGATCCTGTTAGTTGCTAGCTTCGGCAGCCTAGGCCTTTGCGCGCCTCCCTCTCTCCATAATGGTAAGCTTCAACTTCAGGCTTCATCTTTGCTGGGAGACATGCCATTCCAACATACTATGTCTTACTTTACTGAACTGTAATAAGGAGACTCACTCAGAACGAGAGGCGAAGACCGCACAAACGTCACTGAGGCCGTCCCAGCAGCTAAGGCAGATCCTAAAGAGGAAGACTTAGATGATGTCTTTGTTTACCAATGGCGCCGTTAAGAGTAGTCATCTCTCAGACTTCTTCCAATGCCTTTCTACTTAGCGCAACCTGGTATGCCATCTGTGAAGGAAACTCATGGCTTTTGCCTCTTGTCTGATACGTTTGACATGAATTATGCTTGTTAGATGTTTCGTGGGTATCTGTTTAGATGTCGTTTGGGAAAACTAGGGCTGAATAGGGGCGGAATAGAACAATATGCATGTAATACTAAATGCTATATCTGTAATCTTACATTCTATTATTCATCACCGTCAAGTTTTCACTTATTTGTGAAGCCAAGTGACTCTACTCACCAATGATGGACTGCGCCACTTGACACTATCGCAGTATTTCAGCACACTCGCGCCAGCTGTAACCGCAGTTTCGGGCGTACAGATGGAACGTCACTGCGATCTTTATGCATCTTCTGCCTACTACGCAGCCTCGCTCCAGGGACACCCACCTCTGACAATGTTCCCCGAAGCTTTTGCCCATGAAGCACGTTTATAGCATTGGTGATGAGTGTTGAAGAGTTACGTATCATCACTAGGTGCTCAAGGTATGGCTAATTAAGTTACGATAAAATGGTTTGTCTATCATGTTTCTAAAATCAAAATTTAAAACCTGAATGAGTGTTGAGATTTTGAAAGGATTGAGGATCCTAGGGGTCCAGGCATATAATTAACCTTATCCCTGCCACTGGAGCTCCAGAATGGCCAAGTTAGATCCCGGCGGCTGTACCATACCTTTCAGTACGAATCTACGGTCTGCCCGTTCAAAAAGTGCTTTCCATTCATCCATATTCCGTTCCTTGGAATTTCCAATCTCCAGCATTGTCGCATCCATAGCCCTGAATAGTGGAACAGTCAGTGATGAGCGACAGTATAAGGCCAGAGCTCAGGGGAACATACCTGAGTTTTCGATCAACAAGATTTGGCAATGCTAAAGGGGGTGGCATAACGAAGTCCATGATTAAGACGCGGGATCCTGGTTTGAGTGCTGGCACTAGCGCGTTCAGAATCTGTATGCAATACTTGTCTGGCCAGTTGTGTAGTATCCAGCGCAAGAGGTACACGTCAGCCTCTTTGACGGGCTGGTTCTTGAAAAAGTCGTGTGCCATGAACTTGACATTGAGCCAAGGCTCTTCCTTACACAATTTGATGACCTCAGATAACTCCTGCACGATGATATGTATGTCCGGGAACTGGCGCGCGATAGCAAAAGCCGCGTCTCCAAGAGATCCACCCAGGTCGACGACAGTACCGGTACCTACTGCACTCCAGTCATAGCCGTCTATCAAATGGCGCAGTGAATATCCGTCACCAGATGTGAAGAAACTCATGGCACCCCCGAAGCGGCGGGCGCGCTCTTGATCCTTAGCCAACTCAATGTAAAATGAGTTGTCTGTTTCGTTGGCAAGGGAAAATCCCTAGGCCAAGTTCCTATCAGTTCAGCTCTAGTGAAGGCCTCGGATAGTCTTTCTTACAGTCTGGTTGGGCTCATCAGCCAGCGGCCACTTAGCTAGGGCATCAACAGTCTTCTCAGCTGACGGCCACATATCATTTACGCAGGCGCCGACCCAGTCGGCCATAGCCTGGTCGTCTGCGATCTGTCTAGACGCTGCGGAATGAGCAATCATTCCCGGTCGGGGCTCTCTGAAAACGCGATGCGCAATCCCGAGGCGAAGAATACGACAGAGGGCTGCCTCATCGACACCCGCACTGGTGGCCAAGTCCGCATACGTGATTTCTCCCTCAAGAGGAACCTTCTTGGCTATGTCGAAGCGAGAAATCAATTTCAGATAAAGAAGCTGGTTGTGCTACTAGACGATCAGCGTGCTGATAGTATATCTTCATGGATGAGATTGGCAAACATGATGGTTGAACAGGAGATCCCTAGGCCCTTGAAGAAGGTCATTCAGCTCCTGGGTTGCTTCGAGTACGGCGCCACGTAGTTGTTCAATATCGGGTGGCAAACCCAGGTCAACGGGGCCGTCAGCGTCGAAGGATGGATGTGGTAATGTTTTTTGGTTTAGATAATCGTCAATCTGTTGAGTATATGCTGCCACATTGCTCGCCAATTGAGCTATGCGGCTCCGGGATGTCGACATGGTCTTTATTGAAAATGCGCCTAGCTATATTTTAGAAACGAAGAGGATAAAACCCAGCCTACGGTATACCTAGAACTCAGTAGGAGAAAGAGTGAATAAAACTAGATGTTGATTTAAGTTATGAGACAGGATTATGAGCTCCTCGGTGGACGTGATCTCTGTAGGTATTCTATAGAAAAGAGTGTGCTTTGCCAGACAGACAATGGACCCCTCACGTCAGGGACCCAGACAGTTCAGCAGTTACAGCCTACAGATAAGTCGACCTGTCAGCAACCTGATGCAGCGGAACCTGTGAGAGGGGGCAGTGCGAGCAAGTGCATATGCTCGACCATTTGGGCGGCCTAAGTTGGGCCACACGGGTCTCTTGTTGAAAAGAGGCTCTTCGGCCCCCAATTTGTATGTTGTTGGCTTGGCGTTCTGGTCTGCGCCACTTAGTGTCACAGTGTCGCATCGTAACCGAACATAGGTACCCGCTCGTGATGCGACTCGCTGCTTTAGATTCCCCCAAATGAGACGGTTGTCTGGTTAAGCGCCGCCAGGCCAGTTGAACTTACGTCTTAAATCCAATTCTCAGCGGTCTATGATCCCATGGCTGTTCTCAAAGCTGTAGCTACGTTGAGTGACTGAGGGAAACGATAGGTCAAGTACCTACGTTGAAAATGGCCCAAACTAAGGACTATTCTCGCTTGCCTTCCGAGGAAGGCAATGGTATCGATGGATGCCCTGATAGAGCGTCGTTTCTGCTGCGCTTCAGAATAATATCATATGTCTTAGGAATCCTGCTAAGCTGGCTCGCCATGTTGGCCTTGGGCTATCTACTTGGGCTCTCTATCAACCATACGTCTGCGCTCACAGCATACCGTATGATTCTCAATACACTTCTTACTATATTGGATTCTAACTAACTCTTGCATAGAACCCGTCGGTGACTTACATTACTATATGCACTTCAACGGGTCTTTTGCTCAGCGTTCTGATTCGAAAAGCGATTCCCTCTGGGACTCTCTCTTCCCGGAAAAGCTGGGCTTTGTTAAACACCCGAAACTGGCGCCTAATGTTGCTGGCGTTGCTGTTTTTCACGAGTTGCACTGTCTGGTATGCAGTATCTGACCCGGCGAACGATCCATTCCATGACTGACTGGGTGTTCTAAATCCTAGAATATTTTGCGCGTCGCGTACTTCGCTTCTTTGGACGGTACATTGGCAGAGCTTGGTGGCGATGATCAAGAAGCCAATCATCGCACTAGTTCTCATCATATCCGCCATTGCTTCGAATACCTTCGACAATCATTGATTTGCCTGGCTGATTCTAATCTAGAGGACATGAATTACACTGCCCGGGGTATTTCTGGGTGGCAAACGGAGCGGACGTGTCGGAACTTCGAAGGCTTGAAAACCTGGGCGGATCAATGGGGTATTACAAGAGAGGAGGCGCTACATGACTGGGATCGCGAAATCCATTCCATAAACCCCTGAGCCACGTGCTACCAACGAGTAATTAGTCGGCAGGGTCAGTAATGTAGAACGCGGGAAGAAGGAATATGTAGGTGTGATTAATGAGGTGGCTTTCTATCAGTGAAGTGTTCGTCCCCTAGACTTTCAGCCTGCGCCAGCACGCCAGGCTGTGCAACGTCAACAGCACGCTCTCGTGCCCATGTAATCAACGCTTCGAAATCTACACACTGATGTTTCCCCCAACTGCGAGCTGTGACATCAATACTGCCGCGAAGATACGTATAAGTACCCAGTGACACATCACCACGGCACATGATGCCTTGTCGCAAAGTCTCGATGCAATGATCTGTGCATAATGAAGTCAGATTCGACGAGTAATCTATCAGACTTACATGTCTATAGTACCTACCTACGTGCCTTTTCAATTCATTAAGCTCAAGTCCTTGTACGTGCGTGAAATAGGTTTCCTTGTAGATCCATTGCCTAACCTTTTTCTGTCGCATTTCTGTCAGTCTTGTTTGCCTATGTATGACTATCACTACAACAACTAAAGCACTTACTAGACAGTGAAGCTCGTGGGTCATGAAAAGTTCAGAGGCGAAACCGGAGCCATCCGCTAATGGCAAAGAAGTGACATTATAGTATGCAAGATCGTCTTTGGACACGCGAATCGTGGTATCTGCTTTGTATTAGCATACAGTGAGGTTTAGACAGGATCCTCAGCTTTCTTCAAGTATCCAAGATACTGACCTTTTAATAAGTCGTGCCATGCATGGTCAAGTTCCGCGCTAGGATCGCCAGCAAATGGTGTACCAGCAACAGTCAAAGGAAACACGCGGCTGTCTTTGCGAATTACTGATGCCCTTGCTAGAGCTACTAATGCATAAGCATAGGTCTGTCAGGCTAGATATAGGAGGCATACAGGGAAATAGATCAGGAATTATATCGGTAGCCACTGCGGAGTTCAATTTGTAGAATTGAATCCAGAGTAATATATAAAGAACAGCAAGCAAGAGGTATAGCAGTGAAGCTCCCAAACACAGATAGCGTCGCGGTCGCTTGCGCTGACAGTGGCATTCAGACTCGTCTCTTCGTGACGAGTACAGGGGTTCTGCCTCTTCATCGGCCTTGTCGTTCCCAAATGAAGCCATATGTTAACGTTGCGAGTGTTTGGGCAAACATTAAGGTTGCTGAGAAGAGATGCGCATATCCGGCCGGTGGTGATCCCCGGTCTCTGCCCGGCCCAAGGGAGATTGTTTCAAGGCGATATACGAGCACAAATGCACTTGCTGTGAAGACTGCAGGATCATCTACAGTGCATAGACACTGTGGCGATGCGACCCAGGTCATGCAGGTCCATTCCGAATCACCAACGATACGCTCGTGCATCTAAACGCCGAGGCGTCGTCGTTGTTGTTGGCTGCACTGTCACTGTACTACCACAAATCCGATGTAGGACTCGATAGTATATGCAGTTGTACATCTCCTCAAAGAAAAACCAACAGAATATTAGCTAGGCGGTGACATAAGGATGCATTCTGATTATTCCCTGCACCAACGAGCGGCCATGGCCAGTTAGATCAGGGGATGCCACTCACATACATTAAGTAGTACCTCATACCTCAACTTACACCCACACATATAGCGATGCTTGCTCATATACCTGTCAATCAACACGACGGGCGCTCGCATAGCTGTAACTCTTTCCGACAGGCCTTTTTCGCTTATTCTGAGCTTCTTTCCTAGATTCGCGGGCACACTAAATAGCCATACATTTTCATAGCTACACAGGCTCTTCCGAAATACACTGAAATGGCGTGGACAGTTGCGAACTTCGTCGCTTTGGCCACCGTTTTTGGTTTCCTCGCCGTCACGTCGGTATTTCTCCGCTTCTGGACCCGAAAGTTCTCCAAAACAAGGTTTGGGGTAGATGATGCTTTAATCATACCAGCAGCAGTGTGTGCCTCTCGTCCTAGATCTTATGAAGGATCTCTAACAACAGTATTTGGGTTAATAGTTGGGCGTCGTAGGGATAGCTGTGACGATGATTGTGGGTGGGTAGTGCGGCCCTGCTGTTTCCTATCAAGGCACATTAGCGAAACATGAGAACAAAGACTAAGCATTCTTGTTGCAGGAACGGCGATCGGGGATATGGCCCAACACCAGACCAATGTCATAGGACCCCATGGACCTGTGTTCACTGTGGTGCTAGCCAACTATGAGAAGGTCGGTGATCCATATCCTGTCAGTGAGCCATCTCAGCTGACATAAGATCAAAGTGCAACTACATCCTCCAGATTCTTCCGTTGATTTCTCTAGGTCTAAGCAAGACATCGGTTCTATTCTTCTATCGTCGGATTTTCCATGTCCATCCGCGGTTCCTAGTGGTGAACACCGTCCTCATCGTACTTGTTGCCGCCTGGGCGACGGCCTTTCTCTTCGCAACCATATTTCAATGCAAAACTCCAGCAACCCTCTGGCATTCATTCGAATACGCTAGAATTGGATGTGTGCAAACATTGCCGTTCTATTATGCTGTATCAATATCCGGCTTCATTACAGACCTACTAATACTAGTTTCTCCTCTGCCTCTCATACACACCCTGCAAATGCCGCTAAAGAGCCGAATAGCAGTTTCGTGTATTCTTCTTCTTGGAGCAGTGTAAGTTGTTTTGTTCCGTGTAACAGAGCGAAACATCCATCTTACATCTTTATAGTGTGGTTGGTGCAGGAGTGGCGCGGTTTGTCACATTTATTAATGTCGGCCGCGGTATCTTTGCTAATATAAATGATCTCACCTGTAAGTCTTTAACCGCTTGACAGTCCAGTGGGTATCTGTCGACAAGGTGCTGACTCCGTAGACTTCACTACTCCTGTCTTCGCTTGGACAATGATTGAAAGCTCTCTTGCTGTAGTAGGCGCGAACCTCCCACTACTTCGGCCACTACTACACCGCAAGACGTACACATCATCACAAGCATGGTCACTACTCAGGTCAATAAGACCTAGACGTACCTTCCGAGATATCAACGATGAACAGATCAGTCTAGAAAGCGCCAGCAAAGATTCACTGCAGTATACCACCCAGAACTTGGGCAGCTTGAGGAACGTGGATCCAAGCCTTCATCCTAAGCAGGTGGCGGAAGCGGTAAAGCAAGAGCAGTCTAACACTCCAGAGCGAGGCATACATGTACAGAAGGAGTTTGAGCTTGTGTGAGTGGGGCAACGCACGTTGAGGTCTCGTTCATCGTTATGCTTCCTGCTACCCACTTTGATGACTCCCAGTCGGCGCTGGGAGGAGTATCTAGGAGTGAATGGAGACTCCCGAAAAATCGACAGGAACCTACATGTGGCAGATACGCTTGCTGAAACGTGAAGCTCTGACAGTTTTCCCCTGTTCAGGTGCAACAAGCAGTTATAGTTATCTATTTGATGAATCGTTCTTACGGCAATGCTTACTACCCGTTCAAATTGCTGTAAGAGTGATATGGTCAATCATGCACGCACGAGGAACGGGTGCGTGCTCATCTTCAGTCAAAGTCACATGCCAGGATGATAAGGGGAGACTACTGAAGATGTCGCAGGATTCCTGTGAAGAGGTATCCCATACAATCACTTGCTACAAATTACGTCTCTACCACTGTAACTTCGCTCTTTTTAAATGAGAAGACATTTAAGTTAAACTACGCTACAGCGTTAGCAAAGGGAAGACAGAGGGAAAAGGTGTCATTATGAATCTGATGTCTATTGCAGAGCCGTGCCCAACTGCAAGGACCGGTAACATATATGGTGCAGACACGAACTAGACTATAACCTACCTCCCCAGGTACCAAGACATATAGCAAATGGTGGCCTACGAGTTAGCTAAGTACTGAGTAGGCACTGGGGTAGTCTAGTTGGATAGGAATTATGCTCAGTGCTGGACTCGAACCCCTTGCGCCCAGCCTCCTCCCCCTAAAGGGGCCACCGAATCAGTCCATTTCAGCCCTGATCTCGTGGATACTTTCAATAAACCGATCAGTCGATCAGGATAATCGCTCTCCGATTCTAGCAGATATCTCTAGCTGATGTAGACTCCCATCTAACTTGATGTCCACTGTTGGAGTCGGAAACTTCCAAGTTTCATATTCCTTCCACATCTGCTTCGTCCTTGGAGATTCAGGATCGGCCCATAGGTTTCTGAGTAGGCCACACGTTAGCTAAGATAGGGCTATAGCAAGGAGTAGAATGGGATTGAATACCGAAGATGGTTGTAGACTCCAGCGCTGGTCTTTTTCGCGCAGATAATGGCGACTGGCAGTGCGAGGTCCGCAACCATCTGCTTGACAGGAGCGGCAGCGAACGCTGAGAATACGATAGACTCATCGTCTACTTCGGCAAAACCTCCAGCCCCATACTCTCCTGTAATCTCGAACCCGATTTTTCGCAATAAGGCCTTTGTCTCATCCGAGTATTTTGGGTCTTGGGTAAGCAGCCTTACACTACTGCGCTCTGCTGGTATACAAGAACGGGTGACTTCGGCTATCGTCAACGCTATCGCATGATGTATTAAGGCTCCCTCTATGATGTTTGTTTCCGGCTGGCGTTTATCCTCTGTTTGAGAGTTATTCTCTATCCTCCACCGATCCGGCGGTTTGAAGTTCAGATCGCCCAGCCCGAAGCAAACAACCTTCGTCACCTTCTTCGAATTCCCATCTCCGATTAAGAGGTCAAGAAGTTGAGATGTCAAAGCTTCGCAAGTCGCACTCGCGTTCCATTTCTGTCGACTAGATTCAAAAAGCAAGTGTACGTTCTCGATAGGCCCCTCATAGTTGCGCAGCGTCAGGTTGTCCCAGTCAACGAGATACGTGCAGGTGTATAGCTCGGGTGGAATGTTAGGCTTAGCCCAGACAAGGCGCCAATACTCTTGGAACTCAACATATGGCTTCCTAATTCAAAGTTTTACAGTTCAGTAAAAGATTCGATAGACACAAGGTCTTTGAGTCTTACCAGATTGGGTTCTGAACCCCAAACATCGGGTTCTTTATGTGTAGTAAGCTACCATCGAGACGGCGGACTGTAAACTTCTCGGCGGTACGCGACTGCGCCAGCTGTTGTTCGATATTCACAAGATCTTCTTTGCGCCATAGTCTGACTCCTGATTCATACAAGTCTGATGCTCGCTGACTGCTGGCCCTCCAAGGAGAACAACCATATTCGACGACCGGTTCTAAGAGCTGGTCGACTCCGTCCTGTGTGAACCGCGACATATTCGGGAGATAAGTTGGTCTGGTAGCGTCCTATGGGAGAACGCCAGCTCAGATTCAGGCAAGAGGGGTAGTGCAAATTCAGCAAAGGGAACTTGTTTGCTCCCAATTAAAAGCCCGTCGCCGACTCTTGGCTCATTGTGGCGGTGCAATGCTACGGCCACCAATCCTGTGGGCTTCCGTGTATCACTTAACAATTAGGTATTGGTATGCAAAGTGCGCATGGCTCTTATGACCGCTATTATTGTAAGACTCGCAACATCCAACTACACAGGGCTTAGAGTTTCCAGATTGGGTGCCCACGGGTACCCGCAAAAAACCCATGGGTATTCTTAGGTACCCGCGAGCTACCCATAGTCTCTAAAAAAGAAAAGGCTAATGCTAAATACTCATGAAATAGTTAAAATGTATAAAATAATATTTTATTATTTATATTTTATAAGTTTTTAAAAACTTATAGGTAATTAATACCCTTATTCAAACTATTGGGTACTTAGTATAAGTTAGGTATTTAAAGCCTTAACAGGGCTTAATGAGCAGCTTTTAATATATTTTCTTATACAGCCATTTCTATTCCTTTTTCACTTTTAGAAGCAACGATTGTAATTAGTATGATGGCATGTAGAAAGAGAAAAAATAACTTAGATGTTGTGATCATATTGCACCAGAACACAAGCAAAAGGCCTCAACAACAGCAAACAAATGACAGGAGTAGAAGAACAAATTTGAAAAACAATTCGCCGCCGAATCCTCTACATCTGCTCCCAACTTGAGGCTGGGTAAGCCCCCAGAGTTTACTTAGGAGAAAGACGTGCCAGCGGGGAAGATTTGAACTTCCTACCTCAACCCGGGTGTTGGTATGCCACGCGATCGTCCAAATCACTAGACCACCACCAACATGCTTTACCATTTGCTAGATCAGATCTTAATTTTAATTCTTATACCTTAAGATGAAGTCCTAGGGAAGGTGGCGATAGTCGCTGTTGCCATATGTTCTTGCTGTGACGTATGGGGAGAGGAGGATGGCGTGGGTGGAAAGGGGAAAGGAGAGACAAAGGGGGAGCTGAGGATTGGAATGCAGAGACTCGAACGCACAATTGATAATTTTAGCGGTCTGTGACCAAAACGAATACCTGGTAATCGGCTTTGAAATATTCGTAGGTACAAGACGAACGGACTACGTAATACATTCTTTACGAGGCTGACTTCTGTAAGGAAGCCCTGGAGAATGGGCTAGTAACATGTGAATGCAGCTACGATATATTAGAATTTATGAAATTCACCTTGTACAGGGGTTACGTATTCTGCTCTGCTATAAAGGCTCCTGCTTCCCGATATCCGGTTAATAGACTCCGATCATAGCACCAAGTGTTGAAAGGAGCTGACTCTCCCAACACAACAGAGTACTTGCACAAAATTCAAATTAATAGTTTTTTAGCTTATGATCTCCTCCTTAACTTATAGGAAAAATGTATGTGGGGATTCTAAAACCTCATTCGACCTGCATCACCGAGCATATAATTAGTAAGATAACTCTGTTGAGGAGGTACTATGGAAGAAATCGTCAGAGAGCACCTTTATGATGAATCGTGAACTGGCGTATCGGTTCCATCAACGTTGAAGTCTAGGAAATTGGCAATGTTTCAAGAAGTTAAGCGGCGTGGTACTGATAGTCTACAAATAGGGGGAAAGACGGGATGAAAAGGGGAGAAAAAGAAAAAGCTAACCGTCCGGTAGTTATAAGCGTTTTACTACTTAACCATCTAAGCGGAGCATCGCGCTGCATACCAAAACATTATGCCCTCTCCTACTTGGATAGATGGCTCAAACTTTGATGAAAGTTTTAAAAATAACAGCTGCCCTTGGATGACAAGTTTTCTACCACTTGCCCGCTAAGGTAACTTATCATATAGACACACTAGTATTGGTCCTTTGCCCTGCTTAGATGTATGAATACGCAACAAGCCCTGACTAAATACTAGTTTGATGGCAATCTGTGTCCCAAGCTCTTATACACCTGTACACTTACATGAGGTCTCGCTTATCACTACCACTACCCTTATACCTTACATATAGATCTATACCCATAATAGATATATTAGTTTAAATGAATACATTAAAAGACATACTGACTTAAGTAATTAAACATATTTGAAAAGAATCATAGATTTACCTTAAATTAATATAAGATATAATATAATAGTTAAGTTGACTTTTTATTTATCCCTTTTAACTATGTAAGACATTTGTCAGCCTTATTTAGAAATAATAACTACCCCTTGTCTAAAATCTCTCATATTACACCGGCGTTACTATTAGTCGGTAAGCTGCGAGAGTCTAACTCGACTGGCTCAGTACTGTAGTTGACGAATGGTTGCCCCTGTGCTGGATTTGACAGCCGACAGTTGCCTGGCTTTCCAGCCTCCAAATTTGAAGGGGCTTCTAACTCTGCCTTTTTCTTCAGAAAGACACCTAGTAAACCTCTTACTCCAGATGTGCCGTGAAGCTCTGGTTTGAGGAATCCAATGCCTGCTGGGTCGTGCTCCTCACCTGGCGAACCCTCAAGCTCAGCTCGTACCGCTAAAGCATCCAATTCTGCCTTGTAGAATTGCCTTTGGCGCGCTTGGCTACCTTCTAGCTCTGGCTTATCGCTCAACCCATCCCACTTCTCGCCTTGTGCTGTTACCTCCCCTTCATTTGCTTGGTGCATTCGTTTTCTCCGGTAATGTAGAAAATATAAGAGCCCAAGGCATATAACCAAAACAAAACCGATTGAGCCTACTATAGAACCAATAAGCGTCGCGTTTGTGTTTGCAGAGCCTCGAGAACTTTGAGGACCGGGGAGCAGCGTATTCCAATGCCCATTAGTCTTGGAACTTGACGTTTGGGTTGGCGACGCGCTTAAGCCTTTGGTGGATGAGCCGCCGGTATTTGGGACTTCGGATAGCGCTCGTTGGGCTATGAGAAAAATGGGATCTGCTATGACTTCCAGAAGAGGTGGACCTGTCCAATTGAGGCCACCATAGCCATGTGCAACTGACGTGAACGAATCTGTCTCGCTAGGGCCAAACGCTATGGCCGAAGACGAATAAAGAAATATGCCTTCTGTTAATTTTTGCACGCAAGAGCCAAAGGTAAAAGGATCCGAATCGGTCTTATAATTGAAACTGCTGCGTCGCAGGCATCAATCACTGCGAAAAACGTAGTACGGCATCTCCAACATACCTGTAACAGCAATACACAGCGTCTAGCGCGAGCAGACTTGTAGCAGTCGTCATGCCATGTGGACAATGAACACCAGGCGAATAAGTGAGTTCCGGAGAGCCCCGTTCAGTGTAGACAGACCCGTCCAAATACGTGTGAATGGGGTGCCTGATACTTGGGTAGCACGACGACCGTAGTCTAGGGATAAACTGATTAAAATCATTACCGCCATCAGATGCGGAACAAGCATTTTTATCGCAGAATTGCATTTCAAATATTGTGCAATCTTGTGCTGGTGTGAAAATGGAGGTGAGAGGTGGGAAGGATGATGGGGATGGTGGGGTTGATGGATATATGATAGCTTGACTTGTAGTAGCTTGTCGTAGGTTCATCTTTCCTAAATGAACTTCACCTGGGTTATCTAACTCATTAGTATAGACTGTAGAAGTGTAATCTGTCTGGGTTGGACCTGGACCCATAATGGCCTGACGTCGAATCGGCTTCGTATCTATGATGGTGACAGTTTGTATGTGAGCTAGGTTTGCGTATTAAGGTAGAAACTAAATGAGGGATTCACGATAACTATGAATTCAAAGATTATAAAAAAACTTTAAAGCTATGATGCAACCCCTTAACTACTAAATAACCAGACCCGCAAAGCATTGTAAGGATGGAACGTCATCTATATGAATTATCCGCAGCTAATCGCAAGCAGCATATGGTATGTCTGCCTTGGAATCAACGATATGTGTGTTTGACTAAGGGGCTATACCTACCCGAGCTTGAGGTTACGTCGAGCAGTACGGGTGCTGAACACTCAGGGGCATTAATAAAAATGAAAATGTCAGAACCCAGTTACCTTATAGATTAATACTCCGGTTGATGCTCGTAACTGTAGCTTTCTTGCTGCTTGTACTGTTATCAGATGCATCTGTAGATAGCTTCACCATTTTACAACGAAACCCCACAATTTCATATACGCTCATACTGCGCCTTGTGAGCGCCCCCTTTTTTTTCTGTGGCCTTGGAGAGGGAACCATCGGCCCCCACTCTCGGCCCTATACCCCTGAGTGCTCAGGACACTATGTAGAAATTCGGCTAGTAGGATTGTGCAGGATCAAAAGTTGCTGCAACGTGATCAAACGGAGGCGACTGTGACGGAGTCTAACACAGGGGCTAACGCTTGGTTGACAGGTAGTAGAGAGTAGAAATTCATTAGTAGAATGGCGTTCATGGCCAGGCGTACTACGCTTAAATTCAATATTACCACGTCAATCGGTTTCAGGTGGTGCGCGTTTGGACAGATGCTTGATGTTTCAATCTCAGAAGAGCGCAAGTTGCTCGCTATATATATTACCTGCTATATATATTACCTAGGCATAGGCGAAATGTACAATAAGTGTTCTTGCTTATAAACCTTTTTAAAAGAAGGCAATAATCCAAAGCAAGCACATTTGCAAGCTCTTTACGGTAAGCCAATTTCAATGGCCCAAATATAGCCACGTCCAAGGGTTGGTATACTGGTATTGCTCTCTACTCCTGATGCGACTTTGAAGTCTTTATAATTAGCTTGCTATGTCACCCGCATCGTGAACGATAAAACGACCGTTAAGCCATTCATGTCAGTTGGCCCCCAAGGAGATGGACGTGGATCATCATATCGGGTTAGTTGTGGCGGTGCATAACGGTATGGTCTTGTCGTAATAGGCATCAGACATGTGTGTAACCCTAGTTGCCTCGTTTTGGGGGTCAAGAAGCGAACTCCTTAAGTCGTGAATTTTAATAGCAAACTTATACTACCTTACCTACCGTTTGATCAACTGTTTACAGAAGATGCATTCTAAACGCACGATGGAGAATGATATGGAACAACGAAATGCGCCCCTATCGGCCAGTTTCAATCTGAGAATAGCATCCATTTCAAAGCACTTAGTTAGCTGATCGGAGGCTCATCAATGGGCGCAGTCAGGCATCAAGTTTCTGATCTAAGATGATAGGGATAATCTCAAACCAATGACGAAGATTTCGAGTGTCAGGCCTGCTCCACGTGCCCAGAATTTTCCAGCAATCACAAGACGCGGAAGTTCCGCCTGTTCAGACCGACAGATGCGCTGCCTGAACTTTACAAAGATCCAGATCACATTGCATCTGTTGACATATGTGCGCATTATGTAGCAGTCTCCTATTGCTGGCCAACTCTTCAGCAAGCCGACGACACTCCACGGATATCGGGGTCAACGTATCAGATTCGTGAGCTTGATGGACCCGTGCGAAAGGCTCGAGCACTCGATGATGTTCTCGATAGGGCTGTGGATGTAGCAAACTCATGTGGCCTTCGCATGATATGGATCTATCAAGAGTGTCTTCCCCAGCCAGGATGCGGCAGTCCTGACAGCGAGAAGCACGAACAACTCGGTATTCAGGCCATGGATATCGTCTATTACCGCGCTATCGTTACCGCAGGTCTTCATGACATTGCTATCACTAACCCTTTACAGATATCTGCCATTTCAGCTATTGCAGGCATGTACGAGGCGAGATTGCAGAACGCAGTAACAGCCGAAACTATTAACTACACCCTAGATTTCCTTAAATTACTGTTACGTGATCGTTGGTACACACGAGCTTGGGTCGCCCAAGAGGCACTGAGCACAGGACCGGGCTTGATGATCGTGCTTCGACGGGGTGAGAAAGTTATCTACGCAGAAAACTCCGACGAGACCGAAAACGGTGTCTCACCCCTAGGTACACACTGGACAATAGCTCGCGGAAAATGGCATCAGAAGTCATATGCCTCCCTGTCAACCAAGTGCGGGACATCATAGGCAGTCTCAAAGCTATGCTGCAGCAAAATTTCTTTTTCAACGGACAGACACTACGAAGAGACGAATGGCGACCTCAGGAACTCTTACGAGGAGCCGGTTGGGTGCTGGAGGCGGCAGAACAACTGCATCCGCGGCTAGCAAGACAAAATTCTCCGCACGGCATCATCCAGACCATAGGAAGCTACAACTACGGAACTCGCTGGACGGTAGATGCTGCAGGTGCCTTGGCGATGCTGAAAACACGCGACTGCAGAGACCAAGAGGATCTTATCGCTATAGTCGCGAACATATATTGCATTGATATGAGATTAGACACTCGGGCTATTCGTGATCACGGTTCGCACCGTGAGGCAATACTAGCCCTAGCCCTCAAAAATGGCGATCTGTCGCTCTTGGTTCCCGATGCATACGGGAATTCTAGCAGTGACTTCATCGATCCGAGCCGGAACGGCTGTTGGCCGTCCCCTTTCGATCGAGTTGCCATGGAGATCGACCATCTGACCGTAAGGAACTTCAACCTGCCCAAACTGCTAGTGCCCGTAAATTTTACAGAGGCTGGAGTTTCCTTGACCTCTTACGTGTGGGAGGTCGACGATCAGCTGGATCTGTACCCCATCAAATACCAATACGAGCATATCTGGGAAGAGATGAAATGTTTGAATCTCGTCATAGACAGGCTAGAAAAAGAGACCCCGGAAGAGTTCATCGCGCGAAGAAACGCGACAGGAGCCCATTTTGGCAGGCAGGTTGTCTTGCATCAAGCAAAGGAGGACTTGTTTCTGGCTGACGAACTTCCGCAAGGATCCCGAGCATGGGGTGATATCGACACTGCTGGCATTCGGGTTACGCAGTACGTGTCCGCTCATCGTATCGAAGAACTCCCTGAAATGCAGCGCATAGTATCTGAGATTGTCTTTGCCATATTGCGCTTCCTGTACAATATGGGCGAGTCAGACTCTCGAGCCTGCGGGCTTGCCAATAGCATATGGCAATCGTTACGCGTCGACGTCGTCAATGGCCGAGACGATCTACTAGATGTCGTAAGCGAAGAGCTATTAGAGTACCTAGAAGTCATAGCAGCTCCTTTCAAGACATTGAAGCTTGATGTAGACCGCAATGGGCAATACAGCCAACTTTGGTTCGTCGATAGGATAATGCGACACGGAAAGGTCTGGATCGGGCGCTATAAGAAGTGCCCATCATTTAAGCCACTCGGAGGAAACATGCGAAGAGCGGAGTCTTCAACAGATACAAAGGGCAAACAACCGATGGCTAAGGCGCAGCACGCGAAAGAAGGAAGTTCAAATCACGAGCGCCTTTCAACGTCAATCTTACGAAGGCAACTAAGAAGGACAATGTACGCAAACTTGATATCGTCACGAATGCCTGGTGCCTTGCAAGAAGCCCCGCAGGTGACCGCGGGGACGATGAGCACCTTCGCAGAAGTGATGACCACAGGAATTTGGGAGGCAGCAGCCGAAGAAGCACGCGTCAGCAACCTAGTGTCGGCATTCGACGTAGAGGGCCCCTGCTTGGTAATGACCCCTTATAATGCCGATTGGGAAATGCTACCACGGCCGGCGCTCAGGAGTAAAAGTGTGTGTTGGGTGATTGAACTCGCGGGGTCAGATGGCGAGCCGATGGACACGATAACTAATTCGCCCGATACTAGCGGAGATATTGCTGGTCAACCAGAGTGGGCTTCGACTTCAAAATGCGCTGAAAAGACCAGAGACAAGAAGACCACTGACTGGAACAAGCAAGTTTACAGAGTTACCCGAAAGGTAAAGGGCTTGTGGCCGCTTATGGATCCTCCTATAATTACCTGATCTGAGCATCACTATCGTATAGAAACTTGGTATTATGACTCTGCTAAACAACCTATGCAAAGAAAAGGAGATCCTCGGAGTCCTCACAGAAAACCGATGTGGCCAAGCATTCAATCTCACACGAAGTGTAATTACTCTTCAGCAGCCTGTAACGGAGACAATCCTCCAAACGTGCTCCTTAACTATGGCGGCCCCCAGATCGGCCAACGCCTGGAAGTAGTAACTCCCCCTTCGGTCATGGCAACCTAACTATAACTTCTACCGCAATCCTTCTTATCAGAAGACCTACCAACGGCATTTCATAAATGCCGACACATACAACAATACCGATGAATATCTTAGCACATCCTCATGGATATGAAGCGACGCTGGTGGGAATTCTCTGTTACTACTACTGAATGGCAACTTCATGATGACGCAGGTGTGTAGGAATATTAGATATGCCGATTTAGGTTTATATACACTGGCTTGGACCTTAAATGGGCTTGGCCATTCTTCCAGGCAGGAGCTCAATGTTTCCAGACGTACGGCATCATCAGAAGCCCGGGAACGTAGCTTTGACAGCCCAAAGTCTTGTAAAGTATCATGTTCAAATGTCCTCGGGATAGTAGTCATTGTTGAAACCCGACGAGACCCCGTGTACTGTGATATAACTTTACGTGATAGAGTTCACATCATGTCTAGCTCCATATTACGGGAACGCTTTTCCAGCAGAACACCGTCCCTCCAATCGGTCAGGAGTATTCGTGAACAGTTCGAGACTTAAAACTATGTGGCTTATTGTAATGCTAATCTTGAGGGTTAACTGAGGGACAAGGACTACTGTAAATAGCACACAGCACATTCTTCCTAGGCTTACTCAGTAACATGCCTCACAGGAGTTCTCCTCAGTTGGGGTTACTGCACCAAAACTGTTCCCATATCTCATTGGTCGGCTTATGCTGGTAGGTGATATCGTGGTACATCAAACACAGGGTTCGGAGTGCGCTGCTGAGATGTTGTGACTACTCGTCCTGGCCTGCAGGCTTAATCTCAACAAGAAGCTTGCCTCTATTTTTGCCTTGGAAAAGATCCCTGAAAGCGTATTCCGCTTTTTCTAGACCTCCTTGCACGATTGTGTCCTTGCGCTTGAGCTTGCCTTCTGCTAACCATCCGCCAAGAGCCTTGCGAGCGCCAGGCCATTCCTGTACAAAGTTAAAGACACTGAAGCCTTCCATGCGAATACTCTTCATAATCACGGCGGCCAAATTGTAAACACCTTTAGCATCCTTGGGGTTATTATATGTAGTAATAGCACCACATATAACAAAACGCGCGTTCTGCTTAGCATGTAGAAGAGCCTCGTCAAGGATCTCGCCGCCGACATTATCCCAAAAAACGTCAATTTGGTTAGGTGTTGCTTCGGCAAGGTCCTTCTTAAAGGTATCTTTCTTGTAATTCAAGGCAGCATCGAAGCCCAACTCATTTTTAAGCCAGTCGCATTTTTCGTCTGACCCTGCGATCCCAACAACTCTGCATCCTCGAAGTTTGGCAATTTGCCCGACTACCGACCCGGTTGCGCCCGCAGCGGCAGACACAACAACCGTCTCGCCAGTTTGTGGCTTCCCGATCTTTTCGAGACCTATATAGGCCGTTATACCAGTTACTCCTGTTTAGAAAGCGATTTTAAGTATCAAGAACCCAACGAGCACATGGTGCATAGGTGAAGTAGAAAGAGTACGTACCTAAAACACCTAGTAGATCAGTGAGCCGGCCACCCTTGGGGATCTCAGCTTTGGAAAAGTTGGGCTCCTCAACAATGGCAACCTCTGCCCAGCCGCTAGATGCCGTAACAATGTCGCCTTCCTTGGCGAGACCACTTTTACTAGCGATCACGCGAGAAACAGTGAAACCAAACATAGTGTCGCCTCTTTGGACCAGAGAGGAGGGTGAATCTGCAAGCAAAGTTAGATGAATTCGGATATTAGTCGCATGATAACCTTCTTCTCGAACAGATATCGCCCATATTGAATGTCACAAAGACAGTCTAACAGACAATGGTGGGACAGAACGCTACGCACCATTCAACCAATGCCGCGCCCCAGGGTCGAGAGACAGATACAGCGCTTCAACTAGAATCTGGCCGTCTTTCAGATTGTCTGCTGTAGGCGCAGGTCCCTTCTCAAGCCTGAACGTTTCGCCGGGTATGAAGTCATGTTTAGCTGGCTGGGCCAGTACGAATTTCTTGTTCTCTCGAGCCATGGCTGCTAGCGTCCAGATTCCCGATATGAATCAAAGTAATTTGACGGATATTTTGATTAAGTTCAGTAAACCAAGTAAAAGAACGAACGGCCACGATGAAAGCGATGCCAGCGCTATACTATGTATGGACATGAGAAGAACAGGCGCCAAGTTGAGACTAAGAGCGCTAGGATTAATAATCCAGGTAATTAATAATACAAGTGATTTATAATCTACCCCCTCATGAAACACAAAGGCGCTAGGTGCGAAGAGAGGGCGGCTAGGTGTAGTAGGAATCGAAGTGTATTATACCCCCGTAAATGATCAGTAAAGAACTCGGTCCTCAGTTTTACTCGTTTCGTCACTAATAACGACGATACAAAGCTTGTCCGCAGGCTAATGATATAGATTACTTGTAACTGGTAAGTTTTTTCTCAAGTTCTTTACAGGGTCTCAAGAGTCTTCCTAAAGAAAACACTGGGTTTGCGTCCCAACATCCTAGAAGTAGCCAAAAGCTACATATAACGCTTGCATATTCGACAGTTGTGGTATATGTTGCTCTTTCAGCTAAGATAGCCCAGGGCAACCCTATTAAGGAACCTTTCTGCGACCAAGCTTCTGCCACAGTACGAATATAATATAAGAGGTCAAGGATTTAAACAAAGAAAAGAATGCACTGCGCCCAAGGTATCCAATGATGCGGTTGAGCAGAATCATCTGGCGTGCATATCGGCGTACGTCATCTTCCGAGGTCTCGTGAGTCTTCTGCCCTACATAGACTCGCTCGAGGGAGTTGCTGTGGTAGGCGCACTGTTCAGTAGCAGCTGCGACATGAGGTCGGAAGGATGCAAAGGCGTCACCTACCAGGACAACTTTGTCGTCGTAGAAGTAGGCGCAGCCCCTGATAGAGTCATTGATATTGGTAACAAAAGGACTTTTCACCTTTGCAAGAACCTCAGCAAAAGGTTCGGCGATTTGAATTGGTCCCCGAACCTTTTCCCAAATTCCTAGTCTAACAAGGCCGACTGGTACCGTCTTCCGATGGTGCTTGCGATTTATGTCACTAAAGACGTCGTTCATTTCGGCAGAGGAATCAGCGATGTTATAGTACCAAACGAAGTTGATAAGCCGTTCCCCCGGTGTGAAGTTTCTATCATCGGTTGGTACAACGTAGCTGAGGTTGACAATTAGTTACCAAACAATACCTGGTTGTCAAACTAGAGATATACAAAAGGTTGGAATTGGAGGACCTACTAGGAAATATGCATAGCCTATCAAGTAATTTTTCTTTGTGATGCTCATACAGAGCCACTCTGAGAAGTATTCGCAAGTCTGCCGTGATAACTCTTGCTCATTGATGGTGCCTCTCAAAGAGACATAGCCAGCATATCGCCCAGTTGGGGCGCCGACCAGCTGGCGAATGGTAGAATGTATTCTGTCAGCACCGATGAGGAGGTCGGCAGACGGTAAGCCGTCAAAATTGGCACGCAAAAGTCTGTACATAAGTCCCTAGCTCGTGAGACTCAGTGGTTTATATATGCGGAATACATCTGGTTGCTGATAGTATATTATTCGACGAGCGTTGTTCTGTATTGCTTCCTGGAGGCCCGTGGCGTCGTACTTTTTATCAAGCTCGTTGACGACGTCCCCGAAACCTATCCCTGCCTCTTGTCCCTGTCGGTCGCCAATTTTTTGTTCAATGATGGTAACATTGAACATAGTTGTCTCGACGTTTATGTTGAAGTCCACTATGATAGATGATCACGAGTTATCATGTAAAGAGTACACCGTAGAGGAATCTGGTATCACAGCGCTTGATCTTTGAACTCAGGGGAGTCCAGAAACTGGCAACGTCACTCTTGTAAGTTAAACTTTGGAACATCTTACTGCATCAATCCAGCGAGTGAACCGCCCACCTAACTCACAAGGCATTAATCAGTACAGAAGTGAGACAGCACATGGTGGTGAGAGCTTACCACGATAATAGATAAAGTCATTGTGAAGCAGAGGGGAGCACACCGCTGCATGATGAGAGAAGTGGAGTGGTGTAGAATCTGAGTATGAGAGCGAGGAGACCTGAATCTAGGACAAACAATTAACATAGAAATTCGGAGGGATCTTTAATCAACTCAATTAATATTTATTCCTAGGCATAGATCTCATCAGATCCCTAGTGAATTGGCGGTAAGACGTCACAAGGTGAAGCACTTTCGTTGCGCGGTATTGTTGCCCAAGCGCCTCTGTAATAATAGTTGAGGACGTTGGAAGTGTTGGTGGTCAAAGAGTCACTTCATATACACGGCACGGATCAAAGGACACGAAGATCCGGCTCATGTATATTAGAATATCCTCCCGCTTCACTCGTATTAAGTAGGTTAGTTGAATGTAATACTTATACACCTCTCATTTCAGCAGACGATCTCTAGAACATTTAACAAAAAGAAGACAATCTGAAACTTTGAGAAGAAGGTCAGAATTTACATGATATTGAAAACGAAATTTAGATCCTGAGTCACGAAACTAGCTATGAAGCAAGTACATGACACCATCCAGCTTCAAATAAAAAAAACATGTTATTTACTAGTATTTACTCAAAGCACATCGTCGTCTTCAGAAAAGAACCTGTAGATACTGCGGGAATCCCGCCCGCGGGTCCGCTCATCTTTAAGCGCTTTGTCGTAGATAGCAAGCACCCGGTCGCTGAGGATCGATTTCGCCCCAGCTTGCTCTCCCAGCGCTACCGCCATATCCAGAACCCCTTTACAAAGTTCAACGCTGAAACCGCCCACGAAATCTTTCTCGCTGGCAGCACCCGGCGTCACGCCCTTGACGGGGTTCTGGTCAAGGCTGTTGTAGCACCTTCCACTGCTGACGTTGATGACGTCGGCCAGCTTCTTCGGATCGAGCCCATACTTGACGCCCATGTTCATAGCCTCGCAGACGCCGATCGTAGAGACAGCGCTGAGGTAGTTGTTGATCTGCTTCGTCGCTAGCCCTGCTGACGGCGGTCCGCAGTGGAATATGTTTTTCCCCATCATTCGGAGGATGGGTTCTGCTCGTTGCCAGTCCTCTTCGCTGCCTCCCACCATGATAGCCAGTGTCGCACTGTTTGCGCCGTTTGGTCCGCCGCTGACGGGTGCGTCGATGAAGGTTCCTAGCTTTGACCTTGCTACTTCTGCGCCGATCTCCACGCTTGTGGCTGTCTCGATTGTCGAGCAGTCTATGAAATGAATGGGAGTATCCCTAGGGGCAGCTGATAACAGCCCATTTTCCTTATTCGTGAACACGTCACGGACATGTGAGCCTGTTGGAAGCATGGTGATGACAACATCCTGTTTCTCGTAAATGATTATTATCTAATGTCTACCGAAGCGGTGCAGATCGGAAGTTGGGCTGTGAGGAACACTATGGCCGGTGCAATACTCGCAGTCGCTATTGGTAGTAGACTTACCGATTGCTCAGCCACCTCTTTAGGACTATCCGCAGCTGTAACAATGCCTTTACCCTGAACCTCTTGAAGAAAGTGGTTCCTGCGGCTCTCGGATATTTCGCATATCACCATCTTAGCTTCCCTTGGAACTTTCTCTCTCAGGTTCATGGCCATCCCCCACCCCATAACACCAACACCTATGAATCCATATCGTGTGGTTGGGTCAGTTTCTTTAGACATTGCGTTAGAAAGTATGCCTATAGACTTTTAGATATGGCTTCGATTTTTGTTGTTGTTGTTATCAACCTCTCGATCCTGAGAGTTGTAGTTTCCCGCATCTACCCCACGCTCGTAGTGCCAGTCAGGGGATCACATGGCATTTCCATCGTTGGAGGTAGCTCTGTGCTCTCCAACTTTTACTGGCCCTGATGGAGAAACCAAGATACTGTCAATGACGAACTTGTGCCGAGGGATCCCCGAAAACGTTTGGGGAAATGAATTTTGAGGTTTAGGCTATATGCCTCTATTAACGAGTGCTAGATATATGTTATAAGCGAATATATCATGGAAATATATCCCCGGAATGAAGCTAGACCATCAATAGGTAGTACATAAGTAATAAATAGGTTGAAGGTATAGGTAAGGGTTTAATATTATTAATTCCTAACTTATTAAATATAAAGAGGAAGCTTTAATACCTTTATGTAGTTAACTTTTAAGCTATCCTCACCTTTTAAGATAACTTTTACCTTAATACTATATTACTTTTTAATAAAGTGTCCCTTTTTATAAATGCTTTATCCTTAAAGGTTTAATAAAAAGTGTTAGAACATAGGGAATTGGTTGCAATCCTATGGACCGACACGTACGATAGCTATCTCTACCCATATGTGTAGTCTCCTGACCGTGCCTCTGTTCCCGTATCTCCTTATCTCTTTAGCGTCGTACGCTAGCAGAGTTCTCACACCTAGGTGAGAACTGTGCCCCGTGTAAACCTTCTTCTCCTTCTTCCCTTTTAGACAGACATAACTAGTATCGTACAATATACAGATTGTATTCTACTTCGTCCCGTACGATCGTACGTAATTACAGCCCATTTAACAAAAAGAAACGTATATAAAGTATTATTTAATATAGCTTAATAATAGATTTGTAAAAAAAAATTAAAAGTTTAGCCTTCTCCTTTTTTTAAGTTCTCCTTATATTCTTAAAGGTAATTTTAAATTTCCTTCATTTAGTTCAAAAGTTTAGCCTACAGAGTAAGCCTAGTGAATGTGCAAGGGAAGACCCATTCTCACATGAGGTGCTTACTCGAGCACGTTTGAGGGTAAAATCCTGCCCGCCCCCTGACTGCAACCTGGAATTCTGCCCCGCTCATCTTCATTATGCCCAATGTGAGTCAGAGCTCGGTGATGCCTCGGTTGCTTATGTCGGTGCATGCGGCCTAACTAACATCTCCTCCTGGTGATGTGCAGTTCCAAGTTGTGCGTTGTAGTCCCACCATTACATCTGTACAACGTCGAGGTTCAAAGGAATCCCACTTCATGATGCATCTTCTTTACCCTGCCTTAACCAGCGTGAAGTCAGCATGAACTCTGGACACTCGCCTCTACATAAGCACATCCATCCGTATCAACCATTGAAGTTAGTATATAAATGCCTCCTTCGTCCTTGGAGCTGAGACATCACATGATCTACGAGCCTGCTGTCTTTATTTTCTCAAACCAATTTGATGATTTCTTGTTCTTTATATTCAGCTCATACCTGCCGTACCTTTACAAATTCCCTTGAAAGTCTCTCGAGATAATTTGTACTCCCAACGCCAAACACTTCTAAAACTCATCTTTCGAGCATGTGTGAGAAAACATACTCCAAACAAATCTATGAGTGTGGTGACTGGGAGAACGTCGACTTTACCTTTACACCTTGCAATGATCAGACAAAGCCAGGTCACACGGTCAAGGAGACCCCCCTGGGATCGAAGAGAGTCAAGGGGAAATGTGGCAAGGCTAACTGTAGGAATCCGTGAACTAGTTCTGTAGGGTTAAGCCATCACTACTTTGCCCCCCGTTCGACCACCACAGTGCTAATGGAATTAAAGCCAGGACCCTAGCAGCGAGATATAGGATTACTTAGGAGCAGACGCTGCTTGTTGGAGAACAGAGGTGCACAATGGTGTTAGACTTGAATTAGGACAGATATTAGTAACAATCACTGCAAACAGAGCAACTCATCTCATCTCTATGTCTCTTAACAAGCTCATGTCATTCCTTTGTTAGTAACACAGGCAAGCAAGAACGGACGAAAAGGCACAAGGCTGGGAGGAGCAACTCTATTTACTTCTTGTAGTCAGTAGTTTAAACTCAACACTCGTTTGTCTTCATCAACTCCAAGTCCAGAGCGCGCAGGACATTGTCTGCGCTAGTGTACTTCGACGTCCAACAGCCCAGGATAATCTTCCCTCCGAGAAGCCCTTCGACATCAGGGAATGTGCCTTGTCTAAAAAGATCCTCGACCTGCTGGTCATAGCTTTCCATTTCTTCCACCGTCTTGAAGGGTCCAGGGGCTCGGTATGGCCAGTGTCCGGTAAGGATAGTGTAAAGGATAGATCCAACACTGAATATGTCTGTAGCAGGTGTTGACACCCACTCTGAATTCGGGTCAAAGAAGCCGGGATCTGGAAGATGTTTGCCGTCCAGGCCAAGCTTCTCACATGTTGAACCGCCAAAGTCGCAAAGCCAGAGATCCAGGGACTTTGGTGTGGTGGCATGAACCAAGAAATTGTCAGGGCGCAGATCCGAGTGTATTACGCCCCGACCATGAATATATGCGATCGATTCAACAACTTGTCGGCACCATTTCCCGCGGACGGGCGTGGGAATAGTATCGTGGTTCTCCTCGAGATACCACTGGAGGCTGCCGTGGCTGGCCTCGGCAAGGAGCAGCCCTCGCACAGTGTCTTGCCATCCAAGGTATCTAGGGCAGCGTCAGCACAATGAATCTGTCGCGGAAATTGGGTAAACAAACTTCACGATTCTTGGATGCTCTCCTAGTAGGTCGAGAATTTGCCGCTCAACCGAGAAATTGTTGGTGATCTCATCCGTCAGTTTTCGGTAGGCGCAGCTTTCTTTCCAGACTTCTACGGGATACTTTAAAATCACGCCCGGCTCTATTTGACAGAAGCGTGAAGTTGAACCTTGAAAAAACTTCGGGGCAACCATTAAGTCTGTGTTTAACGAATGGGTAACAAAAAGGACGCTTCGTTACGGTTGTTTGACATGGCTGTTTCATGCGGAAGAAGCCATATGACGAGCCAGCGCCATAACTATGGCTGACTCTTTTGGGCCAAGTCACGTGCTGTGCGTTCACTTCAAAAGGCCCAAGGGACATGAAAGCCCCAGTGTTATTTATAGAAGAGGTCCTTGTTTCTAGCCACCGCAAAAGCACACGGGATAGAGGACACCTTCAACGGCTCCTCAGAGCTCGGCCGCTCAAGTAATGCGTACTAGAGGCAGCAGATCAATAGCCAGAGAGCATGTACCCCAGAGCGGGACCCGAATACAAAGGTAGCCATTCGCCCACAGGTGGTGAGCGTGTTCGATATGGCGGCCGCTCTGTAAATTTGGCATGGTCTTGGCACAGTGGAGAGAAAAGAGTTGGCTCATAAGTATGTAGATATGTTAATTACGGTCATTATGCTTACGGAATAAACCATGGAAAGAGTTAAATCATATCATACAATGCTATCCGTCCCCAACACTTTCGGGTCATTCCGGGCTTCGTGAAGAGTCTCCTTCATCTTGATATACAGGTCTAGGTCTTCTTTCTTCCACCTCTCACCATTTGGGAATACCTTCTTCCGCAGTCTATTGACCCATGGAATCAATGATTGGTAGTATGGCGTGAAATTTTCGTCTGAGATGTTAAGAAAATCCTCTTCGTCATCAATTACGCCCTTTGTGGACCGAACCAGCTTGTTATCGCTCTCGTAATTCCAGCTCTCAAACTCAGTTGGCCCAATATCTTTGCCTGGCCCATTGTAATGAATGCATATCCAGAACAGCACCCAGAAGAATGACTCGAGATCATGCATGAAAGAATGCTGCTGCTCGCCTAGAAGTACACCGATGGCCATGAACGCCCTCGTGCCAGTCTTTCTTCTTGCTCCACTGACTCCTTCTCGCTGCTTTCTGATAGCAAGGTCAAGATCGACCAAAAAGGAAGCCCAGGAAGGATTCTCTTCTTCCTCGTTTATCATGAGATTGTTGATCGATATGTCTCTGTGCAGGAGGCCGGCCTTGCGCAAGGACTCGTGTCCCTCAATGCAACCCTCTAGCGCGCTAAGTAGAGCCGCTCGGGAGCTTGCCTTGTAGATGGGCTTTCCGTAGTCACAAAGAACGACACGCCAGTGCACCCGATTTGGCAGTCCGGTGCTGGCCTTTGTCGGAGATGCTGAACAGAATCGCTTGCTAGGCGGTAAAGGGGCGCCAGTCTGGCTTGATGCCCGCTTCAGGCCAGCATTGCTGCTGCTGCGGCCTTTCCGTGAGACGCCAGTACTTGGTGACGCTATCGACCGTCCCGGCCGGTAATTCCCCGCCCCCATGATATTCAGTCCACCTGGAACATTACTTCGAACATCATCGACTTCACCGCGGACATAAACTGTCTCATGGTGGTAGTACCGGGCTACGTTGACTGCACCGTTCTCAGTCGCCTCACGGAGGAGCTCACCTTCCTCATCCATTTCTGTATATTGCCATGAGTCTTTAATAACAAGTGGTGTCCGTAGGTCATCCTCGCGATGGGCTTTCCAACAAGTCGTTGCCCAGCCTGCCACGCATGGTATACGCTTGATCCTTGTATCAATAATAAGGCGTTCTGTCTGGGCCTTCCGCTCGATCTCGATAAATCGTTGGCCATTTTCTATGATGATTGTAGGATCGAATCCGAGCTCCTCCTCATTCATCCAGAGAAAGCCGAGAATTGTAGACACAAACTGCAGTCCATCTTCGTTAATGTCGAATCGTTCGGATGCAACCCCCCCGAGCCGGTCGAAAAGCCAAACCCTCATCAAAGATCCACAAAGTGTAAATCCCAAGACAAAGCGGCATGTATCTTGAGCAGCAAGCACCTCTCTGGCATACCGCCCTAGGTCGAGCTACGCCTTCGAAGCTGTGTCGGCAGATGGGTTGCTCTTTAGCTCACCCGGCACGAGGATCTGCCACCAGTGGCATCTAGAGTCTTTTCTAGCTTTTGATCGCTGACAAAGCCAATATCTAGCTTACGTTCCGCTGTGGAACCCTTAATCGGCTTATTGGGCTGTGCCAGGGGCCTTCGTCGGTGTGTCGGGGTCGACTTGTGGTCCTCGGCGAATGCTGCCAGCTCCTCGCTCAATTCGGCAAACCAGCATAAAACATCATCCTGATTTGCGTCTTTCGGCCACCCTGTCCACCCTCCCCGAAAACATGGATTATTGCCTTCCATGCACTTCTTGAAGAATAGCTCGGACGCTGCCTGAAGATCTGCCACAGCCCCAAAAAATGTTTCGCGGAATCGAGGAACTCCAACATAGAGAGGACCAAGCTCCAACTTAAGGACCCTGTCCACATCTTGGCGGTATTCGGAGGAATTCGCGAAGCTGCCTGTGTTGTAAAGCCACGGAGTTTGTTGGATAGATGATGCTATCGGTCGGGGAGGCGGGGTAGATTCGGTGACAGCGAGATAGACTTGGTCCCAGATCTCGTTGTCAGATTTGTCGGCGAGGACGGTACCGAAGAGAGGTTTAATGCGATCGAAGTCGAAAAGTCGTCAGAAGTAACCGCAGAAATGAGTCTCAGGAGGTCGCTTCGAAGCGTGCCACGACCGGTCTTCGAAAACGAGCAGGCCAGAAGCAGGAAGGCTCTGTAGAGAGAAAAGAAAAGGGAGCGCGAGATTTCGGAGATCTAGGTACTAGTTAGAGGAGCACTCTAGTAATGCTGATCCATCTTACCCTCTTGGCCAAGCTGACCCAGCGTGTCCTGTGAGTAGGAGAGGCCTTTGTCTTCACAGGTCGAATTGAAAGAAGTCCGGAAGGAATCAAGGCCTTTCCCAATAAGATTGTCTTTGATAATCGTCGATCGCGGTTCATCTGCCATGGCGAGAAGCCATGGCGAGAAGCCCTGCTTTTGCGGTTGCGAAGTTCTAGAGATGGGAGGGACGGGAACCGTTTGCCTGACCCGTTTTCCAAGGGCTTTGTTTCAACTCCGGTGCCCTATCAAACAATCCTAGTTACTTAGGGACCTTACATAGTACATGTCGAACTCATGGATCCTTGGCTGTCATGGCGAAATCAAGAGGAGTACCTAATTCATGACCTGATGTCGATAGGAGCTGAGGCTAGGTGAAGGGAAGTCTTAGTCTTACCAAGGCAGGCTACGAAGCTAGGTAGGACTTTCTTTTCGATTGGTATTCGCTCTAGAGCTGAGGTTAAGAGCCATGGCCATGGATATTGAGCTGACGAAGGATCAAGCTACGTAAGGCGATCACGAACACTAAGCACCACTTATCGAGCAATAATGGCGAGCTAGAGACGGAGCTTGCTTTTTTGGACGACGTTTCTGTGTTCCACATGCTCCGGGTAGATACTAGTGTTGGTTTTGTAGATACCTTCTACGCCCGCCAAGCCCAAATTAAACCATGATTTATTTTCAGATTCTACCTACATACCTAAGTATGTACCTAGCGGCTAGGCAAGAGAGCCAATGATCTGGTACCAATCGAACCCCACGCTTCCCACATGCCGCTGAAACACCAAGAAATGGCCTAGCCCTATCACCATCACCGCCAAACATACTGTATCTTCAGCGCGTCTACTTACTATTGCAAAGAATGGCTAGATACACTGACATGAACTCAATAGGAAAATCACAGCTGGGTGTGACACGTGTAAGCGCGTCTTTCATTACACAGTAGATACTTGGGTAAGTTTGTGGTGTAGCGTAGGTAAGACACAGGGAGACTGTTGTTTAGGAGATGAGAGAGATCAATCTCTCACCGCATTCCCTCCAATCGACGAGTTTCCCGATCGCTAAACCCCCCTGCAACAGCCCTGCAACAGCCCTGCAATACCCAGGGAATTACAGGTACAGGCACATGTAGCCAAGGTAGGTAGCCCGCCCGCCGTCGGCCGCAGCCAGCGAACCCCACGCAACCACCTGTCCCGGCCTACCTGCTACAACCTACCTGAGCCCGGCCCGACCTGACCTGCCTGGCCGACCTAGGTAAGGGAACTCGACGCAACATCAACAACAACAACAATAATAATAACCCCAACAACACAATACAGCCTCACTTCACCCATTCATTCACTCACTTTAGTCCCCCCCTTCTCTATCTCTGCTGCTCGGGAGCAAATCATGTTTTAGCTGGCCTGCTACACTCTCCTCGTCTCTCCCTCTCTGTCTTTGCTATCCACCTCTTTCTTCACCTACCCGCCGCATTCCAGCCAATCCTGGCTGCGCCTTGCATTGACCGCCCACGTCCTTCTTTTTCTGTCTGCCTTCTCTGCATATGCACCTGGGGTGGCACATTCATGCAAGTCCCAATTTGAGACACAGCTCTTGTCGCTCAGCAGCTTTGCCGTTCGCCTCTTCTTTCTCTCTGACTACATGACCTGTCGTGTTCCTGCCTTGTTGGTTCAGTGCTACGAGATACTCTCTGTCTCTTTTTCGTCTGGATAGCCCCAACACCGGCTCCCAGTTTTTCTTCTTAGAAACTACAAGCTACGAAGCTAGAAACCTCAGGCTACCTTACAGTACCACGTAGATCGCTGTATGACTTCGCTCGCCCTCGGCCTCGACCACCTACGACCACCTACGACCCGCTCGGCCTCATCTCTGGCGACCACTCACACATTGCATTGCCGAACCTGCAGACCTCCCTTTACCCCCCGACAGCCCATGTAGTAGGCGGCCTGACCTCACGACGCGACCACGATAAGCACTAAACGAATTGACGGACCACATTCGAGTATGGCGGAACGAAACTACGATGACTGTAACGAGGCCTTGGACCCTGAACTCCTTTATACCAAGGAGTATTGCATTGGTTTGGGTCCTATGATATCCATGGTGGGAGGGGGCTTGCTGACTTTGCCGGCGCAGGAGGCGGTAGCTTTGGGAAAGTGTACAAGGGGTATGTTCTGTAGCGGGGTTCATTCCTACACAAATAGCTAATTTGCCTGAGAACAGGGTGGAGAAACGCACGGGAGAGGCCGTGGCTATCAAAATCATCGACATAGAGAGCGCCGAAGACGAAGTCGAGGATATCATACAAGAAATCGCCATTCTTTCGGAGCTGCAGTCGCCTTACGTCACGAAATACTATGGCTCCTATGCTAAGGGTGCAGAGCTATGGATTGTTATGGAGTTCTGTGCGGGTGGTAGCTGCGCCGACCTGATGAAGCCGGGTATGATTGGGGAAGACTATATCGCCATCATCATCAGGGAATTACTGCTTGGCCTCGAGTATCTACACGCAGACAAGAAGCTCCACCGGGATATTAAGGGTATTACATCCCCTTCTACACCAAGGATAACTCAACGCGCCTATACTAACCAGGGGCTTTCACAGCCGCCAACGTTTTATTAGGATCCAATGGACAAGTTAAACTGGCTGATTTTGGTGTATCGGGACAACTCTCTGCTACCATGACCAAGAAGAACACGTTTGTAGGCACTCCTTTCTGGATGGCTCCAGAGGTTATCAAACAATCTGGTTACGATCATAAGGCGGACATATGGTCCTTGGGTATTACCGCACTGGAACTTGCCAATGGTGAACCACCTTATGCAGACATTCATCCCATGAAGGTGCTGTTTCTCATCCCCAAGAACCCCCCGCCCAGACTGGATGGAAACTTCACCAAGGCCTTCAAAGAATTCATTGAGGCGTGTCTACAGCGCGATCCAAAAGACCGGCCATCCGCGAAAGACCTCCTGAAGCATCCCTTCATCCGCAAAGCAAAGAAGACAAGTTACCTGACTGAGTTGATCGAACGATATCAACGATGGAGCGCGACGCACAAATCAGATGACGAAGAATTGTATGAAGAAGGTGGCGAGGTCGTGCAGCAAGACCCCGTAAACGAGGACATGTGGGATTTTGGCACAGTCCGGATGGTAGGCGAGAGGGGTGGACTAGTTCATCGGCCTGGATTGAATCCCTTAGACGAATCTACCAGGAATTCTAGAGCATCAAGACCTTTGGAAGGGGATTATGGTGAGAGTCCAAGGGCAACGTCTCCCAGTAAAGTCCAGACACATGATTACGCCGAGTCGTCGGTTTTAAGTACTCTCAAAGGTCCCAATGTTGCCCCTTTAAATATCTCACGACAAGCTTCCCCTCAGCGAAAGCCACTCCCAAGTGGCGCGCCCCATTCACCTTCAAAAGCTGACATCCCGCCTTCACCCCCAAAACATGCCTATGATCCCAGCACTCCACGCCCTGCAAAGCAGATACCGGTCGTGCCCACAATGACATCGGCCGACTATGATAGAGCTCTGCAGGAACAGCTACATCAGGATATGAATTCACTTAATGTTGCCGATCGCCAGACGCAGGCGACCGGCCCATCACCATTCCTTCCACTCCAGCCCTCTTTATCACAAGCACCGCAATCCCGTCCACTCCCTAAGATTGGCCCCATGCATTTGCCTGAAATTCCACCTTATCGTGGGCCATCTTCACAAGTTCCCCTGCAAAGGGTGACTAATCAACAATCTACTCCTTCACAAGCGTTTGCATCCAAAGCGCAGCCAAAACAATTACCACCTGCGCCGGAGAGCTTTCCATCACCAGCCCCTGCCAACCCCAACGGCGAGCTGGACGCTCTCAACGACGTTATTTTCCCGGCATTAGAAGAGGCGTTAAAGCGTAGACAGATACGGCTCCAGCAACTATATCGGAATGAGAAGGTTGTGACTCCTCAGCGACAGCGCGCCGAGGCGGCTCACGACAAGATTAGGAAGCATGTTTTTAAACTTGCGAATGTATGCAAGGAGCTTGACAGGCTAGACAAGGCCGAGCCAGTTGGCATGGGCAAAGACGTGGGCACATTTCTCGAAGGCTTGTTGGAAGAGATACTTGTTCGCGTTGAGCCTCTGGACGAGGAAGAACTCGAATGAATTATATGGGATACGGTATCGTCTCTCTCGAGATCATGGCGCTTGGCATAGACCAAGCGGCTTGTAGTTCATGCGGTGACATGGACATGACAGCATGTGAGATATAGAGGGCTAATACTCGGCATTTGTTCTGTCGAGTACACATCATGGCCATTAGTCCAGTCCACGCTAACTGACTATCTAACACACAGGCGTTTCAGCTGCGCAACATACTTTGTATTTAATATCATGTCATACAGCAATGCTTGCTACTGACTGAATGCCTGCTTCAGATATGTGTTCCGGTGCACTACCAGCGATCCGTACCTCCATCAATGAATACAGAAAAAAACCAATCACGTCACTGTTTCTAAGAATCTTCTCAACCGTGCTCCTGATTCCTACTTGTCTCTGTGCTTGCCCCTCTGGGATCTTTTACACCAGCTCTATTTTATCTGACGACTTGTCTCGGGATCTACTCGACCATAATTGCCGAAATTTTTGGTGTAAGGAAGTTTTGTTGTGTTTTGCGCGAGGCTTTGAGATTGGTCTGCTGGGCTCTGCCTCGGGCTCAGGCTCAGGCTCGGGCGAGCTTGTTATTTCCGCTTCCTTGCCCTTGCTATTCTCAGTAGTACTTGTCTCTGATGTGTCTCTATCCCCGTCTAGGCCAGTGTCGACCACCTCCTTTTCTTTCCCCTTGCTGCTGCTCGGTTCAGCGGCCACACTCAATTGACTGCCGTTGTCTTGAAAGAGTGGTGTCGGACCTCTTGATAACGGACGCGATGGTGTTGTTAGACTACCGGTGCTGCGCCGGCGCAGACTCACGCTTTCGTGCCGCGAGGGCGGTGCTGGTGTCAGCGTGTGGCTGGCGGTCCCTGCTTCGTCGACATCCTCTTCGGCCAGGGTGATCTTCTCCGGCAGCTCCCACAGCAAGCAGATGTCCCGGAACAAGAGCCGGTGGTGCTCGCTGTGGTTGTCGTATACCTCGCGAACCCGGCCCACGTAGTACTAGTACAGCTTCTCGAGCTCGCTGTCTTTCTCCGCGCGTGATTTGGTCGGTGCTGCGCGGTGTCGCCGCACGAGCTCGCGGAGGTTCCATATATATGTTTCGCGCAGACTTTCGCGCGTAGTCTTGTATTTCTCGATGTCATTTGTGAGCTGCGATGGTGTCAGGTAGGGTATCTAGGATTTTGCTCCGACGAGGCAGAGAGCGGGAACCGTAAGCTTACGAAATCTCTCCAGTAGCACCGCGGACACCCACATGGCGAGCTGGGAGAGGAGGTGTAGTAAGGAGGTTGTGGATGATGATGGGCCCGTGGACATTCGGGGCCCTCGCTGCGCGAAGTCAGGATATCTCCGGGATAGTACGAGCCGCGGGATATGCCGTGGCGACACGGGTCTTGCGGGTAGTGGATATGGATCCCGACTCCCCCGGGCCCGGAGCCATGGATGGGCGGCATTCGTGAATGGGCCGGCGCTCGGAGGTGGTTCATGTAACTGGCGGCGTTGAACCCGCCCGTGTATACGTCCTGGCTGTTGTACCAGGCTGCCTGGTTCCTCCTGGTTACTGCTGCGCTGCCGGCGGCGCTCAGAGCAGCTATTGTAGCGACGTCTGCGCCTCGCGCCGCCATCATCTCGCCCATGTCTCACTTGGATTCATATGAAAAGGTTACTGTTAGTTTAAATGGCCTGGCTGGAATATTGCTTTCGATGAATTCAGTCATGCCATCAATACGATGAGAGGGAAATAAGTGTGTGATATCCCGAGCATCTATATCGGTAGGTGTACAAATAAGGTGTAGGTGGTGGTTTCTGATCTGAACCCGGCGTCCTCCTGCTTGCCAAATATCTGAATTGTCACACACCGTACCTACCTCACCCTACCTAACAAACATACCTAGGTATTATTTTCTTTAGGACCGAGCTACGACTTGCTTGCAGAGACTCGCTCGGCAGGTGGCTTTGCTATGCCCTATTGTACTTTGTACTTAGTCATTCGGCCAAGCCTGTAGCACGAGCTTGACGTTCTTCGTGCGTGTTTAGTTATACAGTAGTACTACATTCAACTTTTGCGTTTGAGTTATGATACATCTGTGATGGCACGTTGCGCATTTGCACTTGACACGGCATGAAAGGAGCTTCATCATCACATGTACGAAGTTACTTACAGTATGATCTGAGCCAATGAGAGATGACTGCTGTTACGAAAGAGGACTGTGGGCACTGTGGCTCGCGCACTTACGGGCTGTGGCTCGTCTCGCTAAGTGTCGCTAAGTGCCGCCTATCGTGGCCTGCCGTAGCGAGGGTCTACGAGGGAAAAGGCTCTTCGCTAGGCGGGGCGCCGCAGTGCCTCGGATCGTTTTTTTCGGCGGGCGCGGAATGCCACGGGTCTGCACGGGCAGCAGCGAATCCACAAAGTCCAACTTGACTGGGCATCTTTTTGGTGTTTTGCGCTATTTGCAGCATTTGCATCGCAGCATTCTTCCCTATCGTCAAACTCGCTCCTCCGCTTCCTCCAGCCCGACCACACGCCTTTGTTCCCCCAAGTCCTCGAGTTTACATATCGGAACCATGCTATCGCGGAGCTCTGCCAGAACTGCTCAGGTACGCACTATCTTTGTTAGCCAATTGATCTCGCCTCGAATCCCTCATTGTCACATGTCTCAGTCCAACAAGCATCATAACTAACTTTTTTTTTCTTTCTCTTGGCAGCGCCTTGCGCGAGCAGCTTCTCGCCAGCCACACCTCCAAAATGTATCGCGCTCCTTCGCTACCGTCGAGACCGACCTTTTCAAGCCCACCAAGTTCGGCAGCAAGTACACCGTGACCCTCATCCCTGGTGATGGTATCGGTGCCGAAGTAGCAGAGAGCGTCAAGACTATCTTCAAGGCCGACAGCGTGCCCATTGACTGGGAACAGGTTGATGCCTCCGGTGTTGACAGCGGTGCCCCCGGCAGCGCCGAGGAGATGTTCCGTGAGTCTATCGCTTCGCTTAAGAGGAACAAGCTTGGATTGAAGGGTATCCTCCACACCCCTATCAGCCGATCCGGCCACCAGAGTTTCAATGTCGCCATGCGTCAGGAACTTGACATCTACGCCTCCGTCTGCCTGATCAAGAACATTCCTGGCTACGATACCCGCCACAAGGACGTCGACCTGGTCATCATTCGAGAGAACACCGAGGGTGAATACAGTGGCCTCGAGCACCAGAGCGTGCCCGGCGTCGTCGAGTCCCTCAAGATCATCACACGCCTCAAGTCCGAGCGAATCGCCAAGTTTGCCTTCGCTTTCGCCCTAGCCAACAACCGCAAGAAGGTTACTTGCATCCACAAGGCCAACATCATGAAGTTGGCTGACGGTCTCTTCCGCCGGACAGTCCAGTCCGTCGCCGCCGACTACCCCACCATCGAGGTTAATGACATGATTGTGGACAATGCTAGTATGCAGGCTGTCTCGAAGCCCCAACAGTTCGATGTCATGGTTATGCCTAACCTCTACGGTGGTATTCTGTCCAACATTGGTGCCGCCCTTGTTGGTGGACCCGGTATCGTCCCCGGCTGCAACATGGGACGTGACGTTGCTGTCTTCGAGCCCGGCTGCCGACACGTTGGTCTAGATATCAAGGGCAAGGACCAGGCCAACCCCACTGCTCTGCTCCTCTCCGGCACCATGCTTCTCCGCCACTTGGGTCTCGATGAGCACGCGAACCGCATCTCTAAGGCCGTCTACGGCGTTATCGCTGATGGGTAATTACACATTCCTTTCTATCAGTCATGGCCTTCTCACTAACTTGTAATACAGCAAGTACCGCACACGCGACATGGGCGGTGACTCCACCACTCACGAGTTCACCCGCGCCATCCTCGACAAGATGGACACCTTGTAAATAATAGATACGAACCCATTTTCCTCCCTATACCCAACCCTCGATACCACCGACCTACCCACCGCGTTCCTTCTATAGAGCTGGGGATATCACGATGATGGCAATGACTGTCACGGAGTCACGTTAGGCAATGATTTGGCCTGAAAGCTGTATTCTTAGGTAGATCAGGATAGGGCCTATTGCGTTATACAGTTCTTATGTTCAAAAAAACAAACAATATTTTGGAATGTGCGTGTCCCGCCTTGGTTGACTTCGATTTCCGCTGTCGAAGTATTGATTCGTCGTATTTGAGTCGCTATAGTTGCGCAAGTGAGCAGCCACCTGGACTTTATCTGAACACCTTCTGGTACATTGTTCATTCAGTTATTGCTAGTTTACTCACATATCTAGAATGGACCGGGGACAAGAGATTATGCTCATCATATATGTCGATTCCTCGTAGCAAGCTCACTCTCACCTTCATCAACCGTGTTCCCTGCCAATCAACTCGCATCAGCTAAGAGTGGGCATTATCTTCCTCTTAAATAGTCTCAATCCTCCGCTTGATATCATGCTTCCCACAGCTCTGATTAAAACCTCGCTTAAAGTGCGAAATCGCAGTATGGTTGTCCATCGCATGATTTCGTTCACATGTCTTCTGAAAGGTGTGAAGTAAAATGCGATTCCTCCACTGGAAAGCCGAATACACCAGCTCGTCCGCCTCACCAGGACCTACAGCATTATTGAGTATCTCAAAGCGAGATAAATGATTCAAATTAGGCCCCTTTTCTTCTCTTTTCCCATCCAACGCGAATACACAATCCAAACCCTTTTTTCACACAACAATTTCAGCCCCTCGTCAACGCTGTAAAGTCCATGTGATATTCCGTAGAAATCAGCAATTAGGTGAGCGACTACTTCCGCACGTCCTTAGACAGAGACGTTTCTAGGACGGACTTGAGAGCACGTAATGCCCCATCTCCAACGGCTGTCCGAGCCGATGTAATTGCGTATCCGGCTCCTCCCACGTGCCGAAGTGCTCGAAGCCGAGCTTCGAAAGCACGTTCTCGCTGCCCTTGTTATACGTCGCGATCTCAGCCGCCACGCGCTCCCGCGCCAGTCCCGCGCCCTCGCCCTCCCGCACCGTCTCGCCGTGCACCCTCACCTCGACCTCCTCCCGCGGCAGCGCCCACCAAGCCTCGAGCACGCCGCGCATCGCCTCCGTGGCGTACCCCTGGCCCCAGTGCGCCGGCGCCAGCTTGTACCCTATCTCCGGCCATCCCATGCCGCTGAAGCGCACCGTGTGGATCCCGCCGTCCCCGATGAGCTCGTGCGTCGCGGCGATGAAGACGCCGAATAAGAAGGTCTCGCGCGCCGGGTTGGCGAGCTCGGCGAGCGCCGCGAGTGTTTCTGCGGGCGAGACGTCCGGCTTGCCGAGGGTGCTTTCCGACATGAATGCTGGGTCGCTCCGGAGCTTGTAGTACGCTTCTGCGTCGGAGGGGGTTAGGGGCCGGAGGAGGAGGCGGGGTGTGAGGATTGGTGCTCGTGTTGAGGGCGGTGGTAAAGGGAGTCGCGGGAGCGTTGTGCGGATTATTGTGGTGGGAGTTTTTGAGGTCATTTTTGCGAGGGGGAGTTTGGGTTGTTGGATGTATGATTTGATGTATACACGGCTTTTCGTGGATCGTCAATCGGATGCTTTATACTCTGTTTATTTCTATAGGTCTATGGGACTTTATATCTCGGAATTCTTCTTTGTGGTATTTCATGGTCTTGTATTAAGCAAGGCGTGTGACTCACTTCCGCACCGGCTTATGAGTCTTCAATGACCGGTTCAGCCCAGGGGCTGAAAGTGGTGACACCGCAATCCCCTGTATTTACCTGTATCTTTGTGGTGTTTGGTTCTGTTTCGCTTTTCTTTCTCCATTCTCTCTTTTCTTCTTCCTGGTGTTTCGGCTTGACACGTTTTGAGGTGCTGGCATGAGATGCCAATGAAACCCAGCCGTCAGAATGTTTTGCGAGTGCCACCCTAACTACGATGGTGGGCTATCAGGGCACTATAGACGAAAATTGGAATTTGTGAGTCCCTATATGATTTTAAACTGCTTTGAATCTTCCTAGACTTTTTTATGAGAGCGTAAATCGACCATCAACGCTCACCCATGCTAAGATACTTGTACGGCAAAATGCTACGGCTGAAGGACATACGTAGCACAGAAGCCGGCCCTTACAGGGATAAGGCTAACCTAGGGTAATAGATGGCGTCACGAACATTAGGCAGACCGACCGGCTGGTTCGCCGAGTGGCTAGCTGACTAGTGGGTGATTGAGATCTTCACTGGTCCACTGTGAATGCTTCTAGAAAGATTCATTCAAGACCCCTCTTACCGGTAGTGTCAGTATGTCGTTGTGATGTATGATTCAGAGCATCTGAATTAAGTGCTCGTTAGGGTGTTTCCCGTGTGTCCCCCAAGTGGTAATCTATAGGCGAGAGAGAGAGGGGGGGGGGGGGGGGGGGTCAGGAGAAGAAGGGACGAAAAGAATATGAAGATTAGAGAGAAAGAGAAGAAAAATAGAATTATTGTGTTTGAGTGTAGGTGTATTCTCACTTGGTATGAATCGCGACTGTGAGCCTCAAGTCGAAACCTCGAAGTCGATACGTTGCTATCCGTCCTCCATTTCAACATGATTTGTATATTCATAGGCCTCCAGTGCAGACACGCAACAAAGGACCCAGCTCTAGTGTGCAGTAGTCATGCACTCACGGTACGGATTCCGAATCGTCTAAAAAGCGCAACCATGTCCCCATATATGGCTGCTTAATGCCAAGAGGAGGCGAGAGCGCCCGCAGAGAAGGGAGCAGGGATATGGAAGCGTGAAGACAAGCCACAATTGATCTCCTGACAGCGTTTGCGACGAGGCGAGTGCCGATGCAAGCAACCGTAATCTTGGTAAGATCTGGCCTCATGCTGATACCTAGTCGATTTCGTTGCAAATTACGATCCTTAGTTCATAAGTCGCTGTGAGTGTGTAGGTACCCATGCGAGGTTTCTACTGTACGTCTGTTCATCATTGGGATTGCATTCGCAGATTCTACATAGGACTGAATATCGTGTAGCCAGGTCCATCGGCATCTACCTCTATCATATTCAATACCAGTGGACACACGAGTCAGAAGGGCTTACACGATAGTATTGCCAACGGACATGTGCTTCATGTCTTCTCTTATCTGGTAGGTCCACGGCGGCACGTGCTACGCTTTGCTTGAAGAGGTGGGCTCTTATATGGGCGGACTCTCCTCGGTGACAGACTAGCATCTAAAGCAATGGGGTTCGGCAATCTTATATCACAAGCCGGCGACCGCTATGCCTTCAGCTATTTGACGACGGTGCGATTCCGGGAAATGACGTCGAAAAGGGGTTTCCTCGAGAAGCTCCACGATGTTGAAATCCTAAGCATACTAGAATGTGAAGAATACCTCTTGTATGAATGCCTAGCATTACAGTGCCTATCACCGGCGATGTTCGGCGAAGCTTTCAGCAGCCCACCTTGGCGAGCGGTGCCGAGGAGCTTGCTAACGTGGCGACGCAATGCGCGGACTCGAGGTCGAGCACGTGTCTGCGCTATCATCGCGGTAGTGCCAGAGCTGCTGCGTTGCTTGCTCCAATGCGAGGCGGACTGCGAGGCAAATTGCGCCGCCCGAGAGCTTGTCATGCACATTTCGGTCACGCATGCCATATCGGTATATCACTAGTGATACTCAGCTATGAGCCTAGTAGTATGACATACGGTAGCACATGGTATTTTCGACGAAGAGCTCTCGTTGCCACGCAATGATCTAGGTATTTCATGAGATGGCGTCTCTCTTCTGCCCCACGTTCGCTCGCCTACATACATAGTCGAGATAGTGCTATGGGGATGGGGGAGAGGAAGGTCGCTCTTGACACTAGTTCACGTCAGCGAATACTTACATATAAGTATGCGGGCCACATTCATGTCTTTTGACCAGGTTGGGATAAGCTAGCATAGCCAACTGCCAACCTCGGTTAATGTCGTGAAGAGAGGCTACCTAGTGAAATGCGTAGTGTCTGCCGGCTATGACAAGATGGGTGATTGCAGAGAGCATGAGGAATGTTATGACTGACACATATAAGCAAGCTCTTAGCCCTGAGTCGAGTCGGGTAAGACTTGTCAAAGAATCCAACAGCGCAGGGATCCCCCGCTACCTACCTTGACCCAGATATCTGTTCCTACGTAGTGGTAAGGTCGCCTGATTGACTTCTTACCTATATCCCGTTAAAATAGTCCACGTCGTTTAATAAATAGCACATGATGACAGTCTCTACCTATCTACACATGTACCTATCTGGGTACATCATAAGGCACCTACAAAGGCTACTAGATGTAGCTACACTTATGGAGTAGGTACTTAAGTAGGCACGCTACAGTAGGTAGTAGTAAGTAGGTAACACGTCGACTTCACACAGCCCCGCGAGCTGAGAACACCACCCTCCTGCGACTGCTGCAACCTCAGCTGCAGCCACTCATCGCACGTAAGCTTCAAATTCTCGCTCCCGTATCGCTGATCCCCCTAATTCTAACGTCGCAACGGCTCTCGTACAGCAAGGGCCCTGCTTTGGAGTATCAACGGCATCTGCCAGTCAACGCGGTTCCTCCCATCGTCAACAGAGATCCCCTGCGAGCGAGAGACCCGGCCCGACCAGTTGGTTGGGCAAACTAGCCCTATCACATATCCTGGTCACCCCAGCTAAGTCGATGGGGAGTGGAACGACTGGAGATCGTCGTCGCCGCAGTCGGCCAATCAGGCTGGCCACCGTTGTCGCGCCCCTGGGTGACGAACGCCGCCAAGATGGTGGTCGAGCCTGTCTCCAGATCCAGGGTAGGTATCCTGAGTCTGTCCTGAGGGGCTCATATGGGTGCGCCATCAACGCTCTAACCTAGGTACCCATCTAGGCATCCCAGGGTCCTACACTCGATCTAAGTAACATACCAGTTCTGTTCACCATATGTGGTTACTACCGTCGAAGTTGCTATGAATCCTATCTCGCCATTGGCTTGCACCGGAAATCAGCCTCATCCCTGCAGGCTACCTGGAGTTAGGTAGGTAGGTAGTACGGGAGGGTGCTTTCCCACACCCTCTCCATGCCCCGTTTCTGCATGTCTTACCTCGCCTGTCTTTGTCTGAGCTCGTAAGCCCATGATTGTCATTTTCTCCCCCTTCCACCATTCTATGTCATGGTATTGAGTGTTAGCCTGCCTTGACGAACCTCGCATCAACCGGTCGAAAGCAGCTCATGGGAGCGATTCGGTTCCGACCATTGAATTGAACGTCGAGATCACTACCTCTACAGTTTGAGTAGTGCGAGAGCGGTGCCGCCCGCTTCCGCCTGCACCTACTCCGATCCTACCAACATCAGCACCCCGCTCTGAGCTTGTGGTCGCAACTTTGCGACACAAAACGATTCGTGCGATGGCTGAGGAAGTAGAGGCATTGGTCCTCGCACAATTTAGAGAAATTGTTGAGAAAGGCAAGGCTGCTATTGAGAATGTCGAAAGCGCAGGCAGCGAGGCGCCCGCACCAATGCTCAAGGCAGCACAAAGTCTGGTTGATTGGGGCGAAAAGGCATTGAAGAAAATTGAGCCTGTGTCAACAGCTAACTATGAAGAATATGGGAGCCACTTCGTCAATGCGCTCAAGGAGAACGGTACGATTTATCATTCAGCTAGCTGTTCTCATTCTGCGGCTATGTACTAATATGCACTTTTAGATGAAATCGCGCAATTTCGCTCGCAACTTGAAGAGTTGTTATGGGATTTTGATGAATACATTGAGGTAAAGCAGTTCGATGCCGACAAGTTCAGCGAGCTCCAAAAAGTTTCAAAGACCGCTGCTCTGAAGATAGTAGATATCTTGAGGCGCATGATGAAGCTTGTTCCTCCGGTACCAATACTACATTCTCATGCTCAATCAGAAGCAGGGCCGTCGATGAGTATGAATGCCCATCTGATACCGGAAAACAAAGGGAAGCTGACTAGGTATTTAGATGGGAGTGTAAGCGGTGCGATAACCGCAGAAGCTGGCCTTGATAATTCACTTCCCAATAATACAGAAGCACTGAGATCCTCCCGACCCGCCAGTGATATTGATAGGACAAGCTGGCGTCGTTCAGGACCTTCCGAGCCACCCTCTGGGCCACCACCAGCACCGCCTTCAATCAATCCATGGCAAGTTGGAAAGTTACCAACTAGCCCAGTCGCAAATCCTGAAGAGTGGGAGGGGTACGAGCGAAGGCCTCCAGTTGCACCTGATTCACCGACCATTCCCCAAACGCAACTAGTCAGCCCAACCAAAAGCCAGATAGATGATCTACGGTCTCGCGAAGTAGATGAGGATGGCATACGCGATGAGCATGAACAACAATTGCGAGCAGCTTCGCGGAGTGAGGGGTCCTTGTCACCCCTGCAGACGAATAGATGGACCACTTCGACCCAGGGCTCAACCGACTCGGCGCGGTCACCTCATATGCGCTCTCACGCTGGCTTCGGTCGCAACTATGAAACCTTCGCACCATCTCAGGGATATGGGATTGCTATTAGTCGAGCTCCATCGGGAACATCAGCGACGGGAAACCTATCGCCAAGACCAGACATCAGACCAGGAAGCCGTGCCGCCAGTAGCCTTGGCCGAGATCAGGATAATAACATTACGGTCCAATCCAGCTACCCCCCAAGAACAACGTCAGTGACAAATCAGAACTCTTCTTCTTATGTTCTCTCGTCACGTAGGCCGTCGACTGAATCTATTAATAGTTCTGTCTTCGACGTCGTTGAATCATTAAGCCCAACAGACACCGGTGCTTCTAGGGCGAATCGGCCATCAGTTCAATCACCAACAGCGCCGTATCAAGCCGCAGGTTTTCCACCGCCGAGATATCCAGGACCTCCACCTCTATATCAAAGTCCAGTACCGGCTAGGCGTGCCTCAGGAATGACGATCCAAAGTCAATCTTCAGGTGGTCGTACAGCACATCCAGCTATGAGCCCAAGGGGGCTGGACGAAGGACTAATTCCCGTGGACATGGAATCCTCTCTGAATGAAGCTCCCATCCGGGTTCGAGAACCCGATTGCGCAATTACTCCCGCTAGCTCTTTTTACAAACAGAAAGGGCTCTGCAAAGGCGCGGAAGAAGCGCAACGCGGCCAACTGGGGTTCAAGAGAATCAAGAGACCTGTTGGTGTAAGTCATGCATTCAACTAATCTTTTTGTCTGAAGTAAACAATTTGCTAAACATTCTTCTAGGGATTTTCCACTGCGATAGTTGCTAAGTGCACTCATTGTCTTTTTGAACTCGACTTCAAATCTGTGGAACAAGATTTGAACAACGAGTGTAAGTACCCCAACATTATTCAAATAGCATTTTAAAGGGGAGGAATGTGAGGAGAACAAAGCGAAGGATGAGAGAAGATGGACCGCTAATGAAACCTGTAGCTTCCGGAAGCTTCACGTCAAATACTATCGGATTTCGCCTAAGAATCCTCCAGAAAAGTCATCTGCCGATCCGCGTGATAGACGAGCAGCTATATAGCTGTTTGTTTTGCATTCAGTTGGGCCACACCTTGGAAGAAAGCGACGCGACGGTTTTTTTCAACCAGAAGCAGCTGTTTGCGCACCTGGCTCGACACCCCCGACCTCTACCAAGGATACCCGGAGTCACGGTCATCGAAGACCCCGAACTGCCACCACACCTCAAAGATAACTTTGACCTTCACTTCCCCCACCCACCCACCGAATCCGTCATGGTTGGCATCACCAGAGAGGTTGCCAGACTCCCTACGGCCGTGGCAACTGACACGAGGAAGATATCGCAAGGGGTCATGCGACTTCCCCCAGACCGTCAAGCTGCTTTGCATTTCTGTATTGGTGCCAAAATTGTCGGCATCGAGTTCCCAATCAAGTACGAAGGAAAGTGGGCCATTGGCTGGCATGATGGTGTGCGCGCAGTATTTGAGGCGGATGCTGTGCAGCTCCAGGCACCGCCCAATTCGGAGGTGAAGATGCAAGGTACAAGCAGTATTCAGGCCGTGGCGAGGTGGAAATGGAATCAGAAAGGTGACGATCGATGGCTCAAATTTGATAAGGGAGATATCATCAAGAATATCTCATGTGAGTCCCCAAACAGACTTCATTTCACGTCAAACCCCTTTCTCTCTTTCTGGCTCATCTTACATGGCCCCTCCCTTTATCGCTCCAATCTTTCATCTACTTTGATATCTAACATTGAATAACGTAGGGGCCTACGCCGATCATTGGTGCTGGTCCGGCACAACGTCGAAAGGAAGCGGCTTATTCCCGCAATCACACCTTGACCCCAACTCGATCAAGACGAGCGACTCTGAGGATGGGGGTAGTGTGGCAAGCTGGGAGAAGAAGAACCCGCTGAAATTCTCCCTCCGTGGTAAGAAGGAGAGCCGGAAAGCAGGCTCCTTCTCTTCGCAAGAGGGGTGGAAATCGAATATCTACTAGCGACGCCTCCTTTTTCCGCAAAAGTGGTGATCTAAGGAGGAATCTTTAGACGAACGGGAGCTATGATGAGTCCTATCTGACGAATGATGATTTCATGGGATGACATTTGGGTAGTGACGATGATCGCTTCTGAATACTGGCGACGAGGATGAAGAGACGAGGATACGGATAACAACTTCCTTCCTTGCTTTTCTTGTTATCAGGGTTTATTTTCCTTTCTTTCTGTATATCTTCTGGTTATTGCGACTATACCCTTTCCGTTTTACCCTCCTAGTCAAATCTTCTTCGTGTATATATGTACTGTACGTGGCTTTTGTACTCTATTGGCGATCTCACTTTGTCAAAACTATCAAAACCATATACTATAGAGGGAGGTAGACTCTAGAATGGCTTCGCGGAAATAAGACTGCATACCTTGCATCAGTTTACTTGTGGAGATTCGCTTTGATCTTGAAGCGAGTGCTACTTCGCTTTTGATGATTGTTGTGCTTAGCATCCTGGCGATAAAGTGAGAATTTGCGATGTGCAGGTGAGGTGTGTTCAGGATGTCAAGAAGTAAGCACGGGAAGACACAGTCAAGCGTTATATGAATACTGCTTTAAAAAGGTGAAATTAGTTAGCCTTTGCGGTACATGGTTAGTTGCCAGTTAAGATGATTTGGGACTGAATATGCTTAAGGGGGTCTAATAAGAATGTGAGGAATTAATCTTGTGAACAGCGAATAGTGAGTCAATCTTAGGAGCATTACTGCGCGTAGTAGTCTTAGTGTTTATTTTGATTAACTTTTTCTTTTTTGGACAAGGCTATTGAATGGGCATAACTAAGATGCGTTTCTTGAACTTTGTTCCTGATATGTTTACATATACCACCTGATAATTAAATGCGTGCCGCGGCCAGTTTTCCACTTTGACATGAATCAACTCCGAATACGATAGTTAATGGTATTAAAGCTAGGTATGTCCATTGAGAAGAGTTGCAAACAGGTAGAAGTTTAAGATAGCGCAGAGGGTAAAGTTCGAGTAGCACGTGCCGTTCGATGTGTAACGTAATCCTGGTCTTTATTGGGATTTGGGCTCAGTGTTAGGATAAACTCAGGGAACATGGTATCCCCTAAGTCTTGTTAATCCCTTACAGTTTCTATATTATATATAGTTCACATAGCTTTTCTCTGCCCCTTTCCCCTTTTCTTGATGTTCTCCACATCTACTCTTTTCCGCTTACGCCCTTGTCAATCGCATCGGCACACACTCTGCCTGGAGCCACGGACATGGATCATCGACTGGAATAGCAAGTTCGAGTTTGAACCGGGTATGACTGTCATTGATGTGGACAAAGGCTCCTATGCCATTCTGCTGTCGGCGGAGAAGAGGTGCTATACAGAGGAAGACCAGCCATAATGCCCTGCACTTCAGCCTCTTTCTGCGCATCAATGGCTGAGAGCGTTCGGTCTGCATTCCGAAGACCCCGACAAAGACGCCGTCTGGGACTGTGAGACTGGCGATGTCGCACCTGTCATGTTGAAGATGGCGCTCCAAGAGCTGTGGCCCTCGTTTCCACGGGACAAGAACGAGAACAGCGAGGAAGGGGACGTGAACGAGAGCAAGGCCGAAGCACCTAGATCGACGAAGCCCAAATCGGCGCCCAATTCATTCAACGAGGACCTGCCCATGTTCTGCTCCAAAGGGGAGCTGAATACCCAGAAGAGAGAAAACGAGATTCGTTCCCTGCGGCGCTACACGCAGGATCACCCTAAGCGATTCACGGCTGAATGCCCCAGTGCTGTGCCGCTGCTCTTGGGCGGGAAAGAGAGACACCTCAAGACGGTGGACCTTTCCTTCGTCGCTGGAGTATGAAGGGGCACGTGGTCCGCATCCTGGATACGACTGGCGGCGTGAAGGAGCTGATCATATGGGATAACCCAAACATGGTCTGGAACGAGGTGGCAAGTGTAGCGAAGGGCCGTATTGCCAAGTTTTCGAGGCGTGAACGCTATGTGGCCCCATGGAGAAACTGTTGTGAAGAGATGAGAGGCCTGGAAAGAGACTGTCCGCAGGTCCCAGCCTGCGCTCCCAACGGCGCCGACGAAGGTGCGCATCTATCAGACGGCGTGGATGACGCTCGGTACCCATTCAATCGATGACGCAGCGCCACAGCCAGCCGGTCTGCTGCATGATCGCCCCCTCACCACGCTGAGCCTCGAGGACATCGATCCCCAGAAGTTCGCCATGTTAATGTACCCAATTAATCAAAACGACGCGATATACCGCTACCCTGCGGAGACCACAAATCTCATCTTCGCCGAACTCGTCGCCCTGCCGCAGCATAACATCTGGGTTCCACTCGACCAGTACTATACGTCTATGAAACGCAGCGAACAGTTTGTACCGCATGAGAACATTATTACAAGCACCACTCTGACCGATCGTTGGGTACTGTGCCCTCTTATGATTTTAAGCGCAGGGAGCGCCGAGGTACGTAGGGTTTCGGCCCCTATGTTCATCCACGTCTTCGAGAAAATCCAAGCTAATCAATCTAAACAGTCCGAATATGCCGTGACCTCCCCTTTCCCAGCCGAGGCTTTCCGCCTCGTCATGCGGGAGAGGATGGACGGGAACCAGCACAGGAAACCGCTACGGGCCCGCGAGCCCGATCCCGTCCTCCCCGGCGAGTACGCGCTGGTAATTCTAGAGGAGCTGAACCTCGGACGCCTGAGGTACGGGATGGTGACGCGCGACGAGACGGGGCGGCTCGAGGTGCACAGCCCTGCGGCGGTGGCCCGGGAGGCGGGCGACGAGATTAGTTTCCTGAAGTCATATATTTTCTCGCCTGGGCAGGTTTCGGGTCTCATTGCTTCTGCAACGTCCTGAAACCTGAGTTGAACCCTTTCTCTACTTGGGAATTACTGACTTCGGGGCGTATAATAGGAGGCGGCTCACGCGTGGGAGCGGGGCGTCGGGGCGCTGCCGCAGTGGAAAACGGGGGAGAAGCCGCCGACGGAAGAGTGCCACATCGTGATGCTTGACACGGCCGCCGTCGAGACAATGTTGGACCCGTCTGCGGAGCTCGCTGCGCGGGAGAAGGAAATCAGGGATGAGATCAAAGATAGAAAGTCTACGGGAAGGGGGGTCGAGTCCGCGTTTTTCAGATGCCCAGCAAACAGAGGAAATAATAGAAAAAGGAAGGGGAATCTGTCTGCGGTGATAAAAGTCGGCAGCGAGGCTTTTGAAGGATAATGATGAGATAGACTGTTGTGCGAGGACGGCGGCCCTGTATGTCCCGCAGAGCCTCAATGCGTCTCTGCTTCTGGCTTATAGCACAATCTTCTATTGCGACTACACTGTAGAACACGAGATATCTTCACGAATTGTGGCGTTTTTGTGAAATCTGGGCGATGTCTATCGAGGTATGGCCGTTGTGATTGTACCTAAGTTGTACAGGGGAGGATTGGCCATGTGCCCCCACTGTGACTATCAAAATACCGTACATAGCGTAGGTAATAACTGCCTATGAAGTCGTAGCTTATGATTTTAGTAACCAGAAGTAAGGCAATGAAGATTAGGCTCGATGCTGAATATAGACATCAGAAATCCTTGTGATATCTTGTAATAGCATTCTTTTCCACGGACTCTGGTAATCCCACTTTATGTGGTTGGCGGTGGCCCCCATGAAACCGTCAGTTCACCCGGTCTTATAGGATCTCGTTCCTATCTCGATCGGGTTGCTTTTACATAAAAGAACAAGATAAAACGCGGGGGTTCTGGGGGATCGAGGGAAGGCCTTGAACATTTTGTAATAGAGGTGGTTGACGTTCCATGAGATACACCTATCAGTATCAACTGATGGAAGGGCGGGCGGCCATTTACAAGCATCATGTCAATACATGGCAAAGTTGCAGGGAAGCACACCATATCTATTTAACTTTGCGTATTGAGTAGCTAGTCAATGTTCTCCAATCAGCCAAGGCATGGCGATGTTGCCGTCGTTGCATCTTGAATCAGCCTAGCTCCTTGGCTTTTGGATCACAAAAGGCAGTTGACAAACTGTCGTTATCTTTGGGAGTTCTCAGATACTATATGACCGTGCGCTTCATTGGCTGGAAATCTAACTATCGAGTTACCTGATAAACAATGCATCACCCATGGTGGGATGAGCCAAGTCCTTTATAGCCGAGGTTAATTAGTAAACAAAGTGTGGCGGGGACTCATGCTCTCCGTGTTGGCTGCGATTAACAACACGCCTTACTTACTACGTAAGTATTGCTATCTGAAATAGTCCGGGGTAGCGTAGCCCCCACTCGATTCATGATGCTGGCTAGCTGTACTGTAGTGGTCTTTTGGTTCGTGTTCAACAATTTGTAAACTTGACGTTGGAATACAGACTCGAGGCAGGGTCAAGCGATCGAGAGCAGCGTGGGTTAAGGTCTGATCGAGGCCCAATGAAGCAGCCGGCTGCCTTGAACGCTACGCTGCTTTCAGACGGAGCTGGTCAGCTGCTATGCACGAGGAACCAACAGCGAGCTCTTTCTGACAGCACCGCCCGGCTACTGGTCAGACTCTCTCGCCAAAGTAGTGTCGCGGCGTTCTTCGATCGACAACGTGGGAACCCTTGTCAACCAATCCATCGGTATTTTTAGTGCGTGTTATAGCGCACACGCTAGCAGTAACCTCGAGACGAGCATCTGGGATGACGATCCCTCGACCGCTGTATCTGTCAAGCGTCAAATAGAGCAAGCAGGGAGGGTAGCTTAGGAAAATAGTGTTCATAGTGTCGGGTCGCTCGGCCTGTGCTTATTAAATGAAACAGACAGCCGAAAGCTGTTGTTGGTAAGCGCTATATAGGCTCATGCCTAGGGTTACGTAGTGATGGTCTCCGTGTCCATTGCCCATGACCCATACTTAGTCCATATCAGAACGGGTTGTTTATTGAATGTCCAGATGCTACTGTCTGCTCTAGGTCCGGCCACCTACTCTAGGTAGCTTTACTGTATAGGATTGCAGGGTTGGCGAGTACAGGGACATCGTAACCCAGGCGGACAGATGAACGCAACATAGTGCTATTGGAAGTTTTAAAATGTGATTCTTTCGATGACAGTTGTGTTTCGAACACAAAGAAAGGGAACATACAGAAAAGTAAAGTGCATAGAATTAAATGTGGAGGGAACATGGCGGATTGTATCAAGTGGTTTCGAGAAGCACGCGAAGTCCAGGGATCAGCCTATGATGAGTACTACCGGTATATAAGTGACATCAGTAAAGCATGCACACTACCGTATCTACTATGTACAAGTGTGTTACTTAAGTATAGAAGTACCTAACCTACTTATATGTACTATAGTAAGGGTGGTGAGGGCATTGTGGACGCCAGAAATAGTGGCTGACGGATGCCGAAGGAAGATGTTTAGTGCGACAAATGTTCCAGGTGCAGCGCAGCGGCGTCGGGAGCTTCCAGGGAGGTTATCTTTAAATAGCTGCTGGTGGTAGGCGGCTGACGGGAGGTTAATCTGAGCTCTGGCCAATGCTAACGTGTCGGTCTTAAGCCTGAGGATATTAGTATTAAGGTGATATTAATGCTGACTAGGTATTCATTAAAACACGACCCGGCTGTTGGCTGCAGCTATTCACGGTTTCCGCTTTCCCACTGCGCATTGCCGCGACTTCACTATCGTAGGTATCGTGTGTACCTACTCAAGGCAATGTAGGTATACCTAAATGTTATCTCATCACCATCCTTTGAACGAGACTCCTCTCATTCTTCAATACATTGACACCCATAAGGTATGGCTTTGACATAGGTGGTAAGTACGGTATTATAGTGGTCTATATCTCCTCTTACACCCGTGACGCATACAGAGTGCCTGAGGTTAGGACTTTGGCGCCTCCCTCTGTTCTATTCTGCTTCGAGAAACCTGTAGCCGGCTGAGCCGCCCTGCCCTCGTGGTGAGATGATCTGCGCCAGGTCGCTGTAGTGTGGTGTGGAGCTGGTAAGATAGGTACCTAAGATATTACTTCGTAGTTAGGTAGTAGAAATACCGTAATAGTAGGTAGGTAGTATCAGGCCAATCAAGGGCTAAGGCAACTATTCGCGCCCTACTCTATGTAGGTAGTCTGTATTGGTTGAGTCTGGTTGAGCTCATAGCTCGTTGAGCTCTGCCGAATGACGGAAAGAGAACTGAAGCTGTCTTTGGTCAATCTCGCCTGCCTGTCCGCCTAGCTATTCCATCTCACTTACCAACTTACCTACCTCGTCAACTTCCTGTCCTGTATGAATCATCATATGTGCATATTATCTCAATTATCTCAATCATCAAACAGCCAGGTAATACCCTCCCCCCTCCATCCCCAGGTGCCTCTGTTGTACGTACCTATTCCATTGAGTACGTACCTGCATAGATCTTACCCCATCTTTATTACTGTACCTTCAGCTACCGTGGGAGGTAGGTAAAGTAAGTACTGCTCAGGTGCTCGCTCGCCCTTGCCATCTCGCCCAAGCTTCAAAAAGTTGTTGCGACGTCGATCGTAGCTGTCGCGACTGTCCAACATCCATTTCTCTCCTCGTCATCGTCTCTTGTTTCTCCGAGTCAACGCTTCTTATGCTGTCTCGGTCAATTGAACTGAGTTGGCTGCCTCGACATTACGTACCGTACCCGTACCTACTTTCCGCACGAGACCAGCTACCTATACCTAGCTGTCCGGGACCCATCGCTGTATTGTGGTACTGTGTGTAGAGTGTTAGAGCAAGTAAGTCAGTCAGTCCTACCTACCTACCTACCTAAGCTTCCAACGTCATACAACCTACCATATTACCTACCTGCTTTTATTTTGTTTCTCCCTCCCCTTCCCCCCCAGTCGGCCCGGGTCTCCCCGTCTGCCTTTCACTCTCTTACTATATCCATGTTCCCAATGTCAATTGTTTGTGCCTCTTGTTGTGTTTCATCGGGACAAGAGGACACATCGTAGAGCGCGGCTTTGCCTGCTCAGACGATTCTCAGGTGCTCTTCGGATGGTCAGACCTCAACCAACCAGTGATTGAATCAGTGATTGGGTCATCCTCGCTCAATTGCACTCAAGTCTACGCCGTCCTCTTTCCCCTGCTCGTGTCCATTCGCTTATACACCGCAAAAAGTCGGCTTGCACACCGGCATTTGCGTTGTTCACACGTCGTCTACCCTAGTCAAGATCACTTCTTTGTACATTGGCGGATTTGACTCGGCGTCACACCGACGTCAAGTGACAGGCCTCCTACAGTACCTACCTAAGCTTAGAGCTCTGGGCTGCGTCTTCTCTGCATCCCGTCTGCATCCGCCAGCACAAAAACTCTACGCGTTTGTTTTGGCATTTTCTGCACGTCCTCGACAAAAGAAGTCAACTTTGGCTCAACCCCCTTTCTAAACTACCGCTATTTTACAAAGTTAGATTGCCTGTAATTCCGCCCTGTCCCAGCGCAGGCCCGGCCCAGCCCAGCCATTCACCATCTAATCCGTGCCCGTGGTCTAGTAAACCGTTAGCGCCGTGGCTTCACCGTACTAGGTACCTAAGAGGTAACCCACATATTCAGCATACTGCGTATGTCTTGCTCTCCGCATCCGCCTCCAAAGGGTTTGTTCTATCTAGTCTGCCTACCTCGACAGCCTACGGCGCTATCATAGCTGACACCTGCTCTTGGGTGGCTAGTATATCTCTCACCATCAAACAGCTGCTAAACAGCCACATCGACAGATACACACGTCTTGTTTCCATTGCCGTTCGGCCTGCTTGGCTTTCGAATTGACGACACATTCTCACCATCACCTCATCCTCGCAAAGCCTCCCGTGTACATGCTCCAGGCTGTTCCTTGCGCCTCATTCTAAGCTTGACCCATTCAGCCGAGATTATCGATACCGACACTTATACCGAAAGTTTCCCATAGCCTCGCGCTCACGAGACGCCTCGCTCGAGTCTTTCACGCCATGTGTCTATAGCCCTTGACTTGGTCTTCTCCGCTGTTCACATATTCCATCCCTTGCTTCAAGACCTACTTCCGATTGCCTCGAGTGTCCATAGGGACCGCTTGTTCTACACATGATGGGCGCATGCATGAGCTCCAATAAGGAGGATGAGGAGCAGAAGAAGCGCAGTCAGGCCATCGACCGGGCCCTGGACGAAGACTCAAAAAAACTACGACGAGAATGCAAAATATTACTGCTCGGTAGGTTCCTCCTATAGCACTTCTAAGTGATGACCGACAGGCCTTTACTGATGAGCTTTTGCAAGGCTCGGGCGAAAGCGGCAAGTCGACCATCGTCAAGCAGATGAAAATCATACACCTGAAAGGCTATTCGGAGGAGGAATTGTATAATTATCGTGCCACCGTCTTCAAGAACCTGATCGAGTGCGCCAAGGCAGTCATCATTGCCATGGACCAATTCGATATCGAACCGAGCAGCGAGGAAACAAAAGACTATTGTGAATATCTACTCGGTTACACTGTCGAGGCAGGACCCCAGGCTCGCATAGAATCTAAAGTTGGTACCGCGGTGCAGGCGTTATGGACAGATCCTTGCATAGATCAGCTTATGCAACACGCTACCGAATTCTATTTGATGGACTCAGCTGAATAGTAAGTCAGACTTCTAGTCACCTAGGCCTTAACACTCACCTATTTGCAGCTTCTTTGACGAGGTCCAGCGGATTTGTGCCCCAGACTATCTTCCTAATGAGATGGACGTTCTTCGTGCCAGAACTAAAACCACGGGTATCTATGAGACTAGATTCCAAATGGGCGCACTCAGTATACAGTAGGTTTATCAAGCATATCTCCCGGGTTATGGCACTAAAAACTCCATTTAGCATGTTTGACGTTGGAGGTCAAAGAAGCGAACGGAAGAAATGGATTCACTGTTTTGAAAACGTCACATCCATCATTTTCTGCGTAGCTCTGAGCGAGTATGATCAAGTACTTCTCGAAGAAAGCAGCCAGGTAAGTAGTCGTTACCTATGTCATGAAGACATTCGCTTATTGGTGGGCAGAATCGCATGATGGAGAGCTTATTGTTATTCGACTCCGTTGTGAATTCGAGGTGGTTCATGAGAACCAGCATCATATTGTTTCTAAACAAGGTCGATATCTTCAAGGCGAAATTACCGAGGTCGCCACTGGGCAACTATTTTCCAGACTATTCTGGTGGCAATGATGTGAATAAGGCAGCAAAGTATCTCTTGTGGAGATTCAACCAAGTCAATAGGGCTCACTTAAATTTATACCCCCAGTATGTTGATATTCACTTCCTTATCATGAGCAGAATCTGACTTCGCGGCGCAGCCTTACTCAAGCCACCGACACATCCAACATACGATTGGTGTTTGCAGCGGTCAAGGAAACGATCCTCAACAATGCACTTAAGGATTCCGGCATTTTGTGAAGTCGGTTCTTTCCATTAGTTGAGGCTCTCGATTTACTTGCTACAATTTGGCATCAAGACCTAAAAAGCATCGGGTCGGAGTTTTGTGAGATTATTACAACTTGTTTCCTGGCAAGGCGTTTGGGACACGGCAGGAGTGCCAAGGCAGGAATTCTTCTCAGCATGTGGAATGATACACGATACGCGGTTATTAAGAATTTGAACGACCTCCGCGAAGGGAATCGGAAGGAGTTATTGTCTTTATAGAAGAAGACTCAGCCATACCTATTTTTTTCACAGCAGTCAGTATTCGATGTTCGAATCAGGATTTGGAGGAACATTCGCTTGATGGATTAGACCCGGGAAAGTACTCGAAGCCACTGCGGCTAGCTCATAGCGACGACAAGACACAAGAATTCAAGATCGAATAGCTTGAGAGCGGAGGGCTACCTTGTCGCGCCACAAGATACCTCTTCGTTGGTTGATATCAACAGGACCTTGTTTTGTACTCTTGACAGACATCATATGTCATAATAAAGGCCATTCCCAAAAGTCTCCAAGGCTGCCTTTTTACCTATGTTTCAGACAGTCTAAGCTCGACTTGCTTGCCCAAGTTGATACGCTAGGAGTTAATGTCCGGAGCTAGGCGAACTATCTGGGATACTATATATTCATGACACGAGATCATGAGTGGAAGGAATACTCAGTTATTACACTGTTATTGTTGAGGACCAAATGATAACATTGCAGCAAGTGGGATGATAGTGGTTTTATGAATCCAGAACGAGCGCTGTGCAACATATTACACATTGACGCCCTAAGCACTGATGGTACTCAGCGTCATAGACAGTTGCTTAGGGCGCTTATCAGTAACCACAGATTAAAAATATGCATCAGTTGAGTTTTGTCACAGAAACATACCCGAGCACCGTTAGACGAAGATAAGCTGGGATACAGCTCCCAATGACACAGGAATGTTAAGCATATCGAATAACCTACCCATTAAATGCTGGTACTATGTCCAATCTTGCTCTGGAGAAGTGGACTTGGTCTTGTTAGACGCTCCATGTATATCTCTCATGTTCATATATTTGAGGAGATCGATGGCCTTTTGGTTTTTTTTTTCCCTTAGTGCTGAGCCTGACTGTGGGTTCTATTTCCCGTCTAGTTCTTACACCAGTTTTTGATATCATACTGCTGATGCTGGGTCTGCCAAGACCGTTTCAATTTCTCAATCCATTAATCTGTAGGTAAAACTATAGATTAAACTCATAACTTGCACTCGTAGTAATCCCCTGTACTTCAGCATATACCTTGAAACTGCTGTTCAAGGAAAAGTTTCTCCTCAGCTTGGGTTACCATTTATGTACATCTACATGTTTCTTGATATAGTCTAGCACGGTTTGACCTGGTACGATCAATACAGTCCCCGTGCTCGGACTGCCAGCTACAACCATGCCGATCATCTTCGGTACTCCATTTGATACTGGAAAGGCCCAACTCCCGCAATCTCCTGGACGTAACGGTGTCGATAATTTGGCTAGGTAGAACCTTTGGAAGCCAGTGGTTCCATATTGAGCATAGAATGCTGTTGCGGAAAGTCGACCGGGTACCGGCCACGGAGAGCTAAGCGGTCTAACGTAAATGCCCACATCGTCGTCGATGGACTCGATGGTGTTGGCGAACCTCGACAAGTCTACCGTGTTGCCATGGAAAGATTTCTTCTTCAAATCAGCGCCTATCGCCAATAGCGTCATATCCAGATTGCTAGACACGTGCGCAATAGTCGCAACTTCGATACAGTCGTCAGGACCATTGCATTGCACCGGCTGTTGTGTTTTCCCCGTATCCGGAGCGTCATAGTGAGAAGTGGGTAACGGCTCCTCCTCGTCTTGTGAGTCACTCGTGAGCGAAGAACTATAGTTATCCATATCGGCCAGAAGGCCCGGAGATAAAGGAATCTCGTCATCGGGCCCGTCGCCCGGAAGGCTTTTGCTTTCTTCGCTCGTGACGGAGCGTACCTTCGGTTCGCATTCATCATCCAGATCATCGTCTAGATCGTCATCCACTGCAGTCGTTTCAAAATCTGGTGAGTTTGAACGACGGCCGTGATCCATATCATCTAGCTTGAAGGACGCCGCATAATCGGCCAGCACATGCGCGACAGTCACGCCGTACAGATGATCGCCTTGAGAAAGAAGGCACCCGATGGCTGCTTGGGACCCACCGAGCACACCGCTGGCATGGTCGTGCACAAGAAGTGGCCCGTCGACACACTGCGAAGAGACATATATCCCACAATCCGCGCGCGGAGCACGATGATGGTGTCGCCGCGTCATCACTTTCCTGCCGCCCATCGGCTTCAGGTCTTCGAACTCGGCGGCCAGACGGCAATGCGCGACGTGGAATCCGGGGTATTTCTCGAGGATCCCGCTGGACTTAATCGCTTCGAAGGCAGCCTTGCGTCTCGGCTTGTCGTCCGACACGAGCAAGACGGTCGGGCTCGTGCGAAGCTGCGTCCTCCCGACCATGAACAGCGAGAAGCCTATGAAGCTCGTGGACTCCGGGAGATTGGTCACGATGTGGTCTTTGATCTTCACGTGGAGCTCGTCGTTGAAGATGGCGCGCGCCGGACCGTTCGCGTCCCAGCATTCCAGTTTCCCTTCCAGCCGGCCCCGGTAATGGCCTGTCGATGCCGCTGCGTAGGGCCAACTTTTGACTAGCTTTGGCATTGTGGCGGATAGCCAGCGTTCTCAGTCCCATGGAGCGGAATCCCACTTCTATGTGTTTTTGGGACGCTTTTAGGAGAAACGAGGAGGGAAGGGGATTCTCAAGTAGATCGTGGCTACGACCTTGGCCAATAGAGAGGTTCGCATTTGTGCACCTGTTAGGAGTGCTTGTAGACAGTTCCAGGGAACTATAGCTACCCGTCAAATACGTCACTGACTTGTGACGGTCTGGAGAAGCGTTGAGAAGACGTCTACAATGGGACAATTAAGAAGGCGAAGCGAGGATTTTGGAGTACTTAGGTGTGTAATGGCCTCGCCACAGCCACCTCTTACGTGGGGTTGAGTAAGGTGTTACGTGACCAGGGTGTCAGGATTTGGAGCTCTATACACTATGTAACGTTGTGAAGCCGAACTGCTCTCTCTCTCTCTATATATATATTCCATTGCTTGTACTGTACTCTGCGCCCTTCTAGATACTTTGCAAATCCAGGTCTTCTACGAGCTTGTCGTGAAGGAGACACGTGTCTACACCTAGTGTACAGAGTCTCTGCATTCAATATTCAATGATGTCGGGACTTTCCTGGCGAGTTGAGGTGTAAGCAAGTTGTCGTATGAGCCAATGTCACATGTCCTCGGAATCGCCCGCTTATGTCGTTGACGTTGCGACGAGGCGCAGACGGGAGTTTAAGCATGAATACATTTCAGCAAATGGGTCAAACCAGTTTGAAATATTTCAAGGTACACGTGATTCCAGGTTATGATAATCCGAATAGTGCATTCCGGCCTTTTAACAGTCTCCAGGCGCCTCTCATTCTGCTCAAAGTGATAGATTAATTGTCACGGCTGAGAACCAGACAGATTCAATGAGCACCCCATGTATCTCGCAGTAGTAAGTGCCGCCACATAGGAAGCACATGGCTTCACAAAAAGACGGCCGGTGAGTTTACTTTATCCTTAGAGCCATATGGATATGTCAATATTATGCTTATTGAGGTACGGCTCTGTAGCAGACAGTTTGGCCGAGGCTTCTTTGATAATATTTTTATTTAAAGGGTCGGCTTGATTCACAGTTGTATAACTCCATAGCTCCGTGGGAGTTATCATGTCGCGCCTATCCGATGTAAATATATAAGTTTGCTTATCTACGGATGTAATGAAAAGTCGCCCCATGAGCTGAGAGCTTAGCGATGCATATATTGCATTAAAGTTTTGGTTCCTACTCTGGTTATTGTCTGTTCACTGTTGGAGGTTATGTTATCTACGAGTCATGATCTGATGGCATGCTTGTCGAATATCATTCTATGCATGAATTCAAGTTCCTTTACATGTATAAATCAGTACAACAGCCAGGATGCCTTCTTTTTAAGTCAGGGCAAACCTTGAAGCTCATCGTACCTCTTCACTACCTAAGTTCTTGTCCATATTAGAGCTTTCTCAGATGCTCGATTCACAATTCAGAAAATGTACCACATAGGCTCTTAGAGTAATTCAGACCTCTACAATTAGCGTAAACTTCATAGTTGTCACATCTACGGGTACATAGGAATCAAAGTACTATAAGCTGATGTTCTGGTTGTGGTGTAATACATTCACAGAAACGCAAAATAGACTCACATTATGGAGCTCTGACTTAATTTGATATTGCCATTTACTATTGAGCATGTGTAGGCCCCTAGTATCCAGTATAAGCTCACCTATCCCCATTTTTGCGAAGTCATATCTACGGTAGCGATCTGAATTCACCAAAGGTCTTCAGGTGACCCCAGAGAAGGTGAGGTGAGATTTGTGGGATATGCGCATATTGAGTGAAGCGCAGATATCTCAGCGGATTGTAGAAATATGGTATCAACACGATTATGCTAGCAACAAGAAGTGTCGAAAGCATTGTGACGTGGACGCGCTGTTTTTCAACGAGCTGAGGCGAGTCAAATCGTCTTTCAAGATCTTGAGTTCTTGGGGTTGTTGGTTGTCAGCAGGGCAGCTTTAAACCAACAGGCATTAGTATTCTCTAGCAAACGTTTCAGGATCCTGCATCTTGATGGCGGTTTCATCAAGTATATTTGTCATGATCGGGGTTTCGCTGTGGTAATGGATCTTGTTGACAAAGAGGATGGGAACATTGAACATTCGTGCCCAGACTCTTCCTCAACACAATTAGAGACCGATGATTCATAACTTCAGTCCTAATGACTAAGAAAAAGGGCTGACTCCTCATAATGATGGAGCACTCGAATACAGCGGTGATCTCTAATGAGCGTCATGGTCCGCGGAGCCCTGTAGAAGGAACCTTTCCCGGTCTTCTAGCATATGCCGTCTTACTTTGTGTGCAATATATTTTCACCTAGAATATCCCCGGCGAGTGCGCAGGGATATGAGAGAGATAATGATATCTACATCGGAACGCGGCGTCGAAGAAGACTACGTGACCCCTCCAACACTCCATGTGACGTATATTCTGGGTCCACAGCCTCAAAGATGGGTTGGGGGATCTTGCCCCATATCTTGTAAGATGCGTAGGGTAATAGCGGTCTAACTTGTGGAATGAATCAAGTGTTCTCAAATCATTGCATCTCTGCCAACAGCCCTAGTTGGAATAAACAACAAGAAATCCGGAGTTTGATTTATCGCCGTGATTCACTATGGTGACTGTTAAAGAAACGAACGTGGTATAGTCTGCTGCAAATGAAGATTAAATGGTAAAAACCGCGGATCGTGATTGGACAAATCAACACGAGATACATTTGTTGAACAGTCTTACGTAGAGCCATATTCCATGGCACAATCCATCCTTAGTTGAACCCACCACGATGACTGCATGAGGAAGAGATATACCCTCAGCACCCCTCCTTGCACAGTCAGCCGTCTTACGTGCCACCCTCTCTCTCCGAGACAAAAGGAAAGACAGACTATCAACTTCCACGGTACACCACAATACGCCTTGAACCAGATCATCTACGCGAAAGCAACGAACTGCCAGACATGGACGCGCGGGTCCAGAAGGCCATCCAGCAATCCATAGCTCTGCACAAAGACCCGGGGTCCGTCCCATGGAAATCCGACGAGCCGTGGGCGCAATCCCACTACGCATGGGACGCCGAGGAAGAAGCATGGCAGCCAGCATCTACTTCAGACAGCGACAGCAGCAGCTCAAGCCCTTCCACCACCACCACCATCCGCGCTCTAGCGCTGTATAGCTGGAACATCGACTTCATGCTGCCCTTCGCAGAGTCGCGCATGGAGGCCGCGCTCTCGCACCTCTCGGATTCCATAGCGCAGCTCCCCTCATCAACAGCAGCAGTGGTCTTCCTCCAAGAATGCGTGCCATCCGATCTGGCGACCATAAGCAGACAGCCGTGGGTGCGCTCGCGGTTCTCCATGACCGACCTCGACGCCTCGGCCTGGGGCAACGGGGCCTACGGCACCACGACGCTCGTGGACCGCAAGTTGGGCGTGGCGGCGTGTTTCCGCGTGCACTACGCGCAGACGAGAATGGAGCGCGACGCGCTCTTCGTCGACGCCGTCGTACCGGGGATTTTCAAACCGGGCCAGATCCTCCGGCTCTGCAACACGCATCTCGAATCCCTCCTCCCGGACCCCCCGCTCCGGCCGCCGCAAATGCGTCTCGTCAGCACGTTTCTGCGCGCCAGCGAGGTAAGCGGGGGTATCGCGGCGGGCGATTTCAACGCCATCCAGCCCGTCGACAGGACGCTGCATTCCGCCCACGGGCTGAGGGACGCGTATCTCGAGCTCGGGGGCCGGGAGGACAGCGACGAGGGGTACACGTGGGGCCAGCAGGCGCTGAGGCCGCTGCGCGAGCAATTCGGGTGCTCGCGGATGGACAAGGCGTTTTTCTGCGGCGCCGGCCTTGAATTGCAGAGCTTCGAGCGAGTCGGGGCGGATGTCGAGGTGCGCGGGGAGAGGCAGAGGTCTGGGCTGCTGGCGCTTGGGTTCGAGAAGGCGTGGGTTACGGACCATCTCGGCATCAAGGCTGTGTTCAATCTTAAGGATGCCGTTCATTCTTAGGAGTAATGCCTATTTTGAAACATCTTGTCTAGCCTAGGAGATCGGTACAAGACCACCCAGATTTCTAAATTCCCTTAGATCGCGAATCTTACTTTATTGCATACAGTTGTTTACCTTATCTACCTACCAACTACCATTTTCAAGCTCCGTTCTAAGGTTTGGTCATAGGAGGGCGAACAGTGTCCACACGAGAATTTCAAGGTCTCAGCATGATGGGTACAGTCTTGGGAGTCCACTTGACGAGCAATTGCCAATTGGCATTGGAGTTTAAGAAATATTGATTCTAATTTGATAAAGGAGATTAATGTCGTATGACTTGACGCCCACCAGATTACAACTCCCTGCCCCTATCCTTTTTGACCCCCTTTTATCTGATCCCGAATCGTACACTAACGTCGACTACACTTAAATCTTTGGATGATCATGCCACAAGCATATTCTATCTGAGCTTCTACTTTATTTGGCGAAGTGGAGATCATATCCTAGCCATTTTCTTCGTACAACTTGTTCTGCGCTCAGGCCTGGGTAGCCATAGGTCAAGGGTAGGAAAAAGTACCAGCTAGCACAGACTATCGCAAGAATCACAGCACATGCGATCCATGATGGTACCATACTTTGGCCAGCAAATCGTTCGCGAGCCGTCATGTGGTGTTGAGGGCGAGCCGCTTTCTTACCCGTCTTAACGTCCTGAGCAGTTGTCTCCTCAGCCGAAGGCTCTGCAATGAAAACAAACTCTAGCAAGGCGCCTACAATCAGACACGATGCTAGATGGGCGGGCAGATAATGGTGCAAAAAGAGTTGACGGCCCATCAGGTAGAATGGGAAGTAGTGCGTAGCCCAAGCAAGGAAAAAGAATCCTGTCGAATTGTAAAGTCGTGAACGAGTGCCTGCAATACAAGTTAGAATCTTACGTTGTCCGGAATGGATTGGGTATTACGTACGGTGGTCTAGGGCATCAATGCCACGGCGAAGGGAGACCTGATCAGCACCAACGATGCCAGCATACACGGCAATCAGACTGCTAGCAATCCACCAGCCGAGAGGGTTACCCAAGAAGTAAATTTGCTGGCGGGTGTCATTCTGAGTCCAAAAGCTTACACCTCGGAGAAGGAATGGCCATTGGAACGGCTGACTGGCATACGGATGACTGCTGGTCAGCTGGCTATTGTGCCAGAACATCGAGCGCTGAAGCTCAAACCACTTCGTGAAGAAAGGTAATGTTTTGACTTTGCGCTCATCTTTTACACGCCGAGGCGAGTCTTCGGGGACCGAAGGTACATCTTCAACAAGCCAAACGTTGGAGCTGGGCGCAATCTGCTTGTTTCCATTGATTTCTTGTTGTTTGTGACCCCAATCAGGTAGTGGCTTCGTATGAGTCCACATGGCTACCTTACTAGGGTTGTGTATGAACTTGAAGTGACTCGCAATACTCTTGAATTCCTGGTTCTGCTTGCCTCCTTCGATTCGAACTTCGAATAAGGTGTCAGCCGCACGGTTGCCGTACGCATCAGCGTGGGATACGGTAGTAAACTCTTGGTTGGTGGGATAGTATGGAGATGCCACATCGTGGGACAACAGGATAGTGTCGGTCACAATGTGGCGAAGCCTAACAAGGTCGTGGTTCTTGATATGGTGGCCCATGACTTGGTCATCTTGAACCGGTAAAATTTGCCAATAGTTGTTAGTATCATTATAGGGGTAGCCGGTAACCTGCTGACCCTGACTGGAGACACGGCCGTCATCATATCGCAGGGGATATTTCGCCTCATGACTGTGAAGGAAAGCCTTAGTCTCCTTGTGACGGATGGTGATGGTATCGTAGTAGTCGATAGTTATGGCATTGGCAGTCAACACATTGTCCGAAAGTGTCTCTTGGAACTCGGGTGTCATGAAGTCATCACCGGGACCAGAACGTGTAAGGATAGCAAAGTGGACCTGGAACCAGAACAAATAGAACATGAAGGGCAGTATGATCAGACCCACCGCTCGAGCTGCGAAATGATATCCGAACTGCGTGAGAGTCAATGCACCACCGACTCGCTTGACGTTCAAAAGCTCCCAAAGATCAATAATCACTGCGGAGCCGATGGTGACGAAAGCGAACAAGCCGACGTATTTGGTGGAGATATCACATGAAAGGGCAAATCCGGTGAGGATCAACCACTTCCACCATTTCCGACTAAACGGTTCATGTCTTAATTTGTAGAACTTGATGTAGCAGAGAAGACTGCAGGCCATGGCGAAGACCAAGGTAGCGTCAAGCAGTATCAGTCTAGTCTGGCCGATATGAGCATTGTCGAGAAGGACAAGGCCGGCAGCAACAATGCAAGCCGGCAAACTATAGGCAGATTCCCACATGATCAAGAACACAACCGAGACGGTGAGGGCGCCGAGGATGGCAGGCATGGAGCGGAAAGCCACGTAAGGTACTTTGTTCGAGATGTAGGAATCGCCAATATTCTCAAAGTGAAAGTGGCCATCGTATCCAACGAGCCATCCCATGAAGGCGAACAGGAGCTTTCCGAAAGGAGGGTGGACATCGAAGAAGTAAGTCTTTTGGAGATAATACGAGGCGAACTGCATAATTTGGGGATACCGGTCAGATAGGGGGTTCTCGTCTTACACCAATTGGAGACACAAGGCGAGGGCGGATTTGGAAAGTCAGGAGTCAACTCACCTTGCCGAAGTGCACTTCGTCAAAGACAACCTCATTCGGGTGGCTAATGCCCCAGAAACGGGTCAAGAAGGCGAGGGCAGTGATGGCAGCGAAGGCGATGCGGTAGCTCAGCTCAGAATTGGAGCGGGCGAGCTTCTTGGGTGACCTGAGGGCAACAAGGTCGCTATCGACGTCAGCGGCAGCGTCGGCGGCGGCCTTTTTCTTTGTAGAAGCTGGGACATTGCGTTGGCGCAGACTGCCCTGGGGAGTCGACGACATGGCGAAGGTGCTCGCAAGGCAAGGCGACGTCGAGTGGTGCGGAAAAAAGGGTGAATTCGCTGATATGGGGAAATTGAAGCATCTAATAGAGAACGTGTTCGTATGTATGTCCAGCTCTATCAGCATCTGATTTTATGTGGAGCAGCCTGCCAGCAATGGACAGCGGCGCTGTGTTGGTTTCAGCAGCGCTCCACCTGCAGCCCACTAAACAGGGAGCTCATCGCTACTTATCGATTCCAGTCAGCCAATAGAGCAAGACAATTCGACAAATGTTGGCTGGAATTATTGGACAATTCGAATCATCTACGTGTCTATATCTGGTATCTTCATCGATACTTACTTTCCGCTGTACCTACGTAGTATATACTTACCTGAACAAGACCGTAAGTACAGAGAAGATACATACATGTATATAGGTGCCCTGTTAGCCATGCGAAAGCCTTGATGCCAAGATAGAGAATAGGTAGCCCTCATACATCAGCCTTGGACTTCCTGTTACATACAGATACCTCCGTATAAGTAGGTACTTACTTACATAGTGCTGCGCAACAATACCTATGCTTTCAGGGGTCCAGTTGTTCTTACCCATCCACGCTACATGGGTAGGAAATATAGTGAGCCTAGACCTTGAAAAAAGACTTGGCGACAATCTGATATAACGTCCATCGTTACTACGTAGTATTGAAATGTGTGTACACATAAAATAACCTGGTAGACATGGGTATTAATATAAGTAGGTACATGTAGACGGTAGGAATGTTAGGAAGTGCTTAGATCCATAATGTGGGCTGAAAGTACCATCTCCACTATGTCCGACAACGGCCGCCGACAACCCTCCGGGACATATCCGAGGCGTCTTTATCCTAGATATATATACGTCAATTCTGACGTCTAAAGACTCCTCAGTCGTACCAATGTCAGTTTCTCGCAGGATACTATCTACCTCTCCCCGGCTGTTTCAATCAGTAACCCGATTTGTGAATCCCCAACCCGCGTCCCGAATCCCCTCTTTCGCCGCATTCACCACCCCAATTCGCACCATGGCCGACATGACCCCAGTTTTCAGCAAAGATGCTGCCCCTCGTGAGTGATAACCCCCAACCATAGCGAGTCAATCCAGCTTCGCTAACAAGATACCTGTAGCTGCGGGCCCTTACGTATGATTTGTAATACCCTGACCTGAGATTTCTGTTGTCTGACAACGTCATGGAAACAGTCCCACGCCATCAAGACGCCTACAGCCATCTACTGCTCCGGCTCAATTCCCATGGACTCCCAGGGTAACCTCATCCAGGGCTCAATTACTGAGCAGACGACCCAGGTCTTCAAGAACCTCAAGGCTGTCTTGACAGAGGCTGGCTCTAGCCTTGACAGGGTTGTCAAGGTCAACATCTTCTTGGCTGATATGAGCGCTTTCGCCGAGATGAACGAGGAGTACGCCAAGTGGCTAACCCACAAGCCTGCCCGCAGCTGCGTCGCCGTGAAGACGCTTCCCAAGAACGTCGATGTCGAGATTGAGTGTATCGCTCTTCCTTGAGGAGGCTGGAAATGGAAATTGTCTCCTTGAAAATGGGACATGTGACGCGTGCTCATGTTATTCATTGCCAGCTGCTTTAAAGAATATATGGGCTCGTAGCTCGTCTACCATTTCAACAACTCGTTCTCTCATTCGCGCCTTTCATCGTGCCATTTTCTTGCGTGTATCCGGAATATGGTTAGTGCTCCTTTCGTGAATCTTCTTCATACCATGTGAACCGGAAAACGAGACTCAATACTACGGCCAGGATGATGAAGAGCATACTCAAGTAAAGTGACCGGAAGAAAAACCAGCTGAAATAATGTCTATCGTAAATCATTCTATTATCTGTGAAAACTCGACAGACGATGGGGCAGAGCAAGAGCTTAGCAGAATGGCGAATCGCAGGCTTCGGTTGCTGGACTAAGGCAGAATATGTTAATAGATGATTATATAGGCCGCCCCCTTAAGTGTAGTACGCGTTGCGTAAGGGGGAGTCAACGCGTAAGGGGGACGTCAACGCGTAAGGCGCCTGGGGCGTTTGGGTAGCTGGCACCGTTATCGTGAGATTAGTTATAAGGGTAAATTGTTTCCGTACGGGCTAATGACGACCTATAAGGCTACTTCGGTTTATTTGGATTACTTGGTGACCAGTTACAGTCAAGCCAAATACAGATTTTAGCCAAGTAGGTCAAATAAGGCCAAAAATGGGCTCAAATCAGAGAAAACAAGATAAAGACAAATTCCTTGACTTGTTTTGACTGTGTGCAGCGCTGAGCACAGCCTCAAAACTTCGCTAAGCTGAATTTCTCCTGTGGTGGTCAGGCTTCGATCGCATCTCCCATTCTCAGAATCACCCACATCATTCACCTAGTGTCACGGTGCCATATATAGCATATGCAGACGGTCAGGTTCCCGACCTGATAACGTTCTACCTTTGCGTAGTGTGGCGGTATTAGCTCTGCATATCTATCCCGTCACACCTAATTCCCTTCGTCTCTTCCTTACTCGAACATGCGACTTTTGAAGGCCCTAGAGGACGGCCAACTGACTCTAACCAAAGATCTCACGAGCAATATACCCCCATATGCGATACTTCTCATACGTGGGGTTCTGAAGACGACGAAGTTAACTTCGAGGACATAACAAAGGACACAGCAAAGCACAAGAATGGTTATAAAAAGATCGAATTCTGTGCGCAAAAGGCCACATCTGATAGCCTTGCGTATTTCTGGGTGGATAGTTGTTGCATTGATAAGTCAAATAACACTGAGCTCACCACAGCAATCAACTCTATGTTCAAGTGGTATCAGAATGCGGCCAAATGCTACGTATATCTGTCAGATGTCTCTTGCAGTCGTCTTCGACGACGCGACGACGCGTGGAAATCAGCGTTCCGGCATAGTAAATGGTTCACGCGTGGATGGACGCTTCAGGAACTCATCGCTCCGTCTGTAGTGTAATTTTTCTCACTCGAAGGAACCTCGCTTGGAGATAAGCTTACACACCGCCGATTAATTCATCAGCTAACGGGAATTTCAGGGCCAGCTTTGCGTGGGGCTCCTCTGTCTGAATTCAGCAGAAGAGAGAGATTGTTATGGGCAGAGGGGCGAATCACGAAGCTTGAAGAAGACAGGGCCTACTCCCTAATTGGTCTTTTCGAGATATCTTTGCCGCTTGTATATGGCGAAGGTGTGAAACTGGCATTCAGGAGACTAGAAGAAGAGATTGACAAGCAGGAGGCGTTCGAGCGGCGTGACCGGTTACCAGGTACGCAGAACCGTTAGCTCCAGTCTTACTTACTTACTGACCGACTTATAGACCACAGATCATGCTCCGTTTCTTCGTCGCCGTTCAAGGCTAAGGAGAGAATGGAGCCTTGTCTTCAGTCTTTGTTGTTCCCAGAAATGAATACTCGACGCCTGAGTGTTGAAAACCCTGCTGATGAGACCTGTCTTTGGCTTTTTTCCCATCAGCTGTACCAAGATTGGTTCATTGGAAAAGGTGAAAACCTCATTTTTCTGAAGGGGAAGCCAGGCGCAGGGAAATCGACTTTGATGAAGGAGGCTTTTCGCCGAGCTTTGCTTGAGCGGCATGACTCTGAAGACAGGGTCGCAGCATTTTTTTTCAACGGGAAAGCAGGACCCCTGGAAAAGTCGGCGCTTGGCCTTTATCGGTCTGTGCTATATCAACTTCTGCCCGGAAATCAGGACCTCGAACGTTTCTGCACATTGTGGGAAGAGAAATTTTCTGGCTACTATAACAATGAACAGAAAGGTGGCACTTGGAATACAGTGGAACTCCAGAATTTCTTCTCATCCATGTTCAGGCATCGTAGAACAAAGCGGACAATAATATTCATAGATGCACTCGACGAGTGCAAGGAGAAGAACATTCAGCGGATTGTTGGTTTTTGGGAAAGGGTTACGGACCAGGCTTCGTACACCGCAGCGAGGCTGAGTGTATGCATTTCTATCAGAGACTTTCCGGGGATCACAGCCTCGGGCTCTGAAGCAATTATTGTGCAGAATAACAACAGTCACGACATAACAACCTACGTTGAGCAGAAGTTCATGCGCAGTATTGCAGCTGAGGAGCCGCAGTGGAAACTTTTGAAAGACGGGATCCTATACAAATCCTCTGGCGTATTTCTCTGGGTGGTTTTGGTAGTGGACGATTTGCTAAAAAGGCGGAACGACGGGGGAAGTATACAGTACTTACTAAAGCAGCTTGATACCGTTCCAGACCAGCTCCAGCATTTATTCTCTCGTATACTTACTTCCATCGATCCAGAGCAAAGAGCTCTAACTCTCCAACTCTTCTACTGGGGCTATTCTAGCGGTCAAGCCTCTCCGTCTATATGAATGGCACCATATATTGGCGTTCATCAGAAAACCGCCACCCTTGTCGCTGCAGGAATGGCGTGAGTCGGACCACTTCACCAGGGATGATAACCAGCTTGAGAAAAAGATCAAGAGCCTCTCGCGGGGCCTACTCGAAATACTAACTAGCAACGATGATGTGCATGACGAAAGCTTGGAAACAATATCCGACTGCGCTGGGGCGGGATCCCTTAGCCTTGGATCTGGAGAGACGCGGATTGTGCAAGTGATACACGAGTCAGTCCGTGAATTTTTCCTGAAAATGAGAGGATTTTCCACCCTAGACCAAGAAAACAGGAGAAAGCCCCATCATACCTTGCAAGGTCATATTTCAATAATGACCACATGTCTTGATTACATCAATATCAAAGAGTTGGATACCCTCGTCCAGGCACTGAATCGAGCAAACAAACAACGTAATGAAGCGGCAGATGTAAAAGAATTTCTTGAGAAGCAAGACGAGAATATGGCTTGTGCGCCACAAAAACACGAGTTTTACACCAAAGCCCAAGCTCAAGACTCGTCTTGCTCTGGCGCCAAGCACAGACGGCACAAAATTGCACTAGACAGACAGGATGGACAGAGAAAGATGCAAACTTCTATCACCAAGCTCACCAAGAGTGTTTCTCAACATAAATTCACAGAAATATCCCAATGGTTGGAACTGTTGCCAGCAGGCAAGTGGTCTGACGACACTGCCCTTGTTAATAAGTCGTCATTGAACCCTTTCCCAACACCCTCAGTAACGAACAGGTCTGAGGTATTAGAGCACCATCCTGCTCTTCTCTCGTACGCTCTGTATGAGTTCCCATCTCACGCTAAACGAGCTGGGAGACAACTTCCGGAAGACATTGCTAAGCGCCTACAGCAAGGTGCGGAACTTGACCGCTGGATAACACTTCGGGAAGATTCAACTCTAGTAAGGGATTATATATTCCCACCTGAGCCGAACTCAAGGTTCATGATGTTGCAAACTCTTGAAGGCTTCCTAGAAAGGCAGAGTATTTCTTCTGCATCAGAGGGACAGAAAGACCAGAAGGCCAGAAGTTGGTCGAGTAGTGTTGCAAGTTTCAGTTCCGCCAGCAGCCATAGAGGAAGTCTGGCATGAAATACAAGAAAGAAACATTCACATCAAAGTCATCACAGCTCATAGGTACTCGCAAGATATATGACTGTTCTGAACGAACGAGGTTATCTCTGCGATAAAAATATCCACGTTCAACCTGCGGTATTCACCTGGAGTGCAGTTGGCTACAGTTGGTTAGGGTACGTATCGCACCGTATACCGCCTCCCAACCCCCGACGCACTTGCTTGCCTGCAATGCCTTCTAACTCGTCACCGACACCTCTAACAATAACCTTAACGTTTATTACTAACGCCTTTAAATAACATAGCAATTTAGCTAACTTGTAGCCGTATTACCGTTGAGACTATCATAAAAAAGAAAAGTATGATTCTTCAACATTTACTAATATTGCGTTTACATTGGGTAGCTATTTGTTCCGTTGTTACTAGGTGCGGTATCGCTGTGTACAGTGCGGGAAATATAAACGAATATGGGAATCAAATGGCAGGCAGATGAAAGCACCTGGGTCCCGCAGATTAAACGTGGATACTACCGCAGAGATAACCTCGCCTACAGCTACAAACGCATGTTGTACAAATGGCGCTTTATGATACAGGGTGGTGTACGGTTATACGGAACATCGTTGTACAAGACATAGCGGACTATAAAGGAATTTGCAAAAGATGAATTTAAATCTCCAAAATCAAAGTAGTCCTAAGAAGGCGTGTATAGCTAATCCTTTCGATGCACAGTGCAGTACGGAGTACCAAGACCTAGTAAACCAAACACATAATTTCGCGAGCGAGCTCCATTGTCACGGCCATGAGTGCGACCTTGAAGCTAAAAATACTTCGTGTCCCAACCCGCATCTAAGAGCTATTGATTGATGATCGAGCTGTGTGTAACTACTACTATGCACCCTTGTCATGGGGGCCGATTTGGCAGAAAACGGTTGAAATCTTGATCCGTGTGCTACTTCATTTGAGTACAGGCTGTGCTTGGAGTAGGATGTCAAGCAGGGGGCGAAAAGTAAGCAACAAGGCATATTTGTCGCACCCTGGAAGAGGAGGCTCTGCCTCTACCTAAGTGCGGGCCGAGGCTGTGAAAGAAAAAGGTGAGACCACCCCCCCCCCTCCCCCCCTTTTCCCACACCACCTATTCAACCACTTATTTAAAAGTTCAAAGGCTAATATTTTTTAAATAAAAAAACTAGCTTATAATATATGATTCTTTAATAATTAAAAGCTTTATTTATACAGGTATATTATATAGCTTTAACGATTAACTATTTAAAAGTATAGTTGGACGAAGCACATTGGAAATAGCTTTGAATTAGCTATTAAATAGGTGGTTAACTAGGTGGTTGAATAGGTGGTGGTGGGGAAGGGAGTGGTCTCACCTTCTTCTTTCACAGCCTCGCCGGCAATAACTAGTGCAGGCCGATCAATTCCCGACATTGGAGTTAATGTCACAGTCTTACCAACCAATGCAGATTCTTGTTAACGCGACAACGGGTTATGCCGCTGGTTGGCCAATAACATACTATAGAACGTGTCAATTGTGGTGATTTATTAATTACAACGGTAGGTAGGCTACGCAGCAATGGCCCTTGTGCTTCCTTTTTGATTTGTTCCGCTTTATGCGACTTGTGTCAGGTTGCGATGCTGAAAAGCCTAATATTAGACCACTGATTTGCATCATTCGTCAAGGAGCAACACTTACTTATATGATCAGCCATATAGCCACAAGCATAACTCCAAATGCCTGCACTTGGGTAACATACACTACAGTAAAACATATGCATGTAAGACGCAGCATCATTACTACTTGTGTGATGGTCTGTCACGCGTAGTGTCAGTAATGGGCAGTCCGACCCTTGTCGGGGATGGGAGCCCATCTTACGGCCCCCAAGTTGTCTTCTTTTGGGCCACGCCTATTCACGTGCGGAATAGCGGATATAATAGGAAAGCTTAGCGACTTGGCTTTGCATGATAGCATGAGGCTTCAAACCAACTTGACTCTGTCTGTCAACTTTGCGAGCCTGACAGACACAATGTCGAGAGACGTGGAGCCACTTCCGCCCTCAAGATACGAGAGCAAGGAGGCCTCCGTCATAACTGCCGTGACCTTGCTGAGTTTGTCCGCGGTCATTGCCGTCATTCTTCGCTTCAAATGTCGTTCCATGGTGCGCGCTAAACTCGCCATTGATGACTGGCTTATCCTAGCAGCTTTGGTGAGTAAAGATGACGAGAGGATATCTACAACGTTTTGCTTACACCTCATCACAAGCCTATTGCTATCACAGAGGCTATACTCGTGGGATATTGTGAGTTAGGTCTTTATGAATATTTGGATATCATCTTGCCCTCGGGCTTTTGCTGACGTCGCGAAGCAACAAACGGTGGCCGGGGAAAACATGTGGAGGTTGTTTCGCTCGTGTTATGAGTGAACCCACCTCCTTAACTCCGGCGAGCTGGATAAGATAAGACAAAATAGGGGCTCAAGTGACACGTAAATAGGTACCAACAATTCAACAGTTCGAGGCCCCTTATCATATCATCAGCAGCATCGCATCCTCACGGCACAAACCGTGACTGTGTGTCACCCAATATTCAAGTCTCTATGTAGGATAGAACAGGCATAGTATTCAAAGTGTGGGAGTAACTGAAACTGACACATTAGGTAGCATAAGTGACCTGGATGACATGAGTGTGTTAAACAAGATAGCCAATCCAATCGGACTCTAGGTACGTCGTGTCACATTTTAGAAGTGCCGACATACTGAAGGCTCACGCCTCACCCCTCCTGACTCACAACGTAAAGCACGTTCCTCGCGTCTTCGCCATAAACATTCGGTTTTGGGGGAGCGGCACCCGTGGGTTGCATCGTCACATTCCATTTCGTGTTCGTCTTCCTTCCGATTTCATCCCACAAAGACTGGAATGTCTTCTCGTCGTGTAGGGAGACCCTGAAGGCCCCTAGGTTAACAACCCCAGGCTTAGAGCTCCCATAATGATTTCCAAACAGCACTGCAGGGCTTTCAGGGCTTAGCCCGCGCCGAAAGAATCGCACAATGCGCTCACAGATGACGAGCTGCGATTACCAGGTGAATAGGTGAAAAAAGTTCGACGCGTGCACAATGGAAATCTTTTCGTTAAAAGTTTTGGCCAGCTCGCTAGCCTCGTACTCTACATCCCTAGCCAGCATATCCCCCGCCACGAAGGTGGCTTGCAGGGGTATTTGGCAACCTCCCAAGCCTTGTCTCTCTGTAAGGGGTCGTGGTCAGGTAAGGTGTCTTTGACATCGGGGACGGTGGGTTGGAAGGGATCATGCCCTTCGTTATCTCTTACAATCTTGAGGATCTCAGCCGTCACCTCCTCCGGTGGGATCTTGCTGTACTTCTCTAGCAACTCTCGAAAGCGGTCGTATTCCCATGGGATCATGTCCACGTACATATGCCCCTTCCACGACTCGTGGCCATCGGCGTCGATCTGCTTCTCTGCTGCCTTACCCCACTGGGTATGAACAGCGTCTGTGACGCTTGCCATGCTGGGATGTTATAAGACAAGATACGAGCCAGGTAGGTGCCGCGTTATCTGTTTAAGATAATGGCTGAACAGCTTAAGAGACAGTATCTCCTCCTCGTGTCGTGTCTACCTATGTGTGATTAAGTGGCGAAGAGGATATTTATAAGGATGAGCATAGACTTCATTGACAATACAAATCGGTGCGCTACATGGTAAACTGGAGTCGTCTACGCTGCTAGCACGGAATTCGCGTTTTGAAACGTATTTCTTGAAATACGGTGAAGTCAGCAAACGAATCCTGAAATGGGGCATCGTCAAAAAATTACTTCAACTCGATGAAATACAATCCAGTCAATGGGTAACTAGATTACTATTTTGTTTCAGCGATGACTTGTATGACGTTATTTCAACAAGCAAGAGGCACCCGGTGGATTACTATGGCCACTCTTAACCCACCCTTATTTACATGAGAATGAAAATAAAATCGAAACAGGATAAGCTCCCCATTGGATTGCAAGTAGGTAGGTACGGAGTATTCACCCCGTGAATTCCAATATACCCCATACCCAGGGTTGGCAAATTAGTATGTAGTATTATTACTACAGTGTAGTATTACTACTGTAGTATTACTAGTAGTAACTGTTTTCAAATACTACAGTAGTATTAGTAAGTATAATTACTAC